TATGCCATTAGTTGTAGCAGTAACTAATAAATTTAATTCTATATGAAATTTACAACTACTTACTTTTGAATTATTAGCTTGATAAACATAATATTTATATTCTTGTATCCATTTTCCTTTAGAAAATTTAGATAAATTTAATTTTAAATCTTTCGAATTTATCATTTTCTTATTATATAATTGTCTTGGTAAAATCATTTTTCCTGAATTTTCCTTTATTTTCTCACTTTTTTTGAATCTAAAAATTTCCATTTTATAAATACACCTTCAGTACTCATAGATATTATTGAATCCATTGATTTTGTAAAATATGCAGAAATTACTGGATAACGATGATCAACAAATGCTAATGTATCAAAATCTTTCATATTTTCTCTACTAAATAATCTTACAGTCATATCATTACTACTTGTAACAATATATAAATCATCTTTACTCCAATCAATAGAATTAATATATCCTGAATGAACAATATATTGCCTTTTTAAAATAACTTGCCATCCTCTTTTCATATCTGGAGATTCCCATATATATAAACCACGATCTATAGATGCTGCAATATATTTACCATTATGTGAATATTTAATACAAGTTATTTCTCCAGGACAACGGAATTTATGTAATAATATACCTCTTGAATAATTAATAATATTTATAAAATTATCCATATCAGCACATATAATTATTGAATCATCAGGTGACATACAAATATTTCTTATTTTATTATTACATTCAATACTTAATGTTTGACTTCGGTGTAGTATTAGATTATATATATTTATTCTACTACCAATACTAGAAATTAGACAATTACCATCATTTGAAAAAATTATTTCACCACCACTATAAGGAGCTCCAAGAATATTACTAAATTGATATGAGTTCATTTTTTTTTTTTAGTTATTCTTACTTTAATATTAAATAGTCAGGATTGACATACTTCTAAAGGGCAAATATTTATCCTAAGACCATACTCTCAAGCGGTTAACTTTTTTTTTTTTTTTTTTTTTATTATTTTAAGATTATAAATAAATTTATTAAAAGTAATCTAATCTAAACATTATTACAATATATTATAGAATTTTTTATTCCATATTATATTTTATTATAAATTTCTTAATTAAATATTTCATTTAATTTATTAATTAGTTTTAATACTAATACCTTAAAAAAAAAAATTATATAATAAAACATTAAATATATCTCAATATTAATATTAATATTGTATTATTTATATTTAATAAATATAATATATAATAACTAATTACCAATATAAAAAAAGGTATAAAATAATTGTGTGCAGTCATATATTATACTAGTGTGCAATATAATAACCTATTTATATACCTCTTTCTAAATATTTCTTCTTCTCTTTCTAAAAACATAAAAATTTTAAATTAAATCATGCATCTAAATATTACATCTAATATATTTCTACTTTTCCAATTTTGGATAATCCTCCAAATATATTTATCTGATGCAGCTATGGGGAATTTTAGAAGAGCTATTAAAAATGTTATGAGTAAAGGAACACCAAATATTGTTGATAAGGGATTATCACAACAAAATAGAAAATCTGAAATTACAAAATCAAATAATTATTGTGAAAATCTTGGTAAGTTGATCTAATATATCATATTTAAAATAATTTAAAATTAATTTGTAATTTTTATTTTCTCTTATTAGCAAAATTGATAGCTCAAAAAAGTGCTATTAAATCAAGTTTTTTAGAACTTGCAGATTGTACCATTACAACTATTATACCCTCTGCAATCCCTTTAAGAGATAGTTATAATTTTTATGCAAATTCATGTGGAAGAAAAGCAATAAATATTGTTAAACATCTTAGTAGAAATATCCAAGCTGCAATATATTGTTATTATCCTATTATGGAAGATCTATTTCTAGTCACTGGGAGAAACAGATTAGAAGAAAAAGATGCAGAAATGATTAGATTATCTTTCTTAGCATCCAGTTTAATACATTATACAAAACAAGATTTAAAGTTGATTGACAATGAAGTTAAAAAAGCTAATGCTTATACTGCATATTATCATTCATATAGTGTATTATGTAAAAAAATAACTCTTTTCTATGACTTTTGGGGTTTTTTTATGCGTGAAATATTTTGGTCAATGGTTTATTCAATGCTTGGTATATCAGCAGCAAGATTTCCAGTTGAATATAGTAAGTTTTTAAAATAAATTTAATTAAAGTATTGATTTTAATTAATAATAACTTTTTTTTTTTTTTTTTTTAAATTATACTTTAGCCTGTCCATATAATCCATCTGCAGTGGTTAAAGGTATAGAATCTTCTTCAGATGAAGATATTACAACATTAATGGAACTTCCTTTAGATTTAGAAAATGAATAAAAGAATTTTATTGATGAGAATATTTTATTAAATTATTTTAAATATATGTTTAGTATTAACTAGTTTTTAATATTGATATTAATAATATCTTAATTTATTGTTTTTTTTTTTTTTCACAATTATATATTGATTTGTCTCATTGTACCATGAGATACATAAATTAATTTTCCTCCTAAATCACATGTTCTAATTATTGCATATCCATTATTATCAATTCCTTCAAAAATCCCAATAACTTCAATATCATTATCTTCATCTGTATATAAAATTGAAACTATTTTACCAATAAATATCAATTTATCATTAATTTGTCTTAATAATGATGTTATTGAATTATTTTGATAAAGTTGTGAAAATTGTTTAATAATTTCAAAATGAAGATTATTTTCTATTTCATTAATACAAATATTTGGATTAATTTCATATTTACTTTTTTCTAAAAATACAGATGTTGCAGGATGATCAATATTAATAGGAATTTCATCTTGATTATGTAATACATTTAAACCAATTCCAATAATAAAAGGTACATATTGTTGTTTTTCACCATTATTATCAAATGTAAATATATTAGTTAATAATTTACATAATATACCACCAATTTTTTTTCCAGATACATATATATCATTAATCCATTTTATTTTAACAGATTTTATTCCAATATTTTCTAATATATTTGATACAGATAATGCTCCTACCAAAGAGCTATATTTTATAGTTTCTTTATTATTTAATGGGCATAATGTTATATATGAAATGTTAATATTTTTTCCTTTAATAGTATACCATCTCTTATTATTATTAGTTTTAGAACTATAGGTTCCTATACCTGATGTCATATAATTAGATGTTACAGCAATCCAGGTATTTGGTGATAGATTATATTTATTTTTAATGTCTTCAATATTATTATAAACCCATAATTGTGTAGAATCTATAGTATCAAAATAACATATTATTAATGGATATTCTGGATGTTTATAATATTTAGTGGGTTCTAATGATACCATTATAATAATTTCTTATTTGTTAATATTAATAATAATAATAAATATAAAATAATTACTTGGCGCATATATTTAGTATTATTTTTAATAAATGTGATAAATAATAATATAATCCCATTATTTTTATTATGATTAATTCATGTAATTTATTATTAGAAGGATTAGAATATAATAATAATATTGAAAAGGGAAAATGGATCCCCATAGTAAAATTTTCTTTTAATTCCCAAACAAATTCTTTATTAAAAGGTTTTATTACAAATAATTCCAATAAGGTAATTTGTGGTAGTATTAAAGGAGATATTTTTGTGCATGATATGATTTCTGGAAAAAGATTATTAAATATTAATAATATAGATAGAAATATATCCTCAGAAATTTTAATCCCTGCAGGTTTAAATGATATTAGTTGTGATTATACAGGGAATTATATATTTGGTAGTTTTTCAGGTGGTACTGTATGTATATTTGATACTAGAATTATGAATATTAAAAATAAACAAAATTCCCATATTTCTTTATTACATGCACACAAATGTGCATGCATGAGTATAGCATTACCTAATTCTAATAATATACAACAATTTGTTACTGGTGGATATGATGGAATAATTCGTATATGGGATTTACGAAGAATTGGATATATATCACAAGTTAAGGGTCATAATTCCCCAATATCTACAATTGAATTTTCACCAGATAATGATATTTTATGTTCTTCAGCATATGATGGTAGTTGTAGACTATGGAAATCATCAAATTTATATGCATTAAGAAGTTTTTTAAATCCTGTAAATAGTGAAGAAATTTCACAAGCAACATTTTCATTGGATAGTAATCTTTTATTACATATAAATAATAATAATGCTAAAAGTTGGAGATTAGATAGTATAGATGAATATATAGAATATATTGAACCACATGATAATTTTAAAGAAGATAATAAATATATAGAATCATATGATAAAGATATATATATTTCTAATCAATCAAATAATATATATTTTAGATATTCATCATTTTGGCGTGATAAAGTATTTATTCCTATATCTAAAAATCTTTTTTATAATAATGATGGAAGAAATATAGTAAATATATATGATTCTACAACTGGTATATATTTAGATAGTCTTGAAAATATATATTTTGGGAAAACTGCTGTTACTTGTGTATCTTCTCATCCTAATATTGATTGTGGGATTATTTTAACAACAGGAAGTTACCCTGATAATTCTGTAATTTTATGGATGTATTCATATTAAATAATCAATGATATTATAATCTTTTATTTTTATTAATTATCTCTCTTCTTTTTTTTTTTTTTTAATTTACTTAAAATTATATTTTAAAACGTAATGAGGTTGCATTTTCTTATGAATATTAATATTAGGCGCTGATGTATCATTGTAAAGATACCCATAGTATATTATTACCTTTTATAGATTCTCTTCAAAATGAAATGTTGCAAAAAGTCAAAAAATATAAAGGATCCAAATCCTAATAATATTTATCCTCCACCATTAGTAATTAATAAATCTTTGGATATTAGCTCAATTATAGATGATGGTAGATTCTTAAATTATAAAAATACAAATCTCCAAGATGATTATCCAAATAGTAAAAACTCATCTTCTAAAATTTCAATAGATAATTTGGATAATTTAACTCACAATAATAATGAAGATATCTCTGTATCAACAGAAGAAACATCTAGTAATATAAACTACTCAGACAATAATTCTGTAATATTGGATTTTGAACAAAAACCAGTAGGATATTTATCTAATACTACGAAACAAGATTCTTTAATATTAAAATCACTTAAAGAATCTAATAATACTATTAAAGAATCTAACAATACTATTAAAGAATCTAACAATACTATCAAGTATTCCAACAATATTATTAAAGAATCTAATAATACTATTAAAAAATCTAATATTACAAAGATATTATCTAATAAAAGTAAAGAGAAAAGGAATATCTTAAAACCAATAATATTCAAATCATCCTCATTTAGGAAATTAATAAAAAATATTTTAGTATTTATACGAGGAAAATCTAGTTCAAAAAATATAGAACAAAATGAAATATCTAGTGTAATTATTAAAACTCAAACATCAAAAGATAACTTTATAGAAGCAACAATCACAAAAAAATCATCTATTGAAAAAGATAATGAGATAAATACAAAAAGTATTGAAATTCCCAAAATAATAGAAAATTATTTAAATAAAAAATTATCATATAACATTCAACCAAATAATTATAATTCAAATTCTTTATATAATCAGGAAGATCTTAGAGTTGCTCTCACGTATGATATGCAATTATTAACCTATGAACAAGGTCCATATCCTATTCCAAATATGCCTTATAATCAAGAATTATATTCAGAACAATATTTCAATGAAATCTGTAAAGTTATTGAACCAAACTGCTCTAATTTTATACCTTGTATATCACTCTCTTCCAAGTAGAACTGAAATTCCCATAATACCAACAAGTGCATACTTAAACCATGGATAATCATTTAACCAAATAGTTATCATTCCAACTTTTGGTAAGAGGCCTACTGCTACTCCTAATATATGTTCTTTTTTGAGCCAAAGCTGATTATTATTGTAAAGTCCACGATCATCAACATTATTATTATCTCCTTTAGTTAATATACTAAAGTCATCAGATGATGATCTATTACAATTCATTATAGATAAAATTAATTAATTAAAAAAAAAAAAAAGTAGAAAATGAAGGAATTTTAGGATTCATTATTCAAGATAATATTAAAACTTACCCTTGATGATATGATATAACCCTATGTACAATAGGGATATCACGGCCATCTAAAGAAAAAACTACAATATCACCTAAGAAAGTTCAATATTCATATATAATATATATATATATATGTATGAATTAAAATAATAATATGATATAGTTTTCTTTAACATTACCTATTTCTATAGATTTCCTATTATATAGGAATAATATATCTCCTCTATAAAATCCTGGCTCCATAGATCCACTTAATACTACAACAACTGGACTTTGGCTATTTGTTATAACCATTAAACCTCTCCATAACATTAATGCTGAAAGAATAACACAAGCTATTACAAGAGTAGAAAAGATATTAAAGTTATACTTAAGAACCATAAAAATATATAACACTAATACTAACCCAAAGTTAATGCATGATGAATACCTTGATGGGGTTTAGAAAAGATTTGTTTTGCTTCGTTTTTAGCCTGGATAATAAATTCCATAATTAATTTCAACTAATTTTCTAACTACATTTTACTATTGAAGTTATACAAACGTGTTGAGCGCTAAATTTAAGGCGCTAATTTTTGCAGTAGTACTTATTGAAATTTTATTCTTAAAAGTATTTTAGAATAAACATATTCCATATTTTTAATAATATATTAATAACTAATAAGAATATAATAATTAAATAGAGACATATCTCTTTTTTATTTCTTTTTTTTATTAGAAAAGTCAGCAGATCTTTCAGAGATATCATTTTACTTATATAGGAGAGCCAATTTTAAATAACCGGGTAATCTAGATACTTTAAATCCCATTTCCTCACATTTTGGAGTATGAAATTATATTTATATTAAGCTAGGTATATGTGCCCTAGTTTATTATGATCACATTTAATATATTGAAATCTTCTATACTATACTTAATATATTGTACTATATTTACTAATGCTATTAAGTTCGACTTAATGATTGATTCAAAGATATCAAAATGTTTTGGTAAGTTATTTTTAAAGATTTTGTCATTTTATTATTATAAGGTAAATTTAATACAATTCTTTAAATAAATTTACTCCTTATTTTTTTTTCTTTTTCTTCTTCCTTTATAGGTGAACCTATATTAAAGAATACCTTAGTAGTAATTGAATGTAATTCATTATATCCTATTAATCTATCTGTGAGAGATAATAATGATATTATTTATTCAGCAGGTAAGCATATTTATAATTATATTAAACTAATAAATAAAATAGAACTTATTTTAAAGATATTAACTTTATTTTCTTTAGATGGTAACTCAATTAAAACAGCATTTACAACATTAGAAAGTGGTCCACATTATATTTGTATATTTAATCCAAATGACTCTAATATAAAAACAACAATTTCTTTTAAATGGGGTTCAGAAACTCAAGATTATACTTCTATTGCAAAAAAAGAGCATATTGAACCATCAAAAAAGATATTGAATGATATTATTATAGCTTTAAATGATTATCAGAGTAGCTTATTCCAAATTGCACAAGCAGAATCTCTTCTTCATGTTGCTTCAGAATCAGCATATTCTAGAGTTATATTCTTTTCTATTTTAAATATTATTGTAATTATTGGAATTAATATAATTCAAACAATTTATTTTAAAAAATTCTTTAGTTCTAGGAAACTAATCTAAATGATTGTAATTTAAGATAATGGAACTAATACTCCATTTTCAATTTTTAGAATTTTCATTCCATTTTTATCTACAATTTTTACAAATAGATCATATTGTGAAATTAAAAATCTACTTTTTAATTCTGCTGTACATTTAATAAGAATATTAAGTGCTTCATCCTGAGTTAAATTAGATTTATAAAATCGATCAAGGATACCAGTAACAAGTAATCCACCTAATAATAAATATATTATTGAAAGAATAAATAAAAAAAAGGAAATTATCTTTATAAATTTACTTACCATAACCATGTGCAGCTTTATTTACAGATGCCATAGATGCTATTTCATCTATCCAATATAATAGTGGTCCTTCCCTATCATTATAACCTCCAATTAACATGCGAACATTATGTGGATTAGATCTAAGTAATTCTGCTAATTCAAGACGTGTAAATGAAGCAGTAGCAGAAGTACCCAAATTAACATTATTTCGAAGGGAATATAAATTAATATTACATTTAATAAATTCACCAAATTGATTTCTATCTCCAATATCACCAGCAGTAGCTACAAATATTATTCAGAGATATTATAAAATAGTAATTTAAAGTTAGAGTAATTTATTATAATATATAAGAACCTACCAATTAGTTTATTCCCATCTATTGAAAGGATTTTATCCTCATCATGCTTAATACGAGAAATACCACTAATTGATGTGGAATCTGCAGCAATAATAACAAAGTCTGGACCTTTTATACCTATTAATGAATCCATAATTAGCCTAGTTATATAAATTAAAAATATTTAGAATTATATTAAAGTTAGAGGTATCTCACACATCATTTGAGCGCTTTTATGTTTTGGCGCTTTGTACTTAGTAATATTGAGAGAAGTTTCAACATGTCTTAAGATCTTTAGATTTGTAACTTTTCTTTATTTTTTTTTTATAAGCCTGAGGAAGTGATACAAAAAAATAGTTTAGATAATAAAGATAATAAAAACTTAATAGATTGAGTATTTATAGATGAATTATTTAGGAATTCTAATAAATTGTCTTTGTCATTTTCCCCCAAGTTATAGTGAGTATTTATGGCGGTTAAGTATGGGTTTTTTTTTTCTTTTTTCTTTTTTTGTTTTTGCAAGCAATCTAAGTAAAGTATTATTTTTATAAACAGAATTTCTTTTTAAAATGAGGAATGTCGCTCAAGAACTTCTAAAGAAGCAGTTTTTGGGTAAGTACTAATTATTTGGATTGTAGCTTCTAGTCTAATATTATATCTTATATCTATAGAACTAACAAAAGATGATACATCAGGCTTCTCAGTAGGTTTAGATGATGATTCCAATTTTTTAAAGTGGCGTATATGTTTTGAGGGACCACCAGATACATTATATGAGGGTGGAATATTTAATGCTTTATTAATATTTCCAAAAGACTTCCCAAATAGCCCACCAAAAATGCGTTTTGAACAAGATATGTGGCATCCAAATATATATCCTGATGGTCAAGTATGTATTTCTATATTACATCCCCCTGGACATGACCAATACAATGAACAAGAAAGTCCTGATGAACGATGGAGACCTGTATTTGGTGTAGAGAGTATTTTAGTATCTGTTATTTCAATGTTGGGAGAACCAAATTTAGACTCTCCTGCAAATATTGATGCTGCCCTTCAATATAAGAATAACCTTCCTGAATATAAAAGGAAGGTTCGAGCTTTAGTAAGACGTAGTGTAGAAGGCTAAATTATTAATAAATTTGATTATTCATAATTGAATTTATTTTCCTTAAAGTAAGCATGTTGTAATGCACTTTTAGCTGTAATTCTGTCTTTACTTGAAGGATTTAGGAGAGATTTCAAAAATTTCATTGCTTCAAGACTATCTAAACCTATTCCAGAGGGATCAAATTGTTTAAGTATATTTGAAAATTCTTCATCTGTACATGATTTAGATATTCCAGATAAAACTGAAGATGAATTTGTACCAATGGTTGATAAGAAATTATTTAAAATATTTTGAACCCAACTGATATCATCTTTAGAATCTAATAAACATAATCTCATTAAAGCTAATCTATACATAATATCCTTTTTTAAATTATTAGCTTGAGAAACAGAAAAATTAAATAAATTTGAATTAAGCATATTTTCAATATATCGATTAGCACGTAAGAGTAAATGTTGAAATTTTGTATCATCATTAAGAACTGAAAAAACTTGTAAATTTCCCCATATAATTTGTAACATTACTACTCCAGCACTCCACATATCATATGAGGCTAATCTTGTATTTTCAAAGATATCCATTTTAGATTTAGTTGGATTATAAATAAAAGAATTAAATTGAACTTCTGGTGGTTGATATCCTTCAGTTTCATCATGATATGAAGGTCCAAAATTTCCATAAAGTTTGTTTAAAATAGAGATAGGAAAATTTTCAAAAAGTAATTGTGATTTTTTTTCTAATATTGCACTTCCCCAATCTGCTAAACGAAGATAATATGAATTTAAATTTGATTCATTAGATATTATACTTATTAATATATTAGATGGTTTAATATCTCTATGTACTATTCCCATTGAATGAATTATTGATAAACATTTTATTAATTGATACATAAATTCTCTAAGTAAATCTTGAAAATTGGTTTTTTTACAATTCTTATTTTTACATTTTGGTAGTTTTTCATTTATTCTATTTTTAATATGTCTCCACCAAAATTTACTTGGGATAACTTTCCCATTTTCATCAGCTGTAAATAATAAATTATATAAACTTATTCCTTCATAACGATAAACAAGCCATATTTCTGATTTTATCTCTAAATCAGTTCCTAAATTTTCTTCTTCAAATACATGAAGAAATCTTGTAGTATGAGGCATGCAATAAAGTAATACTCCAAAAAATACTTCCCTAATTGCACTTAATTTTATTTCCCAACTTGGGATTTCAGTTAACATTCTTTTCATTACAATATCTACAACACTTACTTCTTCTACTTTTTCAGTTCGAAAATTTATACAAATAGATTTTTTATATTTATCTACATATTGTAAAATTTCTTCTAATATATGTAGAAATTCCATATCAATATTTTTACCACGTTTCCATTTATTTTTATTTTGTCTTAATAAGGATAATTCAGATTCACTACAATATCCTAAAAAACTTTCAATAGATTTAGTGAATGCTAAACCACGCCAAACTTCTCCAAAAGATCCTTTTCCAAATTTAAAATATTTAACAAATCCTTCATCATGCCAGTTTTCCTGGCCCATATGTAAATTGCTAGATATAACCAATTTATCACTTATATGCTGTTTCATACTATTTCTTGCCAATTGTTTAACATTCATTCCACTTAAAATACGATTTCTATAATAGGATACAAGTGAATGATTTCTATATATAATTAAATCTTTACCTTTTTCAGGTTCTCCAAGTAGAGGTTTTATATTATATTCTATTTGTAACATTTTTCTTTTTTCTATATTTTTTCTTAAAGAATATGGAACTGTTGTTAATTTCTTTATCTTACTAATATCTGAACTAGATATTTTAAGTAATAGGGGATGTATAATTAAATTATTATCACCAGAGTATTGTAACATAGCATCATTATTTTCAGATTTATGTATTGTTAATTTCCTTAATAGGTCATATATGTATATACGGTATAACAATAGATAATTGCCTTTATCAACTGATACTAAACCTTTAGATATATCAATTCTAGTCGTATTTTTATCTAAGCTACAGACTTTTTTGAAATTATCATATATATCTAAAGAAAATATACCATCATTACTATTTACTTCATCATTTATACAAGTCTTCATTAAGTCCTTATTTTCAATATATTCAAGAAAGGCAAATGATAGCTGTTGACTTAATATCCAAATATTAATTAAACAAACTAATAAATTCCTGTACATAACCATAAAATCCTTAATAATAATAAATCTTGTGGAGTATAGTGGAATAGCACATTTATATAAGTAATATTATTAGGAATACTGAAGATCTCCCGTAAAGATTTAAAAAAGAAATATTTACAAAATTATGTTAGCCAAAAGCATCTCTATTTTTCAGATTAGGTACAGACTAACGACTTTACCCCCCATCAAAAATTTTTTTAAATTTCTGAGAGATAGTCAAATTATGCATAGGGAGAATGTACAACTTGGCGCCTCTGCATGCAAATAGCCCCTTCTATAGCGCCTCTAATATTCTCGGCTGCTCTTTCATACTGCTGTGTTCTTAATCTTATATTATGAGATACATTTGTACAAACTAAATTATATTGCTCCCCAGCACTATTATTTTCTTTTGTATATGTTTCTACATTATCATAATAATTTTGAGCAATAGATTCTCGTTTATTATTTAGTTCTTCAGTCTTAGTATTAACAAAAGATATAAAATCATTAATTTTTTTATTTATTTCATTTAAATCTTCTTTATATATAGTATCAATCCTAGCTAAATTTGCTTGGTAATCTGAATTTTTTTCGGATAATTCTTTTTCAAGTTCTGCCCTTAAAGATGATAATTCATTTAATCTCTCAGTTTGTTTATCTGTTTGAGCTATAATTAATTTTACATTAATATCAGAAATTTGCGTTGCAATATCATTAGCAGTTATCTGAAAATCTTTATCAAACACTGCTTTGTCTTTAAAATATTTAGACTGGATCTGTATCTTTTCTTGGTTATATCCTGGAAGAGTTTTCTCATACATCTTTGTAATCTCATCAAATTCACTCTGTAATTGTTGACTTTCCTTAGACATAATATCCTGAGCTTCTTGTATTCTAATATTATTTAAATTTAGAGATTCCCGATACTTTTCTTTTGCTTCAGCAAGTATAGTATTCATTTCTGCTATATTTCTGTGATACTGCTGTGAGAGTTCTTGCAAATTTGCCATTAAGCTCTTTGGATCTAATTGTTTAATATCCCTCCTCATTTATAAAACTATTGATATTTAACAAAGACAGGAAAAAAAAATAATTTAATTTAATATTTTCTATTTCCTTTTTGTTAATACTGTTAAGTATTTTACCACACACAAATGGCGGGATATACATGTATTTAGTTTTATGTCTCACCTATAATACCAAAGTAGAATTTCTTAAGTTTTAATCATTTCTATAGGCTTATAAAATTTAGATATGAATACTTTAAAAAGTAGTAAATAAATATAAATTAGTGATATTAAATGTGTATATCTTTATCTAGGCTTGTAAAGGTGCCTTTTTCAAGAAGTTCTAAAGACACTTTTTATGATTTATTTATAAGAAATCATATTCCTACTACAGGTTTAGAAAAGACTCTATTGTTAATAAGATCAACACTTAATGGTATTAGGAGACCTGCAGATTCAAACTCAGTTGCCTGTATAACTGAGATAACTGGGAAACGATCTCTGATTAAGTTACACCAGTTAATGGCAGATGATCCAGAAGGATCGAAAATACTAAAAAATCGCCTTTTAATAGATAGTACAGTATACAGCAAATCCAAGTTAAGAATGTTACCTAAGGATTCTTTAGGAAGAAAGCTTGTTGAATTTCTTGATATATATAATTTTAAATTAGACAGACCCCCAGTAAGGTATGTGGATGATGAAGACTTAGCTTATGTAATGTATAGGCATCGTCAGGTATGTTCTTTCAAATATTAATACTTAAAGAGATCTCATTAAAGATAATAACAACATATTATATTTTTAGATGCATGATATTCTCCATGTAGCATTTGAGTTAAATGTTACTGTAGAAGCAGAAGTTGCCCTTAAATGTATAGAAATGATGCATTCAGGAATGCCAATGTCCTTATTTGGTTCTATATTTGGACTTATAATTACTCCAATTCTTCGTATAAGACCTATAGATCCTATTTTAAATAATAGTAAAATTCCGATAAAATCTATAGATCCTTCAGATCCAATCCAATTTCATCCAGATTGTGATAACTATGAGCATACATTATACCCAGATCAAAAGGAATATTTGTATCCAGTTAGAACTACTATAAAAGAGCTATTACCATGGGCATACAATGCTGAAAAGTGTATGAAACGTAACATTTATACAGTGATTGTAGAGAATTGGTTTGATAAACCATTAAGTGAATTTCAAGATTATATGGGAATTAAGCCTCCTCCTCCTAATCTAAGTAAATATACACGAATAAGACCTCATCCTTATTATTAATATATTTTAGATTTCAATAGCTAAATTTTTCTTTTTTTTTTTTTTTAATTGACATATATTTTTTAGTTTACTAAGGTAAATGATATATAATGTTTTAAGTATATGTCATAATATTGGTGATCATTATATCTACTTAATATTTAAGCAATATTCTATGGTTATATCTATAAAGAAGGAAAAAGATAGAAGGAAACAGAAGATGAAAAATGTGCTTTACTATGTTCCGAGGTACTTTAACAGATTGTCTCAGAGTACAAGTATTATGGCGCTAATTGCATTAAGCCACACAATATTTACAAGCACCAATTTCTATTGTATTTTAAAAGGTTTGGAGTACTCTTTTTTATACTCAATTAACTTAGAAAATAAGAAATTTTAAAATGAGCACATACATTATAAAATGTTCATAATTGGTGTTAAATATACAATACTAGCTATAATATATAGTACTTTACTTAAAAATCCTAGGATATCTGTTTTTGGGCGTTTAGAACGCGATGGAGTTCGTTCCCTTTTTCATGATATTAGCTATTCTCCAATAATTAGTGATTATAATTTTCTTAAAGCTGAAGATAACTTAGTAAATGAGAAACAGAAGATCTGGAAAACATGGTTAGACCCTTTACATAAAGGATCTTTAAAAGGTTTCCCTACTTTTTTGGAAGCCTTAGATATTTTGAATAACTTCCAGAATAAATTTGGAAATAACTATATACGTAGAAAATCTATAGGAATTTCTGTTGAAGGTCGTAGTATTGATGCATTTATCATAGGTATATTTAATTCAACTGATATACCAAATAATATCCCTTCAGTTTTAGTTACTTCAATGCACCATTCTAGAGAACCAGAAAGTTTGGTTACTGGTATTTACTTTATAGGAAGACTATTAGAAGAAGCTGTGAAATTAAAAGATTTAACTTCATTAGCTTTATTATCTTCAACAATAATTTGGTATATTCCATTTGTAAATCCTGATGGCTATGTTGCAATAGAAAGGACAAAAGCTTATGGTATAAGGAAGAACCAAAGGAATACTTGTAATTCATATAATCCATTGTATAAAGGTGTAGATATAAATAGAAATTATGACTTTATGTTCAAAAATGTAGTTTCTGAATGTGATCCACAAGAGTACTCAGGACCCTATCCTTTCTCAGAACCAGAAACTAGAGCTATTAGGAATTTAATTAGAAAATTTAAAACTTTCAAAACAGCTATTAATCTTCATACATATGGTGACTTGTGGACAATTCCATGGAATTGTTGCAAAGATATGCCTATGGCTAAAAATTTTTCAGATATTTACAATGAATTACGTTATGAAATACTTCTTACATCTCCAAGTTGTATTTTCAGAGTAATAAATACTATAGATCGACAAAAATTGGAATCTTTAAATTATAAAAAATACTCTGTTTCACTTTTTTTAAATATGTCAAAAAGCTTTGAAGATATATCTAGATATTGTTTTTCTTCAGCTCCAAATAATCCATATATTATGTATGAAGCATCAGGAGAAGCTGATGACTACTTACTTGGAATTGAAAATGTTATTTCTTTATCTCCTGAGATAGGCCCTGAGGAATTCGGTTTTTATCCTCCATTAAATCAAATTATCCCTATAGCTCAAAGATATTATCCCCAGTTATTTGCTGTTGCTTTTAAAGCTTCTACAGAATATAGTTTAAATTCTTCTTTGAAGCTCATAGAAAGTGGAAATTTTAATAATACACAAGGCACTTTAGAACTTAATATTTTTAATAGTGGCCTTAGCTCTGGTTGTATTGATAATAAAACCTGTGAAATGTTTGTTGCATGGAGTGTTGTAACATCAAACTGTTTAGTAGACAATGAATATTTGCCTGGTCAAATGACACTTGGTAATTACATAGCTGGGTTTAGATATAGAAATGTTTTAAATACATATAAACCCTTATGTAATAATAAAAATGTTCATATAACTCAATTATCAATTACTCCTCAAGTTAATATATTAAAATCATTAAGGAATAATATTTTTAGTTACTCTCCATCTGTAGGAAGTCGTTCTACTGTAAGTTTTCAAATATTAGTGGATATAAAATCTTCCTTTGATGTAATAACTAAAAATTCATATCTTAAAGCTTGCATTTTAGTGAATCAATACTCAATAAATAGTGAACCTATTTGTCATTGTGGTTTTGCAGCTATTTATAATGAAACTTCAGATAACTTTGTATCAAAAATGGCATTAGTACCAGATTCAAATGAACTTTGCAAAAGTATTCTACAAATAGCAACAATAAATCTCCAACTGTTACAAACTACAGAACCAGAAGTGATAACTACCCCAGTTGAAACAATTACTTTTGAGAAAGCTATAAATAGTCATTTTTATAGATATATATATTTGCTAATCTTATCACTAGGAGCTAGTCTCCTTAGTTTAACTATTCAAATGATTAGAAAATCATTTCCAAAGTCTAATAATGATATGATCTCGGATATTAACCCAAATATTGGGGAATCTTCTGTTGAGGCTAAATCAAAAACTATTGTGGAGTTAACTATGGTAAATGTGGTAGATAACTTCCATACTTCTATGAAATGTGACAACTTAAAAATAGTCTTAGAGCCTACAGATATTGAAAATTTGCCAACAGAAGTTAAAAATTCCGATAAATAATTATTATATCCCAAATATGAATATTTACATATATCATAGGAACTAACTTTCAGTGCTTTTTCTAATTTCCACTAAACTAATTTAAGAGTTATACGCACCGTTGTTTAAAATCGCTTGCACCTATTGTGGCGCGTTATTTTGTCTCTATCTGACACTTCTACAACTGAATATTTTAATTTTAGTCATGGATAAAGAGATAGTTGATGATTTTGGCAGACATCTCTATGAGTTAGAACAGTTAAAGGAATTAGATCCTGAGTTTCACAAATATTTGGAGGAAAACCATAAAGAGTTACTTAATCCTACTTTTGAGGAAGAGCAGGGTGAAGAGCATGATATAGATAAGGATTTAAATGAAAATAATAGGACAATAATACTTTCAAAAGATAGGTTTGAGATTATTAAAGCAGATGCTCTATCAAAAAAGTTATTTCATGGCTTTTCAGTACTGATTTCATGTTTTAGGTCTGTAGCTAACTTGAATACTATAACGAAATATGAAGAATGGGAAAGTGAAAATAATTCAAGCAATAATGAATTTAATAAGACTAAAGGAGAACTTCCCTCAGAGAAGAAATTTAAGTCAAAAAAAAGAAGGTTAGAAGATGCAGTACAGACCAATAAGATACAAGAGAAATTTAAGTTAGAATCTAAACAGGTAACAAGTAACTTTCAAATAGAAGATCCTGAATTGATGGTAGAGGTTATTGAAGTAATTATGTCAAATATAGCTGATTTACTTTTATATCATGCTTCTAAAACTGTAAAAACTTCTGAAACTCATTTTAATAATGAATTACAAAATATAGCAGTACATAAACTTGCTAGGTGGAGACGTGTTGAAGGTCTAAATCGCATATTTTGGCAAGATACATATTCCCTAATTTTGAAACAGTGTGTAAATCCTGAAATTAATATTGATTTGATATCAAAAATATTACATGAACTATCCAAGTTCAGCTTGCTAAGATGGCTCTTACCCAACAAAAATCAAACTCTAAACTTTACAAATATTCTATCACGCATTTGGACTATGAATAAACACTTGGTATTAAGATCAGAGAGCTTTACTGTGCTAAAGTCGATTAATTATTTACTCCAGAATACTCAATTTTCAGAATTTGAGTTTAAACAGCACAGAAGAGGTTTTCGAATATATGAGGAAAAAGAAGCTCAAACCATTGCTATTGCAAGGCATGAACAATTCCTTATGTCATTATATAGAGTTATAGGAATTACGACACTTAGAGGGGTGTCTTGGAAGAATTTCAAGGCTGTTAATCAAGCAATAGAAGACTTCGTTATTCTTCTATGCAATTCGGATGTTAATCAAGTCTATCGTTTTGCCTATTCTAGCATAAGACATCTAGGTCTTTCGATAAGAATTTTATTTCTAAAGTTATCTCGTATGAAAAAACTAGAGAAGAAGCCAAAGAAAAAGCTGGTAGAGGAAACTATTCCTAATGTTTACAACTGGAAGTTTATCTTCTATTCAAGAATTTGGATAAAAGCAATTGGACAGATTGCAGACTTAAATCCCTTAGTATATCCCTTAACAACATTACTTGCCGCAACAATTAAAATTAAAACAATGTCAATTACATTCCTACCATTTTGTTTACACTGCTGTATGGGACTTGTTGAACTTTCAAAGAATTCTAAAACCTTTATTCCTTTATTCAATACTTTACTTGAACTACACCAAGTTCTAGCTAAAAGTTCAATTCAAACACGCTCTACATTTAAAAAGGATATATTAAAGCAAGCTAGAAAAAGTAAACCTAGTTCTTCAGCTTTAAAAACATCCAATAAACCATATTGTGTAGAATTCGAGTTCAAAATATCTTCGAACCAACAGAAGTATGAACAAGTCATTCATGAGGTTCAAGAATATTGGATCTACATATTGACCTACTATTTAACTACAGTAGCTCTTAACCCAGCTTTCCCTGAATTTTCATTCCTAATTTTGAGTAATTTAAGGAAATTAATTAAAAATCAAAGTAGACATTGGGGTGAAGAATCTTTAAAGAATGCAAAGCAGCTTGTTTTAGTAACTGAAGAGACTTGTGAAGTAATTCGCAGTAAGCGTATACAACTATCTTTAAATACAGATATTAATTACTATTCAAATGCATCTAGTAAACAATTCTTGGATTCCAGCTCACTTAGCTTTGAAGTTTTTGATTATGGAGACAATCCTCTTATTAGACATTTCGAGACTTTATCTAGTCAAAGAGCATTATCTATTATTAAGAGAATTGAAATATTTACAACTAAGACTAAGTCACTTCCAATTACTATTGGAAATGAAGATATAGAAATGAAGACTCTGTTAGCCGAATTAAACAAAGTCGGCAAATCAGTCCAAGATTTAAAATATATGGGACCAAGACAACTCAAGAAGCTAAAGCAAAAAATAAGGGGTTCTATTGATAAATCTCTTGAGACTATTACCTCCCAAACACAAGACTGTGTAGTACCTATAAACATAACACTAAATTTCAATAAAAAATCAATGTTCACTCAAGATACAAGTGTAATTCAAAATCAACAATTTTCGAAACTCTCCTCATCATCTATTGGAGGAGACAACTGTCCTGTAATAAAAGATGATCAACCAATTTCCACTTCAAAGTTTAAAAGTGAATATAATCAATTCAGTTTGGATAACAATAACCCAATATCTATCTTAAAAACGAATTTCCAATGCGATGACACAGTAGAGTATTTATATTTTAGCTCAGATGAGAATTAGCACATAGATATATAGCTAAAAAATCCTTTAAAAGTTTCCATTTAATATTCACAAAAAAAGTAAAAACTATTGTTAATTTGTACTTAGGAATTTTAAAAGTAAGCTCTCCATTGCTTAGATATCTGAAGAAACCATATACAATAATACTAAATCTCGAAATACCTAGATAATTTAATATTATGATGGGAATAAAAGTGCACTTTATTAATAGCAGAAAGTGAATATCCGATATAATAAACTAAGGTTACCATATTACCAATTCTTACAATCCAAAATTATTGAAATCAAAATTCAGTATGTCTTATTTAAGCGTTGGCTGCAAATAGAATTAACTGCATTTCTAAATTCTTCCTCTTTAGCAGGAAATAATTCAACATACTGATCTTCAATAAGAACAAAATTCTTGCTTTTAAGAGCTTTATATGCATCTTCATGAGTTGCAAATTTTATATAAAATTGACCAAATTGCTTTGTACTAGATATTCCAGAAGTAATAGGAACAATTGCGGTAACTTGACATCCACCAAAAAAAGATACAAAATCAGCCTCAGTATTACAGAAATGTAAACCCTTTACCCTTAGAGTATCAAAGTTTCGTTGAATGTGTCGAGATTTACCTTTATTAAGAGACATAGCTGATTTTTTAAAAGAATGGACCTCCTGATAAGAAGAGATAAAGACTTCTATATATCGCTTTCCTATTACTCGTCTATTGAGAACTCTTTGTACCTCGTTGAGGTTACACCATTCAGGCAAAACTACACAGGCTTCCCCAGAAGGTCGTGAATTTGTGGTGTACCCTAGAAAAACATTATCTACTGAAATATTCCTAACACCTGCAGTTTCGAAAAATTGTACAATTTCAAATTCCGTTGTAGACCAGGGAAGTCCTCTAAGGCGTAGTACAGGTCTATTTACATATTCAGAATCCTGATCTAACAATGGATTAGATAAAAAGCGAATTTTATCAGATAATTTTTGAAAAATTTCATTACTCTTCTTGCACTCCAAGAAATCTCCATAAGATGATGGTAATACCTCAATCCAACGTTTTCCCATCCTATTTCCATGTAATTGTGAAATGCATACCTTCATATCATCCTTAGAAGATAGCACTACATAAGCTTCTCCTGACATTCTATTATCACTACCATATGACATAATTATATTCTTAAAAGGCACATTACAAACTGGACTTAAGAAAAGTGCAATATCTCCTATATTTGTTTTCCAAGGTAAGCCTCTAAGGCGAATAACGGGCCGTGTTATAATATTAGATATAGCAGATACATGATTTGCCAAATTGCAGTCTACTCTAGTTAAATCTAATGTATTCTGTAAAGAAAAATTAACATTATAAGGTTCCTTTATAAGTAGTAAAACAATCTTTGCAATTAATCTGCAGCAAAGTCTGCTTGTTTTAAGTGATCCAGAATCATCATTGGATAAAGTAGTATCCCTTATTATTCCCAAATTTACTGCTACACGGCAAATTTTCGGAAATATCTCCAAATCAGCATCTAAATTTTTAGGATAGAAATTATAGAAATTAATTTTGATAAATTTATCCATATCTATAGCACCAATAAGCTTTGATCTTAGGCTATTAGGACAATACTTCATATTGGGATACATTCGATCAAAATCATCTATACCAAGTAATTTCTGGATTTTTAGAATATTCCACCCAATAAGTGTCACATTCATTCTCTTATCCATTTCTGAGCAGCAACATTCATCCAGATAATTACAACAGTACAATAGAGATCCAAGTAAAATGTGAATTTGACTAAGATTAAATATTGGCAAATCATTCAGTTTCCCATTCATATTGTTAGATTCAATCCAAGGCTTACAATATAAAAGATAGTTTGGAGATAGAGATTTTGTCTCTAAAATAGCTAAAAAACCATTTTCATTTAAAATTGAAAGAGAACAAATATCAATAGATACCCAGGAGACATGAATTATAAATTGTAAATTCTTCCCATCTTCCATTGATATACGTACTTCATCAAAAGAATCCCTTCGAGATATAGGATACAAGGTACTACTTAAAGAACTTTGAGATAATTTATTAGGAGGCTGCTGTACACACCACAATTCACAATTTAATATGAGCAGTTGTTCAAACTTAAACGATGCTTTCAGATATTTCCATTCACAATCCATTCGATACAGTTATACACAACAAGACATAAACATAGAAAAACAATTCCATTCAATTTATAACAAACAACATAGAAGAAAAATAATATTCCTGCCTATGGACCTAACAGTCTCGTTATATTGGGCGGGTTCCGCCATAAAAAGATCTTTTATATATATTTCAATAACTTGACAGTGGAATCTCAAATAAAAGAAAAAAGTCAACTTAGTTGCATAACAGTAAAACACTTGTTGGTTCAAGGCCTGTTTCACTAAAATCTGCAATAGTTTCAGTAATCTGAGACTCAGATCTATAAACTTCTATATATTCACCTTGTAATCTAGTGATCTTTATAGATGGATATTTACAAATAAGTGAGTATTGTGTTTGTGGAAGTTGACCTTTCAAAGCTAACTCCTTATCAAGCCACAAAAAGAGAATATGTATGCTCTGATCAGGGAGAAATCTGCGAGATACAGAGGAACCATCCTTAAGTTTGACCCTAATTTGAAATATATCTGATTGTACTAAGTCTGGTTCTTGAGGGAGTGATATTGATGCTGCAAAATCAATTGATGATTGAAATAGAGCCTTTTTAAGATCGTCATCTTCATTGGTATATTGTGAAAGTTGAGCAGATTCAAAATTTATATTGGAAGATAGAGTATTACCTCCAGATGTTGGCCAATTGTGCTTAGTAATTTGATTAGGAGTGTTATAAAGAAAACTCCTTGAGTCTAAAGTTTGATCTAGTGCTAAATTTAAATTTCTATCATTCTCAGCAACTTTATTTCTATGTAGTAATTCAATTTCTTGCTTTGAAAGATAAAATTGCTTTGTTTTGTCAGCAATTGGTCTGATAAAGGGATCTGGTTCCTTTAAGAAGCTATTTTGATTTGACTTATTTTTAACTACAAATACACTCTTCCCAGAAAATACATAATTTTGTAAAAATTGAGTAACTGAAGTATATTCCATCTTAATTGGAGCTGCTTTAAGACTATCCAAATTAAACCAAATACCTCCTACAGATCTTACACAGAACCAGTGTTCAGAAGTATTAATAATATAACCACAAGATAGAGAAGGGCATATTACATCATATTGGACTTCAGGATTAGCTGCTGGTAGACATATGTAACCAAAGCGTTGCAAACATTCTTGAAGTACCATGATCGAGAAGAAGCCATCATCTGCCACATTCTCAGAAGCATAGTAACTTCTAGACTTTAGTAGTTTACTTTCTAGCTCATCAATTTCATGAGCAATGTTTGAAAGAAACATTTCATCTACGAAGGGACCTTGTAACAGACTATTAATACAATGTAAAGCACACATTCTATCCATGCCTTGTTTTTCCCAATAAACTATCGCTGGAAAGTTACTTTTAGCTGCCTCATCCATATTTCAGTTGTCAATTTTCAAAACTCCACATACTAATTGATAATGTTATGTTATTATTTAATTTCTTTTGAAGTCTCTGGAATACCCAGGATAATATTAGTTATTGGAAAATTAAACTTAAGTAATTATATTTTTAAGAAACTTAGGAAAATAGCCGCCAATATGGGCGCTAAATATCTTTGTGGGCTTAAATTGAAGTAACCCCACGAATATAAAGTAGAAGTTAGTCAGGGAGAAGCGTGAAAAAGAAGATTTTGGAAATTGATCTTAAATATGAATATTGAAGAAGAGAGTCATAATCAATTGAAAGAAGAATCTATGCCTACTGTAAAATCCGAGACAGTTGAGAAGAGGCGTGCACCAAATAGGTTGGTTGTAGATGATGCAATAAATGATGACAATTCAGTGGTATGTCTAAGTCCACAGAAAATGGAACAATTGAAACTATTCAGAGGTGATACAGTACTTTTAAGAGGTAAAAAGCGTAGAGATACGATCTGCATTGTGTTAGTAGATCCTGATTTAGATGAAGGGAAGATCCGCATGAATAAAGTTGTTAGGAAGAATTTGAGAGTTCGACTAGGTGATACAATATCTGTATTAGAATGTGGAGATGTTCCTTATGGTAAGAGGATCCATGTTTTACCTTTTGATGATTGCTTGGAGGGTATTACAGGAAATCTTTTCGATACATACTTGAAGCCCTATTTTTTAGAGGCTTATCGTCCTGTTAAGAAGGGAGACGTGTTTCTAGTTAGAAGTGGATTCAGAGCTTTAGAATTTAAAGTTGTTGGTGTGGATCCAGAAGATTATTGTATTGTAGCTCCTGACACTATTATTCATTGTGAGGGGGATCCAATTAAACGTGAAGATGAAGAGCGTTTGGATGATATTGGTTATGATGACATTGGAGGTTGTAGAAAGCAGATGGCTCAAATCCGTGAGATGATTGAATTGCCTTTACGTCACCCAGGATTATTTAAGACTTTGGGTGTTAAACCTCCCCGTGGGGTTTTATTATATGGTCCTCCAGGATCTGGGAAGACTCTTATTGCAAGAGCTGTAGCAAATGAGACAGGGGCCTTTTTCTTCCTTATTAATGGTCCTGAAGTAATGTCTAAAATGGCTGGTGAGGCTGAAGGAAATCTTAGGAGAGCTTTTGAGGAGGCAGAGAAAAATTCTCCAGCTATAATTTTTATAGATGAGATAGATTCTATTGCTCCAAAACGTGAGAAAACCCATGGTGAGGTTGAAAGGCGTGTAGTGTCACAGCTATTAACCTTGATGGATGGTTTAAAGGGAAGAGGTCAAGTAGTTGTCATAGCAGCTACAAATCGTCCCAATTCAATTGATGCAGCCTTACGTCGTTTTGGTCGTTTTGATCGTGAGATTGATATTGGAGTTCCTGATGACAATGGACGTTTGGAAATTATCCGAATCCATACGAGGAATATGAAGTTGGCCAAAGATGTAAAATTAGATGATATTGCAGCTAATACTCACGGATTTGTTGGTGCTGATTTAGCTCAACTCTGTACAGAAGCTGCTTTATGTTGTATTCGTGAGAAAATGGATATCATAGATATGGAAGATGATAATATCGATGCAACTATTTTGGATTCAATGGCTGTTAGCCAAGATCATTTTAATACAGCCTTAGGTGTATGCAATCCTTCATCATTACGTGAAACTGTTGTGGAAGTTCCAAATGTGAAGTGGGATGATATTGGTGGTCTAGAGGATGTTAAGAGAAATTTGCAAGAAATGATATTGTATCCAATTGAACATCCTGAGAAGTTTGAAAAGTTTGGGATGAGTCCTTCTCGTGGGGTTTTGTTTTATGGCCCTCCTGGTTGTGGTAAAACACTGTTAGCTAAGGCAGTAGCATCGGAGTGTTCTGCAAATTTTATATCTGTTAAAGGTCCTGAATTATTAACATTATGGTTTGGTGAGAGTGAGGCAAATGTACGTGAGGTTTTTGATAAAGCTCGTGCAGCTGCTCCATGTGTCTTGTTCTTTGATGAACTTGATAGTATTGGTACCCAGAGAGGAAATAGTATTGGAGATGCAGGAGGAGCTGGAGATAGAGTTATGAATCAGCTCTTAACAGAAATTGATGGTGTAGGTGTTAAAAAAAACTTATTCTTTATTGGTGCTACTAATAGACCTGAGATCTTGGATGAAGCCTTGCTACGTCCTGGAAGATTAGATCAATTGATATATATTCCACTACCAGATTTACCAGCTAGGATATCTGTATTACAGGCAATTTTACGAAAATCTCCAATATCGAAAAATGTACCAATATCATTCCTTGCTCAGAAGACAGAAGGTTTTTCAGGTGCAGATTTAGCTGAGCTGTGTCAGAGAGCCGCAAAGGCAGCTATTAGAGACGCAATTTCTGCAGAAGAACTTAGAAAGTCGGCCGGTGAAGATGCTATGGCAGTTGAGGATGAAGAGTTTGTATATGAAATTGGTAGGAAACATTTTGAAGAAGCGTTTGCTGGTGCTAGGAGATCTGTAAGCATTGCTGATCTTGCGAAGTATGATCAATTTAGGATGAAATTTGATCCTGTTTATGTTACTCAGTCTGGTGGAGAAGGTGTCACTGTTGATTGGCCTGATAGTACTCACACGCAATTCTCAGTGCCAATTGATGATGATAACGATCTATATTCATAAATACATATTTAATGTAAACCGAAATCAAATAAAGTGCACAGGAGACGAAACTTGTGGAGTGTTAAGGGATATAATCAGAAATAAATATTAGCTATCCAAGAAATACATAAGATTCTCTTATTTCCAAGATATAATGTTTTATTTTTATTTTTAGAATTCCATCATATTAATCATCAATTATTTTCTGTCTTTATTTCTTGTATTTATTCCTAATTTTAACTTAAATCAATAATAATCTCAACTTTTGGGATACCACATATAATAGAAAATTTGCTAAGAAACTATGTGAAGTATTTAAGATTGTTAGGTTAACTTTTTCTTTTTGGAAGTGAAAATATTTTGGATTTTTTTAAGTAGTAGTTTAATTACAAAGATATTAGAAATTCGTTGATTTAAGAAAGTTGCTGATGATTTAAGAAACATGGTAAAATGGTCGGCTAGCTTGCATCAAGGTCAATTGAGCTGCTAATATTCTAGTATATTTTGGGCTTTCTCTGATTGATTAAATGAGTATAGCTAATTAAATATGGAATTTTAAATTCTTAAATTCTCTATATATTTAATAAATAGGTGATCTCAAAAATAACCTACATAACCTGCTACTTCATTCTATTGCACAAGATCATTAATATTAGTGAAATTTTGGATGTTGACATATCCTAAAAGGTGTAAATAATTTGTTTGCGCAATATTAGCCGAATTAGTGGAGTCCTAACTTTTGTCTTATTCTGTAAGTTTTATGTTTCTAAATTATCTACACTTTAAGGAAACCTCTCTGTATAATCACTAATTTACTTTATTATAAATATACTCAAGTTCTTTTATAGCTATCTAATAACTAGAATTATAGTTATATGACTTATTTATTGTCAGATTTTGTTTGAAGTATAAGGAATATTATTTGTAACTAATGAAATCTACATTCAGTAAATTCACACTAAGCTTATCCACCCTAACAACGCACAATTCACCCGCTTTATTCATTTATAAACACTTATGCAAGTTAACAGGGAATCTCTATACCACAAACATTAACTTAGATCTTTTAAAATTTCCCTCAAATTTATAAAATAGGATCTTATTGGGTATACCCAGTATCTAAAGATAAATGAGAATACAATTTGGGACCTAAAGTATTTAAGGATTAGGGGAACAATAATAACCCACTATTTTCCACCTTGAAAATAATTAGATTTCTAATAATAAAAGAAAAACTCCTTTTATAGAATTTACAAGTAACTTTTTTTTGATTTAGTAATTATTGTATCTGATAAAATATTTGGAGCAATAACATAGAATATTTCAGGATAAATTCTAAAACTAAATTTCTACGTGGCATCATTTTACAACCCGCTCTTACAAATTTCTACAGGTTGGGTCATAAATAACTTTAAACTTTAGAGATTGTATGAATTTATTATACTTCCACACCTTTGAAATATAATAACTAGAATATCAAAGTCTAAGATTAGAAAGGAATTCAGCTGAGAATTTTTTTATGAGTGTGCACTAGCAACGTGTGACTGAATTTTACTACTAGTAATCCCTGGAGTGACAATCTGAAAAAATATCCTGCCTATGAATTTAATACGCAGGAAAATTTCATTTAAAAAGAAAAAGGATTTAAAATCTAAAAAGGCTTTAGTAAATTGTGAAGGTTTCAAGATCTCCACTGATACTGAGGATCAAATCTTATATAGATTTCTACAAGGAACAACACCTTTAATAGAGGAATCTCAAATAAATAGAAAGTTTTCTGGTTTAGAACAGAATATATTGTATAAAGATACCCCAAGAAGGTCTAAATCTGTGTTATTAACTGCTAGGTCAGTTTGTTCAAAGATTCCTTCACATTTAGTAAAGGGAGATATAAATAGTGGAAATAACAGCCCAAATTGTATAGATTCCATGCCATCCACACCTTGTAATAAACTATCTAGTGAAGATAGCTTTATGAGTACTTTTGGAAATGAAGTGGATCTTGAAAGAGATTTTAAAAACTTAGCAAGTACAAAAGTGACTGAATATGAATCCAAAAGTACTGATGGACTAAATGAAAAAGAGAGAAGAAGTGTAAAAGATAATGATAAGAAGTGTGGAATAACTCCAGAATATCCTAAACAAGCTATAGAAAGACGCAAGTTTCTACCAGTGCCAAAGAGCACTGCAAGATTTTCACTTCTTTCTATGATGCGACAAGTATTTGGTAAAGATCTATCCCGTATTTCAATGCCTATTTGTTTAAATGAGCCCCTGTCATTTATTCAACGTCTAGCTGAAGATTTAGAATATCATTATTTGTTGGAGATAGCTAGCAAGAGTAAAAGTTGTACTGAAAGGATGGCATATGTCACTGTATTTGCATCTACTGCCTTTTCATCATCATTTCAACGTTTATCAAAGCCTTTTAATCCTATATTAGGTGAAACATATGAGTTAACTCACAGAGGTTTCCGATATATTGCTGAGCAAGTAGTTCATCATCCACCAATTGCAGCCTATCATGCAGAATCCAACAATAAAGATTGGAAATATTGGGGAACTGTCTGGTCTGAGATGTCATTTGGTCCAAATAGCTTGACTATTCAACCTCAGGGTCTAATCCACCTATCTTTAAAAACATGCGATGGAATTGAGACTTACCATTGGAGAAGACCAAAATGTATTGCTCATAATATAATATTTGGAAGTACTTGGTTAGAATGGGTTGGTGATACTATTGTTGAGTGTGATCAAAATACTTGTATAGGCAAGGTATCTTTTATGACAGATACTAGTGGAATTTATTTATGGTCTAGAAATGCTGATGCAACAAGTAAGAGGCGAAATATTGTTGCTGGTTCTGTATACAATGAAGAGAATCATCGTATTTATGCTATAGATGGATTAACAGATTCGGAAATAAAGCTTACAAATTTGAAGACTTACCCTGAGAATTTAGATAGAACACGAAGTGGTAATGCAAAATCTGAAAGTCGTTCATTGATAAAAAGGGCATCCTTAACATCACCAAGTATCCCTTCGGTTTTATCAAAGACAGTTTGGAAATGCAATCCTCAACCTAATGGAAATAAAAATTCTGCCAATTATTACTTTACATATATGGCACTAGAGCTTAATGAAATTACACCAGATTACGACCCGAATTGTGGAGCTAATATCCCACGAACAGATAGCCGATTTAGACCAGATCAACGCTTATATGAGAATGGTGATATTGATGGGGCTCAACTTATAAAATCTAAGCTTGAAGATGAGCAACGAAAACGAGAACGAACAGGGAATTCTGCAAAACCTCAGTGGTTTACTAGGGATAAACTTCTAACAAGAAGTAAATTTGAAAATCAATCTAGTAGGATATCTTCATCTTTATCAGGTGATCTCATGGAATTTGAGTGGAATTTTGTAGGAGAATATTGGGATATAAAAGAAAATAGCAGCTTCCGAGCTATTGAAGAAGTTGACATTTTTCATTTAGGCAATTAACAAAAAAAAAAAGAAAAAAAACAAATAGAAAACACATACAGGTCTTAAATTTTACAAAAATATGAATTGAAACTTACAAATTATAGAAGGCAAAGAGTGATTGTCATTAATTGGAGAATTATTAAGTGAGTTTATTATAATTAAAATGAAGTATTTCCTAAGTAATTTTCACCATTAGATCATAAAATATATCATGAAATTCTTAATGCCAATCTTTAGATTATTATATTTCATATTATTTTCTGGGATAAATATTTTATTAATATGACTAAATTCCTACAAATTTAGATATACATTTCAAATATTTAATGGATCAGTAAATAACTGATATTATTTGGGGGGTTTCCAAGTTTTAGTCATCAAGACACTACAATATGTTAGTTATGTTGGAATTATACTTCTAATTATCATTTAACATAATCCTTACTATTTCTTAAGTATTAATTTAGCAATGGTCATTATTGAATATATAAATAGCAAGGAATAAACTCTTCTAAAAAAAAAAAAAGAAAGACCTTAGCTTTATTTAAATCTCAGACATATTTCTGTTCTACTGAAAGCTAATTGGATTTCAAAATCATTTGGGACTATGGAATGTAATTGTTTAATATATCATATCTACTATACTTTGTTTATTTCACAACCTTTTATTTTCCTAGGCAGAACTCTGATTTATTTTCTAAACTACTAAATTTCGCTACTCAAATTGACTTGAATTGTTATATTTTCTTAACAAGGAAGTTCTTTACCCTATACAAGTTGGGATGGTTTGCTATTTATGGAACTTTATGGGATACAGTACTTTTGTTTTTAAAACGTTATATTTATTAAATTTTGAAACGAAATCTTATATAAAGAGACTAATCATTAACTCAGTAGTTTGTATATTAACTTACAATGCTTTTTTTTTCTTTTTCTACTCTTACACAAAAGTAAAATTTAGTCAGCTGTGTATTAAAGTCTCCTTTTAAATATTTCCAGATATAATAAAGGCCTAATTAATATTATTTGGAAGATAATCTGGTTTGTTGAAATTAAGATATAATAGAATTATTATTTGTTTTGTAAGTCAACAAATTCCAAGTTGTAAGATTCTTAATCTCAGAAGGCGTAGAACGCTTGCCTGTTAACCAATCATAGAGATCTAAAGTTTCATTTCGTAGTAATAGATCAAACTCTTTTAGTTGAATACATGAAAGTTCGTCCAGGTAATTATCAGAAAAATTCTTAAATATAATGTCTAGCTCTTTCAGACCTGTGTTACAACAACGATGCCTGAGTTTTTGTCGTTGAGTATTAGGAGCTTGGTAACACTTATGTAATATATTGGTTAAAAATGTCTGCCTTATATTTTTAATAAAATGATGAGGATTTTTAAAACTTTTCTGTAACAGCTGAATCTTGAACATCTTCTTCTTCAAATCCAATAAATTAAAGGAATATGCATCAAGCGCGTATTTGTTTTCTTTTTTAAGAGATACTGAAAATTAGAGCTTTTTACCAACTAGATAATTTATAACTAAGATGACTAAGTGTTCACCCAAAAATATAAAGCGAGAACCAGAAAGCCAGTTATTAATAACTGATATATTTATTTCTAATAATAAGGGAAAGGCAACTGTAAAGAAAACTAGATGCCAAGAGACTAATACTGACACAGATCATTCAATAGAAGCCCACCGTAACTTAGCTTCAAAATGTCTAAAATATGTTGGGGCACACGTAAGTGCTGCAGGGGGAGCTGATAAAAGTATAGAGAATATGGTGAAAATTGCTGGTCAATCGCTTGCTCTATTTTTAAAGTCATCTCGATCTTGGAATGCCCCCCCTTTACAAAAAAGCACTATAGACAAGTTTAGGGAGAATTGTAAAATTTACAATATTGACTATGGAAAATTTTGTTTACCCCATGGATCATACTTGATTAATTTAGGAAATCCAGATGAAGAAAAACGATCGAGAATGTTTTCAGCGTTTGTAGATGAATTGCAAAGATGTGAATCTCTTGGGATTAGAATGTACAACTTTCACCCTGGATCTACTGTTGGAAAGTGTTCAAAAAAAGAAAGTATTAAATATATTTCTGATTGCATTAATGAAGCTCATAGCAGAACTGACTTTGTAATAACAGTCTTAGAAAATTGTGCAGAACCTAAATGCGTAGGATATAAATTTAAGGAATTATCAGACATCATTGAATTAGTTAAAGACAAGAAACGAGTTGGTGTTTGTTTAGATACCTGTCATCTTTTTGCTGCAGGCTATGATGTACGCACTAAAGACAGCTTTGATTCTGTAATGAAAGATTTTGAGGAAACAGTTGGAATGGAATATCTTTGTGCAATGCATTTGAATGATTCTAAAGGTCAACTCGGAAGTGGTCTTGATAGACACGAAAATCTCGGGCTAGGGAATATTGGCATGGAGTGCTTTGAATTCATAATGAATGATCATAGGTTTAATAATATTCCCTTAATATTGGAAACACCTGATGTTAATAATGATGAGAAGATATACAAGAAAGAAATATCAATGCTATATGACCTTGTAGAAATTTCTAAGTAAATAATATAATTAATAAAAAAGATTTGGAGTGCAGAAATTGAGTTTGGAAGAGCTATATTTTAAAATTATTATAGGTAGTATACTTTGGTTTGTTTATGGGACAAACCTTAAAAAAGATCACAAGTATATTAATAGGTCACGTTATTATCCTAGTAAATTATTATATATTTAATATGTTAATATTTTCACTAAGTATATGTCCATTATTATTTACAATCTAAAAACTGTATGTTGAACTAGTTCATGTAAAGTACCTAATTATCAGTTTGTTGCGACTGTGGCGCATGTGGTATTTGAGACGAGACGATATTATAAGAAAAGTAACTGTCTGTCTCGTAGCTCTTTGCCGGTATTTCTCTTGAGGAAGAAAGGTCACTTGGTTTTCTTTTCTTTTCGACACGATTATGCAGGTATGTTTACTCTCAGATGAAATCTTAGCATCTACAATAGTTTGTAGCTAAGTCCACTTTTATTTTATTTGAATTACTAATATCCCTTTTGTGGCTTATTTAGAATATTGAGGGTAAGATCGTTGACTTATATATCCCACGCAAATGTTCAGCAACAAAGCGTCTAATTGCAGCAAAAGAACATGGTGCTGTACAGATTGATGTTGCTGTTGTTGATGATGAAGGTGTAGCTACAGGTCAAGTAGTGAGTTTTGCTATTTCTGGAGCAGTGCGACAACGTGGAGAAAGTGATGGATGTTTAAACCGTTTGTTTCATGAAAAACAACTTTTGAGTTTCTCAAGATAGCTAAATAGGACTTCTTAAGATTTTGACAACATCTAGGTATTTAGATAAATTCCTTAAAATACTAATATTTTGAATTAACTGTATTTCTGTATGCAGTCAAGTAATTTCATACGATGTTTAGAACTATTACAAAGTAACTAATTCGAAGAGTTAATCTCCTCTTTTGAAACCTTTATTGTCTTCCTTTTGTATAGTAGTAGTACTGCAATATGGTAGTCAGATCTTCCACCTGAAAGATCTGTATCTTTTACTCTTACTTTGGTCACTTTGTCATCATCAAATTTTATTAGATATTCTGGATCATCATAACAATGTCTCCAAGCAACATAGTGTCCACTATCTGCTGTACGCCCTTGATGAGTTACAGTGCATTCTAATTCATAAAAACCAGTTGGATATTCAGCAATATTTACATTAGTATTGGATTCAGCTATTTCCCTCTGTAATGTTTCTCCCCTACTATCGAATATATCACGACTTACTTTAAGGGATTGTTTAAGTTCAGGACTACAGAATTCAAAAAGATCTAGAATTTGAGAAAATTGAATTTTACGACAAACTTTAGCTCTAGTTGCTTCTGTCCTAGCAATTTCACTGGATTTCTTCCACTCAAAACGAACTAGGTGAACAATTAAATAGTGAGGAAGTGAATTAATCTCCGATAATTTGTGATAAATAGAATTAGATCCAAGTGAAGCCGAGAACTTTTCAATTGTTTCATCCATGGATACTCGAATACCCTGGGCCAAATGATCAACAGGACTTAGCTGAGTTCCCATGTGACACACAAGTTTATAATGATCTTCATTTTTTATTTCTCCTTCAGACTCTACTTCAACATTCTTTAACCTACTCACAATACTAAACCTAAATAAATCCTTAAAAGTCAGTCCATTAGAATCTTTACTCGTAAGTTCGTTGTTTAATAGAGTAATTAAACATCCCAAAACTTCCTCAGCATCCTGTTGCTGGTAAACTCCCAAGGGTCCTGATCGTGTGCTAAATTGAGGAAACTGTCTACGAAACAAGTCTATAAAATGAGTTGGTATAACACTCTCTGAACTTCCATCCATTTCAATCATTAGAGACCTTAGTGTATCAAGAAATCTTTGGGTATCTGTACTTGAATACTGTAGAAAGTTGCTATTTTTTAATTGTTCCAAAAAGTTTGGAACACTTCTCAACATATGAATTATGGAATTCAAATAACAAGTGTTTCCAAGATTTGCTAACCCTACAGGTAATGGCATTATTTGTTCCTGATGTAAAATTTTGGCTCTCTCTTCTACTGTAAGATCTTCAAAGAAAACAGTTTGATTAGTTGGAGCACGCAACTCATTGCCTTCAGATGTTCCCACTAACATTATCTTGGCTCCATCTTTCAATCCTAACTTTGAAAGATTGGAATTGTCTTTCAGCAGGCCACATGGTGACATTAATTTTTGTCGTTCAGGAGGAACACCAGTCAAAGTCCATAACTGGTGCTTAAATACTTCAACAGAATCAACTAATGAAAGTTCAATATCATTGAATATTGATGAATTCCACTTTACAACAACTTTAATGGAATCTCTCATTTTCCCAGATGTGTAGATGCTATTGCACAATTTTACTCAGAGAATATACCATCTTTGTTTTTAGCGCGCTATAACTGGCGCTTAAAGATGCACAATAGCTGTAGAATCTCCTTTAGAAAGGGCTTTTAATACTATCTAAACAAGTCTTTGAATCTGATTTTAAATAAGATGATAAACTTCACACAAGTGCTTTTTGGGATAACCTATTTAATTAGTGCCTTATTTTCTTTATTTTTGGCTATTATACCGATAATATGGTCCCTTATAGTATCTCTGATCTCTAAAGATTCTGACTTTGTGTTGGGATGTATAAAATGTCAAACAAACCCGGAATACTTTTTTAATAAAGTTATATGGATCACAGGTCCATCTTCTGGAATTGGTAAGGCAATTGTATTAGATCTAGCTAGAATATCTCTAACTTATAAGAAAGAAATATATCTTATCTTATCTGCTCGTAATATTGAACCTTTAAAATCTTTGAAGGACCATTTAATCACTGAATACCAATTTACTGAAGAAAATATACAAATATTACTAATGGATTTAGGCGATTTAACTCAAATTGATAATAAAGTGATATATGCAAAGAACTGGAAGGGTAAAATAGATATCCTATTTAACAATGCAGGTTTACGTCAAAAAAGTATACTTGAAGATTTTGAGAGTGATTACGAGATATTGAGTGTTAATGGACTTGGATGTATGAAATTAGCAAAAAAGGTGCTACTCAAATGTTTTATACCCCAAAAGTCAGGTCATTTAGTAAATACTAATAGTATTCAAGGTTATGTAGCTCTTCCTGGTCGATGTGCCTATGGAGCAAGTAAACGAGCTTGTTTAGGGTATTTCGACTCATTGAAATATGAACTATCTAGTTTAAATTGGGAAGAATATTCTAAGTTGTATTTAAAGGAAAACAATAATGAAAATTTAAGTATTTATGATAAACCAAATATAGTTATTACAAATCTATTTCCAGGCTATATTCAAACAGATATTGATAAACGTGCAATTTACATCTCTGAAAAGTCTATAAATTTGGAATACAAAAAACAGAAAGGGTTGAAATCTAGTAGATGCTCTGAATTGATTATCAGAGCTGTAAGTAATAGAATTGAAGAAGCCTGGATAGCTAAACCACCTGAACTTATTTTTATGTATTTAACTTACTATTCACCAAGTTTCAGTTCATTAATGATGAGTTTTATGGCTAAAAGTTTTACAAAACAAACATGGGAGATCCAAAAATTATCTATGACTAATATTTAAATTTGCCATTATTTCATATTTATATTATTCATAATCCTTTCAAATATTTTTGAAATTTTATATTATAATCTCAAAGTGTAATTTGATTCAACCCCTGTTTGACTCAAACATTTTGTATAATTATTGCTCAAAAATCATTTTAAATTGTTATTTCAATATGAATTTATAAATTAATATAAATCTACTAAAGCTAATATTAAATTATTAAAAGCTAAAAATAATAGTACTTGTTTAAAAACGTTTTTAATCTAAATATAAAATTTAATGCTTGACTACTTTTTTTAGGTTATTATTATTGTGAATATTATTAGACATAAAATAATAATAATTCATAAAACTAAGATCTTGTATATTAAATCTATTGAAAATCTATTAACTATATAAAATATAAGAATTCTGAGACTAATTGAAAAGTTCCTAAATATATTGCAAACATATGCTTAATATTTATTAAATACATATATATTCCAAAGTAATATATCTTTAGTCAGTTCTTTTTTTATTTTGACTAATTTTAATAATATTGACTATAATAAGTTATTTCATTTCTAATATATATTGTAATATATTGATATATATATACTAAGTTAATGCAGATTACCTTACATTATAATTATTGAAAATAACTTCAAATATTTTATAGTTTTGATATATTTTATTAGATAAAATGTGACGTTTTATTAATGCTAAAATATGTATAAAAGTTATATTTTAATTTAAATAGCTATTAAAGAACATAAATAAATATTTCGAACTACAGAAATCTAGGAAACTTGGATTTAAGTTATCCCTATTAATATATTGTAAATATACTAAATTGATTATTTAAAAATAGTTATATTTCAGGAATACAGTATGTAATAAAATAATATTGTGATTCTCCTCTTTTATATTACTAAAATTCATGATAATAATTTTAGTTTTTATGTAATAAGTATTCTTTTTTTTTGAATAAAATAAAAATACTATTATATGATCACAACTGTTTTAACAGAATCTTTTGATATTTATTTAGAACTTTATATTTCATATATATGGAACTTAAAGTGGGTTGAGAATACCAACTATTTACATTGTATCTAATTAAAGATCATATTTAAGTAATGGATTAAATAGATGAATACTAAAAAAAAATCGTGAATATTTCATTATTTAAAACTTTAATTAGCTCTATATATAAACTTTTGACTAATTTAACGAACACTTTTACAAGGCCACTTTCAATTAACATATAACATAGTTTTGATATATTAGTAAGAAATCAAATTTTATTACAAGTCACGAAAATCTTGAATATTAAATAACTTTGGGTGAATATAACTTATCATACTGAAAGAAAATAGCTAATCAAAGTAAAGTATACGACTAAGTATTATAAAAAAAAAATTAATTCATAGGTTAATTTCAACTTTTTAATTATTACAAACAAAGAGTTCTATTACTCTTAAAGAATTATGATATTAACTATATGGAATAATGTATTAACCTAAGTAATATATATTTATATTATTAATAATCAAAATATTTCCAAAAATTAATAAATTTTATACTTTTCACATTACTATGGGGTCAAATTTTTGATAAGAATATATAAAGTAATAGTGCAAGACTATATTAAAGGTATCAGCTACGTTATATGTTAGTAAGAACAAGTACAAATTTATAAAATACCTTATAACCTAATAAAATATAGAAATATTATATCTATTCTCCAATTTATAACTCAGATACTATTCTATTAGAAGTAATAGTAATATTAATTGGTTGATGTTTACTTATTATAATATAATTAAACAAATTCGCAGCTCTATTTTCTTCTGGTGATATCTCACTATCAGTATAGATCATATGTGCAGCTAATTTACCACCTGTTTTAGGGAATTCAGAAGGAAGCATAACACCTGCAATTGGAGCTTGCCCTGGAAATGCAGGCATTGCTCCTAAAACAAATCCCGCACCTCCATACATTCCAGGAACTATTATATTTCCCAAGTCTGAAGTATTTGGTAAAATAAATAAATACTATATATATTAATATGAATATTAAATAAATATGTTACAACTTACTGTTCTCAGAAATAAATTCTTGAGCTATATTATGTAATAGTGCCAATGTTTTGTTACCATGTGGATTATGATCCATCCTTGTTTGTCTTATTCCATGTTCTACACTAAGCTTTTTTTGTTTTTCACTTATAAGCTCCAAAGGAACACCATTCATACCATATATTACCAATTCAGGATTATCACGGCCAGCTATAGCGTTTGGAACCTTTGAAAGAGTCTCTTTATGAACCTAATTATAGTAGAAAATACAAATCCACATATTATTTAAAGTGGCAAATTAGTTTGGCTTACCTGTAACATATGAACAGTTAATCCTGTTGCAGTATCAAGTTTCCTGTTGCAATGGAGACATTTCAAATGTTTTGCCTTTTGGTGTTGTATAAGAACTTTTTCATCACTAAATTCACGATTACAGTAATAGCAGAATGGTTTAGTTTCCATTCCTCTCCTTTTTTTTCTTCCCATTATAAGAAATCAGTATAGATAGATAAAATTCTCCGTAGTTTTTTCTAAAAATAAGTCTATATTTGACCCGCATAGGCGCCATTATAATTTACTGCACCTTTGCTGTGTGACAGAAATTTTTTTTTTCTTTTTTTTTGAGTAGCTTAGTATAAAACCAGTATACCTACATTATAAATATATTTAGAATACAATACATGGGGTTTGATGTTTATAGTTGTGATTTAAATTGCAAACTTTTTTTAAGATTATCTTATATTAAGTATACTCATAACGACATCTGATAATACTAAACAATTTGAATTTTTCTATAAAATCTATTTATAGTGAATAGCAGGTGTGTATCCGAATATTATATATGATTAATATGTTAACATAGGCCCTATTTCGTGCTTTTAAGTATATAAGATGCAGTATCCGCATGCAGTAAGCGTGGTCGAGACTAATATTTGCTATTTTATAAATATTACTAAGAAAAAAAAGATTTGTTTAATTAATAATGCCTTATGAGCTAATTATACTCGTTATTGTCTTTATTTTTAGCCTGGATGTACTAGAAATTGTACAAATATCTGCTAAAGACGATAGTGGAGTTGAATTCCCTCCATCATGGCACTTTTTTGAAAATCACTACAACTTTGATGATTACAAATTCGGATTTACTCTACCTAATACAAAGAAATTTTATGTTAAGCATAATTATAAGATCGATTTTAACTTAGTCTACTTTCCTCTTATTTCTAGAGAGTATGAGTTAGATCAACAAATAAGCCACTTTTTAAGTGCTCCAGTTCAACTTGAATATTTCCATACATATGAAAGAATAGTGAATTCTTACAGAGTTAAAGAGTTAAGTACTTATCAACGAAAATTCCATATATGTTATAGGCAGCCAAATACCTTCAAATCTGCAAGTACTGTGAAATTACCATTATACACAATAGAACTTAAATTCGCTGGTAACTTAGGAAAAGGTAAGTTTTTGGTAAATTTCAACACTGTAGGATTATGGGTATGGAGTCCAGATTATACTATTAACTCAACTGTTGAGTTAAAAAGAGTAGGGGCTGATAGGATTATTTACAATAGCAGTACTCCAGAAATTGATTGCATAGCTGAAGGCTCACTAAAAAAGATAAATGTTTCAATAGAATACCTATATTCAAAAATAAACCTCTCAACTATAAATATAGAAATGCCAACTGTTATGGTTTATTCAGCATCTCCTTTTTTAAATTCTTTTTTAAAAAATAATAGGCTTGATGGGATTTTAGGGATTGGAAATAGAGTAAATCCTAAGTCATCTTACAAGATTATACAGCCACCAGGACTATTTCCTTTAATAGCAAATTACTTAGGTCCAAAAAGACATAAATTTGCATTAACATATAACTGTAATAAACCAATAGAAAATTCAAATTTACAAACTTTAATACTTAATGTAGCTAACAAGGATGTTATTTTGGACTATTCCAATACTAGGACAAATATGTCCCGATACAAGATAGAAGTTAAAATTGGAAACCAAACAATTCAAGCTAGTAATATTTTGTTTGAAATTAATTTTAGTACTAATGGAACTATCATACCAGTATATAGACATAAACAGATCTTGAAATTTCTTAGTAATATTGCCACTAGATTTGGTCATACCTGTACAAGTAAAGAAAGTTTTTTTGGCCAAGTAATATCTTGTGATTGTGGCATTTTTAAAAGTCAAATAGCAATGACAATAGAGATAAAAAAAAATTTATTTGAAAAATATACACTAGACTTAAGAGACTTTTTACTCTCAGAAAAAAAAGAATTATTTAATTCTGGAAGTGAAATAAATGATTTTCAAACCTGTGAATTGAATATCTTTTCAGCAAAGCGGTATACAAAACTTTACGAGAAATGGATATTTGGAAATGTTTTATGTAATTCAAAAGATATAAATTTATTTTCCCAAGATTCATATGAAGAAAAATGGGATATTGGGTATCCAGTCTTATTATCATACAAGGACTTGATCTGTATAACTTTAACTGATATAATAACAGATTTACCTCCTAATCTAAATTCCAATGAAATAACAACGCTCATTGCCACTGTTGTTTTATTAGTACTTCTGTTTATATGTCTTAGAGTCTGCTATCATACTGGGCACCATGTAAGGCGAAGACTTTCATCTAGATATGCTAGTAATATGAGGCCTATTATAACATCTCCAGTGCGTGTCTCTACAATAAATCGTGTCTCTAGTAATGAATCATTTCATCAAAATCATAGTCACACTAACTATAATCGCTGAAAAATTTTAAATTATGAGGATCTTTTTATTATTTTGTAAAACTTCATTGAAATAGAGGTATACCAATGTAATATTTCCCGCCTTTAACGATATCTAGAATGGATTGACTGCTTTAGGTATTTAAATCCTTATAATGGACTTCCAATCACTTGGACTACTTCCATGGATTCAGGAAACATGTGACTCTCTTAAAATGCATTCTCCTACTGTAATTCAGCAGAAAACAATTCCATATATACTAAAGGGTCGCAATGTAGTTGGCAATGCTCCTACAGGTAGTGGTAAAACTGCCTGTTATTGCTTCCCAATGCTTCAACAGTTAGCAGATGATCCATTTTCAATATTTGGCTTGGTACTTTTACCTTCTAGAGAACTTACATATCAAGTTCTTGATCAATTTGAAGTCTTTGGTAACAAGGTGAATGCCAGATGCCAAGTTGTAACTGGAGGTTTTGACGAGTCTCAACAAATTCATTTGATTGATAAGAGACGTCCACACATTTTGATTGCTACTCCTGGAAGGTTGGCATCTATTATAAAGCACCCTAGTAAGTTACTTGAGGGGTTCTTGAGTAGGCTCAAAATCTTAGTTTTGGATGAAGCAGATCGTTTATTAGGTGAATCTCTAGAAGTAGATATGGTATCAATTTTATCTTGCTTACCTAAGTCAGACCAAGGTCGCCAGACTTTATTATTTTCTGCTACTCTTACAAGAGCTATTAATGATTTGAATGAGATGTCATATTTAAATATCTCGGAAGTAAAATGTCCACAACAATTACCTATGATTATAATAGATGACAATCCAGAAGAGACTCCACTTAAAAATATCAAACAATTATATTTATTTCTAAATCATCGTATAAGACTAATATACTTACATTACATATTATCAAATGTAAAAAATTTCATTATTGAACGAAATTCAGCCCTAGAATCATCTGAAAAGAATGATTCAATTGAGGACTCTGAGGAAATTTTAAATTTTACACTAAAGAATAACATGCAATATTTTAAGACTCAAAATACTCCTATTTCTCAATCCAAAACTCAAGGTATAATATTCACAGCTACCAAACAACAATGTCAATTACTTACATCCACTCTAGAATTCATGGGATATCCTGTAACTGGGCTACACAGTCTTATGAATCAGAAGAGAAGACTGGCATCTTTGGGTAAATTTAGAAACCATACATGCAAATTACTAGTTGCAACTGGTGTAGCTTCTAGAGGATTGGATATTCCAGATGTAGGATTCGTTATAAATTTTGATTTTCCAAGATCATTTGAAGATTATATTCATCGTATTGGACGTACAGGGCGTGCAGGTAAAGAAGGTGTTGTACTATCATTTATTACACAGGCTGATGTTCCCTATGTCAAGTATACTGAGAATAGAATGAATACTGAACTGGAACTTCTAAATTTAAATGAAGATGAAGTTTTGGAACTCATGCCTTTTGTTACTACTGTTCAACAGAAAGCCTTGTTACTGTTAGATGAAATAGGGTTCAATGACAAGGTAAAGGAGACAAAAAAACGCAAATTGAAGGTTATAAAGACTAAAAATAAGCAGAAGATCACTGTTTGAAGTAAATATAGATTTAATTGTGAATCTTTATGTCAAATAATCATCATTTCATACTTTGAGGTTTTTAATTGTACAATGGTACTTCCGCCTATTTATTCCGCTTATGTACAATTTCATTTACAAGAATTTTTCGGATAGTTTATGAATAAGAAGCAACATTATGTAAATTTCCAACTTAAATAAATGGAAATACAGCCTTTAACTGACACAAATGTAATTGGTGATTTTAAGGAATTTTCTGAGAAAATAGATAGTCTTGCAAAGTATGAGATTTCAGAATTATTAAATATTTGCAATGAAATATGTTCTTTACTATTACAAATAGATGATCATGGACTTGAAAAATTTATAAAATATTGGATTAAGAATTTTGGAAGGTGTGACCAAATAGTTAATATTTTAACTTATATAGTGGTCTTATCTACTGGAGATAAAGACGATTATTGTACAAAATTTATTGAGAAACTTAGCTCAATGAGTACTAATTTGACTTATAGAAAGTTAATTATTCAGCTTGTACCATGCTTTTTATGGACATATATTACAAGATGTTTTTGTCCAATAGAATCTATTCCACAGTACCACTTTTTTCCTATAAGAGGCCCTGTAGATATATTAAAGAAAAATTATATCCAGGAAAATGACAATATACGTCCAGAATTCAAATTTATAGAATATATTCTGTTAAATCTTTGTCAATTCTCTATAGATTGTAGTGAGAAGTACTCTTTAGGAATACAGAATTATGATACATCTATAAATATAATTCAAAATTATCCCTCGAAAATGAAGTTGCAAAAAGTGGAAACTGGAGTTAGAAATACCTTTAGATTTCAAGAATATATACTTAAGCATCCAGATAAGTTTCCAGAGACACCCAAAGATCAAGTAGAACTTATTCACTTAACTATATCAAATTTACTTATCCCAAACTTAGCTAACTACTGCACTGTATCAATATGGATCACTATACTTCTCTGTGAATCATTATCAGATAGGAGTATTATTCCACTTTATATTGAAACTTTGAACTTATATCCGAAATTTAATATGAAAAGCTCTGGAGTTTTTTCTAATATCCGAATACCTTTATCAGAAGAAATACTGATTAATATATCAAAAACACTATGTAAATGCCTATATATTGCAATCCAGCGTAAAATCAAAGATAAAGATATCAAGATTAAACTCTGTTGCAAGGTTAAAGAAACTATAGAGACTATAGTGAGACGTTCTATCTGTGAGATGATGCCACAATGTGCAGCATTTGCATCAAACTGTAGTACCTTGATTAGACCAATATTGGATGATATATCTAAAATTTAGCAAATTATGACTATCTACTTAACTAACTTCTAAAACTAAAATTCAAAACTAAAATTCAACTTGAATGAGGATTCTTTCCTTTTCTCTTCTTTGGTGCTACCACTTCTCCACTTATCAGTTCAATCATTTTATTGTCTTTATTAGAACTAGTAAAAGCAAAAGACCTTAATTTCTTTGAGAACATCTCAAAGCTAAATAAAGACTTAACTCTTTCTTCACAGGCATATTCCCAGACTTTCTTCTTTTTTGGATCTCTCCTAATTTCCAATAAATTGTTCATAGCAGAGGCAAATTCAGAGGCATTATGACTGCATAAATATCCCGTTACCTCATTTACAATAGATTCCATTGGACCTCCAGTATCGCTAGCAATTACTGGGGTTCCTACAGACATTGATTCGCAAGGAACAATACCGAAATGTTCATTTTCTGGTGTATAAATTGTTCCACAACAACGACGAAGTAAGGACCATCTGAAATCATCACCAATATTCCTTAAAAAGATTACAACTTGAGTTGAATTCTTATTGGTTGACTCATATATTTTCTTTGAATCTATAAAAGTTGTTAAATCAAGCGACTTCGCCTCAGACACTAACTCATCAAAGTGTTCAATATTTTCTCTCAAGTACTTGTCATAACCTCCAGACATTATCAAACAGGTATTATCTTCTATTTCATATTTTTTCCCAAGTACTTCAAATGCACGTAAAGCTAGAGTTAAATTTTTACTGCGTGCATAACGATTTATTGAGATAAAGACTGGAACTTCAAGATCTTCGGATATAATTGGAATATTAGCTTTTTTCAAACATTCTATTGACTCTTCTTTTGGTGGTATTTGTTCTAGGTCAACAGGAGGATACAAAACTTCAGGATATCTCACAGTTGGTGGTAAATGTTTTGATTCTTCAAACGATGGGAAGCATCCCATATATGCTTGTCTAGTGAAAATTGAGTTTACAAATACTAAATCAGCATACTTCATCCCAAATTCTTCTAAATAATTAAATGTATCTCTATATAACTTCGATATACCACTATAAGTACGATGGGAAAGTAGCTTATCGGGAAAATGACAGTAAAATATCAATTTATGTGTCATTAACTTTAATAAAGGATTTACCATACTAACTTGATCATTATATATTACATCATAGTAATTAGAAAGTGAACTTAAACTTTTGCAGTCTAAGAAGGCAGAGAAAAGAAGATAGAGGCACAAATAGATCATTCGTATACTAGAACAGAAGGCAATCCCAACTCCAAATATTGACGATGGAATAAAATTTCCGCAAACCTTCACATTAAGAGATCCATCAACCGTTGGTTTAAAAGCATAAGATGGATCATGCCTCGTTGTATATATTGTGAGGTCTACATTTGGGTCTTTCTCACACCCTTTACCTGGCATTCTAGACAGTGCTAGACTAGATAGAACAGTCAGTTGTTCTCCTCCCCCAATACCAAGATCAAGATGCAAAACTGCTACACGACGTTTTTTTGCTACCATTTTTCCTTAGAAACGTGATTTTTATTGTCTTCAAGTATTGAAAACTTCAAACTTTTGAAAAGGATTTAGAGGATAAACCGCTCTTTTGTAGATACTGGTATCACCAATATTATATTGTGAGACGTTTTTCGTGTCTCCTAAACTCTGAGACACTTGAGTTTGAGTGTTATGGGTGAATAATTCTAATTTGAAGTATTTTCTATGGGATCATCAAATATTTTTGTGCACTATATGTGTGTCTTAAGATGGTTTCTTACAAAACTCACTGTAATATTTATATTATATTTCAATATTTTGGTAGAATTGCAATTTACATTAGGGATAACACACCATTCTGGTGAAAGTTTGGGTAGTAACCGAAATAATAACTGGGGATTAATAGTATCAACATCTCGATATTGGTTCAATTATAGGCACACAGCAAATGCACTGAGTTTTTATAGACTTTTGAAGGACTTCGGAATTCCAGATGAACGTATAATCTTAATGCTTGCAGAAGATACAGCCTGTAATCCTCGTAACTGCTTCCCAGGGGAAATTTTTGTTGAAACCAGTAATAGTAGGAATCTATATAACTCTTTAAATCAAATTAGGAGTCATATGAATTATATTGAAATTGACTACAAAGGACAACAAGTTAACGTTGAGAATTTTTTGCGAGTCCTTCTTAATAAACATGAGAGACATACCCCTAAACACAAAAGACTTTTAACGGACTTTAATTCTAACATATTTATGTTCTTGACTGGCCACGGAGGTGAGGAATTTCTGAAGTTTCAAGATTATGAGGAAATAACCTCCCAGGACATTTCCTATGCTTTGGAATTAATGCAACTTCAAAATCGCTACAAACGTATTTTAATTTTTTCAGATACTTGCCAAGCTGCAACTTTACATAAAAGATTTTATTCGAAGGGGGTTATTTCTTTGGGATGTTCAAGTATTAATGAGAATTCTTATAGCCACCATTTTGATCGTGATATCGGAGTAGCTGTAATAGATAGGTTTTCTTATTACAGTATTAATTTGTTTAGAAATATTGGTTCTAAAGCTTTTTTGTCTATTCCTCAATTTGTGAAATTTCTACATAGTAGAGAGCTATTATCTCAACCTGAATTAAAATATGACATTTCTGATTTATCTATTAAAGACATATCTATTATGGAATTTATATCAAGTTCAAACATCATAAAGATGCAAAATAAACATAGCTATGAATCAAATAATACTTTGGAAGAGATGTTAGAAATAAAAAGCGAGATTGTGAATTCATGTTATTTCTACTCGGAAATATATAAAGTGCAGAACACTAAGGATCAGATTAATTCAGGTGAAATGAACAGGTGTATATATATAGATCCAATCATATCAGGTATAAGAAACATCGCAAAGTCTATGTCAAAATTCAATAGAAGTAACGAAGTAAGCTACCCAAGAACTAAAAATTATCTGATGAGTAGTTTAAGTACCTTATCAGGAATACTAGTCACTTTTTTATTCTGTAAAGTTGCATTAGTAACTACAAATATAGAAAAACTACCCTATTAATATTTGATACTGTTTGTATATATCTCTAAATATTCCTAATTTACTTTTCGTGTTGATATATTGTACTTTCAGGGGAATGAAGGTACACTCACATCTGTAGGTGTATCTGGAATTGATGTTGTCTCGTCTGATATTATCTTTGATATTTCTAGTGCTTCTGTCTTCTCTGATTCTACTTGCAAGAAATCATAGCCAAATTCACTTAACTTTGTTTTGTAAGGTTTAAAGATATTAAGTATCCTGCTTCTTGTTTCCATAATTTTAAATGAAACTATATTATCAATGAAATTTAAATAAGTATCTTGAAGTCCAAAATATGGAATTAAGAAGGCTATAAGTGAAGTAATCTTTACTAATATAAAGACTGGAAATACTGCATTAATAAAAGGTTCAATTGTATTTAATATAAGACCATTATAAATTGTTACAGTCAAGAAGAAAATAAGCCAAACTCTTATAGAATGACGATCAGATCTGGACATTGCATCAACAGCTAGTATTGATGGAATGATTATACTAACAATAGTTATCACAAATGAATATACAGTAGATACTACCATCATTATTATCTCCAAATTTATAGAAATAGACAAAGTCCCAAGTTCTGTTGTACTCAGATTGTGAAACTCGCAGAAAGTATACTTAGCAAATGTTAGAGTCATATTACCGCTTAATTTAGTATCTTCTAACCAGTATGCAGGGGTACCGGAGCCGTGACATTTTAAATAAATAAAGCTTTACTAAATTAGGGATAAACACAAAATAACAAATGGCAATAAAGCTAAGTAGGAAGCGAAAATTACACCGAGTTTGTCGTCGTACAAAGAACCAGAGACGTTTGTATGTGAACTTGGAGAAACAAATAAGGGATAAAGCGGTCAGATCTCGATGGTCAAATAGAAAAACAGTATCACAAAACTTAGAGGTAAGTAGTTTTCTATATTCAAATATCTCATCTAAATAAAAGCTTACTTATTTTGGAATGTAGACAATTCATATAAGTGATATACTTAAGGAAATTCCAGAATCTACATTTGTAAGTACGCCTAAGAAACTTGGAGAACGTGAGCATGATATTATTCAGAGATTATATGAAAAATATGGCAATGATGTGATATCTATGTCTCGAGACATGCGCAGAAATCCCTATCAATGGAATTCTAATCAATGCGAAAAACGATTAAAGATCTACAAGGCTTTGTAAATTTTTCTATTTAGATGACTTAGTTGAAAATATTCTCGTAGCTATATCATTAACAATCCATTCTATACCCTCATTTAATCCATCTCCTTGAACTGCACAACAAGGTTGAATTCTCCAATTTCTAGATTTAATGCTTTCTAGATTCAGTGCCTATTTTAAGCTTTAAAGTATTAACAAGAATTAGAATAGAAGTTAGAATTCACATACCTGTGATATTTCTTCTACATTCAAGGCATTTGGCAGATCTTGTTTATTAGCTAGAACTAACAAGGAAACTCCAGATAATCTTTCTTCTACTAGCAATTGTTGAAGTTCATTACTACATGTGTCAAATCTCTCTAAATTAGTAGAGTCTACCACCCAAATTATTCCATCTGTGCACTCAAAATAATTTCTCCAATAACTCCTAATAGTTTTTTGTCCACCAATATCCCAAGTATTTAGACGATAAGAACCATATACAAGTGTTTTAATATTGAATCCTAATGTAGGCTGTATAATAGACACGTCTTCACCAGCAAATTTTCGAACAAACGTAGTCTTACCAGCATTATCTAACCCAAGTACAAGTACTCTTATTTCCCGATCTTTCATACGTGTCTTCCTTATTACCTGCAATAAAACCATTTTTTGTATTTTCTCATGCTTGTTACTTGCCTGTAAATATATACAGCCATTGCGCCAACTACCATTTTAATGAAGAAGATTGTGGCCCAGAAATGGGAGCAAAGTCACTACGTAAAACTGGTAATTGAATTTCATATATTGCACTCATATCATCTATATGCTTTAAATATTTATATAATTCCAATACAATTGGAAGACTTTCTGGAGTGACCACACGTATATTATAGTCTTTACTATTTGTATTATGAAGAAGTGCACTTATACTTTGGAGGAATTGAACCCTTTGTTTATATTTATCTCCTTCTGAATCATTCTGAGATAAATAATCCAATTTTAAACTTTGGCCACCACCACTAGTGCATCCAGAAGGACACGCCATAATCTCTAAATAGTGAAATGTATCTTTTGCAGATTTCTGAGGTACCTCCGTGGAATCTTCTTTTCTCCTTATATCTAATTTCTTAACAACTCCTTGTATAGCCCTAAACCCATTAACAATACCAAACTTTAGTTTCACCTCATTTTTAATTTTAAAACATATTTGTAGGATACCAGAATTATCATGTGTATACTCTAGTGTAGTATCTTTGGGTATTTCAACATTAAATAATTCCATTACTGAACTTCTAAATATATATTCGCAATAACCTCCAGAACCAGAATTATAATATGATGGTAATAACCAAGTATTATTTCGTTTACCATTAATTATATCGCTACAGGTTGCTTGAATACATTTTAAATCAGCGGAGTTTTCTATAGTTAAATCGCTTATTTCATTATTTTGACCTACTGAAGAGTTCATATTTATAATAAAATCTAAGTCAAGCCACAAATTATCAAGATCTCTCTTAGGTATATCCAAAAGTGAATTGAAACCACTTGACTTTATAAGATCTTGAATTTCAACTGTAGCTAGGACTGTATCAACTTCAAGAATATCTGAATTTATAGTAGATGTTGGCAGATAGCTTCTAACAGATTCCAACTTTTTATCATAGCAAGGAGCAATACAAACATGATATAATTCGTGTTGTTCAACAAAATCAAACTGTTCAGCAATTTGTTTAATTTTCATTGAATATGACCATATTTGTTTCCATTTATATAGTAAGACCTTTGAATTATGAGCAAAACATGTCAAATTTTTAACTAATACCCCTTGTATCTGTTGAGATGAACGTACCCTACTTAACATTGGAATTACTGATGGATCCAAAGTTTTTTCAGCATAACATACCCATCCAGGACAATGGGAAACAATTACTGGTATATTCTGGCCATCTTTATATTTATACCTAAAAATAAACTCCTCTTTGGCTTCCAAAAGACTTACAAACTCTGACAAGGTGCTATTTATGACATACTTTGCACCTAGATACTTAAATAGCCCACACAGTCTCATCATCGCTTCTACAGGATGTATATTCAATAAAGAAGCAAAAGCAGCACAAGATTGATTACATATAGATACTATAGTTAATTTTTTGAGTTTCACATTCTTCAAAAACTCATTAGTATTATGATGTTGCAGTAGTATGGTCTCAGCTGCTGTAACGCATCCACTACATGTTAAACAGTCTACAACATTTACTGTAGCGGCATATTTAGATCCATCTTTAGATATATAAGCTTCATTATATCGGGAGTTAGTATCATTATACTCTTCTTGTCTTTTCTTCTTGTAACTTGACTGCTTAATTAGGTCTGGTTTTATAGATGTATTCCCTGATGATAGTAAAGGTTTAACGCAATCTTGAGTTAACTGTAAGAAATCATCAAGATCTCCAATCTTTAAAGCAGTAGAGAACATTAAATGTTATGAAATCCCCAAATTATCAGCTTGATAAGAAGAAGCTTAAAATATTGAAACTTCAACTCAGTTAAAAAAACATTTACCGCTTTTTGATAATTAAAAGTGGAATTAGTGCATTTCACTAACATACTAATATAAACCTTTTTTAAACTAATCTAGACCCAATTTTGATATTTAAACTCCAAAATAAACTAAAAATTAATTTTTGTTTTAAAATATTTGTATCTAAATCCCTATTACTTATGCATTCATTTTGGCCCTTTCAATAGGTTCAAAGACAGAAACAAATTTTTCTATTGGACAGAAGTTACCATTACCCCAATCGCAAGATTCTACCCTTACTTGAAGACGACCACGAAGTACACGTAACTGGACTTGAGTTGTACCAAATAAATAAATAGTACTGCTAACTTTGGACCACCTAACAAGTGAACTCCTAGAATTGTGAAAGTCTGCCAACTGAATATCTACGGGCTCAGGATTTGAGGGGAGACGATATAAATAAGCAGGCTTTCCAGGTGGTATCCCAGCTTTTCTGAGAGCTGATTCTGCCGAAAATTCGTGAATATTTGAAAACATTGCTGATTGTTTTTCGGCTACCTGTAACTTTGCTGTCCTAGGCTCCATTTTCTGTAGCATGTTCTTCTCAGTATTTGTCATATGTTTTAAATAATCAGTTTCAGTATCTGAAGTAGTATTATGTTCATATTCATCTTCACTATCTAATTTATTTAGATTATTTTTATTTGCATTATGATTATTATTTTCTGCAGTTGAATTAGTATTAATCATATCTTGATAGAGTTGTTGATATTTTTGAAGAAGTAATATTTCATTTTCCAACTCAGTATTTTTTTGTTCTAAAGAAGAAATCTTTTTAGTTTGTATTTCTACTAAATGCCTGAGTCTTCCAACCTCCTCCTCTAATTGCCTAGACACATATGAACTTAACACTTTGCTTGAAGATTCATTAAAACTTGCCGTACAATTTCTCATATTTGGTGGAGAAGCAGATGGGTGACGCTCATGGTAATAATTAGGGGGAATAGATGTTTGACGAGAAGGGCCCAAAGCTACTCCTCTATTAAGAGAGTCTGTTAAAGATCCAAGGGCAGAATTTTGCATAGATAACATCTTCAATTTGTTCACTTTTGCTACATGAGTTGGAGTTGGTTCTATTCCATTCCTTTGTTGCTGATTTTGTTGTCCAATTAATTCTGTATTGTTAACATTTAATTGATTATTAGATTTACCAGATATTGTAGGTGTCTTAGGGAAGTTTGGATTATTTAATTTTCTTATCTCAGAAGTATTATGCCTATAATTTGCTTGCTGTTGATTATAACTATCTAACTGTTGATATGACAGTGTTCTATTTTCTAAATCTGGTGTTGCATTTACTCCATATTCAAACTTATTTAATTCATTATTCGTACGTTGTTTAGAACGAATTGGTGGTGGAGTTGTAGATCTACTAGCCACAGTTCTTGAAAATGGGCCTCTAGTTATACTTCGTGATCTCCCCTCTCGCATCATCATATGCTGAGTTGGTATTTGATTTGGATGTATTACACCAGGATGCATTACTCTACTATTCATATAGTTCATGTAAGAAGGTGTTGGAGGAGTGCATGGTATAGAATACTGATTTGGTGTTTGATAATTATACAACATTTTAAATCAGTTGAAGTATTTTGTTCTCAGTGATATCCAAATATTTTAGATTTATAAACTAATCTTGATAGATCTAATATATCCAAAAAAATTAGGATTCAATATCTTTTTCTAACATTATAATTTTCAAAATTAATTTACACAACAGACATAGACATTGTGTGATGCTTTTATTTACCATACATTGATTCTTCACACAATTAACTTTTGGCAAAGCAGAATATTACAGTAAAATTTTGAATTTATCTAATTAATCTTGAAATAATTTGAATTGGGTGATATTTATTTTACAGAAATCTTGATATATCAGGTGACGTGTTAAATTTCTGTACATGCAATATTACTTTACTGTATATTGTAATTAATTTAGTTTAATATCCTTTATGTAAAACAAGAGAATAAAGAACTACACAATTTAATAATTTCAAGGTATATATTTATTTAATTTTACAAAGATATAAAGATCTTAGAAATAACAAAAATACAAACATGTCGGAAATTATATCTAGTAAATTAGTAAAAAGCAAGGGTAGGAATTTTAAGTAAATCATGTTCCACCCTTGATTAAACTAGAAGCCATTCTATTAGACTTTGTACTCGAATTCTTAGGTTTCTGATTAGCTGATGGACCAAATCTAGTTCCAGTTAGATATTTATTGTGATTCTTATTTGAGCTATTGGCTGACTGTATACTGTAGGTTTTTGTAACATTTGCAACACTAGGTACTATTTTACTTGTTTTCTTGACAGGACTTTTATTAACATTTGTTGATGGTTTATCTATATATGATTCATTAAATTGTTCTTCAAAATGATCTCTGGATATTTCAGATATACTTGGTGTGATAGGTCTTGGTAGAGAGTTGATATCATTTGCTGACATTGTATACTCAATATCTTCTGATGAAGCTCCAAAATTTGAAGCTAAAACTTTTAACATTTCTATTTTACTACTTAGATACATATTAGATTCTTTAAATACCTTCAAATCACTTTCTAGAGTTTTAATTTGTTTATTACATTCAATAACCGTATTTGCTAAGGTAGGAGCATTATTACATGTCTCCAGAGTTATAGAAGGCATACTTATTTTCATATTGTGCAAGAAATCTGGTCCTTGTGCAGATAAACCTCTCGTGTAAATTGAATTTCCAAAGGAGTGGTCATTCTGACGTATAATATTCACTGCACCATGATATTCTGAATTCCTGTAAGGAATAGGGAATCCTGATATATTCCTGTTATGCATATTTGGATAAACTAGATCAGTAAAACAAATTGATTCAGGAAAAGAGTTACGAAAAAGTATTCAATATCTGGAGAAAGAAATGGGTGAATTTCTGAAAGTAGGATCACTTCGTGTGTGTGTGATTCAGTCTATATGTAAATTTCTTTAAATTCAGTAACATCAATCATTTGTCCATAATCATTAACAATCCAATGATTGAGCTACAATAATAATTTGTTAAATCAGTAAAATAAAAAATTTGAACTCACTTACCGATTTATCATAACTACTAGTTGTAAACATTTGTCCTAAGTTATGCCATAATACTTTATACTAAAAGTATATCTGAGATGTATACAATTCGAAAAAAGAAATTATTTTCATTAAACACTTACCAATGGTTTAGAAATCTTTAATCTAGACATTTGTATAATTTCTTTTTTATATACATATTCCAGAGTTGTATGAGAAACTTTAGAATCTTCTACATCTTTAGTTCTCCATAATATTATACAACCATCATTATGTACTGTTACAAAACGACTATAATCAATCCAACAAACATAAGGACTCCAACAAATATCTCTAATTATATCACATTCATTTACTTTAATAGTTTCTAGGCATTTCCAAGATTGATCAATATAACTTATAATATAAATAAAATATCCAGAAGCTACAACCATTGTAAGTCCCATATTACTCTCAAAAGGGACCCAGTCCAAATAAGTTGGGATATTTGTTGGTGTTTCAGTCAAAGATTGATATCTTTGCTGATCATCTAAAATAATTATTTCAACATCCCAATTAGATTTAGTAAGGATATTATTACAAGTGAATAACGCAACCTTATTTGATGAGTCACAAGCAGCTAAAATTAGCCCATATTCTGAGGGTGCAAATTTAACATCTGTCACATAACTATTGAATATATTAAAAGATACTACGCATTTCCATGCATAATCTTTACACATCTTTAAGGGTAATTCTTTATTGTCCAAAGTATAATCTTCATTTATTTGTAAACTTCTATTTCTTACAAAGTGATAAGAATCATGATAACCATGTCTAATTTCACTCCATACACAAACAGTTTTATTTGAAAATCCAACAGCAAATATTTGACCAAATTTGTGAGGAGACCAAGAAATTTTTCTGATTGCTCCTAATGTCTCCTCACTACTTAACTCAGCAGTCTTAATCCATTCAAGTAATACCTCACCATATATATTAGATATATGTAATAAATCTAATATGTGGATTCTACATTTCATATCTGCTGCAGCTATCCTATCTCCTATAATTACAAAATTACTCAAAATTTGACCTAAACAGTATAAGTATTATCAACATACCACAGTCATGATGTGCCACTTCCAAAACAAACTCATCTAGATCTTCCAAAACACAAGGAAGACTTAAATCCATTAAATTACAAAATTAACTTAATTTAATAATTTGTAATAATAAAATTAGACTATAGGCAGTTTCTAATCATCACAATCAGCGCCGTATTGCATACAAAGAGTAGTATTACTGTTTAATAGAAAAACAAATAACTTATTCAAACTACTGTGTAATATATTCTAAATGAACCCCACAGTTATTTTTCATTATAAGTTCCTTTTCATGATATTTTTGAATTGTAGGCCTATGGCTTATACTTATATAAGTTAGATCTGGCCTTTTATATAATAGACTATAAAGTTTAGCTTCTGTACCTACATCTAAAGCACTTGTAGCCTCATCCAAAAGGCAAATTGATGGACTGAATATCAAGATCCTTGCAAATGCTAGACGTTGTTGTTCACCAAGCGAAAGTGTAATTGACCAATCTTTAACAACATCAAGAAAGTTGCCATCATCTGTATCTTGAATTCTTGACTTAATATAGGATAGACCAACTTTATCTAGGATATCCACCAAATAACTATCTATATCATTGATATTTTTAAAAGTATTATTATATAAAAAACTATCTAGTTTTAATGGATATAATAATTGATCTCTAAGAGTTGCTATAGTACAGTAAGGCTTCTGAGGAACGAATAATATTTTGTAAGATGGAGGTTTATAGATACTTCCTGAACCATTAAACCATATACCATTTATAGCTCTAAATAAAGATGATTTGCCAACACCTGACTCTCCTGAAATGAGGATCTTTTCACCTGGGTTAATACAGAATGAAACTCCAGAAAAAACTTGTCTACTGAAATCAGGAGTATAAAGATCAATATTGTCTACTTTTAAATAATCTTTATCCCAAATTAAAGATCGTATTCTTCCAGAAATTCCAATATGTTTTGATCCATCATTTTGCTTAACAATAACAAAATAAGGTTTTCTAACTGAATTAAGCAAGATATTTTCTGGATACTTAAAAAGAAATTTGTCTACACTCTTCTCCAATAAATTGTAAAATTTATCTTCTATTTGTAAAACCGATAAATTTATTTCTTTATCTTCAGTTTCTTTGATAATCGATTCACCTATTTTAGCCGATACTGTATCAACATACTCTTTAGCTAGAAGAGAGATGAAGTGACCAATCCTATCAACAGATGAGAAAATAGTACTAATTTCACCAAAGGTATTCACTAATATTGAAATATCATCAATAATATTACGGGATGCAGAACTACCTTGGTTAATTTCACCCATAGTAATAGCTCCAGAGAAGTAATCAGGTGATATAACTACAATGGGGATTATTTTGATAAGGAATTGAAATATAATGTTAAAAAATCCTTGTTTAGTTTCAAGCTTTCGTCTATTTACTAGTGCATCGGTTATTTTCAGTAAAATATCTTTATGATTACTTAATTCATAATCCCATCCCCCATACATAGCTACATTTTCTGCATTTTCCCTAACACGAACTATTGAATATCGAAAATTACTCTCAATATTTCGTTCTTCCACTTTAGCAAGAATAATATCACTTCCCAATTTTACACTAATGTATGTACCTATAGCGGAGTATAATAAAGATACTGTAAATAAACTGATATTAATCTTATATAGAACAACTGAATGTACTAAAAAATCAAAAAAGTTGTCAATAGACCTACATATTAGATGTAGTAAATATGATGCAAATAAGGCAACATCTTCGCCTATACGCTGATCAGGATTATCAAGAGTCTTCTTAATAGCAAACTGATAACAAGTGTTATCAAAGTAGTATTGATCCAAAAATTTCTCAGTGATCCACATTCGCAAATCTGCTTGTAATCTTGATAATATATCAATTTTTATAACATGTATAAGTGCATTGCCTATTAATACTAGCATATATAAAACTAAAGCTCGTTGAAAATCTTCCTTATTTTTTTGCTCAAGAGCTCTCCAAAATTGAATGAGCATTTTTGAAAATAAATAAGATAAAGTAGAGCTTGCAATAAGCAGAATTACAACATATCCTAGTCGATATATAGGAAGTTTCAATTTTCTTATCTTTTTGCAATTCTTATGACAGTATCCATTAGATTTAAAATATTCAATACACAAGATCCAAATCAATTTAAAAGAACCTATAAAGCCTTGATTTTTTGCATAGTTTATTTGTTGTAGTTTAGATAGGTAATCAATAGTATTATTGTTTGATTTCACAAGTGTCTTTGTAATTGAGGGATCATCACTTTCCTCAATACAGGTTGACTGAGTGGTAAAAAAACCTAAACATTCACTTGATCTCTCTTTTGAGACAACAGATTTATTTTTATAAGTCATTAAATATTAATAACTCTTATTTAGAACGTGTAGAATTATTATTGTATTGCGGGGATTTTTCTTCAGTATAATTAGTGACATTTTCTTTAAAAAAAGTGAAATGTATTGGAATATCTTACTATTTACTTAAGACAATACTTGTCTCATTAATAAAAAAAACATATATGTAAATTTTCATATATGAATAGTATCTATATACTGACAATACGAATTTTTTGTGTCTCGTATAATAGCATATCTAAGATTTAACAAGCAGCATAACTAGAAATTAATATTACATGATATTGTGAATATTACTAAATAGCCTTTAAAAATTCATTATTACTAATGAATTAATTCCAAACAAGATAAATATATTAGATAGTTATATAAAGGTCACAAAGGACTAAGTTTTGTTTTCTTATTTTGCTGAAAGTACTTTAGAACAGGGTTAATCAAACTCTCAAATTCAGATTGTATTTTATTGCACCATTCAACAATATCTGAAGTACTTTCATTGTATTTCCTACAATTTCTAAAAACAAGATCTACATCTTCTTTGTATTCATCAATAGAAGAATAAGAGTCTTCCTTTATTTTGTTAACTACAGTACTTAGATCCATAGGTTGAGTTATAAGATCATAGTAACCTGGTGCTTCACTTTCATCTACAGGGTACATAAATGGTCCACTATATGGAAATTCAACTAAGCACTGAGTAATTTTTTTACACATATGTTTCCATCCACGTGATATTACATAATGTTCATCATCACATAATCTCCTAATTTGTACAGAATCAGAAAGTTCACAGCCACGACGTAAAAATCTCTGATATTTTCTAATAATTTCTCTTAATGGAGTTTCAGGAGTAAGTACCTTAATATATCCCATTATTTCATCAAACTGTAGTTTCGAAATTTCAGTGTCAACATCTTGAGGGTTTACTTTCATCATACAGACTGGAACTCCACTACCAAAAAGTATCATGTAAATTTGAGAAATATCCTGTACAATTGATGAATTAAAATAACGACAACTCACAGTAATTGGACTATTAAGTATTATTTGTGAGATAAATATACTGCATTGTTTAATTATATATATAGATTTTTGATCTAAATTTGAGCTTAAATTTGAAGATTCAGAAATTGACCTAATTAAAGGTTCAAATTCACCACTTATTTGAACTAAGGTAAATTGATCAAGAAAACTTGGGAAATCGTGTATTATACCATCAAAAGCATCGGCAAATGCTGACCATAAAAATGAAAGAATTCTCCATGAAGAAGTTTGTTCTGTTCCTATGTATTTCATTTCAGGATTTTTAGTGAGATTTAAATCATTATTTATATTAGATTCTGATTCTTTAAAGTAAAAAGTATCAACTAACTTCAAATGTATGAAGCAGCAAATAGATAGAGTCTTTAAAAAGTTGCTGGGGAAGTTAATAGATGCCTGGAAACTATTTAAATTAATTTGAGCTACTTTCCAAGTACTATAAATTCCAAGACACATTTTAAATGTATAAGAATCTTCTATAAGATATTCGACATTAGAAAAATATGTATTCTTAAATGTTGAGTGTATTAGCTGATGTATCATTAATGGAGTTATTTGCTTAAAAATAACAGAATTAGACTTTTCACTTGAATTAAATACAGCCAAAGTATCTATTATACCTTGTAATGATACATAGAAAAAACTCCTAAGAGCTTGATACACTACTTCATCTGAAGAAGATAATATATATAAAGGAATATCAAGATTACCCTGAAGTGAAGCTTGATATTTCCACCACTTGTTATTGCAAAATTGTAACGGTATATACCACAAAAAGTCTAAATGAGTCCCAAAACGACTTCTAAAGTCGTTAATAAGTATTGGAATAAGGACTGTTGAATGTTTTGCAAATATTCTAAATGACAAGCCAATTAAAGAACTCTTGTAATAATGCTTATGGGAGTTATAAAAGCTTAAATCTTCTAAAATAACACTCCCAAGTATATCAACTAATTTATTAATATGACTTTCTTTGCAAAATTTAAAGTAATTTTGGATTCCTCTTTCTATAATAGCTAATTTTTCAATTCCCATAAGAATATGCACAGTATCTCTCCATTTATCTTTGTTTTTGGAGTTAATAGAAAACTCTAATTGCTCAATAAGTAGGTGAATAGCTCTGATATTTGAGGAATTGGAACAAGAGTCCCACATTAAAGCCAATGATTTAAACAAAAAATGAAGAAGAGTCTTTTCAATTGCTATAAATATTTGAATGGAGCTTTCATTGCATATTTCTATATCATCACTGGATGTATCTTGTGTATTCATAGTTCCTGAATCTTTAGATTTACTATTTTCAGAATTCTGGTTATTTTTAAACTCAGTTTTACAAGTCTCTATCTGACTTATAATTCCATTTATATCATCAATATAGCGTCTAAAGAAAGTAATAACTCCATCTTGAATAACACTTGATTGCCTTGAAAAATCTGAATTAGAACCAAATTTATTATGAAGCTGTATAAGAGATAAAATAATTCTTTGCCTAACAACAATATTCCAATCAAATCTATACAAGCCATTCATTAGTAAATTTAGAATTCTCAAAGCTCTCTCATGAATAATCAACTCATTCCCCAGTTTATGTTTGAGGCGTTCTCGTCCCAAATTGAAGGCAGCTTCCCAATGTCCCACCACACTTGTTTCATTTAGAAATTGCTGATCCCACATACTCCAAGTCTGGGAACGGTGAATTCTAGCTATCCAATATTGATTAGGATCTACTAAAATCCATATCAAAGATTTATTTATGATATTAAAGGAATAATTAGTATCAATTGATACTCTTTGTATATTTCTCATCCAAATATTATCACTATTGGATAATTTGCCTACAAATCTCTTTTGTTGTTGTAAATGTTGTAACAAGGAAACACGAGGAATATCTCCCACTCTAGTCAATGCTGGCTTATTAATTGAATTAGGGACTGAAGATCCAGGATTTGTTGAAGCTGTAGACACAGATGGAGTAGTTGTATCTTTTTTACCACTAGATCGTCCTTTTAATGTATCTAAACGAACTTCTTGAATCATAGGAAGTTGTGGTTCTTTTAGTTCAAATTCCCTTTGTTTAATTTCTTCACTTTGAATAAATGAAATTGATACCAATCCAGGCCAAAACCTGCCTGATCCAACTGACTTTGGAAGACAAGTTGAAATTTCATTGCACAACCATTTTAGTGCAAAATCTGCATCAAAATCTTTGAGATCTTGATTCTGATCAAATTTTGATTCGTACTTTTTATTACTATAAGAGTAGATATATAATAAAGTATTAATATATCCTAGTTGCCAGGCATTGAAACTCCCATTTATGGCTACAGGAAAATTTGCTGATATGCTCAAATTATTATTAACTGGTTTTGATGAACCATTGGTTATTGGAGGACTATTGTTTGAATTATCTATTAGTTTGATATTAGATGCCTTATTATTCTGTTTAGGGCCTCCAAATCGATGATCAACAATATTTGTCCCAAATTGACTGTCATTTAATGTTTTATCTTTTAAGATAGGGTTGAATTTAGTATATAATGAATCATATAGAGGTCCCATACCAAACAAAATTGGTAATTCAAGCCTTCCTACATATCCTAGACCCAAGACAGTCAGAGAAGATTCTCTGTAAATAAAACTATTAGGATCAAAAGGCCATATGAAACTTGGAATCCAATTTGGGATACAACTAATTTTTTGAGTATTCTCATTATTTTCAGTATCTGTCATGTATGCTAATAGGGTACTTGAAGCTTCTATAATGGAGTTATGAAAATTACCCAAGTGTTTATATTGATTATTAGATAGAAAAACATCCTCGTGGTTAGTATCTCGACTACTTTTGTCGCTAGCATACTTTGAATCTTTTATTTTATGTGTTCTACTATTCTTAACTGTATAATCTTTGCCATTTAATATAAAATCACTTGGTTGCAATATATCTTCATAATCAAATTTATTCTCAAATAATTCCTCATATTGAGTGGATCTAAATCTATATACTGATATTAAAGGTATAAAGGAAGATACACCATTCTTTGAAGTCATATTAGGAGGTTGGAGTGGAGTTTGATCAATTAGTATATTTATTGATTCCATTGATTTAGATTTATTAGTAAATTGAACAGCTGAAGTTATTGTAAGATTTGGACATCCCACACCTTCAACCCAAGCTAACCTAAAGGAATTAAGATCATCTTGTATATCAGAAAGTAAATATTGTTCATGCTGGGAAATCTGTGAATTAGCAATTTCCTTTTTAGATTTATGAACAAATTGTTGAAAAATCACAGATACTAAATGACTAAAAAAGTATTGAGTAGTAAAATTTTTGCAATTCCTTCTAAAACCATATTTTGAAATGAATGACTGAATATAATTGTGAAATAATTTTGAGTATCCCTGAGACTCATCTTGCCAAGTTTCCAAATTCATTACTCCTACCTGTTGTGCCTTTCCATCAAGTATCCCTTTGACATAAAATTCTAGGCTATTAAATACTAGGTCTGCCTTTATATGAAATAATGGATGTTTTTCCCAATTATCCCAATGCATAAGAGGATATCCTTGGCATGTATTTTCATCTAAAACAATTTCAAAATCATCAACTGATAGTGGAATACAGTCTGAACCAACTTCAATAAATTCGAGACATCTCTCTAAGGATTCTCTAACCTTTACTTTTACAAGATCGTATCCTAATACTTTTTCAGCATACTTGCGTACTAAATATTTTCTCAAGGCTATTAAAAGCCATGAATCACTAGGTTTACGTTTCTTATTTATAATATGAATTGTTGATCCAAACCACAAACTTGCTAGACATTCTAGTAACAATAATATTGGATCAGATAAAATTCTTGATTGCATCCCAAAGTCTCCAAAAATATGATAACTTGAGGTCTCATTAAATAATTCAACTGGAAGAATTATAATATTTGACTTTGTATAGCAAGTATAGTAGAGGGAGTGAAAATTTGGAAAGTATCTTTGGAATGAATCATATGGAGGTATTAACCGGCTAGCTGGATGACTCCATGATAGGCAACTCCAATTAGCTTCCCAATTAGTCATAGGCTTATAGCAATTATATAGAGGACTCAATACTATTGATATACTGCTCATCGTAAGGTTAGAGTTTAAAATTAAATTAAAGTTCTCTAAAATATTTTGGATAAAATTGGGAGTCAGAGAACAATTCCAATTTAATGGAGTATATAATCTAATAGTATATATCCCTTGTTGTACATCTTCTTTAAATTTTCCAATCATTAGATATACATCATTTGGGTACATACATGGGAAATTAGAACATGTTTTGTAATAGTATGATAAAATTTTAGTTTGTGTATTACTTAAAGTATTATTAGAATTTTCAATATTCTCCAATATACCTGGTAAAATAGCTGTATATGACTCGGGAACTTCACATGAAAATTTCCATGATATTTTCCAGAAGGGAGAGTAATCCCCTGTTAAATATGTCGAAGTACTCAGGGTTGGAAACCATGAAGATTTAGATTCACCTAAATCTGAAATAAACATAAAGTCAGAGTCATTTGTTCTAATATATACTAAAGGAGATTGGGGAAGGTTAGAAATTAATTTGAAGTATATTCGAATATTTAGGTTGCATGGTTCTTTTTTATTCAAATTCTGTTCAAAAGATTCAAGAGTTGGAATATTTAATGAATTCTCCACAAAATTAGCAGAATCATGATGTTTCTCACCATAAGTATTACTACAATAACCATATGCCATTTTATAAGATTCCATATCATAAACATTTGGGTTTACTAAACTTTCAGCATCCTCTATTAGAGCAGCTGGAGTTATTGTCCAATCACTTATACTAATATTATTAACCTCAATTCCCTCAATAGTACAATATACTGGTGAGGGAGATTGGAAATATATTATGGGCTGTGAAATAAAGTAATCATGAAAAATTATTTCGCTATACCCTGAAATACTCCTATCAGAAAAATTAGTCTGAATGTTTACAGAGTGAGTACATGAACCAAAGAGTTCAGAAGTTTCATCCTTTTGAGTCATACTATTCAAATATTACTTTAAAATTCATTCAGTCCATACCCTAGTCAAGTATAAGGCAGACTCTCCCTTTCTTCTTTTTTGCTATTAGTAATACCAGCCTCGGTACCTTTTATTGGCGCTTAAAAATTTTGTTCTCTAGATCTTAAAAATGGGTGTACTAGCAGTAAATAGTGTCTTAGAATTTTGTAAAAAAGGTTTAGCAGATATTGAAGCTTTAATATATTGGATTTTTATTCGTTTTGTATTTTTAGATAATTAAATATTATTATATCTTATCATTAGTTATTATTAATAAAAAACTTCTATATTTGAGAATCTTAATAGCTTCCAAAGATGATAATATGTGAATATTTAAGTAATTTCAAATATAAAAAGACAGTGAAGTTTATTGAACTTTATACTTTTATAATCTCAACTTTTATATCTAAATAAATATAGAAGTATACAAGAAAAGTTAGATAATATTATACGAGAACCCTATTACTTTGTTTTATATATAAAAAGTACTTAAAAAACTTTTATATAATAAAAATATTCTGGAAAGATTCCTCCAGAACTAACCTTCAGATTTTGTATAAGCAGTAAATAAAGTGCACTACATATTATATAACCATATATCCATATATCAGTGTAAGAAGCCTTAAAAGTTCATTACGCATCCATTTAAAGTGGCTATATAAACTATAAAATGTGTTAAAATATTTTAAGATTGTATAAACAACAATATACAAATTTCTCCTTTATTACATTCAAATACACAGGTAAAAATCTTAGTATATAAATTATTTAAGTAGGTAAATCATATATAAAATAAAGGATTGAACTTAGGAACTTTTTTTTTGATATTATCTTAATTACCACATGTCTCTTTAAGTAGCTAATCTCTATTTTATTTTATAAAAAAGTAAACTTATCCTAAAAATAACATCAAACAGCGCCATTTTATCCCGCCTATTATATAAATGGTGGTTTCTCAGGAGCTAAAATAACGGGAAAAAAGAAACAAGAAGTGTCGAGAAATAGGAGCGTCGAATTTTTAAAAATAAAAATTCAAGTATATATGTGTACATATGGAGAGGCTAATTCAAAGTATAGCACAGGTAGTTGCTAGGCAAGATGAGCAAAGATCAGCGAGTGAAGGGTTTACTTTAAGAACAGGTCCTCCATATAATTTAAACCAATCTGCTCTATCAAACAAGAACTTGAACTTTGTTCGTATTCAGTGTCCATATTTGTCTGGAAATCAATTTAGATCCTCAAATAATTTATATTATCATCCTCAAACTACTAGTAATCTACCTTTAGTAGGAAATCAAAAATTCGTTCATAAGCAGCCTGTAGAGGTTTCTGATACTAGGAAAGTAGAGGAATTATCTAATCTAAATTTTCAAAGTAATGAGCTTGGATCATTAACCGGTTATAATAATGGAATAGATGTTTGTAGAAGTATTTCTAAAGTTGTTAATACAAACACTACTACCGAACCTTCTAAATACTCTTCTATACCATCCAGAGATTTCCAGCAGAAGAGGACTGCTTCAATTATTGCTGCAAAATATTTGACTGATGATATAATGCTTTCTAAGGTTAGGGGCTTGTTTATAAAAAGATATACTAGAACTACTTCAATAGAAGATAGGCCAATATATATATCTGGAACTGACAAGAAGATTTCTATATACAAAGATCCTAAGGCAGAAGAAGCTCATAGAGATATAGAAGCAGCTTTTTCGGAAGCTATTTGTGATTGTTACAGTCGTTTTTTTACCAATTTACCGGTGAATATTTTAGAGGATGCAATACATTTATATTTTCAAATACAAGCTGCATATTGGTGGTATGAGGATATGTGGTATGATAAATATCCACATGTTCTTCCTAAATTATCATTACGTGTATTTGGTCAGTTTACAGTTGAGGACTGTCCAATTTTAAGGCACTTTGTATCTTCACAAGAAGAACATGACAAATTTTTGCAAAATTGGAGGAGATATTGTAGAACTATTCCCTTAAGAGGGGTAATTTTGGTAAATACTGAGTTAACGAAATGTGTATTAGTAAAGCCATGGAATGGGAATAGATTTATGTTTCCCAGAGGTAAGATGGATGAGATGGAAGAGGATAGCTTGTGTGCTATTAGGGAGGCTTATGAAGAACTAGGAATTGATGTAAGTAATCACCTACATGATGCTTTATATATTGAGAAACAAGTGGATGAACAAACAATAAAACTTTTTGTTATTCCTGGCATAGATGAGAATACAATTTTGGAACCAAAGAAGAGGAAAGAAATTGCAGAAATTCGTTGGTTTAATTTTACATCATTACCTGGATGGCAAGAAGAAGGCTCATTTGGACGTCAGAAGAAAAGTAAGAATACAAACCAAAACAATGGGTTAGATTCAACAGGTGAATATACTTCAGATAATGAGAAGGATGAACTAAGAGGTAGCGATGACGAATGTATGTTACTACAGTCAACTAGTAATTTTGGTCTAAATAATGGAAATTCTGGTAGTGAAGAAAATGTCCTATTTTTTAGAGTTGGGCAATTCTCAAAGAATTTACGTGGATGGATAGAAGTACTACGTAGGATTCCTTTACAAAGTCCTGATAATATAGGAGGGGTAATTCCACAGCTCCCAAAGAATTTAAATCCTGCAGTTATTAGACGACTGCAAAATGCAGATTTGAGAGGTCCTCCATTATTTGCATTACCTCTTTTTGTAAGAGTAAGAGGTCGTATACATGATCGTAAGGATCAACCTCCAACTACTCTGAATAATAATAGTAAGGGAAAGAAATCGAGACCCTCTTTTTATGATCAGACATCTAGGGATAAGAGGACATTTGGGACAAAGGCTGGTTCAGGATGGGATGTGGAAGCTATGTTTGCATTAAATGAGGAGAAGTTTGGAGTAAAATCAACATTTTCATTTGATGACTACACAATTCCACTACCAAAATCAAAGGCTAAAGAAACTTTAGTTCAAACAACTATTAAGGAAGAAGAGTAGACTTTCATTAGTATCTACAAGCTTCTGTCTTAAATAAACGAGGCTTAACAGAGTGTGTTATAAAGTAAATAACTTTTAGTTAGCTCTGTTTATAACTTTTTTTTTCTTTAAACTTATAAATATTTTGGTCTTATGCAGAGATATTGCATAGATGCACTAAAGGTGCATGACAAGGTATGTCGCGTGTGTACATAGAGCGGTTACCCCACACTTATAAGTTATCCCAAGTTATAAAAACTTCAAGTATCGACCTAATGTGATGCACAAAAGTTTGAAGAACATTAAATAAGATGTATATTAAGGAAGTTCGCATAAAAGGATTCAAGACTTATCGAGATGAGACGGTAATAACTTTCGATCCAGGATGTAATTGTATAGTAGGCTTAAATGGTAGTGGCAAGTCAAATATACTAGCAGCAATTCAATTTCTATTTTCTGATACAATTGGCAATGTTCCAGCAGAAAGGAAAGCTTTGTTACATGAAGGTGTAAGCTCAGCAGTATCAGAAGCCTCAATAGAGATTCTTTTAGATAATACAAGTCGACGTTTATCAATGTATGACGAGAATATAGTTAGTTTGAAGAGGGTATTTAATAGTACTTGTCAAAAAGAAGAATGGATAATTGCTGGTAAACATATTTCAAAGAAAGACTTCGAGTCGGTTCTAGAGAGCTGTGGAATATCTAGAAGTAATCCATATTTTATAGTAAGGCAAGGAAAAGTGACAGAATTAGCGACAATGTCAGATGCTGCTCGTTTGAGATTATTAAGGGAAATAGCTGGTACTAGGACATATGATGAAAGGCGAGAAGAGAGTATGAGGTTACTACTTGAGACGGAGACAAGGAAAACGAGAGTTGATATTGTTTTTAGCGATATTCAAAAACGCATAGAGACCCTTAAAGAAGAACAGAAAGAATTTCGTGCATATGTCAATCTAGACAAAAGAAAAAGGGCTCTGGAATATCTTTTAGTTGAGTCAGAATGGGAGGAAGCTAGTAAAGCTGAACAGGAATACTTTGAAAAATTAGAAAAGACAGAAAAGAACCTGGGTGCAGTAGATGAGGAGTACTTAATGATTGAAACAAAAAGGACTAAAGAAGAGGAACTGAGGAAAATTTTGGAAGGAGAGATAAACATACTGAAAATAGAGAAAAAACATATGCAAAATAAGATTGTTGAAGCTTCAGGAACTGTAAGAAAATTGGAACTTGAGATTATAGAATATGAGAAGAATTGTAAATCTACAGTTCTGACACAGGAGAAAGAAAGCAAAAGAGTTATTGAAGAATTAGAAGCTGAAGTTGCTAGAAAGAGGAAGTCGCTTGAGTTGATAAAAGAATCATATAACAATATGATAAGGGAAAAGGAAATATTGCAACAGCAAGAGTCCTTTTTATTATCAAAACAATTGGAACAAAGCTATAGTAATATAGAGGAAAGAAATAATGCTCTACAAAATAAATTAAACCAGCATAAAAGGTCACAAAAACAACTGGAGGAGAATTTATTTACTATTAGGAGTTCCTTGGAGGTTAAGAACAAGGAACTTGAATCATTGGATAAAAATCTTAATAAATGGCAAAAGCTAGAGAAGAAATCTCGAGAAGAATTGGATTCAATAGCTATTGAACTACATAAAGTAAATGAAGAAAAGTATTCAATTATAGAAGAAAAGCATGGAGTGGAAAAAGTGTTATTTAATATAAATAATAAGCTCAAACCTTTGTTAACCACGATAATAGAGAAGGAGAAGAGTATAGAGAAACATATCAAGCCATCTATTAGAAAGGGAATATCATTAATTCATGAGTATTGCAAAGCTGAAAACTTTCTTTGGGGGTTTGGTAATAGCTCAAGTAATGAAGATCTTCCTTTAATATGTGGAACTTTACTTGAGAACATTAATGTAGATGATATCTATGCTATAGCAGTGGAGGCTGCAGCTGGTAGGAATCTACACACTATTATAGTTAAAAATCAAGAAGTAGCTGCAAAGGTCATTGAATATTTAAATTCAAATAGATTGAAGGATGAGAGTGTCGATTATTCGTTAATTTTAAGTCCAGTTGAAGAGATATCAAAGATGAATTTTGGAAAAAGTAGAAAAAATTTAGATGGGATAGATGGAGCTATTAAAATGATTGATGTTCTTTCTTTTGATGAACGTTTGAGGAGTATTATAGAGCAGGTATTTGGTAAATTTGCAATTGTAGAAAATTTTGAAATTGCAAAGAAGATTGTTGAAACATACAATATGAGTTGTGTTACTTTAGATGGTGATGAGTGGGATAATAAAGGGTGTATTAGAGGTGGATATAGATATAATCTTGAATCTGAGAATTTATTTACTCAATCAGAAGAATTAAAGACTCTATTAAGAGAAAGAGATTCTTTAATTAAAGAGAAGGATCTAGCAGAGTCCAACTTTCGTAGTCTTGAAGAGAGCATTAACAATATTGAAAGAAAGAAGGAGCAGATCTTGTACTCTAAAGAACAGGTTTCATCTGATATATCTAAAGCGACTGAAATGATTCATCTAACTGAAAGTAGAGTGCGCAATATTGAGTCAACTATTAACAAGATATCTCAAGAAGAAGAAAAATTGGTAGCAAATTTAGACATTAATCAAGGATATATTACTGAAATATGTAAGGAAATGTCTAGCAAGACGCTATCTAAGGGTCTAAATTATAAAGAAGAACTAAAATTAAAGGAGTTAATTAATTCATTAAGGGAATTGAATCATGAAAAATTTCCACCAATTGAAGAGGAGGTTCATAGACTAACTAATTCATTAGAAGAATCAGAGATCCGATTGAATTCTCTACTTCAGGAGTATTATCAACTTCAAGAAGAAACAAATGAAAGGAACCAAAATAGGTCATTTTCAACTGAGAATTTGAGTGATATAAAGTCAACTTTACGAGAAGAGAAATCAAAGCTAAAGAGGTTGAATGAAAGAATAGATGAAATCTCTGATAGAATCAAGAAAGTTGATGATGAAATAAAGTCTTGTGAAGATAAGCAGGAAAATTTCCGCATAACCGAATCAAATTTGCTTGATCAACAGAAGCAACTTCAAGGAGAGGTTGAACGTTTAAGAAGTAAGTATGAACACTATCGTCATATGAAGAGTATTGCTACTCAAGAAAAAGTATGTCTGGGATGCCCTGATAACTTATCTTTTACTATTAATAATTTGCCATCTACTAAAGTTGCAATTTTCGAGGAGCTAGAAAAAGTTAAAGAACAGTTAAATACTGAATTTCATACAGTTAACAAAAAGGTTATCAGTGAATTGGATCACTTTATCCGTGAATATACGGATTTATCCGAGAGGCATAATGAATTAAATACAGCTATGACATCTATACAAACTCTTGTGGAAACATTAGATATTCAGAAAGAAAAAACCTTACTAAAGATTTTTGAAGAGATCAACTTTTATTTTAATCAAGTTTTTAAAGAATTAATTCCAAATGGAGATGCCAAACTAGTACTAAAAGTTTCTTCTCAAGATAAACTGGAGAATAGTAACCAAAGTAATATAAATTTATCATCTGATAGGCAAGCAAACCAAAAAAGGTCAAAAAAAAATTTGTCAGAACTGAAGAATATTGATAATAGTAGTGAATCTACTTTTATTGGCATTGGGATGCGTGTATCATTCCAAGGAGTCCCTAATTCAAGTCCAAGAATTTCTAATGGATCTAATTTAGCACAAAATAAAACGTCTAGTTACTACTCTCTTAACCAGCTTAGTGGAGGACAAAAGACTTTGGTTGCCTTAGCTTTGTTATTTGCAGTACATAGGGCAGATCCTGCTCCTTTATATTTACTAGATGAGATAGACGCTGCATTGGATGATCAATATCGCTTGTCTGTAGCAACATTGATTCAGAAACAGGCTTTGTCAACTCAATTTATTATTACTACCTTTAGGCCTCAGTTTATAGATATTGCAGATAAATTTTTCCAAGTGTCTCAGGTTAATAGATCAAGTCTTGTTAAAGAAATTAACAAGCAACAAGCTTTGGAACTACTACAGGAGCAACTTCAACAACAAAAAGTGTTGGAAATTACTGAGGGATAGAGTTCAATATAAGGATATTTTCTTAAGATAAAGTATACTCAATTATGGATATGCAATTATCCATTGAACATTTATATTGGAGGATTTTGGTAGGGATTCAGATAAAAACCTCGATTTATCTTAGTGAACCTATATATAGATATTTATTAACTTAAATAGATTGTATCATTTACAAAATTCTAGATATTAAAAAAGTGATTATTCAATCCAATATGATCTATATGAATTGACTTAAATATATAAATTAAGGAAAGTGCGTTTTATTTATTTGGTAGAATTTTGCAATCTAGAGTCTATAAAGATAACTACTACTTTAAATTTTTTTAGAGGTACATAAATTATTACAAATGAACTCTATTAACAAACTATTTAGCATATTTTAAAAATTATATATAAACTAGTATATTATAGATTTTATAAGATTTTCAATGATTTTTTATTTAAGTGTTTATGGTATCCTTGTTATTAGAAACCACCCTCTTAAACTGCGTTATATTTGATAGATTATCAAGAGTTTAGCTTTTTTAAAGAACAAAGGGCTTGTACATTTGAAACTTGGGATTCTCTAAAATATTAATTATAAATGAGATATATTAACATATCTACAATTATATAAAATAAAATCTAAACTATTATATTTTCTACAGTAATTAGTTTATTCCATAAATAATATATCCAGAAGTACTAAGCTACTATCAATTTTCTTTTTCTTTTAAATTCAAACTTAAGTTTAGAATGGGAGTATTGTTAATATTTTGGTCAATCTCAAGCAATTTCAGGTATATTTTATCCTGTAGATATATAATTTAACACAGTAAAGTACTTTTTCATATATTTATGTCCCACTCCGAAGGTGGTTATTAAGTAAAATTAATTAATTATAAATTATTTCTAAATTGAAGACTTTGAAAATGTCTTTATTTACTAGCATTTACTAGCTATAATACAAACTAATACTAAATATTATAAAGTCATGAATAAAGTGTAATTGAATATTTAAGCTTATATTTATTTCTATATATGCATAGAGTTACCTAAAAGTTAGAGAGTCATATAATGCAATAAAAACAACCTGCCTTTTAACAATAGAAAATATCATATTTAAAGTAAACAAGAAGTTCTTTTAGTTATCACTTATTTTGTTATATAATCTAAATAATACCATAAAGCAAAGAAAGATATATAGAAAAGGCTGTTTTATTTATCATACTGTTACAATTAGCTACTTAAATACTACTATTTAAAGCAATATATAAGTAACCTTACTTTTCAATAAATAAATATGAATAATTCCAAAAAAATCTTATTGTGGAAGTTGGGTACAAAGTACATAAACTGAGGAACTATTTTGAAATAGTCATAGTTTCAATTCTAGTACCAGTACAAAAAGTAGAGCTGAAGTATTATAATATATATATAAAAGTACTTGGTATTGACTTTTCAATGATAGAATAATAAGTTCAAATAATTTATACGTAAAACAAACTTAAATTTTATACAAGTATCTAATTTTGTTTTGTTCAATTATAAAAGTATAATAACTTCCATATTACTTGATAATTTTAGTGTCTTAATAACCAATTTCGTGAAATATCACTAAATCCCAATCTTAATCAAATTCCTGTACCTGTATAGATTATTAAATTTAAAACGAAATCTAGTTCACTTTCATTACTTATAAACAAAGACATTGTAAATCCATATCTTGTCTCTTCATAATATAATAAATTGGTTATAGTTATCTCTAATTAATTTACAACTACTTTTTTGCATCCATTATTATATTAACAATCTTATTACTGTGGTCCTGTTCAATCCTCTGCCTTTCTTTCAAAAAATTTTCATCTCTGGAATATAAAGCTAATGCATGAGAGAATACTCGACGGAATTCAACATCAGTACCAAGTACAACTTCTTCACTTTGATCATTTGCTTCTTGTAACTGCTTAGCAAGATGATCAGATGGTAAAATACCTGCTACTGGATGATTAACAGTATGCTGAAGAGGATCTCCAATATCGTCCATAACTGCCTTAAACCTTTGTTCCTTCTCAATATTCAGTTTCTTTAAAATATCAAGTATCCCATCCTTATTTAAGCTTGGAAATATTTTAGATAAAGAATCTTGAGAAGTATAATATGGTAAAATAGGCATTATTCCCTTAATTGCATCTTGGTACATTTGATTTATCCCAGTATTAAGCAAAGCAATTTCATTATCCTCTTCACTCATTGTTCTTATGAGCTCTTCTAGTGTATCTTCATCTATACTCCAAGATTCATATACTTTCTTTTGAGCAATCAAGAGTTTATTATAAAAACTTCCTTGTGTAACTAAAGTTTCTATATGCTCAGGCTTTAAGGGTTCTCCCTTTTCTGTAGTTGATTTGCCAATAGTAGAAGCTAAATGAGCAAGATCCATCATTAAAGGATGCAAATTGTTTGCTACATCTTTTAGGATATCTTTTACTTTTTCATTTGTCCATACAGATGACTTTTTGATGTTTTTCCTTTTTTCTGCTGTAAGATACCAAATACTACCTAAAATAAGTCCCACTGTACCCAGAGTTAGTATAGTTCTCCTATCTCCTATAGACATTTCAGAATCTTAAGGCTTTATATATCGAGAAATTCTATATAATTCTCTACGGAAGTTAAGGTAATCAACTAATACTGGTGTTCAATAACTCTACTGTCAATAAAGTTATATATCGCGCCTTAATACTACACAATCTTTAATGCAGCATGTTATGAAATTATAGATATTTATAGTCAAATTATACATCTGTCAATAATCTTTCTAAATAATGTTGCTATTCTCTTAAGAATTCTATTTATTTCCTACTTTCCTCTTTACTATATATCTAGGAACTGTAAAAAGTACTTATCATTAACAATAAGAAAAGTATACAGATAATTTAAGTAATATAATAGTTTAGTATTTGAAAACTACTCTTGAAGTAAGTTATAGGCTTTAAAGTATCCCATTTTCTTAGCATTAGTATTATTTCTCAAATACTTGTACATCCTTTTTTCACGTTTGTTACCCGCCCAATAAAGTACCGAAAATCACCCCTCTCAATTGAAGTGTCGTGAATAATTCAGAAGCTTTAAAGAAACTAACCTAATAAAAACTATAATGGGTGGATTATCGGCTATTTATATCTTAGATATACATGGTAAGACTATAATTGGACGGAACTACAAAGGAGATATCTCTGAGGGTGGTGTTTTGGAGATATTTCAACAAAATGTAATAGATCAAGAGGAATCTCTGATTCGTCCAGTCTTCTTATCTAAGGGTATTACATATTGCTGGGTCAAATATAATAATTTGTATTTGGTATCTCTTACTCGTAGAAATTCAAATGCGATGATGATGATGACGTTCCTATATAAGCTTATTGATATACTCAAGGATTACTTTCGGATTTTGGAAGAGGAGAGTATACGAGATAACTTTGTGATTCTGTATGAGCTTCTAGATGAAATTATAGATAATGGATTTCCTCAATTAACAGAAGTGAAAGTTCTACGTGAATATATTAAAAATGAAGCTCATGAACTATCCTCAGTTTCAGCTGCAGTTTTGGCTTCTACTGGAAAATCTAGTAGTTCAGTGAATATAAAACCTCCAACAGCCATATCTAATGTAATTTCATGGAGACCTGAGGGTATTAAACATAAAAAGAATGAGATTTTCTTAGATGTTATTGAGAAAGTTAACATTATAATTGGATCAAATGGAGATGTTGTTAAATCTGAAATCATTGGTACTTTAACAATGAAAAGTTATTTGTCAGGTATGCCAGAGCTAAAGTTAGGTCTAAATGATCGCTTAGGAGATGGTACTATCTCAAATAGCCAAAGTAACAGTAGCTCAAGTAATAATGGACGTCAATCCATATCAGTACGTAACAAGGCTGTGGATATTGAAGATATCAAGTTTCACCAATGTGTAAGACTTGCAAAATTTGAAAATGATCGAACAATCTCATTTATACCTCCAGATGGCCAATTTGAATTAATGAGTTATAGGTTAACACCATCAACAAACCTAAAGCCTCTGTTTAAAATTGATGTAGTTGTAGAACATATCAGTGCAACCAGAATCAAATATATAATAAAGATTAAGGGACAATATAAAAGTAGGAGTATTGCAAAGAACACTGAAGTTCACATTCCAGTTCCAAATGATGTTATTATCCCAACTTTCAAGACATGTGTAGGAACTGTTAAGTATGCCCCAGACAAAGATCTCATTATTTGGAATATAAAAAGTTTTGCAGGTCAGAAGGAATATATAATGACCGCAACTTTTGGATTACCTTCTGTTAACGGTATTAATGGAATAAAAAAACGTCCTATAACAGCTTACTTTGAAATCCCATACTTCACAGTATCTGGTCTAACTATTAGATATCTTAAGATAACGGAGAAAAGTGGTTATCAGGCTCTCCCGTGGGTTAGGTATATTACACAAAGTGGTGATTATGAAGTTAGGATGCCATGAAAAATTAGACTTTACATGTAGTCACACATTCTCAAACAAAAATAAAATGTAGGCTAAGCTAGCGCTTTCTAGAGTATTCAATTATTTAAAAATATTCAAATTTATATTGTATATATCTATGCATTATTCAGAAATTCTTAACGTAACTCTCAATTATCTTTTAGCTTTGAGGAAATCTAACCTTACCCTTGTATACATCCTAACCCCTCCCCGCCTGTGTATCATCGCACGCAATTTTTGGCGCCATATGTTTGATTAACGTAATATTTGATCAAATAAAAAAATCAACGCATAAAAAGACAATTTGCAACTATAGGTTTAGATCTTAAAATACTTATATTGGTTGATTGGCTTGTCTTAGGTGTTGAGTTAACGCTAAAGGCGGAAGAAGGTCAAGACAGGACCGAATAAAGAAGTTCTGGCACGATTTGAGAAGATAAAGTTAAGATAAGTACTATAAAATAATAAATTAGAGACCAAGAAAAGGTCTTGATATTAGTATTTTAGGTGAATTTGTTGGATGAGTCCAACAGCTTCAGGAGCTTTAAATGGCCCGAGCATCGATATAGACGTAGATTCAGTGATTGCAAAGTTATTAGAAGTTCGAGGTTCGAGACCAGGCAAGCCAGTACAACTAACGGAAAAGGAAATTAGAGGGATATGTATGAGATCAAGAGAAATATTTATGAGCCAACCAACTCTGTTAGAGTTAGATGCCCCAATTAAAATATGTGGTGATATTCATGGACAGTACTATGACCTTCTCAGATTATTTGAATATGGAGGATTCCCACCAGATACAAATTATCTATTTCTAGGGGATTATGTTGATAGAGGTAAGCAAAGTTTAGAAACTATTTGCTTATTATTTGCCTACAAAATAAAATATCCAGAAAACTTTTTCCTATTAAGAGGCAATCACGAATGTGCATCAATTAATCGTATATATGGGTTTTATGATGAATGCAAGCGAAGATATAATGTAAAATTATGGAAGACATTCACAGATTGTTTCAACTGTCTCCCAGTAGCAGCTATAATAGATGAGAAAATTATATGCATGCATGGTGGCTTATCTCCAGAATTACATAAATTAGATCAGATACGAAAGATAGAGAGACCTACAGATGTTCCTGATACTGGATTACTATGTGATCTTTTATGGTCTGACCCTGAGAAGGATGTTAGAGGTTGGGGTGAAAATGACCGCGGCGTTTCATTCACTTTTGGGCATGACGTTGTTGAGAAGTTCCTCCGTGATCATGATATGGACTTGATATGTAGAGCTCATCAGGTAGTAGAAGATGGATATGAATTTTTTGCTAAACGACAGCTTGTAACTCTTTTTTCAGCTCCAAATTATTGTGGAGAATTTGATAATGCTGGAGCTATGATGTCTGTAGATGAGACACTAATGTGCTCCTTTCAAATCTTAAAACCAGTTGAAAAAAAGAAATTCAAGCCTTAGATAATTCCCTAATTTTACTATAGTTTCAAGAAGAATTTTGTAATTTATTCTGGAATGATTTCAGATGTACTTAGAAGTAAATCAACTTGGCACTAATATTTGTGAATACATCCAACCCTTGTTTTGAATCAGGGAGCTAGTAGGCACATCTAAAGTTTTATCAGACATAAACTGACATATTAAGCAAGTTCAAATGTTTTTTTATTACCAGAATTACCAGAAATTTCTTATATTTGCTTTTTAGCATTGGTCAGATCTTACATGCAAACGTCGATATAAAGGTGAGACAAGTATTTTCAGATTAGGAAGTAGAAAATAGTGGCAACCTTTGTAGTCTTATTGAAGAGATCTAAGCTTATGAATAATTTCAGTTACTTATTTCTTTATATTTATCCTAATTTATAGTTGCTAATCTATCTAAAAGTTCTTATCACAAAAGAAATATATGTCGTAACATTTCTAATTGAGGTCTAAAAATCTTTATACCACCGCATGTATAATATTTAGGCGATTAGGAAATGTCAATTAATTAATATACCAATTATATATTAACTTAGTCTTAACAATTACTTTATAGTTTCTAGATCAGTTCCTTATTAGAAATAAGGTTTCTCTTTTTGGTAGAATCTTTATCTAGTATTTAGCCAAATAAAGAATTAAGCGCGGAAAATATTGTTCCGTAGTACTAAGGTATCTTTCTAAAGAAACAATGACTAATAGATTAGCTATCAACATCTCTTTTTATATATTTTATAGTAACTCTATAGCTGGGATTTTTCAAACACAAGATAGATTTACTATAAATACTATTCAGGGCAGATTTCCCTCTTTATAATGTCATGTTTATGGACACAGTTATATGAGCCTAAATCTATCTATAACTTGGATGTGAACCGTTTAAAAATATCTCAATTACAATCATTCTTAAAAAATATAATAAGCGATAGAGTAAAACCTTTAGATTATCTCTCAACCTGTCCAATTCTTATTTTAAGTGGTCCATGTGGGAGTGGTAAAACATCTATGTTACGTGTTTTATGCCAAAGCGAGCAAATTGATATTATAGAGTGGGAAACACCTTGTGGAGTCTCTGAAGGGTTAGGGATTAGCTTTTATCGATTTATAGTGAATTCTATTTTTTACAAGCCTGCTAAAATGGAAACACCTAAACCAAGAATAGTTTTAATAAAGGAATTACCTTATACACTAGTAAAATACAACTCTCCAATTTGTTCTGAAATTAAGTATCTATTGACAAAAAATCATATGTCAGGATGCTCTTTAGTTCCTATTATTTTTATTACTAATGAAAGTAAGCAAGATAGAAATTTTTTAAGGTGTATTTTGCCCGAAAATAGAATATTAACTACTCGAGGTAATAACCGGTGCAGGAAAAATATTGAAACAATAAAGTTGAACCCATTTACACAATCTGCAATAAAAAAAAGACTTTATAATATACTGAAACAAGAGGGGATTAATTGTACAGATCGAGAAACATCTATTGTTAATTCAATTACTATTTCTGCTAATGGTGATATGTCTCATGCTATTAACCAATTACAATTTTGTATTTCATATGATACTTTTTTGAATCCAACTACTAATTTAAATATAAATGAAGTAAGATGTAAATCAAATAGAAATATCAATAATCTTAAATATAAAAAGTATGCAAATTTATATTCTGAAACTAATATGTGGTCAATTATTTCTGATACTAGAGAGCACGTTGGAAATATATTCAGTGTTATAGGTAAGATTTTATATAATAAAAGAGAATCAGTTTCTGAAATATATGATCGGGAATTTGAAGATTATTCATTTAAATTTGGAGAACCTAGAAAGAAAAGAAGTCGATTAAAAAGATTAGATGAGACTACAAATAATGAAAACTTGGAAAGTAATTCAAAATTTTTAAATAAGAATATATACTTATTAAATAAAAGTTTTTTACAGCATGATTTCTTTTTAAATAGAATAAGATCTTCAAATATGAAAAGAGATCTTGCTTTTGATCCTGAAAGTATCATATCATCAACAGATATGGATGATGGAACATTGGCATTACTACTACATGAGAATTACATCCATTTTATTGGAAAAGAAGACGATCTTGCTCTTTGTGCTGATATATTTTCTTTCGTGGATTCAATATTTTCAAATAGGAATTTCGATTCTAATTTTTTGTCGTCAGTATGTATATCTAGAGGTATTTTACTATATAATACTGAACCTTTGAACCCTTGTTCCAGGCAAGAAAATCAGAATTTTGATAATAATAATATTTATAAAAAGCCCAAAAGATCTCAAATGGGGTTTATAAATAAATCATATGAAGAAAATACAATGAATACATCCTCTAGATGGACTCCTAAAGGTTCACAACTAAAGACATTTTTTAATGAACTTAAACTTCTTAAAGATGAGATATCTAGTTCATGTGCTGATATTCTAAAGAATAAATCGGGAATATTATTTAAAATGTCATTTACACTTAATTTTAGTAGATCACTGCTTGTCGAACTTTTTCCTTATATACATATAATACTAAAATTTACAAGTGGAAATTATCCTGGGATTATAAACTGGATAAATGAATCATTATTAAATTGTGTATATAAATGTAACAAGTATGAAAAGTATGTTTTGGATAACAATCAAGATCCTAGAGGATATAACCCACTGTATAATTATAATACAAACTATAATTATCCTATTGATATAGATTCTACATCAAAAGATGTACTAACTGATGAACAGCTTGTATCAATACTTGAAACTTATGATATAGGCCTGATTCCTACCACAGAATGCTTATCTAATTCATATATCAAATCTGGTTTTAGTTCTATTATACAGAATATAGAGTCAGAAGATGAAATACAAGATTGAAACTAATATTGTATAGATAAATTAAAAAAGGCTAACATATTTACCTTACAAGTATTAATAGTTGAGCTGAAAGTTATATCCAGTAATTTAAAAAGAATTTAAAAAAAATTCCCACGCCTTGCAACTTTACACACAGGCCCTATTTGCCATCACATTTTAGCGCTTAAATATCAGGTGCTTTATTGCTCTCATTGGAATTTTTTTTAAGAGCTTAGATAAATTAAATTTCCATGAGATCTTTATATATCTAGATACTTTGGGTAAATTTGGGGATCTAAGACTGGATTAGTTTAAGTTATATTTTAAGATAGTTCCATATTGTATTTGTATATTAATATTTTGTTTTTTTTTTGTATTTTGGCAGTTTATATTACTAAATAATGGCTAATGACTTTTCAATAAATAATGGGAATGTTCCAATACTAATTCAAAATGTTTCTAAATTTGAAGAGTTACCAGTAGGTCATCTTTTATTTACATCTGAATCAGTTTGTAGTGGCCATCCTGATAAACTTTGTGATCAAATATCAGATGCAATTCTAGATGCTTGTTTAGAACAGGATCCTCATAGCTATGTTGCATGTGAAACATGTACTAAAACAGGTTTTGTCATGGTATTTGGTGAAATTACTACAAGAGCTGTAGTAAATTTTGAAGAAGTTGTACGAAATACTGTAAAACAAATTGGTTATGATTCAGATGAAAAGGGTTTGAACTACAAAACTATGAAGGTCATCATCAATTTGGACCAGCAGAGTTATGAAATTGCTGAATGTGTTTATATTCATAAAAGAGCTGAAGATATAGGAGCTGGTGATCAGGGGATGATGTTTGGTTATGCCACTGATGAGACACCACAATTAATGCCAATGACTCATGTTTTAGCAACTTCTATTACAAGAAAATTAGATGAAATTAGAGTAAGTAATACTCCAGTTTCAGTAAAGTGGCTACGTCCTGATGGAAAAGCTCAAGTTACTGTTCAATATCAAAAAAAAGATGGGGCATTGATCCCTAGGAGAATTCATACAATTCTTATCTCTATACAACATAGCGAATATGCTAATAATGATGAAATTTATCAATTTGTTTATGAATATGTAATTAAAGTTGTATGCCCACCTGAATTACTGGATTCTAAGACAAGAATTTTTATTAACCCATCAGGTAAATTTACAATTGGAGGTCCTGCTGCAGATGCTGGGTTGACAGGACGTAAAATTATAGTGGATACATATGGGGGTTGGGGAGCCCATGGTGGTGGTGCATTTAGTGGTAAAGATTCTACAAAAGTTGATAGGTCTGGGGCTTATATGGCTAGACTAGTAGCTAAATCATTAGTTGCATCGAATTTATGTAGAAGATGCTTGGTACAGCTTTCTTATGGGATTGGAATAGCTGAACTTCTATCTCTAAATATAGAAACTTATGGAACAATTTGTAAAGGATATACAGAACAAGACTTATTAAAAATTGTTATGCATAATTTTGATTTTCGTCCAGGTGCATTGTTGAAAAATCTTAAACTGAATGTCCCTCAATTTCAGAAGACAGCTAGTGGTGGGCACTTTGGTCGCACTGATTGCAATTTTGTTTGGGAAGAACCTGTTACACTAACATTGCAAAATATAAAAATAAATACCTAAAATATATTACTATAAATAACTAACCAATATAATTCAGGTAGTTATTATTACTAAAATAGTTTAATTATTCATTTAAATTATACATTACGTAAAAGATACTCTTAATTAATATTATATTAGCCTACATTAATTATTGAATCTTATCAACCTAAACTTCTTGTAATTCCTTATCCTTTAAATTTGTATAATAATTTTTAAAATATAACTAAAGGTCCCCTTATATTATTTCTTTCACGTGCATGCAATCTATTTAGTAAATGATATCCCTAATATACCGGTATAATTACAATGATAAGGCGCCCGTCTCCACATTGAGACGAAGTCAAACACTGACATTGACTTACGCTATTAATTTGTTATACATTATCATATAAGGAATTATGGAAAGAGATGGAACTACTTAATAAGGCACAAAGTTTGTTGGAGTCTTTTCCTCCGGATTATGAAGAAGCTGGCAAACTTTTTGAGATGGCATATAATACTGAACCCAAAAATAGTTTAATCTTGTCAAATTATGCAGAGTATCTGCTATTGGTAGGAGAGATAGATCGTGCGAAAGAAATGTTGCAGACGAGCATAACTATAAATCCTTATGATGACTATATAAAGTACTTTAGTTTAGCTCAGCTGCTAGATGGGGAAGAGTCAATGGATACATGGAAGAAAGGAATATGTATTCTTGATGAGAAAATGAAGAATGAAAACGATAAAGATAATATTAATAGGTTTAAGTCGCAAATGTGTAGTGCTTTAACAGCTATAGCAGAGCTCTACATGACTGACTTGTGTGATCTGAGTGATGCTGAAGAACAAGTTAAATGGTGTATTGATTTGGCTCTAAGCTATGAGAAAGATAATTTTGAAACATTATGCTGCCAATTAAGCTACTTTAAAACAATAAATGATAGAGATAACAGTAAGATTTTAGTACAACATCTGAAGGATATATTATATAATAAGTTAGGTTTAAAAAGGAAATCTATAGACAAGTCTATAATTATTGGTAATATAGAGAATTGTAATGACGCTAAAACTCCTGATTTCCAATTCCGTTTGAACCTTTGTAGAACACTTATTGATTTGGGTGAAACAGAATTCGCAGAAGACATATTAGATTCATTGCTAGAAGAAGATGAAGAAGATTGGCAAGTTTGGTATATTTTAGCATGGTGTTGTCTAGTTGGATCCAATATTGAAGGAGCTAAAGAAGCTGTAGAATTATGCAAAAAATTTTCTTCCAAATATATTATTGACCCTGAAGTGATTTCCCAGGTACAAGAGGATATTCATAATCTTGTAACCAATATTGAAAATAATGAAAATTACTTGAAAGGTACTAATTGATTTCGTCGCTAGAATTAGTTAAGATCTTAGTAAAGTATAAAATTTATACTACTTCATTTAGCATATAGAAGGATTCTAAATTTAAGGTTCCATAACGGAAGAACTAATAGATCTAATGCGATCAATCATAGTCCACCTTAATGCATCACCACGTCCAACGTAAAATAGTTCCCAAGCAGTCTCCTCACTAGGAGCATCTACAGCTATTCTAAGTAATTCTTGAGTTGAGTATTTCATTATTGGAGGAGCACTTGGGTTAGGATTATTATTTAAGTATAAAGTAGCTGGGGTATTGTGATAAATTTTTAAATTACTAACCTGCAACCCATTGTGACTCTGTTCTTGACATGTATTTACTGATATTTCCGAATTAGATACATTAGATCTAATATCTGCATTATGATCTTGGTTAATCCTCAAATCTTTCTCTTCTTTATTATTCTCTAATATCTTATCATCTAGATAGTGTATCTTTTCAGATTTACTATCTTCATTATTTCCAAGTTTTTCATATTTAAGAGAACTACATTCTTGCTCTTTAGATTCTATTGACTCAATTGATTCTCTAGAAGAACTTACTAAATCTGTTTTATTAAGCTGTTTTATCCATGATCTAGTATTCATATAACTTATATTCTCAAATAAAATCCAATCTAAATCCTGAATATGGGGTGAAATTACATCACAACGTTTAGATTTCATACTTGTACCGGCAGTTGGCAATGGGCAAACCTTGACAGTTCTAGAAGCATTTGTTGGAGGACAACCGAATTCACTTCGACCTACTGCAAAGAAACCATCTAAACATGGTTTACCTCTACATTGAACTGTAGGCCATGTAACAGAGAGAAATGGAATAGTAGAACTAGCTAAAATACACTCAACCAAATCTTCATATGAATAGAATTCAGATACAAACTGAGGCTTAGGAACAGGTAAAAGTTGAGTATAAGATACAATTATTTGTCCTCCTTTTTGAGCTCTATTATTCAAAATTTCAATAGCATTTTCTGGGATTCTTTTGCGTAATTCTTTCTCTAAAACTGCATTCAATCGACCAGCAGTCCCATTCTCTCTACAATCATTATATAAAGTTATACAGGCTTCCATAGCCTCATACATACTAATACCTAAACCACAACATAAAGCAGCAATAGAACCCCCAGAAGCTCCAGATAGTGGTGTTGAATCTGTAATATATCCTTGTTCTTGTAACTCTAAGATAACTCCTAAATGATATGGTATTAGTAAAGCACTTACACTAAATGAAAAACCAATAGGTATCTCATTATTAACTGTTGGGGGTAGATTAGGGAAATCAGGTTGTAAATGCTGTTGTATATCTTGAATACCTTCTTCTATTCTAGTTGTTAAACGGTTAAATACTAATGAACTACCTTTTTGAAACTCTTCAAATGAATTTGGCCAAAATAATGATTTATTTGTTGATGATGAAGTTGAAGTTTCACTTGGAGATTGAATATCCTGATGTTGTTTGCATGATGCTCCTAAATTATCTTTAGATAATGTTAAGCAAGAATATTCATTTCTCTTGATAAATCCTAATTCAAGATTTTTTTTCTCACTGAATTTCATATATCTGGAGAGATAGTGCTTGTGTAACCCCAACTGTTTTTTTAGAAAACTCGAATTGCCTAAATTTCCCACTTCCTTTATTAAAATATTCTGAAATCGCCCAGTTCTCAGTCTTATTATCTTATTTCAAGATTTTGCTGATCCTTTCTAGATATTAATGTAATGACTTCTTCAAACGATCTTAAATATCCTGCACACCTTAGGGACATCCTTTAGTATTATACTAGTTAAAATCACACTTGAAGCGCCACTACAAGCAAGTAACTAGAATTACTTAAGCTCCTTAACTCTCATTAAGAATCATTATATCTCTGTATAATTAAAATATATCACTTAATTATGGGAACTCTAAAAAGTGCAATTTTTATGTCTATTATGATTCAGGCTATAATGGTTTTACTATGTATTCTAATTGTCTCAAAAATCCAAAATATGCTTAAAGAAAGATCTAAAAAGTATGATAAATGGAGAATAGGTATAGAGAATTCCAACATTTCATAAAACTACTGGGAAATTATAGTAATAATTGTTTATTACAAGACTTAAATAACTTATAAATGTATATACTCTATATTAACCTTAGTAACTTTAATACTGAATACAGTAAAAATAGTTAAGACCTCTTATTTTTATTTTTCAAATCTTTAATATAAATATTTCTGGATTTTTACTGAGGCAATATTATAACATTAAGTTATTAACGTAAGTAGTAATTTTATATAGATACAAGCGCCGAGTAGATTTGAAGTCTATATTGGAATAGAGATTTGTGGATAATAGTAGAAATACTTAGATTGATATATAACATTATAACTGGCATTTATATTGGAGATTTTAGTATGATGAAGGGGTTGGAAACTTTATATTTTATTATATTTATATTAATTATAGCCGTGGAATCAGATGCATCTATTTTGCACTGGCTATTTGGTCGGTATTTTCCAAAATATAGAGTATCATTAGAAGATTCAAATAATTGCAGTTCTGTATACATTCAAATAGATGATAATCCTCAATATGTAAACACACTTATAGCCTTAAAAGAAATAATTGAAATGAGTTCTTCTAAAGATCTAATTAATGTATATCCTTCACTTGAGCTTCTCGATATAATATTAGATATGAAAAATACAACTACTTATGATACTATAACAAGTCTTGATTTTTTGATATCATTGACAAAGCAAGAAATGAGTACTGATAGAAAGATTCAACGCCTATCAGATTTAAGGACTTCTTTAGACAATGTGATATTATCAAACAATAATCAACCAATAAAATATAAGGATTTTAATTATAGTCAAGTTTTAGAATGTGTAGATAATTCTATTGAGAGTATGAAAACTTTGAATTTAAGTAACAGTTCAGAGTCACTAATACTCTCACAAAAAGGTAGAGACTTTTACTCAGCTCAACCACTAATATCATGTCCAAAGAAAAATATATTTGGAAATTTGAGAACTGTTTTTAGCAAACACTACTTAATTTCAACTTTAGAAACAATGGGAGTTAATGTAACCGAAATGAACTTAAGACTTAACAATTTTGGCAATATGCTAGATATAAATTCAACTTTGGGATATAATGAAGTTAATTCTGAAATATTACAACCCCAATATAAGGATTACATTGAGCTATTTTCTTTAGATCTTGTTTGTACTATTGCAGATGCAACAAGATTCGTTCAACAAGCTGCAACGGCAGGATATATAAGTAATATTTTAACACCTACTTATTTATTTTTAGAGATTTTAAAAAGAGATAAGCAAAGTAATAAAGAGAATTGTTTTGAAAATAATAATTTTAAATTTAGAAGTGAGAGTGAAATTAAAATTTTGGATTTTGATTCAGAAGACATAATAAGAACAGATGACTTTATAGTAAGTAATACAGGTGTAGAAAATTTATCTGAAGGAACTCCAGTAGTAAATCTATTTGACTATATATTAAAGTTTATTAGTTCTTATAATATAACTTATTATAATGTCTTTGACAATTTACTGAATAAACATGAAGAAATATATACTTTTGAAAAACGTTTAGAAAATCATTTAAATAATACAGAAGTTAATAAAGTACATGAGGTGCCTAGCAAAAGTTTTATTTCAAGACTTTATGATTTAGATACAAAAGAACATTCTAAAGTTTCTCGAAATATTGTAGATCTAACAGATTTAGCAAGTAAAGGTAAAATAAAACCTCTAGTTGGTCGACTAAATGAGATGGCATTAATAGAGAGGGTTTTATCACGCGAAGGTAAAAGTTCAGTTATGCTTATAGGTCCACCTGGTACTGGTAAGACGACTCTAGCCGAGGCTTTAGCTCAACGTATTATAGATGGTACAGTAACAAGTTTTTTACTAGGATACAAAGTATTTTCTGTAGATATTTCAAATATTCTATCTGGCTCAACCTTTCGGGGTGAATTTGAGGCAAAACTACATGATATATTGAAGTTAGTTAATGGTCATAACCAGAAAGTAATTTTATTCTTTGATGAAATGCATCTGATTATAGGTTCAGGTAGATCTAGTAATGGGGGAGCTATGGATGGTGCAAATATCTTAAAAAGTGCATTAGGTAAAGGTGAAGTAAAGATTATTGGAGCTACTACAGATGAAGAATATTTCATGTATATCAAAGGAGATAAAGCATTTGCAAGGAGATTTGAGAATATTCATCTAGTCGAACCAAGTATAGATGAAACAAAATATTTATTATTAGGTTTAAGAAGTGATTTTGAAAATACATATGGGGTTTTTTTTTGTGATGATGCTATTGAATATGCTGTCTTTTTGAGTGATAAATATATCGGAGATAATAACCAGCCAGATAAAGCATTAGACTTATTAAATTCAGCTGCTTCGATGGTAAGATCTGATTCTTATAGTAGTAGTAATGTAACAAATTTAGCAAATATTTTAAAAGAAGAAATACAACAGATAGAAAGAAGCCTGAAACTATATACGGCTAATGTGGATGATTTGAAATCAATTACATTTGAGAATGAATTGAGAAATAAACAAAGAGTTCTCAAATTAAAATATAACAGGTTAAAAATATTGATGTCCAATTTAATTTTATATATACAACAATATAGGTATTTAAGAAATAATTTGGCCCTATTTAATTTGGCATACAATTTATATCCTATGCAAAAATACTGTCCGGTTTCTAATATATCGACTAAAATGCATGAAAAGGCTACATTCTCTGAAGACTTTATTCCAAATTTTAAAAAAGATCTTAATATTGGCGAATTGAATGAGATGGATCAGGAGAAATTTTTGGAATTAATTAAGGACAATTTTAATGGAGAATTTAATGCACATTTAGATATGAAAGATGAAGAAAATAGTGAATGTATTACTACTGAACATCCTATTATTTTGAGACGTACCAGAAATATTGATGATTTGAGGAAAATAATAAGGAAAATCTCTATATATTCTGGATTACCTATAACACCTACAAATATTGGGGAAGTTGATGCATCCCATATTGCCTATGTAGTCTCTCAAAGAACTGAGATACCAATGGAGAGACTTATTATAGAAATTGGTTATGATACCCTAATTAATACAGCAGTAAATTTTACGGAGATTTTATCCAAATTTGTTATTGGTCAGAATGATGCTAAAGAAATGATTTCAAATATTCTAATTAGAGCTCAAGTAGGTCTGATCCCTTCTAATCGCCCAAGTGGTAGCTTTCTTTTTATAGGTCCAACAGGAGTAGGTAAAACTGAAATGGCAAAAGCTGTGGCAGCTACAATTCATTCTATCAAAGGAAAACAAGAAGGTTTCTTTACTACCACTAAATCTATTGAGTTACCATTAATTAAATTTGATATGTCTGAATTCTCTTATAGTGGATCTGTACTAAGGCTAATTGGAGAAGGTAATTTTAATGGTGAACTAATTAAAGCTGTAAATAAAAGACCTTTTAGTGTGATTCTTTTTGATGAATTAGAGAAGGCACATCCATCAGTATTTGCACTATTTTTACAAATTCTTAGTGAAGGCAAATTATCTGGACCATTAGGATCTGCAGATTTTACTAAGGCTATAATTATTGCAACTTCTAATGTTGGAGCTCAACAGATTATAGAGCGTTACACTCGAAATAAAAATACTAAAAATTCAACGTCGAACAATTTATATACAGTAGATGATGATGCAGAAACAATTCCTACAGAACTTATGCATACTTTAACTAAGACATTTTCATATGAATTAATTAATAGATTTGATGCTTTGGTTACTTTCAGGCCTTTGGAAAGAGTAGAAATTATACACATTATAAAAAATTGCTTTACAGATTTAGTCCATCAAATTAAAAAGTCTAGACAGGTTGAATTTGTAACTCCTAGCAATTTATTGTTACTATATATTATGGAGAAAAGTTATAATGATATGTTTGGTGCTCGACCTGTTTGTAAATATATTGAAGACAAAATTTTAACACCTATAGCAATTTTATTACAGAATAGACAAATTGAATCTGGTGATAAAATTGAAGTTTGTATAAGACAATTCCGAAGTATGCGACAGTTTCATTTATCTCTGAAAAAACCTTTTGAGTTTAAGATCTGCAAAATGAAAAGTGATTCTGATCTGTGTATTCCAAATACTGAGAGGGTAATTACCCCATGAATATATTTACTTTAGTTGTATGATCTCTTTAAATAATATTTAGTAATTTGTTACACTACTTGTTTATTTTTAGTGATTTATTATAGATCTTAACAAATTCGCATGTACCTATTGCAACCTCGCCCCGCCCATTAGAGACAAAATTTGCCACTGGTAGGTGAGATACCTTATTTGTGTGTACCGGTATCGAATAATATTCTTAAATGTGTGAGCCTGTATACAAGCCCTGAATAGTCACTATAACTATAAAGAGTTATAAAGAAATAATGCAAGACTTCAAATGAATTTAATAAAAGAAGATGAAAGTATTACTAATGGAGTAATTCCAAAAACTGCAATAGCTAAGTCTGTAATGATAGGTTTTGATTCCATGGCAAGTGAAATCAGAGATACTTTGGAGAACCAAATTCGAATAATTGAGAAAAATATTAAAGTGGAAATTGAGAGACTGGAGCATGATAGAAAGTGCTTGGACGAAGAGAGACAACGCCTTTACTCTGAGATTGAAAGTATGAAAAAGACTGAATATTATAGAATTCAAATGCTAGAGAAGAAGGCTGAAACTGATATAATTCAATCTAGAAAAGCTATTCAAAGAGAAAAACAAGAAATGCAGAGACAGCTGATGGAAGAAAAGGATGATTTCCAGAGAACACAACAAGAAATGGCTAATTATTGGTCAATGAAGGAATATGACTTAGCTCAAGAAAAGGCTAAAATCGAACAGGATAAAACAAAACTCATTGATATTGCAATATCATCTCAATCTAGTGTACAAATCAATGTAGGGGGAACTATCTTTGAAGTATCTAGAAAACTATTAACAGAGAAGATGTCTAAGGGCAGTTTATTAGATAGAGTATATTCTGGTCAAACATACAATATAGAGATGAAATATGATAAAAATGAGAATATTTTCTTTGATAGAGATCCTGAAATATTTAAAACTATATTAAGATTTCTTCGTGATAGTAGTGGATTACCTCCTTTACCCTCGGATCCACAAGCAAGTTTAGATTTAATGAAAGAAATGTCCTACTATGGATTAAGATTTTATGAAAATTCCTTAGTTTATGTATTTGGGGGAACAAATGGTGAAGATATTTTAAATACAGCTGAGTTACTAGTAATTAGAAGTCATGACGATGAGGACCTTTGCTGGAGCCGTACGAAATCCATGAATACTTCTAGAATGTATTCTTGTGCAGCTATTATTGAACAAAGTAATTGCTGTGTTTTTGGTGGTTATAACTCCTCTAACAAAGTTTTGGGCTGTATGGAAATATATGATCCACTCATAAATAGTTGGAGACAAGGAGCCACACTAAAAACTGCAAGAAGAAATATGGCTGGAACTAATTTCCATGATGGGAGAATAATCGCAGCTGGAGGCTTTGATGGAAGTAAAATTTTAAAGAGTGTTGAAATCTATGACTATAGAATGAGACATTGGGTACAAGGTCCTTCTTTAAATACTGCTAGGTCATCTGCTTCTTGTGTAATGTTGGATGATCATAGATTGGTGATACTTGGAGGAACAAATGGTGAACGGTTACAATCTATAGAAATTTTTGATGTTAGAAGAAATAAATGGGACCTTCTTTCTTCTCTAGAGCTTATAGATGTTAGATCAGGATCTATAGCTTGTAATATACATGGAAAGATTGGAATTTGGGGTGGTATTGATCCATTTCATAATATCATAGATTCAGGGGAGTTGGTTAATATTGGATACTCTAAAGATCACTCATCAACTTATATAAAGCCTTTTGAAGTTCCATTAATGGATGCTCAAATAGTTGAATTTAAGTTTAAGCAATATTCAGCACTTGCTACAGGGGGACAGTCTTGTGACAGTACTTTAATTGCAAGCTACTTCTATAATGCTCAACAAGATATGTGGACCCAAGGTCCAAACATGAATTCTGCAAGATCAGGACATTCTATAATTTCTCTAAATATATAATTGGTAATAGAGTGTTGTATCAAATAAAGATTCAGAACTTATAAATATTTTGAGACCATGCATCATAAGGCCTTTTTCAAGGATCACTTCTACTTATAGGCATCTAGCGGTAAAATATTTAATGTACGTCCTGTACCTTCGATGTATGTAATTATAAGCAAGAGAAAACTGTGACAAGTGGGGGTTGAAGTTCGGATAAAATCTACTTAGAATTTTGTCTTGAAATGGAAATAACGACATACGACGATATAGAAACAGTTAAGTTTGTTCATGGTCCAAAGTATAAGTTGAATTCGCAAAAAACGGAGATATTGGTCTGCAATGAACTTAAATATTTTGTTCTTGCTTACGAATATCAGATTAATATCTATAAAGTTGATGATATATTGGAATTAGAAAGTGGTTCTATTTATTTTAAAAGGGATTTTGGAGAGTATGATTCTAAGATAATAAAGTCATGGATAGTTACTTCAGAATATGGCAGTATAGAAGGCCTAACCATTGATGCAACTGAAACAATATTAACAGTAATAACTTCTAAAGTCATTTTATTTTATGATCTAAGTGATCTTGAAGAATATGGTCCATGGCAAATCTTGGAACATACACATATTACTGACTTGAAATGGACACAAAAAAGTGATATCATTATAATAGACTCTGTTGGTAATTCCTTCATATATCATTATACAGAGAAATCAAATTGTTTTAAGAAAATCCAGTTGTTTCAAAGAGATGGCATAAAGTGCAGATTTATAGAAAGTTTTAACAGTGATTCTTGCAATATAGCATTTATTGTTGTTACCTCCAATCCTACTGGTTTTATTTTAATTAATAAGTTCCAATATGAAGAAATGATCAGTCATACAGAATATTTATTTGAAATACCGGATACTTGTTATGTCATGCTTAAAGATATTATAGAATCCTGTGAGGAGAATTTCATTGATATAGACGAGGAAAAGAACTACTCTCAGTTCCAAATTTTGGCTATAAAATATTTAGATGGAGTTGAATCTTGTTCGATTGCTTTTATTCTAGCAGGTGGCTCAAATTATATAGATGGTTATGTTTTAATAGGCTCAATTAATAAATATTGTGATTTTACTATAAATTTTTACTCGATAAACGACTTAAGTTTTGATGATATTTTTTCTCAAAACTTCGAAACCCTTAAAGATATAAAGTGTACATTAATTTGGGTTAAAGAATGGTATTTACTATTTGTTGGTTCACCCATTTTTTCACAAGTAGTTCTGTTTTCACCTAGTAAAAAGTATATTTTAAATTTTGAGTATCAAAATAGAAGTGAAGATATGTCGAATGAGTGGTATAGATTGGGAATGTGCGAAGGTTATGATCTAAACACTACAGACTTTGAAATTGGAGTATGTAACGTTGAAATTTGTAAATGTACTTCTGCTTCAATTAAAGATCCAAAGGCAACTGCGGATACACAACCTATTAAGAATCCACCTGTAGTATTTATTTCACAAACAGATGGAAATATTGTAGCTCATTACATTGGTGGAAATGCTAATTTTTCATCTCTAAAGCATGATCAACTTAATACTGTCTCTTTGATATCGTTGAATCCTATATCTCGGAATTTATTACTCTTATCAAAACATGAAGATATTACAAAGACTCCTAGTGTAGATCCTAGTAAGAAGTCAGATTTTGAGAATTCACCTAAAACTGAAGATAATAAGAAGGATTTGCCATTATTATTTAACATAGAAGCTACTATAAGTCATTTTAGCTGTGAAAAAGTTCATTCACTTTGTGAATTGGCTTCATCCTCAACTTTAGAAACAAGGAATGATAACCCTGAAACGAATATCAGTGAACTTCTAAAGCTTTATAAAGATAGTATAGAGAGTAATTTGACTGACAATAACTTTAAACAGGTAGAGATGAGTTTTTTTAATGTAATGGAAAGTATCGAAGACCGTATGAAATTACTTGACTCCAAAATTCAGCTTTTGTCTGATGATTATGTAGCTCAGCTATCAAATAGAGAATGTAAGTCTATATTTGAAAAATATGATAAAATAATTAGTAATATTAAAGCTAAACTCCCGGATAATGAACTTTTTGATACCTTACTTAGGAAAGGTGTCGAGTTGAATGAACAAGAGAGACAGCTTGGACAGCTTTATGCATTATTGATGAGAAAATTTACGGATGAAATGTACGATAATTTAAACAGTAGATTGATTCGTGATAAATTTAAGGGTAATGAGCTAACCTCTAACCAGTTTTCTTTATTCTTCCAGCTTAATAAAGAGGAATTAGATTTTACTTCTTTAGATATAAATTGTACCAATACAAATAAACTTAGAGAACAAATTTTGATTACAGAAAGGCAAAGTTTAAAACTTGTATCACGAATAACGCAAGTAATTAACTTTTCAGAGAGAATCAAGGAGAGGTGCTCAAATTCAAGTTTAATTTTACCACCGCCAGCAATGAGTAGAAACTCATATAGTACAAATGTTCAAAGGGGTTCATTGATGATTTGTCCAGATTCCGTATTTGTTGATGATTCAAGCTCTGAGGGTACAACTGATCCATTGTGTGATATAAATATCTCATCTACTGTAAATGTCAATACTAATATGAGTTCTAGAGGTAATTTTGAGAAGAGCTACAGGTCTCCTTTTATGCAGATACCTACAAGAACTAGCTGTTTGTCTGATATAATAAAAAATATTTCGACTTCAATAGGCTCAAAAGATGTTGGTTCAAGATCTGCAAAGGCACTATATAATGTTAATGCTGATTTGTACTCAAATAAGAGAGTCTCACCATCAACATCAAATATAAGCAACTCATCTAGATTTTGCAATCTTAGGTTGAAACCTTTTCGCGACAATAAGACTCCTAACAGATATTTCACTATGCATACCCTAAAAGATAATACTTTTAAGGTGCCACAAAAAAATATCCCATTCTTCCCAATAAAGTGGACACCCAATTCAGCAAAAGGTATTGAAGATTTCCTTAGTCCAGATAAACCTGGCTTTATTACTAGCTCCCCTAAATTTACAGAAGGAAGTAAATTTTCCTTTTTAAATCAGATGTCGCAGAACTCTTCTGGTTCTATTTATGAATCTTTGGAATGCTGTATTAAAGCTTGTAATAAATACCTTGATAGTATTGAAGATCAATGTATCATTGCGAGAGGTTCTCTTGATTTTCTTAGGAGAGAAAGTTTAGGTTCAGATCTATCAACTAAATGCATGCACTTGAACTTAAATCATGATTACTCAAACTTAAATAGTGAGTCATACCAAAATATAATGAATGCTCAATTATTATTATTCCAGAATTCTTCAAAGCAAAGGAATATACACTATAGGCAAAAACTTGCTCTTTTGTTAAGTAGTCAGAACTATCAGAAAAGAGAGGAGGGAATTGAAGATGAAAATCTACCTTGTTTTGGTACTAAAGATATTTCAAAAAATCAAAACACTAGTGCTTCATTTAATACTGACAATTCAATATTTGGAAATAATATGTTTACAAGTATGTCATTAAAATCTACACTAAATTGCTCCGAGGTTCCTACGAAAGATAAACTCCATATAGATCATTTTCCAAGTAATTCAATGATATACAAAAAAATAGAGACTCCTAACTTATTTAAAATTAATACCTTGCAAAATATCAAAGTTGAAGATTTTAAATTTTCTGCCAAGTCAGACTCTTTTGAAACTATAACACCAAAGCCACTTGAAAACCATTCTACTATTTCATTTTCATTTAATACTTCTAATGAAGTTGATAATACTCCAGTTCTTACTAGCAGTTTCACTCTTAAAGATATAGTGAATACTGAAGTGAGTAGCAATCCAAAAGAAATATTTACTAGTCAATTACTTGGGATTGACTTAGAACAATCATGTTCTCCACCAACAGAAAAAATTCAAGATAAAGAAGTGTTAGGAACTCATGACCAGATTGGCTCCAAAGATTCGATTTCAATACATGAAAACCAAGATAAACCAGAACATGAACCTTGTACTGGAGATTTGGGTTCATCCTCATCAATAAAATTAACTACAAATACTATAAACTCAACTTCCCCTCAAGATCATCTTTTTAATTCCAATATATCTATTAAAAGTTGTGAAATTCCAACCGTTACAAAGACTAATTTGGCTGAATCATTGAACTCATGCACATATTCTGAAATTAAGTTAAAAGATAAATCTGAGACAAGTGAATCAAATGCTGAAACTTCACTTCTTAATACCTTACAATTTTCTGAACAGGATCTGTTGGACAAAACTACACCTACTTTTATATTAGATTCCTCTACACAAGACAATAAGGTGACTGAAACTTCTAATAAGCCAGTTGGTTTATTTACCTCGGATCTAGAACCAAGTAACAATATACCCCTAACTAATCTGAACTTCCTTGATAAAGATAAGTCGAATCTATTGTCCAATACGACTCCATCAATTTCAAGCAATATATTTGGCTCTTCAATATCACAGACATTTTCTTTGAACACCTCTAATACTGTGCCAATTGCTTCACCTAAAGAAAATAATGGTCTACTTGATATTATAGGAGGGATACCAAAGACTGAATGCTCAGAAAATTCGATGGTACTAGGTGGGAGATTTGGAGGTTTTGGCACTATGTTTAACACTGGTCTTGCACCATCTATTTCAGGTTTTGGATCTTCACAGTTCTTATCTGGTCCATTCAGTAACAATAATTCTAGCTCACCTTCCTCTAATGAAACATCCCAATCTCTTCTTTCTTCACTAGGGCCATCACATCAAAGCTACTCCTTTGGTCTCTCATCATCTAATTTGAATTCATATACTCCCTTTACATCTGAACCATCTACTAATATACAAACTGGAGGATTTGCTTCCCTATCTTCAGAGTACCGGGGTTTCTCAGCACTTACATCACAAAATTCAGGCACTTTTGGTTCAAACTCTTCTACAAGTCAGTTTAACTTTGCACCACCACTTAAACCACGCCAAGTTAATAAACTTGACTAGACTAGAATCTTTTTAATTTATAAATTTGTCTTTACTTTTGTTTAAAACATGACATGCATGCATGTATGCCTTGGTGTGTGATATACCGGTATTGATTACGCCCACTATATCTCACAGACCCTCAATTCTAGAAGCCTATAATAAGTAGCCGTATGATCTGATATTTTTATCTAATGAAGGATATTACTGATGAAGAGAGTAATACAAACATTTTCAAGGCAATAAGTGTTGAAACCTTTACTATCTTGGGATGGACTGTAGGTTCTGCACTGCATTCTATATTCACTAAAAAAGCACTAAGTAAAGCTATTTCAGACGAACCAGTGAGTGCTAGACTTTCATATGGTTCTTATTTAACTATAATTCAGCTCTTAATTGCAGCAGTAACTGGAGTTACGATTGGGTATCTTCACAGATCATTATCTAAACAAAAACAAGATTCTAACGAGGAACCAAAGAATGAACCCTTAGTATATAATAGAAATACAGACAGTTCAATAATATCTGATAATGATTTTCTAGTTTTAAACAATGGAACAGAAAAAGAGAATAACAATGATTTGAATGTAAGTGAGTTGGAATGTTCAAAGGCACCATCTATAGTTTTAGAAATGACTTCTGTATATCAAGAATTAAATAAACAATCAAATAGCTCTATTTCAAAACATTCAAAGTTAAATAATCCTCAAGTTGAATATGAGTACAAAACTGAGCATAAATATTTTTTCTCATATTTATGGGGCAGTAATGAGATGATTCTATCAGCTGTATTGTATGCATTTGCAAATATATGTGCTAATACTGCCTTGGGTGGTGGAAAAGTCATGCTAGTACAAATAATAAAGTGTAGTGAACTAATATTAACTGCAATTTTATCCTATATAGTATTGAAACGTAAAGTAGGGCTGAAAGAGTCAGTTGCATTTGGTATCAGTACTATTGGAATTTTCTTAGTTGTTTCATCAACTTTAAAAACTAGCAGTACTAATTCAATTGCAGTTACCTATAGTGTATTATTAGCAAGTATTGGGGCATTTACTATTTCACTGAGGAATGTAATAGTATCTTCTGCAAATAAAAATGAAAAGGCAATTGATACATTTACTTTATTGTCATTTTGGGGAATGATAACCTCCTTAATTATATTTGTTGGTATCAATATTATCTATGGTCAATCAAAAACAGAGATAGCTTTATATCCAGTAATAATAAGTGGCTGCTTTCATGCAATGTATAATTTCTCATCTTTAGCATTTCTGAAGCTAGTGGGGAGCCCTATAGTTCATGCCTATTTTAACTTAGCAAAGAGAGCAATAATTGTATTAACAGCAGAATTAATTAACTGTACTACGCCTCCATCTATGCAAGTATTTGGAAGCTCCTTGGCAATTCTTGGAATACACTTTTCAAAGCAATCAAAAACTAAAGATAAGCAGATTGAAAATGAGGAAGCTAATAAGAAAAGTGGCAAAATCATGCTTCATGAAGAAAAGCTTTATCATCAAAAAGTTAATACTGAAGAAGTTGCAAATATTGAACAAGAAGAGCCCAAATCTTGCAATAAAAATGATAAATATCCATATACGGCTTCAGTAGTACTTTCCGGGCTCTCTATAGTTATCGGTTGGCTTTTGACATATTCGTACTCTTGTACAGGACCACCAATGGAAACTTATTCTAAAGTGGTAAGTTAAATCTTAGGTCCTTATCTATATGAGAGACCAAAAAATATTGATTTTATCTATCATTTTGAGCTTGTTTATTTGGTGCAGAGATGAAATGTTACTTATTACATTTATAGGATTCAATTATTTTGAGTTCGCTGAATACCACAACACAAACCACAAAACCAAGTATGAATGGACAGATAAATCAAAATATTGATGTAATTCGTGTTGTGCATGAGTACTACATGGAAAAACTTAATGACGAAGACTTTAAAATAAGGAGCTTAATAGATTCTGATAGGGACTGGTTCAAAAAAAATAAAGATTTACTCATATTAGTTTCACAATATCGGCCAATACTACTTTCTGAATCAATGAAAGATTATAAATCAATTGAAGATAATATTAAGGCACAAGGAAATATTTTAATGATTATACTTGAAGAAATTCTTAGAGATTTTAAGTATGGTATGGTATTTGGATTAGCTGATCATGAAAATAAAGGAGATGCTGCTATCAACTGGGCTCAGTATCGAGTTTTGGAATATTTTGGTATTAATATAGTATACTATTGTACCTCCAACAAGAGTCACAAAAACTGCGACCTCAATGAGTCACTTAAAATAGCAGAAAAATTACAACCACCCCCAATAATTATTTTAACTGGAGGAGGTAACCTTGGTAACTTATGGCCAGTATACGAAAATGAGCGTCAAAATATATTAAACCAATTTCAAAATTTTAATGTAATAATATTCCCTCAATCAATTGCTTTATCTAATTTAGCAGCTAAAAAACAATTTCAAAAACTGTTACTTTATCCAAATTTAAAAATATTGGTCAGAGATTTTTATTCATTCTCATTTCTAAGTTCACAATTAAATATTGACAATAGTAATTCAAATCTCCCAAAAATATACCTTACTCCTGATATAGTTACATCACTGGCTTTCATTAAAAAAGATAATTTTGGGACTGAAGTACAAGATCATAAAAAAATTTCGCCAAGCTGGGATATTTTATGGATCAGTAGACAGGATAGAGAAAAGAATCTCAAAGCCAACTTAGATAATGAAATCCCGAAGTTTGTTCATGAAAACAATGAGGAAAATGAGAACATAGATGCTGGATTGGCTAACAGACAACTAAAAACAAGTATTTATGTAGATGATTGGATCAAATACTCACCAACCCCATACTTTGGTGGAATTAAGAAAGGAAGGAACATATTATTATCAAAAGTGAATGCTATTCAACATAATAAACCAGCTAGAACTCAGAGCAATCCAAGTTTTGATTTTGGAAAAAGCAATGAAGCTACATTCGACGAATTTTCATATGGAGTTTCACTGCAGAGATTCTGCAGAGGATTAGAATTTATTTATCAAGGCAAGGTACTAATTTCTGACAGACTTCATGGTCATATATTAGCACTTTTATCAAATATGAAACATGTTTTACTGGATACAAAGTATAATAAGATCTCAAACTATTACAAAACTTGGACATATTCAATTAAAGATGAAATTTTAATTGCTGATTCAAATAACAATGCTTTACAACTTGCTAGTAAGCTAGTGATTAACAATGAAGATTTAAATCTTGATTTATACTACAATGAATGTTGAAATATTACAAATGAATTAAAATGGATCAATCTCATCAGGTGTATTTTCTTCAAAAGGATCAATATCTTCATTGTTGGGTATATTATCATCAAATGAATTGATAACTATAGATTCACTCTTTCTCAATAAATCACATACATCGGCTTGAATTTTTTCGGAACAATTTCCGGATATATTTGTAGAATTAAAGTTGTCTACATCATTTTCTAATAAATCCATCTCACCTTCAGCTTTTTCATTAATATTGTTTTTATAGTTATTAATATCAATATCATTACTTATATTACCTAACAGTATAAACCTTAATGTTTCTCTCTGGATATTAGTTATGTTTCCCTTTTTTGTCCAACTATACAAGCCATCTTTTGATGTGTCTTCTGAAGTTCCTTGTTGTTCTATAACAGCTTCCCATAAATCAATATCCTGAGATATAAATTCTTGGTTAATATCTCTCAGCCACTTTAAAAAGTAATCTGAAGCAAATAATGTTGGAGGGACGCATTGATTTATGACCAACTTTTCTTTATTATAAACGAATGAAACATCCCATAGATATTGTAAAAAGTGCCTTGCTATTGAATTAGAAGAGTCGTTATACCCTGAACAAAGTAAATGCATTGATGATAATAATGGAGAAGAACATGAGAGTGGTCTGTGTATTCCAATTTTGTCAAACACTAGGCTCAAAATCAATAGTAAACCAGCAGTAAAACGTGTTAAACAAGATTTTAATACAACAACCATATCTCCTCCTAATCTAATCATATTTAGAGCAATCATTAAGTCTGAAACAAATTCGTTGTGGCACTCAATTTCAAACTGTCCAATAGAATATGTTGGAATAATGTGGCAAAAAGGATCAATAAATATTAAATCATAATCAAATTTTTGGATCATATAGTCACTTGTGACTGCATTCAACACTTGTTTATATTGACTACAGAACCTAATTTCCTTAGATATATCGATAATCCTAACTTTATCATTTTGTTTCCTAGGGATATTTTTTCCCGAAGACTTTTCTTCATTGAAATTATTTACAAATGACAAATGACCTTCTAAATCCGAGACTATCAATATAGTACCATGATACTCAGACGAAATAATATTCATAATATAAGAAAGAGGAAATAACTCATAATATCCTCCAAATGTCCCATTGTATATTTCAAGATATTTCCCACGTTTAGCCAAATATTCAGTCATAGATGTGCTATTACCAAAAACCTTATTTAATTCACATAAAGATTCAAACAACGCTACTATATTTCTATTTGCTGGTATTTGTGAATATAAAGGATAATCATTGACTGATATAATATTATCTATTAAAGGGTCAACTGAGTTAGATGTATTGTGTGAGTTATTAAATTCTGTACCCAAGAATTTAATAAAGTCAAATGGAAGGACAACATTCTGACCTTCCTTATTGTGATATAAATTAGTGCCATAAAAAGTATCTATTCCACATGATATATTTCTCAGTGGCGTATTCACAGCTATTATTGTCTCACAATAGCGTCTTATGATGTCATCATTACAATATGGAGACATCTGCAATGCAAAGCTTGGGAATGATTGTACTTTATTAAAAAAGTGATCAGTCTCAAACATGTAAACTTGACTTTTTACTCTATCCATAAGTCTTTGATAAGTTGTGTCATCCTTTGACCAGTCCAACCAATTTGGTTTAATACCTTTAGGATATTTATCTAAGGGAAGAGTTTTCGTAAACATTGAATCTACACTAATCTCCTTCTTTATTGGAATCTTTATAATATTATTATTAGAATGAGGAGTTTGTGTATTTAAATCAGAACTTTGTATTGTATTTAATTCAGATTCTAAATAATCCTCAACATGGTCCTGATCTAAATTGTGGCTATTATCTAACAATTCATGCCAATATAACAGCTTTTCTTGCAATAAACCATCTGTATTTAATTTTTGTGCTACCTGTCTATATGAGACCAATGGAAAATAAAGTTTGGATCTAGTTTTCTGCAAATCTTCATATAGTTTAAATGCATATTGGCGATCAATATAAATTCCCTGTACGCGATTCCTATCGCCACCTTTCCGGCTTAAACTAGTTGAAAATCTAAATTCACTCTTTGTGTCCCTGTTCGGCAATATATATTGTGTTGGTGAAATATTACGTATATCTAATTTTTGTATATACTCTAAGGCAAATAACCTTCTTTCTTTCTTACTTACACTGCAAGTATTTAGTGAGTCTTTTAGCTTCTTCTGAACCTTTTCATCATCAGAATCTACAATATCGCAAAACTGATATTCAAATTCTTTATTTCCACCATTGCAAAGTCTTCTTTTCTGTACATTATTATCTAGTATAAAAGATCTAAATTTGATCAAATTTCTTGTTATATAGTCAATTTGCCACTTGCAAAACAAGGTGCCAGCAGTCACACAATTCTTTATAAACTCTTGAGGGACCCATTCACGTGGTAATAAAGCGATATCATTAAATCTACTTTTATTTTCTTTAAAATGTAAAGTCAGTGATTTTAATAAAATTGATCTTATACCTTGGAAGTTTAAAGCCACAATGTATACCTCACTATTTCCACCTTTACTCATAACTGGTTTAACAATATGTACTTGGTTAAAGCAGTAATATAATAAAGCAAGAAGGGATATTGTAGTATGATGAAAAATATTAAAGCATTTTACTATTAAAGATCCATGTTTACGTAAAATACCAAGGCCACATACAACCTCACAATACTGAATACAAGAAGTTAATTGCTCTTGCTCATTAGGATTATATTGAGTATCTATAGAGCCATCTGCTGTTACTAAATCAGCTAACCAACAGCTTTTTGTATTCTTCGAAGTCTTTGACCATATATAGTGGATATTATCACAATTAGTAATATCTCCACTATCATCAATACCCATATTCCATACCCTGTAAGTATCACGATAAATTATATCATCATTTAGTACGTTATATGGATTATGGCCCTCATAATATGGATTCAATGAGTTCGCCTTCCATTCCCATAGTATCTTTCCTTTGTTCTGCCTTTGTCTCTTATTCAAAACATTGTTATGGATATAGTGATTCAAAGCAGAAATAAACCCTCCTGGGCATTCACACAAATGCATACTTCTGTACTCATTCTCATTAATCATTTCATACCACCTAAAAAAAGATAATATCTCGTATAATTTGCACCATCCAGTTGTTGGGAGTTCAATAGGAATATTTCTTAGCTTATAGATTATATCCTGAGCTATATTTGTAGACCTGGTAAAATCTTGCCAAATCTCTATATCAATCGAATTAAGTTCAGATCTCACACCATCTAATTGAGATTTTAATAAATCCAATTCTTCTATGCTATATCCTTCGGACTTTCCAATATTCTCTTCAAAACTTCTGCAATAACAGTCAACTTGTTTCTTAATACATAATACACATGGCTCTTCAGAAATAGGAATCTGTAGCCTTAATGATTCACTCACAGGAAAGCTGTATATTCTAAATTCTGGCTTTGCCATATATTTATAACCCCAATTAGCTCTCCTATTTGCTAATAATAGCAATAATTTTCCTTTTTAAAAAAATATTGGCGGTAAATTGTCTAATTTTTTTTTTTCTGATAGGCAGCTACCGACGTGATAGAAACCGTCATATTGTATTGTAAATACTGAAACTTAGAAAGGGGAGGTTATTCAGAAGTTTACTAAAAAAGAATAAAGTTAGTATCTATTATTTTCAGATTAGCTGTAAGCTAGTTTTAACTAAAAAAAAAGTATGGAAGACCTAGAAGATAATGAATTATCTATTTTAGAGGAGAAATTAGGTATTTCAGCGAATTCCTTCCTAGAAGTTTCGAAATCTAATAAGCGAAGACAAGCTTTATACAAGTCTATTGAGGAAGAAGGTATTGGTGAGGATTTTATGGGCTTATTAGATGGTATCATTAGCTCTGTGAAAAATAAGAGACAAAAGATACAAACAAAAGAACAAATAAAGCAAACTAAGAGGACAACTAAACAAGATTTAATATTCAATAATACTTTTGATAGTCAGGAAATAAATACAGATGAAGTTTCTAAATGGCATTGTAAATATAAGTTAAAGTTACAAGGCTTTCTAAATCGTTTAAGTGAAGGCAATATGACAATTATAACTAAGGGTATATTTGAAACTATTCAAAATTTTGTAAAGTCAGGTATTGAAATTTCTATTAATTGTGAACATTTACTTAATAAATTAAGAATTGAATGTATTACAAAGGCATTAAATGTTTGGGAAGGTGAGGAAAAGCTAAAAGTACAAAAAGAGATAGATTCAAGATTAACAATAATTTTTGATATATATCAATGGACATTAGTTGAGATGTTTATGCAGAATTGTATTACTCAAAGTCAATCTACATTATCACTAATTACTGTATATACTTGTGTATTTGGTGCACTTGGAGGACTATTTAGATCAAAACATTTAATAGAAAAATTAATGTATAGTATAAACTTAATATATAACAAGACATTGCAACAACTTATTAATTGCTTTTTAACAATTAGAAATTCAAATGAAGATAATGAAGAACTATATCATATTAGATTTATTTTACGTCACTGTATTTTAGTGTTAATGACAGGTTATCGTTGTGGATATATTTCTAGTTCCTCCCTTTTAAGCTTTATTGAAGAGGGAGTATTATATAAAAAATATAAAGATGAATGGATATACTGGGAGTGTTTATTGGATAATATAGTAATTTTAATGCGAGGAGTTTGTAGTAATTTAAAAGATGAACAACCAGAAGTATTTATCAATATATCAAATAATATACAAAACTTAATTTCAAATATTAGAGATCCTGAAGTAAAAAAAGATGATAAAGATTTTTTAATTTCTAAGAAAGTCCTAGAATTTTGTACAACTCCTCAAAAACTAAAATTTATTCTTGATGAGCTAGAAGAACAATGTAAAGCATCTTTAAGTATGAGAAGGAGAAGTGGGATGATTGAAGACCAACTAACAATAGTTCAAAATTGGTATTCCATATGTCCATTACTAAAGCCATTACGTACTTTTAATAATAAAAATATAAATAAAATACCTTCAAATATTGGGTTTTTAGTTGAATATAACTGGTTGAATAATTTAGATATCAATCTTATTATAATGAATACAGGTATTAGTGATCAAATTAATAGGTTTCACGAAACATTTGGAATTGAATTTGATACAACTAAGGTAGAAAGCTTATATATTAAAGATAGATCTAAAGCAATTAAAGATATATCAGAAAGTGTTGATGAATTTCCTACAGATAAATTGATAGATTTAGCAAATAAAATGCGTTTAAGCTCAGATATACAGAGAAGTGTCTTTATAGCTATAATGGGAGCCCACGATGTTCTGGATGCAATTCAGCGTCTAACATCCTTAAATTTGGCACAATCTAAGACATATATAAGGACTTCCGTAAATGTTATATTTTTGTTATCTCTCTCTGAAAAGGCATATAACCCATTTTATGTAGAGATTATAAAGAATTTGGTAAACTTACCTAGTAATATGTCAAAAAAATTTTTAAAGGAGATAAACCAATGTCTAATTCAACAGATAGGGCTTATAAATTCATTTAAAATTAGGAAAATTTTAATTTTAAGTCAAATTTTGAAGGAATGTATTTTTGCAGGAATTGTAAACATGAAAATTATTAGATTTATACCATTAACAGATGTACATTCATTAGCAGGGTCCTGTGGTCTTTTTTTAAGGGAACTTATTTTGCATTTATTATTAAAACAGGTTGAAGATAATGATGATACGTTAGCTACTAATTTAATACAGCCTGTAATGCAAATGTCTGATATTAAGGAAGCCGTGTTATTTGTACTGCAGAATTTAATTTTGCCCGCCTTAGGATCTTTTCCATGGAATAACACAAAGATTACCTTAGCTGATGTACTAAAACTGTGCAAGAAACTTGAGATACAACCCTAATATTTTATGTACTATTAGATATATTTAGCACTTTTGTATATATTCTTGAATCTAAAGTTTTTTAATATTTGAAGAGGTTGGGAAATAACTTTATTTAAATACTTAGATGAGTAGATCTCTTTACCCTAAAGAATTCTATGTTTCTACTAGCGATGGTGTCAGTTTATTCTGTCGTAGCTTTGGAACAATAGAGAATGAAAATTCAAATTCATTATTGTTTGTAATGGTACATCCTTACAGTTTTATGGGTGGATCAAGTGCTAATATGGCTGGTTTAGCATATAGACTTGCTGAAGATGGTTATGGCAGTATAATTTTCGATCAAAGGGGTGTTGGGAAGTCTACTGGAAGTAAGTCTATTTTTGGAAATAGTGAGATTTTAGATGTAGTTGCTGTATGTGAGGATATAGAGAAGAGAGACAAAGGAATACGAATCATTTTGATTGGTTCTTCTGCTGGAGCACCAATTGCAGGTTCAGCAGTTGACAAATGCAGGAATATAATAGCTTTTATAGGGATTGGTTATGTGTTTGGATTTTGGCCTTCTTTTTTATTTAGGCAGCATTATGATAATATTTTGAACTCTAAAAAGCCCAAATTATTTATAATGGGTGAATCAGATGGTTTTACCTCAGTAGAAATACTAAACAAGGTTTTAGAGAAGTAAGTATATATACATAGTTTATATTGTCTATATTTTATAATATTCCCCCCTTAATGTATTTTAGATGCCAAGAACCTAAGTCTAAATGTATTGTCCCAAATGTTGGACACTTCAAGTTAGAGTCCCCATATTATGACAATTATATTGCAGAGAAAATACTAAGTTTTATAAAGACACTTTAAATGTAAATTGTTACAAGTGTTTAATTTACTTCCTTCATTGTTTTCTAAATTTAAATATTTCACTAAGAAATATTATGATATCTTCTATATAGTTAATATTCATTGTAATATGAATGCTACAAAGATTGCAATAATTGATCAATTCACCTAAAATTGTCTACAGCTTAGTATCTGAATCATTTGATTCTCATTAAATATTGCTTGGAAACATAAATACTCTTACTCTACCACCAAAGCTTGATGGTGGTAATGCCTTTCTGAATCTAGCACATACAACTCCACTATTCCCATAGCTCCTTCTTATTAGACCCATAACAGCACGGAATCTTGTCCCATTTTTTATTTTCTTTGCCTTGTAAATATATGCACAGCGTTTCCCAAGATAGAATCTGGTATCTTCCTTAGTCTTTACACCTTCGATTTTCAATAACGAGATATTTGGAGTCTGTCTCACCTTTGATCTCTTATAGCCTGTTACTACAGCTCTTGCATATAGGCGAATTGGCTCAATTGTCTTGTTCTTAAAACTCTTTGCTTTCTTCTGTATTGTCATTTCTCTTATATCCTTACTCCCCTAATATGAAGTTGACTTAAACCTATTATGCCAATTACTTTTTGATTTTAGATATTTCTCAGTATTTCTTTATATGCCTGATTTAGAAGTTTTACCCGGTAATATTCTTTAGCACTGCAGTATGATATAGACATATTTTTTTTGTCTTGTTGTCTAATAGAACACTAAGCAATGAAACTTTGTCTCGCAAATCCGTCTCGTCTCATTCTGGTTTAATTATAGCCATTATTGATAGCGCTTGCGCTAGTTGACATTTACTTATTGTATAAGTACAAATAGGTCATATTCAACAACCTAGGGTTTCACATCAATAATGAGGTTCATATTAGGAAATCTATGTGCCTACTTGTGTCTTACTTCCTTACTATTGAAATTTAAGTGTGTAAGATCTGCAAAGTACACTATTGAACCTGCTTTGGCTTTATTACCCTGGACATCAAATAATGTTTCAGAGATTCGGATTAGAGTTAGCGAAGGGTGTTTTGAGTGGAAATATGATATAACTGAATATTTAGAAGTTAGTAATTATGAAATCCGCATAGATGAAAATGGTAAGGATTGTACAGATGCTATTTTTATTAGATCTTTATGGCCTTTTAAAGATATTAAAGGTATATTTCCAATTATAGCTATAGAAAAGTATACAGGTGAAATTTTGCGAAGTGAGGTTCATGTTGCAAATATTGAGAGTATTAATATAAGTACAAGCTCAAAGAGAATAAGACTAGGTTTTTTAGAAATGTTGAGTGCAGTGGGGTTTGATAATGAAGTTAATACATTCACTTCACTACAAGGAGTAAATATAGAATGGAAGATAAACAACGAGAATATTGTTGCTGATTCTTTAGAGGGTCAAACAATAACAGTTCATGGCTCCAAAGTTGGATCAAGTATAGTTAGTGCAATTGTAATTGATTCAAATGGTTTGAAAATTACAGAAACTAGTGTTGTTATATACGTGGAAGACCCATTTAGGGTTATTCCCTACTCTAGACAAGCTCCATTCGGTTCTATATATCCAATAAAATTAATTAAGGAAGATTTCAGTGATTTGTTGCTTAATATAAACGATAGAGAATACTACAAATGTTATATATCTAGCGAACTATCTTCAAAAATTCCTAGTGATACTATTCTTGATAATAACTACTTACTTATTGGGTATCCTGATCCAAATGAATCTTCTTTACCAACTATTACAGTATCATGCGTAGATAAAAGAGTTGAGGGTAGTTCATCAATAAGCAAAACAACAGTTTCGTATCCAGCGAGTATAAAGTTAGGCTTATTAGAGTCTGATACTATATCTAGAGATGAGAAACTAAACAAAGACAACTTAGCTGACTTTATAGATTCGTATTATATAAAGGGTGAAAGCTTAGTTAAGCAAACAGGAATGTTCCAACATGTACTTGCTAAGGATGAGTTAGTTATAACTAGGGAACAAGATGCTGTCGTTCAAATAAAACTTCTTAACAAGGCTGGTAAATTCCTTTCAGTTCCTAAAAATGCTGAATTTAACATTATCTGTCTTAAGAGTTGTGAAAATGTTAATATAAAACCTTATAGTTTAGATCAAAATTATTTGACATCTTTCTTATCTATTCAGGGGATAAAAGTTGGTACAAGTCTTTTCACTTTGAGTTTGGAATCTATAGGGTTGATGAAATATGGTCAAGGGAAAGATGAATATTTAACATCTATTAATTACTCTTTCACTATAAGTGTAATTGAGCCTTTAAAAATTACTATCAAAGATTTACCTGTAGTTTTACATCCTGGTAACCAGACATTTATATTACATGATAAATTGACTGGGGGGACAGGAAACTTTCATTTTTGTAATCAAAATAATCAAATCATTAATATTGATCCTTACAATGGGAATTTGGTAACTAGTGACGTTAATGTAGGCTTTACAATGATAAATATTTTAGATATTGGTATTTTATTTCAAACTAATCGAAATTTTACTACTCAAGATTTATGTAAGGATTTTCTAAAATATCAAATACTTAATCTGCCCATAATAGTAACTTTTTTGGATAAAATATCATTTGATGCTAATAGTTTAGATACTAATTCAGCTTATATACACAATAATACTTTATATATTTCATCAATCCATCCAGCTATTACTTTAGAAATTCAAGCATTTGGATCAGCAGATGGAATTGATATACCAAGAAATCCTGAATGGTCAAATTTAGAAAGGCTCAAGTACACTGAAATGATATCTATGAGTAACCTTTCTGTTTTTAATCCATGTAAACTCTACTTTTTATTATCTAACAAGAGCTTGGTCGTTAATTCAAATGAAGATAATCAACTGGCTACCAACTTACAAGTTTGCAGAGACTTGTTAGCTGAAGGAAGTTGGCAATTTACCTTTAGAACAAATGAAACTTTGCAACCAGAATTTGTGTCATTATATTTTCAACATAACAAACTAGTTGTACTACCCAATTCTAGTGGTACAATATATGTGCCAAATATTACTCAAATATATATCTTTGGACAAATGCAAAATCAATACTATGAATTTCCTGCTTTAACAACTTCCCTTAAACTGGAAATTTATTCTGAGATTAATGTGATACCACGTATCTCACCATTCCTTCAATTTTATATAAACAACGGCTCATATAGAATAGAAAGTCAAAGTTATATTGACGTCCAATTAAAAGGAGGAATAAGAAGTTCTAGTTCAGAAATTCTATATTTATTAGAGGCTCAGATATTAAAATATGGAGAAATAAAGGATATTAATTCAGAAATTGTGAAAGTTGACAGGCTATTAAGTGGAGATGATGTATTTAGAATTGGCTGTAAATCTTTAGGTCAAACTGCTGTGAAGTTTTCCACTTCTATTCTAGATAATGATTTTAAAATTGCAACTACTGATACAAAAGTATATGTAGAGTGCTGTCAAATTGATAAACTCAAAATTTTCTGGATATCAGATGATGAACTAGAAACTAGTATCCCCTGCAATTTGCAATATGAAGATTGTCATGACTTATACATAGATTCTACATCTAAACACAAGTTTGGAGTATTTGCTTATGATTCTAATAAAGAGGATTACCCTTTATTATCATTTAATAATTTTGCTGTAGAGTGGTATTTTGAGGATATGAAGGAGAGTAATGAACTCTCATACAACTTTCTGGATGACTATATTCAAATATGGGTATTATACAATGAATCAATATCCAAGTTTAAAGATATTTCACTTTTAGCTTCTATCCACAGTTTATCTGAGGATTCAAATATAGCTTATAAGTATCTAGCTAATATAAAGGTTATATTAGTGCTTCCACCAAAACTTGTTTCACCAAACATGATTATTGACGATAATCGGGATATTTATAAATATAATGAATCTCCAAGTTGGAGCCTGTTAAGTGGTACTCACGAGTTGGGTATAATTTATGGATCTGGCAAATTTAACATTTCTCTTACACTAATGAATAACAAAAATTATCCTGATAACTTTCTAAACCCCACTCTAAATTACTATCAAGAAAAAAAGGAATCTAACTGGCAATTTTTGGATATATTTCCTTTTCACTTAAATACCTCATCTTTCTCTGGAACATTCACTTTGACAGTTATGGATGAACTTACTCTCCCAAAATATACTATAAAGAAACAAATATTTATAGGGAAAGTAGCAAGAGCTGAACTTGTGTGGATTGGACAAGTCAATTTACTTGGTAATATAGATTCTACAAATAAGATGACTGATATATTGAATGAAGATGTTAGTCTGGATGAAGAGTCAAACTATATGACTGATCAATTATCAGCTATAGAGTTTCAAATTCCCTTTTCCTATTATATTTACTTAAAAAACTTGAGACAGTATTATGATCCTCCTTGCTTTGAATTAAACTGCTTACTTTCGAATAGTGCGATGTCATCATTTATGGTGATTTTATACGATGAGAATAACCGAGTTCTCGAACCCTGGCAAAGTGATTTAATTGATGTTCAAATAAAACATCAAGAGAAACGAATGAACAATATATTGAATTCTTTAGATATTCTTGATATCTTTCAACATCCAGAAGAAGATTTAAATATAGTAGTAAACCCTTTAAGAAATTCAAAGGTTACCTACATTATGAATAGTGTAAAGAAATCAAATATAATATTGACTTTAGAGTTGAATGTTAACTCAGTAAAAACGAATGCAATTAACCTAATGGTATATCCAGATGTTGAGGTCGAATCTAATTCTCAACATATTTCTTTATTCCCTCATGGTTCACCTTTTAGCTTAGCCGTTTCTGGAGGTCCTTGGATATCAGCATTCAATAAATTCACCTTTACATGGGATGTATCATCTAGTAACCAAAAAGTTATACTTGTGAGGAAAGCAAGTCAGAGAATTATAGAACCTCTTGGCGTAATTGGCTATTCAGTTATTACCGTTAAACTCTTAGCTTCTGCAAATTCAATTACCTTCCAAAATGTAGTTATTTTTAAAAGGTCTATCAAGGTCTTCGTTGAATTTCCACATAAGATTGATATTTTGTCTCCAGACTATTTCCAAGTTTATGTAGGATATCCTAAACTTTATACTCTTATAGTATGGACAAAGGATGAAGATTTACCACCTATTCATCCAAGTCAGCTTATACCATCACTCTTGACTTCATGTAAAATCGATTGGAATATATTGTCTAGTGAATCTGAATATTCACACAATTCAAATATATCATGTATATATCCTTTAGACTCTAATCAGGATATAAAAAGTCCAAAGTCTCTAATAGAAGGATATCTTGAATGTCCAAACTCACTGGACTCTTATTATGAATTTATTATATCTCTAGCAACTTATAAAACTGGAAGTCTTACTCTGAATGCTAAAGTTTCTTGTTCTTTTAACTCAAATTCCACATTTGATCTTAGTGTTTCAAAGAATATTGAAAGCTTAAAACCAATCGACTTTATTTCGAATAATCTTTGGCTAATTAGCGATACATTGTATAATCTCACCATTCCAGCAGATATAGAAATTACTTCTTATGGAAATACATATATTAAAATAACAGTAGAAGTTTCTCAGATCATTCATATTGATACTAGTTCTAAGGTCAATGATAATATTGTTCTCATAATGGAAGACAAAAGATTAAAATCAAAGTTTAACAAAACATTCCTTCCTATTACTATTTCAGAAGTTAAAAATGTGAGGATATCTTTTCAAATTGATGAACAGAGATATTATATTATTTCAATTTTACCCCTAAATTCAATGGGAATACCTCTTAAAGTTTCACATCACTTTTGTCTGCAACTATCAATTAGGCTTCCATTTGAGGAAGATATCAAAGGTTTACAACTAACTCAAGTATATACTTTGAATAATAATAAAATCAATGATAGGACTTTTCCATCTCCAGATTTACTTTTTGAAATTGAAAACAGAAGTAATCTATACTCTTTCTGCGAATTTAGAGTTGTGGCTAAATCTCTCTCTTTATATAGAAGAAATTCAAGTGTTATCTCTTCACTATCTGCGAATTCTGCTTCATTGTGTCTAACAATATCAATCTACCGTGGACCTATTTTTCTGGGATCTCAACCATTTTGTAATTTTGATGATACTTTAATACACGAACCAGTTGTTTTATCATATCCTCCTGCATTATTACCTTCTAATCAAAAATACAAAATATATGTACTTCCAGGTTCTAAAATTCATCTGAATACTTTGGAATGGGAAATAAAGGGCATAATTCCTAGTATACTTAGATTTTATACTTTAATTAATAATATAGATCAGATGGTAGATATAGAATATGCAGTTGAAACTGAAGTAGCATCAATATTGGATATTCCGTTAGATAAAGTATCTGCAAAATTAGTTAAAGAAATTCCTCTTGATTTGAAAGACATGGAATTTGTAAATTCTTCAACTTCCTTTATTTTTATCACAATTAATGCTAGGGTAAGTCCTATAAGGTTATGGCAAGATCTCAATCTAAAATCAATAAACTTACTAACAAGACTTGGTATTTATTGGATTAATGACCATGATAACTCGAAAGAATGGAGAATTATTTCATTAAACTCTTCATCTGAGTTTATTAAGATGAATATTCTAAATATACCAACTGGAGACTCTTATATTGGAACTTGTTTAGTAACATCTTTGTCAAATATTGTTGAATTTGAAATCTGCATCACTTCTTTTAAAAATGCTATGACAAATTTAGTGTTGTCAAACTCAGGTTCTCTATTTTTAGACAATCCATGGGCATTTGAAATTATTCCTACTATAAAAGAAACTAAATCAGCAACAAATTCTAATAACTTTAGCTTTTCATGGAATCCCATTTATAGCAACTTATTTTATACCTCTCCTATTTATAAATTCCATTGTAACATAGATCAAGACTTTCTTAATAGATTTTATACTACTGAGAGCTATTGGAAAATGCATCAAAGTGCCTCTAAAAGTTACATTATAGTTCCTTCTTGTAGTTTAATTCCAAAAATACACAATTCTAAATACTCACCTAGTACTCTTGAAAAACTTACATATGGAACCAAGCCTCCTCATAGATTTGGAATATTAACAAACCTTTCCTCTGGAATATCAATACTAGAGTTGTTAATAACTGATGATACTAAATTATACAAGAATAAATATACGATTGGATATATACCATTCAAGGTTCATCCTATTATTTTAGAATCTCAAAGTTCATCTTTCTTAACTGAAGAGAATGTATCAACAAAATTTCTGTGGAACTCTAATGGCTATTTTATTAGTATCACAACACCTTATTATATAACAAAAACTATTAAACTACCAATTGACTTGAAATTTTGGTTTGGTAATTCAGATACAAGACTTTCAGCAACTTCTATTAGATCTTTAAATCCAGATAACTACCAAGTATACTTTAGTACAAACAAGTATCAAGGAGGCTTGGTACAAATTAAACAAAAAGATTTAAATAATATTCCTATTGCTAGTAATGTACTTTTATCTGGTCTCAATATTTCAATGGAATTTGTAGATAAATTTTTTAAACACGAAATTGAGATCATTTTTACTCCTGAGGAATCCAGAGAAAAGGATCACTTGCTAGAATATCATATAACCAAAAGTTATAGATATATTTGGAGTAAAATCTTATATACCTTTATAGTTCTTACAATCTCTATTGGTACAATTGCATATATAAAAATATTCAGGTTTAAAAATAAGACACAAGTTGAGAAGATAAATTCACCTTTTAGAAAATTAAATACGATAAGGTGTTAATCCATGAAATGAATTTAAATTGAAATTGACTTAGGAAAAGATAAGTAGAAATTAGTGCTTAGATATTATATACATTAATATTAGTCTTAACTTCTACCTTTATTGTAGAATAATTAAATAGACATCAGGTTAATATGAAAATATGGGGTACCTGTAAGATATATTTAGTTAAGGATATTCAAATTGAAGAAAAATTGAGTCTCTTATCTCAGTCGAAAGATGGTAATTAAGTTATATTCCTCAATATAATTCGGAGGACATGGATTAAGAAATACATCCCTGAAGAGAGCTCTTAATATTTATATACATCAACTTACCATATCATATTGGATCTTAGCAATTGAAATCCTTGCAAGCATCAATGGAATTAAAAACATAAGGTCTATATAGTGATTCAAGAAAAAAATACATAATATCAATAAGGAACTCGGAAATGCAGCCTTGTAAAGCATCATTAGAAGTGGAATACGATATATAACAGCCAATAAAGGACATATTGAAAGCAAAAAACAAGATATATAAAAAACTCCTTTAGCCTGAATAGCATTATGGATAAGTGTATTGTATAAAGGGCTTAAGTTTGGATTTACAATTAGTAGAATAATAGATACCAATGCAATAACCAAAGATATACTATAAAGAGATCCCCAAAGTAAAAAATCACGGCGAATAATTTCCAATTCGCTAGATTCACTAGAAATAATAACTGTTGGTTTCTCAAGATGACCCCCTCCGGATGAATCTATATCTGAATCTATTAAACCAGGGCAAATAGAATCTGCTGAAGGATGAAATCCCAATGCAATAGTTGAATCTGGAAATAAGAGCTGAGTTGGAATTGAACTATCAGTGCATGATCCTAATGTTAAAGAGTTCTGAAAAAATAAAAAAGGTGCATCTATATCCAGCTGGCTTCTCCTAATGCGACGTCTTATTGGTGACATCACACATGTACATATATATAAATAAACAAATTTATATATTCTGTAATATTCCTTATATAACTAGAGATATTTCCAAATCATTATGTAATAAATCTTCAAAATTTAAAAATTGCTTGTACCCTAAGAAGTTTAAAATATATAGCGCTTTATATTCACAAATATTGAGACACCGCACTATGTATTTTGTAATATATTAATAATGAAATATGGAGCGCTATTCATTTTTATATTAGACGTGAATTAATTAACAAGAGGACCCCCTCTACACTATCGCCGTGTGACAATAAGAGTAAGATTTAGTCACTACTTTACTTTTAGTATAAATTGCAATTTTAGAAAATGGGTCATGGAGCCAGTCGATATAAGAAGGCAAGAGCCAAGATGCGATGGAAGTGGAAGAAGAAGAGAACACGTCGTCTCCAACGCAAGAGACGTAAGATGAGACAACGATCTCGATGAGTCATTGCAACTATTTGGCAGTTTAGTAGTTTAATGAAAGTGGAAAATCCTGAGGGGTTTCAATAGTGGATTTTTACTATCTTCTTAATTGAAAGGGGAGGTTGATTATAGTCTAGAATAATAATTACTAAGTTTTGTCGACATATCAGACTTCTTTTTATTGTTTCACTAATATATTTAGTTATTGGACCTAATTCAGTTTATTTCCTAATATTGAATTTGATAGTACAAATATATTTATTTACATATATCCAATGTAATGGTATATTTAGTAGTGTACTAAATTTTAAACTTCCAAATTCAATATAAGTTGGTTTCACGGCTATACAATTTATTATGTATTTAACTTTGTGTTATTCATAGCTTAATTTTATCTAAGTATTTTTTCTACTATATTATTTACAAATTTACCTAAATATTGTTATCAAACCTTGTAAATAGGTATTAAATATAAAAACTTAGTGGGTAAGCTTAATTCATTTCTATTTTAAATTATTCCTTTAAAATGATAAAATATCAAATTAACTTTGCAAATATAATCTTTAGTGTCTTGATATAGTTAGGATGTATCTCTAGCTCTCTTTAAATTATAGTTGTATGCTATAGTGTTATCTGAACTGAAGTTTATATCCACTAGCGTGCATTATCGAAACATAATATTATTATATGGAAGGTACTTTACAAGGGATTTTTAATACTTTAATGGAGAGTATATTAAATCTAACACATAATGGTTATTCTGTATCTAAAAATGATCTTCGTGATTTCTGTACACAATTTATTTATATTGAATTGATTACACTATCTTCATGTTTTGCACTAAGATTCTGTTAGTTCTCATATATATTTCCTCTGGGTAATAATTTTGAATTCATATTATATCAAGAATTGGTAATTTATTAGTTATATTGAAGGAGCAGCATAAAGAGTTCAAAATTATTGTGATAGATTTACAAATATATTAACTCAGGTTGCTGTAACACTTATGAGTAAGGTATGTAATTTATTTTCTAATTATTCATTAGTTATGATACATTCAGATAAAATAACTAATGTATCTTTTTTCAGCTCACATCATTATTCTTATTATTGGGTATAGTTTGTATTGAGTTATTTGCTTTAATTCCATTATTATCTGCAGAAAGGAAGCTACCAATTATAGAATACGAAAATCAAACAAGAGAAGCTCAATTTAGAAAAATATTGATAATAACTAAAAATTATGAGAGAATATTTAATATAAATATTACCTGTGATTCATTTGCAAGAGTTCATTAAATATATATAAAGTGTACCTTCATTTAACATATATAAATGTGACAAATAATCTTATCAATTTACTTGAGTAGTATATATGTGGTTTATTATTGGTTCCAGCTCTTGAAAGAGGTGAATTATCATATAATAATTTTTGTGGAATTGATAATACTACTTTATCACTTCTTGATATTATATCAACTGTTAAAAATTATTAGCCAAAACTTATTGAATTGACATCTGTTCATAGATTACTAGTAATATTCGAAAATATAATTAATAGGAGTAAAGATAAAAAGTTATATATGAGACTATTCTACTTACTACAAGATGTAATAATAGTATATATAATTTTTTTTTTTTTTTTTGTTAATCTTATTTCATTATTGTCTTAAAATTACTTCCGGACTTATATATCAATTTAACCAAATAAATTTATTCCACCTTTCTACTGTAACTAAACGAAAGTATTTCTACAAATATATACATAAACATACATACATACATACATATGTCAAAATTAAAAGAAAAAAAAAGTTCCCACAGATTTTATAAAATTAGTGTGCACAGTAGCCACGTGATAATTTGGCGCTATATACTGAATTCATTCTTGTTTAAAAAATATTAAAAATAGTTATTTTACTAGATCCAAATAATATTAATGCAAACTTCATGTTTAGAATTTTTAAACTCACTGGATTTTGAAAATGCCTTTTCAAAGCGTGGTATAATAAGTACCTTAGTGGGTATTTTTTTAGGATTAATAGTATCAATAACAGTAAACAGTACCCTTGTAGAAATCAGCCTATCTCTATTTTTCTCAACATATTTTGGTTTATTATTTATTGGAATTGGTTGTTTAATATATTGGCGTGTTTCTGTTACTTTTCAACAAGTTACTGAAGAACAGGGCTTAGATAAACGAAGATTTCTCTTGATATTTGCCGGTATAATTATGTTATCAGGATTACTCTGTTTCATGCTAGAAAAAGAATGGTTTGCTGGATTATCCGCTTTGTTACGTGTACCTATTTATTCTATTTTAGGTTTGTCAATATCTTTTGCCTTAGCATTTTCTCTTGTGGATGTTGTTAATTATATATCAGGATTAATAATGGGCCCTGAAAGTCCATTACTTATTAGTTCTAGATCTCAAATTTTATTGGTTATCTCATCTTCACTTATTATGGGTTGCTTATTTGGTTTGATTTTTGGATTAGTAGAAGATTCACATTCGCAAGTTCACTATATCAATATTTCACTTATGAAACAAAAACATTATTGTTATACTATTGGTATTATTCAAGGAGCTATTTGTGGTTTTGGAAATGAAGTTTTAAGGGTATCAGACAAATCTTATATGACAATGGGGAGAACCACTTATGATTCTGAAGTATAAATGTTACATTTTAGCTACTTTTTTTTTTTCTTTAATTTCCTATACATTATTTTTAATAAATCCTAATCATAAGAATTTATACATCCTATTATTATAAAGTATATTGAAATTTATAGATATCCTATTGCTATTGAATTAAATTAGATCAGATATTTGATTAAATAGAAATAGTTTTATTTAAATTATGTATAGTACTAATATAGTAATATAACTTATTTATTTTACAAGCTATTAAAAGATAGTAATCCCGCATAAGCTTACCTATTACTAAAGTAAAGAGGACCCATTGGAAGTATGTTAATAAAAGTAATATAGCTTTCAAAAGTATTTGTGTATAATTAAATACATATACTTAATGATATCATCTAAAGTGAAATTAGTAAGCTCAGAGGGAGAAGAATTTGAAGTAGATATATGTGTAGCTACAGCTTCTACATTAATACGCAATATGATTGAAGGTAAATTACTAAGGAAAAAAATCTTAATATAATAAGTAAAATATAAAGTTGATATTATTATTACTTTTACTTTTTTAATAATTTCTTTAGATGTTGGGTCTGAGGATCCAATTCCATTACCAAATGTCCGAAGTGATGTTCTTAGAAAAGTCATCGAATATTGTAAGCATCACGTAAATAATCCAGCTAAAGAAATCCCAAAACCACTAAGAAGCAATAGTTTAACACATATAGTTTCTCCTTGGGATGAAGAATTTGTTAATATTGAACAAGAATTACTGTTTGAACTTATGCTGGTAAGTTAAAATACTTTTATTAAAAGATAAATTCAAATATTGGAGATTTAATATTAATTCTGGAAATGTTATTGTTATTAATTATTTATATTTATATTAGACTGCTAATTATATGGATATTAAGCCATTATTAGATCTTGTATGTGCAAAAGTAGCTACAATGATAAAAGGAAAGAAAGCCGAAGAAATTCGTCAGATTTTTAATATACAAAATGATTTTACTCCTGAAGAGGAGGCAGCTGTTAGAGAAGAAAATAAGTGGTGTGAAGAACCTTAGGACTAGTTAAATTATACTTTTTTTTATTAAATTAATTAGTACTGTGGAATATTCTATAAACTGTAAATTTATTCATTTTAGTCACTTTTTTGCAAATACAAGATTGATATTATAGAATATTTCAAATATTTTGTATTTATAGTTCTTGCACTAAAAATTTTAATAATATTATAGTATCTACTATTTTCTATAATTTGATCAATTTAATGAGTAGATCTTAACTTAAAAAGAAATTTGCAATGCAAAATAACTACCTTACTATTTATAAAATTGTAATATTTTAATAAAATAACAATACAATAACTATTTTCCCTTACTAAAAGTTTCAAAGTTTAAAATATTTATACTAGTAAAGATAAATTATACTTAAATTAATTGATTTAAAGATTTTTTTCAAGGATATAACTTAAATCATTGTAACTTATTCCCTCAATTAATTAATGAGGTATTACATTTTAATATATACAATATTAACTCAAATTTTTCTATTTATAATGTATACATTAAGAAACCTGCAATAATTTTGTATTTTTCTTTGTTTTTATTTAATATTCTATTAAGTCCCTTCAAGTTTATTAGATACTGTCCCATAATTATTTGTATTAATACTTTTTGTGATTACCTTAAGAAAAATAAAATCTATATTAATAAAGAAGTTTTTGTTTGTATGTATGCAAATATTTCAACTATTTAAGTATTATTTTAAGTTTATCTTACAAAAATTTGTGGTCTTCTTACAAAAATATAACCCTTACCTAGCCAAAATATTTAAATTTCCTCTAATATTATTAATTTCCTTCAATATGGTTCGGTTCAAGACTTAAAAAACTTCTGGTTAATTTAAAAAGATAAAGACATAAAAATTAAATTTTAAGTTTTAAGCTAAAATAGGTTTTAGTTTTTTATTATGGGATTATTAAGTAGGATAGCTAGTGGTTTATATTTTGGTGGGAATTATATTGATACAATAAGATGTAAGGAGAGAAAATGTATTAGGTCAAAAATTATTGGTAGCTCAACCAAATTGTTAGAGAGTCAATCATCACATTGTGCATCAGGGAATACAGTATTAAGAAAATTATGGCCTAGAAATTCTTCTGAGATATCAACAAGAATAGATTCTAATGAGGAATCACATAGTTTAAAAAGTTCATGAGACAAATTCATCTACTACATTTCTCATACCTAAATCAAATTTAAATGAGACTCAGGATTATCTAAAACTAGGGAAAGATAGAAATAATATAAGAATTAAAGAGGATGAGAATAATAATACAAATATTATAATAGATACTGAAAATTATAGTAATATTGTGATTTCATTTAATTATAAAAGTTATCCTATTCCATTAAATCATATATCTAATTGGATGAATGCAGTATTCAGTAAATCAGAAAGTATAGATATAAATAAAGCATCTTCAGAAAAAAAAATAACTCCATTTCATTCATTGGTAGTACCTAAAATTTCAATTGGTGAATACTATACTTCTAGATTAATGAAATTTATTGGTTCTACACCTGTGGATTTCTGTGTAACATTAATACTATTAAAACGTACTTTGGAAAATTCTGGTGGAACATTACAAATTACTACATTAACAGCACATAGATTAATTTTGGCTGCCTCGATAGTTACACATAAACTGATGTATGATATTCAATATGGATTAAAATTTTGGGCATATATTGGAGGTGTTCCACAATGGGAAATGGTAATGTTAGAATATCATATACTAAAAATATTAAATTGGAATTTAAATATAAATTATGATGAATTTTACACTATTTATAGTTATGTAATTTCAGGTAGAAAGAATGATATTAATAATATACTTATTAATGAAATTATATCATTTAATAGATATAAAAATAATAATAATCATCATGATCATCATTATATATATACTTCGAAGTGTACAAAAATTCAGCTTAGTGTAACGAAGCCAATGTCCAATCGTAATACATTGATGCAGAGTTCAAAATAATTACCAAATAAGGGAATTTTTCGGTTTTCCACAATCAACATCTTTATGAATATTATAACAACGCAATGAACATACATATCTATTTATTTGATTTGATTTACTTTTATAACATTCATAGCATCTATATTTCCCAAAGCATCCACAAACAACACAGAAGAATCTTCTAGGAAGTTTTGATGGATCAACAGCAATTGATGACCACGTTATATTTCTTTAAAAAAATTCAAATAATAAAAAAATATCATTAAGAAATTAAAGTTGTTATAAATTACCTGTCATTATCTAATTCATCTTCTGCTAATACTAATGCAACTTCTTTTCGTTCTCGTGAAGTATTACCAGAATATCCACTTGAATTAAGCTTTCTATTATCTTCAATATAACTGTCAGCTATTATCCAGACACAATAAAGTAATTGGAGTTTTAATTTGTAATATTTTAATTTTTTTATAAACTTACAATTATCATCATCATCATCAGATCGATTTTTGCGACGCCGTTTACCTAAGAAAATTAAGTTATATATGTGATATTAATTAAAGTGATCTTATATTCTTTACCTTTGGCCATACTTATCTTTAGGAAGCAAACTTAATAGTAAAAGACTCTAATTTTATATTTAGCGGTAGGTGCCGTGTAAGATATAAGAAATGTATTCATGCTAAATTATATAAACTATATATCAGATAAATTAACTTTATATTATCGGTTTCAAGTCTAAAACTCATTAACATAACAACTACTACAAAACTATAATATCCAACAAATTTAATAAATTCTTATTGGTATCCACCTTAGTAATATTCAATAATATTATCAAATTAAAAATGAAATAAACAGAAAATTATATAAGTATAGATATAGGTTCTAATTTGCAATCTTCGCCACGTATATAAGCGAAATAAAAAAGAGTTGAAGGTATAATATGGGCTACTAAAATTATAGATAAGATAGTCACTTTGTATAAGCTCTGATTGAGTGAGTTAAATAAAATAGGAAATATAGAAAATATTGCTGCAAAAAGATATAAAATTGACAACACTTTAAGTGAGGTGATACTTTTTATTTTGTAATAAATTCCTGTATTATTCCACATATATTCTGAATATTGGTGTCCATTATAAATAGTAAGGAATATACATGACAGAAATACAATAATACAGCACAATATAGACAAAAGTAAACTTGAGACTGATATATAAAAAATAATATCTCGAATATTAGAATATAATAATGTACAATATGAGGACCACATCATTAAAGCTGAAGAAAATATAAAGGCTAGTAATTTAGCCCATACATGTATAAACCTAAAGCTCCCAACAGCTGTAGCTAGAGATATAGAACAACTTCTTTGATTGTAAGCAAATAGCCTACTTCTTAATTTTGAAATATTAGTTTTCTGTACCCTTCTAGGAGGTATTCGATTATCTGCTATCCATGGTCGTTTGTAAGAATTCTTCACTATGTCTTTGTCTTCCGAATCATTACTTAACGGATTTAATGGTACAGTTGTTTGTTCATCTTTTATCATAACACCAACACAATATAAACAATATTAGGAATTTAAGTAAAAACCTTTAATATTTAATAAATTCTGAGGAAAAAAGTACTCCCTATAAATAAACTTTCTGACTAATTCCCCACTATTGTGGGTTTACGAGCGAAACTATCAAAAAAAGAAGTGAGACGAAGACGTAAAATAAATTTACTTCAAGTATTCAGTATCTGGAACTTCTACAGTACATCACAGCTTAGGCGGTGCATGTAAAAAAGTCCGTATTACAAAAGTGTTTTTAAAACTCTTCAAATCCACGTATTTATGTGTTCTTTAAGAGTTTCCAAAGTCTTTAAAGTGGCTTCAGAAATTTTACTTTTATCCCCTAATTTGTCAAATTTTTTTATGGTCTCATCAAAATTCTTGCAAGCTAATTTTGCAATATTCTTAGCTCGAGCAATATCATTGCATCTTTCGGCTAAAAAGACAGCAAAATTTAATACAACACTTAATACAAGAGCATCAGAAGGATCTGAAAAGTCTTGAGACAACTTATATGCATCTTCGTAAAGTTTTTTAACATCTTCACATGTTTTAATGTCGATTTCCAATCTATATCGTGCATTGTCAGCAATAAGTTTTGCCTTATATAATTCACCTCTATCAGAATTAATTATAAATCTATCTATAATTGTATCTATAGAATTTAGAAATGTTTGTAATCTCTTTTTTAATATTTTTATGTAATCATCACAACAGGATATCTGCATTTCATTTTTGGCTTTTGATTGTATTAACTTTTCCTCTATAATTTTTCTAAAACTATTCCTAGTACTATTTACTTTATGCTTAATACAAGAAGATAGTAATTGTCTTTCAACTTCTTCTAATTCACTTTTTTCAAATTCAGCTATTGTTATTATAGATTGGATAGCCTCCATCATTTTATCATACATACCCCCCCATTCATATACTTGAGCTCTATATATTTGTTTTTGTCTTTCACTCATTAAAGTACTCATATTTTAATAAGCCTAATATTTTTTCAGATAAAACTTAATGTCTTTTATAAAAGTGACACTAGATTTTACAAATAAAGGTTTTGTAAAAAAATAACGACTGGGTCAGTAGTATGTCTCCAGTTCAAAAATTATAATGTTAAGTTCTATAATTATAAAGTACAAATGTAATATATGAAATAAAAATTCCCAATATAGTCCACAAAAAGATATCTTTATTATTAGTTATTGAAATTTCTAAAACAAGTTTATAAATATTCATAATCTTCCCATATAGTGTATTTTTAATATATGAAGTTTGTATATACTTAGGACATCTCCAAAACTTTGCACTCTTATAAAATCTAGAATTATGATTATCAAAAGATTTCTTAGCTCTAGAAATGAGTATTTCCCAAGGTTGTGATTGTAAATCAAGATTTTGAAAATAAAAATGAAAGAATGGGTACATATCATAATTGCAATTCTGAATTAAATCTTGTACTTCTACCTCATTAGATATATATTTGAACAAATCCTCTTTATTGTATATAACAAGTTGAGATATAATATGGAGTAGAAATATTGGTGGATTTGTAAGAAACAAATCAAAAAGTCTAAATATTATACTTTTATCACTTGTTGGGATATTATGAGAAAACCAGCTTATGAGCCAAGGTAAACAAAACATGAAAATACTTGATATGGAATCTTGTGTAATTATTAACTTTTCCATGAATGTACTGAGTTCTGTATCTTGTTCATTTATTAAACTTAGTAAATCCATTCCAATAGCAGAAAGTACATTATCCAAATTATATTCAGTTGATTGGTCAGTATTATAGCTGAACATATTAGAATACCATAATAGAAATTTCTCGAGTAATGTAAAGCAGATATTTATTCTGCCTTTCTTAGTACTCAGTTTCTCTTTGATTTGAGTATAAATCTTGTTGTCTATATTTTCTAATTGTTCAAACTTTCCAGGAATATTCTCATTTCGAAGTATTTCATAATCCTCTAGGTAGACTGATACAAAAACAGATCCTATATCATGGATTCCCTGTATATAGGAAAATTCATGTTTATGTAATGAATATATAGCTAAAAGAATATTTTTTAAATTAGAGCGTAGATCTTCTCCTTTATGTAAACATCGACTAATATCACATTCTATTTGGCTATATAATCTTCGATCTGCATTCTCAGCTAGTCTTTCTAGAAAGTAATCATCATACATATGTTCAAGATCTATATCTAATGCTAAAATCCACAAATACCTACGATTTTCATTATTATAAAATCCACTTTTAGAGTAGGCTAGATTCTTTAGATATTCTATAGTATTTTGTAAATCAGTTCCAAAGCTCTGAGTTATTTCATCATTATATTTAGATCCGTTTTTATCATTTTTTATATAAGATAGATCTTCACATCCCATTAAGAATACTGCAATTTCTATAGTTCTAAATAGTATTTTAATGCACTTTGTACTCTAATTCCAAAAATCCATCTACAATTTACTCACATGGTCTCAAATGACGGGTATTAAGTTTATGAGACGGCGCTATTAGGCGCTATATTATTAGTTTCTTGCACACAGGTAAAAGTGAACTTGTAAGTAATATGGAAACTAAACTGTATGGATCTAATACCCACTTTTAAAGATGTACTAATGTCCTATAATCTGGAATATTGGTTTCCTTTAGCTGGTTCAGGTTTAATTCACTGGTCTCTAGGATTCACATACACTTTTGGAAATCTAGTCCCTTACATTGCAAGTTACATGACAATCAAAGGAAGATATGGGATAACTATATGTTATATTTGTTGGATAGAAACTATATTTATGCTTTTCCAAGGTCTTTTTGGGTACATTAGTGGGAAATTAGAACAAAAGTTGGGTTTCTTTATAGTATTAGTATTGGGAGTATTACTAGCCAATTTAGGATTGGGTTTTGCAAGTTATCATATTGAAGATTTCCTCTTTTTCTCATTCTTCTATTCAATAATTTTAGGAATTGCTCATGGTCTGATTTATCCATTAACTATATCATATGCGATTAATAAATATCCGGCTAAAATGAAGGGAATAATATCAGGGATTCTTTGGGGATGCAGAGGATTATCTATGGCACTATTACCCTGCATTCAATGTAAATTTTTAAATCCCTATAGTTTCCGACCTGACCTTAAGTATAAAGGTAATTGGTTATATAGCAACACAGCAATACTAGACCGTATTCCAACTATGTTGTATTGCATGACACTTGCATCATTTATATCTCAAATACTAGGAGTTTTGACTATCTTTTATGGAGAATCTAATATTAAATTTGAAAAGGCAAGTTCAAAAAAAAGTAGTGATGCTGAAGAGACAATAGAAACAAAATATCAATCAAGTAATAATAAAACAAATTTAAACTCCCAACAAATTAGCTATTCAACTAGTAATGTCCAATATAAATACCCATATAAAATTCTGAGTTCTTCTTATTTTAAACTCCTTTGGTATATAACCTTCTGTACGTGGCCAGCCGTATTATACACTCAGGTGTACTGGAAAATCCACGGTATGCATATAACAACCTTGAGAGATTTCCAACTTGCTAGAATTGCATGTTTCATTGGTATCCTACACACTATAAGTCGATTAATTTGGGGTCTGATTTGTGAAGCATTTGGACCTATTAACTCTCTTTGTATTATGACTTCTTTTTTTATTTCTGGACTCCTAGTTTTTGCATTCCCATTATGGGAACCATTTATTGCAATTCAATACACTCTAGGATATTCCCTATTATCAGTTGCCCATGCTGGAACATTTGTAGTACCTCCCTCTACTATCATAAAGGTTTTTGGAGCTAAAAACTTTGGTCCAATCTTCGGTTTACTCTTCTCAGCAAGAATTCTTTCATCTACAGTATTTTGCCTGGTAATTAGTCTGATATTTAAATACTCTAAGTTGGAATATATCCCAATTATTATTCTATTCTCCTCCTTTGTTGGTTTTTTTTTGACTATTTATATTAGAGATATAGAATCCCAAGAATTTCAATTTGAAGGTTCAACTGTGTAATAATTAGTAAATAAGTCTTTACGAAAGACTATATATTTAGTATCGTTTTATAAAACTATTCATGTAATATAAAGTTCTCTATATTAATTACTTCACAATCTAAGTTTAGCTAACTTCTCCTATAGCCATCTCTGGAATGAGATGAATATGTGTAACTTTTTGAGCTTCCAGGGATTGAAGAGTACCTTGCTCTTTTTGAATCGCTATGATAAGGTGAAGAATCTCTATTATTTATTGCAACTAAAGAGTTTTTATCACTGTTTCTTTTCACATTCCTAGAATCTCCTGAAGTAGTTTTAGATGCAGTATCTATATTACTTGAATTATGAGAGCTACTATTTAAAGTATTTGGTTTTTCATTGTCTGTATCTTCACTTTCTATAGTTGAATTAACATCAATATCTGTACTAGAACGGATCCAGAAATTTGTTCTTTGCTTAAGCTTTAGATTTAAAGATGTGATTGAAAGAGTTAAATCATTCCACTGTTTTTCAGTACTATATTGAATAATATTTGGAATGATTTTCAATAGATAATTCCCAGTTTTATAAGAAACTGGGAATGAATCACTACAATGTAGGAGAGTCCAAACACATCCCCGTGTATCAATCCAATCCGGTTTGATATTCCTACTCTCTGATAGTATTCCTAAACCAAGAGAAAGTGATGCTAAAATGTTTAGTTCGCACTCTTGGATGAGAGATAGTTCAAATATTCCCTTTTTTTGAAAACATTCTTCAGATGAGGATAATTTCAACTCCTCATTTGTAGATGATTTTGTATTGCATTCAGACTCAATGATATTATCAGAGAGATATTGAAAGACAAGCTTAATGAATAATCCAATTAATTGGGCCTCTCTAGCTGAAGAGCTTCTGACACAATATCCTACCATTTTGGTTAGGGTAGAAAAAAATAATCCAGTATGCTTAATGTTACCTTCAAATAGCCCAAGTTTATCATCCAATAAAATCTTCTGTATCCAATAAAAGCAAAATAGAGTATCTGATTCTGATTGAGTAATACGTGGAATAATTAAACTCTCATAAATCCAAAATACAAATTTTTCAAAATTACAGACACATGTTTCAGATTTGGACTCCAAACATAGTGCTACTACTTTGGTATCAAATAGAGACCTTAGCTTTGGTAGTACAAGTTTGTCAAGCCAGTTAATTGCCTTTGTTCTCCTTCTGGAAATTTCTTCAAACTCAATAGCTAACCGATAATATTGAACTGATAACTGTTTATATTTGTTTTCAAATTGCTTCCTAGTATCACGAAGCTGTCTTGAAATGGAACTTGTTGGTAAAGGTTGTAAGGCAGGTATACAAGGAATATCTTTAGGTTCATTAAAAGTTACTGGAAATTTCGAAAAATGATTACTAGCTATTAAAGATTGATTAGGACGTCCAATCTTCTCAATATTTAAATAACAATCCATTATATTATTGTACAATTCTGTCAAAACTGAAAAATATTCTGTTTTTGGGATAAATAGATCTGAGAGTCTCAAAAACCAAAAACTAAGATAAAAATCAGTCATGTTTATATCCAATAAAGAAGTAGACAATAATAAATTTCCCTCAGAAATATATTCCCTTAGGCAATTTACAATTGTGGGTTCAGTATCCAAAATTTTGTCAAAAGGGATCAGACAAGATAAACTGGATATTCCAGTATCATCAACAGTAATATCTTCTATATTGGTAGATTCCTTACTATCCTCACTTTTATCACAAAATAAGCCATGTCTAAGGAAAAACCAAGCTATTGGTGAATCTAAGTACCTAAATATCTCTGAAATAGTATTTTTAATGCTGAAAATATCATTTTCCAAATTTAGTACTCGATATCTATATACTTCACTAGAAAATGATGTTGTTAAAAATTCAATGAGCTGAATACAACACCAGTGAATTTCATCCGATATTTGGGTAATCAATTTAACATCGAATTTACAAGTGGGAACATCCCACAAAGCTTCCAAACGTAACTTCGCTATTCTATATAAAAGTTCTTTGCTCATGACACTATTTTCAGAAAAAATGCTGATTAAAGCTTCTCCAGTTGAGTTAAAAGATTCTCTGTGAACTTCACAATTTGATGTCTCATTTACATTAGTATATTTTGGTGTACTTTTTAATTCATATTCAGTTTCCTTAGCAATTAAAGTTTCACTTGTCCTAATATCTTTAATTTTAGCCAATAAGTTCATTGATTGTAAGTTGTTATTTGGCATAGCACATAATATGCTATAATCAGTATCAAAATATTCAAAGTAATCATAATCTCCCAAGAGTTGCTGAAACAATAAACGGCCTCCAGCTAAGGCATTGACTTGTTTGGTTGTCAGGACGGACAAGTCAAATTTAGGTATGTTTAAAAGAACCTCTAACATTTGCTCCCAAAAAAATATATCCATGAAGTTGTTGTATAGTTCATGAGGATATAATGGATGGTTTAATGTTTCATCAATACGATATAACAGAGTATATATAAAATTTACAAGTACCTCTTTGGGTATTACTCGTTTCTTAAATAGATGAGCTCCAAAGTGTGCAATACCACTATTTGATATTTTTAAATTGTTCTCAAGAATCTTTTTGGAGCTATTATTAAGAAGACTTGTGGGTCTCTTTAAGATAAAGCATACAATTGAATAAACCATTATATCTAAACAAAAAGTATCAATTTGCTTAGCTACAATTTCTACTAGAAGAGGGATCATATTATCATATACATAGCACTGACTTAGCACAATATCACACATAACCAAAGGATTTGTATAACTATAGCTCACAATATTTGAAATCAGTAGCCTAGTTGAAAGTGAAAGTCTTTTCCAATTTGAGTAAGAATTAGAAGAAAGACCTGCCATTGATATATTTGATAAATTACTTCCAGTATATTTTTTTTCTTCCAAAATATCCTGGGTAACTCGCTTTAAAGGTTTTGATAATCCATTCTTAGTTTCTTTCCATTTCAAACTCATTGGATAAGAGTTATAGTTTATATTTATAAGATTTTGATACATTTGATAGCGTTCTGGTATTGAGACATTATCCAAGTATATATAACCAACTAGATTGGGTATACAACGATTTCTGGGTAAATAGGAGACTGAAGGGAATATGATAGATAATGACAGTTCTAATAAAAGTTTCAAAGGATCTATATAATTTACTTTCATATCTCCAGAAATTTGAAAGTAATCATCTAACTGGTCCTTATATTTAAGAAATGAATTGATAATTTCAAGTACAAGCTTTATACATTTACAATGTCGTTTAAAAAGATAGTATTGACAATATTTTTCAATCCAAGGTACTAAATTATATGCAAATTGTTTATAAAGTTCTGCAACTTGCGAAGATAGACAATTGGTTATTTTTATTTTAGTTGCTTCAAGTATTATTTCTATAGTTTTTGCAAATGAATCACAAACATAATCAGCTATACATGGGGGAAATGAGGCTAGTTCATATAACTCAGAGATAGCTAAGATATGAGGTGGAGTATTTAGAGCTTTTTCAGTTTCATGTGAAGGGTCGTCAATAAATAATGAAGTATCTTCCCCAATTGAAGCTTGATAAATACAAACAAAGGCTGACATTAAGGTTAGTGAAGGTAGTATAAGATATTTAGATAAAGCTTCAGAAATTTTTGCAAAATCGATTGCTTGCTCAGACACTTCTATTGGAGAATGTTTAGATTTTCCCAATAGGATACCTTTGACTAATTTGAATGAAATATTGTCTACATGATTTGAAGTTTTGCACTCTTCAGTATCAGTTTTGAGTTTTGTCTCCTCATTATACAAACTTTGATATAGTTTGTATAGATTTCTAAGATTCCACAATGTTTTAATTGAAAAGAAGGAAATGTCAGACCTATCCTCTAAATTGAACTCTTCAATATAGATAGTGTATTCATCCATAGAATCTTTATTATTATCACAATCCTCTTTTGTGTCAACAGATTCCTTCAAATATTCATTCCAAGTCATTTCATCCCACGAATCCACTAGCTGCTTTAGGTGCACATCAAATTCTATCCACTTATTTTTTACTAGATAGGCACATAACAAAAAAAACTCAAAATTAGGAAATTCCATAGTATCTTGAGAATACAATAACCAAGGTTGATAAAGTACTTTATCTTCACCAATGCATGGAAAAGTCAAATCTCCTTTGTTGGGCTCCTTAATTAAATTATTCTCTTTAAGATTTGAATTAGGGTTAATTTTATTTGTTTTAGGTTCGGAATTATTAGAAAAGAATTCAGATATTTCCTTCAGTTTAGATCTTATTTTAGGGATATACTCGGTAAATATAATGAAGGATTTTTTAACAATTTTAGTAGGAAATAAATTGAGAAGTTTTCCTAATATTTTGCATATATCTTTATAATCTTTAGATTTTCGAATATTCAAGTCAGATGAAGTAAATGCTATAAATACCTCAAATATTATACCAATAGAACGATGAATTGACAAATCATACTCTGAAATGATACTCAAAATAATATTCATATCTAAATCTATATATAATGAATTAGTAGTAATTCCCTCTACTTCAAAAGATTGTTCTATGCTTTGTTCAACTTCTTTAGCAAGATGGCTATCAAATAATGTTTTTACCGATATTATCAAAGTAGAGTAACCTTTTAAACACTCTCTTTGAGTAGTATATGAGTTAACTGTGAAACAAAGCCTAGTTCTCTCACGTACATATTTTTGTTGTAGTCTATCCTTTGTTGATATCATTGAGTGAGTAATTCCCATAAAATCTGTACGTCCCAAATCTAGATATGCAACTATATCTTTAATACATATTAGCTTGATTAGTTTTGGAATATTTGATATATTATGCACTCGTGGTACAATATTTCCACGCTCAAGACGTTGAATAAATTCTGTCCAGATAGACCTTCTAGATACTTCCTTATCATTAAATCCCATTTGTAAAAGCCAAATTGTATCCATAATCTTAGGAGTTAAGTAATTTGCAGTAAAATCATCAAATGACAAGAATTCATCTAATTCATTTATGTCATTTGGGCTACAATTATTGAAGTTAGTAGTGGTTTCTAAGAATCTTTTATTTAAGCTATCCAATGGTAGAGATGAAATATCTATTTTATCGGAATCACTAAAACTTGCTCCTAGAGCTTTCATAATTTTCATATAAGCTAAAACTGCACTATTTTCTAAAAATTCAGCCACTAAAGAAGGTTGTAATTCGCCATAGTACAAGACAGAACTCAGAATCTCAAATAATATTTCTGTACTTTCATTGTCAGCATTATTGAACACATTAGTTAACGGATCTACACAAACAAGAATCATCCAACAACTTGATAACTTATATTGTAGTGTAGTATTAATATCACTTATCCATTCATTAGTTGAGAGCTTTGATGCTGGTAGGTGTCTTCTCTCATTTAAACAAAACAGATCTACCTCCCCATCATTTCCTAGTAATTTCACTTCATTATTATCCATTCCAAAAACAACCAAAGTTCGTAGTTAAATATGGGAAGCTCTTGCTATCTCTAAAGCAAATGTTATATAAATGTTCCCGTTGATCCTATAAGAAGTGACTAAAGCGGGTTACATCAGTACCTAATCACAATCTACACGTTTCAAAAATGTTGCATGTGCTTAAATATTAAAGTATAAAACAATGAAGATAAATTACTATTTAAGTGGATAATTTATAATAGATTGGATAATCTCATAGATTTATCCAAGTACTCTTAAGACGAATATAGTTCAAAAGATTCTATTAGGCTAAATATTGTCAATATCTACATCAGATTCCTCCTGTGGAGTATTTTCATCCAAGGTACCAGTCTCTTCATTATCTTGAATAAAATGACTACTTTGAGTTCCCTTACTCACATTTAAGCTTTTTACTTTAATATTGGAATTTTTTGTTGCAGATGACGAAGGTGTCTCTTCTTCGCAATCTGAATTATTTGTGCCATTCTCGTCATAATCATCATCATTATCATCATCATCATCGCTACCATCTAATAACCATTCAATGAAAGGCTTACAGGCTAACTTTGCCTTCTCAAACGTTTCAAATGAGGAGCAATAGCTACCAGAACTAGTTGGGGAGTCTCTTTGATAGTATTTTAAAATTGAACGTTCAGACAGAATATCCGAATCATATAGTTGTTGTAATAGGTAAGGATATGTCACTAAAGTATGTGGGTTTCTCTCAACACAGTATGTTTCAAATATAGAGAGAATTGCATTTGATCTTAAAGATCCGTCAACGACTCTGCTTATAAAGGGAGTTCGTAGTTTAAACACTTTTGGATCAATAACTTCATTCAGTCCAAAGAATGCAACAAGTGCTACATAAAAGCGTAGATTAGCATCAAAATCCTGAGATACTTGTAGTACACGTAATTCTGAAAAGAAATCATCAACAGTCATAGTCTCATTGTTCTTCAAAATATAATTATTTAGTCTCTCAACAACATCAGCAATTTCTTGGCTATCAAATGTTAAGCTCTCCTTTTCACAAAGACAACTCTCACCACTAGACTTCTTATTCTTCTTCTTCTTTATCTTACTCTTTGAAGTCTTTTCATATGTTTCACCGGAATTCTTATTAAGGACACTATTACTTTGATCACTATTTTTATCTCTATCCTTCTCCTTATCTCTACGGTCCTTCTTACTTTTGCTGCTACTACCCATTGTACTATCAATTCCACCAGGAGGATTTTTAGATATATAAGTTGTTATTTTGTGATTATTATCAAGTAGTCCTGTATGACCACATGCATTACATTTACAGCTAACTCTTTCTTTCTTAACTGATAAATCTATTTCTGGAAGTTCACAATTTGGGCAGAGTACATACATCAAAATGAATTTATCCATCAATCTTTGTAAATCAGGTTGTTGATGGGCACCATTAACTATACTCTTTTCTTCCTTATCTTCCCACTTACTTAATGCTCCCAATTCACAACCAAAAAATTTTGTTGGGTATGAGGGAGGTCTCTTTAATGATTTCGCTATATCAGCCATATTTACTATCTTAGTACGAATACCATTCCCTCTTCCCTCTATTTTGGAGACAAGTTTTGGCATCTTATAGCGATAATTAGGATCTTCTACAGTACTCGGTATATTCAACATTTTCAAGTATATTCCCTTAGCAGCAAAATAAAAAGTCACACGAGATATTCTCTCTGTTAGATATTCAATTATGTCTAAAAAGCAGATGATTTCAATAAACAAGTGGCTCTTCTACTTAGTATTACTTGCCAATAAATATGAACAAAACATTACAACTCAAAAGTAGTAGAATGTTCATAGGCATAAACCAAAATTATTATTTAATATCTCCACTATTCCTACTTTTAATTCTTTTGAATATAAGAGGATTGATTATAAACTTTTTATTTCAGTTATAAATTTTAAATTATAAAGGCGCCAAAAATGACCCGGTATATATTTCGTCTCGTCTTGTGTCTATTATTCGAACATTGTGAGTGTACTGGTCTTTAATTCAGGTAGCCTCAACTGTAATTTACAATATTTGAGATAGTGAGTTATTCATGTGAGACAGGAGTGATAAACCATATAGCGCCTATACCTCATTAATAATATTTAGAGGCTATTTTTTTAATGGTAATGACATATAATACTAACTGATTATTTGGCAGTCTATAAAAAAAATAGTTCTTTAAAATAATTTTAAATAAGCTAGTGTCTAAAATAGCGCTTTAAGCATTAAAAAAAACTTCTCAAATTACTCATTTATAATTAAAGGAAGACTCAGGTTGTGATTAATTATAATTCAACTAAATGGCTCCAACTCCGAAAATAAATAAGACTCTTCGTTTTACTGTTGATTGTACAGCTCCAATGCAAGATAATATAATTGATGTTTCTGGCTTGGAAAAATTTCTTCATGATAGAATCAAAGTTGATGGGAAACGTGGACAATTAGGAACTAAAATATTAATTTCTCGTAATAAGGGTCGTATCACAGTGACAAGTGAGATTCCAATCTCTAAAAGATATTTGAAGTATTTAACAAAGAAGTATTTAAAGAAGCAACAAATTCGTGACTTTCTACGTGTCGTAGCTACAACTAAAGGTGCTTATGAAGTTAGGTACTTTAATATTAGTAGTGAAGGAGCAGAGGAATAAGAGAATTATAGAATCAAGTTATAATCAACTCACTTTATTTAAATTGGAAGATATCACTTCTTGAGAAGTTGCTAGTAAAACTCTATTTTCCTAAGTTACCATAAATATAGGGACTTTAGTTTCAGTTCTTAGGTTTCATTTTCTAATAAGTTTCTCTTTGAGTTGGCGTAGAATCTTTTCCTTTACTATTTACTGTATTTATACTCCATTTTTGGGGGGTATAATGTAGTATTAATGATTAATAATAATTAGTTGTAAGTTATACTAATGAGTAATACTTTGGATCTTTTTTTTTTTTCTTGAGATTCACTGATTTTATTATAGTATTCAGCTAATATCAAAGAAAATATCTCTATGGAGCGCCATGCCAAAATTTCCCTATATAGAAATTCTAACATTCATCTCAAAAGAATTAAATAAGAAGTTCAATAAAATATATTAAAAAATTCAGTCCTTTAATTTTATGGTATTTCATGGGTACCTTTGGTACCACATTCAATATATCTTTGTTTCTTAGTTTATTTTATATATTAGGAAACAATATTTTAATTGGTCATATCTTTAATATATCTTTTCTAGAGTATAATAATAAACAATTAAGTCCTAATCAGGAAAAGATTCAAATACTTCAGGATCATTGCTTTCGTTTGGCAAAATGTCAAGGAATGGAAAGTAGTATAACTCCTCTTGATGTAGGATTATGCCAACATTGCAAATTAATAGTTCCTACATCTGAATGTCCTAATATTCCTCTACCAAATAATAATGTGAAAATTCTAAGTTCAACTATATCATCTTATTTTATTAGGATTGATAAAGATAATGAATATGATAATAATAATCAAGTCAAAATTTCGATGTATCGAAGACATGACAAATCTAAAAAGGTACCGAATTCAAGATTTGGCACTTATAAAATCGTTGCACATTTTGATGAAGTAAAAGATATTGATAAGTGTACTATTGATATTAATGGATATTATAATTTGATGTATGAAATTTATATTTTTCACGATCCACTTTCATTTAAAAGTAGTTATAATTATGTAGACACGGAAATCAACATAAGTTTGGGAAATTCCTTTAAGGAAATAACTGAGGAATATATAAATTATCCAATGCATTTAAACTGGAAGATAAAATCAGATAATGGCAAACAGGCCTTTTATTTTATAAAAAGATATGGCAAAAAGATTAAAAAAGAGGATATTTTAAAATATGAAACATATGCATTTTTGCCAATAGGCGCTATGGGACTGTCTTCCTCATTACTGGAGATTACATGCAAACCTGATGAGATGTGTAAAGACACTAATAGCTTAGAACCATGTATTAGAATTTCATGTTTAACTGGGCCTAAATTACCCAAGAATAATGATAATATATATACTAATTATCAGAAAGAAAGAAAGAAATCAGTATATGATGTAATAATTGCTGTCAATCATCTAAAAACTCTAGTGACCTCTGAAACTGAGTATATCACTCTTATTAGAATATTTAATGAATTACTTATTAAATCTTTGGAGGAAAAAGTAAACAATGGTATAATAACATGGGGATGTAAGATAAAGATGACCAAGTGGTTGATAGGAATGAATAATATATTGGGTATACTCCCTCTAGATATTAATGATTTAAAGATTGAAAATAAAGATGAATTAACAGGGAGTAAAGCTGTAAAGATAAATGAATATATAGATATATATAAGGATCAGGAGAAAGAAGAGATGATTTCAGATTACACTATTATAGAACAAAATCTACCTAGATGATTTTTGCGGAGTCTAGATCAGTCTTTATTAACTTATTAAAATTATTATTAATGGATAAAGTAGATAATATGAATCTTTAGAGAACCAATACTTGTAGTAAGTTTATATAGCTAACTATTTTTTATTCAAGTTTTCCTCCTTCCACAATTCCTACCAAATCATCTTCACGATAAATAAACAGATCATCATTTCTGTTTTGGTCATTTTTATTTTCTACTTTAAAAGGAATCCCTCCATATTCTGGGATTACAACAACATCTCCTGGTTTTACAGAACACTTAATATATTCCCCTGTTTTTTTGTTTCTTTTCCCAGGTCCTACACTTAGTACTAAACCTTGTAGACTAGCAATACTTCCTTTTGTAGCACTATCTGGTAAGAATAATCCTGACTTTGTTATTGTCTCTGGTCTAAATTTTTGTACTAGAACACGATCAAGTAGGGGTTTAAATCGTTTTACTATATTTGCAACCTAAGAGACATTAAAATTAAAAGGGTTAGTTACATCTCTTCAGATAAGTCATATAGCAATAATTTAAAACTAAATTATATAACTTAAAATGACTATATGATACGTACCATTTATTTTGACTTTTTTCTGTTAAAAGATATTTAGAGTACAAAAACAAAACTTTTAGTTTCCAGTACTTTATAATGGGGGTATCGAGCCAAGAATACCGCTAGAGTTTTTTTTTGTATCGGTACTTCTTATACAGAATCCTATAAATTAAAAAAAGAAATATGGTCCTTCAACAAACTAGTAAGTAGAAACTTCAAAATAGTAATAATATTTGCAAGGGGGAAATATAGAAGTATATTTCTTTTTATTTAAATATGAAGGATTCTGATGAAAGACAGGCTAATATTGAAGATGGGAGATTTGTGCTACAACAATACAAGCTTAGAAAAGAACTTGGTTTATTTACAAAATATAAAGTAGATCCAATAAAGGATATATGTTATAAATATGAAGGAGTTGACTTAAACGTTGGTGAATATCAACAAAAACCAGGAGATTCACCCCAAAAACAAGATATCGCACCTGGTGAATTTGAAAGAGTACTGCAAGAACTACAAAGGCGTGAAGTATTAATTCAAGATTTATTACTTAAATTAGAAACTAAGGAATTAGAGGGAAATACCCCGGAAATATATATTAATACTGATAGGTCTTCGAATCTTGCTAAAACCAAGGCAGATGAGGACTTAAAAGGTAAACAAGAATCACAAAATATAATATTACTATATAAAGCTATAATGAATTCTGTATTAAATTCGAGTTTTGTAAAGGAATGTTCAAGTGACGTATTTGATAATATAGATAAACAAGTACCATGTAAGCATCAAAAATTATTAGCATTATATAGAAGGGAGATAATTCACTTAGTAGAAGAAAATAATACCCTTAAACAAAAGATAAACTTGAGTATAGCCAATTAAGAGTCAACTAATAACTCAATATACCATGGGGTATCATTAGTTTTATATTGTATAGGTGGAATTGAAAATGGAACTCGTATATTATAATTTGGAGTGCTTTTAGTTTCCATTTTAGTCCATATAAATTTTGGTGTTCTATTTCTTTTAGTTCTGATGTATTTAACATTATTATACAATGTATATGGTGTAATAATGACACCTAGTTCATAATTTCTAATACACATTTGAGTTTGGTTATTTTGAAGCTGTCCCCAGGCAGCAGGTCCTAGATTATGACTTCCATAAAAGATCCACGGAATAGATACTGTCTTCCGATCACTATTCCAAAGATATCTAAGAAATGTTTTGATATGAGGAACTGAAAGATCTCTTATAGAAGGATTTGATAGGGTACCACTTCCCCAAAGATGTAATATTTTTGAAATCCAAGATTTAGTAATATTATTATGTTTTACAGGAATAGATCCACCTCCATAAATACCTTCTAAACTTTTGTATACTTGTTCTGCAGTTGGATAAACTAGTTCGAAACTACTTTTAGTTGTGTATTCATTAATACAAGTATTCAATGAATCTCCAAATTCTTGGGTAAGCCATTTTTCAGAAAATTTTCCAAGACTTGAAAACTGACATATAATTCGACTTTCTACATGTCTATATTCATTATTGTATTGCTCAACTTTACAAATTCTATTTGGCTGTTCAATATTTAAGGTACTATTTAAATCCGTTTTATATTTCATAATTTCTTTCATTCTAAGATGTCCCCAAAGTTTCATATTCTCTCCCTTATGATATCCTGGTACACTAGCTACAAGATCTACAGTGGCATTATCATAATCATATTGTTTAATTAAATCACTCCAAAACTTCTTATGTTCTATTTTACTTATTATATGATTTAGAAACATACCAAAATATTCACAAAATGGGTTCTTCATTGCACCATTGGAATTGTTTGCAAGCAAGAAGTCTTGTACCCAGACAGCTTGAGTTTTGAACTTCCAATCACTCTCTAAAAAATTTGCCGTAGTTATAACTAATCGAATAAAACTTTCCTCTTTTTTAATAATCGGGTCTTGTTTTGAAAACTTTAAAATAAGGAATTTAGGATGAAATACTCCATAGGGAAGAGGCATAGTTGGACATTGTATTTCGTAGTTCTTTGCAATATTCAGTATTTGTATTTCAGTTGTATCATCTAAATTACAAGATCCCCCGTGGATAATCAAAAGCCTATTCAATTTTTCGTCAATTTTATTGAGTCTAACTTCTTTAAATAACCATTTTATATCTATAATATAGCTAGATACTAATAAATCTTGAATTAACCAAGAATCCTGTTCTCCATCGAAGCAATATTCACAATCAGCCCTAAATATGTCTTTAATACTTAGTAAATTCTCACTAGAAGGTTCAGATTCTAGTAAATTAAGGTATATACAAGATCCTTGAAAGTGTTTACATGCTTCCATACAATCGTCTAACTTAAGTTTTTTAAAACTTGGTTCAGTATAGTCTAAATATTTATGACACATATTCTCTTAGAATATGTATACCCAAATACATCTATTTAGTAATAATAACTTAAATCTTAAAAGGTTTTATATCATTGTTAACAGTTGAGTTTCCACTTCTTTTTTTCTTTATTAGACTATAGGGCGGCTATAATCTAAGGTATACTAAATAATTACATTGTATTAGTAGCCTGTAAATTCTTTTTTCTTAATGCTTTAGTTTCAAAATATTATTGGTGTACTAAAGGTGTATGGAATCACTTATTACAGGTATTAGAGAGAGTGGATTAAGGATAGATGGTCGTACTTCCAATGAATTCAGAAGAATTCAGATTACTTTGAATAAGACATTTGATGGGGTTGAAGTGAAAATAGGGAAAACTCACGTCCTTTGTATTATCAAGGCAGAATTAATGATCCCAAATATAGATCGTCCTTCTGAGGGTCAGGTAACTTTTTCGGTAGATTATGGACCACTAAGTTTAAACCCAAATGGACAAGTTTATCGTCATGAAAGAAATGCTTTAAGTATTGAGCTAGCAAATTATATAGAAAGAACTTTAAAAGAGACTGGAGCTTTTGATACTGAAGTACTTTGCATTATAAGTGGTCTTTGTGCATGGTCAATTCGTTGTGATATTAGAGCTTTGTGTGATGATGGGAATTTATTTGATACATGTATATTAGCAACATTATCAGCTTTTAGGCACTTTAGATATAAGGATATTGACTGTAGTTCATTTTTAAATAAACTTAAATTAAACAAATATAAAAATAAAGACTACTTGAGGATTGAACAAGCAATAAAAAATATGGATATGATCCCTTTAAACATATACCATTTCCCTTTATCTATTAGTATTGGATATACTAGAGTAAACAATGAACTACAATATATAGTAGACCCTTGTTCTGAAGAAGAGTCTATATTACAAGCAGTACTGCATATAGCAATTAATGGTGGACAACAAGTTTGTGGACTTTCGAAACCTGGTGGTGAAAAGTTAACAATAGATCAAATTAATTTCGCTATTCAACTTGCAAAGAATCATGGAAGTAATATCCATGAATATGTAAAGAAGGTCTTTATTGCAAATACTAATGAAAAGGAAATAAAGATAGAAAATGTAAATAATTCAACAGATCTGGTTGTATCAGTGGATGTTGATAATATTGTTTCTTCAGCTAATAGTTCAAATCTATTAGATTTTACAGAAATTAAGATAGATAACTCCAAAATAGCAAATAATGAGTGTCCAATAGAAAGTGCTCAAATAAATGTAAATAATGAAGAGTGTAAATATTTAGATACAGAAATTACTCACACAAATACAATTGGTACTACAGATGTATGGGCACACAATAAAGAGACAGGAAGTGAAGACAATATATGCAAAACTCTGGAACAAGTACAGTTAAGTAATTTAGATGTTATAGATGACCTGAATTCTGCTTTAAAGACAAATGTGAAATTAAAAAGAAGGAAACGTAATTAATTATTTTACTTAAAAGTTACATTTAGAATATTTATAGAGATATTAGCTATTTAAAATATAAAATAATTTTATCTAATAGCTAGCTTATATATGAAAATTCACCTATACCAGAAGAAGTGCTAGTTAATTCATTTGAATTACCTTTCGAAAATTTACTATCAATTTCCTTAGAAAATACTTCAAGATCTATGTCGTTACTGTCATATAATATATCTGATATTTTGTTCAATGATACATTTGATTGCTTCTGATTTCTGAGAGTCTCACATAATATCTCTATTGCCCTTAATTTATTAAAATAAAACATCCGTTCTTTATCAACAATATCTTTTTCTTCTATCTCTTTATTTAGAGTTTTTGTTAATCTTTCAATCTCAATATTCGATGAATATGAAGCTCTTGTAGGCACATTAGGTTTTCTATTCAAAGTATTACCCATTGTCTGCCTATAGCAATGATTATTATTTGAATCATCTATATCTTGAGTAAGTTGCATAATTTTACCAGCAAACTCTGGGAAAGGGCCTTTTCCTAAGCTTCTCCTACCTATAGCATCGTAATCTCTCTCAGCAGCACCAGATTCATCAAATAATCCCTTCATCCACTGTAAAAATGCTAAGTTGTCTTGATATTTCCCCTTTATAAGTTTATTTATATCAATGTATTTAGGTTGTTTTACTTTTCCAAAGACCTGTTGAAGTAGTTTATAATTGTGCAAAAATTGAAAATCACGCTTTACTCCCCAATTTACATTCTTCATAGGTACCTGGTAGTAATATACTGCATCGGCTATTTGACAATATATTGCTCCACTAGCACAATCCTCAATTTTTGAAACATTTAGACTAAAGTAAGAGTTTAGCCAATTAATTAAGTCACTCTTCCCTGTAAAATAACATTTGTCCATCATACCCACATTTCCAATAGAATCATAATCAGTACTCATCTTCTTATTCAGTCTAGGATTACTTTATTATATCTTATATCCAATAACTCAAAATTTAAGAGGACTTTTTTTTAAAATTATGTGTGGGGAAAAGTGACAAGTGGCGCTATTAGTTTAGACGCTTGTAAAGTGGCTAATGAGTCTGCAAAAGCCACTATATTTTCATCAAGTTAATTTATTCTTCAAATTAAAGGATTAATATTTGGAGATATTTCTGGTATACTTGTATCTAATATAAATTTCTGTACTGTCTTAGGATCAAAATATAATAACACACAATAGGATAGTGATATAAATAGACATAAAAAAGCTGCTAAATATTGTTTTCCACCAAATATAGAAAGGTTCATAAGTAAGAGATATTTCTCAGATCCCCATAAATTACTTGGAAATACATTATATATATCAACTCCATAGTTCCCAGGATATAAAATAAAGTCATAACAAGAATCAAAACCAATTGAAGAGCTTATTACACCATAAATCTTAATAAAATTTGGTGATACATGTTGGGTCCACCATCTTGCTAATAATAGTGATAATAAAGGGGGTTTATCATCATGCATTTTATTTTGTATATCTACCGAGTTTGAAATATAAAAATTCCGAAGTTTATTATTAACATGATAACGAAAATTTTGAAATAATCTAAGTTTCCATTGTTCTTCTAGATTCCCTAAATAGCGTTGTATTGGTATTTTTTCATTTGGATAGTCTCTCGAGAATATATCAAATTCATCAGTAAATAAAGAGTAGATGGCTATGCCACAAAAAATATTACTAATCTTAGGATTTATTTTTTGAAAACCAAATATCTTATTACTAAGATCTTTTTCAGAAAAATAGCCATCAATTATATTAAAATCAAAATTCTTAGGTACTCTAAAAAATTCCTCAAATAATACTCGTAAATCTGGACGATACCTTAATATATCTGAGATATTTTCTAAATGTGTGCATTTATATCCTGGTCCAAATACTTCAGAAGGTTTAGAGGAAACAAAATTTTTTGTATTACTATAAAATTGATTCAAACCGTAATATATATAAATAGGATCATGTAAAGTTTGATCTATATGAAATGTTATATTATTCCTCATTTCATTATATGGATTATTTAAAGATTCAGGTGATTCCTTTGAAACCGTGTTTGTTTTGTCATCTTTTTTATATTTACTTTTGAGTTCAGGTACCTTATTGTTTATACTATCATATGGAATTTTAATATATACAGATTTTGACCAACTCTCTTCACCTAATAATATAGACAATAAAAAGAAAAACCCACTTAATATTATAAAATATATTCTACATGATGCATAAGTTGTAAATCCTACTGAGGAAACATCACATAATGCTCTATCTATAAAAGATATTTTAGTTGAATCGGAATAAGGTTCTCCATAAGATAATTGTATATTTTCAGTTATATCTTCGAGATCTCTAATTTTTTCATTAGTTCTATTATCTCCACTAGAAGATATATGATCATTAGGGGTGGATGATATAATTGATTCTACACTACCTCTAGAGGATCTCCATTCTTGAAAAATATGCCATCTTTCAGATTCTTTCCAATCCTTTTCTTTTTTAGAACTTAACTTTTTTATGAAATTATTCATATAATTGTAGTACTAAAGTATCAGTTAGCACAAATATTTTAGTGTTAAGTAATGCTTATCTAAAATTATTCTGGCGGTATATCGGACCGCTAATAATAGAATACATTTTTGTATGGTTTATTTTTATATTATATTTAAGAGCTGAAAGAGATATTGAAGGGATCTATACATATATATATATATAATATAATGGGTATAACTTCTGCGGACTTCTGTTTTTTATTTTGTTTGTTTTACAAATTAGTGGGGTATTACAAATATAATTGCACAGTATATTTAGACAAATTATAAACATGAGATAGAAATATGGGCAAATCTGAAGATAAACCAGAAAGTTATATTGGATATAATAACATAGAGGAAACTACTAGGGATCATAGAAAACACCTTATTAATACTAATGATGATAAGACAAACCATAAAAAGGGAATTAAGCGAATGCACCATAGTCATAAGAGTCACACACTTCATCCTACAAAAAAGTCTAAGATTTCTAGAAGTATTCATAAGAGAATATTAAATAAATCAGTGAATAAGCGTTCACATATCCTTCGTATATTTAGTCTTTCTATTTGTAAGTTTTATTAAAATTATTTAATATTTAGCAGTCATTACTTTATTACAGTTATAAGTTTACTAATTTATGGGACATTTTTCTCATTTAATATTTACATTTATCTTTATGGTTCAATACCATGGAAAGAATTGGAAGAATGGATAATATCATTTACTCATGTTGAAAGTGTTTTAACTAACCTTGTTAATTCAAATAATCAATGGGATAAAATAAATGGAGTAAATGTCAATTCTCCATTTATTAATGCAACTTTCCAAAAAGCTGGTTTTACTTTATATGAACTACCAGTATTTCAATATATACAGGAAGATCCTTATTGTATCCACTCAGTAAACTATGATGTGACTATTCCTCCAGGTAAGCTCATTATTGGATATAATATTCTTATACTTTGAAATATTATAAATTTAATTTAAACTTGTACTTTTTAATATTTATGATTATTTTAGGTGGATGGATAATATATTCAAGTTGTAACCCATCATCTACACTTCCTAATGGCTTTCATTCAATTAGAGCTCTTGGGTATTTAGCATATTCTAATTCGATAAATGCTTCATTACCATCACAAATTCGGGCATGGTATCATTCCTACTACAAGCATATACAAGTTCCTATAAGTATAACTGAGTTATGAATTCACAAAGATATGTTAATTATATTTATATAGGGAAATAAGATACTGGTAAACAAAATGCCGCAGTAAAGACAACTACATTAGCTGCCACAAGACTTCCTAGGAAGGCCATTTGAAATCTTTGTATTTTTGTAAAAGATTTCTTAGATTTCTTTGTATGTGAATTTTCTTCATTAACTTTTTTTTGACTACTTTGTTCAGACTCTTTGTGATCACTATGCACCACAATATGATGATTTATAGGATCTTCTGTAACATTATTGGGCTCATTATTAGATTTTATGCATTCATGATGATTGCCTTTATTATGATGTTCTTTAGATCCATTCAACTTTTTTTTATCCCCATTTGAATGTTCAAAATGTACATTGTGTTTATGATTGTCTTTTTTAATCTTAGAGGCATTTATTCCTTTGTTTGTAAAAACTGCAGTAGGAGATCGTTTTACTTTGCCGCCAGCGCCATTAAAATGTGGTGTGTTATGATGTATCATCTTTAAATTCTCTCCTGACATATTTAGAAAACTAAGTTATTAAAGTTAATTTAGATATTATATTAGTAAAGAGACAACTTTAGTGACTAAACTTATTTTTTTTCTTCTTTTATTTTGTTGACAATAGCAAAATATTGGGGTTCAGACCTTTGATATATCTTTTCATCATTACTGGAGAACTTATCCTTTAAAAAGGTCCAGACTTTTTATTAAATGATAGTAATATTATTACTTTATAATATCTTAGTGTACTTATTCAATTAATTCTAAAAATCTACTCAGTTAAAGTGAAAAATGTAGATCTATATTAGCGCACTAGCGCCAATATTTTTAACTAAAGCTATGTATCCTGTTTTTAAACAATAAACTTGGTCCTTTGCATGAGGATCTAATATTATGTTTAATGCAATCCGAATGATTTATGATGAGTACTTCAGATATATTCTTGTATAAGGAAAGGCTAAGATTATTTAACTATACATTTTCTATTCTACTTACTATAGAATTGTTACTTTTGACCTTTGTTGGATGTCTACATGAAACAAATAGTTATGAGACACCTAAATCTGATGAGTCGGAAAATACAAAATTCCTTAACTTTGAGAATCTTTGGAATTATAATATAAATGATTATTTGGAGTTAAATAGAGGATTATCAGCCTCAACCATGATTTATAAAAAGCATTTGAATGAATTGCAGAAAAAAGAGCTGAATAAGTATCCTGGAATTAATGATGATCCTTATTCTGATATAAGAGTAATGACTAATAGGATGACTATATCTAATAATATTCCAAAAATGATGGTATATGCAAAGACACCTTTAGTATCAGTTCAAGAAGCTCGCAGAACATATCCTTTAATGCAATCACCAGAACAGATGAGATCTGAAGTTCCAAGACCTTTTCCTGAGGAACAAGTCTTAAATGCTGAATCTGGCATAATTTTAGATAAAGTAAAAAAAATAATGAAGGTAGAACATAGTGAACTAACCAAAAATTTTATCAGTTTGGCTTTAGATTATTCATTTTTACCTCCTGTAGCATTAAAAGCTTCTATATGTATGTATGAATCCACTCTTCCATATATGCTAGTAAGGTGGAAAAATATCAATAATATTTCAATAAAAAGATTGGATTCAATCATTCAATTGGTTCTTAGTATTCCATTTTATCGCTATTATGATAATGAGCATGAATTAGTTAATGTCTGTTCCTCATCATTATTATCAATAGATTCAAATTTGGCGAGTGAGATTACAATTTATAATAAATTATATCTTCCCTTTTCATCTAATAATGGTAGACGTATTTTAGGATTTTCAAATGATAATTTTATTAAGAAGTATACAAGCATGGACAATCAGAATTTTGATGATCAGTTATTAAATGAATCCTATGATAATTACTCCGATCAAAAACATTTTAATTCAACAGGGGCAAAAAGGAAAACAAATTTTAAGTCCTCTTATAAAGGAGCTCAAATAATACACTCAAAAATATGTCGTAAGTTTTACAATTGTTTACAATATACAATATCGGATGATATAAAGGAGTATTTAAAGGATCATACTATTGTAAATAGTCCTAATGAAAACAAGATTATTAAGAGGTTTTACAATATTCCGGCACAATTCCCTAATACTTCTGTATTTCGTACAGCTCAAAATTCTATTTCTTCGGATTATTTTATAGCATCTCTACATGAATTAATATATGTTAATTTAGAAATGCCATTTTTACCATTTCCTGGTTATAACATTCGCTACTTATTGAGAGTATTATACTTTGCAGGAAGACTTGGAGTAATTATACCTGTTGGAATTGCTTTAAAGATGCTCTATGAGTTGGGGAACATATCACAACAGTCAATTCTTCTCAAGAGAGCTTATTGCCTAGTAAGTCTTGAAAAAATAGTTTCCTACAAATTTGCAGAGGTAATTTGTACAGAGGCCTATATGCCCTTGCAGGAACCGTTTCAAAGATCCTTAGTTTTAGGAAAAGCTATAGATATCATTCATAAGATTGGATCTTCATCAACTGCTCCTCCTACTAGACCTGAAGCACTTATTTTGGACTTAGAAAAATCAAGTATATTAGAGCCTGAAAAGCTAGAATTTCCTTCTTTTATTCAGTTCGAAGTTCCTCAGGATAGATGGCGATTATACAGGGCTATAGCAATCCAACTTTACGGTTCCTACATTATTTCAGATAAGAGTGCAATATCAAGTGTTGTATCAGTTATTTATGCCTCAGTTTTAAGTTTTATTAGATGTTTTTGGGATGAATTTTCTCTTTTGTATATAGAAAGTGGTGTTTTAGATCCTGAGCTCCATTTTAGTCTGCTTGAAAATGGTGCAAAAAATCCAGGGATAATTGAGTTAATTGCAACTTCTCGTGTGTATAAAGTACCTATAGCAATATATACTAAGAAAATTACCCCTAATCGGAAAATTGAATTTTTATTAGAAAAGGAACTTACAGAGAAGGTCCAGAATCTTAGTAGTATTAATTTTCAAGACCCTTTAATAAATCATAATTCTTTTTTTAAAGTTCCAAATGATGGTAAAGTACTGGTTTATCGTTGCATTCGTTTATTGGTTTCTAATCCTACTTCAGAGAGCTTCTTTGAAAATATTTTCTCAAAGAATAAACCTAAAAGCTCAAAAAACAGAAATCAAATTGATTTAGAAGCTTCTTGGGGATGGGATGCTTTAATCCCACTATTTGATCAAAGAATATCTCAACAATTAGTTAATGAGGATCGGGGAGTTAAAGTATTTTATAAATCTGTGAACAAGGAAGATGGAATTTATACTCTTGAATCTGAGTTATCAAAAATTTCGACATCTCAAAAATATAAAAGTGAAGAATCTCCTTTCCAAAAAGATAACTCCAAAGAGGATTTGGAAATTGGGAAGATATTGCGAGTATCTTCAAATTTTAGCTATATTGAGGCTTTCGATAGTACTATAAACCAAAATAAGAACTTAAGGAAGCCTAGGCTTAAAGAAGGGATGAATATAGTTCCTAAGGTGTATAATGAATTTGATTCAATAAATGACAGTAATAATAAATACCTTCATGGTCATTTATTTGTAGTAGTTCAGCCTATTATCCCTTATATTCAAGTTGGTATGTATGAGAGTAAAATTTACTACGATGAAATTTACCCTAATAACCCTTTACTTGAATGGGAAACTCTTGCAGAACGTATAGATTTGGCATATTTACAAGATGTTTTATATGAATATAAAACTTTTCATAGTCCTCTACCTTTCAACCTATCTAGTTGGAAGCCTCCAAAGGAGTACCTAAGTACTAAAAAAGGTCTTCAAGAAAAAAGAGTAGTTACCACTTCTTTTAAAAGTCCTAATGAGAATTTAGTTTTTCCCTTATCAGGTTTCCCTACAAGTGAGCCAGAATCCAATTTCATCTCACTTAAGGGTAGCCCTCCAACTCCAAATATTTTGTATAATAAAGAGCAAAAGAATCCTTTAAATTTGAAGATATTATTTACATTAGCTAGAGAAGTCTGGATGCTCCCACTAGGATCTATATCCAAGACTCTATACTGCTATAGTAAGAAAGTCTTTTCATATCTCAAAAATCCAGATCCGAAGCGGATTCCTTTGATGCTTCTTTATGATCGTTTAATATCAACTGTAACTTCTTTGCTACCTACTATAGATAATTCAATTAAAAGTTTGAGACCTATTCCATTTTTATTAACAGTGTGTGAGATGACACTTATGGATCCTATTGAACTAGAACCATTTCTTGTAATCTCAAATGAGGACTTAATACCTATTGGAACAGGTTTAGAATCTCCAAGAGTTTTATTAAATATGTACGGAAAAGTTTTACAAATTCAGAAGATTTGTGGATCTTTTACTAAATGTTTAAAATCTCCTAATATTAAATACAAATTCAAAGAGATTCTTCAGTTAGATAGCAAAGCTAATAGATTAAATCCTAAGATGCCTAGCAATCAACAATTATTTGATATCCAGGAATTAGTTCCAAAATTCCCTGAAATATTGCCTATTGTAAAAAATTTATTCAGATTTATCCATTACTTAGGGCGCAGAGGTGTAGAACTCCCAAAACCAGCACTAATTCAGATTGCAAAGGAGATGGCAATAATGATGCATTCGGTATCGCCATTTATGTGGAGATCGAAAAATTTTGATTCAAATTCTAAGGATTCCACGTCAAAAAAAAAGGGAGATGGTCCACGTGATCAACTAGAGCTGGATGAGAATTTCCCTTTTATACCAATTTATGATGAGGTATATTGGTCAAAATATGATAAGGAATTGCTATTGCATGTATGTGTAGCTATAATTACAACTCGTAGAATTACGACTTACCCTGCATCAATAGTCACTTGTCATTATGCTTTTCAAAGACTTCCAGTATCTCCGTATAATATCGAGAAATCCATTCCAGATGAGTCTGATTTAGAAGTTGATGAGAAAATTGCTACAAAAGTTGTTCTATTTTATCTTGGTGACTTCATTAAAGATCCAATTGAATTTCTAACTTCTAAAAACAAAATAGCCCAAGATCCAATTGAGAAACTATATACACAGTACTATATAGATTTTAAAGAGAGTATGAATCTACCATATTCTAATAGCAAAATACACAACTATTACGAAGATATAGATAAGATCCTCAAATCTTTCCAATCTGAATCCTTATATACAGAAATAGTTAAAAATATGTTTGTAACCTATGATAACTTTTTGGCTAGCATTCAAAGAAATGCTAATGAATTTAGTAATTTAGAAGTAGAATTTAATCGCAACCAATATAAAACAGATAGTTCTGGAATTTGGTATCTGAATACTGGAAAGGGGAATTCAGAAACTTTTAAAGGGGCATCTAGGAGTGATAACTTTAAAACTCCTCAGAATCAGAATATGTTTGAACAACTTCAGAAATTTCAGAAATCCAATAATGAGAAATTTTATGATTTTTGGGGGTATCAACCAAATTCTTATAATCGTGATTTAGGAATTGTTGGAGGTAGTGGTGATGAAGATATATTTAAAACTATGGCTATACTCTTGTATGGTTCGAGCAAATTTTCAACACTTATAAAATCTACCTATAATTCGATTATAGCTCTAATTATTGAAATATGTAGATTACGCCAAGAAATATTAGCTAAATATAGTGAGGATATGGCTGATATTGAAGTAAATGGTGTAGATTCTGAAATTACCTCTTTCAGTTTTTCTCAATGTGATACAAATGAGAGTTCAAACTTGAAAAGTCCCAATAAAGATTTTGATGATATCAATATATTTAACGTTTTACAAATAACTTACAAAATCCCAATACTAGTCTATGATTTATATGACAAACTGGATACAATTCAAAGCGCAGAAATCAATAATAATTTATATAAACAATATAACTTCCAAACCTTGTGCTTAGCCTTAAGAATTGCAAGAAACAGATCTTCAGCAAACCAAAAAATTATTTCATATAGGCCTCTTATTCAAAAGGTAACTGTTGACCAATATGATGAGTTAAAATCTGGAACTGGACCCATTCCGCTGAATGTGATACTTTTAAATATTAGGTCCATTAGGAAACCTGATGAATATGGTAAAAGACCTTTAAACAGACCTAAAACAACTTTTGATACAGCTATAGAGTTATATAGGTTAAATCAAGTTTCAAGAAGTGATAAGAAAGATATCAGTAAAAATTTTATGGATATCTCAAAAGAAACTAGAAGAGTCCAAAGGAATTATCAAGAACCTAAATTTAAAGATTCAGAAAATTTAAATGAGAGATATAAAGAATCTAGCCAATATTCTAATCTTAAAGATCAGGTGTTTAAACCTCTGTTAAGACGAACTCTTCCATCTGTTCCAGGTGAGGTGGAGGGTCGAAGAACTTTAGAGTTCATAAAAATTACAACGGCTTTAATGGATTTACTGAGAAAGCCAGTTGCCTCTTTTCCAGACAAAGAAGTAGAAAGAAATATCGTTAAAATCTTCACAGGTCAAATTATGGATAATGAATCAAAGGAGTTGTTATTTTCTAAATATGGAATGAAGTTTGATGAAATATCTAGCAATTTTGAATATCTTTCAGTTAGTGAGAAGGAAAATATAACAACACAATGTAAATATAGTATAATACATGGTAAAAGGGGGAATATAGTCATACCTTCAAATATTGCAGTTAATATCAATTCTTTAAAATTTATTGCAGAGTATCTTAAAGAAGTTGTGAAAGTTCCTGTTTCCCTTTCTTATCTTAGCTCTACTATAGGATGTTTTTTTGAAAGTGAAAGCATTAAAGCATTAACAAAAACACATTGGTATGATCAAGTAAAAGAGGCAATTCAGAGAATTACTATGTCAATTTTTGGTAATATATATATATATTGGAGTAATTTTAAGTTTAATTTCCAATCTAAAGCTATTAATGTTATGCATACATGTAAACTCAAATTAAATGACAAATTTTCTATTATTAAACATAAAATGCTTGAAAAATAATAATGAAGATGATCATTGAACTGAAGAAAACGAAGTATTTCTTTATCTGAAGTTTCAGTAGAAAGTATACTAAAATATAATTTTTTTTCACAATTTAAATTGTTAGTAAGTATTCAATATAGATTTTTAAGTTGGAAATAACCTAATATATTTATATAGGAGATTAATTATATTTTCTTATATATAATATTGATTATAAAATAGTAAGGTATAGTACAGAACACTATATTACTAGAAATGAATTAGGTAAAGCTCTATAAAGACCTGAGAAAACATATTTATGTTAGTATTTTATTTACCACTGAAATAAAAAAGAAATTATTATAATTATTTAGATTTTATATTATTTAAAAGAGGGTTTTCTCCAACTTCTCTTAAAATATAAATTTAGTGTCAGGAGGTCTTAAAATTGTACTTAAAATTTCTTTAAAGGTATACTTTTTTCATAAATTATATTACTAATATTCAAATATAATAGTTATTTAATTTAAAGTTACAGATATTTTAGGAGCTAGTATTATAAATAAAATTGATAGATTGCATAAATCTGTTTAGTATCATATTTTGAGATAGAATAATATACAGATATATTTCATGTCCCTTTAATAAAATATAATGTAAATATATTAAATATAACATGAAGTTTATAATCTAAAAGCATACAATGGTAAGTATCTAGTATAAAGTATTAACTTAAGTAAACATTTGAGTATATTTAATACTATGATCTAAAATTTACTAAAAAAGCTCTAAGATATAAAAACTGATTGAAATTATATATAAAATAATTATTTATTATAGTTAAAACCAAATTTTCTTTTTTCTTTTTTTTAGTTAGATTTTATAATTTTAGATGTTTTATAACTTATTAGAATCTGATTTAAAGAGTTCCAAAAAAAAAAAAAAAAAATACTAAGATTACTATAAGGAGATAAATAGATGTATTTAAGTAATTTTACATGGATTAGATATACTTCACCAAATACTCTATTAAAGAATGACTTATTTAAAAATATAAAAGGTAAGCAAAATTATTCTATAAATAAAAAGGTATTGTTACTTATTATTAGTTTTAGACCTTAACAATTGTTAGTATAATTAACAGAAATGATCCCTCATCAATGTTACATTATTGAATATCGGGAATACCAGATATTACATAAATACATTAGTAACGAAAGTCTAAGTATACTAAAATTCTAAGTCTAAAAATTCAAAATTGCAATAAAATAGAAAAAAAAGTTACCAAGAAACTAAAATTATGTAGAAATATTTAAACTTAAACATATAGCAGCAAAATATTCCAAATATATAAAGTAGAAAGTACAAAATACTTTCTTTAAGAAATTGATGTTAAATTTAATGAAAGTATCATTCATCAGGATAAGATTAAATGATTATTTGTAAGCTCTAGAATTAATAAGAGTATAATAGATAAATTCAATTAGTTAATTAAAACAAGCTAGAATTTGATTTCATAATTTTCATCAAGTTTTTCTATTGAGGTTTTATATATGGAATAGGAACAACTGATAATCCGAATATTTATTTAAGAAATAAGAACAAAAAAAATTGTTAGAAGAAGTAATTAAAGAATCATTGTTATATATTGCTCATTGTATACTTCCTTAAAGTTTGGCTTAATTGGAATTTCTTTAAAAGGAGTTAATAATACTAGAAGTCTCAATATTTACATTACTAAAGATAGATCCTCTGTATACTTCCTAATAGGGCCAGTATATTCGATATAACTAAAGCTAAAATTGTCAAGTGTAGTGGGTAGGGATAACAGTATACTTCAATTACTAAGATTGAGATAGTGTACCTTCATGAGTTAGAACAAGGTAAACACAGACTAACAAGGTTCAAACTCAGTTGAATTGACCTTAATTATATTGCTAGTTATATTAGTAAGCTAAGTAAATTTTATTGTTAAATCTGTAATCTATTTGATTTGTTTTGTGTAGACCTCTTTTAAGGAGAGCTGGCCGCATTAAAATACAATTATACCGCTTGCGCTACAATAATTTTCTGTATTTTTACTTTAAGAACCCCTCTTTTCACTGAGGGTTTCTATTTTTCAGGGTTACGTGTACTGATAAATATCAGAAAGGAGATAACTTTTAGTATTTCTTCAAAATAACGGATCATGTTTATGTTTTCTTGGTTTAGGGATGTTTTGAGCTGGTTTGGACTATCTAGCAAATCTGCTAAGATATTATTCTTGGGACTAGATAATGCAGGCAAAACTACCTTACTGCATATGTTAAAGGATGATAGAATAGCAACCCATGTGCCTACGTTGCACCCTCACTCTGAGGAATTAGTTATTGGTAAGGTTAGATTTAAGACTTTTGATTTAGGAGGTCATGAAACAGCTAGAAGAATATGGAAGGACTACTTTGCTACTGTTGATGCTATAATTTTCCTTGTTGATGCATCTGATAGATCAAGATTTGCTGAAACTAGGGAGGAACTCAGCAACTTACTGGAGACATCGGAGTTGCAGAATGTTCCATTTGTAATATTGGGAAATAAAATTGATATTCCAATGGCAGCTTCTGAAGAAGAACTCCGTCAAAGTTTGGGATTGTACGAACATCTCACTTATGGTAGGGAGAAACGAGGTGATAACGGAATTAGACCTATAGAGGTATTTATGTGTAGTGTAGTTAGGAGAATGGGATACTCAGAAGCTTTTAGATGGCTCTCCCAATTCCTGAGCTAAAATGAAAATTCTATTTTCTAAATTGTAGAAATTCGATACAACTAGAATATTTCAATTACTATCATATAATTTAAAGATATAAAATTTTCAAAAATTGAATCTATACATTTATCTTAATATTCTCTTCAAGAGAGTATTGAAAGAAAAACAGATGATATTTCGGGTACAATGATAATAATTCCATTATAAATATTTTAAACTTTTATTGAAGTTTTTTTAAAAATTACAACTATATACTAAAAAAACACTCATTAATATTTTTATTTTCTACATTTCTAGCTGAATATAACTGGTATCTTATTACATGCACTTTATACTAACTACAGACTTCTAACATAAACCAAGGAAAATTAGGATATGTATTGTTTAACTGTGTATTGTACTTAAATTACTATTGTAACTTTAATTGGTCTGATTTAAGATTATTTAGATATTCAAATGCTTGTACGTTAGAACTATCAGCATATAAAGTGTGATTGATCACTGTAATATCTTTAGTTAGACCCTATGTTTCACACTTTTGGATATAAACGATTTAAGCCTGAAATTAAAAGATGAATTTAGATTTTGATACACTTAAAAGATTTATTATTAACTAATTATTTATTAATAACAAGATTATTATTTATAGCTACAAATTTTACAGAATTTTTAAGATATACATGAAGCAAACAAGTATATCATATAATAGGCAATTTAGAAAATTCAGAAAGTTGAGGAAATTTTGCTCCATAATATAAATCTAAAAATATAGGGTTTTATTTAATACTGGAAACTATATATTTGAATGAAAAATATGAAAAATATAGATTTTACTATAAAAGAATAGATATTGAAGTTCAATTATTTATAGTCTATCCAGTTTTTTTAATATATAAATAGAATATTAAAGTTCATTAGTATTTTCAGTATAAGTACATATATTCTTTTATTTTTAAATATTTCATGCTAATTTTATTTATTAATATTAAAATATAGTATATTGTGGCAGATCTAGTGATATAGTTAATTTCTAAAGATAAAAAATACCTATAACTTTTTAAAATATCTTGTTAATTTGGTTATTAAATATTAATATTATTATTTCATAATAAATATCTTACTATTTAATTGGCAATATCAAATTTACTATGTTGCAATAATTGCAAACAAAATTTTAGATTAAATATCGTTTAGTTCTATTCATAGATTTCTGCTCATTGTACTTATGTTAAAGTTGATATTTTCGAATATATTCTATAATATGTGAAATGAATCTATTCAATAAGTTTCTCTATATTTCTTTTAAATTTATGCAAGTAGTCACATAATTAGGAACTCCAATATTTTAAACTAGGTAGATTATCATTATAATATATTCGGTAGTAACTAAACTAATTATGGAGAACCTCTCATAAATGCAAGTCTTGGGATCTTTTCAATTTTAACTTGATGACTTAACTTGTTGAATATTTCTATTCTAAGTTATTTTAAATACATAAAACTAAAAGGTACTGGAAGAATATACTTCAAGAAATGTCTGTAATATTTATTTTTAATTTAGACAGGTAAATACATATAAATTCTTGTACAAAGAAACTTTCAGATATAAAAAGTATTCAATTTTTGTATTTTTATTCTTATTAAAATATCCAATATATCAAGCTTTTAAAATATTATAGCTTATTAATACAATTTATAATAAACCCTACAAAATGTAGATCATTTCGTAAAATATAAACTGTAAGTTAGCTAAGACTTTATATAAAGGATTTTTTTACCTTAAGACATATTTACAGTTAAGATACTAATCTTCAAATTTATACTGAGTGAATGATATAAACTGAGGTTATCATTTGTTGTACTTAGTTATTTTGTACTGAAACTTGCCAATGAACTTAATCTAATTACTATATTGAATTAGTTTATTATATTAAAAACTCTTCTGATTAATTTAAACCGAAGGAAAGTACTATTAATTTTAAAGAGTATAAATATTTAAAATAAGTACCTCACTTCAAAAGGAGTAATCCATAAAATTCGGCTAAGCTCTTTACAATGAAAAATGAGTACTAATAAAACCATATTTTGTAATAAAAAAGTATATTTGTTGCAATATAGGATCGTCTAAATATTCAATAAACTCTATTTAAATTTATATTAAAATTAAAATTAAAGAGAACATATTGCAAATATTGCAATTTATTATGTAATATCATTAAACAAGGGATTACAATCAAATTACAAGCTCTGCTAGATGATCTTTAATAAAACTTTATAAAAGTTAACAATACCATTTTCAGTTCCGACACTAATATATAAAATATGAGATTTCCCTAAATATATGGTAGCTCATATTTCATTTTTCATATTCAAACTATTAAGTGTTATACTATAGAAGTAAATTTGGGATTTAGTATCGATTTTTTTGAGTTCTGAAGTTGATTTAAAGAAGTAATATAAATATTAGTTTTATTATTTCTGGAGGGCTTCATTAAGACTTAATAATGCAAACTCTTGCCTCGGTTTACCATTCATGTTTACTTCATTTTAAAGCTAACTCGTCTTCAAAATTATGACTAAATAATCAAGTTAACAATTCTTTTTATTATAAAGTATACTGTCAAAGAATTTCATATTCATTTATCTTCTTATTTAAATGAAAAGGGGGATGTATTTTGTCAATATAGCATTGAAAATTCGGAAAAAATTGGACAAATTAACTATATTGTCTTGATTAATCAAAGTATTTAAACAAAAAATAATTTTCAATTAATCATATATTCAATTTTATAGTGAATATAAAATTAGACCTTTTTCTTTATCCTACTTAGGAACTTAAACTAAAATTTTAGACTTCTGCATGTCACAAATCAGTTCCCGAATAATCTTACATATTAAACCAAATAAATATACAACAAAACATTAGTAGTAAAATCCTCTGGTCCATATAAATACAGTATCTGTAGAAGGTTTCTTTATCTTAAATATAAATGATGAATAGTTACTATTTATATATGTATATCATGCAATCAATATTTAATAATAATAATAATAATAATAAAAATAGTACTCCTCACCTAATCTTCTTTATCCATTCATCTTTAAATCTACAAATACAGTTTTTTGTCTCAGGTATTCGAGATAAACTTTGAAAACTTATTGCTTATAAATATCTTTCAAATCTTGTTTCTAAAGAATGCGTAAATATTGGTCTCAATTATTGCACATAAGGTATTGGCTATGTAATACCCAATACTTAAATAAAAAAACTAAAATTAAATTAGAGTAATAAATAGATTCACAATAGAATTCCACAAAGAAATGACAAAGTTAAATAATTTTATTTAACGCGTCCAATGTCACTATTATAACTTAGTGCATGTGTAGCCTGTTCCATTCTTATACTTATTTATTAGCCTTACGGTTAAATTCATAAAAATGGAGACTTATTTGTAGCATTCATAAATCTAACTATTTGAAATTTAGCTCATTTTTAATCTTCAATAAATATACTTCACTAGTCTAGTAAACTATTTTTATAGTCATACATAATAAACTTGAATATAATCAATAGTTCCTCAGTGTTATCTGTAATATCAAGTAATATAGTATTTTCTTGGGGATTTACTTGGATAAATATTTAATAAGTTTAGAGTATACTCAAGCTCAAATTTAATAATACTCTTTTTCTAAAACTAATACATCAATAGCAGAACACAAATAATCCATAAAAATATTTCTTGTTTTAAGATTATGAAGAAAATTATGACCAGCCTGAATCTCATGTTCTGAGATATCACCATTATGGCAGGCTACAAGTTTTATCCAGCCATACATTGCAGACTTAGTTGCACGCTTGTCTTCAGTTGCAGACCATAATTGTACTTTTCTCACCCCTAAGGGGTACATCAGACTATAAATAGCTTCATTACTACTATAGTTTTGGGTATCTACTTCTAATAAATTGTAGGAATCAAACAAGTGAAAATCACTTCTTAATAGTGGCTCGAATTCTTCCCATATCCCTTTACGAAATACTTCATTATTTATTCCCCATCTTCTACACTCCTCCTTAAACTCTTCTGTATTCATATTCTTACTTTCATTCCATGGAAGCTCTTGTTTTGGAGTATCTGGAGATACTGTTGACATTATCACTACTATTTGTGGGAAGATATTCCTATCACACATAACTGAATATATACTTTCGTTTGTAGTTTTTATATTACTACCAGTAAAATTTAACATTATATATTGATATTTTAGTCTTTTTAAAAGTTCAAATGCTATCAAGCCTCCCATTGAATGACTAATTAGGATCCAAGGGACAATCTCAGAGCTAGAGTCTAAAGAATTTACAAAGTGCTCTTCAAAGACTGGATAGAAGTCATTAATCACATCAATAATACTCTTATAATGTTCTTCACCACTTCTTTGAGCTCTTCCAGGTAGAACCATTGCCAATATTTCTATATTATTCTCTTCAGCATATTTCAATAGTGTATTTTCAACATTTTTAGCTCCAGGAGCTTTGGCTTGAACGAATATTTGATCAGTGCTTCCTGCACCTGGGATACACAAAATCCTATAAGATGGAGTTGTTAGCTTATCCCCAATTAAGTGAGCATTCACTCTACTGTAGGATGGAAACCATCTCTGAAAATCTGTAACCTTACTCATAGATTGAAGAAACTGCAACGTTTCCATCACGAACAAAAGCGCTATTGATGTTTAACGTCGAATTCGAGTTTAAGTAACTTAGTAAGTGCGCAAAAGTGCTCAAATACAGATGATCAAGACGAAAATAGTTTTTTTTTTTTTATCTGGTAGAAGGATGATAAGAAATATCTCCTTTTTTATTTCTTATACTTTTTTTATTTTTTTAAGATATATGAAGTCACATCTATTGTTCAAGTCTTGTAAGAGAGATATATAAATAGTATACTTCAAATCCAAAAAGGTTAATACTAACAAAAATATTTCTTTTATTAAAAATTCAACTTGAGTAGTCTGTTTTAAATAGTTTTAGAAATGTAGAAATACCTTACAAAAAGAAGTGCGCTGTATTTAGGCGGCAATATTTGTGTCGTGGGGTGACAGGGATAATGTATGTTGATACCCACATTTGGCATGCGGGGACAAAGAAATCCATGCCTGTAAGCTAATAATTAACTGTAACAAGCTATATATACAATGATAACAAGAAGTCAAAAACTAAAAGAAAATTTATTAGTTAATGGAAAACATCTTAATAATTCTCGAATTGATATGGTAGCAAATTCAAAATTAAATAGAGATTATTGTAATTCAAATAAGACAAAGAATACAACAGAAATACACAAACATGTATGTGTTTCGAAGCGAAATAGTAATTCAAATCTAATAAAGGAGCAGAAAAGTGTGAAGAAGCATCGATCTATAGAGATTAGTAGTACTGAAGAAACTACTTCTACTCTAAGTAAGTCAAGTGTAATTGTAAAAATAATGAAATCATTAAAGTCAGAACCTCCTTTAACAAGTCCTCTAATAGGAAGATTAGATAAATTAGATGTAATTGCTGGATTTATACTGAAAAATGCCAATAATGCTACTTCAGCTATTTTGTGTATTTCAGGTTCTCCGGGAACTGGGAAAACTTGTTGTGTAGATCGTGTATTAAGAATTTTGAGTAAGGGAGAATGGAGTTATCAGCTCGAATTAACAGATGGATTAGTAGTGAATGAACTAACTGGGAATTTTAAGAAAGTATGTGAAAAATCTACTAGGAAAGAAGAGTTAAAAATCCACTATACAACACTTCCTAAAAATTACAGTATTATAAGGACAAATGCATCTCATATAATAGCTTCCTATAGTAATAACTCAGTTCCAGTTAACTTATCATTATTTTTGCATTTAGCTATCCTTATGAAATTTTCAGAAAAGGTTATTGTAGAGATGAAGGATATTTATAAACAGGAGGGGTTGAAAGAATGTGTAAAATACTTTATAGCTCAAGTTGTGTCAAGACGAACAAAGTTTATTATTTTCATAGATGAGATAGATCTACTAAACAGAAATAAAGGTTCAGATTCTGTCTCGGAGTTGTTTAAAATGATTATACTCAGTTCTACATCTCAAATGATTCTGATTAGTATCTCGAATACAATTAATATAGATCGAAACATCTCAGAACGTATGGGTATATTAAATGTAGAAGGTTATGATGGAGCAATTGATTGTAATATTGATGGGCGTGTAAAGTTTATGGTGTTTTCTCCATATGATCACAATACCCTAAAGGGGATAGTGATGAATAGGATAACTCAAGAAATTTCTAATATTGAATGTGGAATTAATAATGCAGGCTTGGAACTTTGTGTTCGGAAGGTGGCAAGCGTATATGGAGATTGTAGAAGAACCTTGGATGTTTGTAGATTAGCTTTAAGCAACTATTTAATGGATATCGTAGAACTTCAGCAAAATGAAGATGTATCTGCAGATATTGATGATGAAATGAGTTCCATGTCAACAGTATCTAATACTCCAGCTCAAAGTCCTAAGCTAACTACACGAGAAATATCAATGAGTAATTTCCAAGATGTTTTAAATAAGGTTCATGCCTCACAAAATAGTAAGATACAGATCTTACAATCTCTACCTCTACATCAACAATATGTGATCATGAGTATTATACTCGCTATAATAGATGAGCATTGCAATAATATGGAATTAAAAGAGGATGGGCAGAACAACAATTATACTAATATGAAATCTCTGCTAGAATCATTAACTTGTTTTGAAGTATCTTCATTTAACTGTAGAAAGAAGTATTATGAAATTTGCCAAAGATTTCTAACTCCTCCAGAAGATTTTAAAGATATGCTAGATGCAATTGAATCTCATAATATAATAAAGCTATCTCATAGTTTAATTCCATCTCTGAATATAAGCTCATTAAGTGGATACAAGCGAAGACAAATAAAAAAGATAAATTCAGACATATCTAATATTGTAATTAAATTACAGTTTACACCTGAGCAGGTTATCAACTCCCTGACATCACTCGAGAAGGTTGGAGTAGTATTTTCTAAATTACTACCCCTCTAATTAGTATTATTAATATATAAGGTAATTAATCAAGTGCAATATTACTAGAAATATTTAAAGGTAAATAGGTGGTATACCTAAGTATATGCAATATAATAAAAAGTATGAAAGTTCGAACTTACAGTTCCTTAATTTAGATAAATTAGACACCAACTTAAGAACACTTAATCGAAGTATTCTAACATATCTACAGATTAAGAATAAGGTAATTTAAATAGATAAATCCCTATCCTTAAGAAGTTGTACAAAATTCAAGTAAATTCATACCAGCTCCTTGGCGGAAACTATCTTCTCAATACCGCAAGCAGCTAGAACTCCAACTAGTATTGATTTCCCTTCAGCATACATCTCCATTATTTGTGTAGCTACTTCATCCGGATTTCCTTCAGCATCAGTTGGTAGTGGGAGATCATCTTTTGTTGATCCAGATTCTGTTAGTAAAGAGGTAAAGTTGTCGTGAATATCAATCAATTGATATTCATTACGTTTGACAAATGGGACAAGCATATTATGAGAAGTTGGACATATATCTTCATATTTCTTACTTGTGAATATATCCAGACCTACAATATGAGCCTTGGCATGGCCATGTTTACCTGTCTTTGAAGTAGACATATCAACGACCTTGCAAGGTTTACCCTTTAACATACAATAGCCATTCTTCTTTATGGAACCAGCAGACATTGGGAAGCAGTGAGAGGCTCCGGCATCTGCAGTATCAAATTGTTGCTCATCGTCCGACATCTCCAATATTAACAAAAATCTGGAACTAGTAAACAGAAAGTCTAAATTGTAGCTTTTAGGTGTCCTATGTCTCTATTTCCATAGACATTCTAGAATAATAACGTTACCCGCCTAGGAGATGGATTGCAATATTCATTAAATAGGAAGGAGGATATATAAAAAAACTTAAAGTTGTAATAATAATATGTACTAATAAACTAGAAGAATCTAATTCAGTTACTTATGTAGTCGTTCTGTCTTACTTTGATTTAATTGGCACTGATACCAAGGAATCTGGAAGACGTTCTATAGCATATTTATGATTTGTAACATACATTATAGGAACACCTGGTATTCTACGAATACGACGCTTCAATTCTGTATCATTTGTAGCCACTATATAACACTTGTGTTCTGTAACTCTCTGTGCAATACAGTCATCTGCATATGTCCCCTTGTGTAGACAATGAAGGCGTCTAAATCTTGGATCTCTCGCTAACCTCAATGCTAAGTTATAACGATGTCCCATCTTCTCTAATTCACCTATGACACAATCTGTTATACATGGGATACATTTAGCCAATAAACAATCCATTGTGCCCTTGAAGATATCTAGCTTATGTTGAATTGAGAAATTAATGAAATTTGTATCAAGTAATATATGGAATGGAGGGCCTAGGTTACTATTATAATTGAAAAATAAACTTGAAGGGGTATTAGGTCTAAAATAAGAGAATCACAGTTTACTTTTAAATATAAATACCAGTATATCTACTTTTTTTTATATAACTTACATCTCTTTTAGTACAGAGGTTTCTTTAGAATTGCTAATACTGGATGAGTTCCTATTATTATTCTGCTTATTTCTGTAGAAGATAGTAACAAAACAAAACTAAGATAAATACATCACTATATTTAAAACTATACTTACTGCTCAACTCTTTTATCCTTAGGATTTAGAACACGCTTAACAGCTGCAAATTTCCTAGTCCTTTTTATTTTCCCCTAAGCCAAAATAATGCAGAATAAAATATAAATTCAAATAAATTAAGTAAGAATCATACCATATATCTCCCAAATGAATAATCTTAATAATTAGATATCTGTATTGAGATACTGATACTACTTTATCTCTTTCAAGAATATTTGAAGAGATTCTACAAGAAACTTCATAGTAAATAACGTGATATTTGGCGCTAAATACTGTCTAATGTAATTAATAGTAAAAGTTGACAATAGGTAAAGCTTCTATACTTAATATCATTCAAGTCCCAAAAAGTCAAATTAAGTATACTATCTAGAATAAGTTAGCTATTTTGATATCCGTATTGATAAATAATTTCTCTTAGTAATTAGTTATAGACTCAAGTTTTTGTACTTTTAACAAAGATATTATAATATTTGTTTTTTTTAACATCTATACCTTCACACTACTCATAAAAAGGAATGAACTTCTATATAACTATCATTATTAAATGATTGATAGTTAATCAACCAATATCTTAATATTTAGTAAAGTACAAATGTACTCTAATTTATTTTAAATATTCACATAAATTATAAGATCCAAGTGAGTATTTAAGTAGAAATATTATCTTAAATTCATATATAAATTGGGAAGTCACTAAAGATACTGAATATATGGAAGATGTAACACTTAGCACAATTATCTAATTATTGACAAACAAATGTATTCGTCCTTATTCTCTAAATATTTATACGTAATACCTAAATATAATATTACATTCAAACTATACTTAACAATACGTATAATTTCACTATTAAGTTGTAAGAATTTAGACTACCTGGAATTAAAGTGTCATATTGTAATTCCAGGCCCTATATAATTCTCTATAGGATAGCAATAATATTGGCATGAGAAAAAAAGAAATCTTAGGTAGAAACTATATAAGATTCCTCATTTATATTAAATTAAATATAACTTCACACTGCCAATATATAATATAAAACCTGTGAATCTATGTTAAATATAAGATATTTAATAGCTGCATCTAATATAGGCGGCAAAATATATATGGCGGTAGAGACGCCATAACAACAAAATTATAGAATCTACACGGGTTAGAATGAGACCTGGCCTTAATATTGTAATTTTATAGGCTAATAATTATTTAAAGGAATAGCTTGCGCTCAAGATTACATTGGTAGAGTTTACTAAAAAATAAGGCGGGATTAAAGTTTAGATTATAGAATATTTGACCCCAATTAGAAATTAAAGAAAAAAAGTAGGAAATATATATTTACTTGTAAGACTAAAGAATGCAAATTTTTGTTAAAACCTTAACTGGGAAAACTATTACATTAGAAGTTGAACCTTCTGATACAATTGAAAATGTAAAGGCAAAGATACAAGACAAGGAAGGAATACCTCCAGATCAACAACGTTTAATCTTTGCTGGAAAGCAACTTGAAGATGGCAGGACTTTATCGGACTACAATATTCAGAAGGAGTCTACTTTACATTTAGTTTTGAGGTTACGTGGTGGTGTTATTGAACCATCCTTGGCAAATTTAGCCCGTCAATACAATTGTGAGAAGATGATATGCAGAAAATGCTATGCAAGGCTACCACTAAGAGCTACCAATTGCCGTAAAAGGAAGTGCGGTAGAACAAATCAAATACGTATGAAAAAGAAGCTTAAGTAAATATTGAGTTGTAATTAAGGCTGAGGTTTTTATCGAAGCTACAAGCAAAATCTAGATTTGTAAACAATCTAATTTAATTTGAATCCTAAGTTGTTATTACACTACATAGGCACTACCCTATTTTTATTATCAATTAGGATTACGTAGATTTAGCGGACTTAATACTTCTTTTTTCATATTTTAAGATGTAGGGATTTAGATCAAGTAGTCATGTCAACTTAAGACATAAAGGTGAAGTTTGACAATAGATTTAAATGTCAGTTTAATTGAATTCATTATGTATTGGGAGGTATCCGGTTAAAATTTAATTAGAATAAGTACTAAGATAAAATTTGGGCGTAGTATTAATTTGGCTTTTATCATAAAATTAGAGGATAAATTCAATAAGTCTTATTACTTCTAAGGCGCTATTGTGTAACTAGCGACATTGTGTGATGTCTAATGAGGACAAACTTTATCACTCCATGTAAAATTTGGACCTTTGAATTTACAAACTAGCAAGATGTTTTTGATTGAACGGGCACTCAACATATTTTCATTCGTATATACAGTTGAAGCTCGTCATCAAGCTACCGAAGTGGCATTGGGGGTGGCATCAATGGTTTCTAATTCACATAATGTCACATCAGCAAAGCCCAATAACCCAAGATTTATTCCAAATAATCTTCAAACAACAATACCTGCATCAAGATTAGAATTTAACCAACAAGATAAAACAATTTATAAGATTCCTTCTGAAGGTCCACCTTTGCAAGGAAAAATACATACAATATCTGAACAATGGACTACACCTACTGGATCCATATCATCACCCTCGTCTCTTAAAACTCCAATTCCTACATTAAAAGCACCAGAATCCCCTATAAGTGTAACAAAGGAGTTAGTTGGGCAAGCAACCTTACAATATGGTCCTACAGTGAGTAGTAACTCATCTTTTGTAAGTCAAACTTCCCCATCTAGAGCAATAAGATTTATTCCGAATAATTCACCTAAAACAGTCATCCCAAATGAAAGAACAATAAAATATCAATATTATGCGACAAATCCGTCTATACCATCTTCTTCACCCCGTTATATACGTATAAATAGCAATTTAGTGGATCATTCAGTACACTTAACAAGAAGAAACAATGAAGGTGTGAATATCTGGAATTCTACTACTGGTTCATCCAGTCCTGAAACCTTTAGGGCTGTATCTCCAAATTTTCAACAGTATCCAGTACAGATACCAAAAGTAAATTTACAATCACCAGCTCCAGATTTAATTAAGGGAGCTGTGAATCCTCAATTCACAGTTGTACCAAATCCATCTATTAATCAGTATTTGGATCATATAACTACAAGAAAAGCTGTATCCCCAATGGAGACTTTAATTCTAGCTTCTCCTTCATATAAAAGAAATGTTGTACCTAATGTCCGCCATTTCTCCATTAATACTGTAGTTCCTCATGCTGCTATGCAGAGTCAATCTAAATAGGTTCCCATCTTTTCTTATAAATGCCTACTAGATTATCACTTTTTAAATTATATCATTTAAATAGTGTGGATTATCTACTTATTTGGTAATTATTGAAGTTCGAAGATATAGTTTGTTCAATTTATCCATCAAATTCTACATCCTAATTCTCTTAATCTTTATTTTAGATTTAGCTTCTTGTCTAGCCTTTTTTTCTTGATATTTCTTTTGATGTTGAGGAGTCATTTGATTTATCTTAAAAGCTTCTTCTTGAAGCTTTTCCCTACGTTTTTGTTCAAATTTTGCCAACCTCTTACTCTCGTCAAGTTTATAAAGTGTCTTCTCAATTTCTTGTCTTTGAGATGTGACATGCTGAAGAGTTCTTTCTGATAATTTTATGTTTTGGACTGTATCATTTAGGCTCAATAATAATTTTAAGATGGTCTCATGAACTGTTATAGTTTCATTAACAAGTACTGCAGAGTTAATCTCCTTGTAGTTTTTGTTTAGATTGTTACTAGATTTATCAAGAATAAAGCTAGCCTTGATACAGGGATGAATTTTTTTGTAATTATTAGTTAATCTAGGACAAGTTGTTTGATCTGAAATATAAATGAATTTTAAACTCTGTGATATTTGGCAACAATTTAGAATTTTCACTAATCGTCCATTTAGGATTTTTTCTATTGCTCCATTACTATTACTGTACACAATCCAATTTTGAGGAATATCCATTACTTTTTTTTGAGTGCAATGAATTTCAATTTCAGGATATTCTATCAGAGCACTTTTTAACTCATTACGTTTGCAGACTAAAATTACAATTGGATCTAGTATATCCAAAGGAATCTCAACATAAAGGCAATCTTTAAAACGAGTCAGAGGATATAAGAGGAATCCTGTTAGGGGATCTTGACGTGGTCTACATGATATATTTATATATAAATAAGAGCAGTTGCTCCTCCCAGTAGCAAATATATCGAAGCTACTCCATGAATCCATCCAAAATGACTTACTTATTAGGGTAACACGGCTAAATTGTGATACTAGCAGTGGCTCAATTTGTTGATACAATCTTCTAGCTATCATTTTATTTACCCTAATTCCCCTAGCTGCTGTTATTAGAAATATCATAAATATAATAACAGCCAAAATTTCAATGAAATAATTTTCTAGGAAAGTTATTTTAGAGTTGTTCAACACTGTATCTGAAATTGCTAGATATATATCGGTAAGAGTACCCATTATAATCAAGAACAATAGCTTTACTTTCATATTAAATAAACTTCCCATATTGTGAACTAAGTGATAGAACTTAGAACAGAACTTGTGTTCAATAATCTATTGCGGTCTTTATAATAGACACTTCAATATTGGCACTTCATCAGTGTAGACTATAGAATTATATAAACAATTAGAGGAAAACCTCGGAGTTTAAATACAAGAAATAACGTACAGCCTATTAAGAGTTAAAAAAAAAAAAAAAAAAGTCTATGTAAGTTTCGAATTAGAATAAATGTTCTAGAATTACTACATAAATGATAAGTTATTGAGCAATGGGGAATTCCTTCGGTTCTCTAACCATAATAGCATCAGGTAATGGGTTACTTGGACCTACTTTACCTTCTGGATCATATGGAAGCATAATTTTGACTTGAACTCCTAGTACACCCTGCTTCATAAGAACATTACGAACAGCTTTGTCTACATAATCCCTAAATGGTTGACCTGTTGCAATCATATAACCATCGCGGAACTTCATACTTTTTGCTCTCTGAGCACGTAATTTACCAGAAACAATAACCTCACAACCTTTTGCACCAGACTCCATGACATGACGTAAGACACCATAGCATGCACGGCGAACAGCTACACCTTTTAATAGCTTATAACGCAAAGATTCAGCTTGTGCCATTGCACATAGACCTCTATTTTCAATGCGTTCTGCAAATAGTTCTACACTTCCAGCTGGAAAATTGAAACGTTTCTGAACTAAAGAAGTCAGCTCTCTAATCCTTCTTCCCTTGACACCTAATACTTCACGTGTGCGAGTAGCACGAATAATAATCTCTGTGCGTATTGGAGTCACTCTGACCTCGACACCAGCATAACCATCTTCAGCCAAAGTACAAGACAAAAACTCATTTAATTCTGCCTCAAATACACCATCATTTACAAACTTTCGTTTTTTTGAAATAACTTGAGGAGCCATATTTACTACTAACTTACAGTATATATAACTGAGATGGAAAGAAATTCAAACTAATTCCTTACTTCACAGCCTTTAAAGATTACCTTGATTCTTTTGGTACCTATTGTGACAAGACGAGTATTTATAAAAAGCGGCTAGCCATGCTCTTTAAACCGCTTACGAGACAAAATACCTTCAATAAATATTCCCAAATAATCTTTCGTGTGTTATCACAATTACTTAGTACCTCCATAATTCCCTAATATATATTTAATTAGTAGGCCAAGTTCCTATTGAGACTCAAGACGCCGTCTCAAAATACCAGTAACGCGGAGTATTACTATACAGCAATAAAATATTGGCGGTTTATATGTCAGAAGTATATTATTCACACCTCTATAAACAAAAGAAATGTGGTGTTTATCTTAGAACTATGAAATATAATAAAGTAAGTTATAAACCAAATAAGTCGACATTCTGATTCCAATTGAATTTGTTTTTTGAGGGGATCACTACTCAGACTTTAGATTACAGAATCTATACTACACAATATTTAATTTTAAATCCTTGAATCTTTCTTTTTTACTTGAATTTGATTTCAATAATGGTTATTTCCTTAGGACTACTGGGGAATTCCCGATGTGTGTATGGATTTCTAATTATTCTTTGAAATATACCTAATTGTGTGCAATTATCCCTTCTCCAGAAGTATTGACCACTTTAGTTGATGAATTAAAAAACTGATCTATTTAATAGACTACCCCTCTATATTAGAACTAAGTGTTACATATTCTATGTCTGATATGTAGTTTTATTTACTCTGTTATAAAGAGGCTCCTTTTAAGCTCTATCTTAAGGAATTGGAAGGAACTATATACTTAGGAAGTGTCCAGATTTTAAATTTCAAAGACTCCATACTTATACTCTTATTAACGGATATTTCCTAGTATAAACTGTCATTTTATCTATATAGGGAAAAAAGTGACTGTTTATCTGCACTTAGTGTACATGTTGTATGATTTTCCCGCCCACCAGATTTTAGCTTTATGCAAGAGAGAAACTAGTTTGCTAAGAATCCCAAAGAATCTTTCTATAAATAAGGCAATTCTGCAGGACTGATATATTGGTTTTGTTCATTTAGTTTGATTAATATAGAGGCTTTTGATCCTCTAAAATCTACCTCGAAGCTTGTATAATGTCATAATGAACTTTGTATATCTATCTCCAATTTTGGTTCTTCTAGTGCTCCAAGCTTTATGTTCTTTACCACTTCTAGTATCTACTCAGACTTCAGGATTACTTTACCAAGATAAAGGGGATTTTGGGGTTGGTGATACCAATATAAAGCTACCCAGTAATATAAAGAGTGCACTAGATAATAAAAGAAACGAAACTAAAAATCCCTTTGACTTATTTTTTAGGGTTGTTTCAAATCCTGAGCTAATTAAAATTAGAGGAACAGGTAAAGTATCAAAAGATAATTTGGATCAATTTCAATTGGATCATGTTGATATAAGTATAAATGAAGACAACAACAGTCATTTGGTTGAAAAGAATACTTTTGACTGGGCACTTAAGTCCTCAGAGACAATAGATAAGAGTAGTTTATCTAGTTCTTTTAGTAAAGATACATTATCTATACTGTCAGAGAAAGAATGTTCTAAAATTTCGGATTCTTTTTTGCGATTTTTAAAATCATGGAAATCTACCAATGAGGAGCTGAGCCACAAAGAATGGAAAGCTTCATATATGAATAAATTTAAGGAGATTGCACTCCCAAATATAATAAATCCCGTTTATAATTCAGAATTAGAAGGTGCTTCTCGTGGGATAATTCAAAGTGAGCTCTTAGCGCATAGTAAACCAAGTAACGCTGTGATTGCCAAGAATAGACCTGATGGTTTACCAGCTATGACATTTTTAGCAATAGGATATGACTATATGGCACTTCAAGTTAAATTTGATGAAGTTAAAGATGGTTTCATTTTTACCTCATATCCAAATTATAGCCCTGATATACCAGAAATTGCACATTTAAGACTAAGAGCTTGGGTTACTAGCCATTATAAAAAGGTCTATGACTCATTAACAATTAACTCTTCAAATTTAGAAACTTCCAGAATGATTGAAAACATTAGAAATTACGGAATATTTTTTGTTATTGAGTTTAGAGATGATGCAACATGTTATTTGATAAAAGTTACTTATAATGGTACAAATGAACAAGATGTGAACTCGGGAAATAATACTTATAGATATTTTACACGAGTGAGTAGGCTACTATTTGCAAGATTAAAACCTTTTATACCTTTTAGATCAAGCTTTGTTCCTACTACTGTTACAGAATTTCGTTCTTTGTCATTTATTGGAAGTCCCTTTTTACTTAAAGAGTCAGCTTCATTAGAAGATCAGGTAACCCAGCAAACATTATTTTTTTGGTCTGTAGCTGCTGAGGAGTACTACCCAGATTATAGGCGTGCAGATCATGTTTGCCATGAGGTTGATTTATTTCAAAGTTCTGAACACTCAAATTTGTGTATCCTCCCACCTGGAGCAAAAGATCCTAAAGTCCCATCACAGTTTTCTTCTCCTTATAGAACCACAGTATCATGTTTTGGACTATATCCTGTTGATACTGTAGCTATATTCAAATCATTCAATTTAGTCCGTGTAAAGATATGTCAAGTTGATGGTAAATGGAGCAATTCAAAGATTTTAGAGGATCAAGTAAAGGCTGTGGTATATTTACAAAGATGTCAGAGTAGAATCTCACATATGTTTACACTTTATGACCAAGTTAAAACTAAAAAGCTATTTGAAAAAATCTAGAAAGCTATTGATTCGATTTTTTTTTATACATAAAGCCTGTATTAAAGAAGTGTTATTTGCTTCCTTTTTTAATTAGTAGTTATATTACTTATAAAGAATTTTATTTTGTCCTTAATATTCTGATTCTGCAATTAGGACATATACCTTTGGTTTCATCTATTAAAATACCTAGTTTACACCATGTATCACATGAACCACACAGGATATCTTGATTATGAGATGATGCGATAAGAGCATCAGCCTGCATGAGTCTATCAGAAATTGAACAGGTATGTTGACTTAGGGTAGCAATTTGTTGTTCATATGATTTTCTAGTAATATCAATATCATCTGTAAGATCTTGAATTCGAATTTGCAATCTTTTCACTGTTTGTTCCAGTGTTTCGTTTGCCTCTTTGAGTAGTGAATCACATACTTCTTGAGTATGAGGATCTATTGAAATTAAGTTATTGAATTCCATTTCTTTAGAGTTACAATGAATTTCAGAATTTTCAGAATTATATTCTTCAATTTTAATTGATTTTTTAATCATATCTAACTTGGTTAAATTCTCATTTTCTAAATTACCATTTAAGATTTCAATATGATCCTGAGATTCACTTTTTAAATTATCAATAATTATACCACTTTGTTTCTTTTCAGTCTCCAAATTATCATCTGTTTTATTGAGGTTAAGTATATTATTTTCGGTTAATTCAAGAGTATCTAAAAGCTGAGATTGAGAATCCCTCATAATGATTTGGTAAGAGCTCAATATCTTTTCAGAACAACATAAAGCTGAAGAAGGTTGATATAAATTTATAAAGAGACGTTCTATATCTTTTTTAGAATTAATTTCTTTACTTATATACAATAAATATTGGGAGAGATTTGTTTGGAAGCTAGATTGGCTTTCCGGACTATCTTTTAATAAAGGAACAAAGTATTTGTCAGAAGAATTGTTACAAAACCAGTTTGTAACTGATTGCAACTGTTCAAATAAATCACTTATGTATCTTATATGCCTAAATAAATATTCAATAGCTCGTTTATGGATTTTAAAACGTCTCTTTTCTATCTCAAGTATTCGTTTATAGATCTCCAAGATCCTTTCTAACACAGGACAATCATCGATGTAGATGTCACTAGGTAATATATCTACTGTCTTCAAAATATTGAATATAAGGTTTATACATAATTTCTTATTTTCTGGAAACTCTTCATCTAATTCTTTTAAATTTAGGCACTCTAAAAGTCTCAAGTATAGATTTGAAAGTGAATTCTCTCTGTTCAAACTTAATAAATCAGGGTTAACTCCAATATGGAATACAAAGTTAATTAAACAGTGGAGGCTTTTAAAGTTTGAGATAAGTTTTCTTATAACATATAATAACTCTTCAAACTTCGTATATTCAAAAGATTCAAGCTTCTCAGTATTTTTTTTAAAACTTGAAAATATCAAACACTGTAAACGGAGAGCTTTATGTATATTATCAAAAGCTTCTCTAAGGTTAGCCGAAAAAAAATCTCTTGAACATGTAAGTTTTAGATATGTATATTCATCAGTAAAACATACAAATTCAGTACATTTATCAAACCAAAAACCCTTAATCAAAGAGTTTAAACCGGATTCAGAAGATGTTAATATACTATTAAGTATCTTGGTATTTATTTCGTTAATTTTCTCACTTTTTACATAAAACAAGACAGCTTTCCTCCACTCTTGAATAATACTTATAAGTTTAGTTATATTTTTCTCAATAAATATAATTAGAACTGCTTTTCTGAAACAGTAACTAGAATTTCTTTTATGTATCCAAGTCTGGAATTCGGAAAACATTTCATCCATATTATCATGAATAAAACTCCTTAGTGTTTTTACTTTAGTCTCATGAACTCCCTCAAATACATTCAGTCTAGCTTGAATTGATTCGATCTTTGCTTTATAATCCTTTTCATTATCACTTAGTTGTGAATTTCTACACTTAAGATTGTTCAAATGATTTTTTAGATCCTCTCTCTCATTATAAAGATCCTGAATTTCTTTATTTAAAAGCTCCTGTTTATTCTCACTTTTTTCTACTAAGCTTTGATATTCCTTCTTAATTTCAAATTCCCTCATGTGTAATTCCTCATTTTCTTGTATTTTCAATTCCAATTCTTCTTCTAGTGACTGAATTCTATTTTCCAGTTTATCTATATTGTCCTTTATTTGAGTATTAATCCCTCCTGTTCCATTTGATTGAAGGAATCCTGTTAATATTCCACCACCACTTATACGTGTTAGGGGCTGCGACGGAGTTCCCCTGTCATTTTTCCTAAAGTCACTTTGTTTGTATTGTTCAATCTGGAGGCTTAATTCTTCTATTTCACGGAGTAATGTTATTTCCTTATATTTATATACATCTAGATCTTCTAGATTCTGTTGAAGTTTCGATTGTAAATCTTTATGGGATACTTGTAGTAAATTCAATTCTGACTGTCTTTTTTCTAGTGCATCTTTCAAGACTCCAACTTGCTGTTTTAATACCTGGTACTTCTTTCTTAATTTATCATATTTTGACTGTCCCTCCATATTACACTTTATTTAAGTCCACATAGCTTTATGATTACACATCAATCCTAAACTAAATGCATATAATATCAATTTATAATCTCTAAAAGTTCATAGTGCCTAGAAAAGAATCTAGAAAAGCTGACTAAACTAAAATAACCGCTTAAGCGGGTATTTTAGTATTGTTAGATTCAGGTTTACATTGCTAAAGTATAACCAAACATGTTTCATAAAATACCAAATATGACTTAACAATGAAATTATGTATTTTTATTTTTTTGCTCACTATACTTCTTGGTAAGTTATCTTGATATAGTATGTACAAATTTGTGCATATTAAAAAAAACCAAAACTTTATTTTTTTACAAAAACCTGGTATAATCTTATTTTCCTGTTGATAATCCATTAATTTCTATTTTCTGTGATAGTACTAGCTAATGGGAGATATATTAAAAGTAGTAAATTAAAAGAAGATCTAGAACCTTTTGTAATAAATCCAGTTCAAGATTATGATGAGTTCAGTGAGAATTTAAGTCCTAGTCTACTACAAAGAAAATATTTTAATTTTAGTTCCAGAAATAATATATTTGAAAGATTAAGTCAGTTAAACAAACTTAGAACCAAATCTACACCTAGATTAAATACAAAAAAGTTACTATCAAAAAATAGTACTAGGTCTCAGAAATTAGTAATGCCCATAGAAGCAGAAAATATACCATTAACAAGAAAATCTTATAACATGATCCCTGAAAAAATTGTAAGTGATTAAACACAGCAAATTGTCTTATTTAAGTTCATTAGGATACAATTTTAAGCGGATTATGATAGAATTTTTACTATGAACTTGTCTTAATTTTATAGGATGATAGTTTGCATAAAGCAAATATTCCTAGTGAATACTTTGCAAGAATTGATGCAGATTATATGAGAAAAAAAGAGCACGAAGATATTCAACGTGAAATTGAAGCAGATTACTCAATATTAGATGATGATAATGAAATTGCAATTTTGGATGATCAACAGCTTTACAAAACTGTAAGTTTTTGCAACTTCATGAAATATAATGAAATAACTTTATATTTAATTTGATACTGCAGTTCACAGAAACCGGAGATTTAATTAGAAAGAGACCTGCACTCATCACTAAGCCTAGAAGAGTTAATATTAAAGATATGCCAGAAAGGAAAGATTTAGAAGCGTCGGAAGAGTTAGAATGTAAGTTCATTTTACATATATTTATTTAATATAAGATATTTAAACACCTTTTAAATTTAGTTATTGAAACAAGTGAAGAAATAAAACAACTACGTGAGAATATTGGGGGTCCATTAATTAGGATGAAAAGACCTTTATCTGATCCACTAGCTGATGAAGACATGGTCTCATATGATATGCCACTCGGCTTTACCCCTCAAGGTAAGAATTTATACATGCTTTTTCATATATTCAAAATTCTAATATGAAATTTTAGGCCTTGAAGATTTAGTAGGGGAATATTTTTGGGGAGATTTTGGTGAGTATGATTACAAAACTGAATTGGAAGCTGACAAGAAGAATAAAAAATTTGGATCTGCTCTAGTTTTTGAACACTTTTTTGTTAAATATCCTTATTTTGATGTCATATCTGGAATTAAGTCACGTGAAAATGTGGCTGAAGATTTACATGTAAGTTTTTTATTTATTTCAAATTTACATAATTCATAAATATCTTGTTTTATTTTATATTTTAAGCTTGCTAAGGATTTCGAATATTTTGTGGATAAAGAGTTTAAAGATCACACAACATTTGGAAGTCAGAATCCAGTACTCATAAGTCCAAAGAGACGTCCCTTCTCAGTTATGAGAGCAACTTCAAAGAGATTTCAAAATATTTTTTGCAAAAGAAAGAAGAAAAAAATTATAGACACCAAGAATGAGGATGTTAAAAGACTCTTAATTGAATCTGATGATGCAATAGTTGAAGAGTACCCATTACTAATTATGTATCCAGTATCAGGTGTAATTACTAATATTAAAAAAGAAATTACTAAAGTCATTCCAAAAGCAGAAAACACCTTAGTAGATGAACTTTATAAAGAAGCTGAGATGACAGATAAATCTTCCTCTTATTTATTTGATTACACTATATCAAAAAAATTATTTCCTGAACTGGCTTTTGATGATATACCAAATATTGAAGGGATACCCATTGATGATATTTATAGATACTCAGTAGTTGGAGTAATACCGGGTATATCAGAGTTTGAATCAACTATAGATAGCGTGAGAAGAGAATTACTAATTCTGGAAAATAATCAAGCTAAAGTTAAAGATGATATAGATTCCAAACTTGTCCGTAGGCATCCTAAACGCAAAGGACTACCACCAATGCAAGCAACGGACGAAGAGTTTGAAGAATGGGAAATGATGCAAGAAGAAAAAGATCTCCAAGATGAATATGACAAGTTTAATCGTCGAAAAATTAAGCTTGAAAAATTACCAACTACTCCTCTTTTACTACCTCCTAAGTTAGAGGTTCCAAGTACAGTACCTAAGCAAAAAGGACGTGTTGTTATATCAGAAGACGAGGCTCAACTTCTAATAAAAAGAGAAAAGGAAATACTACCTTTAATAATGAAAAAAACAGATGATGAAATTCGGGAGGTAAGTTTTAAAAATAATAAAATTATGGGTTCACTGCAATAAGTTTTTATATATTTTAGAAAAAACTAAGGCATATGAGGTCAATTATAAATAGAGGTAATGCAATAACAGCTCAACTCAAAAATGTCCCAGAATCTCTAAATATAGAGAGAAAAAATAAAAAGTTTATATTAGATGAGAATCAAAAAGAAACTGATAGTAGACTTGAAAGACCACATACTGTTGCAATGACTCATATTGATACAAGATTAAAAAGTGAATTTAATCAAACATCTAAATAAATTCTAGTTTATATAAATAACAGAAGTTATCTTAAGTAGATAATCAAAGATAAAGATAAACAAATATATAATTATAAACACCGAAACATGTTTATATCCAAAATTTTTAATAACTTTTTTAGCCTTGTTAGTACCAAAGTTCCACTATTCATACATACCCTTTTGTATTATTGAGTATAAAATAATCTAATATCTAAGAAATAACTTAAATTGTTATATTAGCCTAAGATTCCGCTTTTATATACAATATAAATCAAAAATAAGTAAATAGGTACCTATTTGATATAGATCTTTTTTAGTTATTTAAATCATTTGTTATTACACTATTTATTAAAATAATTTGTCCCATGTCAAGATTAGATGAATTATTATTAGAATGAATTATTCTGTTTGTTTTATTTCTTAGCATACACTTCTTTGAAAAATCTTTATTAAATATTCCCATTGTGAAATTAGAAGAGTTAAAAAGTATATCCTCTTTTGGGTTCAAAAATGTATTTGGGTTCTTGCGAGGAATAAATTCAGGAAATAAAATACTATATACTTTTTGTGAAATATTCATCATTATTTCATCACCCTTACTATTTACTACTTTAACTTCAAAATAATCTTGTTTTATCTCATTTGAGTTTATTTTTCTAGTTATCTTATCAGATAATGTTATTATTTGATTTCGAGTGTTATAATATATCTTTAATATCAATGAATTATCCCAAAAACTAGTTGTATCATTCATTTCCAGAGTCCCAATATTTAATTTACAGTTAAGATAGGGTAAGATGCAAAGTATTATTATTAATATATTCGATACCTTCATTACCCACTTTTATAAAAATAAAGTATTAAACTTTCCAGATATTAAATTTAATAATAATACAAGTTCAAATATTATTCTAGTAAAAACTAGCTAAACACTCAGTGTTAAATATTTTTGAAACTACTAATATTTTATTATTATAAACTCATAGCGCTAATATACTGATACTATATTGTGCACGTGGTGCTATGGAGATCGTGTGAAACGATTGATAAATAATGAAATAAGAATTACTTAATGAAATATCAAAGGGATTATTCCTAAAATATATAAACGTAATATTTGGATATTTAATAAACATCTTTTTTCTTTTTTACAAAAATATTATAAATTATTAATCAAGATCTTCCCAAAAATACTTGACAATATTTACAAAGTCTATACATGCAGTTTTAAGGTCATCATTAATGACTAAATTAATTCCTGGAGTATTTTTTATACCTTCTATTTCAGCAATAGAATTATTTAGTCTTTTCTTAATGGATTCTTCATCATCTGTTTTCCTTTCTATAAGTCTTGCTTCTAGGGCCTCATAGGATGGAGGTAAAATTCCAATGTAATTTGCTTTATTAGAATATGAAGAGCTTTGTATTTGTCTTAACCCTTGTAAATCAATATCTAGTATACAATATTTTCCTTCATTGACAATATTTTCTATTGTAGTTATTGATGTGCCATAAATATTACCATAGACATTTGCATGTTCAATTAATTGACCCTGTAATATCATTTGCTCCATTTCTTCTTTGCTACAAAAATAATATTCAATACCATTTATTTCATGGCCCCTAGGTTTTCTAGTTGTATAGGAAATAGAAAACTTAAATTTGTTGGGATATCTTTTAATCAAATATTCAATCAGAGTACTTTTACCGACTCCACTAGCTCCACATACTACTAATAAAGTTTTATTCATCTACCTAGAATAATAATTTAGGAACACAAAACAAGGAATAAAAAGTGAAGATTTATAATCTAAAATATCCTTTGTCTACTTATAGTGTGAAAACTGAGAAAATTTGCTAGGCGCTAATTGTCATGCCTTTGAAGTAATTGCTACATGTTTATGAAATAATATAGTAAAAGATAATGACAATAATTAAACTATTCCATGATATATAAGATTAATATTACTAAAATCCTTTAAATTTTGGTATTCCTACTATATAATTCATATTTTTAATAAATATATTATGAAATGTTCATATTTAGTAATAAGAGCGTGATTTTTATGTAGCGTGGCATGAATAATGATTGAAATATTTTAATTTCTGTATATTTTAGTTTACTAAAATGACATAGTAAAAAAGTAGTTTATCTAGATCATATGATCTATATCTTATAGTTTAAAATAGCTTAATATATTAGATATACTTTATTACCTTTAAAACTAGGAGAAGTTTAAATTTTGTAGAAAATTTTGATTATTTATTTAAAATATCATATATTCTATAAATTTGTGAAGTATCTGTTAAGAATTAGTAAAAAATTTAATTTACTATATGCTATTTCTTATTTATTTATTTATTTATTTTCCTTTTAAATATACTAAGATGCAAAGAAACTTATTAAATAAAGATATTAGAATAAAATTTATATAGAATCTTTAATGTAACTTTTTAACATGTACAAATAACACTAAAGAATTTAATATAACACTTATATCACTATTTAGTCTTTGAAACTTCAATGGAATATAATTCTAATTTGTCCTATTGTATTAGAAAAATAATAAAATATAATAATTCATTTGAAAAGAATAATTGTTTTGCAATCAAACCTTTATATTTAAAAATACAAATGTCTATATAGCTAATCTAATAGTTAAGTATTGAAATAATACTAGAATAATAATGAGATATTCCAATACTAGTTTTTTTCAATTCAATCTATTAAATTATCAGAGGATTCTATATGAAATTGAGTTATGGAACTTAAGTTATTTGTATTATTTAAAATTTCCACTTTAATAATAAAATGTACATACTTGATTATTATCACCAGTATCTTGTATTAAGGGGCGCAATATTTTCAGATCTGCCAAAGTCCTGATACCTTGATTTACTACTTATAATACTATTACAAATAATACAAATAGATAATCTAGTAAACCAAGGTAAATGGATACTATAGATAAAATATTAGAAGAAATAAAGCGACATCTATCTATTTCTGAAGTGATATATCTGTATACAAGTATTTCAGAACTTGTCAAGGTTAGTTAATCCACATTTTCATAAGTAAAAACTATATAATAATTATAATTTATAGATTTCTGTTAATGATAAGATTATATTATCTTATTTGAGTGAACACATTTCTTTAATATCAACGTTTTGCAGTAATATTATCAATATTATATGTAAGAATGAGCTGGAACTAGATGAGCTATGTAACATTTTAGGTATATTATGTGTCTCTTTAAAACTTCTGAGGAATGTTTCATCTATATCTAAAGATAAAAGGGTAATATTAGGGACTTCTCAGATAATTAAATCATTATTATTTAATATAAATGGAACATCTACAAAACTAGAAATTGAAGGCATAACCGAGGTCAATAAAAATAATGATAAACGGGTAGAATCTTTAGTAAATAAAGAAAAGACACATAATTTTTTAATTTTTGTAACATACAAAATAATGTTAAAGAAGAAGGAATATATTAAATCAGAATTGACAATTGACTGCATTAATGATATTTTATTGCTTCCTTCGGTAATATTTCAATTATTGGCAAATCTATGTATTGAAAATACTGATATATATCATGTAAGTATATAGGTTTTTTTTTCATTAATGTAATTTCATATTATTTATAATTACCCTATCTAATTGATATGTTTAGATGTATATCTTTAAAAATATTTACCCTTTTGGATTGTTAAATATTTGTTTATTGGAAATTATCTGGAGATCCTATATTTTTGAAAATAAATATGAGTGCAAGAATATTACTGTAGGCTCTGGTTTTCATCTTTTATATGTTTTAAATAAGCAAAATCAGGATTTTTGGTACAAAATGATAGAGAATGAAGAAGTATTCAACTGCTTCTTATATATTTCACTTTCTTTATATAATGAAAATATGCAATTTAATAGTACTGATAAATCTTCTGAATGGATTATGCTTTTTTTTAGACGTTTATTTTGTCTAAAACCAGATATATTTTGCAAATTATATCATTTGGAAATAGAAGAGTATTTATCAGATAATTGTGATATTTTTTTGGTTTATTTAACTCTCTTAAATCCTTATATTCAATTAAATTTAGAAAACTCTGGACAAAATGATATATCTAATATATCTCTTACTCCAGAACTTAGAAGACTTCAAAATATATTGCTATGTATATCATTGTCTTTATATGATCTCCAAATATTACTTTTAGCTATATGGGAAGAATTAGAGGCAAATTTAGAGACTGTGTTTACAAATAATAAGGCTGATGAAAATAATATGTCTGTTTGTATGATGAAATCAAAGAATGTTTTAGATGTAATTCAACAAGAAATTTTACTAGGAGCATCACAAATTATCCAATATATCAACAAAATAATTGATAGTAAAAATTTCGATTTAATTTTTGAGAATAGTGAATCTCATCATTTTTCTAAGTGGCTTTTTTTGACAAGAAGTCTTTTTATATATATCCCTGATAATTATAATATGAAAAAGCTTTTTCTTGAACAGTGTGTTTTAACTTTAAACAAAATGTTACAAATTCGCAAATTAATACTAAGTTTAAGAAATGATGAGAATAGAAACAAAGGAGAACAATGTTGGATAAATATTAGTGCTAATGTCTCCTTGGAGTCTTTAGTTCATATAATTACTATTACTTGTGAAAACTGCACTAGGAATCAGAATTTATTAAGAAAATTGGGAGGTAAGTTCATCTATTTTTTTTAATAAACCAAAATTTTATGACTTCTTTTGGAGATAATATGATAATATACTATTTAATATTTATAGGTATCCCACTACTTCTCCAGTGTATAAACATAACAGATGCAAACCACCCATTCCTAAAAGAGGCTGCAATATTATCAATTAAAGTATCATCATCTGATAATGCACTGAACAAAAAGGAATTACAATTATATTCTGTATAACTTAGCGTGGTATCTAGATCCATTAAGTACTAAGACCTTATAAACAAATAGCGGTAAATATTGCCGCATAAAGTGGTAACTCTTAAGAATTGCAAAAAGTCTAGTGACGCGAGTAGAGCAGAAAGAAACTATAGAATTGAAGAATTTGGGAAAACTTTTCTTAGTCATTTCTTTTATATCCCTTATAATAATTATATATAGTTCAGGCTCGAGTTTTTGAATTTCTAGTGATATGCAGGAATATACAGACGTGAGTATGGACTCTGATGAATTATTAGACGACGATCGTTTTAATGACGAAACATTCGATGTTGACAATATTGGTGATGATTGGGTACCTTCAATAACTCTTGAACATTTGGAAGATAAAGAATGCAGGTATAAAGCTTGTAAAACTGCAAATGAAAGCAAGAACTCTGGTAATACCAAGCTTTTAACTTTAGAGGAGCTAGAAAAATCTATGCAAGATCAACTGAAAATAAATGAAGTACATTTAGGACCTTGTGTATATGAAGGGGAAATTCAGGATTTAACTGTATCAAATTCTTATGGCAAGCAGCCTATTTCCGATAGACTATCTCACCGAAGAGATCGTCATAATAATAATAATTGTAAGGGACGTATAGATAATCGGAATTCATTTAAAGGATATAGAGGCAATAGGAAAGATAATATTGAAAGTGTAGAAAGTGATACTACATTACCTCAAATTCCATTTACAAAATATATTGCTCCTTTAACTAAGGATCATATAAGGTATATCATTCAGGGAAAATTGGAAAATCCTCCTAATTGGAGTTTTCCTAAAGATAAACTAGATTTATTGAATCATAATAACTTGATGACATCAAGAGATTTTGATTTAATTTTGAGGATACAGCTACAACAAATGGCCGAAAGACCTGAAATACAATCATATTCTTCCAAATGGAACCATAGATTATTAGCTCGTAAGCATAATGCAAAAAAGAATATTAAAGGTGAAGGTAATATATCTGGTACCATCATAGATGATACCGGTTTAGATATATTGAGGGATTCATTAGATGTTAGTGATACAGCTCTAACAGATTTGAATGTTGGGAAGATGAAAAAATTTGGTAAGACATCATACTCCAGTATTCGTGGAGCAAGAGAGCTTATTCGTGTTCAGAATATATCTAAAGAGTCTGAGAATAATGAACTATATGATGAAACAAATAATTCTCATGAAGGAAGTGAAAATTTAAGGATCTGCAGCTATAATCAATATGCTACATTATATAAATTAGTTTGTGATGTTTTATATGGCTCTGCTTTTGATACTCAGGATGGGCCCATATCTAAAAAAGAGATACCCCCAATTTATATGCCAGGACCTCTTGTTAACTCAATTATAGAAACAGCAAATGATTTGTTGCAAGATATTAGATATATTGACAATGAAATTGAAAACTGTCCACCTGGACATGTACAAGCAAGACTTAGATTGGATCAAGAATTGCGAGATACAATTAGTGCTATCTTTCAACTTATATTTGGTATAAAGAAAACCAACTTAGTAGGTTATAGAGATTCGAATGCATTTCCTAACTTATCAAATAGTATATATTCTGAAACTACAGATGGAGTATTTGAGGGTCAAATAGCGTCTCTTGAATCTCGTCGTTGGCTAATGCGAAAGATTCTTTCATCAAGGAAGGGACGAAACTTTCTTTTGAGATTATTTCATATGCCCCATCTAACTGATACATATTTAACAAACTTGTTGGAATCAATTATTGCTAGTAATGACATGATAATAAGCATCTTTAGAGCATCTACTGTGGTTCTACCCCCATTAATAGCCTTAGTGCCAAGAGTATTTAGATATAAGCATGGCCAAGACCTATTATCACCTTACCAAACTATAAACTATACTGGTAATACTACTGAAGCAATATCAAATTGGCTTAAAAATAATTCAACACTCGATGATGTAATGGAAGATGGTGAAATAAGGAAGAGTATTCTTTCTGATTTACTTACTAAAGCTAAATTAGGAACTAAGATTTTGGAAACTACTGCCTTGCTTTCTAATAGGATACATCAACCCAATATATTTAGAGAGTCGACTTTAATTCCAAGTGTTCTGGCTTTAATTACTTACTATACACCATATTATATAGAAGAGTTGTTGGCTACATCCCCTGGTGTAGTTATTTGCGCTTTGCTCTATAATTCAATATCAAATTTGTCAAAACAAACAGAGAATCTCAAAATACTTACTAAACTTTTGGTAACATCTTTTACACACTATCTTGTCGACAAGAATCCTACAGATGGCAGTATAAAGAAGCCCTTAAAGTTACTACCAGAAGCTCTACGTGATTCGGAACCAGTAGTTTTATGTGTTCTACAAAAATCTACTAGTGATGTATCACTCCGTACTGTTCTTATGAATAGCATTAGTAATGTAGTAGGTGATGAATTTACTGACACATTTATTAGCGAGTTACAAGAACTTATTGTTCGTAATATATCAACTTAGATACATAAGTTCCCAAAAATTAAAACATAATACATTCATTATATTAATATTTAAGATAATTATGTCCAAATATTTGCAGCATGTTAATGAATGAAATTTTACTTCTTTATTTTGTCAGATATTATACCCTTATTTTATTATATTTATTATCTATACAAAAATATTTTATATTAATTTGTATGCTTTCAATTTCATTTTATATAACTTTAAAATTTTGGGTTTAAATAATGAAGTTCATTAACAAATTTTGAGAGAAAACTCAGAAATGAAATATTAGTATTTATTGGCTTGATAATATAATAGAATTATTAAACATTATAGGTATTGCTTGCATAACTATTTAAAAGAATCTACTTTTTTTAGAAAAATAGTTTAGTTTACTGAATCATAATTATAATTCAGTAAGTATTCTAATTATTATGAGAAATATATTAAAAAAATACCTATAATGCACGTGTTAATTTCATAGTTGTAAAATGGATTATTTTTATAAATATCAGATAAATATTCCTTTAAATTATGAGTTAATTAAGATAATCCTTAAAACTCTTAAATGTCTAATTAGGGAATACACAAATATACTCTGGTATACCTATAATTTTGAAACAATTTAATAAATTATGATAGAGTATATTTAATAATTTTGTTATAGCTAGAGATTCTATTTTAATTTTTGTTCTTTTAGTTAAAATATTATAAGTGAACTTTTAAAATCTAGGATTTTGTTAAATTAACATTTTATTATATTAATAATATTTTATTAAATTGAATCTATTATCTGTATGTCATATTATTCTGTAGTATCATTAAGGCTTTCAGAATAAGACTTTAAAGTAGTATATAACTAAAAACAAGTTGATTTTTGTGGACTGATAACTATTTCTGTTATATTTGTAGATTTTACTCATTTATTTCACGAATAAATAATTCAGATCCAACCACTTAATACTATACTGATTATTGATGTGTAATTCACATTTTATTCAATAAAAATATATTTGAAGATATTTCATCTTTATATTTAATTTCAGATAAATAAATGGAGGTTAGAAATAACTTTTTAAGATATATAGTGAAAATTTACATTAGGGTATTCCTTACTTCAATAAACCTAAATTTTTATAGAAGATCTCAAAGAAACAAAGTAGTCAAATTCAAATATATTGAGGGATTTATTGTCTTCACCATATTCTTGATCTGTTTTATCTTCATTACTAATAAGTTACTCCTAGTATAAACTATATTTTATTAGTTAATATGTAGAAATATTTGCTAATTACATCAAGTACTTCTATACTTCATTATATATAATATCTTAAATGTATAGTTGGTTCCTTAAAAATATATCCTAACTTTAAAAGTGCTAATTGTATTTACTAAATATATCTCTAATACTCGAGATACTTTAATCTATGAAATGACTCTCTTATATATAAATATTTATTATAATCTCTTACTCACTTTGGTATTAATTTTGCTCTTCAGTTTTATATTTCTTTGATACTGGAGGTTCTTTACTTTGCTGATAATTAGAATAAATAAACTTAGGAGCTTGAACAGGCATTGGAGTGTAATTTAAAGGTGTACCTTGTTGAGGAATTACAACCGGCATAACAACTGGTAATAATGAAATGGACTGAGTTGGAAATGAAGATATATTTGGACCATTTAATAAAGGTTGCGGTATATTTCCTGTTGGATATTCATTAAACAATGGTAGATTAGATTGATGATCATTTTTTGCAGTATTTTGTAGAGGTCCAAATATATCAGGACGCTTAGCTATAAATGATGCCAAGTTTGATTCAATATCACTAGATGCAGTAAAAGCAGATTCCTGTTGGGCTCTTTTAAGAAGATTATCCTTTTGTTGTTTCCATTTTGGGTCTAAAAGAAGAATTCTAAGGTGATTAGACATTTCACTAGCTGGAATCATCTGGCCTGTAATAGGACAAGGGTATAAAGGTTGACTTTTAGTATTAGATAAATCTTTGTTGGGATCTGAAAAGAACCCTCGTCTCTTCGGTTTCCTTACATAATCTTTAATTATCTTGATATTAGATATATCTGGTACAACAATATCTTCCTTTGTTTTATCTTCTAATTTGTAATAATCTTTATTATTAGAGCCTATTTCTTCTTGAGATTCACTTTCTTCTGGTTTTTCTTCAATTACTACTATTTGGGGTTCTACATCATATATCTGGAGAAGTTCACTACGTGAAGTTTCAGATAATTCACTTAAAGGTTGGAGGATAATAATCTTATCCAAATTTGAAAAATCTATTGGGGGAGGTAGTTTTGATAAGTCATCCTTTCCTTGTTCTTCTCTCATTATCTCCTTCTCAAAATCTACAGACTCAACTACTATAAATTCGTGCCAGTTAATTTCTGCAATTTGTTGTCTTTCTTCCTCTAAAACCTTTGCTTTTTTTCTTTCTTCATAATCTCTCTTATAATCCCATCTATACCTATCATAACATCTTTTTAGTATACTTTGTAAATTTTTAGAGTCTTCCTTCAACTCTTGAACAAAATCTTTCTTTGGTATGAGGCAAAGTGAATATGCCTCAACTAAGTCTGCAAAATAACTAAACAATGCATGGCCCGGCTTTAAAAAGTCAAATTGTTGATTATTAGCTTCTCTTTGGGTCAGACCTAATAAAAATTGTCTTCCATTCCTTGCAACAAACATAGCTGTTACTTTGATAATAATATTATCTACTGATGATATAATAGGACTTTCAACTGTATATTTGTTAGGTCGTGGTTCTTTAGGTTCTTCAACATCCCCATTTATATAGCCTAAATCACTTTCATAAGATGTTAGCATCAATATTTCTTTTTTTTGTCTTTGTTTCTCCTCTTCTCTTTTCTTCATATCTATTATTGCTTGGGGTACTATAGGTCCAAAATCTCCATGATCTGTTCCACTTCTGAAGCTCTCCACTCTCTTGCAGTAATAAGCATTATAGGGATTACCTTGTAACAAAAATGCAAACCTAGAATTATTCTGTTCACTCAATATACGTGATTCAAATTCTGATCCATTTTTAGCTACGAATTGAGCCGTTTTATCAATGATTGCTCTTAGCTCAGGTGGTGGATAAATCAAACCTATAGAACTACTGCTAATATCCTCATAGGTAGGATAATTATCATTATTCGACATCACTCCCCAAGGACTAGCTTCATCCAAGTTTAGATTTAGGGACCTATTCCTAATAACAAATAGCACATAATTGGCGCCAAAATTACGTATCGCATATGAGTACTTAAAATTCCCTTTTTTTTTGTTTTTCTATAATAGTTCATATTATTACAAACAAGTAGTGTGGGAAGTCTGCACTTAAAAGAACAAATATAATAAATCTTTTATAAAAAAATTTATTATATAATTATATTTAAGAATTGAATTCTATATTATTTTGGTATAACAATTCAATTCCTTTACAATCCAAATTTTGAACAACTTCTATTGGAGTTAGCTCATCTTGAGATCTTATATAATAACTAAATCTCTTTTCCCAGTAGCAGAGATTAGAAGAAACTATGAATGAATATAGTATTATTGTCAATAATAAAGGATTTTAATAATTGTGCTAAAAGAAACAAATAAATATATTGCAATCTTTCTCAAATTTACATTATGTAAAGCTTACAGTAGTTAGTAAGATCAGAATTTAAGTGACCAATAAAAATAGGTATGATTTTAACTTTAGAACACTTCACAGTTAAAAACTCTATTAAAGGGAGAATTATTTCAATTGAATGTTCACTTTTTTCATTCAATTTTAAGATTGTAAAATTTGACAGAATGTCTCAAATCTGCAATGGTATAATTATCTAACATAAGTGGACCTAAAGGTATTCCATAACTATCAACACTTTCTTTAAGTAAAGAATAATAATCAAAAAATAATTGATAATATGGATCTAATAAGATAAATCGGGATTTTAGGAAAAAAAAAACTTATCTGTAAGTATTCAATAGATAAAGTTAATATTACATTTCCACTTATATTTTCGGGGGATCTAATTGCTTAATAGTATAAGCTGCAGTCTTAAGTGAATAAAAATATCCAACAAAAGAGATAATCAGAATCTCTATATTATCTCTTTGTTTTCTTATCCGAGTTGTATGAGGCAATAGAGATATCATGTGATGATTTTCTACCTAATAACATCGATTATAATATTAAAGTAACAGTTCTAATATTATTTAATTAATTCTACATTTATAGTCATACTGTCACCTGAATACCATGAACCAGAATGTACCGGAGCTCTTCCACACACTTGTGAAAGTCACTTCTATCAAATTTGCAGCAAAACACCTTACAGATCATTACCATATATCCATTCTTAAATTGTAATATATTCCATAGTATTAAAGAAACCACATCTAAATGTCTTATTAAGTAAAGAATATACTTAGAAATATAATATCTAAAGATTTAATTAAAGAAATAAACTAGTTTGTATTATATTCAGGGTAAAGATATATTGGTTTATTAAAAAAAACGTATCATAAGATACGACTCACTGGTTGAGGGCGAACCTTAACCTAACCATTTATTGGCAGGTTATTAAGCAACCAGCATTGGAAATATCTAATATCATACTTGACATGGCTGCTTCTTGTTTGATTTACCACTTAAAACTAAGAACTCGACATTGAGTTACATAATAATAAGCGATACCAGAGTGAAACAAGCCAAAAGACCCTGGAAATAAGTAAAGACTCGGTTTAGGATATCGGTAGTAATTAATTACTCCCGAGGCGTGCCAAGTAAGGTTTTTATGTCGTCTTTATAAGTTAATGTGTAATGAAGACGGCGTACTTGTTACAAAACTGCTAAAGGCGCAAGGTTCCCTCACTAAATTCTTTAATCTTCAAAGTCATAATTGCATACTGCAGGTAACTTTATTCATATTTTTAGATTAATCTGTTTCTTATTTTCTATAGATATTTATGAATATTTTTGAACTTATTAAGTATATATATATTCATAATATAAGTATTTAAAATTTAAGAGTTTTTATCTTAATATAAATAATCCTATATTACTAATACAAAATACAATATAAAAATGTGCAAATGATTTTATAAAAAAGCTTTCAATAAAAAAAAATTTAATTATATAAAATATTTATATTGATCATATATTCAACAAACTTAAAAAATAAAATAACTTATAATTTAAATTAAATATTCGGAGGAAGTTAAAATTAGTGATATATCAACTATATATTAATATTTAGATATTCATAAACATCACAAACAAACTTAGATATTACAAAATAAAATACTAATTTGTCTTTATATATTAATTAAATACTTTATATTATTTCTAAGTTATTGAAGATTTTCAATATTGGTCAATATAGTTTTTAAGCTTATGTAATAGTAGTAATAATAGTAATAAAATTTAATCTAGGGATTATTAAGGTTTCATATTACAAATATATAAGATTTCAATATTTATATTACAAATTTTAATAAATATTTACTAATCTAAATGTTAAGAATTAGAGAAGTATGGATACATAGAATTTAAATATAGGAGACATAAAACATTATATATATTATCTAAAGTAGAAAATAGTAAACAAAAAATAAATAAATAAAATGAATTATTTTATATATTTAGAGAGTAAAAACAAAATTGATTTACAAACACTTTTTTTTAGTATAATTTATGTAAGGTTCAACTTATTATAACTCAAGGAATAAATTTAAATTAAAAATCGCTAATAAATAAATGTGATCTCTAGTAAATATTACTAATAGTTAATTTTATTATATTAAGATTTATCTTTAACTTTTATTAGTTAAATTAAAAACTATAGATTTTTAAAAGTAAAGACCAAAAGATAATATAGTAAATGTAATACCCACACCTAAAAGAATAGATCCAGTTAGTGATAGTAATATCTCATCTAAAATGGATCTTTTTTTAGAGTATTGAAATTCACAAACAATAAAGAATGCAATAACAAATAAAGCTGGAAAAAAAAGTTATTAAAACTATTAAAAATGTATTGACTTTTTATTAACTTACAAATAATAGATAAAATAATAGATACAGTTGCGAAATCATCTGTATTAACTAATGTTGGAAATGGACCTGGATTAAATTTCACGACCATTTTTATTTATTTACTATTAGACTAATATAAAATAGTTAAAACTTTTAAAAGGGATGTATTTTTAGAGTATCTGAATATACTCTCAGCGCTTTATACTAGCACACATTGTATCTTAGGTTCTTCATCATAGGAACTACCTTTTACAAGAAAAAAAAAATGCATACACTAAATAAATTTATAAAGAGTTCTAGATCAGTTAATATAATAAATATGTTGCCATTTAGGAGATATATATGTTCAATAATTGGAAGGGCTGCTCCAGGTAAGTAACTATATAACACAAAGTTGCACTTTTTAAGTAACAATTTATATAACCTCTTTTTTTTTTGTTTAAAATAAATGTGATTTTAACTTATTTATATAATTTTTTTTTTGTTCATTAGACTTTACTGCGAAGTGTGTTATGCCCAATAATGATATAAAGGAAGTCACTCTTTCTTCATACTTTGACAATAATCAAGTAAATAAAGAATCTCTTAGTAATGAGAAACTTATCAAAAATAAACAGAATGGAAAATTTGTGTGCCTTTTATTTTATCCACTAAACTTTACATTTGTATGCCCAACTGAAATTATTTCTTTTAGTAGAGCCTCACAAAAATTTGAAGAAAGAAATACACAAGTATTAGGTATTTCTGTAGACTCTGAATATAGCCATTTAGCATGGAGAAATATCAAGCCTTCTCAGGGGGGTATTGGAAATATTTCTTTTCCATTAATATCTGATATTGATAAGACAATTTCTAAACGTTATGGTGTACTTTTCAAGAATTCTATTAGTTTAAGAGGAATATTTATCATTGATAATAATGGTATGTGATTAATAGTGAAAATGACGAACTATTGGATTTTTGTATAAAACAAGTCAATGTCAATATTTAATATATAATGCAACGTAATATGATATATTATCTCAGGTATAGTTAGATCTACAATTATTAACGATTTACCTATTGGAAGAAATGTAGAAGAGGTTATTAGGCTTATTGATGCTATTCGTCATCATCAAAAATATGGTGAAGTATGCCCAGAAGGGTGGCAAATAGGTAAGCCTGCCTTTATAGCTCAGGTAAGTCGTCTATATACCTAATGCTAAGTAACCTTTTTTCTTTTTTCTCTTCACTTTCTTTTTAGAAAGAAAATCTTAATAAATATTTACAAAAATATGATTAATGAATAATATACTATAAATGCTATATATAAATTTTTACTACTATTTGTAAACTAACTAAATCTTGTAATTGCACAAGTTGAAGAGACATGTAATAAAGCTACTGGAGCCAATATTTTGCAATATTAAATTTCCTAATCTTTAATCTTAAATACACTATTAGACTAAAAATATTAAAAGTGACCTAATATAGAATTATTTTAATTTATCTACTTTTTTTAAAAATTAAATTGTATTAATATATTGTATATTCCACTATATATTATTACTCTTAGGATTAGCGGTCTACATAGGGGTAAATCCAATAAGTTGTTTAATATTACAAATGGTGTAGTACAATATAATATTGAATTACACAATGTTAAGTATTATAAATTTGAACCTAATGATATTCATCAGTTTCCTTCTAACTTATATTATTATACAAGTTAATGGAGTATACTTTTATGTTTCTGAGGGTACTGAGAAGTGTTTTGAAGAAAATACACCAAATAATACCCCTATAACAGTTAATTATAATAGTAAAAATAATATAGGTAAGATTTTAATACAAGTATTGTTTTGTTAATATTCCTTTTTATTGCAATACTGTTTATATTAAAATTTTTTATAGGGGTACAATGTGCTATTGTATTTAAAGATCCAGATAATCATGAAGTATATAGTAAACCAGTTGATAGTAAAGAATCAGATGGAAAGGCAGCATATATGACTCAAAATGATGGAGAACACAAAATATGTATTAGATGTGAATCTTCTAATTGGTTCAGTACAGAATTAATAAGGTGGGAAATGTCTATTATAAAGGAAGGTATAATTGAAAATATAGATATTAGTTTAATAGCAGATAGAGATCAACTAGATAATGTTGATTTAACAATTCAGAGGATAACAAGAAGAATAAATATCTTATTAGCAGAAAGTGAATATGAGCATCATCAACAAGATGAATTTCTTTACAACACTTTGTCTATGAACTCAAGAATTACTCTTTTTTCAGTTTTACAGATAGTCCTAAGTATAATGACAACAGGATGTTATCTCATTTATCTTAAACGCTTTTTTAAGAGACAAAAATTTATTTAAATATGTCCCTATTAGATTTGAATTTAGATATGAGTGAATATTACTTATCAATAACTTACTTTTTTTAAACTAGGATGAATTTTATATATTTTAATTTATAATAGATCTTTAATATTGCAGTATATTTAGCTTTTTTTCTACTAAGTTTAAATTCACCAATGAATGTTGAGGCGTTACTTAATGGGTGGCGGTCTGTGTGGATTGTATTATTAGAAACTACTAGCTGTTAACTCTATGTTAACCTTAAAAGATTAAGATTGTAATTCCTAAGTAGATAGAAATTTATATAAAATTAAATAATATGGGAATTAAAGGGTTGGCAAGGTTTTTGGTTGATAATGCTCCAAAGAGTATACAACAACAAGTAAGTACATAAATTTTATTGATTGTACCACTTTTAAGTATTTGTTTATAAATTTCCCCAGTCTATTGATAGTTTAATAGGTCGTATTATAGCAATAGATGCTAGTATGTGGATGTATCAATTTCTAGCAGCAATTAGAGAAGGTAGTCAATGGGGGAATTTAACTAATGAAGCAGGGGAATCTACAAGCCATATTAGTGGTATGCTATCAAGAACAATACGACTATTAGAGGCAGGTATAAAGCCAGTATTTGTATTTGATGGAGAACCACCAGAATTAAAGATGGAGGAGCTGATGAAACGTAAGGAGCGACGAGAAAAAGCTCAACAGGAACTAGAAAAAGCTCAAGAAGAGGGAGACACAGAAACAATAAGGAAACAATTAATAAGAACAATAAAGATAACTAAGGAACAAAGTGATGATGTTAAATATATGTTGAAATTATTAGGGATACCAGTGATTGAGGCTACTTCTGAAGCAGAAGCACAATGTGCAGAATTATGTAAAGAAGGGTTAGTATATGGTGTTGCTACAGAGGACGCAGATTCATTGACTTTTGGAACCCCATTAGTGATAAGACACTTAAATTTTTCTGATGGGAAATTTTCTGATTCTAAAGGAAATAGTAAAAATAGCTTACAGGTTATAAAACTTAGTACTGTTTTAAGTGATCTGGGTCTATCAATGCAACAATTTGTTGATTTGTGTATCTTATGTGGATGTGACTATTGTGGGACTATAAGAGGTATAGGAGCTTTAACAGCATATAAGTTACTCAAGAAACACAAGGATATTGAAACAATAATAAATGAATTAGATAAAAATAAGCATCCCTTACCAATGAGTTTTGATTATATTAAGGTGCGGGAATTATTTACAAATCCAAATGTTATAAAAGCTAAAGAGTTTAGGGATAAGCTTAAATGGACAAATCCCAATTTAGAGGGTCTAAGTGAATGGTTAATTAAACAACAGAATTTTAGTGAGGTAAGAGTAGCAAATTATTGTACACGGATTAAGAAGTCCAAAGGGAAGACAGCTCAAACAAGCTTGGATTCATTTTTTACTTTAACTCCTAAGAAGACCTCTGAAAATAAGAATAAAGAGAAAGAGATAACTAAAGTGCAAGAAGTAAAAGAAACTATATCAAATATCAATAAAGATACACGAAAAGATTCAGTAAGTGAGTGGGGAGAGATTAAAACTAAAATTATAGAAACTAAAGAGGACAAACTTGATTTTGAACGGAGAAATAAAATAATTCAGGAAGATAAGCTCAATTCTAAAAAGGAATTTGATTATAATGAAAAACTTCAGTGCAATTCTACCGCTGAAAATACCCCAATTATAGACAATAAAGCTAAAGTTCTAAGTATTAAGAAGAGACGTATAAATCGAGTTAATTATGATGAGTAGGGCAAGTAAAAATATCTATTTTAGCCATTGGGAGTCGCTTGGAAGCCATCTAACATTTTAAAAATAGAGAAATAAATTGAATGATGTATTAAGATACTAATAAATTAGTAAAATAAACTATTTTATTAAAGTAAAACTTTCCTTTTCTTTTTTTGTGACTTTTTGGAAGCAATTCCTTGACTTTTTGTTTCTGGTTCAGTCTCATTTATTTTATTTCTACTACTAATTTTATTTTCTTTTCCAGTTTTTAATTTTTTTATAGATAATCTCTTGGCAATATGTACCATATTGAATTCCCATATTTTTCTATCCCACCATACAAAAGTTCCAACTGGTACTGAGCGTGGATCCAGAACATCATATGGCAAAGATGAGTTTTGTAATTGTATGGGGTGAGGAAAATTGAAGTATATGGGGCTTGAATCATTAGTATCTACTAAGATAGAAGCCTTTTTTTTCAATTCACCTGAGTAGTTTGAATTTTGCGAGGTACAATTATGCCACATAGACTGAAGTTGAGAAAGGTCTACATCTTCATTTAATCCTGAGTCTCTGGCTGTTTGAGATGTTTCTAATTTTCTTGAAGATACATCTTTAAAATTTAGAGAACTAGCATCAGTTTCAATGACTAGTTCTTCAATATTTAAGGGCCATTTGATAGGTTTTGTTCTAGTTAATAGTAGTGAACGTGGTAGATACTGGCTCAATTCATCTTTTATACCGTAAAGAGAGTAACCTAGAGGCATGTCATTTGTTTCTGATTCTCTAGATTTTGATTTTTCATTAAATATTGATGCTTCTGATGTATTATCGACTTCGATTTGAGATAAGTCCTTTGAATTCTTTAAAGACCTGTGTACACGAAATTGATAGCCCAAATCCTCTGGGGTAGTCCAATAACATTTAAAAATTGTATCTATTGTGTTAGTACATAACTTCTTACTAATATTCTGTTTATCTGTATCTAGCCCTAGTTCACTTGTTGTTTTCATTCAGTACAACAAGCAAACTTTACTTCTTAGCTATATTTTACAAGCCAATTTTCATTAATGAATAACAGCGCGTTTTTGTTATTACAAGTACTAGTAGCTCCACCTTAAAGATTTTAAAAGTTTAGTTAATAACTTGATGCTAAAGATATTCTTACTTCTGACAATTTTATTTGATGTAAAATATCTCTTAATACCTCTATGTGGAGCTCTAACTCCAATCTCCTCTATTAATGAGGATATACCTGATGCTGAGTTGGCACGTCTATCACAGCATGTCTTACCTATTATCTCTAAGAGATATGGCTTTGAGATATATTCCGATAGTATACGCATGGACTCCAGATCTAGATGTAAATCAGAAGTAGATTTCACAAATAATAAAGTTGCAAGAAGGGTGAGATGAACAGAGAATATAAAATACAATCTAATATATTAGAATATCTAAACTCCCATGTAAATTCCTACCTGTTTCTTTTAGGGGTGCTATATTGGTGTATACATATGTAATTCTAGTTTCCACAAACAATGTTTATGGATGCATAAAGGATATTGCCAATGTTCCACAATGAGTAAGTTTAAACTATATATCTTCTAATTTATAATATTGCCTCTTTCATAAACTATTACTAGGAGATTTCTGGAAGATACAGGAATGTAGAATAAGTGCAACCAGAGTTCCTACAGGAGATTCAACCTATCCTTATATCAATGTGCCTATAGGAGAATGTAAGACTGCAATTTGGATATTTGCACTAGCTTCGGTTTTAAGTGTTATAGCTATTGGATTAGTCATTAAGATGGCAGTATCTAGATATCTCAAAAAAAAAGTGTAAAGATTCAACTGAAGATAAAATATTAGTTAACTATGAATATTCAATTTAAATAAATACTGCAAATTTGTTAATAACAATTACTTGTATGTCTGTCTACAAAGTTACCATTCAAACAGTCTTCTCAGCCCTATCCTTTGTAGTTTTACGACCACCCCGGAGGAGACCAGTTCTCCTTGCAGCAATGAGACCAACTTTTTGGCCTGGTGGAGCACTTCTTGAAACAGTAGATGGATGGCCAATATGTTGATGGTTACCACCACCATGTGGATGATCTACTGGATTCATAGAGACACCTCTAACTTTTGGCCAGCAATTACGTTTAACTTTGTATTTATGGTAGTTATTACCAGCTTTTAATACAGGTTTGTCAATACGTCCACCAGCAGCAACAATACCTATAATAGCTCTTGATTGAGAGTTTATGGTTTTTCTTGCCCCTGATGGTAACCTAATACGAGTTTTTTTGCCATCTTCAGATTGACCTACAACAATGGCATATGTACCAGATGTCCTTGCTAACTTCCCACGATCTCCAGCTTTCTCCTCGCATGAGGCAATAATTGTACCCTCTGGGATCTTCCCAACAGGTAAAATATTACCTACAGATAATGTAGCATTCTTCCCACAATACACAAATTGACCAGTATGTAAACCTTCAACTGCGATCATTAACTCTTTCTGCAGTTTATATCTGTACGGGTCACGGAATGTAATATGAGCTACTGGACAACCTCTACCTGGATCAGTAGTTATATCTTTTACTAAACCTTTAATATAACCATGACGTTCAATGAAGTCTAGAGCACGAAGCTTAACTGGACCTCTTCTCTTAGAGACCTTCGACTTAAAGACGGAACCAGCACCCTTACGTTGACCACGAATAACTCGACCCATTGGTTTATTTCAGGAAAATTCACTTAAATAAATACTTCTCTAAAGGATATCTTCCAATGGTCTTTAGAAGCCGTATTTCAGTAAAACTCAACACTTCCTTATAATAAGAGTTATTAGCGGTATTCGTTTAATTAGTAACAAAATACAGGCGCTTATAATATTATTCAAAATTGACTATTACTAGAATATCTATTTAGTATATCAAACTACCTCAATCTACATCGAAAGGAAGACGTCTCTGCATTCTTAATATTATTTAGAAAATAGTGAGACGCCACTAAGGAGTACTAAATTCTGTCTCTGAACCGCTAATACTTTTAAAGCGGGTTAGGCCCTATAACTTTTTCTTACATGATCTAAAGTTACTTTTTATTGTTGTATCATCTTTAAAAAACTAATAAAGTGTAAAATTTTATAATATCCAATATTTATTTATACTTCGAAGTTAGACTATCCCCATTTTCACTTTTAGAAGTATTGGACTTGTAGTATATTATTTTTATATAAATTTAGTACGATAAGACCTGGGGTATATTTACAATTTTATCATCCTACCCAATATGGTATAAAATTTCCTAGAATCCCGGGTATATATTTATATATTATTTATTTATTTCTACTGTTGATTCAATTTGGTTGGCGCTAGATACAGTCACAAAGAACATAGTATTCCTTATAAAAAAGGTTATTCTAGACAAAACAATTATTATCTAGATGGAGAATCTAATCTGTGTATTTTAGGCAAATATGCTTTTATCTTGTGGAGTAGTATCAGATGGTGGTATTTCAGAGGAGATAGTATTAGTATGTTGTAGTATTTGGGGAAATATATGTGCCACTGGGACTAAACTAGGACATGTGTACTTGTGGCATATACAAAGTGAAGAGAATGGAAATAATGACAAAGATAATTTAGTTCCATATAATATTCTGCTACCAAGTACACATGGTAATCATGAGTTAATTGGTATGGTATTTATTTTATCACCATCACCACTGTTACAAGGTTGCTCAGAAGAGCTATTATTGACTTTACATTCAGATAGGATCTTAAGATACTGGTCTTTAGATAATGGTAGATGTATAGCTCAACTGGAACATAGTGCTGAACATGATGTCACCCAGGTTATTAGTTTGGTAGATAGAAGGTTTGTACTGCTAGTTGGTTTTCAAAAGATTACAATAATAGATACATGGTCCCGTCTAAATTGTGGCAGACTAAAGATAGCTAGTTGTCCAATTAGCAAAAGGCTTGATAAAAATATGAATGATGAAGATACCTTCCCTATATATAGATCAATGACAGATTCTTCCGAGAAGTCAAGGAATTATAATTTAGACTCTAATAATATTCTGAATAAAAACATATCTGAATTGCAAAATTCACCCAAGTCTTCTGGGAGATATGGAGAATCAATGATATGCTGCGTATCTACTAATTATGACTATTTGGAACTTCTAAAAAGATCTGCAAGTATTTCCAGTTATGACTTTTGCGCAGATTATCAATATCCAACTGCTCATTTATATACAGTTGCAGCTGTACTAAATACTGGTCAAGTTTTGGTTTGGGACTTAAGCTGTGTTATTAGAGTTTGGTGGCACTTCATTCCTATTCCACATTGTGAGTTACCTTGTCCAGTCCCTAAACCTCAACGAGGTGATGTACCCGAGCCATTTGCTAAATACAACTGTGATGTAACTAAGAATTCTGAAACCTTAAGGGAGTTTTCATATACTGGGAATGGGCGTTTACGTGGACAAATTGACAATAAATCTGAATCATCTCAACTTAGTAATACCAATTCATACTCGAATTTTCAATCTACAGTTGTAGATAATTCTACAAACTCTGCAGTTGATTTCTGTCGAACTAACAGCATGTATATAGATAATCACTCTGGTTACTTTAAATCTCCCAATGCCTATCAAATTCCAGCTACAAAATCTCCTCTATTAGCTCCTTTGTTATTTTACCTACATCCATGCTTCGTTTCCGAACCAACAAAGCTTTATTGTGTACAATCAAATGAAATGGTATCTACTCAGATAATAGTGGTTGATTATTACTTGATTATAAATGCTAAATACCGTTTGATAATATGGCGTAGAAGTTTCCAGCCACAATTCCAAAATAGAAAGCTACGTTACCAACCTTTTGGAGATATCTTTGTACCTCCAACTTCATATCCTAGTGATCTGGAACTAGGTACAATTTTTAGATCTGAGACCTACGAAATATATAAGGATACTACTTTGCATAAAGCAGATACATATGGAGAGTCTCAAAGTGCTATATCATATAATAATGATGAAAATAAACAAGAACATAAGCTTTCTATTTGGATGGGACTAGCATATGCTTCTTGTTTAGAATGTGACTCCTTAAAGGAGGATGGTAAATATTTCTCAATTTTGGCATGGTCATCAGATTTGATAATTTACAAGTTAAAAATTCCTAAAGTTTTGGATGTCTTGTTTTCTGATAACACTGACTTTCACACAGAACGTACAGATAAATTTTCGTTCTTAAATACATTGATTGAAGACTACTGCGGAAGATACTCAGATATGTTACTTTATCCAATATGCTTGATTAATTGTGAATCTGAAAGAACGGAGGAAATATGTAGTGTGAAGGATTTATCTAGTTTGTGGCAATTTTGGAAGGTTTATTCAATACAGAGTGATGAAACTCTAAAATCAAGGATCTTGTGGATTCATAGACACAATATAAATCTTTTATATAATTTAAGACAAGATAATCTAGATCATATTTTCTCTAAAGATAAACTTACTGAGAATTCACAATATGGATCTTTAACAGATATGGTGTTATCTTTAGATTCCATATCATATGTGAGATTTTCTTCATGTTTTGAAAATGATGAAAAAGAAAACCCTTTTATAATTGATTTACCCTGTTCATACAAAAGTAGAGAGATTTACTCTAAGAAACTTGCTTGGAGTTTAACGATGCCTTTAACTGATATATGGGATAACTATGTTAACTCTTTTGAACGTAAAGATTCTGTGAGAGTTTGTGCTTGTTTGTTTACTGAACAGAAAAATTCTATTTATTGTATTATTTCTTTATCTAATGGTAAAATTATAGGACAATGCCTAACGGGTGATTTTGGTTTAATAGATGGAACAAGCTGTAGTTTTGATAAACACTCATTTGGAACAATTGAGAATGGAATAATATATATTCTTCCTGTTCCTTACTTTTTTGGAAATAGCAGAAATACAGGGGAAACTGTTAGTGTTGTTGAATTCGCTTCTGTTACAGATGGATATATTTTCGGAGCTACTTCTAATGGAAATATTCTCGTTTGGAAAGTAGATTTAATGAATACTAATCAAAGAAGAAACTCAGAGTATAATACTTCAGTTTTTAATGATGAATACACAAAAAGGAAAGAATACACCTCAGATTTGGGCTCATTCTCTCCATTGCAAGGGTTATATAATAATAAAAGCACTTTTTCTCTAGTTTTGTGTATAAGTGGCATATTTTCCAGTTCAAACATTACCCTAACTAAAGTAATTAAATTAGAATTAACATCTATGGGTGAAATTGACACACCTACTTTTGAAGATTCTAAAATTTTGGTGCACTCCTGCTCTGAGAAAAGAACACTTTTATTGAGTATAATTGATAATAAAGGAAGATATGAGGATGAAGAATGTCAAGTGATCGATAAATATGATAACTCAACTATGAATGAAGAATTTGAATCTATATATATGGAACATAAAAGAGTTTCATTTAAGACTACTCCATTAAGTTTATATAATTCTGCAGATTTTAAGTGTCCTCAAAGGTTAGATTCGGCATGCATAGATACAATATGCGACTTTATTTATATTCTACATGGAAAGGAAATGTGCATTTTTGATAGTAACTCTGGTTGTTTATTGACTATTATTGATACAGGCAACATATTAAATATTGAATCACCTCAGCTTCCATATATCCACTTATCTGCTGGAGCTATTTCAAATATTGTGAGATTTGTCCAATGCATACCATCTTTGGAATTTTCTAGTCATGGTTTTATATATGGATCAATACCAATAGGAAAATATAAACCTAGGAATTATACATGTTGCAATAGTACTGGACAAACTGAATATCCAAGATATTTAGAATTATGTAAGGAAAAAATTCTAAATTTCCAAACTCATCATCTCAAATGCTCAAAATATGATTACCTTGCTGAACAGAAAAATGAAAATCTTAAATATAAGGATTATATAGAAGACTTTGACTCTATTAATGCTGAGTTTAAAGTCTCTAAAACTGATTTTATCTTAGAGGACTATTCAAAAGACGATATGAACTCCTATTGTAGAACTTTTACTATAGATTCCAGATATTTAAGATCAGAAAAAGTGCTTAAATCTTATCCCTCAATAGGAACAAGGCCCTTAGATAGTGATCATTATATATTCCTGTCCTTCCTGATTTTTAATCCCCATGCATCTTCAGATGTACAGAAAATTGAGAAGAAGCAACAGCGCAATACCAAGACAGCCAAATATTTGAGACATTTACTTCCTCTCTTTATAAAGTCTACAGATATATTTCTGACTAGAATATTATCTATTATGGCTCCTTTATCTACTACTCCTATTTTGAAAGTTAATTCAATAATCATTGGTGTAAATTACTCTCTTTCTATTCCTATTGGAAATGGATGCAATATGCACAAAATTCAAACTACTTCTGAGACTTCATTTGTAATTCCCAAGAATAGTGATACAATAAATATACGTCTATCTGGTATATTACAAAGTACTCATGATGAATTAACGAACACAAATAGACATTTGGAAAGAAGATATCATTCTTTTGATACATCAAGGAATAAGGGGGTAGGTGATAATTCTGAGAATTCTTACAACCGTTCTTATACTTTTGATGGGGTGGGGCCACCACCTTATCGTTATGTTGCAATAGAGAACTGGAATGAGAAACTAACGAAACATATATTTAATAAGACTGCCTTTTTAAGATCTTTAAGGAGCAAGGTTGGTTCAAACAAGTTCCAAACTATTGTAGCATCTGGTAAGCCATACAGTGACTGGAATACAAAAACAAGAAACGAGAATTTATCTACGAGCTCAAGTTACTATTATATTGGGCAATTTTCGGGAATACCTTGCACTTCTCATGTAGTTAACCAGATTGTTAAATCTAGACACCCCCACTATAACCAATCTGGTAAGAAGAATAGAAAATATTTGGAGGAATCTAAGATTCAAATAGAAAGAGAAGCAACACCAAGGAGAAAAACTAGAGGAAAAGGACTGGAAGGATATAGGAACATTGATTCTGAAAAAATAAGAAATACTAGTTATGAGGATAAAACTGATGTTGATACTGTTCCCGACTTTCATATTGAATATTTTTCACATAAATCAAAACAAAATGACTTTAATCAATCAATAATTCACTCTCCAACAATTCAGAGTAGTTTGAACTTACATGATACTTCAAATTTTCAAAAAGCTAAGGTATTACCTAACTTTGACGGTGAAGATAAAGAGTGGTTACAATTTTTCTTGAATTATAGACGTTTCAGATATGATAATTTAACATGTTCTGATCAATTGGATGACTGTAATGGACCTTTGACATCTTTTTCAACTCATAATGTAGCTCTTCAAATGGTTATTTTGCACTATTATTTTTCCTATTATTGTGATATGGAGATCCCAATTCGTCTAGTTGATAAATTTCTACTATCATGGATTACTAGCTCAATGTACAGAAGACATGATACAGAGAGATTAATTCCATTCCACCTATTTACAATTACTGGAATAACCCTGGATATTTATAATCCATATCTAAGATCATCAGCCAGATACTGTCTTCAATTAGCTATAAGATCTTTACCTGCAAAGGTTCTTGCATATAGTGAAGAAATAGCCTTAGATACCTTATCTGGGTTATTAAGGACACAGTGTAGTACTTCTGAAATATCAGAAAGTCCAAATTTACTTAATCAAAGTAATTTATGCAATGATACACTTGATTTTGATACATCTTTAGAGAGTGAACTACAGGCTAGCGGAATTCCGGAACAACAAAATTCTTATCAAGCTAAGGATATTTCTTACTCACCCCCATGGAATGAATCTTGTAAACGTGGTCATCTTCAACACTACTCTTATTGTACTATGTCTCTTTGTAGAATGATTGGCTATAGACTTCCATTTTCTATTATGAACTCTTGTGAGTACTACCATTCTAGTATAAGTATAGAAGACATGGCATTGTTCTTTTTAAATGTGGTTTTACATGAGCATCCCTTCAAAAGAGTACATTCCAAATGCTTAGGAAAAATTTTACTAACATTTCTTGTAAGCATTATATGCTCTTATGATATTGAGCCAATAGTTATTCTATCTAAAAATTTAGGGAAAAATAAATCTGAACAAAATAAAGATTTTAACTATTCGAAGAAGTACCAGTATGAACAATGGTATCCCTGGGAAAGAAGTTTTATTTCAGATGGCAACAATGAGTCCGATTTAGATAGCATGGATACTTGTAACGATATAACAACTGTTATTCAGACATTAAGATTTCTTTGGGCTGTTGATCTTTTGGTTCTCAACTTCAGTATTCTTTTAGGTCATCAGTTTATATCTGGCACCTGTATCCCTTCTCTACTTCGTAGAGGTCTGGCAAATTGGGAAAAGAGCATTTATGTAGCTGCAATTTTATTTCAGACAGACCAAGGAACAAGTTTTACAGAAGATTTGAAAAATAAAAAAAAATGCACTAAATTTAAAGATCTACCAACTCTATTATCCAAAAGTATTATATGCCTATGTATTAGATTGCTTACTTTAGCCCAATATCCCCCATTTTGGTTTTCTTGTCGTCACCTACTTCAACTTATTGGACAAATAGACCCACTAACGTACATATATATACTAGGATGCGCAGGTAGAACTTGTTATTCAGATATGGGAATGAATTATACATGCAATATGCTGTCATTAATGATTTACTTCGTTTCAAATTATCCTGAATATTCTTTCCCTTATATTAATGTGGCTGTAGATATTGCCATTGGGTTTTTGGATCCTCTTGATTCTGTCCTTAGAAAAGGAACTATTGCAGCTGTTACTTCCGTACTTTATCATCTAGTCAAGACGTTTCCGATGATCGCCTTTCATCAGCATACTCAACGTCTAGCTATTGGCCATCAAAAGTCAATTCTCATATATGATCTGAGAACTGCAACTAAATGGAGAGTACTTCAAGGTCATAAAGGCGCTGTAGATGCCCTTTGCTTTGATAAGGGTGGGGAGTTTCTAGCCTCTTATTCCATTACTGAAAGATCTTTGAGACTTTGGCAATGTACTCAATCAGGCCTACTAGGTGGACTTTTAGGTATATCTGGAAGTTGTATCAAGTTTATACAACTACCTGAGCTTAGAAATAATCCAATATATAATGCTTTATACTATAAACTTAGAACTGTAAAAGTTTCTTATAAAAACCCGAAAGAGTGGCAAATTAAAAGGGAGGATCAAAGAAATTACATTGTTACAATTGACTACTAAGAAGTCGACTAATTTAATCGTTGAAAATATTTAAACCTATTTAGACTAACGTATACTTTCTACTTAATTTAAAGTTGTATTACAAAATTCTATTAATTTGTTTAAAAAGAATCATTTGTAAATTGACTAATATAAATTCAAACTCACTATTTCTAGAAATTACAAACTTAAAGTTCCTTGATGTCTTATGAATTATAGTAGCAAAAACTAAATCTTTATCTTATTCCAATTATTCAGTAAATATCCACCCCTAACTAGGAAAATATTTAGCTTGAATTATGAAGTCATTTTAATAACTAAGATGTCCGTAGCAAAGTATTTAATCGAAAAACTTGACACAAATAATTGAACTTTAGAGAAGTGTGAGGTTTGTTAAATCTAGAACACAAATCAAATACTTCAAAGTCATTAGTGTAGTTATATAACTCGGTCAAATATCTACAAATTTATACTACAAATGATGAAGCATCTTCTGCTAATCTTCTTGCTGATGCTTTAGCATCGAAGAACAAGTTGTCGACTTCCTTTATGTCATCTCTAGTTATACAATCTCTTCCGTAAGTGCCAGATATTATAGCTGCAGGTGTCAATAGTTGACAAATGTAACGCAAAGAAGTAGAATTACCAATTTCCCCTAGAGCTTGCAAAGCATCTTTATCAACCTTAATACCTTCTGTCTCGCACCGAATAGATACAATGCGAATCATTTCTTCTATATTATATGGGACCGTTCTAATAATCAATAGACGATCTAACAAGTCCACAGGAATACCATGGGATGAGAGAGTATCCGTACCACGAACTGTACACACGCCTCTATTTGTGCCAAATATAACGATTGGAGCTAAAGAACTTTCTAGTGCTCTATTTAAAAATGTAAAACATTCAATATCTAGCATGTGAACCTCGTCTATAAACAGTACTCCTGGAACAAGCTCAGCTACACCTTTATCAATATAAGAATTTACACTCTTGTTTACTTCTAAACGGAGTTTCTCCGTTATTTCTGTCTTCTTTGGGCGTACATATTGTCCTAATAACGAAATGATGTCCTGACCTCCTTGTGGATGTGCATTTGCAATATCTAGATCATATAAAGTTACATCCTGCACAATTTCTTTCTTCTTGTGTACATCCCCTTTAGGTATTGGTACATATTCTTCTGATTCCAAGTCAAATTCAGTTGCATAAGCATCTGATCTTCCTAATCTCTTAACAGTACCACTTGTCGACTCAACATATATAACATCACCTACACGAACCTTTTCTTTTTGAAATATATCACTTAACTGAGGTGCTAAACGTAAAGTTTTGGTTCCTTTTGCAGATTTAAGTGTTACTAAAATTGCAGAAACTGCTTTGCCAAAGTTCCCATGAGGATTTTCTGTCTCTTCAGTTATTAATTCTGTTACTTCTCCTTCATAAACTTCCTTTATATCACGGATCCTAAGGCCTATAGACCTACGAAAATTCTCCATTAAAACTTCTGTTTTCTTTACTTCAGCTGAGTAAACTTCTGAGGCTACCATTGGACAAAATGGGACTTTAGGACCTAGTTCATGGGCCATTGCCAAAGCTATAGCTGTCTTACCAGTTCCTGGAGGACCTGCAAATAAAACCGCCTTTCCAGCTAGCTTTTTACTTCTGATTAAACTTAGAACTATGCCTGCTGCCTCACGAGCCTCTAATTGTCCAATCATTCCTGAACTTCCGTCATTCAAAGCTGATCCATCTTGCCTCAAGCCAAGACCTCTAATATGGCTATGAGCTGAAACTCTTTTTATATTAGAATTCGGGCTAACTTGCATTTTCAAATACACACCTAATGCTGTAAGACTTTTAAGTATAGAGTAGTATCTAAGGACAGCTCCAGAAATATTTAGGTTCCTAGCGCTAAAGTCTAAATAGGGCTCCAAAGGTCTTCACAGTGAAATAAACAGGTGAATATTTAGATTAGTCATTTTTTGAATATTTATAAGGTTTATAAACAAACTTGGCTACTTTTTGTATCTACATCTACACTGACTTTCCTTGTAATATATGAACAATTTCTCGGTACGTAGGAGCATAATTAGTATTGCCATAGATTACCAGGGTTGGTTTGTCAATAGATCTAAGGATAAATTCAGAGATTCTAACAATATCTTCTTTTGTAACAGTATCTACTGCTTTACAAAAAGCTTCTGTACTGATATATTCATTTGTGCACAACAACTGTTTCGCAATATCATCCATAGCAATAGATCTATTTTCCGAATTGATTGAAATAGCTCCTTTGATGGCATTTTTAGCCCTTTGTAGCTCTTCAGAATCTAAATTTTTCATCTGATTAAGTTCCTTACTTATAACATAAAGGGCATCTATTGTTCTTTGTGGATCTACAGAAATATATATTCCAAACAAGCCAGAGTCACTGTACTGATTTACAAAACAGTTACATGTTTCTACCCATTCATATCTATTTAGTACATCCAAAAATAACTTAGTGTACATTCCTTTCCCAGGTCCTCCTGTACTAAAGGATCCACCACCACCCATGTAAGCTTGTAGTATATATAATGGAACAATATCTTTACTAGTCCATCCACATGAAGTTTCTAAAGCTATTGCGATATGAGTCAAAAAATCGTTAGATTCTTTTCTCCACTCTCCACCAGTATAATTTGGTTTAATATTACTTATAGGTCTAGTTTTTTGAATTTGGAATTTTGTAGTGTAGTTGGTAAACGACCTCATAACCCATTTGCATAAAATATTGTGTTCAATGCCCGTACCCACAAAAATCATCCTCTCTGGTATAAAATAGGATTGCATAAAACTCCTCATAATTTTTTCATTAAAGTGCTGTAAAGAAGATTCTGAAGCAAATATTTGATTTCCAAGAGTGTTGTTCCATGCTACAGTATGCATCATCTCTGTTATTAAAGTTTCAGGATCTCTATTTAGTGTTAGTGCAAAATTTTCAACAAGACCTCGTGCATCCCTTATTTCATGTCTCAAAAATCTTGGGCTTGAAATATTTCCAATAAGTAAAGGTATCATTATAGAAGAGTATTCTCTAAGGCATTCTACATTGTATACGATATGTTCCCTATTTGCATTACTTCCTGCATTAGCCCCCAATATCTCTAATGTTCTTATAGTCTGTAAGTACGATAAGTACTCTGTAGATTTGAAAGCCATAAGTTGTAGAAAATGGGATACTCCCTGAGTTTCTGAGGTCTCAAATCTACTTCCAGCATGTATATACAAGCTTAATTTTGATACAAACTCTCCACAATCTGAGCTTACAATCTTTAACCCATTTTCCAAGATAGAAAAGTTTAGTTCATAATCGTAAACTGTATTTCGAGATTTTGTATTTATGGATATATTGCTAATGGAATCTTTAAATTCTTTAATTTCATCTGGTGTTAAAATAATACTTGAAATTGGAATATCTCTATAAGGATTAGAGTGATGGAAATTCTTTTTAAGTAAGTAATCTTTAACATCTGGGAGCTCATATGCTACAATTCGAGGGTCCTCATATATTGTACGGACTAAATTGAATTTTGGTTTTATTCCCAAACTATATGAGTAGAAGCGTTTTGAGAGTAGTAAACTAGATTTAATACATCCACTATTTACTCTAAGTAAGCCTAATAGTATAGATGAGCACTTTTTATTAAGTTTCATGAATATCTTACAGGCTTGTGTTATTGAAATACATAGGCGCATATATTCTAGAAAATAATAAGACCATCTTTTGTTCTGTAATCAAATAAATAAATCTAAAAATTAGATGTAATATTTAATATATGTACTTTTTTTTACATTTAGTGAGATTTCACAGTTTAGTATTATAAAAAGGCCCTCCACTGTTAATTTGATGCAAAATTTTTAGGTTATATAATTTCTTTAAAATAGACTGAGACAAAAAAATTCAAATCCACCTTTTAAATCCTGAATTCCAACAGGAATTTTTAATGCTAATCTCCATAGATTTAAATTTAAATGGAGGATATAACTTTGCAAGGTAATTTTGAAACCAGTACACACAGGTATTAAGAGAAACTTCACTTACCTCTGCAAAAAAGTTTTTTTTTACTTTGAATTCTCTTTCTAAAATGTAACATAGATCTTCAATACTTATAAAGGAAGATAGACCTTCAGAATTTCTGTATGTTACACCTTTAAATGCATCAGTTACCAGATTAAACAGAAGCAAAGCTCTCTGACCCCATGAAACTGGTATTTCATCTCTTGGGCAACCATTGCCTAAATTTAAGTCCTTTTCTTTCTCTTTTTTTAAAATTTTACGTTTATTACCATAATCAATTGTTTCTTCAATGATTTGAGCATATCTAGCTCTATATTCAGGCTTTTTCGTTCCTTCCTCTATTATTTTTTCTAAAGGATAGATTTTAGCTATTTTATCACGTCTATCTCCTGGGATTAAAGGGAATCTAGAAGGTCTACCTTTATAATATGTAGGAGCATATCGAACTTCCGGTAGTTCAGGTTTAATTAGTGTATGCCAAAGCTTTAATTGACTCATCCATGGGGAGTTTGTCCTTAATTCTGAGTCTTTAATACCTTTAAAGCGTACATCATTTCGCATTTGGTCCATCCACTGATGATGAAGAGCTTTAACTAACTTGTAAGCTTTAGTAGGGTTGAGTTTATTTAAAGGAGTTATACCTTCCTCTTTTATGAAGGGTTTTAGAGTTAGAGGTGTAGGAGTCATATTTACTTTGCCCTGTATAATATGAGTATAGTGTAAAGTCTGAGTGTATTGAGTATTTACTACTGAAGAAGGAACCCAAGTCGTATCAACTATATTAAATTCTTCAAATATATCTAATTGTGTAATTTGATTTTCTGGATTTTGAAAAAGTGGGTTATAATCCTTTAAGTAGTACTGTATGATATTACAAATTTCTAAAGAGTCTCCTATCTTATATTTTGTCGCAAAACCAAAGACTACCTTCATTCTCTCCATACAAGTTGCTATAAAATTCTGAGGGCTAACTCCAATTACAAAACGATCATAATCATTTATTGAAAATGGAGGATTATCAAGTGAATCTGGTATTGTAAGAGCAATGGATACATCTAAGGCTTTACTTCTAGTTACTGATGGTAAGGTTTTAATAACCATTGGGTTGATTGTCCAACGATTACCTTTTTTATCTTCATTATTTCCAAATTGAGAAAACTCAAGAAATTTTAAGAGGATATTGTAAAAAGTAAAACATATTAATATAATTTCATCTAGTGATACCCCGTGCACTGTTTTAGCTCCTATAGTCTTTTCTAGTAAATCTGAACATGTAGAAGCAAAACGAGGTTCATTTGTAGTATCAAGATGCTTTGCAAATTCATCATCAGTTAAAATAATTCTGTAGAGATCTGCAGCATGTCGGGGCCATATATAAACATTCTTAACTTTGCTAATTAAAGCTTTTTTAGTTGCAGTTCTGATTACTGCCATTGGAACTATTTCCCCCTCGTTATACAAATATGAAGATATTTTCTTCCAAGCTACTTTACAGCTTTCTACTGCATTTTGATCAAATATCTTATCTTTGGATTTATATTGATTAGAAGATTTTGTCTTACCATTAGAATTTGAATGTTGCATTTCAGTAACAAAATATGGACAAGAAAGTCCAAAATTTGGGATTAAATATTGAAAATTGTCTGTTAGCACTTTATTATATCGGGCTTTGGCTGTTGAATCCAGTCGGGGGGTTACTGAATTAATAAGATATTCAACAACCTTATTAAAGCTAGGAGATGTTTTAAAATTTGGATACATCGCCAAGGTATTGTTTTCAATCTTGCCTTGAATTTCTAAAAATCTGCGATTCATATCTCTTTGGAAACGGTTTGTCATTTTTTGTTCCTCTATTATACCCAGAACATTTAGACCATTAATTAGGTGAAATGATAATTGAGTTAGTTCTACAGCTTTTATCAGACTCTCATCGTACATTCTATCTCCAATCAAAGAATATAAATTTTCAATGGATTCTTTCATTTCCTTCATTTCTGAAGTTTTTCTTCTACATATTTCTACTAATTCAGCTAAAGCTGTATGCTCCATTCTACCAAGATTAATGACAGCTGCTTCAACATTAGCTTTTATTGCATCTTCATCTCCTAAATTTTCTATATTTGCACTTCTACTCTTAAATATTTCGTATGATCTGTATAACTTATTCAGATACATCATATATCTATTAAGTAAGTCCTGAATATTTTCCAAGGGATTTTTGCTCATTTTAGAAATGCGGATTAATAGCATTTCAATTTCTGGGTTTAAGTTGTTCTTTGCATAGCTATGCCATAAATCGACGGTAATTATGGTATATGGGTTTATCTTTATATAGTTTGTAATTTCTCCAGACCATTTAGAAATTAATGATATTTGGCAATCCACTGATTTTTTTCTATTTTCAATGATATCTAAAAATTTTAAGTTCATCACGCTTGTATTACTATTTGTATCGTCTTGAATAATATATGTACATTGCAGCATCTCTCCAATTAATTGATGAAATCTAACTAGGCCTTCCTTATCCCCAGAGTACAATTTAGTATGTAGTATGCTATTTTTAACTTTGATTTGAGGTCCATTATAAGCATGAACAATATAGCAAAACAACATTCCAGAAACTATTAACCACCTCAGAAAGAAGAGCGCAATAAAGTTCCTTTTGGTTGCTTTTTCATTAAAATTTTTAAGTTTCATATTTAATTTAAGACTTTTCTAATATTAGACATAACTTTAAAGTAGGAGAAAAATAGACTTTCTTTAGATCAAAAAATCAATGAAATACAAAGTAGTTTCCATGCCTATAAAAGTGGCGCTAGAGCGCCAGTATAGTATAATTAATAGCACTTTGATGGGTAGGAATAGACCTAGAAATTAGAAACTTAAACACTTAAAGTTAATTATAAAAGTTTAGTTCTATACTTTATACTTATTTTGGAATATCAAAGGCTATGGGCTCAGCAGACTTTGGGGATCTGGTACTTCTTATTGGTGACTTGAATATTCCATATGGTGCTAAAGAGCTACCAACAAGTTTCAGGGAATTATTAGCTACAGATAAAATAAACTACGTTCTTTGTACAGGGAATATAGGCTCACAGGAATACGTTGATGTTCTACAAAATATAACTTCGAATATATATATAGTTAAGGGTGATTTAGATAGTGGAATAGTTAATCCAGACCCTCAAAGTAATGGTGAATTTCCTGAATATATAGTTGTTCAGATAGGTGAATTTAAAATTGGCCTGATGCATGGGAATCAGGTAATCCCATGGGATGATATGGATGCCCTTGTTCAATGGCAAAGGAGATTGGATTGTGATATTTTAGTAACTGGTCATACACATAAATTAAGAGCAACGGAAATAAATGGAAAGTTATTAATAAATCCAGGATCTGCAACTGGTGCATTCAGTGCATACAATCCAGATGCAGTCCCTTCATTTATGTTAATGGCTCTACAAGGAAAGAAGGTAGTTCTGTATGTATATGACTTAAAAGATGGTAAAACAAATGTAGCAATGAGTGAATTTTCTAAATAGGATTATACTAGGTATACATTAGAATATTTTACAATCTCCATATCTTAAATAATGCTAAGTATTTAAATTATCTTTTCACAAAATCATCTATAAATATTTTTATTAGATTATCTAAACTTTTGTGAATGTTATCTTCAACGCTCATTTTTATCTTCATAAAGTCTGGAATTTCTGTAATAGAGATTCCTAATGGACAAGAATCAAAGATTATTTTGATTGTATACTCATCAGTGTCTATCATATTCAGTTCAGAAACTGATATTAAACCTGTTAAGTAGAATTTCTTATCTGAGTTTTGTTCTAAAGTAACATAAGCTTTGAAGTTGCAAGTTATAGAGCAGTCCAATACACAAATTTTCTTTCCCTTTCTTACACTAGAGGATGCTTCTCCTGTTACAGAGACTCCTGAAAATTCAATAATTGCATTGAGACTATCAATTCTAATCTGAAGTGATTCTATTCTTTGTTTGAAAGTCTCTTTAACCCAATTCATTTCTGGTCTTTCTTCCCAATGCCATGATCCAGTATTCCACAAGCTGCCTTGGGCATTGGAGATATTTCCACTACTTGTTTTTTGTCTCTGCTTTTCCTCTTCTATTTGCTTTCTATATATTTCCGATTTCTCTTCACCCTTAATAGCTTGAGCTATTTGAGCTGTTTTAGTTTCCTGCTCACGTTTCTCATTGACTGCAATAAGTCTGAGACGATTGCTTTCTGCCTCTAGTAACAAATCATGAAATCTCTTTAAATAATTACGAAGTTCACTGACTAAACTATTATTCACTTCTTTAACTACTAAATTACTCATCTCCCCTAAATCTAAGTTACTGGAGATTTTAATAGGATAAAGTTCTTGGTAGTTGTCTACCGAAAATTCCGGGATAGTCAAAGAACCAGTAAGGCATTTGTCATTGTTGTCACTATATCTGGCTAACCAATTAGCTGTAATTTCAAATTCATATGCAAGAATAGGCCTCTTCTTCCTAACAGAAACTGAAGCCTCACCTGAAACTTTGGTACAAGAAAGATGTATCACTAGATTTTCGTTAGGTGGTGGGAATTTATATTCAAATGCTTCTATCATAGACTTCAGTTTCTCTTTGCCCCATTTGTCGTAATTCTTTTCTTCCCAATGCCAATTATTAGCATTCCAAATAGAACCTACAGCCTCAGACATTATTAGTTTATGATCTTACTAATTATCCTATCACTTCTATAAAGTCAGTTAAAACGTGTTGTCTGATAGAATAAGGCCCGCTAGCTCTTTTAATCAAGGTTATAGATAATAGCTATATCAGAATATGTAGTTGTTTGAAATACCCAGGGTTCTATATAGTTTTAAGAACAACCTAATCCAATATTCATTGATTTACACAGTAGAAGTATTAACTGAAGCTATATATAAGACATTATTTCCACGGATAAATGTATCTCCATGTTGCTCTACCAAAGAACCATTAACAAATTCTTTTGTGTCTTCCATTGCGATATTCATCCTATCATCTAAACATGCTAAGATACCTTTGTAGTCAATTCCACTATTAAGTCTAACAATAACAGGTTTCCCTATTACTTGTCGAAGAAAATCACTAGGATTTTGTCTAGAATATATGTCTGAATTAGACATGTATAGTTACAGATATATTTACAAACACGGCTATAATAACTTATAATTTTCAAATTAAATCAGAAACAAGTGAACTGTCAAAGCACTGCCTCTAATTGTTCTTCAAATACAGTAGCCATAGCGCTTATTAATATTAAGCTTTATCCTAGTTCTAGTGATTCCAAAAGTCTACCACATGTTATTTTATTAGTTGAATAAATATATCATAATATAATATTATAATGTACTAATTAAGATAATATTTTAAAAAAGGGGATGAGTAAAGTATATGGGTAAATATATTTACTCAATAATCAAGAAAAATAAAAGGCGATGTGGGCGTGATTCGAACACGCGCGTGCAGAACACAATGGCTTAGCAGGCCACCCCCTTAACCACTCGGGCACCACACCTCTCACAATGACAGCTCTCCTCTTTCAAGAGTTATTTTATAATGAGTGATATTTTCATCCAAATAGCGCTACTAAACTAAGGCTGTATATAATAATATTACTATTAGTAGGTATGGTTACAGTACAATGTTAACCACTAGTGATACTAGATGCATACAGCGGTATTATTCCAAATATTTTAACTTACCTAATGTATTATTTCTCTCTTATCCAAAAATCTATCATCAATATAAATTGTCTATTTTTCCACTAAAAATTAGTAAGAGGGAAGTTTGGTGAATATTGAAATATAAATTATGGCACTCAGTACTGAAGAGGTATCTTTCACAAAAGAGAGTATTTCTTAATAGGATAGTGCAATAATAAGAGAGCTAATTTAGCGCTGGGTAATTTTATTCTGTAATTTCTCAGACGTCACTTCGTTCAACAGATTATTTGAACCATAGCTGAATAGCAATATTTAATATAACTTTTAGTTTCTAGCTTACTTGTTTATTTATTGAGTTCTTTAGGGGATTCAGTTAGAATCTAATTTTCATTGAAATTATAAAGAACATCATTTTGCATTTGAAAGTAATGCAGACAAGATCACAATCTGTACTTTCGAGCCTTAAATCTCAAATATTAAATACTGATGACAAAATCCTGTTTATTACTGGGGCAGGTTTAAGTTTTGATTCTGGAATCCCACTATTTCGATCTGAACATGGAGTAGATGATAGTTCTGTTATTTGGGATGATAAGATGGAATCCTGGGCTACAATGAAAACTTTTCTATTAGATCCTTTGAGTTGGTACTCTATATTTAAAAGTAAATATGAATTCTTTAGAACTATTAGAGACGCTAAACCCAATAAAGGTCATCGGGCTTTATCATGGCTTTGCAAAAACTATCCCGATAGAATCAAAATCATAACACAAAATATTGATGGGCTACTGCACAAGGCAAATTGCCCCCCTGAGAATGTACTTGAAGTTCATGGGAGATTGGACTATTTGAGATGCAGTAATACTAACTGTTATCTTTCTAAAGAGCAATATTTACCACTTGACTGGAACTGTTTGGAGAATAAATCTCCTAAAGCTATTATTCAAGATTTAGCTTGCCCTTCGTGCAATTCTCCATGTCTCCCATTAGTTTTATTATTTGATGAGCCATACCATGGTAATAAATATTATCAATGGGATAAGGCCAAAGAATGGATGAATGAAGCTGACTTAATGATATTTGTTGGGACTTCTTTTAGTGTTTTTTGTACTGATAAATGCCTTAGGGTAGGATATAAAAAAAATCTTCCTATAGTGAATATCAATATTAGACAATTTCCAATTACATTTGAAATACCCAGTAAATACAACTCAGATTCTTTAGAAATATTAGAGTATCCTTGTGAATTGGTTCGTCAAATTATTCAAGGATCAACAGATGCACTACTTGGATTAATCCCATATGAATATCACTCTGAAATATAATTATAATTTAAGTACAATTATATTGACATTGTTTATACATATATTAACTGGGAAAAGAATTAGTGACTATTGTTAATTATGGCAAGTTAGTAATATTTGAATTGTATTCTTTCATATAGTTTGTGAATGGGACTTCCTATTTTAAAGATATACAATCAGTTTTTGATATAATAACTTAATTTTATAATGAAAAAATATCATATGATATTAATTGGTAATGTTAATATGTATATAGGCAATAATATCCTCTTGTAATTTAGCCCTATTTATGTATTATTGAAATTTCTAGTATTAGGAATATTTCTAGTTATGTTAAAATGACTCCCTGAGGTAGTACTTGTAGTATACATTATATTTAACTTAAATAGTTCTATAAAGATTATATGAAGTCTATTTATACTTATTCAACTATATCTAATTTATCTACTTCAACACATTCTCCTCAGTATATATATATCGAACCCTAATCAAGTAAAATAATATTGCAGTGATAAAATCTAGTAAGTATATTTAATAGTTAGAATGTTGTAAGGTAAATTCAGATATGCTTTGGCCATCATATAGAATTAGAGCTTTTAAGAAATTTCCAAGGCGCTAAAATTTTAGTGTTAACTCTTATAGACAATACTTGTTCCTCACTTATCATTTATAAATTTGTCAAACTTTGAATTTTTCATTTAAATATTGAAATAAGATGACGGAATGTAAATGTTTTCTAAAAGATGCTATGAGTGGAGAGTCTATATGGAAATCAGCAATAGTAATAGCTGCCTTTAACATATGCATTTTGTTATTTGGGAACTCATTCTTTGGCCTCCTTTGCTCCTGCATAGTTTTTTGTATTGGTATAGGTGGCATATGCATAAAGTTATGTCCTGAAAAATTGGCACTTCTCAGAAATAGGGAGTTTGTGACAGATGAGGATTTACAGAAACACTGCAAATCTGTTGCATCACACATAAATTCACTTGTTGATGGTTTTTTAGCTACAATAACTTGGGAAAATCCAATCTTTTCATTTTCAATGTTCTCAATATTATTGTTTGCTTCATTATTCCTAAGATCTCTCAGTTTCCTTACATTTATCATAATTGTTGGAAATATTCTTATTTCCAGGGTATATCTTTATTCATTATACTTTTCACTAATAGAGCCAATTGTTACTCCTTATGTAGATGTAATTTCAAAGAAATTCAATAGCATCTTCGAGAGGATCCCCCGTATGAGCCATATTAAAGATGAATAAGTTAACTTAGTCTTTGTTTATCATAATTCTTACTGAAATCAAGTTTTCAATTTAAAGATTTTTTTTTGTTAATTTCAAATATACCTATATTTTGTCTATGACCTTTTTTGCCTTCATATATAATGACTTCCTAATATCTTGATTTACTGTCCTGCTATTTTCTAATTCACAATTGAACTTTGAAGAGGTCTTGTCGCAATTATTTACATTTATATCTGTATTTTCAGATTCACTCTCAAGAAGTAAAGCTGACAACTTCTGTAATCTATCCTCAAGTCTATCAACTCGACTTATTGCAACCATCTTTAGAACATGTGCAATATTCTCAACCTCTATTTGACGAGATTTCAAGACACTAATTTCCTGACGCATTGAGTCTATTTGTTTCTCAAACCATTCTTGAGTTGATTGGTTTGGATGGCTACACATTTGAGTTGTGAGCATAGGGGGAGCTGTTATTACAAACATAGGAGAAGTCGATGTATTATTCATAGTCGATAGATATGAAAGTTGTGTATTCTCCAGATTAGTTGGAGAAGAAATTAATACTGGTGGCGGATTCTGTGGCATTTGTTTATTGTTACATGATTCTGGTTCATTCGATATTTTATCACCGCTACAAATCTGTTCTGGCACTGCGTCTTGAAAATTTGAGTCATCTTCGAAGTTCTTGGCTAATGAACTTTCTTGAGAATCTTCAGATGATTGTTCTTGTAATACTTGTCCTTTGCAGTTAGAGGGTGGTGGAGATATATGTCTAACTACTATTTCATCAGTAGCATTATTGAAGAAATCTTTATTAATCTTTTTTTTTTGATTATTTGCAATATTTTCACTATTGAATTGCTTTACAGACTGGAAGATTAAAGATACATCAACTAAATTTGAGTAATCACTTGAACTCTCCTTACATTTTGGCAAGTAGATTTCATTTGCTTCTTGAATTTTTTTCAAACAAAAGTTGGCCACTTCTCTAACCTTCGGTGATTTTTCCTTTACTGCCATATTAATTGAGTGAATAATAGTCTCTGCAAAGTGCTTTAATCCACTTAAAGATTTCCTTAAGGGAACAGAACTTTCATTAGCTGCTATTAACATACCAGCTTGGGCTACAAAACAACACATCATTATTTCTGTAAAAAGAGAAATGGATGCAATTTTCACATTTACATTCTTACATATGCTTGTAAAATTGGTATTTATCTCTTTGATTAATACTGAGAATATTTGGTTAATATCCTTCCAAGTAATAGGTGATATCAATAAATCTTCATGAATATTATCAGCACTATTTCCCTCACTTTTTATATCATAGGTATATGGAGAGCTTCCAAATGGGGTCTCTTTCAAAAATATCCATATTACTGTGACAATCTTTTTTAAGATATCAATAACGACTGCTTTACATGAATCCATAATATTAGGATTTCCAGCTAGTGGCAATAGTTGTCCAACAAATTTTTGCAAAAACATTACTGTTAGATTTAAACTCACTCCATCAATAGCCGCACCAATTGCAGTTATAGCTGCAAGTTGAGTTGATGGTGTAACATTCTTTTTTGCTAGTTGTAGTAATGGATCAAAGAATAAATTCACTACATCTGGGTTTAGTTGGAATATTTCATCTGACATTACCAAAGGTGCAATCGAGGCTACACTCGCAACTGCTGAGTTCTGAACATGCACTTCTTGATCTTTACAAGCCTCCACAATGAATGCTATTATATTACCTAAATATGGTAGGATTGATTGACTCCCAAAATGCTCCACAATGCAATCAACAGCTTTAATACTAAATCTCCTTGCCATCGGGCGCATCTTCATAGAATCCAATAAACCACTTGTTAAAAGCCCTGGAATATCTGTCAACTCTATTTTGGATATAAGTGTCTTTAGATCACCGATTCCTAAACCCATCAAATAATATGTCTTTTTGGTAAATTTGCAAGGATTCTATAATTCATTACTTCAACTCACCTCGTCTTATACTATCTACATCATTCATCTTATGTAGGCAATAGTCCAACTCAGATCTAAGAGTCTCACTTCTCTTTTGTTTCTGGGCTCCCAACATCTTAGGGAGCCGGAAAATCTTCACGACTCAGAACTGTAGTAAAATCAATTTTTTTTTTCTTTTGCAAGATATTCATAAAGATAAAAAGAAGAGAAAATGCAAAATTCGTGGGGCTTTACATGACCCCCTCCCCACAATGACCCACCACATGCAAGCGCTAATACAAGAAGTAAAAAAGTACTTTAGCCTACAAATGTAACGTATTGGAAATTTAAGCACAATAATTATTAAAATTAGATATTTATAAACAAAGGGGGATAGTCTATACTATTCCTGATAACTTATTATTTAGTGAAATTAGTTGGTACATGAGTTGTTTTTTAAAGTGATTTTGAGAATCAAAGATCTTAATAATCTTTTCTTTTAGCTGTTTTAGAAGATATCTACAACTATTTCGCAGTTCCACTGTGACTTCATCTAAAGATGTATTTATATTAGTTTCCACTAGTTCTTCATCATGTCTAAATAGTGGACAGAAATTTATTGTTTCTTGAAAAAATTGGGTCCAAAATGGAGTATTCCAATTTCTTTTGATGCATTGACTTGCATTCTTTACTCTATAATAATAAATTTGAAAGTGATTTATATTTTCACCTAAACTATAATTCCGGTCATAAATTGTCCAATCTCGGCTTGGCAACTTAGTTAATTCCATATATCTACCAGTTATCAGACAGTGTGCTAAACAAGCTAATCCAAATATGTCAATATGATATAACCATGACTGTTTCTCAAGCATACTAGGGGGAGTAAATCCTTTAGCATGACAATTCCCCAAAAACAAAGTGCCATTATAAATTTCACCAATATCCAAACTCCTGCCCATATCAATAATTGCCATATGTATTGGCAAAGTAGCACCTTCTGGAAGTAGTGGATGGATGGGATTTTGTTCACTTAATATAAATTGATCTTTATGTAATGTATTTAAGTCATAAATGTGATCCAAGTCTGAATTGTGTTGAACAGCAGTTGTTTCTGGATAAAGAAGAATATTATCTGGTTTAATATCTCCATGAATTAAATTCATGTCATGTAATCCTATCAAAGCTTCAATCATCTGATATATTAAAAATAGTACGAGAGGTTCATCCATATTTTTGCAGTGTTTTATGTAGTGCTCATTAATGATTTGTTGAATACTTATAGCTCCTTCGGCTGTTGGAAGAAGTGATATTCCAATTGATTTAGATGCTTTTGTAACTTCATCTTTATTTTCAGATACAAATTTGTTATTTTTATTATTCCTTACCATATTACGTGTAAATATGTTTTGAATTAAACCAGAGCTATTCGATGCAATAACATGCAGCTCCGTTGTACAAAAGACTGTAACTCCATAGCTTAATTGTATAGGTTTGGTAATCATATTTTCTGATAAGTACAGGGATGTTCTTCCTGTGGAATAAGTTGATCCAATTGAAAGACGACTAAAATCACCCAAAATCTGAGTACTTGGTCTATGGGCTACTTTTAAATTGGTAATTTTGGAGTATGAATCCAAGGTATTAACTTGATTATTTGGGTTAGATTGCTCATTTGATTCTATTGAATTTCTATTTGATGTAAAATTACTTTCAGGTTGATAGCAAGTACTTATAGAGCTTCTGGCTGTACCAAATTTAAAAGGGGAATTCACTACTGAGTCATCAATTGAAACAGATACTTTTCTCCTAAAAATATCTCTATATTTACTGTTCAAAAGTTTTAAGGATTTTTTCTGACGTTTATTGAGTATCATTCCACAATACAATTCACGTATGCAAAGTCCAAGATCTAAATGCTGAATTTTAATTGCCAATTTACAAGAATGAACCTCTATATTATTTTCTAGTGTAGAAATTTCTGAAAGAAAAACAATTGCATTAGCACCCCTTCCAATTAATTTTATTAATTTACATTTGCGAATATATGTATCATCAAGTGATAAATTGAATGAGTAACCGTCCTTGTAGGCACTTATACACAATTTAGGAGCTTCAAAGTTACTTGGGAAGGTAGATATTGTTGACTGATAAAGTGAAAATGAGTTAGAATATAATCCTCGCTTTGAATATTTATTATATCTATCCATCAAATAAGTATACATAATTGATTCTCGAAATAAACGCGAGTAACTTAAATATGGATTTAAAGTTTGAGTATAACCAGTGCATAACAAAGCTTTTTGAGTTAATTCAAAACTACTATTTTCTGTTAAAAGTGCACTAGATCTACTAATAGGTAGTGGAATAATGCAACTAATGTATGACATGTTCTTGAAATCAACTTCTTCACTATTATTCTCTTGCTCATTTGTAATTACTGAAAGAAGGTTTGATAGTGAACTTTGTAGTTCCTTCTTCATATTTTTACTTGCATCTACTAAGTCAAAATCCAATCCTTCACAAATCGTATCAATGTGATTATCAGTAGCTTTAATCATCCGTACCATTATTTTCTGCCCCTTCATCTCTAATCTGGGATTACTTAAAGTACTTTGTAAATTTTTTACTTGTGTCTGTTCATTCTCCTTATTATGACTATCATGACTTATATCATATGTATCCACACTAATGTTTACGAGATTTGAAGCTGGCATTAAAATATGATGAGATTCTTTTACTTGATTACTATCACACTGAGCTTGCAATATTTTTGCTTTGTAATGCATGCAGCGCAACTCTTCAAAAGACAATTCATCCTCAATGATTTGTGAACCATGCACTTTACGCTGTCTGAGGGAGCTAGCATTGAAACTAAAATATGGTGTTAGTCTTTTATTTGTATTAATTTCAAGATGTGCTTGATTATTTATATTATTTAGAGATGAAAAATTGGACCACAGACGCATTTATTAAACTTTTATAATTCTCAGATTTAGCTAAAATATTTTTTTCAAGTACAACTTTATCATTATAAGACATATGAGGTTATCAAAGTATAATAATAGAAGTCGAAAACTTCCTTAATTTCCAAAATACCCACCAAGGCTCAACGGGAGTTCAAAAAAGAAAAAAGGCGCTACATAATTCAGCGGTAGGTGAGGCAAGAATAAGCTTATTAAATGAAGAAAAGTAAGGGTAAACAAACTCACTCAAGGTATAGTCTATTAAATAGCTTTAATGCCAAATGGTATGTCCTAGTAATATATTTAATATATTGACATTTACCTAGATATAACCCTTTTTTACTATAGGAAACCTCTGTCTGAGGATTCTCAATCAATATTTTCTAGTAAAGTTAATAGGTAAGTTAATTAAAAATAAGTTATAACTTTTTATATAATCTATTTCTGGTTTATTTAGTATTACAAAGAATTTGAGAGGTGGAGATATAAACTGGCTGAAGATCCTTTGTTACACTGGGAATAATTCAGTATGCCGCAATTTGAACAAAAAGAAAGTTGTAGGTATTATTGCTTCAAATGAGATGCTTTCAACTGATATTGGTCAGCATATACCTGTAATTTGCCGTTTGAAAAATATTCCCTGTGTCATTTTATCTAGTGACAATGAACTACGGTTTTGGAGTATGCTTCCTGTAACATCTTGTATAGGGCTTAGAAAGGATATAAACCATGACGGACTTTTGGATATAAATTGTAACAGAAGTGTTTTTGAGTTTGAGTCTGCCAGATCTGAGATAGAAGAGCTGATTAAAAAATTTCAGAGTTTAATAGAAGTCCCATATATTATTCCAGGAGAATCTCCCTCAAAATTAGATTCAAATCTGCACTTGCCCACTCCAAACGTAGAAATCCAGAATGTAAGCCCAAAGATAACTTATTCCAAGGGATCTAAACGTTCAGAAAAGAGAATTCTAAGGAGAGAACGCCGTGGAAAGGAACGCAAGAAGTTCATTTAGTTCATTTCTATTATTTACTTAACACATTAAATATAAATACTATCCATAACAGTTTGGCACATTTAAATTCTGGGAAAGTTAAAGCTATTTGTGTTTTCACTACTAAAAATTGATGGGGATTGACTAGTATATGAAGGTTCGTGACTACTTTGGAATTTGTCAAAGTTATGTTGATCCTGTTCAATTCCATAGCCAGCTAATATATAGTCATCCCTTTCAGCTCTTTTGTATTCATCTATTAACATTTCAGTAACCTCTCTAGAATTTTCAAACTCTTCAAGACCATCTTGAAATACACTTTGCTTCTTATAGTTTTCAAGAAAAGCACCACGTTTCATGAGACGATCAAATTGAGCCACACAACGCTGAAATAATGCTGCAATTGCAGTATTATTAGCCATCATCAAACCATTTACCTTGTGTTGATTTCCATATGGATTATATTTAGAAAGAGCCACTTGAATTGCAGCTGGGCCCCACTGAATAAATTTGACCATATTTCTATCTCGAATACGCTGAAGACTTTTATGAACTTCCAAAGGGTCAGTTTCCCCTCTAATTATGTTCAAGATTGAGATATATGTGCCTTTACGCATATTTGTACTCACCATAATGTTGTTTGGCTGCAAGAGTCTTCGCATTACATCAAGTGTTGTTGTTTTCCTTACAGCTTGTTGTATATTTTGACTAATTGTTATTGGAGTATAAGATGTAACTAGAAAGTGACACCGAGGAGTTGGGACAAGAGCTGCTATAAGTGATACAAGGTTATTATGCATATAACTTGGATATCTTAAAGTAGTGGTTGAAGCAGCCATCACAGTACTGACTAAAGCATTTGTTTGAGCAAATGTAGGGTTATTCAGTTTAAGCCTATCAACAGCAATACCATTTAAAGCTGTGTTATCCAAAACAACTACACAGTCTGCATTTAGTGCCAATCTCTTTAGTGTTAAAACAGAGTTATAAGGCTGTACCACAACATCGGAGCTTTCATTTGTCAGCATTGGGAATACTGAAAATGTCTTAATTAGTTTTCTAGGATAGTGCTCATTTAAAAGTTCTAGCATATAAGAACCCATACCACTTCCTGTGCCTCCTGCTATTGAGTGGCAAAATATAAATCCCTCCATACTATCACAACCATCAACTTCACGATCAAGCATGTCTAAAATTTCATCATACATAGTTTCACCCTCATCATAGCCGCAACCCCAATTGTTCCCTGCTCCACCTCCTTCTTTACCAATATAAAAATTTTCTGGATTATACAAATGCTTAAATTCACTAGATTTAATACTATTTAGAACTCTAGGTTCTAAGTCAAATAATAAGGCTCTGGGTACATAGTGACTATCATCTGCCAAATAAAAAAATACATCCTTTCTATCATCGACAGTCTCAATATTCTTTTCAACTGTACCATCAACTCCTAGGCCATGCTCTATGCATAATTGTTTCCAAAACTCCATGCCTATTTGATTACCACATTGACCTATTTGTAGAGTTACTAGCTCTCGAGGCATATTTACTATTAGTAAGCAATCTAATACAAAGAAAGGATTACTAAGTTGCCGAAGTTAAAAAAATTCAAGTTATTTATTTATAAGCAAATTTCAGAAGTACCTGTAGCTCCGTTATGAAATATTGTATTGAAATTTAGAGATAAAAAGAATAGCTGCAAAAGATAAATTAGAGACACAAGACTCTAAAATCTTTCTATACAAAATTACTTATAATGAAACTGATCCTTCTACTTATTTCTAGCTTGAGTGGTAGCTTTTGTGAGCATCGAACAGTGCTACCAGGTCAAGTTACCCCTCTCTCAAGCGGGTACTCAGTACATAAGCTTTGAAGGCTGAGTCTCAAAGTTTATTTGCGTTTTAGATATCTTCAACTCTACATATAAATAATTTGACTAATAGTAACGAGAACTGCCCCCAAATTGCAGTATTAAATTTATTAAAAAGGCTATTGTGGGATCTTGTTGTATTCTGATACATAAGTAGACTTGAAGCGTTTACTTCTTATTTTATATAGAACTTGAGATCGAACTATTGCAAACTTGGATCTAACTTATTTTAAAATAATAAATATTATCTAATTGTGAAATAGATCCTAATCTGCACAGTAGTTCCGGTCATTTCTAGGAAATTTGGTTTATATTCTATTACATTTTTGCCAGAAGTTTATACTCGACACAATGAATGAAGAATGGGTTATCCGCGTATTTTCTACCTCGGGTAGATCTAGAGTAACTGTACCATCTGGATGTTCGCTCTCAATGCTTAAAACAAAGATTGCAGCTTCTTTAAAAGTCCCAGAGCACCAACAGTTACTGAGCTTAGATTCTTCAGGCAATAGTTTACTCAAGGGTGATTCTCTGAGTCTGAAGCAACATGGATTGTCGGATGGATCTGTTGTATTTCTAATAACAGATGTAACTCCCCAAGTTACATGTAAACTTATTACTCGTCCTCAACAAATGAGTACTAGTGATATCCCACCTATGGAGAAATCCAGCGAAATGAAGTCTTCGGATATTAATGAGTCGTCAAACTTAACTCCTAGAAGACAGGGTAGTAACGGAATAGTTCCCCAATTTAAATCTTTTGATTCATTTCTACAGGAACGAAATTATATGATAGATGATTTGCCTATGAAGACATCTTATAAACCCATTAATATAGCTATTGGGAAAATAAATAAGATACCACCATCAATAACCTTAAAGCATCAAGTTTATCGTCATGTAGATCATTTAGAGATGATGAACTTAGCTGAAGTTACTGACTTTGTGAAATATTGGACTTGCAATTTACAATTACAGAAACAGCGTATTGGATGGATGTATGGATACTATAAAGAAGATAATACGTATCCGATGGGAATTAGAGCTGTTATGGAGGCTATATATGAACCTCCTCAGACAAATAATCACAAATTTGGTAATCTAGAACTAGAATTTGATGATTTCAAAAGCACAGTAGATACAATTGCTCATAGCCTTGGCTTAGAATGTATTGGACTTATTTTTACTCATAAAGAGAGAGATGAGTTACTGACATCCAGAGAAATTATTTCCTTAGGGAAACTACAGCTTGATTATTTAAAGTATAACCACTATACTGGATACCCTGTTAGCAATTTTATCGCTTGTACTATTGCTCCCTGTAAGAAATCAGAAGACAGTGCTCCTGTACCAAATGCCTTTGCAGTATCTGATCTTGGACTAGCCTTCATTAGGGATCATCTCTTAGATGAGGATAATTTGGATGATGATCTTCACATGAAGCTTAGGGCAGAACAAAAAGGCGAATTATTACCACAAGTTCTTGAAGGTGGCCAAGAAACTTCTAGATTTGATGCTCATTGGTTTGTAGTTCGTGTGAATGAATCAGCCCCTATAAGACCAAGGTCACTCTTTAATTGTAATCAATTTCCACGAGAAAATCGTATTTCTACTCAAACTCCTGCGGATGTAGCGACGTTTATTAAAAACAGATTAGTTAATATATCTTCGACTTCTTACCAATTGCTGAATGATTTTCATTTACTTCTACACCTTGCTAAACTTTTTGATGAGTCTACAGCACTTTCAATATGTAATTCTATTGCCAACAAAACCCCAGTTGATCAAACATTAATTGAAATATTGACTTCTTTGAATTAGAAAAAATGAATATATTTAAAGTTTACCTTGGTTAAAACTATAGTTTGAATAAAATAAAAGATGAAGTGACTTTATTATTTAATATAGAAGATATCCTTATTATAAATATATACGACAAAATACTTCATTAGAGTGCAGTTTCATTCGTAAATTCTCAGATAAGTTTATGATGCAGTATAAATATGCTTTAGTATTATGAACTTGGAAGGATTTTATTACCTCTTCAAGGTTACAAGGTTTGTACATGTACCTTCACGTTGGCGCTGGATTTTCTTGAAAATCCTGACTTTTTTTTCTCATAGTTTTGCAAACTTATAATGTGTTGATGAAATCTTAGTATATTTATGAATAGTTATCCAAAACCAATAATATTTGGTGTTTGAATGTGAATATATACACTATTTCATTTTTTAAAAACCTGCTTTAACTATCAAAGAAGTACCTTGGACCTATCACGCTCTGTCTCCATTACTGCTATTTAACACGCACAGATGCATGTCTATGAGCTGTAAATATCGGTGAGGAAGTGAATAAAGGTAAAATAATTACTCATTACCCATTTAATTGGAGGAAAAAAGTAACTAGAAGCGCAGTTTGAAGTATAAGTCTAGAAGTTTAGATGCTTTAGACTTTCAATACTCCAAAGAATAGTTTAAAGATCTATATTTTAGTGCTAATAAAATCGTATTGCTATCTCTAAAAAGTGGTTAGTTTATTAACTGATGATTCAGTTCTTTAACTTCAGCTTTTTAGTAGCTACTTTAATTGGCTATTTACCTTCCAAAATATACAGTTTACCAATTACAACTGAGCCTTCAATAAAGGAATATTCTAGGAAACCAGGCCTGCTAAATGTTTCTATCTCAGAACATTGCTCAAGTGAGCCATGTAATTGCTGCTCTGAAAAGCTCCAATCTATGGCATTAGACTATGCATCGAGAGCCAATACTCCCGAATGTAAAGATTTTATGAAAAATTTGTTTTGTACTCTAGCTTGTAATGAAGAGTCAGCTGATGCAGGATCTTTATCTAATAATATTATGATCATGTTAGTTTGTGAGCATGAGTGCTCAAATATTTTATCAAAATGTTCAAAGCCTAAAAGTATTGATACTAATATTAAAGATGTTATAATACCTACTCTAAATTCCAATAATACTTTAAATACTACTAATGGAACAATTAAAGCTTTAACTTCTAATATTGACCTTAAATCTATCAAATTATCATCTTCACTTAATTATATAAGTAATCAAGCTTCTATAGGAGCAAGTGGAATACCAAATATGCTTTCTACTATAGGTTCGAGTATTTCTAGCGAACCATCTGAATGTGCAGAAATTTCGCTACCACCCATGACTATAAGTAATTCTGCTCAATACTCACTAGCATTTATTCATGCATCTAGTGACTCAAAAGTCTGCGTTACATCTACTGGAGGGTTTAATCTTCTAGTTGACCCTATTGCTTCTACAAGCTTACTAACAGCTAATAATACAGCTATAGTTACTTCAGGATCTACTTTAACTCCACCAATTATCCTAACAGATAGCAGTGGTAAAACAACTCAAAATATAGGACTAACTATGGAAGAGTTACACTGTGGCTTTTGCTTTTCAAGGTGCTGTTGTTGGCCCGTCTGGAGTGGATCTATTATTGCTTTTATTGGATATATTTTGATTGCTTTTTTAGCAATATACTGGCAATCAGGTCTTTTTTCTCAAGGTCTAAAATCTTCTCACTTTTGGAAGGGAGGTGGCTACTGGCTTGCAGGAAGTGGAAGCCTTGGAATAATTGTTGGAATGTTGGTTGGTGGTTTAGTGTCATCTTGTATTGCAGGAGCTCTTACTCTAGGTGGATCCTTATGTAATCTTTTTATGTCTATTTTACTAGTTGGCAGGCTTGGAGCAGTTCTAGGAGCCCTTGGAGGTTTAGGTACAGGTGCAGTAATTGGAATAATGGCTCACTCAGGAACTGTATCATGGGCTATTGGCTTATCACTAGGTTTTCTTCTTGGACTAGTTGTTGGTTTTTCACCAATAGCTCGTTCTCTTAGAATGAATGATAGGTTTATTAGAAGAGGTATCAGACAAAGGGAAATGAGAAGGAGAAGCCGTTTAGGCCAGGGAAGCTACCACTCTGATTTCTTTTCTGAAGGTTCTGGAACAGATCACAATAAAAATATTGCAACTGTACAAAGATATTCTTCCAGTGATTCTCATGATGCTGGTAACAATATTGGTGAGTCTAGAAATCCTAGACCTAGTAGTAGCAATAGTGATCTGCAAAGATAACCAAATATGGTATTATACTTTGCTGTTTATTCACATAATAAATTTGCTAAAATATAATTCTATATTTAGCAGCTACAAGTGAAGCATTATTAAATTACAAGACAATTACATGGAGAAAGATCTAGTGTCGACAAGAAACAAATGTCTTTCCTAGAGATATACAGTAAATTATACCCTAACATGATATTATTGGTTGATGAAAGTACAGCCCTACACATACAATGCACACTCAGATTTATTTAATTGTTTTTCTTTCAAGCTTCCCTTTAGTAATTCCTCTAAACATTTCAACTAATTCTGATCATTCTTTAGTAGATTTATATATCTAACTCTACTCTCGAAAGAGTCAATCATTGACTCTGCAATTCGAGATAAATATAATTTTGTAATATTTCGATATAAAGCAGAATAAAACTCGAAGTCAATGGAGAATTTAACAAGTGTATAAGGATGCAAATATGATATTTCTTCAAATATCCACAAAGTTTTGTGATATTTAACAATACCTGGTTTATTATTCCACATATATAACCTCTTTATAGCTGATGAATTTATTCCTTGATCTTTACAAAATTCATTGAACGGTAACCAAATAGCCTCTATTTTATTTGGCTTATCTCCATTAACCAAAGAGTAATATACTTCACTAAAAGGCCCAAATCCCACACGAATTTCGGCTATAAATGAGTTCATACAGTTGGTACTTGATTGTATCACATGGCTCTCTTCGCACCATGGAAGAAACTTTTGATATTTATTGACATCTAAAACAACACTATAGAAATCTTCTTTTGAGCAAAAAACTTTTCTTTTGCAGGCATAATGAATCTCTTTACTCTGGACTGGAATCTTGCTAATTCTATGTTTTGCTAACCAAAACATTGTATATCATTCCCTTATATAGATTATTTATATCATTAAGATAATAAAATAACACAAGTCATTTACTATAAGTATTAATATAGCTATATTAGTTGAATAAAGAAAAGTGCATTGACTTTTTTACCAGCTAAACAACTAAATATTGTGAGATCTAAAAATTTGCAGCTATAGGCGCCTTCATCTTTAATCTGCATATTTTTTCTTCTTTTTACAAGAAAAAACGAACTTTAAAGAGTAGAGACATTATAAATAGGAATAAATATTTGTAATTAGCAAATTTCTAACTATATTAATGATCATTTTTTTAAGAATTGAAGTTAACAATCCTTATAATCTCATTACGAATATGGACAATAAGCGATAGAGACATGTACATTGTAACTACATAAAGAAAAGTCTGGGGGCACAAATAAGAATTATATTTGCTAAATATATACTGTAATTATATAATGAAGTCTCAACAATATAGAACAGTTATTCCTACAAGCAATATGCAAAGTACTCCTTCAGTTGGACATAGTGGTATGTTTCCGGCATCCAATCCATTACCTGGAGTAATGGTATATCCAAATTCTAACAATATGCAGCATTTACCTCCAATAAGTCCTATTCCGCGGTCTATGTCCATGAGTAACTTCAACAGGGTACCAGTAGGTCAAATGAATATACCTCTAGAAGGTGTGGGATATATTGGACCTCAGACAATACCAGCTAATATCAAGCTATCTCCTCCATTATCACCACAAACACCTAATAATATAGGTATAAACAATAAAATTCTAAGCTCATGTATGCCATGGATTAATTCTTGTAGTAATCCTACCATTGTTTCTCCACCTAAAATATCAAATCCATTATTTCCAGATCAATTAACCCAACCAGATTCATCAGCTCATAAACAACTTCAAGCTCATGGAGTATCACCTGTAACCCATAACCTAGGTTTTTTTTGTTGTGGACAGACAGAGACAAATAAGTCAATGACTCCTGAATTTCCAGGTTCACAAGAATCAAACTATAGTTTCACGGCAGCTAATGCAAAGAACTCATATATTGTAACTGATAAAGAAAAAACGAAAATATCGACTTTATCAGATATAGAAAATGAAAATAGAGAGCTAAGAGAGCATTTATTCAAGCTTGGAGAGGCAGTCCATGAGTATGTAACAAATAAAAGTGATTCTTCAAATGAATCGCAACTTATTGCTGTACTATCGCGTCAATTGAGTTCTGTCCAGCAAAAATTGTCCGGAAATAGTACTATTATGGGGAATATATGTAAAGATATAAAATATACTAGTAACAATGAATTTTTAAACAATATTATACAATCAGTAAATAATGCTGTGTATAAAGCGAAGGTAGTATTACAAATAATTCCTAATGATGGCGTAATTTATAGCTCATTAAATGATGTTGTGAGAATATTATTCTCTTTAGAAGCTGATATGCAGAAATTAGATGAGGCTTTCAAAGAAAAAGTTACAGAAGGGGAATCTAATAAAAATATCATTTCAATGATTGAGCAAGACAATAAACATCTTACTAATCGCTTAAAAGAGTCTAATGAGCAAGTGAAATTATTAAGAGAAAGAGTTATTACACTTACTTCAACTATAGAAGAAAATAATACCACTAAATTTTTAACAAGTTCACCAATATATCAAAAACTTGAATCTGAGAAGGTAAAATTAGAAAAGAAGGTTGCTGATCTAGAAACTAAATCTGATGATCTAAGAAAATTATTAAATATAGCAGAGAAAAAACTACATGATATTAGCCATAAACAATCTGTAGATGCGTTGTGGCCTCGAGGTGAATCTATAAGAGGAGGTAGTAATGAAGATCTTGTAGAAATGCTGAAAAAAATTGATCCCGAAAGCAAAACACTACAGTCTATCGCAGAAAATCTAATACAAAAGACGCATAATACACAGACCAATTCATTTAGCCTTAAGGAAAAATTAGAAAATTTGCATTCAGAAGATGGTGATATTAATCATTTAGTTCATAATGATAAAATAGGTGATATACAAAGAGATACTATAAGAATGCAATTGGAACAATTTAAGCGACTGCATTATTTAAATGAAAACATAGGCAAGAATATTTAGATATCACCTTAAAACTTTTTCTAGACAATTTGTATTTCTTGATAACTTGTTTTTTCTAATAATTAATTTTTGGCTTTTGCATGTAAATATTGCATGTGTAAATTTCTCTAATAATAATCCAACTTAAAACAGAGGTGCTATCAATGCCGCTAAACACTGTATACTAATGTATGGTTATAGGTTTTTTTTGTATAAATAGATTTGTCCAAAATAATCAGACGAAATTGATATTAGCTCTAGTATTTGCAAAATTTGATTAACTAGGATAGATAACTATTTAGATTGGATAAATGAACCTATTTAAAGTAAGCTACGGAGGGATATTTCATTTGCATTGATATTAAGTGAATTTTCCACAAATAACAATAACTTAAAAACCTTATATACAAACATTAATAAATATAAAATGACTTATTATAATAATTTGCCTACATATATTTGGGATTATTTGGTGTTGGAAGCAACTGAAGTCAATAACTTTGCAATATTACTAAACTTAGGTAGATGTGGCGCTATTTGAGTGGGGATTGGTTGGGAGTAACTACTCTCCAGTAACTGGTCGTCTTAAATTATACTTACCTACATTACAGCTGTACAAGGGTTTGTTAACAAGGTATCTAAATGGGAAAAGAAGAGGTAACACTAGATGTTGTCTCATTTGGGAATAGATTGCGTTTCTTATTCTCAATATGGGTAGATAGAGATAACCCATTTGCAAGTGTAGGCACTATACTTCCACTACAACAAATTGACTCTCTATTAATCTTATGTGGTAAGGGGTCTGCACAAGATGATGGTAGTATTTATAAGAGTACAACCATTCACTATTGGCTATTTGGCTTTGAATTTTCCGACACATTGCTTTTATTAACACGGACAAAAGAAATAGTGATACTGACTAGCTCAAAGAAAGTGGCCATATTTAAACAGCTAGTAGATACTGCACCTTCTCACTATCCTAGTATAAAAGTTACATTGATTGAACGTAACAATAATGATGAACCTTTAGAACGTTTAGGGCGAATTTGTGTAGATGTAACTGATGGTAACAATATGAACTTGGGAAGAGTTGAAGATATAACCAAGCAAAGAACTCAATTTATATCTCAATGCGAAGAATACTTTAAATCTAATGAGCCATTTTCAAGTGCAACAGTAACACTGGTTAATCATGCTTTAAGTTATATACTCTGTTATAAAGATTCGATTGAATTATCACTTTGCAAGAAAGCATCCACTTTATCAGTACAGATGATAAAGAATATAATTTTACAAAGGATTGAAGTGATACTAGATAAAGAATTTCAAGAAACACATCAGAGTATTGGAAAAAGGGCTGAAAAAGCTCTTGATGATACCAATATTTTAAAAACCTGGCAAGCTAAATATGAATTAGATCCTAGTGATGTTGATTTAGTGTATGCATTGATACAGAGTGGTCATAATTTTGAACTTAAAGCTGTAGAGAATACAACTGAAAATTTATGTCTGACATCAGGATGCATTTTATTGAGTGTTGGTTCGAAGTACAGAGAATACTGTGCAAATATAACACGTACATATTTTCTTAATGCTACTGATGAGCAGAAGGAAATATATAATTATACACTAAGTTTAATGGAGTATATTGTTTTATTGCTAAAACCTAATATACCGTTTCGGAAGATTTACCAAGATGTATTAGATAAAATTACTAATGACAAGGGAGTAGAGATGTCACAAAAATTTGTCAACAGTGTTGGTCACTGTATTGGTATTGAATTTCGTGATTCGTTATTAATTATAGGTCCAAAAACACCACTAGATGTGGTAGTACAAAATGGAATGACTTTTAATCTATCGGTTGGTTTCAATGACTTGACTTCAAGCAATATAAAATATGCTGTCTGGATATGTGATACTGTCTACTTATCTACTGATAATACAGTAGAGATTTTAACTCAAAGTTGTAGCAAGCGTCTGGAGCATGTATCATATGAATTGGAAGATATAGACATTGAACAAACAAAAACTCACATTAAAAAGGAAACTACTCAGCAGATGAATAAGAAAGACTATTTAACACATGAGGATGAATATAGCACCAGCGATGATAAGAGAACAGATAATTCTAGTAGAAAAAATAAATCTATTAGTAATAATGCAGTATTGCAGGAACGTTTTCGTAAAACAAGAAGTCGTATACTGAATAATGATCATGCTGAAGAACTGAAAGAACTTGAAAATTACCAACGAGAATTAAGAAAGAAAAAACTTGTTGAATTACAAAATAGATTTGGTGAAGAAAAAGAAAAAGATAATAATGATTTAATTAAGTCTACTTCAGATCAAAACTATTATTTTAATTCGAAACTTGTTAGCTATGATTCAGTTTTAGGTTACCCGAGAGATCGTAACCTAAATAGAATATATGTTGATTCTGCAAAAGAAAGTATTCTCATTCCAATTTATGGTATGCTTGTTCCTTTCCATGTTAGGTCACTGAAAAATGCAGTATGTACACAAGAAGAAGGTAAAAAATCTTTTATTTTAAGGATCAACTTCGCTCTACCAACTGGACAATTGCTAGATCAAATGCCCAATTCTCTCAGCTCACCAATTTTTATTAAAGAGCTTATGATACGTTCTGAAGATGGTAGAACTTTGAATTCAATATTTAGAAGTATAAAGGAGTTAATAAAGAGATTTAAACAGAAAGGTAGTTTAGAAGATGAGAAAGCAGAGCAAGATTTCTTGAAAAAGCAGCAACCTCTTGAGTTGAATCGTAATAGTCCTAGAATTGTACTTAAAGACATTGGAATTCGTCCAACTCTAGGTCAAGGTAGACGTCAGCATGGTATATTAGAGGCTCATGTAAATGGCTTAAGATTCAATTCTTCTAAGGGTGAAACTATGGATATTTTATACTCAAGTATTAAGTATGCTATATTTCAGCCAGTCGAGAATGATCTGATTGTTTTATTACATTTACATCTACGCTATTCATTATGGTTCGGTAAAAAAAAGACTCAGGATGTTCAGTTTTATATGGAAGTAGGGAGTCAAGCAGATGATTTAGATCAACGTCGTGGTCGCAATATATATGACCCAGATGAAATTCTAGAAGAACAAAGAGAACGTGAAGTTAAAAAAAGATACAATACTGAATTTAAAAGGTTTACACAAGGTATTGAAGAATTAAGTAAAAATATGTTTGAAATTGAAATACCTTATAGAGATCTAGGATTTTACGGTGTACCAGGCCGTGCCGGAGTTTCAAATGTTCAACTCTATCCAACAGCTTCGTGCTTAGTACATTTGTTAGAATGGCCACCATTTATTCTATCTTTAGATGAGATAGAAATTGTTTCTTTTGAAAGAGTAGAACAGGGACTCCGCAATTTCGATATGATATTTGTATTCAAAGATTACACTAAGACAGTTAAACGTGTTGACTCTATTCCAATAGAATATCTTGATACAATAAAAAGATGGCTTAATGAGATGGATATTGTCTATTATGAAGGTAGACAAAATCTAAACTGGAATGCTGTATTGAAAACTATTTTAAGTGATATTGAAGATTTTATAGAGAATGGTGGTTTCAGTGGCTTTTTGGGAGAGGAGAGTGAGGTAGAAAATACCAGCGAAGATGACGATGAAGATGAAGAATACTCTGAAACTGAAGAAGATATGGAAGATGATGAAGAAGGTGATTCTGATGAAGATCTTTCGGACTTAGAAGAAGAGAGTTCTGATGACTCATTTAAAGAGTTATCTAGCGATGAAGAGCAAGGCCTTAGTTGGGACGAACTAGAAAGAGAAGCTATTAGAGAAGATAGGAAAAGGCATAGAGAGGAAAATAACAAAGTTAAGGATCGCAGAAGACACTAATATTCAGATTTTTAGTTTATCTAACCTCACTGAATTTATTATCTTAAAGTTTAATAAGCTACTCATTTCATGCTATTATATCGTATTCTATTACATCACATTGCCTTTCGCACACAATAAAATCTACAATCCATATCTTCTTGATAGAATGAACACTCTTCTAATATTCCCTTCTCACAACTAGTAAGTGTGTTTAAAAATATTCCCATATAATCGGTGTTGCCTCTAAATAATGTGACCTGGTTTATAGAACAGTGATTAGAGCATTGAGTAAACAGATACAATTGTTCAAGTCTTGTTTTAAATGCTTCAAAGAGAGCCTTCAAAAATACCTCATCTTTAAATATCTTAGATAATTCAATTCCAACTTCAAAGAAATATGGAGATATCTGCGCGAGGTCTATACTACAAGGATCCGTTTTTAGAGCATTCATCATCTTAGGAGATAGGAAATCTGGATAGTTTATATCAATGAATCCACGAGAGTAGAGATCCTTCGCCAACCATAGGGGAAGACTTAAAATTTCTCCAGAATTGACCTTGTAAAAAACATGAAATTTTAGCTATATACTGGTGTAATTTAAATTCAAATATCAGCATACCTCATTGACTCCTTGAGAGTATAGTTCGCCACTTAAAAATCCACATTCTTTTTGAGTAATCAGTAGTCTACAGGGAATACTCTAAAAGATTAAAAGTAAAGTACAGAAATTGTTCATAGATAACTATTAAATAGAAACGTACCACTTCATTCATTAGAATAAAATCTACATTCCAAAGATAAATAGAAAGAAAGTTGTCCTTTAGCCTCTCTCTATATTCAGTTAACAAATTGTAAATATTATCATCCTCTTCATTCATCATTTTACTATTATTATTGATTTCCTTTTTTTTTTTTTTTTTACTCTCAACTTTTATTTGTGGGGTCTAGATAGAGAGGGTATTTGGGTTGATTTATCGACTTTCTGTTTAGTGACAATTTTAATAACAATTTTTTTTAAAAGGCCTTCTTTAAAGATTAAGAATCTAATTAACAACTTTTTATATTATACTGATATATTAGTCTTAGTAATATAAGGAATATATACTTCCAATTTATTGTCTTCCACTCGAGTATAAACAATATTTTGTAGTGGGCTAGTGTAGTTGAATACAATGTATACAGTGAACATCTTGCTATCCACTGTATCTTAGTTATGTCAAATCTGCTGTTCTAAAGTTAGAGACTAAGAAGTAATATAAATTTACTTTTTCCTAAGAACTTCTAATTGCAGCACTATAATTTAAGGATAGTATTATAATTATCAGGTAAAAAGGACTGACATATACTTAAAGGTTACTAAGAGAAAAAAAAAAGTATGAAAAGTTACTATTTTTGCAGATGTGATTTTGATCTGGCCATTTTAGTAATAGAGAAAATTAGATGATGAACTGGCGGTGTTTCCTAAAGGAATATGTGAGGGGTTAGAGTTAAGAAGTGGCAATATTTTATATTGTTGGCTATTTGTTCTACTAGGAAGCTGATTATATGAGAGCCTTTCTGGATTTGAAAGGTGATGATAAGGGAGCTATTATAAATCCATTTATTGGAGAGAAGAGTTCTATTTTGCAGGAAACAAGGAACTTTAACCAAGCTCCTTTAAATTCAAAAAAGTGTTGCACAATCCTAACAAAAGTGTTACATATGATCAATAGTTATGAGAAATTAACAGATGTAGAATGGTCAGATCTATTTTTTGGTATAACCCGACTCTTTCAGTCCAATGATGAACAGCTAAGAAGACTATTATATTTGTCTATAAAGAGCTTGAAAGTAAATGAAAGTGAAGCATTTGTTGTAATAAGTTCACTGATTAAGGATATGAATAGTAGTAATGACTGTTATAGAGCAAATTCACTGAGAGTCATGAGTAAGATTGCTGATTATGCAATGATTAATCAAATTGAGAGATATTTGAAATCAGCTATTGTGGATAAAAATTCATTTGTGGCAAGTTGTGCTTTGATCTGCGGCTATAATTTATCTCTTAGAGGATACAGCGAAGTTCCAAGACGTTGGCTTAATGAAATTAGTGAGTGCGTACAGAATCGTGATGGGATGGTACAATACCATGCAATAACTCTACTATTTGAGCTGAGACAGAATGACTGTCTTGCAACTCAAAAAATTGTTGAAATGCTACTTAAATTACCAGTGAAGTCAACATATAGTGAATGTCTTATGTTAAGACAAATGATTAATATCTTCTTTATTTTGGTAAAAAATGAGACACTGAGTAATTTGGGGAATAGCGTAGCATGGATACTAGATTGTCTCCATACTACACTTAGGCATAGAGATGAGATTGTTGCTTTGGAGGCTGCCTGTAGTATTTGTAGTATATTACTAAATCTTGAGGACCAAGATAGTTCAAGACTGTCTAGTATGATTGACTTTAATCAACTAACAAATGCACTACAAATGCTGTTGAGCTCTAACAAATCGGTAGCTAGATTTGCAGCTGTAAGAATTCTAAATGAACTAGCTAATGTCAAACCGAATATAGTCTTAAAATGCCAACATGATTTGGAACCATTACTAACAGACTCTAATCGTATAATGGCAACATTAGTTTTAACGATTTTATTGAAGATAGCACAAGAGGGTAATTTGGAAAGATTAGTTAAACAAATTCCTTCATTTATTTCAGATATAAATGATAGTTGTAAGAAAGATATAATCAAGGCAACTAAAAGTTTAATAATTAAATATCCAAGTAAACACAAAAGTATTCTTACATTCTTGTCATCCAATCTACGTGAAGAAGGTAGTCTAGATTTTAAATCTTATGTAATCGATGTATTCTTTGATATTGCTCTACAGTTACCCAATATATTGGAAAATATATTATATCATGTATGTGAAATAATTGAAGATTGTGAATATCCCTTAATCACAATTAGAATTCTCGGATTTATTGGGAAATATGCACCAGAAACAAGCAATCCATCTAGATATGTCAGATATATCTATAATCGTCTTATATTAGAGAATTCGCCTGTAAGAGCTGCAAGCATTGATTCATTAGTAAGAATTGCTATTTTTTGTCCACACCTGAGTGGTGATATAAGAACATTACTGCAAATATGTACTAATGATAATGATGATGAAGTTAGAGATAGAACTCATGCATATTCTAAGATTATTGACTATTGCAATTCTACATCTGATGGAACAGATTCGGATACACACGACTACTTTGAAGATATATCTAATAATGATGTGCTACAAATAGATCATTTGTGTTCATATTTAACTGAGAAGTTACCATCTGAACCTGAAATTGTCATTAATTTCGATTCAGTTCAAACAGCAATACCAGAAGATATTACATCAAATTACAATAATTCACTTACTGAGACGAAACAACAATCAATGGAATCACTAAGTAATAATACTACTGTAAATGTATCTAATTTGTGTGAAAAATTAGCAACAATAATAATGAGAGAAGATCTAGGCAAACATATGTTTACATCAATAGCAACTCCATTAACTGAGAATGAAGCCGAATATATTGTGCACCTAAGGAAACATTTCTTTAATGAAGGTAGAATTATTGTTTTAGAGTTTCAAATTGTAAATACTCTAAATGAACAAATACTGAAGGATGTTAGCATAGAATTTGGAGTGATCCCATCTAGTAGTATTTCAATTATTGGAACTGTGACAATCCCAATTTTGGAATCCAATCAAATGGGGAGTGTGTATGTTCTATTGAAGAATCTTCAAGATGAACAAATACCTATTAAAATTAATTCATGGTCTTGTAGATTAAGTTATATATTGTGTGAGTATTGTGACCCTGATAACGGATATAATGATATATTTACAGTAGAACCAATTAATTTCTCCTATAATGACTATATACTCCCAAATGCACTCAGATTTGGGGAATTTAAGAATATGTGGTATATCTTAGAGACTCATGGTTTTGAGGTTATTGCAAAGTTTGCATTTTCGTATAAGAGTATTTCAAGTGCAATAGATGGCCTGCTAAATCTTACTAACTCATATGCCTGTGATAATACGGAGGATATTCGTCCCGAGGCCAAAAATCATACACTTCTATTTTCAGGATCTTATTTGGGTTCATATCCTTTTTTAGGTATTGCTGTTATTGTTTACAATGTAGAATATGGCTGTCTTGTAAAGATTACCTGTAGATCGAAAGACGAGGCAATTTGTCATAATGTTATCAAGTGCTTTGATGCATAGTGCTTATTAAGGTGAATTTATTTATTGACTTGTTTATATCCCTTCAGTCATTCAATATTAGTCAGATAATCGAGATGTACACTGACTTTTCGGGAAGTACTGAGGAAATTTAAAAGCATAACTTAACCATGCTTTCACTAGAGTATACATTGCACCCCATGAAGGTTCCATAGAAGCATAGATAATTTGCCAAAATAACTTTGTGTGAAGTCCACCAAGCAAACTAAAGTAGGGACTATAAAATGCAATATTGTCGTCATAAATGTAGCAAGAAGATCCCCTCCAATTATACAAAAAAGCATCACATCTTTGTTTTTCTGCTTCAGTTAAGTAATTATTGAATATACCAGCTAAATATCTACCTTGTTGCGAGGCACCTTGGGCAGTAGGCGGTGGTGGATGATAAAGTTCATCTACTTTTATAAGGAGATCTCTAAACTCTTCCGCTGTAAGAGTTTTACTGTTTTCTGGCAGATCCTTAACAAATGGTAAATTTACTAATTGTGGAAATTCACTTGATAACATGATATGACGTAAATAGTCTACAGATGGACCATATGAATGCTTTTGAGCTTTTTGAAAAATACTTTCCCAAGAACTGGACAGTTTTTTTGGAGTAACCAGTGCACAGTCTCCTAGAGCATACACATACTGTAAACCAATCACTCTTAGTTTTTCATCAACATTTATTGCTCGAGGATTTTTTGATTGTTCTGGTATAGTTTCACATATATGTTTTGTTAGTTCGGAGGGAGACGCACCGCTAGCCCAAACAAATACTCCATAAGGTATATTTTCTTCTGTTTTGTCTTGATATTGTACTTGTACAGAATCTGGCCCTACTTTAAGTAACTTTGTTCTAAGGAGTAGCTTTACTTTAGCCTTGTTTCCTAGAATATACTTTGCATATTCAGGTATATTATCTCCTGTTGTTGGTAGTAACTTGGGTGACATTTCAATCAGCTTAATAGAAATGAAGGGCTGCAAATGGCCATACTTTTCTTCTTCTAGTAAACTTTTAACTAGTTCTGCAAATGCACCGGCAACCTCTACACCAGTAGGTCCTCCACCAGCAACAATGAAACTCAACTTTCTTCTCTTTTGGTCATCTTCTAAAGTATTCCACTCTTTAAACACCTCATCTATTTGTGACAAGACTGCAGCACGTATTTTGAGTGAGTCTTCTACATTTCGTAAGTATAGAGCATACTCCTTAATTCCAGGGATGAAAGTGGCATTAGCACTTCCAACATTAATTACTAAGTAGTCATATGGTAATTTATGAGTGCTTTTAGTGGATTCATCCATATATACTATTTGTTTGTTCCCACCATCAATCTCAATAGCATTACCTAATATGTGTTTCATGACCTCATGTTTACCCCTAAATGTAAATGTTTCGATAGGTTCTTCACAAACCCTATTGGGAAGTCTTCCGGAAATTATATGCGTCAACAATGGAGTGAAGTAGAAGGCCTTATGAGGGCTAATTACACAAATATCATGCTTATAGATATCCAATCTGGGTGCAAAAGCTGCAAATCCCCACCCTGTACCCAAAATTACCACTTTTTTCCTACTGTTTGATTTATTAGCACTAGGTGGTGATATTATTCCCATTCTAAGTAACGTATCCTTTACACGCCACCTTGCTTTCTCAATAGCATGGCTTTTGAAAAAGTTACATGGTATTGAGGATCTTTCTGAACTATCTGTACATTCAGCATACCTCTTCAAACAGGTAACGCTTGAACTAGATAGCCATCTTAAATGAAATATCATATTTCTTTTAAATACAGGAGAAATATCAATCAAACCCAAAGTTAATAGCTTCATACTCTAATATTTTAATACAAGTATATGTCTACGCTGTATTGTCGACAAGTACTCAATCTAACCCGAATAAAATGTTAGATAAATCTTATTAGAAAGAGAATTTTCTGTTTGTTTATCTTGTTTCACTAGTTTGCATGTGCCATACTTCGAGGTTCCCCAATTATTTACTCATAATACGGTACCTAAAGCCCTTATTTTTTTTAAAAAAAAACTGTACTAACCGCCTTTCCATGCATAGTTATACAAAAAAAATGTCCAGGCCTTTTACTAGAAGTAGAAATTCTAACAAAATATTGATACAAACCTAAGTGGTGTAATTTCTTTTGTTCAATTATCTAGCTGATATTCAAGATTATCAACAATATAAATTGATGTTGTGAAGTAGTTATAGCTCACCCAAGTTTAAAGTACATTAGTACTAGTGATTTAATAGTCTGAAGACCACCTAAACAAGAACTTTAAATTTAGATTTTGAGTGTACTACTCATCTGTATACAGATTAAGATTGAATGGCTATTAACATAAAAAGTAACCTTCTTTCCTATTCTAATAATTTTAAAGGAAACATTCACAAGATAATGAAATGGATACCACTATTACAGTTACTATATGTAACCTTGGGAAATTACTAGTTTAGAGAAGTGCAGAAGTATATTATAAAAGATAGTAAGATTCTGGATTCTATAATATAAACCAACTATATATTCCTACTTGTGAATCATAAATCAAAGTTTAGTGCAACAAATACAATGATAGAAATCTTGCACCCACCCGCCCAAATAATATACTAAGGATATTATTCCTAATTTTTTTCTCCACAGAAAGTTGCTGTTGAGAGGTGAATCGCAGTACCAACTGATTTTACCGCTGGAGGTAACCCCACCAATGAAAATAACTCGACATAGTAGACAATTTACAATAGGTAATATTGATAAACGCGGGCACTGCCTGTTGTGAGATTAGCGAGAGAGAGGGGTGGTAGAAGTCAAGTTTTGTTAGCTGAAATTGGTGACAGCATCAATACAATAAAGAAATAGGCGTATAGTTTTCGCTTTTGGGTTTTTATTTGATATTAGGAGTACGGTAATCTTCCATATTTGGAGTTTCTTTGATTTAAATAATTATGGCTAAGAAAAGACCAAGTCAAGGTAATAAACACACTGGTGGTAGGAGTAAATCTAAATCTAGTGCAAATTCTTCTTCTATACAGGCAGAAGATATAAAACCTGAGGTTATAGAGACGGTTATCGAAATTTCAGCAGAAGTCCAAACTCCAGTGGACCTTTCTACTCTCTCTGCGACTCAGAAGAAGAATTTGAAAAGAAGACTTAAAAAGAAAAGTATGGAAAATAACTCTATATCAAGGGATAACTCAAATAATAAAGTCAGAAAGCAGTTAAGTAGAAAAGAGAGAGAGGCTATGATGCCTAAGGATCCATTAGAAGCATCTCGTACTTTGTTCTTGTCTAACATTAATGATAAGCTTAGATCCCTGGTCAGATTGTCTACTTTGTCCATGGACGATGTATTAAATAAGAAAGATGAACAGGAAGCAATACTGAATGAACTTCTAACGGAGTTATCCAATGTAATTTCTATTCAGAGTTCACAAATAAAAAGACCTCCTGCAAAACATCTAAGTTCTACAGCGATATGCGAACAGTTGATGGACTTTGAGAATATCTCCCCAGAAAATGAGAATTATGATGCTGAGTTTCATGAGCATTTGAAAGAACTATTAGTTACTGTGACTCTTTACGAGAATTATCGCGCATTTCAAAGTAGTTGTAATGACTTGCGTTCTCGCATTGAACATAGACTAAAAGAGAATCAAACTTTGGCTCAACAAGCAATAGATCACAACAAGCAGAGAAGGCTTATTAACAAAGTGAAACAATTGAAACAAGGGGATACCTTTGATGCTGAAAAAGTAATCACAACTACATTTGAACTTCCAATAAACAGGGGTAACCTTGTGGATGTTCTATTCAATTCAAGTTCTAAATTAGCCAAGACTTATGGAAAGAAGTGTGGCGTACTAATTGAAAAGTCCAATGGAAATTCTATACATATTACAGGGCAACCAGATGATGTTAGGGAATGCTGGAACTGTATAAAATCACTGGATGTAAGTTCTCGTGAGGTTTTGAATCTTGATCCAAAAGTAATTAGGAAATTATTTTCAATTAATGGTCCAGTGAATCTTAAGTCTCTACAAAATGATCATAGTGTCATAATAACGAGAGAAGGAGATAATGTCTTAATTTTGGGTTCGTTGGAGGGCACTAAGTCGGCTGTGGATACAATATCCAAAATAAACGATTATTCAAGCAATAGTATAAGTATTAGTGTACCATTAATTATTGCAAAAGCATTACAATTTAATTTCTTACCTACAGTACGCAATATAGAGCGAGAGACTGGTACAAGTGTGAGGATACAATTTGGCTATCAATCGAGAGGGGCATCTCCGGCAAATAATACTGTGGCATCTGAAACAGTAGCAGATAGCAAAATAGTTATTTTAGGAAAAGTTGATGGCTGTGAATGTGCAAAGAGTAAGCTTTCTCAACTTATAAAGACATTTGTCATTGAAGATATTCAAGCAGATAGTAAAGCTGTTAGGAAATTGTTTAGTCCACCTGGAAAGGATTCTTCAGAAGATGCAAATAGTGGCAGGATATCGAAGACTATTATTGACGGATTCTCACGCTTGAGGGACTCGAATACAATGGGTATTTTGCGTATTGGATCTTCTGTAGTTATGGTTGGGCCAAGTAATGAAGTTAAGGTAGCTAAACCTATACTACTTGATTTGCTAGAAAGAGCAAAGTATCAACCAAGTAGCATAACTATTCATAAAGAACAGTTACGTATTTTAAATCGCACTAAGAGAGGGGAAGTTGAAGAGAGTACAGGTGTTGAAATCTCAACAATTAAGAAGCTAGATAATCGTACTGTACAACTTGAGATTTTTGGATCAGACGAGGAGAGGAGCAAAGCTGAAAAACTTTTAAAGGATATCCTAAATAATGAAGCTTATATGGTTACAATAAGTATAGATGATAGTACATATGAAAAGTTGTTTAGTGGACAACGCACATACTTACGAAAATTCATCTCTTCCTTCCCCAATATTCAGATTTTGCCTGGTGATAGGAAGAATAGATCTATAGTTGCTGTCGGCATAAAAGATGAGGTTATTACTTTTAAAGATAAGATGGAGAAATTCAATGAACAGACAATTCAAGATACATCCAATCAAAAGACTGAGACTATTGATATTCCTCATGGCAAGGTTGGAATGATCATTGGAACGAAGGGGAGTGTTTTGAATGACATCAGAAATAAATCTAACTGTGAACTAATTAACATTCCAAAAAATACAAGTTATGTAATTTTGAAGGGAACTGAAGAACAATGTAGTATAGCAAAAAATCTTATTTATGATATCTTAACGAATTCGCAGTCTAATACAAGTACAACTAGCAACAATGACCTCAAAACTGAGAATATTAGCTTACCCAAAGAAACAATAAAATTTGATGAGAAGTGTTTTCCTACTTTAAGTGGCACTAATTCTATTGTTTAAGGAGATGTGCATACTACAACTGGTATATATAAACTGATATTCTAGATATCCTCTTAGAACATGGTATTATCAGTTATTGATCCTGTGTAGAATCTAAGTGTACTGGTAGTGAATAGGAAATAAAGCTCTCTGTAATAATATTGCCATTAACGAGGTTATTTAATGTCTAGTATTATTAGGACTACTACATCCTGGATGTTGATAATAATTTAGTAGACAGGACCACCCTTTCTTTTCCTATCACCACCTAGCTGAAAATGCTTACATCTTTTAATTGCAAGGAAACGTCTTTGCTTACACTTTGTACATTCTAGTCTTAGTACGATCTTCTTAGTAGTCTTGGCTGTCTTCCTTAACTTTGGTTTTGTTTGACCACCATAACCCTTCTGTTTCTGGTCATAACGGCGACGGCCCTGAGATTTAACAGATTCCTTCCCTCTCTTATACTGAGAAACCTTATGAGGTGTATGCTTCCTGCAGTCTGATCCCTTACAAAAAGTATTTCTCAATTTTGGAATATTCACCTATATTGAGAAGGAATAGTACATAAATTCAATATAAATAAGTATATTTACAAAGAACTTACCATTTGTATTTAAAAAAGAAAGAAAAACAAAAGCTACGGCCTACCTCAAAGTAACAAATTAGTTCAGCTTTTCTTAAGTTACCTGTCTCCTTGGCTTGCGCTAAATATAATTCTATATTAGTTAAAGTGCAATCATAATGCCGCCTTTTATTTTACCTTGTCTCTAGCAAGGATTAGCTCATTTAAGTTTTAAAGTATTCCTTGTCTTCTATAGCGCCATAATTTTGCGGTAATATATTTGCTTGTAAAATAGCACATGGAATGAATCAGATTAGCACAATATTGAAAAAAAATCCATGCTTCCAAATAATAAACATATACTACCTTCATATTTCGTACTAATTATAACAGTTTTAAATTTAGTCACTGGACAAACTAATGCTTTGTTTTTCAAGTTACCTCCAAGCTCTACAGGTATGTTAATAAAGACTAACAAACTTTAAACTACAAATATTCAATTAATGAACAGAATGCATCATCTTTCATGCTAGACTATCAGATCATATCACTGGATCTTATGAAGTTGAGGGGATTGATGGAAGTGTGAGAGTTTATATAGCAGATATCCAATTTGGAGAAAGAAAGCTATTTGATAATATTAAGAAAACTGGTCATTTTAGCATAACTATACCCAGTAGTTCAAACTATGAATTATGTTTTAAAAGTCTGATGGGATCCATAGCACAAACTATAAGCTTTAATTTTAGGTAAATTTACTAAGCATTCTAACTCTGCTTATTTAACTACTTCTTCCCTTTCCTAGGAACCGATCTTTAATCTCCGCCTCAAATCTAATGACAAGTAGTGATTCTAAACGTCTACAAGATTCTATAGAGAAATTCTATGAGGTAAGTCATATATACAATGTTATCTCCAACTATAATTAGTTATTCTTTTAATAGAAAATATCACTTGCAAGTGAACAACAAAGCTACTCACTTACTAGGAGAGATTACCATATGAAAGGTAGGTTTGGTATCAAATAATACTATAGATCTTGAGTAACTTCCAATTTTTAAATAGCTATCGAGTCCTCTAAGGAGAGAGCTACTTTTTGGAATTGTCTCCAATTAATATTTTCATTTGTAATGGCAGCTATACAAATTTGTTACATGCGTTCCTTCTTTGAAGTAAAATACGTTGTCTAACTATGTCAACATTTTCAAGGGACAATACCTCTTGATATGTATATATTGTCTCTGTTTCTCTTTATACTAAGGAATTAATAGTCTGTAGATTCGCTGCTGAGTTCTTTCTTCTAGTGACTAGGGATTTCAATAATTGTATTCTAACGAGTAGAAAATTATTCGGACTGTTGTAGACTGCCCGCCGTAGTTCCCCACATGCTTGGATACTTGAAATTTGACATTTACTTTTTATCCAGCTACTTTGTATATAATGATAATGACACATGGAGATATTAACAAATAATGAAAATTATTTAAGTGGGACAACTACTAATAGTAGTTCTAGGCTTATAATTCATAAGCTTGAACTAGAGAATTTTAAATCTTACGGTGGAAAAAAAATTATCGGACCCTTTCACAAGTCATTTACTGCTATTGTAGGCCCAAATGGGAGTGGTAAAAGCAATGTTATAGATGCAATGCTTTTCGTTTTCGGCAAAAGAGCTCGCCATATGCGTTTAAACAAGGTTTCAGATCTGGTACATAATTCCAAACAATATAGTAATTGTGACAAAACCCGTGTCTCGGTTTACTTTCAAGAGATTATTGATTCTTATGAAAACGAAAAAGGTTACACAATTGCTCCAAATTCGGAGTTAGTTATAACAAGGGAGGCATTTCGGCATAACGAACAGACTAAATATTATATAAATGGTAAGTCCTCCTCTTATAGTGAAGTCACAGGTCTCCTTAATAAGAAAGGAACTGATTTAGAACATAACAGATTTCTAATATTGCAAGGTGAAGTTGAGTTGATTGCACAGATGAAACCAAAAGCCTCAAATCTGAATGAAGATGGTCTATTGGAATATTTGGAAGATGTTATTGGTACAAATAAATTTATCCCCGAAATAGCAAGGTATACTGAAGAATTAGAGCAACTTAATGAACTAAGACAGGAAACGCTAAATAGGATGAAGCTAGCTGAAAAGGAACTAATAAATTTAGAAACTCCATATAATGTAGCTATTGAGTTCTTTACTACAGAACGCGAAATTTATATCATGAAACTACTTTTGCTAACTCAAAATATAAAACAATGCGTTAATAAAATAGATGAGCTCCGGAAAGAACTTGATACATATATTGATGCAAAAGAGAAAGTAGCTACTAGTATAAAAGCCTTAGAAGATGAGAAAGGGACCTTGGAAAGAGAAAGTGAAGCACTAGTAAAAAAAGTTAGACAGAGTCAGGACAAAATTGAGCAGAAAGATAGTGAATTCAAACGTATAATAATGCAGGATGAAGAAGTAAGAGTAACTCTTAAACATTCTCGTGATCGACTTTCAAAACAAAAGGAACAATTGGAGAATGAGAAACGAACTATCCCAGAACTTGATAAACGAAGGAAAGAACTTGAAAGACTTATAGTAGAATGCAAGAAGCAGATACCAATTGAAGAAAAACAACTGGAAATTGAGCAGGATAAGTTAGACAAATTGCAAAGAGATTTTAAGGATAACTTGGAGTCTATTAGGAAAAGGAAGGATAATGCTGAAAAGGAACTTGCTCCATTGAAAAGTGAAATCTTGTCTTTGCAGCAGAAATATGATATGTTGCAAACAGATATTGAATTACTTAATGATAAAAAGGAAAGAAAGTGCGAGAAAGAGAAATTAAACAAAAAGAATCAGAATCACTCCAAAGATAGGCTTGCAAAACTTGATGAAGCTAAGCTCTTATTTTCAAAGAATTTATCGAAAAAACAGGAAACTCTTCGGGCTATAAAAAGAAATAATGAAGAACTGAATGAAAAACTAAAAATTTTGAGTTCTGAAATATTTCAGAAACAAATTGAACTAGAGGAGGCAAGGAGTGCATATCAGAGCACTGAGAGTACTGATAAAACAATTATTTCTAAGATAGCAGCAAGAAATACTAAACACTTGATTTCAGATGAAATAATGCGATATTTCTCAAAAAAAAAGAAAACCAGTATATATGGTAGGCTTAGGGATTTGGGGAGTATAGATAATAAATACCAATTAGCATTGAACTCCTCAACTTCTCAACTTGATAACATTGTGGTTAATTCTACTGAAGATGCACAGGAAGTTATTGAATTTATTAGATCTAAAAATTTGGGACGTGTCACATGCATTATATTAGATAAAATATCATTGTCAATAAGAAAAAGTATGGAAAAAAATACAAAGATACATGAAGGTGCTACTAGGATAGTAGATTTAATTAATGTAAATGATCCCAAATACAAAATTGCATGGTATTATGCTTTACGTGACACTCTGATAGCAGAAAATCTAGATCATGCTAGTAGTATTGCATTTAACGGAAAACAGAGATGCAGAGTGGTTACCGTAAATGGAGAAGTTATTGATTCCAGTGGAACATTAACTGGAGGTGGAATAAATACTACAACATGCAAGCAAGGAATAAAGTGCAACTTCAAACAAAATCCCAAGGTTATTTCAACATTTGAAGATATCCAAAATTTAGAGAAGCAACTCAGCGAACTTTTTGAAAATCAGAGGCAGGTTAAGAATGAATATAAGAATAAGGAGGAAGAAATGCAAAATCTTACTAATGAAATAAGTGAAATGAATATCTCTCTGGAAAAAATAATATTGGAATACACTTCGATTTTAGGATACATTGGGCAGTCACAAAAAGATGGAGATCATGGTGATGAAGAGGAAGAAAGTATAAAGTATGACTTAGAACTTGAGAAACTCATCCCAATGACTATAGAACTCAATGAGCAAATTGATAATATTAAGAATACTGCGAAATGCAAACAAGAAGTAGTTGACCGACTTAATGAAGAAATGAAGAATATTGGTGGTCCTAGGATGAAGAAACAAATAGAAGTTGTTGAAGAGCTTTCTAAAAGTGTTCAAGATCTCCAAACAGTTCTGAATGGTTATCAAGTTGAAATTAATATGTCAGAGAAGAAACAGGAAAAGTTGCAACAATCGATAGAGCAGATAAATTTAAAGTGCCAAGATCTAGGAGAAAATATTGAAGATTTGCAAAAGGAGCTGATTCAGTTGGAAGAAGTAGCAGTTAGAGTAATGAAGGAGAAATCTGACACTGAAGAGGGTCTAAAAATATACCAGGATGATTATAAGGTATTTCAGAATAAAAGTGACCAACTTGATGAACAAATAAAAAATTTGGAAATTGAGAGAATTGACTTTTCTAACAAGATATATGATGTCCAACAAGAAATAAATGAAGTTGAGTTAACTCAAATCAAGGTATTTCACAAGAGACTTTTGAAATTACGTCAAGATGCATCATCAATACCCGAAATACCAAAGACAAGAACAGATACTGCGAACAATCAAATTAGTAGTGAAATGTGTAAAGATGAAACTTTTAAATATGACATAGATAAAAATAAGGATCAAGATTTAGAATATAAAGATTATCTGAAAGACAAAATACTGCGTGAAGATTTAAATGAAGATGAAATGAGATACTTAATGAAATACATAGATGCACCTTCTATAGAACGCATAAAGTCTAAAATCGATTTTCTAGAGGTACAATTACAAGTATTATATGATAATAGGACAAATAAGAATTCAAATAAGATTCCTCGCCCTTCAGCAGATATATTTATTCAATATTCCAATCAGTTAGAAGTACATAGACAACGCAATAGAGAAGTAGAAGAGGCTACAACAGCACGGGATGAATGCAAGAAACAATTAGATGCATTGAAGTTACATCGTCATATGGATTTCATGAACGGCTTTAAGATTATCTCTTCTCAATTAAAAGAAATATACCAAATGATCACACTTGGTGGTGATGCTGAGCTTGAAGTGATTGATAGTACTGATCCCTTTGCCGATGGAATACTATTCTCAGTTCGTCCACCAAAAAAGAGCTGGAGACCCATTCAAAACCTATCCGGAGGAGAGAAGACTTTAAGCTCACTTGCATTGGTATTTGCATTACATCAGTATAGACCATCACCAATTTATTTTATGGATGAAGTTGATGCAGCATTGGATTTCCGCAATGTTAGTATTATTGCAACTTTTATCAAAGAAAATACTAAAAATGCCCAATTCATAGTTGTATCACTGCGTAATCATATGTTTGAAGTAGCAGATAGGCTTGTTGGAATTTATAAGACGTATGATATCACGAAGTCAGTAGCAATTGATCCAAGTTTATATTTCTTATGCGATAAACAAGACAAAACACAAACCCTAGCTCCAAACCATATAGAATCAATATATTAGGAGCTCTATTAAATATCTAATATATTTATTTCGATTAAATAAGCTGCTAGGGTGTCAGGTTAACTGCACCTGTAAGATTTGTCCTTGATGAACATCGCCTCATCATATTCACAGCATCGTCTGCATCTCCACCCAACAGGATTCTTGAGGGCATACGACGCATTACTTGACAGAATTCATCAAAGTCAATTGTACCATCTCTATTTAGGTCTCCCTCCATAAATTCTTCCAACTCTGTCGTTAAATCATCTTCACTTGTTTTTGTTCTATTATTCTGATAAATAACATTAAGTAGCTCGTTTTTACTTATATGTCCATCACCATCTATGTCAAATACTTTAAAGGCAGCTTTGCATGCACTTTCATGAGCAAGCTGGTATTCCTGTAAACAAATTGCAATAAAATCTGTATAAGGAATCATATCTGTGCTTTCAGGATCTATCTCATCCAAAAGTACATCAATTCCAATGGGTGGACGACATCCTGTTTTAGTTATACCATCTATGATTTCCTTCCTGCTTAAAAATCCATCATGACTCGTATCAAATTGAATAAAGGTATTATGTAAATCCAAAATGTCCTTTTCATCCAGATTCTGGGCAATTACTGTGAATGCTATTTTTTTTAAACGAGAAAGACCTTGAAATCTGCGGAAATTAGAAATCACATTATCTAATAATAAGTTCTTAGAAGTTAAACACAATTGCTTTTCAAACCACTCATGTTTGAGTGCCTGAGCAGCAGTAATTCTTTGTTTAGGTGATTTAGTCAGTAGCTGCTTTATTAATGATTCTGCCAAAGGTGAAACATTTATCCACTCACTTTCTGGAAAAGTGAAGTGGCCCTCTTTTATTTTTGCCATAACTTCGTAGTCTGATGGTGCACTAAATGGTGGGTAACCACAAAGTAACACATACATCATAACACCTGCTGACCACTCATCACACTCAGGCCCATAGTGTCCTTCTAAAACTTGTGGACTTACATAGTAGGGAGTACCAACTTTAGTTATCATTGCTTCTCCTGGTTTAAATCTAGCTGCTAATCCAAAATCAATGAGCTTTAATGGTGAGTTAGGTTTATTTGTTAAAAACAAAAAGTTTTCTGGTTTTAGATCACGATGGGCAACATGTAACTTGTGACAGTAGGCTACTGCACTTAATACATCTTTCATTATTCTTGCTGCATCACTCTCAGTAAACATCCTTTCATGAACAACTCGTTCAAATAGCTCCCCTCCTGTACACAATTCCATCACTAGATATATATCATTGTTATCTTCAAATGTTTCATACAATCTAATAATATTAGGATGGTCAAGTGATTTCATAATTTCTATTTCTTGTCTGAACCTATCAACATCCTCAACATAGAACTTTGGAATTTTCTTTGCAGCTCTTTTTGCACCTGTTTCTCTGTGAGTTACAATCTTAACTTCACCCCAAGTTCCACGTCCAATAGTATTTTCTAAGATATAATAGTCATTAATATCACCTTTAGTACTTAGAATAAAACGCGATTTGTCAAGTAATCCACGTAATTTCGACCCAGTTCGACTTAAAGATGATACTGAAGATAATCCAGAACCACCTCCATATGATGCTATTGTACTATACATCATAGTGTCACTTGAAAAATTCCCACTCAGCAAGTAATCTGTACTTCTGTATTCTACAGAAGTATATTCTTCAAATTTTACTGTATTGTTGAAAGTTGTACCCCAAATACACGCTACCACACACCTATACTCTGGATAATGATCATCAATATAGAGGAAACGGTTTCCAGAAAAAGGCTCCCACTTTACTTCACAATTCTTGTTATCATTCTTAATAAAGAATTTGTATTCTAGTACACAAGTTCCACGAATTCTTATATCCTCTTTTGTTCTCCAATATGGAAAAGAGAGCTTGTCAGTAACGAGTTTAACTGCTGCGTTTTCGCTCTCTAAATCAGGTACAACTCTCCATTGTCCCAATTGAGTGTGATTTCCAACAATGTAAATTGATTCACCTGGGTTAGTGATATTGCAGGAGCATTCCCATGATATGTATACCATGTTTTACATTTCCTATGTAAGAGTTCCTATGACTCACTATGGTAATAGTTTTTACTATACAAGAAAAAGCTAACACTACACCGCCTATTATTTTAAGCGGTGTAATTCCTAGACTGCATGTAAGCAGTAATAGTTCACTATAAAAGTTTCCTAAGAATTTTCTGTAAAATTTCTAGTGAATCGAAGATTAATTTTAAAGCAAACCTGTATAGTTAAGATTTCATATATATGTATAGTTGTGAACCTTGTATTCCAGATTATTGATCTTTTGCAATATATTATTGATCTTATAAAGCTGTATTATTATATTTAAAAGTGATATTAGATGACTTTTAAGCCTAAGTTTAAATTATTTAGCTAATATGTGAAATTTGTGTTAACTATATGAACTTTTAGTTCTATATAATATTTTTTAAAGTATACACGGAATATTCGTATATTCGGCACTCCACAGCTAAATCTCACTAATTATTTCAGAACTGGCTACCAATTCGAACAGCTAACATATTATTTTGAGCTATCCTAGAGTTAAGTATTTAATAGGCTTGAGAAAATTTGAAGTTCGTACTAACAATACCTCCAACAAACCACATGTATTACTATTTAAAAGCTAGATATAAACATTTGAAAACTAAGAGATCTTAAAAGAGTATTATCTAGAAAGCAATACTAATTTATGTACCAACTTAAACTTCTAAGAAAGATTATTGTATCAAGTATATATGATATTATATCTGCTATAAATCAGCAATAGTATATTGTTTACAAGTTTAGAACTATTCTTTTAAGAAGTAATTACTAATACCAGATTCACTTTATTCCTGACAAAAAAAAAATAGTTAAACTAAAATTTGTCTCTAACTGCAACTTTTGTACATTCAATTATTAGTTTCCAATAGATTTCTACTTTATCTAAAGATGGTTCCCTTGCAGATTATTTACGCTAATATAAATGTATAATTCTTTTATTTACCTATTCAAGTTAGTAATAGTATTGACGAATAGATAACATCAGAATAATGCAATTAGGTATACATCAAATACTATTTGTATCCTAGCCAATATAGCTTTCAAGTACTTTTAAAATTCCTTCATTCAAGCGAGAAAAAGTTATTTCAGTTGTAAACATTTATTAATAGCAAACAGGTAACAATTCTCTATAAAATGATTGTCCTAAAATCTTGATGAGAATAATCTACTGTATTAAAACTACTCTCTGTAGTTAAATATGTGAAAGAAAATTGATTATTTAATAATATACAAATGTAAGAGGATGAATTTAGGAAAAAATAAATCTACTGTACTAAGATATTTAAGGACTACATAAAAGTCATCTCGAATACTCATAAATTTGCTTATTACTATTTTGGATATATCAAATTAGTACACCCAGTATTAATATAGAAATATCTTAATAAAACCAAAATAGGACTATGGATAGACTTTATACTTGATTCAATAAAGATTTCTTCATAACCTATAGATTATTGAAATTACACAAGACAGAATTTAGTAAAATTGTAACTTTTAAAATGATCTACATAGCTCAGTTTCTTAAGCTCACTATGAAGTTATTCATAACGGACATTTGCAATAGTTTGGTATTACTCAAGCAGAGTTAGTACTCTATAGTACTCTTTAACTAGTGCCAGAAGCATATTCATAACTACAATTATTAAAGTTAATATTGTATTTGATATATTCTACCTCTTTAAAACAATGCTGAATGAATTAGAAGAATAAATAATGCTTTTTACTTTGCAAGATTATAGCTACAAAGTCTGGTCGGAATCTATATTATAGGTTTCTTTAAATAAGTGGAAGGAAATACTTAATATTCTTTTTATCTTTATGTCACTATTTATTGCAAACTGTATTAAAACAAATTTATGAAATATTACATTTTGTTTTTTTAAATAACATCTTGTAATTTTTACTTCACTATTATAAATTTAGAACTTTTCCAGTTCATAACCTTAGTTTTAATATAATTATTCTGTAAAAAGAAAAAATTGGCAAAGTACCTTATTTATAGCTAGCTGCTAAATTTATCAAAGTAAATATGCTATTCATGGTATTTAGATATTTTGTTTCTCATAAATGCTATACTCACACATAATCTAACATTACATTATCTACTCCAACAAAACAATAAATTCACTTGTAATTTATCTCTAAATCTAACTTTAATAGTAGAAGAAAAAAATTAGTTTATTATTGAATGAGCTAAAGATACAAATAACTAAGTCCAGATATCTTAATTAAGTGGTTGATAAATTATGTGTTCACATAGGTGAACAACTCTCTATAAAGAAGTCTTTTATTTAAAAGGTGTAAGTTGAACCAAGAAATTTAATAAAGTTAAGAAAGTGTGGAACGTAGTGACAGTAAATATATTTAGCTATAAAACTCAAATGGTGTATTTAACTGTACTTTAAAAAAACTTAAAGTATCCCAAAAGAAGTTTAACAGATATTATTAGGGTGTACTAAAACTATTAATATTTTCTTAATAAATCACGGTAATCTAATAAAAAAAAAAATATCAATACCAAACTAAATATTAATGTAGATCAAAAAATAATAGGTAATATAAATTAACAATAGAGTGCCATCAATACATCCAATAGATCTAATTTCATTATGTCAAATAACATCCCTTATTTGTAGATCTTAAAAAAATTATTTCCAAAAGTATCCATATCAAAACTAGATACTAGAGTGGATAAATAACGAGTAATAAACACTATGCATCATCAACATAGAGAGTACCAGTAGTACATTCAATAGATCTGATCTCATTATGTCGAAAGTCATAACCTCTTATTTGTATATCTTGAGAAGCTAATTTCAACTCTTCTTCAGAGAGAATGTAGCGCTCAGACCCTTTATTATTAACAATTAAATTTTTAATAATGATTTTGCAACCAGGTGCTGCTTTGATAGTCACAGATCCCGATATAAATACTTTGCCTTTAATAATTACATCTCCCTCAACAGATAAAAAAGACTTAGCAGAAATGAAAATTGGGCCACTCTTAATCCTTTCAGCTAATTCATAGTATGATATTGCAAATGATGGATGGAATATTATATTTGCACCATTTCTAACGGGCAAACCTACAATTATGTCATCTTTTAAATAACTTCTATTATCCAGTTCACCTGTTACAGGATCTCTACCACTTTCCTCAATACGACATGTTATCCCCTTTTCCTTAGCTACCAAGCGTAATAGCTGAGCATTAGCTGCATAGTAATCACCTTCACAGCTAGATGCAGTATCAAGTCCCAAGCCTGCTTTATATTTGTTTATGGCCTCTGCAAGACTATTTTTACATGCAGAAAATGTTAACCAACGTTCTAATTGAATGCATCCTACCTTCTCCTTCTCAAATAGTAATGGTAAATCTTGCATCATACACTCCAAACGAGTTGGAGATTTGAATGTGGTTTTTGTTGAATCCGTGTACTTTGGATTAACAAATTCAGGGACAATACCTCCAGTTCGTTTTAATGTACTTAAATAAGGTTTCAAGCGGATAAAAAGTACATTTGTATTTCCTGGAAAGGGAGAATACCCAGTATTTTTATCAGCTTTATCAGAACCAATATCACAACTTTTTAATAAAGCTCCTAGCACATTATATTCAGTGTTAATTGTCAAATGCTTGCCGTTTGAGTACCTAAGACGACAAATAGCACCAACTGGTTCACATGGAACACGTGGAACTGTCAAACTTATCATATCAAATGATTCTTTTTCAGTAACTCCCAAAGAGGCCAAGACACTATGAAATACAAGACTATTCGTGTCCTGAAAAAATACTAAGTATTCTTTCCCATCACTGGAGAGCTTTTCAAGTATCTGTGAATTTAATAGGAGAGTATGAATATCTCCGTGACCATGAGGTTTCGTAAGTACCTTAAAAGGATCGTTAGGGTCTAAGGCAATTGCAGCATCACTGTTACTCAATGCAGGTACCTTTAACTGTTTAACAATAAATATCTGGTCACTACTAAGACCAAAGTTATCATTTTCATATAAAAATTGTCTTGTCAAAGAATCAGTGTCATCAGACGTCATAATTATAAGTGGAATAGCAACCCTCCCACCTGTTGCCTTTAAAATCCTATCTTCATACGCTAAAATATAATCCACATACTCTTCAAAAAATGTTACTCCAGATATAAGACTAAGTTTAATTCCAATCTTAATACCTTTGTATGACAATCTTTCACCAAGTCCTCCAGCAACCAGTACAAATGCTGTTTTGGATAAGAGAGTAGCTCCTATCTTCTCATACTCAACAAACTCCTCTGAACCAGTTTTTAAGTTAATCACATCGGGTACCTCAGGATAACAACCTTGCTTGGAATCTTCTCCATTTTTGGAAGCTAGTAACAAAGTTCTTGCACGATCAATATAGCCAGTTAAGCCACCTGGAGTTGTTTTATCCAGCATTACAAGTTGCTGACTCAGTTTTGCAACTCCCTCAGAATCATTAGAACAGAGTTGAGATGTGATGTGGAACTGTTCAATAGAGTTCAGCAAATTCTTCATATATTCTAAGCTCGTGGAGGATTCGAGCTTACTTTGTATATTCAAAGAAACAGCAGTAACCATTTTAAATTCCACGAAAATAAATATGAATAAAATTGTACTAATAAACACTTTAAGTAATTTATATAATTGGGACATAGCGCAAACAAAAATAAAATAAATCGTGACCCACACGTTGTAAAGAGTTAAACTAAAGAACCTTATGGATAGCGGGAGCTGAGCCTTCTGTACATAATATATGTTTATTTGGAAGTTAGTTTCGTCGCGCTACTTTTTGGAAAATGTTACGGAGTACTGGGCTTCACTGCAAGGTAGAAGAAGTACTAAAGTGATTTTTATAGAGTACTCTAGTCAAGTATATACTTAGTTATAATTTCCCTCTTTTTTTACTTCTAGTAATTTTTAGATGTATATACTACTTTTCGCACGTTATAAATCCAATTCTGGGCAGTTTGATTTACTTTAAAACCCCTCTATTGTTTCTTATAGTAATAGAGTCTTTGGAGCTACTTAATGGCGGAAGTTTAAATCAATTGCGGTGCCTAAATGTCATTATTTTCACAAGTCTGAGAAAATGAGTAATCAGCAACAAACTGATAAAAAACGTAGCGAATATCTTAGACTAGGAGATCTTGCATTTCAAAAAGCTGAAAAGATTAACAGTGAGGTTTTCTCCTTGTTGTATGGCAGCTTAGTTGCACAACTTGTAAAGGATCTTGAGCATGCTGACATAATTAATGAGAGACTAGAAAAAATTGGATATAATATTGGAATACGTCTAGTTGATGAATTTTTGGCAAAATCTGGGATATCAAACTGTGAAACATTTAGAGATACTGCAGAAGTAGTGGCCTGTGTTGGGTTAAAAATGTTCCTGGGAATTACAGCTGAGACAAAAGAATGGAACAATCAGGAAACTTCATGTATACTCTCTTTAAGTGAAAACCCATTAATTGATTTTGTTGAGCTACCACCTTGCTACAATTCATGTCTATATTATAGCAATATAATTTGTGGTGTTATTAGAGGAGCCCTAGAACAGCTACAAATGCAAGTTACTTGCTACTTTAAAAAAGATGTTCTTAGAGGAGACAATAACACAGAGATATTTCTCGAACTAAAAGAAAGATTACATGAGGAGTTCATTGATGATGAGGCGGAATCCTCCGATTAATTAGATATTAAGCTAAATAGATGTATATTGCAACTATTATTTTACAAATACGAATTAGCTAGAATTAAGTAATACATTTGGTTAGTTTATCCAATACATTCTGAGTCCATTCTATATCAAAATCTTGAGGTCTTCCTTTAATGATACTCGTACGCATATCTTTTAGAACTTCAGATGTCTGAGTATCAGTTCTTGTATTCCCAAAATTCGACAAAACTGTAGCTAATTTATAACATAACTCATTAGAGCTACTAAAAAATAAGTCAAATTTATCATCTTGAAGCAATTCTTTCATAACTGGGAAATAGTAAGATAAAATGGGGATCCCTGCCCCGATCATATCCACAACTTTCATTGGTAAATCCAATCCACTTGAAGAATAATGCAAAGATATCCCCAAATCTGCACAGGCAAGTAATTTGGGATAATCATCAGCAGTAGTAAAAATAGTTCTTATTTTTATATGTTTAAAAATAGCCTTTCTAGCTCTTTCAAGCCAAGTTCTTTTGCATGGCCCCTTTCCAGTAATAATGACAAATAAATCGGGTATATTCTGGATATTAGGTAAACTTACAGATTTATTTAATATATTCGTAGTTAATTTGTCATACTCAATAAGAGAGTCTAATAATAAATCCAAATCCTCATCTGGAGTCCAACTAGTAGATGTAATTATTATTGCAGGTCTGCTCTTCTTTAGATTCACTTCTAACAAGCACTTTATATAATTCTCTTCCTTTATAAATTTAACTGAAAGATTTGTTATGGGACTACATTCAGTAATTTGTATATTATATTCATCTTTATTCTCAATAATTTGGTTAGTAAATTTCGGTTTGTTATTTAATTTCCAAACCTCAAAATCTGTTAAGGAGTACTTGTAAGAAAATTTTTCATTTACCATTGATTCTAGTTTAATTATATGTTCGTTATCGTCGATAGGCTTTAGATTTGAGTCTTTAGAGTATCTACAATCCGTAGAGTAAAGAAAAGACATACAAGGTGATTCCAACACAATATCCAAAACATCTGTAATTTCGTAACTCTCTCCAGAATAAGAAATAAATTCTGCAAAATATTTAAATAATAGTTCATGTCTCTTTGATACTGAATTTATTGGTTTAAATGAATTATTTGGACGGTCATAAAGAACACTTGCCTTAATTCCTCTCCGTGCCAAATCGTTCTTCATGGCTTTTGTTACACAAAAAGAAAGACTAGCTAATTTACCCAAGCTGAATTCCAGCGATTCATAAATTATACGCAAGATATATTGATAATAAGTTCTTAAAAAAGAAGTATGCATGTTTGAATTTTGATAAGGTTTTGTTTGTATGAGGAGGGTATAGCCATAATTATGCCAGTCGATAATAAGTGGAACACCACGTAAAAATGAAACAAACCATAACACTGGAATTGCAGGGATAGATGGTGGAACTTGAAGAATGATACCACTAAGATTTGGAACCTTAAATGCAAGTTTAAGTATACTAGCTGTCTGCTCAATAATTTTCAGAGTAAAAAATGCAAAAAGTGGAATACTATACTTATAGGAATTTATTTTTGAAGGTGACAACTCAACAATTGATATATTTGGGTCATTTGTTACCAGAGAACTGCATTTGCTTTCTCTATATCCCATAAGATATATGTGGTAATTCTTAAGTTGAAAGTTCTCCTGTATGTGATTCAGCTTCATAGGGATATTCAGATCCTCATTTACTTTACTTACTTTCTTACATAAATTTTTGGAGGCACAAATTGCATGGTTTTGCATCCTAGGACTGTGTCCAACATCCCCAATAACTACTATAATAATGCTACCTTCTTGTTTGTTACTACTCTTTTTAGTGGAGCTATACTTAATTAAAAGAGATATAATGATAATTGAGATTATTACCAAGAATAAAATTATAATAAGCTTTCCAAGGAGATAAATAACCGTCATATATTTGAATGTAAAATAATAGTCAATATATCATAAGTAGGCTTGACAAACTAAGTAGCAGCAAGTCATATATCTTAGCGCTAACAATTGAGAAGTTTTAGGATCTCGAAAAGGGAGTACCACCGCCCATAAACCGCTTACAAAAATGCTGATACATGCGCAACTTTTTCTTTTTTAAGCGAGGGCTGTAGTTCAGAAACATATAGTTTAAAAGACAAATATATCCTAAATATACAATTTATTTGTATGAAGATAGATTGCATACACTTAACTAAGGATATTTGAACTTGTAGACTATCGGTATATTTTCTTGTTATTATGCACCTAATCAGTTTCCATCAAGCCCAACACAATCAGAGAATCCGTAATATACTTAAGCACAGTGCTATACTTATATTTTTAGTAACATATTTATTTAAAAATGAGCATATTTTCGCAGAAGGACAGTATGTGAGGGTCCCCATAGAGTCGTGTCCAAATCACTTTATTCTGGAAAATGGTGTTTGTAGTCACTATATAGAAGCACAGAAAGTACCAAAATGTCCAATAGGATTTGTATCACAAGAAGATGAATGTTACACAGTTGAGCCTTTAATAAAGGAATGTTCTAGTGGATTTCTAATGCAAGACAAGCAGTGTGTAAAAGAAACGATTGTTGAAAAAAAAATTTTATGCCCAGAACATACATATTATGATTCCAAAACTCAAAAATGCATTTATAAAGAAGTATTTGAAGCTTCATGTCCCCAAAGAAGTTTTGAATTTAAAGGAAAATGTGTAATTTCAAAAGATCCCATAAAAATTTGTCCTGACAACTCAGTTTTTGACATCAAAACCTCAATGTGTCTAACAAGGATTACCACACCACCATTATATAACTGTCCTAATTCCTATATTTACAACTCAGAAACTCATGAATGTATTAGACAAGTTGAAGCACAAAAGGTTTGTCCTGATCAATATCAAGAAATAGATCATTTGTACTGTGGTATCTGGTTAAAACCCAAGTATACTTGTCCTATTAATGAAGATTATGAATTCCATGAAGAAGAAATGCATTGTAAAATTACAAAGTATCAAAATTCAACTCTCATTTGCCCTATTGGAACTTATTTCGATGGCTATAACTGTATCTCTGAAAAACAAGTACATGAGAGAGTCTGTCCTCCAGACTATACTGAAGGAGATAATTACTGCATTTCTAGCTCAGATGCAATTCTAAATTGCCCCGAAGGATTCAACATATCGATACATAATGGTGTAAAAGTATGTTCTCAAATATTTACAGTTGATCCTGATTACTTTTGTCCAGTAGTAGATAGTGTATTTGATTATGCCTCTGGTATGTGTAAAAAAGAAACAATACTACCAAAAATATGTCCTGGAGATTCGCAACTCACCAGTAATATGACTTGTACTAGAAAAATTAAGCAATTATGGAACTGTCCACCAGGAACAGAATATGACTCTTACTCACATATGTGCATTGAAAATATACACTCTGCTCCGATATTTATTTGTCCAAAAGGAACGATTTTGGATGAATCTGAATCTTTGTGTATTGGATATAGTCAGAATATCCTTGTATGCCCACCAGGATATGATGAATTAGAGGGGAATATATGTGCCCACTTAGTAGCAGCACAGCGTTCATGCCCAGAAGGTTTAAATTTTACAAATAATTATTGTGAAGAAACAATTATTAATAAAGCTGATCTTATTTGCCCTGATGGAGGAAAATTAAAAGACTCAGTCTGTATTTATTCTAATATTCAGGAACCTGAAAAGTGTCCACCAGGTTCATTTGACTCTGGAAACAATTGCTTAATATCTGAACCTCCAATAAGATATTGTATAGAAGGATATGAAGTGGACCCAAGAACAGAGAAATGCAAGATTTCTAGCAAAAGACCAGCAGATACATTTTGTGAGCAACCAGCATTTATGAATATGAACGGTAATTGTGTTTGGACAGAAATCTCACCTAGAGTGTGTCCTCCTGAGTATGTAGAGGATCACAAAAATCCTCACTTTTGCAAAAAAGAAATAAGTGCAACTTTAGAGTGTCCAGAAGGATATCAACTTATTAGTAAAAAGTGTATCCGTGAAATTTTGTCTGATAAAGTACTTGCCTGTCCCGATGGTTATCAAATTAGTGAGGCGGATGAACAGTGCCACAAAATTGGTAAAAATGATCCAATATGTCCTACAGGCTTTCTGGATAGTGGAGATGAGTGTTTTCGTACTCTGAAACCTAAATCTCAGTGTAAAAGTAGTTTAGCAAGAGAACAAAAAAATGGAGATTGCATCAAAATAGATGTGTCAGAACCATCCTTAAAGTGTCCAGTTGGAACAACTATCAGAAATTCCGAATGTATACTTATAAAACAACTTCCTTTGCAGTATACTTGTCCTATTGGTAAGAGAGCAGGAGATTCTTGTTTTGAAGAAGTTATTCTTGATGCACAGTACAGCTGTCCAAATGGATCAGAGTTAAATGCTGCTAAGCGCTGCCAAAAACTAGTGGAATATGATTGTTCTGAGGTTAGCGTAGTAAATGGTTTATGTCATGGAAATCTTAATCTTCAGCATGGAATACTTTCATATGATAAAGTACATACAAGTTCAACGTGTTCGCAAGTTGTCCGCACTCCGAAAACTTGTATTAGAACAGAGGCATTTCAACCACAAATATCATGTCCAGAAGGAAGTATTACGATGGGTAAACATTGTATCAAGAAAAAATACTATCCAATGCAGAAAGAGTGCTCAGATCCATCAAGAAAAATTGATGAATGTTACTCTGAGGAGATTTTGCAGAAAGTACCAACATGTCCAGATGGGTCGAGCACCACTAGTGATGGGAAGTGTGCACTTGTACATAGAGAACCACCATCATTAGCATGTCTGGAAGAGTACCAAATGGATGGCGGAATTTGTATCCAAAAAGTACCGAAACTATGTCCGGAAAATGGATGTTACGTACATGATATTATCCAGCCTATACAAGAATGTCCAATAGGCTATGAAGATATTGATGGGTCTTGTATATTTAGAAGTAGCATCGAACCTATTTTCCATTGCAAATTTGGTGTATTAACTAATCCTACTAGGGGGATATGTCATGACAAAATCCCCAAGGGATGTATTGGTAATTGTGAGGTAGTTCATCATGATTTTCCAAAATTCAAATGTAACAAAGATGAGATATTAGACTCAAATACAAAGGAATGCATCCTTAATCAGTATGAACCTCATAAGTTGAAATGTAACGGACCATTTAAACTAGTTGGTGATCAGTGTATCCACTACACCTCAAAAGTGTGTTCATCAGAAAATTGTTCAGTCTCAACAGTAATTCCAGCTAGATATAGATGTACTAACGGAAATCTTCTTCCTAATGGAATATGTGAAACATATAAAGTAACACCACATCAATTAACTTGTCCAGAAAATTATGATCTTCATGGGGACAATTGCATGCAATTAACAAAGAAAATTTGTTTAAACAATGAATGCGAAAAAAAGATTGTTTATTCTCCAAAAATTGAATGTCCACCTTATTATGAGCTAAAGTCTGGGAAGTGTATAAGAAAAGTATCTCACTTACCTCAAACTACCTGTCCTGAAGGAAGTACTGCTTATAAGTCACACTGTATTATAAATGTAGAGGCAGAATGTCCCGCAAAAGGATGCATTTTAGTTGATCTCTTTGAGCCAGAGTCGAAGTGTCCAAATGGATTTTTGAAAAAAACTGAATCTCTAAATATAACTTGTTACAAAAATCTTTACAATTTAGGACTTCTTTCTTGCCCAAAAGGCTCAACTTTATCTGGGAATCGATGTACCATATATAAAGAAAAAGCTTGTCCAGAAGATAATTGCTCTAGAATTTCCCAGTATCCTCCTGAATATGTTTGTCCACCAGGTAGTGAACTAGTTAATACTTTTTGCAAGAGTAGTCATATAGTTCTACCAGAGTTGCACTGCCCAAATGAATATATATTAGTCGGTGATCAATGTATGAAAAAAGTGGAAAAGATCTGCCCACCAAGTGGCTGTTATCATCAAACAGTCATTGATGCTGAAATTACATGCCCATCAGGATACAATTTCTTAGATAATACATGTGTTCGCAATAAATTTACAACCCCCACAAATAAGTGCTCAGAGGGAACAAATTATATCGATGGAAAATGTCTTGTGTTCTATCCAAAGGAGTGCCCTGAAGGTTACTGTGAAAAAGTGATTGAAATAGATCCAAGTAAAAGTTGCCCAACAGGATTCGTTGACTTAGGGAATACCTGCCAAAAAATAGACTATGCTGCTCACAAACACTTATGTCCTAAAGGTACACAACATCGAAAGAACCATTGCTTAAGATATATAAAGCCTAAATATACCTGCCCAAATGTAAGTTTCTTAAAATTTACTATAATCTAGAAATTTTCTAATTGTTCATATTATTTATATTAGGGATTTGTTGAAGAAAACGAAAAATGTTTGAAGGTCGTAAAAACTGACGTTATGGTCTCTTTTGAGACTCATTGCGTTGGTTACAACTGTAGTAGCTATAATAATAATCGTACTAAGGTTCACAAAAAAAGTCACTAATTCTTTGGAAAATCTACCAGGAAGACGCTGCAAGACTTTTCACCAATATAAATTGCATGCACATATTTCCGTGGGAACCTTGGCGCAATAGATTAGCTAAGAAATAGTTTCATCACTAATATTCTTTTTAATAATGGAAAACAGAATTGAAGTTAGAAAAGCTGCATTAGAAAAAATATCAGAACGCCTGTTACAGGTATGTTCAATTTTATTACCGAATTAAAAGAGACTTTTATGTCCGTTGCGAAAAAAATTAGGAATTTGATGAATCTGAACCTGAAAATATTCCTTATTTCATAGTTGATTTTCTATGTAAAAACTATGGAGATTACCTCTGTGGTTTCGCTAAGATTTGGAATGGAGGTAATTTACTTGCTCATATTTTTTTTCGAATTAAATATTACCTTTTTTCAGAATTTGACTTTGAACAAGAAAGACTTGCAGTGATAGATTTCTTCAGATCACAATTAATTAATATGCAGGTTACTGCTGATTTCATTTCTGCTGGATATGATACGGTATGTATTTATTGCTTATTTTCCTATATTACAGAAATTTATCTTCTTATTAGCTTGAGTCATTATGTACAGTAACCCCAGATGATTTAGCAAACATTGAGAAGTTTTCTGAGTCTTCGTGGTTACCTGGTCACAAAATCAGACTTCAACAAATTTTTTCAGATATTGTTTCAAGGGTACAGCAGTGGCGAGATGAAAGAGAACGTGCACTTCAGAAACCATGTCAGCATCAGTGTACAACTCGAATGGTGGTAAGTGAGATAAATAGTAATAATCACGATTGCATTTATTTAATGGAGTTATCTTAGAACATGTCAGGCACTACACCCAAATTACCTGTGCTAACAGGAAACCCAAGCACATCATATTGTATGAGTTCTCTATCCCAGAGTATACCACGCTATTGAGTGTTCTCACTTGAAAATCTATTTAAATAACTCATAATTACATCCCTATATTTGCTGATGAGGATATTTACTTTGAGCTATATTAACTTTGCTTGTACTAAGTGATATATGAAAATTAACTCCACTTGAAATACACAGTTCTTCAATAATTGACCACATTGCATCTTTCATTTTCGACGGTAGCCATGCTATCTCAATAAAAATATCAATGAAAGGAAAAAGAATATCTACAACTAACTCTTTTGAAGTTTTATATCTTATATTTGAGTCCTCACTTTCCTTTTTTGGGGGGATTGATAGAAGAACTGAAGAAATATGAATTAAAAAATGACAAGCCATGAGACATTCCAGTGGAAGTTCACAGCTGATCAAGTTTGATTCACTCACTCTTTCAGGTGAGTGAGATACATCAAAACAACTTCTAAATGTAAAGTTTGATGCCATATTTGAGTATAATTTCGACTCTTTTGCCAACTCTACCCTATTTTTTGAAATATCACTGTTAATATCGTCTTGTTCAAAGATATTTTCTAGAGAGTTTATTAAACTATTGGATGAATTAGATAAAGTTGTTTTTCCATATAGGGAAAACATTTTATTTTTTAGCAAGTAAATGATTGGTCCAACTACTTGTCTACCCCATAAAACCACAATTTTATTGTGTATAAAGTTATCCACATTGTCAGATAGTGTTGCTAGATCTTCTTTATTTTGTTTCACATCTACTTCTGATACCAAGAGAGATTCTGTAAATTTGGTATGATGTCTTAAGTGATTATGTTGCAAAGTACCTGCTGGGGCAAATATTTTATCAAATGACAAATTTTCAGCAAGTATTGTCACCAAAGCAAGTGCATTTTGGAATACCTCAGTTACAAAAATGAAATCAGATGAACTTAAATGTTTTTTATTTTGTAGTTCCGGTTCATCATTATAATTTGAAATGCAAATCGAAGCGAGTCTTAAAAGTGTCTGATAAAAAATTCTCAAAGTTTGAGATTTTATTTGTGAAATATGGATTGAGTAGTCTGAAGATATGAATAAAACAAATGTACAACCAAATTCCATGATTTTCGCTAAATATCTATATCCAGAATCGCAACATATAAGGCATGGTAAAATATATTTCCCATTATATAGTTTATCAAGCTTTCTGTTAGGAATAAAGAAGTATTCGCTTTTACAGCACTGATCAAACAAAGCATGAATACACGAGTTACTTAATGCTAAAAATTCATCAAAAATAATCTCTCCTACTAGGTAGGGAATACATCTCTTAAAGGTTTCAGTTATTGAATACAATGTTATCCAAATAGGTTTTAATTCTTGTTTTAATGACTCAATATAAGCATATTGAATTGGAAATGTAGGAGATTTATAACTAGGTAATCTAGTTTGATCTTTTGCAAAACCCTGTGTCTTCTCTATTTTTTTTTCTCTCATAGTTTTCATACTTGCAAAATTTAATACATCGAAGTTATCAGCACTTCCAAAAGTATCTTGACTCTTATTTCCATCATTCAATATTGTCAAATTGTCTTCAGATACAAGAAAGTCGCTTGATCCGGGTTTAACCTCTAAAAAAATCTTTTTATATCTATCTTCAGATATTTCTGGAGCTATTCTACAACGAACATAATCAGAGGTGCTCTCTTCATGGTAACATTTTTCATAAGCAATAACTATAGATGAACAAGTACGGAATGCTGTAATAAGTGAAACTGTAAGAGACTTCAAAATCCTTGTACTCACTAAATTTTCAGATGCTAATTTTTGGTTGTGGTCGTTATGGATATCTCCACTTTTAGTTCCAAGAGATGCATAAAAATCCTTAGGTATGCAGAATCCATTTTTTAGATATGATTTCTTATATATATATAATGAACCTATACTTTCATAAGAAGTATTTGTTTTACCTATTGAAAAGTAGTCTAAATCATCAATAATCTCTTCATCTCCTACATTTATATCCTCATCTCTATCATCATTTTCATCATAATACCCATCTCTTGTTATTAGCTTGAAAAGGTTATTACTAATATGCTTCCTACCAGTTATCAGCTCCAGATTTTCTACATTACTAAGTGATTCATTAACTATATTTGTCAAAGCTGCTAGTACATGTTTATGAAAGGCTGGAATGAATAACAGGCATACCCTATTCTCCATTCTTTCTTTTCTTTCCATCTTCTTCCATGCATGACTATATCTCATCTTTAAGTCTCGCTTGCGTTTTTTCGTACATTTATCAAATTTATACATTACTGAATCTAAAGAAAAAGTGCAATTTGTAATCATCTCTGCAAGTTCTAAAGGAAGAGATGGAAAACTTCTAAAACTCAAATAATTGCAACTAGCTAGTAATTGGAGACTATTCAAGCTATATAACACATTATTTATTTTGAAATTAGGATTTTTGAGTTCTAAAATTAACTTCCATGGATCAGTTTCTATTGGTAAGTAGTTTGAGCGCATATTCAATATTCTACACTCTGCTTCAACTTCAGACCTGGCATCCAAGTAGTTTTTGTGTTGTTCAGAGTTATTTCCAATATAATATACAACATTAGGTTGTATAACTTTCATATCTATTAAATTATCTTCATTTGTAATTGCATAATTCTGGGGAGTTGGATAACTCATCTTTGTACTTTGTTTATCATTCGATGCTGAAGCAGCAGCAGATCTAGTTAGAGGTATATTATTAGATAAAGAATGGGAAGCATTCAATCCCAAGTTAGTAGTAATATATGATTGGTTAGGTACCAATGAGGGATTTGTTGAGGCAAAATCCACAGCCATTGTTACCTTAATACTCTCATCAAGGACCTTTTCATATTCACGTAACCAGTTAATATAAAATGATTTTATACCTAAACCTATTTTGTGATGTTCACCATCAGGAATAGGTATACCCATAGGCTTAGCAAAAACGAACCATCTTGAATTTTTGTTCACACGGGAGAAGCCACCACGCGAAATAATAAGAAGAAACATCTTGTATATATCTAAGGTTATACCAGCTACTTTTGGTGGCCTAAAAGCACGTCCCTGACTTTCATGAAATGCACGGAGGCCTTCAATAAAGGTTATTCTATCCATCTTTTCAAAAGCATTAAAGATATGGTTAGTTCTTTATTAGTAGAAATGGAGTACAGAAAGCCAAATTAGCGCCACACATCTTTTAAGAGAGTTTTTTTTCTGTAATTAATCTTAAAAGTATCAGATATCTTTATGAGTATAATAAAGGTATCTGTTCTTTTATAAATTAGAAAAGATTCTGTAGTAGCTACTTCAATTTTAGTCCAAAATTTTCCACTTACTGGCCACTACTCAGTTAGCCAGTAAGTTGTAGACTTTCTAAGCTATTAATAGTTGATCTAAGCTCTTGGTGCATTTTATAATGGAGATTACTTAGTACATATTAAAACATTAGCAGAACTATAATAAAGTTGAATTTAAATTGCAACATTGTTAGCAATATGAGCGCCACTTCTTGGTTCTGCATTATATTTGATTGACTAAATAGATATTTTTAAGTAATGGACGACCTAGAGAAAGCGATTTTAGCCATCAGTTCTCCATTAACTTCATCTTCTGATAAGCTGAAAGCGTTAGAGATATGTAATTCCGCTATTCTTTCCAATAATGGCTGGCAGATTTGCCTTCAGTATTTCATTTTGAAAGAACAGGTAGATGTAAGATTTTGGTGTCTTGGAAGTCTTGTAAAAATAGTGGAAGCGAATAAAATAAACACCTCTCTAGAAAGAGGTTTTAATATTGGTGAAGAAGAGCGCACTTCCCTACGTGACTCCATTATTCAATATCTTAAGGAAGGGATGAGTAAAAGAGATGAACCAAAATACATTCGTACAAGATTAGCCGAGCTATATGTTAACCTCATGTATATTGACTATCCAGGGAAATGGCCGTCGGCAGTGTATGATTTTGCTTCACTAGTTACTTTAAGGGAATGGATGCCTGACATGTTTATTCGAATTCTTAATGCTTTCGATAAAATCATTGTCAATGGCGATAATATACAGAACTCTTCAGATTTAGATATAAGAAGAAATATTAAAGATAAAATGCGTGAGAATGGTGATATAACTTTGATATTTAATACATGGGGCTTAGTTATAACAAAGTTTGATAGTTTGACTACATCCTATATTGGCGTAGATATACTATCACGATCTCTAACTGTAATGCAGTCATTTATTAATTGGATTGACATTTCTTATGCAATTAATAAAGATGTGTTAAATATAATATTTCACCTGTTAGACCCTGAGAAATCTCCAGTAGTTGCTGAAGCACTGGATTTTATTGCTTCGATTTTTATGAAAGGTATGATACCTAACATAAAGATTAAGCTATTCTTAGATATGCATATTGTAGAGCTGATTCAGAGTCATATGCCTCTTGATATATCAAATATCACAACCCAAAGGTTCTCTTCTAGTGTAGCACCAAAGTGGGGTCTAATTCAGAACTATGATATAATTACTGCAATTGAAAGAGACCCTTGCAAGAATTCTTATAAAAGTTTTTGCTCATTCCTACTTAGCCTACGGGCCCGCTGCATTTTGAGACTGTTAAATGAACTATTTCAATCAACCAAAGCTTTGGCAAAAGAGCTGAAAACAAATAATTTGCCAAATCGTGCAGATTACTTGGAAACTTTTTCTCAAGCTCTAAGCATTTTTGAGTTACTGATACCGATTTTAAGTGAAATTTTGGCTATTGATGATCTTAACTTTTTTGATGTTAAATCTGATGCATGCCGCCTTCTTAATTCATTTTTTTCAAGCCTAAAATCAGATATATATATTAATGGACTTTCAGTAAAATGGTATAGTCAAGTATTTCTTCGTCCTTTTTTATACAAGTTGTTATTTAATGTGTTAAAGGTATCTGAGAGATCTGAACAGTTCTATTATTACAGAAATGACAGTTATGAGATATCATCCGAATTGGAAGAAGATACTTCTAGCAACATTTTGAATACCCCAAAACTCTCCGATGTAGGAATGCTTTTTTCTTCTATTCTTGAACTAGACTCAGGATTGGTCTCCAATTTTATGGAAGTGATTATTGAACAAATTTTGAGTGGAATACAATCACTTAGTTTTTCTCAAGTTGATTCTGTTCTATTTTTACTATCAAAATTTGGGTTTGCAATATTAACTGAGAGGAAACGCTATTCAAGAGTTCGTAATGTTCTGAACAGCCAAAAATATGCTGAATTAAATACAACTTTAGTTAACCGTTACACAAAGTTTGTAAGTGAGATTCTGAATTACCCTCCTATAATTGGCTTTTCCTGCAACTGCAAAGATCCTGGTCAGAATGGTCTACATCCTGAAATATTTTTTCGTCGTTCTTTATCTAGTATATTTCGGTACTTTTATGAAATATTAGATCTACCTATCAACACTTTTTCTTTAACAAACCACCAAATTAATCGAGATATTGGGAAAATAATAGACATTTTTCTTAGTGAATATGGATTTTTGAATCGTCATCCTACTATTTCACTTGATGCATCGAAAGATATACTGCAGATTACTCGCTTGTATAGTGGTTTACCAACTGAACTTTACACTAAATATATTGATGCACTACAGTCGCATAAAGTTTTAAGAGGAATTTTTTCTCTTGTAGATAATCTAGATAAGTCTAACCCTCAAGTTCAAACAGCTGATAGTCATCTTCATTCAAAATCTTTAACAATATTATGCGAAGCGTTAGGAAATTTATTATATAATAGCTTTAAAGTCCAAAATTCCAATGTAGATAAACAACACATTACTGAGAAATACGAAGATATGATCAAGTCTTTATTAGCATGTGCTATGAGATTGCTAGAATATACTCCACCTGCAGGACCACTTATTAAACAGTATTTGATTAACTGGCAATACTCAATGGAGATAATCTATATGATAGTGTGTATAGCTGATGGAATGGCTGAATTTACTCCATATTTAAAACATATGTGGAGTGCTACTTTAAATATCATAATACTACTACTAAGTAAACCTCATATTGGATTCATAAATAACAGGTGGCAGTTACCAGTTTTAGCACCAGTTCATCGTCTTGCTCGTAGTATTAGTACTGAAATATTCAAGCATCTTGGCTCACTATGTGAAGCATATTTAAAACCTTTCTTAGACTTAAAAATTCACCCAAAAGAGTTAGAAAACTGTGACAATTTTGGTTCTCAGTTATTAAGTGCATGTGAAGAAATTTCACAACTATTGTGTCATATAATTTTAATGAATAACAACTGTGAAAAACTATCAGATTTCCTTTCTAGTTATTTTCCAATGATATTTTCATCAATGTTGCAACTTTGGTATAAATGTTGGCCAATAGAACTTAAAAATTCAAATCTTTTGTTCCCAATATCTTTGTATCAAGAGCTGATTTTCTCGGAGAATTACCACCACTATCGTTATGGAATTCAAATGGCAATTTTAAAAATAATCTGTGCTATATCAAGGAATAACTCTAGTATTAGTGTACTATTTTTTCTTCTATTAGATACTTCATCATTCAAAAATACAAGAAATATACTTGAAAATATTATTTTAGATCCAATAAATGTAACATTTCCACAAAGTATGAGAACTTATTCGAATATTCCACAAGAAATCTTTGCATATAGAAGATTATTGTTTGAAATTGAGAATCCATTACTTATTTTTATTGTGATATCGCTATTACCGACACTTGGAACGCCTGCTCAGTGGGTTATTCCAATATATACTGATTCGCAGAGTAAAGAATACACGCTGACAACTTATTTTAATGACTGCCAAAGGACTACTTTTGAAATATTGACTCGTATATATACTGTTTTCTTAGAAAAATATAATTCACTAAATTTGAGGGTAGAATTAAGAAATCTTTTAACTAAAAAACTGGAAATATTGATGATATTTATTTGGTTTTCAATATTAGATACTGATATAGATGATATAAACATGCTGGAATCACAATTAAAATTACTAAGTCTTTTAGTAAGAGGCTTAGATACACAGTGCATACTAAACAGGGAGTCTATAAGAAACAATTTAAACAATATTAGAACTGAGAATACAAATGAGGTAACAGAATTTATTTCTTCTGAGGCTATCTCTGAAATAAGAAGATTGGTTATTTTAGGTACAAATATTGCTCTGTCACCTACTGGCAGATCGAACTTAAATGATTTACCTTCCGAAGTAACCTCATTCATAAAGCGATGTGTGACTATATTTCGGGGATATCACTATTATACAACAGTAATATCTTCCCCAATATCAGGATTTATTAATGAAGCCTTATTTTTCTTGAGCAATGCAACTAATAAGGATACGGTTTCTGTTGAAACTTTGAAGTCCTTTGTTGAAAGATTTCAATGTTATGTCAAACAGGTGTTATCTATCTAGTTCTTTTTTCTCTCTAATCCCCTAAATATACAAATTGATAAATATAGATTAGAATAACTTAAATAAATAAGATATAATGAGACTTAAACATCTATTGTATGCTCTAAATTAATGTAAACATCTACATCAATTGAAGGAGGAGATACTCCAAGGTGATCACATAATGACATTGGATCTATCATTTGTGTGCCATTGTAAAAAATCCTAATATTCTTAGCAGTTATACCTTTTCTTTGACCTATTAGTAGCTTGACATATCCAACTTCAGTTGAAGATTTAACAGACAACTCCTCAACTTCACTTTGATACTGAGGGAAGTTTAACTTGAGTGTAAGATTGGCACCATGCATTACCTCTTCTTCCTCTCTCTGTAACTTTTCATTGTTAGGTGGCAGTTTCAATCCTGCATCACACATCTTTTGCACTCGTTTATTTTAAGAAAAAGGCTAATTTGGTACTAGCGCTTTAAATATTGAGTGTCTTTATTATGGATACTTTTGTTTCGTGGTAAAAAGTTGGATTGATGCTACTAGAAAATATTGTACTATGAATATTTTCAATCGAGTATCTGCTAGATTCTCTGTTTCAAAGGCTAAGTGAGTTTTATTATTATTACTTTCTTATTTTTAACTAGTATTTAATATACATTATGCATGTCTCAGAAATATTGAAAGACCACGGCTTGTTATCATCAACAATAGACAAGTACATAGCTTTTCAGGGAATTTCATTAAAACATCAAGATATACTATCGTCAATTTCGTACCAAAGTACCTATTTGAACAATTCTGTCGACCTGTAAATTTCTATTTTCTAATTATTGCTATATTGCAAATATTTCCATCAATTACTACTACTAATAGTGTTCCTACTCTAGCATTTCCCCTAGCATTTGTATTAATTATTGGGGCAATTAAAGATGGTTGGGAGGACGTAAACAGACATAATAGTGATCTTCTTGAGAACGAAAGAGATGTCATTCGTATACGACGATTAGGATCACCAAATTTTTTCCAGCATAGAGTGATTGTCCATACTGGCTTAACTGGTAATTCTATAGGAACTCCAGACTACTCTCCACCTATTTACCAACCGGATATAAGTGTGCACCAAAAGATGGAATCAATTTTAGATCATCGTATGTCTTGGAAGCTGGCTGATTTTGGATATATTGAGGGAATAGAAGACTCTGTCTCTCGAGATTTGAAGGTTGGTGATATTGTCCTTATAAGAAATCATGAAATAGTTCCAGCGGATGTTGTCTTGTTGACTAGTTCTTCTGATTCAGGTGAAGTCTTTCTGGACACATCATCTTTAGATGGAGAGTCTAACCTGAAAAGACGCTTTTCACACAAGAGTTCATCAACAATTTTAGGATTTAATATTGAGACTGCAGTTAAACGTGCATGCATGCTTGAAGGTTTGATTGAGTGTTCACAACCTGGTAAGGATTTGCATATTTTTGATGGCACTGCTATAATCCGTTTACCTCCATCTGCTATTGAATCTATCAACTATAGTCATAAAACTGTCCAGTTTCCAATAAACTTGGATAATTTAATTTTACGTGGCTGTATTTTACGTTCAACAGAATGGGCATTAGGATGTATAGTATATGCTGGGCATGAATCAAAAATTCAGATGAATTCTTTAAAACCTCGAAAAAAGATGAGCAATGTTGATAAGCTAACAAACAAGATGGTTTTACTGGTTCTGGTATTTCTATTTACTCTTTGTTTAACTGGTGCTCTTTTAACTCAGCATTATATGAGTATTAATTTCTTTGATAGATATCCTTATCTGGGGTATTCACCTGAAAATGAAAGTTCCTTCCGTGCAACTGGTCAAGCTGTAAATCCCACTTTTGTGCCTCTGATTAGGTTTTGTACATGGCTCGTTCTACTAGCAAATATCATTCCAATTGCCCTTATTGTATCTATGAAGATTGTAAAGGCAATTCAAGGTTATTTTATTTCAAAAGATAGAGCAATGTTCAATGCAATAAGAGGAACATATGCAGCCTCTAGAAATTCAGATTTAAATGAGGATCTGGGACAAGTTAAATATCTCTTTTCTGATAAAACTGGTACATTGACAAGGAATATCATGGAGTTCAGAGCTATATCAGTCAATGGAATTAAGTATGGAATGGAACACTTTAATGAAAATGAAATATTTGAAAGTCCGATTCCTCAAGTTAATTTCTACGATGACAAAATTTTTGAGCATATATCTAAGAATAAACTTCAGAGAGACAAAATCGGTCAATTTTTGCTAAATATTGCTGTTAATAACTCAATAGTAATAGAAAACCAAACTGAAATATATAAGGAGCTACTTAAGCATAATCTTGTATCCACAACTTTGGATGATAATTTAAATATCCCTATGATTGAAGATGAGGAAGTGCCAGAGAGCAATATAAAAGCAAGAACAATAAAGTCAATACCTTTTTTATTTACAGAAGATGTAGAAGACATTTCCTCAGAGTTTATATCTGAAAAGAATATGCCAGTTATTAATTGTAAACCATTTTACTCAGCTCAATATTCTGATGAAGCAGCACTATGCTACGGTGCTCAGTACTTGGGAGTTTCATTACTGTGTATTCATCCATTAACCAAAGATCTTATTGTAAATATATTCGGACATTTGGTATATGTTGAAATTCTTGCAATTATACCCTTTACTAGTGAAAGAAGACGGAGCAGCGTTATTGCTCGTATAAAAAGTGAATACCGAGATCCTGATTCTATAGAGGATACAGATCAAGAAAGTTTCTCCTTGTTTCAAGATAGAATTGTAGTATTTTGCAAAGGTGCAGATTCGGCTATTAAACCTTTATTAAGCTGTCATGATTCTCTGAATTGCAAACTGGACTTTAAAGCTGGTGATGAAATGGCTAGTGTTGCTCTCAGAGTTCTCTGTATAGCTCAAAGAATTATATCAGAAGAAGAATTTGTTGCTTGGTATGAGAAATATTCTGCTGCATTAAACAGTGTAGAATTTAGAGATGAACAGTTGTATAAAGTTACAGAGCTCATTGAGCGAGATCTTGAACTACAAGGTGTCACAGGAGTTGAAGACAGGCTTCAGGATAATGTTCCCGAAACTATTAATTGCTTAAGGGAAGCAAATATAAGTGTATGGATGCTTACTGGAGATAGAGTTGAAACTGCAAAGGAAATAGCGAATTCTGCAGGTTTAATAACCTCAAATAATATGGTTTTTGAGTTAACACAGAAAACTTGTTATGACACAAGACAAACAAAAATACTTTTATTTGAAATAGGGAAATCTCTTGGTATTTTTTCAAATCGAAAAGATTTCTCTTGGAGAAATAATTTATTAAATTGGTTCACTAAGGATCAAAAAAGTGAAATAGAAAAATCACAAACCTCAATGGTAATTGAAGGCACCGTTTTAAATGAAGTTTTATCTGGTTCTATTACTAATACAGAAGAATTAGAACGAAATGAAGGTATAGATGAGTATGAGAAGGTTTGTTCATCATTATCATCAGTGGAACAATACCTCATTAAATTATGTTGCTTGTGTCATACTGTAGTTTTCGCTCGTTGTACACCCTCACAAAAAGGTCAAATCATCCGATTTGTCAGAAAATATATGAATGGTGTTACTCTTGCAATTGGAGATGGTGCTAATGACTGCAATATGTTGCAAATGGCAAATGTTGGTGTTGGAATTCGTGGTCTTGAGGGAAATCAAGCCTTTTTAGCTTCAGATTATGGAGTTACTATGTTTAAAGATATTCAAACACTTCTTTTTGTTCATGGGAGGCTTGCATACCGCAGAATGTGCAAATTAGCATTATATATGTTCTATAAAAATTTAACAGTTGGTATACCTATCTTTATTTATGGATATTTTAATATGTGGAGTGGAACTCGTTTATATTATGATTATTGGTACCAAGTCTACAATGTTTTGTTCTCTTCAGTACCTATAATCATAATTGCACTTTTTGATTTCGATGTCACAAAAGAGGAGTCTCTCAGTTCACCTAAAATATACTTATGTGGACCAATGAATGAGCTTTTGAACTTGAGAGTTTGTCTCATTTATCTTCTTACATCAATTTGGCACTCATTCGTAGTTTTCTTTACTCCATATATACTCTTTAGTTTCAATAGTACCAATATGTTTGGATCAACTCAGTCAGTGGTAGGTGCAACTATTTATTGCCTTATCATCATTACTGTTAATATTAAGGCACTATTAATGGCTGATCATATGCACTATTTCTTGGGTTTTGGCATATTTTTTTCATTTCTTAGTTGGATATGTTGCTTATTTGTATGCAGTTCCTCTTCAACTATTGGAAGTGATGTACTTTCACTATGGATACCCCTTGGTTGTAATGTATTTTTGTGGATTTCTCTTCTTTCTGGTTTAAGTTTTGCATTGTGGCCTGACTACTTTGTTGGAATTATTTCTAGACGGAATTATTAATATAATAAATAAAATTTACTGCATTAAACTATAGCACATAATTTACTTTAATGTATATAACAGATTTATGGTTTGACTTAATTCTTAACTTTGCTGCATGCTACAAATAAATCTAATTGGCGCCACAAGTTCCATACTTCTCTTTATCCTGTTGCCTCCAGTTAATCTTAAGCAGAAGTCTATGTCAGATAAATACAATCAACATAATCCTACTTATGGACAGATACTTCCTAGTATGACACTAGTAGCTGATGACGGTGACGATATAAATCCCCATATACCCCAATTTATTGCGAAAGTTCCATGGTATTTAACTCAGGAAAAGAAAACTTTGCAACACCAACGATTGGTTAAGTTTTCTGAGGATATGGGCTGTGATTCTAAGGTAAAAAGGGGAACAAAAGACACTAAGCCAATCAAATATCGTAAAGGAGCCTGTACAAACTGTGGAGCCTCAACTCACAAAGTTGTAGACTGCTTAGAAAGAACAAGAAAAAGAGGTGCAAAATGGACAAATACAGACTTATGTGCAGACGAACATATTCCACAAAATTGTATGAAGGAAAGAAATCTAGATGCAAAGAGAGATAGATGGAATGACTTTGATCCTAGAGATTACAAATATGTAATTGAGGAATTCGAGGCTATGGAAAGATTATCTAAAGAAAGGAGGATGAAGAAAATTGAAAAGATTTTGTCTAATGATCATACAAGCTCATTAGAGAGTAGTATAGACTGTAAACACAATAGTTTTAATAGTTACAACTTAGATGACGATACTGTGATTAAAGACTTTGATGACAAAACATTTGGTAATAAAGATGATAAAACAAGAACCACTATAAAGAATTTAAGAATACGCGAGGATACTGCAAAATACCTTATAAATTTGGACACTAACTCGGCATTTTATGATCCAAAGAGTAGATCAATGAGAGGTAATCTTGTAAAAGATTCTTCTAATTTTTCACAAGATGTATATCAAACATCAGAAGAACCCCTCAAAATCATTAAAATGGAGGCATTTGCATGGCACAAATACAAGCATGGTGAAACAGTTCACTTACAGGCTCAGCCTACTCAATTAGAGATGCTTTATAAAGAGCACTTAAGTAGGGCAAATTATGAAGCAAACACTGTACGTAATAGATTAACTGACTACTATGGAGGAGCTGAATATATTATAATGAAGGATAGTTATCAACAGACAAAATTAGGAGATTATTTTGAAGATAATAATGAGGACGTTTTAGAACATTCTCATAGTTGGAGGTATTCAAATTCCAAATACGTAGAGGATGACTATATTGCAGATCATTCATCTGTATGGGGTTCATATTATGATATTCACTTAAAGAAATGGGGTTTTCGTTGCTGTAGGCAAACAAATAAACTCTTATCTTGCTCTAATGTATAATCTTTTTTTACATATTCTCTTAAAAATGTACTAGGAAATCTAACATTTCAACATACTTAAGCTGGTTTAAGCGCGAGGCACGTTGACCGCAGATTAACAATCCGGAGTGTTCTTTGAATTTGGATTCTCAAAAGTAATGAACTCTCCAAGCTCTTTATCTTCAGATAGTAGTGACTGGGATAACAATTGGGATATCCAGTATAATATCCCTATTTATTGTGAGCATAGAATCCAAGGAGATTTAATAACTTCTTGCCACTGGTTATCGTCTCATAATGATAGAGAGTCTCTAGATCCAAATTATTCCTCAAAAAACTATGAAGAATTTAAATTACCTGAATTCATTAATCCTATTAAAACAGTTCCTGGGCAATATATAGAGAATGATTACCAAGTTAAATATGAAGATAGCGTAAATTCAGTTACTGACAACTCAGGGGAAACAACTTTTGCTAGTATATCCATCCCATCCTGTGCTACTCATAAATTGCAGTATTGTGCAAGGTTATTCATGGAATATATGGAAGAAGACATATCAAAACTCATGTGGTCTGTTGAACAGCAGTTTCAGGAATGTGTTATGACAAAAGACTCAAAAAGACAAAGAAACCATGGATTCAGCTTGGAAGAAATAGCTGAAATAAATTCAGTTGAACAGAAGAAGTACAAACTTCACATTATTATAGGGATTTTACAGCATATTGCACTCATGACAGAGAAAATAGCTATGGTTGAACTCTCAAATGCTAAAGATGAGCTAGAAAAAGTGCGTTTTTTACGTTCCAATATTAGTGAAGCTTTTTTGAAACTTCAAAATGAAAATTCTGTTGAAGAATCTATTGTTTCTGATTATTTAAAGTGGTATGATTTTCCAAGAAGTAATATTGAGATAGGTAAAATCAGGAAAAGCAAGCGAATTCAAGCGAAAGTTCTTGAGGAAGAAGCAAATGCCTGTGATTCTACTCCAAAAAGTGAATTACTTCATATACACTCAATACAAGATGAAACGAATCAATATTGTTTCTGCAAACTCAGTGTACTAGATAATATGATTAGATGTGAGTCAGGGTCTAATTGTATATTTGGTGTTTGGTTCCATTTCATGTGTGTCAAAATATTTAGTGAGCCGCAAAGTGCGTGGTTTTGTCCTGGGTGTATAAAAGATGAGAATTATCGTCCTTTATGGGAACCTATATTAAGGAAAGTTCCCAATCTCAATACCTGTGTTTCAAAAGGTAGTAGTGAATCAATAAAATTAGAAGAGATTCAGATACCAAATATTCATAAAAAGAAATCTACTGAACGAAAAAGAAATAGAAGTTTGGATGGTTGTACTAGGAAGAAAAGTTCTAAAATTATTAATAATTTGAGATATAAGACAACCAAATTTGAAAGTCAAAGGGAATATTCTGGTTTATCTGTTGATAAGCTTGATAGAAAGAATCAATCATCATTGCAAGAGTTTGTATTAAATGTTACTCGCCAAGGTCCTGACTCTTTACAAGCAATATTGAAATGAAGTATAGAGCCTGTTTTCTTTCTATTTATACCTGTAAAGTCACTTTTAAGGCACAAATCATAGCGAGATTAATTAGATACTACCAATATGGGCTCATGCTATATAATAATAGAATTTGCAATCCTCGAAAGGATTTATACAAGGAGCACCAATTTAAAATTTACTAGACAGTTAATTTTTATTACGTCTCGAGGTAAACACTACTATAATTCAAGGTCAGTGTGAATTTACTACTTGTCACTTTCTCAATAATCTCTTAAAATTCATTAGTTCATTCAAAGATAGGAAATTACACCCCACCAAGTTACATGTTAAAACTCTATTTCGATTGAGTCAATTAAATAATTTCTTACTTCTGTCTACTTCTTAGAAATGAACGAGTGTATATATATATATATAAAGTATAATTAGTGGCAAATTTGAATCTTTGCCAACTAATTGGTTTTAGTTTCGGTAGAACTTATTCACAATCAAGTTTGAAAATATCTCCTTAAGTCAATATTACCGGTTTTTGCATGTCGCATGCAATATTGCTTCGTACCGGTGTTCTCCAGATGCAGTAACTGCAACTTATACTTAGCTACTATATTAAGAATATATCGATGGATTTGTAACTTTTTTTGTTGTAGTGTGAAGGTATCTATTTTACTGACATTCATTCAATCGGGAGTATCTTTAAGAGAAATGAGACGGAGGGAATTATCTTTTTTAGTCATATTATGCTGTATACTAACATTTACTGATTGTATAGTGCAGAGTGATTCAAATTACTATTTCTTTAGAGCAGCAGAATCTACATCTACACTAGTAGGAACATCTTATAATGGAGAATATGATGCAGTAAATGCACTCACGCCTAGTAGTAGTGAATGGCGTTCTGCAAGTGGATTAACATCAGATCAACAAGTAATCTTTATGGCAAACCTTCCTGCAACTGCCAGGGTTATTGGTATAAAAATTATTTGGAGTTTTAGTCCGAAAGAAACGCAAATTCAAATATCCCCTGATGGTATCAATTACCATATTGCTATTCCATTCCGTCACGCAACACAAAATTTAAAAGAGTACACTGAAGATTTTATATTTGATCATTCCCAAGACATTAAAGCTATAAAGGTTCAAATGAGAAGTAATATAAACGAGTTCATTGGAATTAGACAAATTGTTGCAATAGGAAATGGATCACCTCTTGCAATGATAATATCTGGTATAACTGATCCAAAAGGTGATAATTGCCTACAAGTTTCTGGTGGCAGAATTCAACAGGAATTTGCACCAGTTGAGTTAGATTCATGTGTTTATGGTATAGCAGCCGGAGATGGCCGTGAACTGTGGAAGATTAGACCAAATGGCCAAATTGTCAGCGCCCTAAGTAATCCTCCAAAGTGCCTAGCTGTTGCAAATGGTGACTTATCTCATGAATCTCCACTGGTAATTCAAGATTGTGAATTAGCAGAACAGGCTCAAGATGGTAGATCATATTGGGATTTTAATGATTTCTCTCAGTTGCATGTAAAAGGAACAAATGCATGTATTTATCAAAAAAACGTAGTTGGAAATAGTGTTGGTGTGACTATATTACATCTTAATGGAACTGCCTCTTCAGTTATGGATGCACTGCATCTACCTGAGTCTGCTTTTGATGGAGATATTGCAACTTATTGGGTTTCTGCTGCATTTGATGACGCATCAGAACATAGGGTAGCGATGGATTTATCAACTGGAAGTAAGTATGAAATAAGAAATATTCGAATAGATTGGGAATTCCCACCAATTTCATATGCAATTGTTGCCAATATAGATGGAAGTATAACAGAAGTAACTAGAGTTGAAGGTAATCCACTGAACATAACTTTAAATGATATGGGGGGTATTACTACCAGTCATATTAGAATAATAATGGAAAAACCACATCCTCGATATGGAAAATTTTCAGGCAAATATTTATATGGAATAAGAGAAGTTGAAGTTTTAACTAATAACTTGAACTCAGTTATAACATTTTGCAAAGATGCTGCAACAAGTAATGATGCTAGAGATAAATATTTTTTAAATTACGTTGAAGAGTTTAATGCAAAGGCATCTGATATGGTTAAGAGTGCAGTAAGAGATGTACTATTAAGAACAAGGAATCTTGGGTCTTTAAGTGATAGAATAAATATATTATTACCCTCAGTTGAAGAGTGTTATTTTGAAAAAAGAGATTATCTTGATAGATTAGAAGAATATAGAAGTGAAGCAAAAAGGCTTACAGAAGAGCTGGAGGTAATTCAAGGAGATAGTACAGAGTATTTAGAAAACAGACAAATGGGTGATGTATTTACTATTCCAGCTGAAGATTGTTATGCAATAGCTGCAAAAAATCCAAGTGCTGTTTCAGGATTTTACTGGATTTTACCTCGATGTGCTCCTGAACCATTAAGAGTGTGGTGTGACATTAAGCATGGTGCTTCTTATTACATTTGGAATAATAATGCTATACCAGGAATGTCAACATTTATCTCATCTGTTTCAGATATAAGACGTTCTTGTTCTCAAGTTGGTTTGGAACCACTAGTGCTACATAGTGCAGAACAAATTACTAATATAAGAATAGCTTTGAACAAAATGGGCTTTAAAATAACTGAAGGTAGTGGCATACCACTAGCTGTTGATTATGGCTGCAATCATGGAAAATGTTCCGGGTCATTCCAAGATTTAAATGATGGAAGTAATGACTTGTCAAGTTTGGTTTTATCACTTGCTTCACCTGAATCAACAGCTACATCATTATTCGGAAATGACGCAGTTGGTCTAGGATTCAGTGAACATTACTTGAGTTTTTTTGACTTAAAAACCTCAGATATAGTTGGAATAGTATGTTCAACAAATGTCCTATTAAGTCAAAAGCAAATAAATCATGTGGATATTGATTGTAATACAGTTGCATACAAAAACCCCATTTTTGAAGGACCAATAAATACTAATATTGTTGTACAGTGTCCACCAGGTTGCTCAGAATATGATACTCCTGTATTCGGTAATAATGGGTTATACTCAGAAAAGAGTTCTGTATGCCGTGCTGCTATCCATTTTGGAGTGATTTCATCGGAAATAGGTGGAATATTTAGTGTTGGTTTAGAAGGACCAAAAAATTCTTTTGATAGCTCATTAAGGAATGGTATCAACTCCAAAAGCATTGCTGGAAGTCCTAATAGGAGTTTAAGAGTCGGTCCAATTGCTAAAGATTGCCCGATAGATATATTTTCAAAATCACCAACTGCATTTTATCAAGTAGGATTTTCGAATACCTTACAAGACAAAAAATATGAATCCTTACATACAGAGACAACTTTACATGATGAACAATCATTTATTAAAAGAAATACGTTTGAAATAATTAATACAAATCCTTATATTGCAGATATTTTGAGAGAAGCCTTAAACTATATTGACGAATCTTATGGAATAGATCCATTGATAACTACAGCAACTCAGGAACAATCAATGGTAGCTGCTACAGAATTGAAGAAAAGACTTAAGCCAGTCGAGTCCTTAGTGAAAAGTCAATCACCAAAAATTTTAGATGTAGTTAATGAAGTTGATGATATAGCAAACGATCTACTGAAGGTAACAGGAGTATATCAGTCAATTCTAAAGGAGTTAATTGATAAATTAGATGATGCGGAGTCAATTCACTCTTCTCAAATTGGCTTTCAAAGCTTTAAATTGGACTATAAGGAAATGCCATTTGAACATACATTTTTGGTCTACGATATGCCAAGGACACAACGAGGACCCAGTGACTGGGGATACACAACTACTCCAATAAATGGAAGATCAAAAGTTTTAGGTCAAAATTCGCCAATATCTGGATACTCAAATCATTCTCCTAGAGGTACATATGTACAAGTGAAATATAGGAGATTTTTTGATTTTGATTTTAGTGTTGATGTATATCCTCCTATATCTGGGGTTTTTGGAATTGGATTTAGAATTCGTGATTTTTCAAATATGTATCTGCTTGAATTTAATCAAGAAGAAGAAACTGTGAGGTTAATACGTATGAAAGATGGGATAACATATATTTTAGATGATCAAAGTCTTAGTTTAAAGGAGAAGGAATTCTCTACAATAAAAATAACAGCTCAACGAGATCGCATATATATATTTATTGGTAATGTAAATATGAAAGTTTTAGATGAAGGACTATTGTCAGGTACAATTGGATTTTATAGCAATGGAGTTGCAGGTGGTGTTTACTTTGACAATATTGAAGTTCGTGCAATGCCATGCAAGAAATTCTTCTTTTCTTCTCCACCTAGGTCTCCAAGATGTTCTAACTTTAAGCAATGCTACTTGTCAACTTTAGAATCAAATTTTGATACTAAAAATCAAGGAAATAACTGGGAGTATAAAAAATTGTATAAAGGAAGAGCAAATGTATTGATGCAATCTTCACCACTTGATACTAGAATAATGTTAAAAGAGTCACACACATGTAAAGATGGATATTTTTCATTTGACTTTTACCCAACTTGTGGTGAGGGCGTAGTTTATGGAATATTTCGTTATTTAGATGGAAATAATTATCACAAACTTGAGATTAGGCATAAAGAAACTAAATTACTAAAACAAGAGGATGGATATGAAATTCAATTAGCATTATCTAGAACTGGATTCTCTTTAGACAGGTGGAATACATTATTAATTAATTTTGAAAAGGAAGTAATCTATATATATAAGACAAGCTATAACGGTGATAATGAACTTTTACTTGTAGCCAACTCCAACACTACAAATAATGAACATGGAAGAATTGGCATTGGTTCTTCAAATTGCGCAAATGTAGCATTTGATCATTTATCTATAAAACCATTCTATGTCAACATTAGGAATGATCATTCGGGATTAAAGCAGGAAGATGAGGAATCAATCTATTCATCTTGCATAGGTAAAAGACACACTCTGGAGAGGAAGGGACATTGTGAAACAATATTTCACAAATCTCATCAAAAAGTATCATCTTGTTTGAGTAACTACTGCTCTACATGTTGCAACTTCTATACAAATATATTAGATAAAAAGTACTACGACAATTGCAATACAAAGTGCTCCGAAGATAATTTGACTGTAGAGGATTCAGTCCGCAATCATGTATTATTATTGGCAAAGTGCCTCTCCAGAACAGGGAAAAGTTTTGACTTGTGCTCAGAGAAAGACAATTCATGTGCAAAAAATATCTGTGATCTGTGCTGTGAAAGTTCAACCAACAATATGAATGTAGATATACATCGCACTGTAGTATCTGATTGTCAAGCTCAGTGCTATTATAAATTTGGAGGAAAAAATGAATAGTAAAAAAAAGACTAAATAAAAATTAAATATATAGTGAATACTATTGAAAACAAATTTGTCTCCAGTTTTCTTTCTATTTCATCTGTATAATCCTACATGTGTACGTATTGTCTTTTAACTTATTGATACTTCTAAACCTACAAATTTTGGAGAACTAAAAATTTGATACAATTTACATCTCTTTGATTAATGCCATCAAATAGAAAATATAAGGAACTGAGCGAGGATAACCTTGTAAATTTCTTACCAATTTGGGAGGGTAAGTATTCTTATTTTTTACTTAGAATTTCCAAGATATAGAACTGAATATAGTATTGCACAAGATAACTACTTTTATTCTAAAATTTTGCAGCTGTAACTTCTTTTAGAGAGAAGGTAATCTAATAGGTACACATCGAGTAGCTGATGTATGATTGATTCACTTCTATTTATCGATAAACTTAGAATATTGCTCCAGTAGACATTTATGGATGTGAGACATTTGGTAAGTGTTGAGAATTACATTAAAGAAGATATATATCACTTTTGAATAATCTGATTAGCTGATATTAGTTTACCAGATGATGAACGGGTAAGTAAGAGTAAAAACAATTAGTAGTATGAACGAAAACTTACGTAGTTTTCTTTAGCACTTCCATATCTTGGTTTCTACCCTTCTTTCAAGTCAAACAAAGGATGAATCTACAGCTGCTTGTATGAATCGTTTGAAGAAACATGGGTTGACTCCTCAGATAATATGTGAAATGTCTATAGACTCCTTGACGAAAATTCTTTATGGTGTTGGTTTCCACAATAATAAAGCAAAATACCTAAAGGAAGTTTCTAAAATAATTATTGAAAGCTATTCAGGAAAAGTTCCTGACAAATATGAACAATTAATTAGCCTTCCGGGGATAGGCCCCAAAATGGCGAACTTAGTATTACAGACTGTGAGTTTATAATATTTATTTCACCTTCAGTAATTCAGTAATTTACAATATTTATAGGCTTTCAACAAGGTAAATGGGATTTCAGTAGATACCCATATGCATCGCATCTTCAATCGTATTGGGTGGGTAAAAACTAAGTCACCAAATGAAACAAAATATCATATGGAAAAGAGGCTACCTCAGTAAGTAAAGTCCCTAATACAAGCTTTGTTAAAGCATCTTATGTACTTCTTCATCTCATGAAGTTCCTATTGGAGACTTGTTAACAAGGTATTTGTAGGGTTTGGACAAATAATATGTAGACCAGTTAATCCTAAGGTAATTTAAACGTAGCATGTAAATATATCTATCCTAATGCTCAACTATTTCTTCAGTGCAGTGAATGTGTCATCAGGGCACTTTGCTCTCATGGACGAAGAAGGCATAAAACAGGTACTATAGAAATGAAGTACGAATAACTTCTAGAATAATTAGTTAATATTCTCTAAAGTGTAGACCTAATACTACTTTGAGTATCTATAGTTTCTGATGCTCCTGAGTCTGCAAATAGTACAGCATTTTGATTTGGAACGCTGGTCTTACTGCCTATGTCATGCCAAGCTGGATTCACCTCGTAATATCTTCTTATACAATTCTCTTTTAAGGGGTATACACTGTCTTTCACAACTTCTTTTGTAACTATCAAGGCAGTGCGGAATTGATTTCCTAACAACTTTTATCAATATTAATATCAAATTTTCCTTTGCCAACAGCTCGTAACTTACCCCAAGTCCATTTAGTATAGTTTCAAAAGCTACTCCACATGTCCCCTTTTTCTTATCAGAGGTCATTGATTTTTAAGTACCATATTAAATCCATTCAAATGATCGCTTTGTATAAGACATTAGGGGGGTTCACGTACACGTCGCACATGCATTTTCAATTATCCATGATCTACAATTATTTTTGTTGATACGTAGATCAATTATATCAATAGTAATTCTAAAGGTATACCAATTAAAAAAAAAAAAGTTTTTAGCTTTGTAAAAATAGAAATGAGTAACATCTAATTTCTTTCAATCTAAGCCTTATTTACTCAATATTATACTACATATTAGATTTTATCTGACCTCGGAGGTCCTAATAATTTAAATTCTGCAATCAAGTCACTAAGGATCATATTGCGTTGGGAAGTTGAAGAGTCACGAGATCTAACAGTGATAGATCCACTTTTCGCCTCATTTTCACCTACTATAAGCATAAAGTTCCACTGTAATAACTGAGCCTCACGAATTTTTCTATTAATTGTTGAGCTGCTGTAATCTGCACCTACATCATAGCCCATGCAGCATAGTTCACTTTCAATTGATTTGGCATAGTCATGGCTCTTCTCAGATATAGGAAGTACTATTGCTTGTCTTGGTGATAGCCAAAATGGTAATTTCCCACCTGTATTTTCTAAGATAACAGCTACCATTCTCTCTATACTACCTAGAATGGCTCTGTGAATAATAACTGGCCTCTTGTATCCTGGTTTGAGTTCCTCATCCAAGTTATGATCACCTCCTTCAGTAAGAATATTATCATCAGATCTATACTGAAGATTGAACCTAATTGGTAGCTGAAAATCTAATTGAATAGTACCACATTGGTGAGGACGTTTAAGTGCATCCCAGAGCATAATATCAATTTTCGGACCATAAAAAGCACCATCTCCTTCGTTCACTTTCCATTGGTAACCCGTTCTATTCAATGCAAGTTTTAGTGAGTTTTCAGCATCTTCCCATTTCTCACGAGTTCCTAAGTGTTCTTTTGGCATTGTACCAAGATATAGGTTGAATGAAAATCCCAATTTATCATAGACAAAAAACAAAAACTCGAGTGCAGCAAATACCTCAGATTGGATTTGTTCAGCTGTACAGAAAATATGAGCATCATCCTGTTGAAATCTCCGAACTCTAGTTAACCCATTTAGGGCTCCAGATAATTCATTGCGATGAAGCACACCAAAATCTGCCATTCTAATTGGTAGCTGTTTGTACGATGGGTTCATATGACGAAAAATAATACAGTGACCAGGGCAATTCATAGGTTTAAGACCCCATTCCTTTTTTTCTACTTCAAAGAGAAACATATTTTCCTTGTATGCAAAGTAATGACCCGATGTTTTCCATAAATCACAACTGAAAATATTCGGTGTAACTACTTCTTCAAAACCACGTATACGATATTCTGATCGGATAAATTCAATCATTTTATTATATATTCTCGCTCCCGGTGGAAGCCAAAAACATGATCCTACTGAGGCATTTGTATCAAAAAAAAATAGATTTAGATTTGAGCCGATAACTCTATGATCACGTTTTTTAACCTCTTCTAAAAATTCAATATAATCGTCTAAACTTTTTTTATCAGGATATGATATACCATAAACGCGTTGCAAACTGTCATTTTCCGTGCATCCCAACCAATTACATGCAGAATTCTTTGTAATCTTAAAGGCCTTTATTATTCCAGTATGTGGCACATGAGGTCCCATACAAAGGTCAATAAAATTGCCACATCTGTAAACAGTAGTCTTTCCATTCTCAGGAACTTTAGATGATATTAGAGAGAGCTTGAAAGGATTATCTTGGAAAAGTTCTAATGCTTCTTCTTTTGAACAAACTAGTCTTTCAAAGGACTGTTTCTCTGATATAACTTTCTTAGCACATTGTTCAATAATTGGGTAGTCATCTTTTGATACACTATTATTACCCATATATGAATCATAGTAAAAACCAGGGGATAGTGCTGGGCCAATTGTTAATAAACTTCCAAATTCATTCTCCATACATTGACCTAAGATGTGAGCAGAAGAGTGCCAAAATACACTTTTTGCTTCAAGGGTATCAAATTTAAGTAGTTTTAGTTCACAATCAGTTTCTAATGGTCTCGTCATATCCCAAAGTTTCCAACCTTGTATATCTTTATCATAGTTTGAAGTTAAACATTCTTCAAAATCAGTCTCAATTACAGATATATTTGACTCTATTGGTGTTATATATCTTATATTTGCCACTATACATTCTTCTACAAGTCTTTTAGATATAGTTTTAGCAATATCCATTGGTGAAGTTAGAAATCTTATACCAGACCTAATACTTCCATCAGCAAGAGTTATAGAGATAGGATCATTCCTAGCTGCTATCTCTTGGATCTCCTTGTCTTGTTTAGCATATAATACTTTAAATAAAGAAAGCCTCCGATCAATAAATGAAGGGTTTTTACAAAGTTCAAAGTCGCCACCTATTAGCCTATTAAGTTGTAGTGACTTTGCAGTTCCTTGTTCTGCTCTCCTATTCATATTACAAATAAATAAAAAATTTAAGAGAGCTTAAAAAAAAAGTGATTCTTAAGATATATTGTATAAAGAAGTTTTAGTATTTCAGCAAATTTATAGTAGACTTATGTCAGTTATTATACTTAGACGAGAACATTATAGTTTATGAGCGCCCTCCTCTTCAGCTAGTAGTTAAAAGGTCTAACATCAGTAAATAAGCGCAAACATAAAAGTGGTAAAAAAGTATAGAAGGGGGGGGGGTGATTGTATTGCGGAAGTAGAATATAGTTCATTGGTAGTTTTACCTTCTTAAAAGGCTATATTGAATTTTGTTTACATCTTGCCTTTAATTTATACTTCATGCAGTACATAAGACCACCCTCTTAGCTCCATTTTGTCCCTTGATAGTTAGATAAGATAGCACAAGTAAATTGTTTGCAATTACTGACAAAGTGTAAATTTAGTTGTTCTGAAAAAGTAGTATAGAACTATTTTACATTGTGATGTTTGTGATCTCTGAATATAAGATACATACAATAAGACGGGATACATGACACTCGTACTGATCTAGCCATGTGGGTTTAGCAGTAGAAGGTTTGCCGCGCCTTTCCACTTAGAAGATAGGCTAATTGGATGAGATTCAAATCTTTCAAATTCGAATTAGTTGTTAAAGATGTCTGGAAAAGGTGGAAAAGCCGTGAAAGGTCCTGCTCAGAAGCAACAAGCAGCAAAGAAAACAGCTGGTAAGTCGCCTGCTGATGGAGGAAAGAGGAAACGTCGGAAGAGAACGGAATCTTTTGCTTTGTATATATACAAAGTTCTGAAACAAGTACACCCTGAGACAGGAATAAGCAAGAAAAGCATGAGCATTATGAATTCATTTATTAATGATGTCTTTGATAGGCTTTCAGCCGAAGCAGTGAAATTGGTTCAATACAACAAAAAGAGAACTTTATCTAGTAGAGAAGTCCAAACTTCTGTACGTTTAATGCTACCTGGTGAGCTCTCTAAACATGCTGTTTCTGAGGGCACTAAAGCAGTAACTAAGTATACCTCTGCCTCTGCTTAATTAGAGTAATATAGATCTTTGATGTTCTGTATCTTCAAAAGGTAGAAAGGGGGGAAAGGCACTAGAATAAATTTATGTAAACCTATCCATAGTATAGTTAATTTACTAATAGTTTTGGGGTTTTCTAATTGTTCTAGAACACCAACTTTATTTTAGAGCTATTGTGTATAACTACTTGTTCCATGTATCCTCTAAGGTCTAAAAACACTTATAGTTGTCAGTTCTTTAGTACTGGATTACTGCTTATCTTCATCTTCTCAAGATAGAGGTGGAGGTCATCTAGATCTTGTTGAATTTGTAGCTTGAGTGATGTTTTCGAAGTCAAAATGAACCTGAGAAGTATTAGATGGTAATATTTAATTGAGAATTAGTTGTATAAACCTACATCCTAGAGACTTCTTTATACATCTTTGCATACTCTTCTGCTTCATTAATCTAGAAAAAAAAATAAAATTGTTTATTTCCTGTGTATAGTGCCCTCTATGAAATTCTTACAGATTGAATTGCAGCTTCTTTTGCTTTAATAGCCATTGTCGTCTTAAGTATTTTATTTTGTAGGGTCTGTTTGTGATATATCATAGATCTACATGAATCATTCATTTATAACAAATATTAGGACTAATAATTTTATATTAGTAGGGTAAAAGTATTTAAAAAAAGAAGTGGAGCAGAAAGCAGCAACTCCTCACTACACTTAAGCGCTAGTATCTCTTGCGATTGAAGATCGCAATTTATACTTAATAGTTGGTCAAGGTGTTATAATAACCATTAAGAAATATTTACTGAACAATCTAAGTAAGATTCACATTACTATATAGGAATATATTTGTATAATAGTATTAGCCTTAGTATACTGAAAGAAAGAACAAATATATCTATAATTGATCATAAATAACAAATTATAGAGCAAATATACTTTAATACATTTCCATAAGTGGAGCTTGTTTCCCCATTATCTAATTGTTGAAGCATGCAATAATCATGCATTGCATGCAATTATGGCTTCCTTCTTAATAAAATCAGGACTACTACAACAGCTTTTATATAATTAACTAGTTTAAACTAGTAATAAATAAAATGAGCTCATTTTGTCAATCTAAATCAGTTGCAAAGCAAGTACTGGCAAATGTGAACAATGATGATGTATATGTTGAAATTGAGAAACTTCAATCAGCTGGTATTAATGTAGCAGAAATTAACAAGCTAAAGGCTGCTGGTTTGTGTACTGTACTCAGCATAATTCAAGCAACAAAAAAGGAGCTATGTAATATAAAAGGTTTATCAGAGGCTAAAGTCGAAAAAATTGTTGAGGCAGCTCAGAAACTAGAACAAGTTTCAAGTTTTCAAACAGGTACGGAAGTCCTTGCAAAACGACAGAATATTCTCCGAATTACTACAGGAAGTGAACAATTTGATAAAATGCTACTTGGGGGATTTGAAAGTATGTGCATAACAGAAATATTTGGTGAAAATAGGTGTGGGAAAACACAAATATGCCACACATTATGTGTAACAGCTCAATTACCTACAGAAATGAGTGGGGCTAATGGTAAAGTTTGCTTTATTGACACAGAAGGTACCTTCAGACCAGAAAGAATTGCTAAAATATCCGAAAGATTTGGTTTGCAAGGAGACGTTACTCTTGATAATATTCTATATGCTAGAGCTTACACTCATGAGCATCTAAACCAGCTAATCAGCGCAGCTGCAGGGAAAATGATTGAAGAGCGTTTCGCTTTATTAATTGTTGATTCTATTATTGCACTTTTCAGGACAGAATTTTCTGGTCGTGGTGAGTTAGCAGAAAGACAGCAAATACTAAACAAGACTCTCAGCAAGTTAAATAAGCTAGCAGATCAATTTAATATCGCTGTTGTAATGACTAACCATGTAATGGCTGATCCAGCTGGAGGAATGACTTTTATGCCCAATATAGCGAAACCAGTTGGAGGCCATATAATTGGTCACGCGTCACATGTACGTTTGAGTTTACGAAAAGGGAAGGGAGAGCAAAGGGTTTGCAAAGTATATGGATCTCCTCACCTTCCTGAATCTGAATGTGTGATACAGCTATCTGACGGAGGGATTATTGATCCAAGTGATTAATGATTAGATTTAGTGAAAATTGACTATATTGAATTAAATTACAATCGATACTTAGATATTTTATACACCTAAATTAGCATGAGCATCCTGAAAGCCCAAATTCTTGTTGGTTCTGATTATTCAATGTGAGTGGTTCAGGAAAATAAGCTTGTTCATCAGTTGTTTCTCTACTTAGTGCTCTACGTCCTATCTCTTCAAATGCTTCATCAACATTCGTAGCATTCTTAGCAGATGTTTCGAAATATTGAATATGTTTACCTTTACACCATGCTAAGGCTCTTTGTGAGCTTACTTTTCTTGATTTCTGATCTAAGTCTAATTTATTCCCAATTACTACAAAAGGGAAGCAATTAGGATCTTTAGGTGCAGCTTGTATCAAGAATTCCTCTCTCCAGGCTTCTAACCCATCAAAAGATTTTGGATTGGTCATGTCGTAGACTAGAGCACAACAGTCAGCTCCTCTATAAAAAGCAACTCCCAGTGATTGAAATCTTTCTTGGCCTGCAGTATCCCAAATCTAAAGAGAAATAGGAGAGAAAGTTAGCTGAAGTTATGTATTATTATTTTAAATACAAGTACTCACCTGCAAAGTTACTAATTTGTTGTCAATTACGATATCTTTTGTTAGGAAATCAGCACCAATAGTTGCTTTATATTGCATTGAGAACTTCTTATTGACATACTGGTTCATTAGTGATGTCTTCCCAACTCCACTATCACCTAAAATTATTACTTTGAGTAGAACTCTTTTGCGATTTGACCTACTTGACGAAACAGCCATTTTGTATGAAGTGAGGAGTTTGAGCGTGAATGATCCAACCAGCAAAGCGACCTAAGGCGCTCAGGTGAATAAACGCTGTAACGCGCTACGCCAGTGTGAGTGAAGGAATAAAAATATCCTAGAGAAGTTAACATTGCTAAGAAAGTTGTCTACAGAGTATTAGATCTTATCATATGTGCGAAATAGTGTAAATTCCTAGTAAATGCATCTTTGCTAACAGTTGATAATGTCCCATCTGTCCCCTTAAGGAGATCTTTAAATAAAAGTTGATATTTTGCTCTTTTATCTTCAACTTGCTGATTCACTAGTTGATGTTGAATAAGTTCATATTCCTTTCTATATAAGAGTATCATTCCCAGTAATGATCGGGAGAATGTCCATGTGCTCAAATCTCCAGTAGTAATAAGGTTGAACATTAATTGCATAATCCTAACCAGTGAATTTGGATGTTCGACTAAAAAGCGGTATATTGCTTTACCTTCAGGTGAAATACCATTAGTTCCGTTTCTCAAGGATGTAATATTGTCATTTTCCATTGCATCTGTCTCTGAGTTTAGATTTGTACTTACCCCGACTCCATTAGGAAATATTATATTTTCTTTTTCTATCGTTGTAAAAATAAAGGAGACTAGATGATCCAAAGTAGCACAACAGGCTAATAGAACGACATTATCGACAGCACATAGTCCCGATTCAATGGAATAGCATATAACTGCAAGATGTTGTGGCTCCAGAGTCGTCATGAAAGTTGAGATGAAACATCGTGTTGCTAGCTCTAAAAATTCATAATACGACTTTAAACTTTTCAAATAAGATTGTAAATCATGTTCAGGAATAACTAGGCACATTTGACATGCTAGTCTAAGTGCACTTTCAAGTGCTTGATCATTATATACTTCGAATACACCGAAATTAGTATACCCACCTGATAGTGCATGACATAGCATAGCTAGTGTAACTGCGATTCCCTTGTATTTCTCTTTATAGATATTTTGGAATGATGCAGTTGGCTTGGATAAAATGCGCGATCCATAAGTGCATATAAGTGATGAAACCTCCTTGAATAATAAGATACCATTTGGAGATGTCCTATCAAAGCAAATACGCTGAGACTTGTTGTCAACAAATTCAGCCATAAACTTCAATAAAGCTACCATTACATCTGTATCATCCCAAAATTGATCAGCAGCCCAGGTAAATAGGTGGACACGGCTATGACCTTGTTGTTTAGGCTTGTTTACTAACCAATTAAATAGGAGATTATAACTTTCTGGGCCGACACATGCTAGACAAATACCCCTAAGATCCCTCGCTAACCCAATTAGTGGCTGACGAAACTGAGATGGGTGATATCCTGCAGATGCAAGAGAGGTATTGTTCGAAGAAAGAGGTGTACCAGTGAATCCACTAATTCTATTTAAATTGTTTTTTAATACAATTTCATCCCATAGTAGATCGAAAGTCTTAACTTGTGGCTGCATGAACTGTTCAAAAGATATAGTTGAACTATGATTGTTCTCTTCTTCCTTTAAATCTAAAAATAGCAATTTTGCAAGTATAAAGTAGTAAGATGTTCTATATTTCCCATATCTAGGAACATTTAGAAAAGCAAACTCAGGTGCAGAGTGATTTTGCATGATTTTCTGAACCTGTTCATTACGTAGAAGGAGACGACCGGAAACAATAAGATGTGTAGTTCTATCTGTATATTGAACAATAGAAATACCTGCAGCTAGTTCATGAAACAAATTTAATGACCTCTTAATAACACTTTCCATTTTGCACTTGTTCTGCAAATTCCGCCCTATCTTCCCAATAATCAGACTTAGTACATCATCATCAGATTCCACGCCCAATATCGAAGCTAAAGTTGCTTCCTCTGAATCTGGCTGTATAAACTGTTTAGCATAGTCACCCAAACATACTTTCCTAAATTGTTCCAAAAAATATAGATAGGCAAGTTCAAGTGATTCAGGGGTATCAGATAATCCATCTGTTTGTTGCAGTAGTCTAAATACTAATTGAGCTAGTTTACCATTAAGAACATGATGTGATACTTCTTGGCTCTTATCAGGTATACTATTTTGATTTCCACCACTTGAACCCGGCAACAATGGACGGCGAAGTTTTATTGTATGACCGCCAATTAGAGCGCCATGCATGTAAACACACCATGTTATTTGCGAAATAAAGCAATCTTGGGATATAACACCATTCTGAACATTGCTAGTTACTTGCTCGAAAAGTTTTACAATGTAATCAGCTACATCATGATAACGGCATCTACTTAATTGCGCAAGAACATCAAGCTGTTCTGTCCTCATAACTTCACTTTCTAAGGGATCTTCAATATCTCTCCCTTGAGCTATAGCTTCTGCAATTTTTATGCGACTTTGAATAAATGTTATTGTGACATTGTATATGAAACTTTCCAAATTTGATGGAGCTCTATTTCCTTGGTATAAAAGAGGTATAACCATATGACTCCATAGACCTAAAAGATAGTGTTTGCTATTTGGCAATACACTCCATTCTTCAAGTGCTTTTATTGTAAAACTATACACTTGTTCTATCCACAAATTAAAAGCATCAGTAGATGCCAGTTCTGTTAATTGATTTGCAGTATTCAACTTGCCCAGTAGTCTGCACAATTCATGAAAACAATTTTCATTGTCCAGCCCCATTCTAGTTTGTATAATCCCTGCAGTGCCTGACATTAAGGCTGCCAATGATCTTGTCCTTTCGGCTTGTGTTGAAAAGAAAGATCTTCGTATTGATGAGACTAGAATTAGACACTGCAAACATAATGTAGCACAATCAGGCATATTTTCTGACATTGAGCAGCACTTTGCATATATATCAAAAAATATTATAGGGATATAATCCTCGCGAAGAACTGCCCAAGAGTGAGGTATCATTATAGTATTTTGTTCTTCTGAAGTTTCATCAGGTACAGTTCCCATGAAATCATATGCTAGACAGTTATGTATTAATTGTAAAACTTGCTTCAGTAGTTTATACTCTTCCTGATAGTCTGTAATTGAAATGCTACCAAGGTGAATTTGTCTTAGTGTCTTCATCGCTACTTGAAATATTGTCGGTAATGCAGTATCTCTAAACAATAAGGCAGCACGACGATATTTAGCAAAGTATACGCCTGAAGAATACTGCATTTCCTGAGTTAGTGATGTAAATATGATCAGTCCAACAATCCAGTGTGAAGTGGACGCATTCAAAAATTGCGAGACTTGGTCCGTTATTGTAGGTCGTGGATTAAGTGTATCTAGCCAGCCATACTTAACAATTTGACAAAGCAACCTGACAAAGTGACCAACCAAGTAAGGAGCAGTGCGTAACATATCTGGACCACATTTATAGAGATAATTGAGCAAAAAAGTCTTCGTCTCCTCCTTCTGATTATCTGGTATTTGGGCCCAGCTGGAAGTAAATAATTTCGAAAGAGCAGTTGCTGCGAACATTAGTGCATGAGGATTACTACTCTGTGCAAGAAGAGCTTGAAGTTGGGGTAAGCAACTCAAATTACATATAAGAGGTAGCAAAACTTCATGTGCTTGTTTTTGTTGATTCACATCACCCCTAATAAAATAGAGTAATAATAAGTACGAAAAAGTAAATTGCAAGATTTAATTTTGCATTATCAGAAGGAATTCCCTTCTTAACCAAATACACAACTTTGATTATTTGCACTTACCCATAAAAAGCTTCGCACAATCCTTCCAATTGAGTGAGCTGTGTTAGATCCAAGGCCATCACCAAACAATTAGCCAGGTGAACTTAATTATATATATTCCTGTTTTAACACACTATTAGCCTCTAAAACTAAATGAGGTACTAAAGAGAATAAACAAGAGGCTCACAATCCTGGTGAGGAGATTGACCCGCTTAAATAGCTATATACGGTTTGTCTTAGCCTTAAATATAGAGCAGCTTTTTAAGAGGGAGTACAATGTTTGTATTATATTTGATTTGTTCCTTATTCTATTCTCACTCGTTGCTATTATCACTGTTGCTATGAGCTACTTGTCACTTAGGGACAGTTCAAAGTCATGCATTCTATTGTGTGACTTTGATTAAAATACTGGTTCCAGAACAAGTCCTTTTTTTTTTCTAAGAAGCTTGGGTTATAGCAGAACTTAAAAGTTAATGTGCTTAAATATTGAAGGAACTGAGGAGTGGAAGGAAATAAGGTGTTACTTAACTCAATTCTCTTATCCTATTTCCTAATACCAGGTTTTGGCTTTAGAGTCCCAAAACATAGTATGTCTACCCGGTGGAGGATGTGGTATGGGTGGTAACAAACTAACTGGACATACTTCTAACTGTTTCCCCTTGAATGAATCGGTATATATTGTATTAAACTTCCTGTCTTCTTTAGCTTGTATGTAGTTCTCTGAAGTAGCTATATTGTGAGCATTCAAGCTCAATTGTCTAAGGACATCATCATTGGGGTTGTCGGGACATGACAGAATGTATCTACTCAAAGAAGCCGGAGCTCTACCTACTTTTTGTGGAAGGTCCCATTTCTTGTAGTCGCTTTGATAACTAGTGATGAAGTCACGTGTTTCTGGAGTTTCAATATATCTGTTAATGGGCTTTGTAAAGCGAGTAGGTAACTCCCATCTTCGATAATCTTGATGATATGAAGAGTCAGCCTCAAATGGAAGATATTCTGGCACTTCATTCCTTAGTGCTTTTCTGTTTTCAGGTAGCTCCCACTTTCTGTAATCCTGATTGTAAGATGAATCAGCGCAGAAGGGCTGACTTTCTGGTATAGGTTGGGGGCAATGATGCTTTCCACAAGTACACAGCTCTTCAACGGATTTACCTGGATCACCACTTGGGGATTTAGAACGGTAGCTCTCATCTAAACTTTTTTCTAATATTCTCCCTCGTTGCAACATTGGATAACCCTAAAGCGAAATTGAAATAAGATTGAGTAATATTACATATAAAATAACTCACCTCTTCTTCTCTAGAAATTGACATATTAGGCATTATTGAATATTGAATAGTTTGTTTGTAAATTTGGAAATATATTAATGATGAGAATTTCTTCCTTGGGTGATTTGCACACTTTCATTAGGACCAAATAATGTGTTATCCCTTTACACCCTAAATCTAATTAAAAAAATAAGATGTTTGTTACAAAGGTGTAAATAAATAATAAATACATTAGCTCATAACTGCCATCTATATATGTAATAAAGCTCTATTAATTGTATCAATCTATTACTTAAGAAACAGTTTACATCTGAGGGTAGTGCTGAAGAACTGTTTGAGACTTTAAAATTACATTTCATTATAGATAGTAATATAGAGTAATTATAAATCTTAAATACATTATATATTTAAATCGCTTGTAAACTGTATAAATAAGTCGTAGTGAGATATTAGGCAAATTTTGCAAATATGAGTAATTCATATATGTAAATAATATAATACTTAGTCTTTTTAAACAGTATGGGTAAGTAGCGCACTAAGAGAGTAAAGGGGAATTTACAGTAAGTATAGCATAAATATTTCTAATATTGAATACTAGTATTAAAAATTTTAGTTCAATGGCTACCAATAATAAAGTAACTTTCTTTGAAGCTGCTAAGCTAATAATAGCTAGTAAAAATAAGGAGTTGCCTTTAAAGAATGAATGCGTTGCTGGAAAGTCTGATTATCAAGACAATTTGGTTATTAACATTATAGACATAATAATACAGCACTTTTTAGAATATTCATTAAAATATGGTCAGAGATGTAGCATTTTAAAAGGATCTAAAACTGTTTCAGCCAAGGATGTCTCCAGATATATAAAAAAAAACTATGGAGCCTGTTTAGAATAATAGTGATTTTGAATTTGCTATCTCTACATTCTGATTCTATTGAATGACTTTGTTTTAGACACTTCATGTTATTTGCAATGTCAATTATTGCATTCAATGTTACCTACAGGCATTTATCTTAGCATTAAATATGTGAATATTACTAATCAGATTGATTAAAAGATATATCTTGAGTGAGAGGTGTGTAGCTCAGGCATATAATATCTTTATTATTATAACTTTACAGGTCTCCCAGACATACCTTACACTGTTATCTTAAGAATGTTGCACAGAAAAGCGCGCATGCAGAACGCAAACTAGATGTTATCGCTAAATCAGGCTAATACTAAATTTATTATTATAGAAATGAACGGAGAGGCTTACAAAAAAATTCTACTAGCTTTATGTTGTACTGCATGGATTACATTGCAGCTTTGTAATGCTCAAGGTACGAACTCAGAGGGTTATTCGTTTAATAAGTACAGCTCACATGCGAACAAGCACAATAGTTTGTACCTCTCTCTAAGTAGACTTGTTTGGTTACATGACTCATGCAGCTGGTTTCATGCTCTTATGTGTATATTGTGTTATGGTGTGCTAACATACAAGGTATATCGTGATCGTAGTGCTTTGGGAATATCATTGCAAACTTTATGGGCCTTATGTTTCTCTGAACTATGTGGAGCTTTACTAAATATATGGTTCTGCTTGCATACAGGAGCTTCTCTTGACTGGTCTTTTCAAGTAGACCTAATATCAACAGTACTGTCAGTCTTATGCTGGTACACTGTCTGGAAAAAGTTCTCCAATACAATTGAAGACCAATATGATACCTTTGGATTAAATATTTTAGTCAGGATACTTTCACTTATAGGTTCCAACTCAGTCGATAGCACTGCTTTAAAGAGTGGAACTAGAGCAGGCCAAATTCGGCCTACTGGCTGGGCTGGGAGAATTTCTGGGACAATATATTGGCTTGTTTTATACATTTTTGCAATTCCCCTTTCAATGCTATTTCTTGCATTTCGTAGTAGGAGACGCCTTGGTTTTGTTACATCGTTGCTAGCTTATGATGATGCTGTTAGAGCTTTAGCTCTGGTCCCTCAACTTTATATGTTTCACATAAAAAACCCAAGAAAAGTTTCTGAACACCTTGCTTTATTCGTCATTTTTGAATTTATCCTAAAGTTACTTGCATTATTCTATTGGGTTTCAATGCCTCTCTTTAGAACTCCACACGAATCAAGAGGATATAACATAGTAGTTCAATTAGTTAATATTGGGATTTTGCTAGATTTTGCATATCATTATTTGAGGGCTAGGTTAAATGGAGAGAAAACATTACAATATGCATCAGATTTAATGATTCCCTTTTCTCTCTAAAGATAATTGGACAGTTACTCTGTATAGGTTTTATAATTTGAGAATATTACTGAAGAATGAAGAATCATTAGGAATTAAAGCGTAGATGTTACTAATATTCCTATTGTATTCGGATCATTGTTAAATACTTCAATTTTTTCAGAAAGACCATTATTTATTGAATTCTAGGAAACTAAGTGATATCTATATTTCTTCTAAATAAGCTAACTACTTTTTTGCTTAGTATATGAAGTATATATGTAGATGCAGGGATCCCTAAGTAATGCTATAAAGTGGAAATTGTCTATATTTGAATATCTTCATTAATAGCGGGAATTGTATTGACCCCCAAATCACTTCGTACCTCTACAACTTGCTATTGTTGAGGCGCATCTAGACTTTTTGTGATATTCCAACTAAAATAGAATGGTACTGGCTGAACTTGGGACTCAGCTGACAGCAGCTATTAAGAAACTCCAATCTGCAACAATTGTTGATGAGGCAACCATTGATAACTGTTTACGAGAAATTGCAACAGCTCTTCTACAAGCTGATGTAAACGTTAAATTAGTAGCTCAACTTAGAAATAATATTAAGAAAGCTATAAGCTCTCAAGGAAATCTGCAAGTTGCAAGTAAGCGTCGTTTAATTCAGGCATCTGTAGTAGAAGAGTTGGTAAAGATACTTACTCCACAACGTAAGCCCTATGTTCCAACTAAAGATAAGTGCAATATAGTTGTCTTCGTTGGACTACAGGGCTCTGGCAAAACAACTACTTGTACAAAGTATGCTCATTATTATCAACGAAAAGGATGGAAAACAGCTCTAGTTTGCGCCGATACCTTTCGAGCCGGTGCCTTTGATCAATTGAAACAGAATGCTACAAAAGCAAAAATACCCTTTTATGGAAGTTACACAGAGACTGATCCTGTAAAAATAGCTTCAGATGGTGTAAAAGAATTCAGGGATGATAATTATGACTTAATTATAGTTGATACTTCAGGTAGACATAAACAGGAGTCATCCCTGTTTGTCGAAATGCAACAGATTGTTTTATCTACAAAGCCTGATAATGTAGTTTTCGTTATGGATAGTCATATAGGACAAGCATGTTATGATCAAGCCTTGGCATTTTGTAGTGTTATTGATGTTGGTAGTGTTATCATCACGAAGCTGGATGGTCATGCAAAAGGGGGTGGAGCACTTTCAGCTGTAGCAGCAACTAGTGCTCCAATCATATTTATTGGTACAGGTGAGCATTTCGATGATTTTGAACCATTTGAAACTAGAGGTTTTGTTTCGAGACTACTTGGACTAGGAGATATAAGTGGTCTTTTTGCAAAGATTAATGAAGTAGTACCTATTGATAAACAACCTGAGATGGTAAATAGAATTGTCCAAGGGATTTTTACCTTAAGAGATATGTATGAACAATTTCAGAACATGCTCAATATGGGGTCACCAAGCGCACTTTTGTCAATGATACCAGGTTTTGGTCCGAACTTTCTTGCAAAGGAAGATGAGCAAGCAGGAATTACAAGGTTAAGAAGATTTATGGTGATAATGGATTCAATGACAGATGCTGAGCTAGACAATACAGAAAGTATGATATCATCTAGGATAACGCGTGTAGCTATAGGTAGTGGAACTAATGTCTGTGAAGTTCAGGATCTACTTAACCAATACAAGACATTTGCGAAGATGGTTGGACAAATTGGGAAAATGGGACTAGGAAAAAAAGGGGATATGGGTTCTTTGAAGAATCCACTTCATTTTATGCAAAAAATGCAACGTATGATTGATCCTAGAATGTTAAAGCAATTAGGTGGTTCTAATAGTATGTTCAATATGATGAAAGAAATGGAAAAAATGGAAAATTCTCCAGACCTGCAGAAATTGTTTAGAGGTATTGGAATGTAATTTAGATCGTATAAAGTATACCTCAATTACTTTGGAAATGACACATACAACTTTTATCTATGAACTTTATCTAGATTCTATAAATTCTTTAATTTCATTTTAATTATATTCTTGTATATTTAAAAAGGGGCTTTCTTTGCAATACCACTTATTTAGTTAAAGTGTTAATATTTTCATATATATTATAATTTATTGCTAAATAGAGATCTTTATTTAACTTAAAGAATTCTCTATTAGATATTTTTAAATGAAATAATTTGCGACTATAACAATGATAAATATCCATAGCCTTCGCCTAACTTCATTAGCACTATAAGACTTAAAGAAGTCAATGATTTTGCCTTTAAGAAAATTATATTATTTGAATTTATAATCTGGACTTATCATGTATCAAGATTTTATGAATGGATAGTGGATAACATAATACTTGTCAACTTAATTAGGAAAAATTGATACTGTAATTCTCTTTAATATTAAACGCGTGACCCTTATTGACTCTTGTGAATTCTAATACAATCTAATGATACCTAGTCCTAGACTCACCTTGTAAAGAAATAATATATTATACTTTAAAGATTAGAGGGCAAAATTTCCTATTATAATTACTACTCCAAATAAGTGATTTTCTATTACTCTAGCATTATTTTCTATAAATCCTATTGCATTTAAATAAAAAAAACTTAGGGCCCTACTTGTTCAAATAAGGAAAATTTTATATGTAATTGATAGTACTAATTGTAATTAATTTAAAATGGTAAAGATCAAAAAAACGTGGCTTTTAACTCTGGGCAATTATTTAAGGTGATATACGCCATAAGATTATTAATAGAACTACAATTTTAATAGTGAACTGATACTAAATCATACCATAACAAGAGAATCTTCCTATACAATTAAAATGCAGAAATGTTTTAATTTAGTATAAACTATAGTCATAATATTAACTAATCAAATGAAGTGAACAATTCACAAGGTAATTAGACTTTAGGTGCTTCTTTAGACTGAATAATATACAATACAGCTATTTCCTATTTTGCCTATTTCCTTGTAAAGAGCTTTTATATCCAATATTTTAGATGTATAAAGTTATTATTCTAATTTACTCACGATATTCTAAGAATAAGTCGGAAATTACTTATTTGATTTTAGTTGACTCTATGATGTATGCAAAGTGTACAAGTCATTTACTTACTTTTAGACTTATTAGTTTTTTATACAATATATCCAGTTATTACTTGAGAAAATAAACTTAGTTTAAAGAAACCTTTTTTCTTCAAAATACTTATTATTACAGTTCAAATTATTACCTATTAACTAAAATGCAAGGGAGTACGGAGAATCAATACAAGACTATTTCAGGTCAATGTAATGTATTTTATTTTACCAGATAGCATCATTAATCGTCTATAATAAACATAATTTGCTAGGGTAAACTCCTTAAAGAATTTTTAAAAAATTCCCCATATACTTCCTATGACACCAAATGCATTAATTATATCGCTATATTACTTAAAATATATTTATTGTTATTAGTTTGAATAGAGAATATATTGACGCAATGTTCAGGTCAATAACTTATCACGTATATCTTTTAATAGAATTTGTATGATTCAAATTTCTTTTTCATAGCAAATAATATTAGTCAAAGGATATCATTGCTAAATATTCTGGACATAGAAACAATGTATACTGAGATTGAAATGACTTATTACCACTTAAAAAGTGTCTATATATCGGTATATTTGTTGTAGATAGCAATATAAGAGAATTAACTTTAATAGATGTTGGTTATTGTATGTTCAGAAATCCTATTAATTATACTCCTATCATGTGAATTTATTAAAGTACTACTCCAATAAGGTATTTAAGAAAGGTAATAGTTGAATTAGAAAGACATTATATTATGTCTTTCCAAATTTATAAGCTCTTATCTTAAGGGCTTTAAGCATTCCTTAACAGGACTAATTATTTATTTATAATAGCAATAGAAATTTGAAATGTGCAATATTTACAAAATAATAAAGATATAATGAGTACTTAAACATACAAAACTTGTCCTCAAATCATCAATACATATTCATATATATAAACAGTACTTAAATTTAATTTTAAGTGCGGTTCCCAACTTTGTTTTGTCAAAAAATAATAATTGTCGGAAATTTAGTAGTGAATAATTAAATTTCTAAAGATTTATTCAACTACAGAGTAGTTTCTCTTCTAGACATTTAAGTGACTTTTTATTTTCTAACACTTCCCGCTGCTTAACCCAACGTGACGAGGAATCAGCAAAGGCATAGCCTTTCCACTGTTTGTTACTCCTACAAGGGATAACAATTTCTCCTTTGCTCCTGCTGACAAGCGTATCACATACTCCCTGAGCTACTCTTTCGCGAACTATAGCTATAGGGCTTGGATTTAGTACTTTTTCTCCAAACCAGAATATTATTTGAGGAAGAATGGAAATAAATATAGAAACAAAATTTACCAGATAATACTGTGGTATTAGGTGAACTAACCTGAAACTCCCATATATATTGGGGCAAAATGATGATGGACATACGATCCACCCAATTATAAAGAAGATAGGTCCAATGATTATTGAGATAAAAACAAATAAAAACCATGTATGAGTTAAAGGGATAATCATCAAATTCACTGCTATAACAATAGTCATAAAAACGATTTGCCCATAGATTTTCATAGGTAATATTTTGCCACCTCCTTCACCTCCCGATATAATACTTCCAAGAGTGAATAGAGGGATCAAAGTAAGAGCAACAACACTCCATATAGAAAGTGCAATCCAAAGCATAAATCTCCTATAGCCGAAATACTTTTTGTAACTTCTAGGTAAGCAGACTGGATATAAGCTTGGTATCCTTGCTAAAACATAATGTGGAAGCATTCGATCAAATATCGCAACAATAATATGAGCTATAGGCGTAAATAATAAATTATAAAGTTGTTTTATCCAAGAATTAAATATATCTGTACCACTAAAAATACAAAAATATGCGTAGAAGCAATCAACAAGACCCATAATTACGTTTTTTGTAATTGTTATATATACATGGTCCGAATTACGCCTTAAATTCTCGTGACCATGGCAAAGCAAAAGTTTTCTAATCAGTCTAAATTCTCCAATTGTAAAGTCTGATACAGAGGCTGCCTGTAACCCTTCTTTTCCAGTTATTCCAATGCCAACATCTGCAGTTATAATCATATTAGTATCATTAGCTCCATCACCAATAGCTAGTGATACTATCCCCTTGTTGTATTTTTTAGCAGAATCCACGATGTCACCTTTTTGAAGTGGAGTAGCTCTACAAACAATCACTGAAGAACAAAATCTTGCTAATCCAAAAAATAACTGCTTTAAATTATCAGATGAGAATAAAATTGAGAGCGATTCACCTGTTACTGTAATAGCAATTGAATGATAATACGGCCCCAAAATATCCGAATTCTCTATATTTATAATTTGTGAAGTTTGTAAAGGGGAGTTGCCACTAATTCCACTTTTTGCTTCGTTTAGCAAACTTACTGTCAACTTTTCAAATTGAAATGAGTACATATGCCTTAAGTAAACTTCAATAATGCTGTTATCTAAAGGTTCAACTGAAGTGTTCTCAGTATCCCCCAAATTTCCAATGCAGTGATTCTTGAGATCTAATTGACAATTTACTGCACTTGAGTTTCTACTTACTAACCATCTCCTTAATCTACTATTTATCGCATATAAAAATTTAATGCCTAGTTTTCCTTCGGTTTTATTAGTACTTTGTTGTAAAAAGTGCACCCTTAGAACTTTTCTAAATGACTCATTTTTAAGCTGAAGTCTCAGAATTCTTGAAAGTTCACTTCTAAGTTGATCTTCTATAATAAGATTATCCGTACTTGATATAATGATATTATACGTACCTTCTGTTAAAATACTTGAGCTATACCCAATACTTATTGCAGTCTCTAATTTATCACCTGTTAAAACCCATAGTTTTATTCCCGCTGATTTGATATCTGCAATTGTCTCTGGAACTTGTTCTTGGAGTTTATCCTCTATCCCAGTACATCCACACAATTGTATGTCTTTTTCAACTACTTCAATTGTGAGCCTTAATTTCTCCTCTTTAGTGTTATCTAGACACATCTTTGCTTCTTTAGCTTTTAGTAATATTTCTTGCAATAGGTCTGGGTCTATTCTCCTACTCCCAAAAACAAGTGTTCTCAGCCCACACATTGCTAGTTTTCTTAATTGTTGTGACATATTGTCAATTTCCTCTTCTTGTCCAAACTTACAAATACTTAACATCGATGAATCTGCGCCCTTAATTAGTAGCAGACCTCCAGCTTGATTATTTTTGTAAGATTGATCATATTTTGTCCAGTTGTCTTCAATAATTACGGACATTCTCTTACGATCGCTATCAAAATCGAAAGTTTCCAGTATATTAACACGAATGCATGGACACCAAAATTTGTCGATATAATCTGAGTATGACTCTATTATCTTGTTTTTAACTTTATAAATATGCTTACACTGTTGCTTTGTAAAAAACATCTCGTAGAGTGATTCTTCCAGAATAATGATTTCAATACTGTCTAATGAAGGTCTATGAACAAATTCTAAGCCAATATGTTTTGCACCAGCTACTAAGGAAAGTTCATCGGGTGATGAAGCGTCGAAATTTGCCTCTTTGGAAAATTTATGATATACGAGGGAAAGTTTAGATGATATATGTATCGATTTCTCATAACTTCCCGAAGTACTTGTACTGGTTTCTTGCTCTCTTGGAGCCTCATTAACTTTTGGTAAAACATTATGACATATTGCAAGATTTAAACAAAAATCTCTAGCTAAGTGAAATTTTTTTCTTTTCCTATGTAAACTTAACATAAAATTTCTTATTTCTTTTGCATTAAAATTAACGTAAGGATTTGGTATATTATTCTCAATATCATCTATACATGCGTATTTGTCTGTACATATTTTTGTTTCCGTTGGACATCTATCTTCCATGGCATTACACAACTTGAAATTTTTTCCAGCAATTATAATGCCACAAAGTTGCATTGAATTTTTTGTTAATGTACCAGTTTTATCTGAAAATATATGGGTTATACAACCTAATGCATCGACAAGTGAGCGACTCTTAACTCCACATAAGGACTCACTTTGTTCGTTCGCTTCTTTATCCTCATGAAGAAAAAAACCTTGTATAAAACGGATAATTTCCAACTGAACTAAAAGTGTAATAGGAACAAAATAGCTTAGAAGCAGTGTATAAACTGCAAAACTAATCAACATATTGATTATAAATAATCTACCATTCGTTACTTTATTAGGATTATATATTGCAGAATTCTCTCCATAGATAGAGGATAAAAGAGCTAGTATAAAACAGATAGTTATTTGTATTAAGGCAAGCAAAATGGCATGTTGCTGATACATGCGGCTTAATGGACTATACTTAAGTCGTTGCTGTTTGCTACTATTGCGCAATATCCTAGTATTATGACCTGTGTACACTACAATTCCATAAGCCCATGATGTATTTTGTATAGAGGCTCCTCTCCACAAAAATTGGTCAATAGATACAGATTGGCATATTTCGTAGCTATTTATTGAGTTAGAGCTTAAAGAATACTCTGTTAGATTTAATTTGATTTCAGTTGTAGAGTTGCTTATATAATTACCTAAAGTTTTCTGTGACACACCTTTTTCAAAGGATATACAAGATCTCTCATTTGAATTCGTTATATTAGCTAAATTTTCACTAACTGGACTTTTTCTAACTTTTACAACACCAAAAAAGTTATACAAAAGTGATGATGGAGGGCCATATTCAACTTTTATAGAATAGTTAGAAAATGATTTACTTTCTGTGAATGTTTGTTGAAATTCATTAATACATATTTTTGTTTTAAGGAATGATTCTCCATCTAACTGAGCAGTTTCAACATAACACATACCAAACTTGTCAGAGCAACTCAGCAGAACTAGGTCACTGGGAATTCGCTCTTCGTTTTTTAGAAATACAATATCACCAGGCTTTAAATCAACCCATTTAGCCTCTTGAATTTCTCCATTTCTATCAACAATATTACATAACTTTGAGTTCTCAGCTCTATCGCTATTATGGCGTGCAATATCTTCAAGACCATCTTTAATAGCAGTGATTAATACAACTATTGTCAAGGGTATCAAAATTGTGGGATTACCATCACTCTCAGATATTACTGGAACAATTTGTAACATAGCCAATACTAAGAAATAAAAATTAGAAGGTTGTATTAATTGGCTAAACAAGTTCAAAGGTATAAAATTCCACCACTCATACTTGTAAGTTCTTACTGAGTTCACCCAGTCTGACACTCCATATACTATATTGCAGGGATTTTGTGGAACAAATCTTCCTGAGCAGACAGTTATGTATTCAGGTTCACTGGCATTAATATTTTCCGGTAATTTTCTAATGAAAAGTTTTGTAATCCTCTTAAACATTTTCACTAGTAACTATAGGAATTTAATTACTAATCGTCTGCAAAATCATAAAAAATATTGAAACTTGTGACAGTTCATTAATTTAAAAAGTTTTCATTGCTGGGATACTTTATAATTAATCTATGAAATAGAAACATTAGTAGATGTACTATTGCATCATTCCTTGGTTACAAAAACTAGTCTACATTTGATTCAGCACACGCACACTGACATGGCAATTTGTAGATATATAGCCTAAATACTAAGCAATACTAAGCTGTAACTCTAATCTTTCTATAGTATTCTAACAGCAGTACTACTCTAGGTTTTTAGTTGTTTTGAAATCCTGATAAATACTAAGCTCAAGTTAAAAGTAATGTAGTCTACCAACTAAGTTAAAAATAATTCAAATAAAAAGTTAAAATTCAGTGACAATTATTTAGAACAAAACTATTTCAGTTAACTAATTCAACTTCATATGGTATATTAAGCTCCTTCAGTTTATTCATTAGTGTATTTATCTTTTTTTGACGACGGCTAACAAGTGACAAGTAGTTTGTACAGGTATTTCGTCTGTTAATCATCATCTTATATCTTGGTAAATATTTAAAAGTCTTTTGAGTCCTAGAAAAAAGTTTTGGATGAACTTTAGAAGGTTCAACAACATGACATTTAAGGGTACGTTTAAATAGTATGTAATTATTCATGGTTTCAGCAGCTATTGCTGCAATATCCTTACAATCAAACTCTATGAAAGCATATCCCTTTGAATGACCATCTCTTTTAGAACGGCATAGCTTTAAACGTGTTATTGGCCCAAATTGAGAGAAATATTTCCTTAGCTGAGGTTCAAATATGCCAAGTGGAATATGACCAACATAAATAACACCTCTTTCTTCATTTATAATAGCCATTTCTCAGTTATATATTACTTAATTAAAGTAAACCAACAAACCTTGCTACCTAACTCTCAAGAAGGTAGAAGAAGTATAGTTACAAGTTAATAGTAGTTCTTGGTTAATGTAGTACTTCACCTTATAGAGCGGGGTTACCTTTTTTTTTTTTCTTTTTCTTTTTTCTATAAGTTATTAAATAAACTTTAATTAATAGCTTAATTAAGTTCTATATTTATATATAGCTAATGCCGGCCTATGTTTAAATTTTAAATATTCACACTTCCTCTAGGTTCTTTTAAATATAGCTTGTAATATACTTCATCAAAGTGTATTTTAAATTTAGCAAGATGGACGTATTCAGAAAACAAATATAGAATATAGAGTTTGGTTTCATTAAATTGCTATCATTTATATAAGTTCATTTCTTAGAATACATGTGTAATATATATAGTAGTTTCCATATCTAGGCTAGGTCAATATTTTTAATGTGACCAAAGAGTAGGTATAGCGCCACATTTTTACTAATTACGCGGCTGAGTAGTAGGTATTTTTCTCTAGCAATCTCAAGCGCCATATATATTATTTACAATTTGCAGGATGCAGAAAAGAGCCCACTAAAAGAAAATGAAAACGTATGTTCCAGACCCTTCCTCCTCTTTTGAAAGGGCTTATAGGACAGTCCCATTTTTGAAGACTGTATTGTGGTCAGGTATATCTGAAATACTTAGGAATTCAAATGAGAAGTGTATTATTAATAAGCGAGAGCTAGTAAAGAAAGGGGCATCATTGCGTTTAAACTGTGGAAATAGTATACTCTCTGATCTTGATGTATCCACTCTAGAATGCTGTATATGTGCTCTTTCCTCTGCTTCTAGTGAATCTAATCTTAAAAGTGGAAACCCTTGTGATTTTTACCGATTCCAGTCAAGTAACAGTATATTGGAATCCTCAAAACTACCAAGTAAAGTGATATCATCTAAAATTATGAGGAGCTCTACAGCATCTAATATATCGCCATATCTACAAAATAGATATTCTGACTTGCTTTCTACTCTGATAAACGAATCTATTGCTGACATTTTCCGTATTCGTCACTCTGAAGTCTATGATTCTTTTACTTTTGAATGGACAAAAAGAAGAAGTGAGATTTTGGAGTCTTGTAATCTAAATGTGGTAGGTCTTTTTGCATCTGATAATATAAAGAATATAAAAGGTAAACTAGTTTGCTCAGGTATGGTAGACTATAAAATAAATCCCAGAGCATGGAGCTGTAGTATATTAAAAAAATCAGATTCATATCCTATAAATATGGTATACCTTCCTTCATCTTCAGATGAATATAAAGATGAACATTTATTGATTTTAAATTACCTCTTACCAAAGTTCTCCTTGATTGGGCTTACCTTAGATGAATACATTTTAAGACAGAAATCCTGTATCACCGCAATAAATACTAGAATGTCTTCAATAAAAGATCTAAGCTTATTTATATGTCCAAAAGAATATGTAAATGATATTTCGACAATTTGGAATTTACTTGAATCAATTGTTGGCTCTTCACCAAAAACAGTGGCATCTGAGAGACAAATAGTCTGTAGTATTTTAAGTTATCTTGAATTATTAGCCGTTGATATTGTTGATATCAATAACAATGCAAGATGTAGCATGAATAAGAGTGACTATCTTCCTACTAACAACACAATTACTTTGCCTACCCTAGTAGAGTTCGGCAAATGTTACTTCCAAACTAGAACAAGCAACTCTCAATCATTGAAGATAATTAGCTCATTTCCAAGCAAAATTGAACATTACTGGTTTTTGGCTTACTGGGCTTTTAGAATTGGAGGAGGACATCTACTATTGGATTTAACTGAACTTGATGCAGCACCAAAAAACTTTAACATTGTATGTGAATATCTTGCTTTGAGATTAATTTCAACTAGCAAATCACTAGTTGTAAACTGTAGTCATTCTTCTAGGCAGCTTTTAATAAATGAAGAGAATTGGGTTAAATACTGCTTGCAACTAGATGCATCGCGTGACTTTTCTGCAGAAATTGAAGATTTAAATATTTCATTCCACAACTTTCAGAATCAGTTAACTAACACAAAACCATCTTTCGTGGCCTTTGAGTACTTATTAGCTAGCATAGTGCTACCTACTGTTAAACCTTTGACTCTTTCGAAATTATTACCTGATGTAACTGTTGAGGATTATATTTGGTATAGATATCATATAATGTTAAAGAGCTGTGATGACTCTAGTATTAATAGTGAATTGAACGAATTATATTTCCGTCTAAAAAACCAGGGGCCAACTTATTTTGAATTAAAACCTGAGAATAGTAATACTTGCACTTTAGGAAATACCAGAGATGATATAAGTGGTGACTACTATATATCATCCTTTAACCGTCCTCTTGTCAAGTCTGAAATATCTAAAGTCCAATCTGACAACTCAAAGTTGGCAGATTTTCAAACATTAACAAAGAAGGATCTATTGAAAATACCTTTATCTGAAACTGATATTCATTCATCCAAAAAACATATGAACTATTCGACAAGTTTGGGTTATGCAAAAGTTCTCTGCTATGCTCTGCACATTGGTGAAGCTCTTAAATGGATCTATGACTCACATCCTAGTCTTCGGAATATAGTTCTTCAGTGGGTACTATATTTGATAATTGCTGGTATCCTTCCCTTAGAAGCTGACTTTGAGGGAAATAATATAATACCTTCTTTCTGTTCTAAATTGGAGAATTTCAGTGATTCCATAGATATTTGTGAGATATTACTATTAACTATTCGTCAATGCAGCTTACCTCTACCATTTGTACTTAATTTCATGAATATTGTGCCAGAGCATTGTCGTAAAAAAATACTTGCTACATATGTTGAGTTCAATTTAATCCACTTAATGGTAGATGATAATCTGGATATCTCTCACAATTTACATGCTTCTTTAGAGGAAATGAGAACTACAGTAGCGAATACTAACCATGATATAAATCAATGTGATCATCTTACTATCATTAGAAGAGACTTATTTGAAATTATTGCTCAGATTTCACGTGATCGCGGTCATTACATTACTGCAATACGTTTTTATCTAGATGCAAAGTTATTTACAGATGCTGCAAATATCTTAGTAGATTGTTTACAGCTACCTATATGTACATCTTTAGTTGCATTGTCTACCCCTCAGAAACAATTCTTTGATAAGTTACAAGGTCTTATTGGAGAGTTTATGAAATATATATCTAATATGCAAATTTCACCTGAATTGCAATGTAAAATAACAACTCTCAAGATTCTAAATAAAGTAGTATATGGGTTTGTACTAATTCAAAAGGGAATGTATAAAGATGCGAAGGAATATATTGAAAATGAAAATCTTATACCTGAATCTACAGACAACATAAGTTTATCAAACATGCTCTATTTACCCAAACTACTAGAGGCTTATGTTATCTGCCTTTTTGAACTTTTCCGGAGTGCTGGAAGTCACTCCAATGGGCTTTTCCATGCAGTAAGTAGAGCAGTTATTTCACGAAGTAATAATTTAATGGCATTACTTTCGATGCTAAGTGCATCACCTGGGGTACAAAGTGATATATGTGAAAGAACTCGCAAGTTACTTAGAGAAGTACTTATGTTAGGTTCAACTGAGCAGCTGTTTACTATAGACACTTGTTAGTAATTAAATTTACAAAACAGTTAAGTGTAATCCACTTTACTATAAAAGTTGAAGTTATGAAATAACAAAACAAACTTTAGATTTAGTTTTTGATAAGAGCAATTATTTATTGTCAAATTTAGTTTAAAATCTATATACATTTAAACAAAAATTACCAGGCATCAGGAACTCTGAAATTTAGTGAAGTACCAGTCCTTTTTTAAAAGCTATTATATCCTGTAGCTAATAATATGTTTTTTAATAACTATAATAGAGCGCTTCCAATTGCTCTCCTTGTACTGCGGTGAATCAGGTATAAAGTTAGGAGTTACATTTAATATACTAGAGATAACAAGGTGGTAAGAATCTTGGAGCTTATGGCGAGATCAAGGAGAGTGAGATTATCTGCGTTAGTTAAAGATAAAGATAAAAGGAAGGAGAGAAATATAGACTTAATAAATAAAGTTCGAGAGTGTTGTACATGTTTTAAGTATATATACGTTGTTATTTTACAGAATCAGAGGAATTCTCTCCTAAAGCTATTCAGGAAGAAGCTCGGAGATGGACACTTCATTTTTGGGAAGAACAAGGTACTTAGACTTGCCTTGGGAGTAAAGCCGCAGGATGAAATAAATAACAATATTTCTTCTATTTCTCAATTACTGAAAGGAGAGCGTGCATTGATATTTTCTAATTTAATTCCCAGCGAAATGATGAAAATATGTGAAGATTCATCAAGCCTAGAGTTTGGACGTACAGGATCTATTCCAGGGATTTCTTATGTTTTAACTGCTGGTTGTAATATAAAGGAAAAGTTGACTTTACCAGATACAGTACTACATAAGCTTGGATTGGAGACTAGAATTCAAGGTGAAAACTATGAATTGGTGAGTGACTTCACAGTTTGTGAAACAGGTGTGCCTTTAACTAATAAGCAGGCACAAGTATTGAAGTATTTGGGAATACAAACAGTTAAGTTTGAGATAATTATTGAAGCATTCTGGTATGATGGAAAGCTTTATAGTTCGAATTCCTGCAATTCAAATTAGAAGATTTAGTTTTTAGTTAAGTTAAATATATATTTACTGGACTTTGTATTTTTCTTTTCCTACTAATGCTGAGAACCAGAACTGAAAGCATATCATTGCAAGCCTACAGATTGGTAAAGATATTATTTGCGCAATACTACCCAGTATTGACAGTGGTTGTGATGTAGTTGATAATAGATAAAGCAATGGCAAGCCAAACTTCCCAAATGTAATATACTTTTCACCACAGAGTGCATAACTTAGTGACTTATCAGCTATCTTGTCAGCACTAAATAAATTTGTAGTACTTTCAATTTTTTTACATAAAGCCGGCTTTCCTAAATTTTCTTTGTGAAATCCAGGTGTATCAATTGCAGGGGGGAATGTAATTGCAATATGTATATTAGAGTTGTAGTATTCCATATTCAAAGCATCTACAAAACCACGAATTGCAAATTTGGTAGCAGCATATACACTGAATCCATATGTTGCTATAATACCTGACTCAGAACAGACAAATAACAGAGTGCCACCTTCCTGTTTCATGAGCTTTAGCAAAAACTGAGCTATTACTACTGTACTTATTGCGTTTAAGCGAAATAAAGATTCAATATCATCTATTGTTGTTGAATTAAGTTCCCTGGCTACTGAAAAGCCAGCGTTAAGAATACAGACATTAATATTTCCATTTAATTTGCAAATATTGCTTATTGTCTGCTGTATATCTACAGTATTTGTTGCATCAGAGGAATGTATAGAGATATTTGTACATGAATTATACTTCTCTTTGTAAAGAATCAGTTTATTCATAGCTTTTTCAAGTTTTAACTTTGATCTGGAGATTATTGATACATGAATTGCATTCTCACGAACACACTTCTTTGCAAAGGCATAACCTAATCCTTCAGAACCACCTATAATTAACACATGGCAACCTGTCAGTTTATTTCTGGACTTGAGTATTTTTTTTTGAAATATATATGCAATGTTTACAACGAAAACTAATATAATATACGAAATAACTAGATTTGCCCACATTTGCTGATACTGAGTCTAAGTGTAGTCTTCCATTTATTTCCAAGGTTCGTGTTATAACTCATGATTCCCGCTAAAATTCTTCATGCCCACGCTTGGTAAGTTTATTATCTGATAATAGATAAGTGCAATATGAACAAAATAACTATTACGGATTACTTCATAAAAAAGACAGATAACAAGCGATCAGTTAAAGATATATTGGATACTGAAGGTTCTGTGGAGAGTTTAGAGAAGAAAACAAGGAAAATAAATGAAAACTGTAATGGAAGTAACAATGCAATAAACTTGATAACTTTTTCGGATTGTTCTGATAATTTTCCATATGAGAGTTTGCTGAGGAGTTATATTGGGGATGAGTGGTTTGAATATTTAAAGAGTGAACTAGCTCAACCATACTTTACTAGATGTTTTGAAACTGTTAGAAGAAAAAGGCAAATATCAAAAGTTTACCCTTCAGAACAAATGATGTTTTTAGCTTTCAAACTAACTCCAATAAGTAAAGTTTCAGCAGTAATTATAGGCCAAGATCCTTATCACCAACCTGGCCAAGCAATGGGTCTCTGCTTTTCTGTACCGAAGGGAGTTACAGTACCACCAAGTTTGCGAAATATTTACAAAGAAATAGGATGTACTGATGTTCCTCATGGGGATTTAACTTCTTGGGCCAATCAAGGAGTATTCATGCTTAATTCTTTACTTTCAGTTGAAGAAGGAAAGCCAATGTCTCACAAGGGCCTGGTACGTACTATTATTCTTTAGTAATAAACTTTTCAATTTTTTAATAAACTTTTCTTTTTCAGGGATGGGAGCGTTTTACAAGCGCAGTTATATCTACTTTAAACTCTATAGACCGGAAGATAGTGTTTTTACTTTGGGGGAAGTCGGCACAAACAAAGGCTGAAAATGTCTGCAAAAACAAACATAAAGTACTTAAGAGTGCTCACCCTTCTCCTTTGTCACAGAAGAATTTTATTGGTAGGTTCACAATATTAAATTAAAATTGTTTGCTTTACAATATTTTATTGTAGGGTGTGGGCACTTTATAAAGTGTAATGATTTCTTGCGCGAACTCAACAGGCCTGAGATAGATTGGGTTCCTACTAAATAAAATCTAGTAGTTTGACTAAAAGTTTAAAATATAACTGACTAGGAATATTGTGTAATTCAGTTTTAATTATATCTTGTTTTAAAAGCTCCTAGTAGTACAATTTAGGTGAGCAAAAGGAAAAAAAGGAAATTCACTAGTTATTATAAATAAGTATATTATCATTAGAAGGTATTGGGGACCAAAAATATTGTGATATTAACAAGATGAGAGTAACTTCACTGTACTTCTTCATTGCTGGAAGTTGGCAGATAGCGGCATACGCGCCTATTATTACTTTGAAACTACCTAAGCTAAAATTTCTAAGTAGGAATTACACTAGAAAATAGCAAATTGACTTTATAAATATATATAATAGGATAATCTTGGAGTTTTTTTAATTAATGCAATTAGATGAAGATTTTAGTTATATTGGGGCTGAAGATAAATCTCACTTTTATATAAAGACTCAGGGTAGCAATAATATGACAAATTGTACTATTTCGACAATTAACACTTCTCAATTTATTTATACTAATAATGAACCACCATACAGTGATTTTGGTAATATTAAAATGAGAAGTTATGTAGCAACTGGGTCAAAAGGTGACCCCACTGGCAAAAATTATGTATGCACCAATGAAATAGTTGATTCATCTCTGTTTAACTACTGCAACACAACTAGTAACCACCAATATATTCATACAAAATATTCCAATACAATCCTTTCAGAAAATGTACCCACAGAAATAAGTAGCTTTAATATTAGGGTTCCTCAGGAAGAAGCTCTTGTACCCCCCTTTGACTATAGAGAAATTGATAGCAAACATCCATTCTACATATCAGAAAAGGTAATTGGTACAAGTTCCTCAAATGAATGTGAATTATTGTCAATTTGTACTAAAGATAATGATATTCCTAAAATATATACGCATGTAGACCCTTTTGGCATGAAGTGTAGATACATTACTGATTTTTACATATATAATTCTAAGAAGTCAAGAATGATACCACTAGATATAATTCCTGATTATTATGTACAAAAGGAGCTTGAATTTGGTGGACTTAAGTTAAAAGGCGATGTAGAAATGTTGAAATCTAAAGATAGAACTAAATATGAGGTGGAAACTTGCTTAGATGAGGCCCAATTAAATAGCAAATTTTTGCTTATTGGTAGCTTAATTCCTTCAGAGCTTGTGCATAATATAGACTCTGAAAAAGAAAAGATATTAAGGGAAAACTACAGGAAGCTAACAAGATATAGGCAAAGTGGTGGAAAATATGTACCTAAAAAAGTTGAAAACGGAAATTGTATAAATAAGAAATTACTTAAGAATAGCAATTTATTTCAGATTTCTACTGCTATTTGCTCGTGGTCTATTGATTACGGCCAAAAACCATATGATATCCCTTATATTTGGTTATACAGCAAAGCTCCTACTTCTAAAGGAAGTAATAGGATTGTTTTTGATGCTTGCTATCGTCTGGATCGCCCTGCTACAAGGTATAACAAGACTTTTTCTTCTGGCAAAATTAAATTTGACATTTTAACTAGATTTATTAAAACAGTCATTTTCCAAAATTTTCATAAAGGTGGTATAAAAACGTTTGTTGATCAAATAACTGGAAAGTCACCTTGTTACGTTAGTAGCACAATCAAACATATAGATTTAACCGATAGTACTTTAAATGAGCAAATACCTGATACACCACAAAGTGGCAAGGCATCACATAGACGATTAGTAAAGAATATCCAGAAATTTAAAGATAGCACATTGCTATCTTCAACTCCTTGGGGAGCTCCAATTATAATCGATGGCTGTTCAGAATATCTTCTATTGGAATTATTACCATGCATTGAATTACATTTAAGACAATATTCATTGGCATACAATATTCCGAAGTTATTAGATTCTCAACTTTATATATCATTAAAAAATCGTATTATAAAGCTAATATCAAACTGTGAACCATCGCTGTCAGAAGAGTATATTTCTTCTAATATAAGTTCACTATTGGATAATACTCATATTAAGGAAAAATTGGTCTTATCAACAGGCAAAATGCATAGCAGCATTTCTGCTAAGCCTAAACCAAAGAAATATGCTTATTCTAAGTCAAAAATGTTGGCTCTAAATCAACTATTATATGATGGGATATTATTTGGCGACTCAATTACTCAGTCACTACATATTTTAGTAGTTGCAGATTTCTTCAGAGCTTTTGGTCGTAAAATTAATATTCCATTCATTTCCTCATATATTTCTATAATTGAATTACTAGCATATAGTGGTGGAGAACTTCCTCATCCTAGAAATGTAATAAATATGTTGCAAAAATTCTTTTCTGAGGTACTTACAAGTTTAAACACAATGATAAAAGAACAATTTACTGAAATTAAATTTAATGAAAAATTTGATCCAGTATTGAAAATAAGTCGTAAGCTTGAGGGAATTGACAAAATTTGTCAATTAATACCTGTAAGTTTATTCTCTCTGAATATTGGGAAATTGTGTGAACTACTTATTGAGCATTGCGATAGCATATCATCTAAAAGTAATGGAATATACCCATTTTCAATTTTTCAAATTAACGAGGAAACACGCAATATACTGAATTACTGTAATTCTAAATGTATCCCTTATGAATATTGGTTAATAAATAGTTTCTCAAATAGTTTACTAGACAACCAAATACACCAACAAACATGTGGATTTGTAGATTATACAGTTGATAAATGTCAATGTGGTTGCAATAAAGGTGTAGATACTAATTATCCTCTAACGCTTTTGAGTTATATAGGCTGCAATGAAATTTGGACTGATAATATCACTTGGCCAGTAATGTTACGACGTATTGTATATGAAATGTCTCATTCTTTTAGCGAATCTATAGTTAACTCAATTAACAAGAATTTTATTGGAATGAATTCCAACAAGTGTGTATGGAAACTTGATCAATCTAAAGCTAAACACTTCGGTACAAGTATTTTTGAGGCTAATGAGATATTTAGGTACCTAGATATACAAAGTGATATGCCTTCTGGTAGCAGAAAATTGGAGCTTATGCATTGGCTAGTGGAGGTTGTTGGGACAGGGCCTGTTGGTAAAAGATTAGTCGAATCAAAAGATGAACTAATTAGTGAAGATTCTAATTGCTCTAAGTATTTGAAATCTTCAACTTTGCCGGATCAAACTGATGTACTACTAGGGGAAGATAGATGTGGTAACCGTTATTATGCATTTGAGGACTTTTATCCAGAGCTTGTTAGTTCACCACTTAATTCTGTTATTCAACAAAATTCTAAAAGTGATATTTGGATAATGGTTGAGATCATAGATAAATCAATCTTATCTATAAACTCATATAATAAAACAATACCCAAAGACTCAAAAAGCTACATAACTAATACAATAGAAAATCACCTCTATAATCCTTCAAATGATATCTTAAGAACTGAACATAATTCATTAAATGATATAAGTACTATCTACAGTGGAAATTCAAATATTAATTGTACCACTAGAGAGAAAGTAAAGTCATTTTATATTCTTCAAGGAAAAGAGAAAATTAGACTATTACTTTCACTATTGGATAATGAAATCCCCTCAGAAAAACAGCTGAAAGTTAAATTTAGTCATATGGTTGATAATGAAGCTAACTTTTGTAAAACTACAGTTAGTGAATATATCCAACAAAGCCTCAAAAGAAAAGAAGAAATATGTACTTTAAGCTCTTCAAGCAAATCTTTATCTGCAGACATATATTTCGAGTTTATATTGGCAGCTATGTCACTGCTACGAGAAATTTTCATTGTATATCTTAAGTGTAACATCCCACTATCTTTTAAATGCTTTTTTGAATATTCTGAATCATCTAATGTACTGGATATTATCACTAAAATATTTTGCTATTTGAATGATAATATATTTGTTACTAACTCAAATTCTATACTTAAAACTATATTAGAAGATATACTCAATTTAGTTAAGATTATCTGCAAAGAAATTTTAGGTATTATTGAACATTTAAATACCATATATATAAAAGAAGTTAACTTATTCTTATACAAATGGGATGTAGAAGTAAATTGTATTCAAAGTTTACTTAATGAAGTGGAGGTAGAGATCAATTTTCGTGAATATTTATCCATTTTGGCAATATACTTTAGGATGTGGATATTCATTGCAATACCAACAGATATATTTATATTATGCTTTGGTTCGTATGAAAAGATCACTAAAACTCAGAAATTGGGTTTTACATTAAATAGAGAACAATTTATCTCTTCACTTGGGTTACTAGAGTTGAGCAAAATGAAAAGTGAAAATATAATTGCTAAAAATATGTATTATCCTGAAGAGAAGTATAATTACACAATACTCGATTTTATCCCTAAGGTTAATCAATATTTAGTTTACTTTAGAACAGGAAATTTACTTGTTTACCTAGACTGGGAGAGTTCAAAACAAATTTCCGAAAGTGGAATACATGTTGTACCTTTTCTTGAGATCCTATCACAGAAAAGTTCTTTTCAAATGTCAGATATCAAAAAAGTCAAAGTTATTAATATTTTATATAACTGTGGCTCTACTCATACTCAAGAGTTTGTAAGACAACCCTCTGGAAATGTTAATCCTGTATTCCAATTAAATTCGAAATTTTGTCCTCACTTTTTATATCTATTATGTGAAGTAATCCCTACTGATGAGACATGTAAAGATGACTCCATTCATTATTACATAAAGTTATTACAAAATACTCAGATATTTAATAAGAATTTAACAAATAATGTGGATCCTTATAAACCGACAAGAACATCAGATAGAATTAAAGAAAATGCAATGTCAAGCTCATTTAGAGATGCTGCCCTTATTGATACCACACTTTCACTTACTGAGTCACGGAACCACTTTATCAATAAAGAACTTTATCTCCTTGCAAAAACAGAACTATTACATCAAAACAATTCGAAATATGCTCATTTGGTTATTCCCACTACACTTTATAGCAATACCATTCGAAAATTGTCTAATATTATACCAGCTGTAAATTACTCTTCTAATATCAATATCACCCCTTCATCACCTTTTTATGCTGTTAAAGAAGAAGTAGTTATACAATCAATCAAGCATTTACTTAATAAAAATGGAGGGAAAATTAAGTACTATAATCATAGATTTCCAGCTAAAACAAGGCTAAAGTCAGGAACTATTAGAAGGTTACTACTTGAGAATCTTGATCTTTGGGAATGCTTATTGTTAGAATCTGATGATAGTAAGAAGCCTAGAGAATCAAGTTTACATTGTATAAATTTGTGGGATATAATCTGAAACCTATAATACACTTTCAAAACCTATATATTAAGCTATTATCTATCATTATCCCTACTACTGTGAATTCTCCTTAGTAAACCACCTATAGAATGGAAAAAAGATGGAAGATCTTTAACGAAATTCAATGGAATTGCTGCAAGATCAATTGCAAATAATGTCTTTTCTTGGAAATATCTAAATAATATAGACTCATTAAATTCAATGAATGGAGTCACTGGATACCGCTGACTAAAGTGAGTTAGCAAGGTAATTTGAGAGCAACTATTATAACCACTTGATACAGCTCCGCAAAAAGTTGAGTGCAACTTTCTAGTAGCTTCCTCAGCAAATTCATTCCCAAAGGTAGCTTCATGAATTAGAATATCACAATTTCTAGCAGCATTTACAACATTTTCACATGGTTTAGTATCTCCTGAAAAAACAAGCGAGTATATAGCTGAAGTTGAATAGTTCATGAATTTCACACACGCCCCATAAGAGTCATTTATATGCTCTACAACAAAAGGTTCCAAAGATATTTTAGAATATAAACTATTTATTTTGGTTAATCCATTGTTATTAACTTCACTATCAGCTTTATAAATTATACCTGTATGTTGACTAATCTTTAATGATTTGTAAATAACTTCCTGTGTTGAAATAAATATAAATAGCTCATCCCTTCTTACGACGTTCCCACTGCATACTTTCTCATTATTACATATATTCTTAGCATGGAAATTCAATATCTCCTCTATTTTCCTTGGTCCAATAATAATAAGAGGTGCAAGTTTATACTCAGTGTAGGTATCTTTATTCTCAAACTCTAATGTTAAACCTCTATTATTCTTTATAATAAAATTTTCTGTAAATCTTGTTTGCTTCCAGTGTTGAGTAAGCAAATTCAGTCTAATTTGAATAAGCTGGAGCAAACCAATATAATGATCTGCATGTGCATGAGAAATAAAGCACACTTTTAAAGTTGTAATGAATTTGAGAAGTTCTTCTAACCTGTAACCATGCAAATAAAATATTTGTGAAACTGATCCTTCACCACAATCAAGCAAAATACTTGTGTATTTGTTCACTAAAATGATATTTCCCGAAACATTTCTATAGCGCGATGGAATAGCAGAGCCAGTTCCTAATATATATAAATATGGGTAGCAAATTCTCTTATTTATTAAGGAATCTGTATCCATATTTAAATCAGAGTTTTGTAGAGCTTCACTACATTCTCTAAGTATTTGTCTGCAATGCTCAATATCAGAAGACAAATTACTTAATTTGGAAAATATTACATCTTTAGCAGTTGAATATAGTTCATATATACATTTATCATTGTAAAATGAGCTATTTTGTCTTTTTAATGGGAATATATCATACCGACTAAGAAGTATATTTTTTGATACTTCAGATATACCCTTTCTTTCTGTCTTTGGAATTGGGAAGATAGATGCTGAAATACAGTGTAAGATATTCTGCTGCACTGATGCTGCAACAAAAGGAGAGTATAGAATGGGTTTATCTGTTTGATCAATATAAATGTGTCTACTTTGAGAGAAAAATAAAGTGCTAAGTTTGTCTAGCTGACCTATTTTATCCAATTCATTTAAGACTAACTGTAAAGTTGGTTTAGAAAAATCAAAGATATATGAAATATAACCCTCCATACTATACTCAGATGTAAATTCTCTTCCTTTTATTTCAAGCATTTTTATTAAGAAATTAAAGAGAGTATATATAACTTCAGTATAGTGAAGTTCATTTAGAGGATGAATAACGATGCTACATGGAATTTTTGTTGGAGGTTCACATACTTGATCATGAGTTACTATATTTGAACTAGGTAATACAACACTTTCTCCTCTTTTCAATATAGCATAAAGTGGTCCTGGCTCAATACCAAGTAATTTTGCCTTTTGACTATCTATTTTCCCTGGAATATCTGGGTACTCGAAGATATATTGAGCTACAAAAACAGACTCATTATTATCCATCTTTCCCCTCTTCTTTTTTCTTCTATCATAATTAGTAGTAAACTGACTATTATTAATAGAAACTTGTACAAAATAAACCCTTATTCCACAATCTATCATGAGAACAGAGTTTGGAACATCAAAAGAGAGTTCACTTTCAGTACGTAGTTCTACAACTTCAATATCCATATTCTTAGATGAGTCAAAATCATTGCTACTCTCATCATAATTAAAAGTAAATGATATAGTATTACTTCCGAAATTTTTTTTTTTAATAGTGTAGCCCATCATTGTTACAAATTCTAGCAATGGTGGTGGTCCAATAACTCTAATTTTCTTATTGCCAAGACTTTGTGCTGTAAGAAGTATTCCAGGTAATCCAGCAACTGTCTCTGTCGAAACATAAGTTATAAATATGTCAGAGATACGTGACAGGCGGATTCTATGCTCATTACAGAATCTCTGAGTATTTTCACCTATATTTATTAATGCTCTGTATCCATCATATACAAAAAGTAATGATGGTGGTACAACAAGAGAGTTACAACCAGTATTCTGAAAGTATATCTCTGATACCATTTTTACTAGGAGCTATGAATATATATATATTACATAATGTATAGTGCAAAGGGAAATATATAAACCTGAAATTGCTCAATAAATACCTAATTTAATAAGCGCCCTGTTGCTGCGGTATTGGGACTGCAAATGTGCTCCTGGTATTAAAGTAGTTTAGAAGTAAAGGAAGTTACTATGACCGAGCAATTTACATTTAAACTTCACAATTTTCTCCCTAGAAGTGAATGTCTCCGTTTACATTCAGAATTAGTCGAGGATATAGACTTAATAATATCAAATCTCACTAAATCCAACAATTCTAGTTCATTAATTAAAAACTTAGTAAGTTCAAAGTCCCATCTTATGAAACAAGAAAACACTATTTCCTCTGCAGGATCTGATACACCTTTCTCAACAAACAAAAAGTAATTCTGACCTGAAGCGAGATTATGAGGAAGTGAGCAAGACAGTGAAGACTAATACATTAAAGTCTCTTGCAAAATTGCTTAAAAATAACACTAGTTCTTCAAATACGCACTCTACTTTGTAATAAATCAGCTATCTACTTCTATTAAAATTAGTAAAGTGAAACTGCCTGCAACAACAAGTCATTGTTGCACCCAATATAGGCACATATAACTTGTACTCTGATACTATTTGATTCGCAACTCTTAAAATCATATTCAATATCTCCATAATAATTTATTAGATGTTCAATATTTACCAGTCCATAATATTCAAATGGTAATATTATAGAATAGTTCATAAAATCTGAATTGTCACTTGTTCTAAATGCAGTAACAACGGTATCACTAATAATTGGACACCAACATATACGAATATCAAACCAATTACTATCTTTCTCCAACTTATTAGCAATAGATCGTAGTAGTGAGTATCTCCAAGTATTTGAACTAGCGAGCTCTTTGTTAAAAGAATTATCTCCTGTTTTATTTTCCATTTCTGATTTCTTACGACATTTGTAACTTCGAACACAGTCCCGCCAGATGCTATTAGCTTAATAAAAAATCAATAAGTTCTCTTAGTACAGGTAATTTTCTTATTTATCACCTATTACATAGTCATTTGAGAAGTCTATGCAGTTACCAAGTACTACTTCACATATATTTCGTACCAATCCGGAGTTCCAAGGATTGGATGTATCAGTAAAGGTATGCCTTAACTGCTCATAGGTAGTTCGATTTACAAAGCACAGGTAACAATGAAAAAACATTAATATAGAGGAAAATATTACTGTAAAAAAGGAAAATCCCATTACTATGACAGCTCCTGCTGCTATTTTCATTGTTTCAAGAAATATCAAACCATGATGTGAGTGTGCACTCTTTATTTCGGATTCATGTACGACATTCAAGACCATAATACATGATCCAGTTAATAACAGGACTTCCGCAACTGAGAGCACAGAGATAAAAAGTAGGAATAGTCTATAGTTACCCGATCCAATACATGAACCTATCCAAGGACAATGATGGTCAAATCGATCAATACAGGTACCACATAATTTACAATGAACACTTCTAAGTGATCTATATACTCTACAAGAAATACAATATTTTGCTCTAAATATATGTCCATTGATTGGAATATCTAAGGTTATAGATGATGGTGCTGTATATGTTTTATTTGGATTTAATGATTCCTGAGGCACTATTCCAGGATTTACAAATGATGCAAATAGGAATACTGGAATTAATACAACTGTGCACATAATACTTATCACTAATATTGAGTAGTAATCATGATTAATTAACCAAGGAGCTACTGTAGCAAAAAAAATAACATAGGGGCCAAATATAACAACTAATGAAACAATCAATATATTCTGCCCCGGAGTAATAGCAAATTTGCCATTAAGTAGTAATTTGCAATTCCCAACATTTTTACTCATTAAATATTATATAGCTACGCAAGTAAAATTTTGGCAGACCTTTGTGAAATTACAAATGAAACGGAAAAGATTACCGCCAGTGTAAAGTTAACATTCACAAGTATAAAAAATTTTAAAAACCTACTTCCACTAGAATTTGAACTCTATAAGATTGTGTTAGATCGAGATAACTTGACATCCTAAATCAATACTATTTGAATCCATCTCCACAGAATGGAACATACCTACGTTATGCATCCCTTCTGATAAAGGAACATATCCCACTGGTTCAATCACCTCATCCATACAACCATTAGTTCCCTGTTGGGCAAAGACATAAAATGATGACACCAAACTATCCCCAGAGATCTCTTGATATTGAATATTATTAGTGTCAACTGTAGTGCTTAGAACTAGCGATGTTTCATATGGTAAATAACAGGTACTTTCTTCATTAATATCCACAGTGCTGCTATATATAGAAGAGTTTTGATCTGCACTTGATTCATAAATTCCCAAGTGCAAGTCTTCTATATCAAGAATATGATAAGGGGTCATTACAGATGCGGTTACATCATGTGGTCCATATTCATGTGTAACAAAGTCAGCTAGTGCATTTACGTCAACTGGGTAGTTCTCTGTTAACGAATCAACAAGTTCAGACCTTCCCATATTTTTATCTACATCTTTTCTCTTCGATTTTAGCCTTTGTCGTTTAGTTATTGGTTTAACAACAGAACTGCTTAAAGAAAGACTACCTAATTCTTTGATAGAACTAATTTCTTGTATGCAGTGAGAAAAATCTTCATATTTACTTGCTACAGATGAATGAATCCCTGGTATAGACTGTGATGCAATTAAAGCATGCGGAGTACCATATAAGTTTGGTGTTCTATCTTCATCATTATATATTATAGAACTGGTAATTAAATTAGAAGCAGATTCACTACAGTTCAAATTACTTAAAAATTGAGATTCTTTATTCATAGATATAATATTTCCACTGCCCTGCTGCATAGTATCCTGTTCATTAATAGATTTAGAACTATCTCCACACAGGGTTTGATCTTCCACAGTAGAAGCCGCTACTGGAATTGGAGGAGGTGAGAAGTTGTAAACTGATCCTATTTCAAGACACTTCTTATTTGTCATTGGTGGTGTGTATGATGCTGTAAAGATTGACATTGGAGAGTTTGGGTCATTGTATATTCCTTTATCCCCAGTTAAAGGTGTTTTTGATGAAAATTGGTGATCTTGACAGTATCCATTTATACCTGAAGTGTATGAGCTGTAACTACAAGGGGAACCATTTGGAGAACGCAAATTTAGTTCAACCTCACCAATAGAATTTGGTTTTGAAGATATTTTTATGATGCTGGACTCATTCACGCTAGCACTACCCTCATAAGGTTCCATTATATTAGACAAATCAGATCCAGAAGGTGAAGAAGCTGGTGTTGAAGCTTGTGCTGAGGACTGAGTAGCATTGCTTTGTATATTGTTTGTTGATAAATTAGTAGCTTTTGTTGAGTCTCTATGACGTGGACGTCCAAATTCACAATGAATGCTCAGTGCATAGTCAAATACATCGCATACATATGATATTTTAAATAACTGTTGAACACTTGCAAATCTTATACGGGTATATGACAGACCATGGTCAGTTAATGCTTTCTCCATCTTTGTGGGATTTTGAGTGTGTATCTCACGCAGCTTCTTCAATAGCATCTTCCTCCCAAGATCCCCCAGTGGAAGTTTAAACCCTTCGTAATATTTAATTGAACTTAAGTCTTCAGTAACTACTCCTGAAATCCCCTGGGGAGAACATTCACCTGAGCTAACATACATCTTGGAATAAGTGTAGTCTTCCAGGGTTTCACGCACCTTCTTAGAGCGCCCTTTGACAGATGCAGATTTCTCCAAATGACTTTGCATATTATTTACAGTTGTACTCCCAGAATGTCCTCTATTCTGAGAGTTATAAGTTCTTTTCCGTCTATTTGTATCCTTTTTGGAAGACTGCGCTCCTTCTAAGTATGAAATACTATATGAAGAATTCCCTCTAATACTAGGATGAACTTGAGTTTCTGTTGTAGAGTGAAGATAAGAATTCGAGTTATATCCTGTTGAAGCAAATGATGACTGTTGACAACCCAAAGTCTGAGTAGTATTTGTTGTACAGTTAGAATTGTGACTCGTTGTCAGATGTGAACCATACTGCTTACTGCTTGCGTGCTTAATTATACCGTCACTAGATAGAGAAGCAAAATTTAGTGTTCCACATCCTTGCCTACAATACTCACGATTTTCTAGTAAAGTTTCTGCTGTGACCGTATTTCCTGATGAGGAGAGTAATAATCCATCATCTATTAGAGTTGGTATATTTATTCCATCAACAAGCTGAAAACATCCCATCTGATCCCAGGTAAACCCATGTTCCACATTCAATGTATCCATCTAAAAAAAACAAAAAACAAAAGACAACTCCTCCAAAAAAAAAAAAAAAGAAAATTAGTATGTAGTAGTAGAGACCTTCTGCACGCAAATCGAAAGATAAAGAACTACTACAAATTGTTTTCTTGAAGTCAAACCTGCAAGTTACCTTCTCCAACGCAATATCTCTGTAGTAAAACCACTGAATTCTAATGAAGTAGGTGTCATATAGTGTAAATAAATTAAAACTTAATTACCCCGCATTTGACTCTAATCGTACAGTCAAGTCAAAACTATTATATTCCACCTCACGTCATTGTATCTGATCACCTATGCTTTACGTAGCGACTATTTGATGCGGACCGACAGAAAGGGGGAGAAGCTATTGGTAGGTGCAATTATACATTGTGGGCGGCCATAGCTCGAACACTGTACGTACACGTCTAGGAAGTTAGGCCTACCAATTGAAAATTCAATTTTTCATTGCTTCTTAAAACTATTGCTAGTAGTCAACTAAATTAAGGGTTTAATCTTTTGGGATCACGAGGGAACATTGATGATCTCCTTATATTTCCTAAATTTAGAAATAACATTACGACACGTTCTAAACCAATTCCACAACCACCATGAGGAAAGGCACCTAATTTAAATGAATCTATATATTCTTTTATTGACTCAATAACTAAGCCACATTCTTCTGCTCTCTTCATTAAGAAATCATAATCATGAATACGCTGAGCTCCACTGATAATCTCCTCTCCTCTCATAAAGAAGTCGTACGAGTTAGACCAGTTCTATAAAGAACAAAAGGATGAGAGTATGATAAGCTAATAATAATCGAAGTCAGTTGGTGATGCATGATATATGTCATCAACTTTATCCAAATTGGATAAAACAGGCTATGGGTGAATAAATGTTTACATCATCCTTCGATACTACGTATTCAACATACCTCAGGATCTGCAGGATCAGGCATAGTATAAAATGGACGAACTTTCAATGGATATCGTAAAAGTATATAAAAGTCAGAGTTGTACTTTTCCTTAACAATTGAACCTATCAGGAAATCCAGAATATAAAGTAATAATATCAAGAACAAATAATTATCAAACAAAACTCACCTAATAGTTTCTCATGTTCAGTAGAGAGATCAAACTCCTTTATATTATTAGGTATTTCAACTCCTGACTCTCTTAGTAAATTACATCCTTCTTCAAAAGTAAGACGAGGTGTATTCACTGGAATTTTAAATGGAGGAAATGAGTAATTGTTACTTATTACTTCCAATTCATATTGGCACCTTGTGTTAATTCCATTAAAAATAAAAATAAATAATTCCTCTAATAAATCCACAACTTCAATATAGGAATTCTTAATAGTCATTTCAATATCTAACCCAACGAATTCGCATAAGTGACGATGAGTATTTGAATTTTCTGCACGGAACACAGGACCTATTTCAAAAACTCTGTCCATATCTCCACATATTGCCATTTGTTTATATAATTGAGGAGATTGAGCTAAGCATGCTGGTTGACCAAAATACTTCAGTGTAAATACGCTTGCTCCTCCCTCTGATGCACCACCCAATATTTTGGGTGTATGTATCTCAATGAATCTATTCTGAATTAAAAATTCCCTAAAAAGTTCACACACCATTGCCTGAATGCGAAATATTGCCTGATTTGCAAAAGTTCTCAGATCTAGAACGCGATTATCCAACCTTACATCCTGCAGAACCCTTATTTGGTTACCATCTGAGAAGTGTGAATCAACCTCAGGTCTATTAGCGTCTTTCAACTGAAATGGTAGCTCTTTCGACGCAGCAGATACACAAAAAGCCTTATGAATTATGATCTCTACTCTCTGAGATGAAGAAGATACAGGTATTTCCGGAATAACGACTTTACCATATATATCAACAATGCTTTCAATTGGTAATGACTTTAACCACTTAAGTAAATCCTTCTTGGTACCTTGATTTACGTTAGCAACTCCTTGTACACTGAAGAATGATTGACGTAATAGAAAGAAACCTAGTGATCCTTTACATCTAGACTCAGCTATACGTGCTCGAAGCCATAAAAATTTGCCTTCTATTTCAGGTATCAAATATTTAATATCAACAAATTCTCGTATAGCCAAGAACCCCCTTAAGGGAACCATACCATAGTCAGATAAACAGAAATCTTCTGCTACTATGGATTGCCAAGGAGGAATGCCTAGTCCAGGATCATTAGCTTCCCTCTTTGTCTCCTTTGATAATTGTCTCTCCACTTTCTTAGCTGCCTTTTTAGAAAGAGATCCACTTTTATTGAGTGCCTCCCCTATATTAATAACTTTATTAATTTCCATTTAAAAAAAAATAGCTTCTGTTTGATTATATTATGTTCAAAAATATCAATTAAAAAGTCAGGAAAAGAATTTAAAAAAGAAAAATAGCGCCAAATTGACATAAAACAACCGGATTTACGAACCTGTTATATAATGCGGTCTAACTGAATGCCATACTAGTTTCAAAGTGGATCTTTTTGTTAATTTAAATGAATACCCCTAATTATTCTTTGAAAAGTAACTCATTACTTATCAAATGTGGCTTAGCGGCACTTGCTTATTATGCACCAATAGATATTATTGCATTTGGGATATTTGGCTGGACAATGCATTGTTCCAACTCAAGGAGATATGTTGCAGTTAATAGCACACCTAGTATTGACATCCCTAAGATATCAGTAAAGAAATATAATGAATTACTAGGGACTAAGTTTATTGCTACTTTTCAACAGCAAGATGTACTTCGCAACAATATATTGAAGCCAATACTATGATATCTTCACCTTAGTGATATAAAGATACAAAATAAATAGCACTATTTCAACTTTCAACTAAAACCTACTTTTATTTTTTTTTTGCCATCTATTTGAATTTGGGTTTCCCTTACCCATCCCAATGACAACTTCTGGGCATGTTTTAGTGTTATACTTATAGTTATTCCACACTTCTTGGAAATTAACACCATTATTAAACTGAATCCTCTCATTGTATATTTTCTCCCACTGTTTTTTTTTGTGAATTATTTGTTTTTGTATGCCTCCCATTAATAATTGATCTTCTGCAAAAATAAGACTTTTCGATTTTCTACCTGTCTTCGGCTTAGGAATTGAATATATTGTTCCTCTAAGGTTTATTTTTCTGCGGTTATCCTTTATATAAATAAGTCCCCCAGAAGAAATTTCAATTGGAACACGATCTAATGTAGCATTGCCACATTTGCTACAGAAATATTTGTCAGTTAATTTTTCAAAGTTATAGCATCCTCTACAAATAAGTTCCCACCTTTTTATACTTTTTATTAGATATCCACAGATACTCAGTACATTTAGACCCATTTGAACAATAACATTTTGCATAGAATAATCTAAAGTCATACATGCAACAATTGCATTAGATTTCGTACTTAGTGACAACCCCCCATGAATGCTGTCTATATTCGATTTAGTAACCCATTCGCCTTCAGATTCACTACCCGAATTTCCTAATATTCCCTGCTCCAATATAGTATGAGACTCCATTGAAAAAGGACTCAACAAATCACCACCAGATTCTAGACTCTTGTTCATAAATTCATTTTCACCATCTCTACTTGTTTTCTTACCTTTATCTATACACATTCTAGTGAAACTTGTTTCAGCAGGCGAAGACCTAATACATAGCTTATCATCATATATTCTATGAAACATTAACGTAAGAGCAATGACATGGATATCTGTTATTGATAAAAACCCACTATCACCAGTTTTTTTTGAGAATTCATCTACAAATTTACAGCAGTCCTCACTAGGGTTAACTACTTCCAAGGCTTCTAAAAAGGATGTCTTCCCAACATCAAAAAAGCTTTTATCATGAATCTCAGCTAAAACAGAAGGTGTTGTCAATAACTTAGCTTCACCAAAATTACCAGCTCCTACTCTGAGTATTGCACCTGTATCTAAAATAATGAATTTGGGCATCGAGAAGAGTATTTACTACTTTGACTGTCCAACCATAACAAGGTTTAACTTATTTATCCCTTCAGGCGCCATAACTAAATTTTCAACTTATTGAACAAATGCCAATTTTCAAAATTAAGCATGTCTACTAAAGAATACAATTACAAATGAAGAGAATTATTAGGCAAGGAGAACTATATAAACAGTAAGTTATTAATTATGTAATTCCTAAATTTCTATTGTTTATTAACAAGATTATTGAATCTAGACCAACTTCTGGTAGCTTAGTCTCAATAAACTACTCAGTAAAGCTGGAAGATGTAGACGTTATTGACACTCAAGGTAACCTAAGCAAAAATAATTGTTTTGTAATTGCTATTAATGATATTATTCCCAAAATTTTCAGAAGAGTGGAAGGGTCAAATGAGTTTTGTCTTAGGGACATATACTGTCATACATGGATTAGAAGCAATAATATATGAGATGAATATAACGGAAATAGCACAGGTGGTATGTTAACTCCTTGATCTATAAAGCACTAGATATGTTCATTTTATTTTAGAGATTAAGCTATGAAGAAGTATTTGGAAAAGTTCGATTTCCTGGAATACCCCCAAAAAGTGTACTAATAGTAAGTAATATCAGACACAATCCCATTCTGATTTTACACAACTTCTTTTAGATAGAAATCAATTTGTTGAACTGCTCAGAAGTTAAAGATGAAAATAGTATACTGGGTTTAGAAAGTACATTGAGTCCAACTAATAACATTCAACTTGCAATGGATATAAAGCTCAAAGGTAACCATGCATTTCAACGAGGAAACTATTCACATGCCTTAAATTTGTATAAAAAGTCCTTATCTTTCTTAAGTAATACTCAGGAATGGTCAAATGAAGAGGATGCCTACTCTAAATCTGTTAGAGTAGCATGCCTCCTCAATATATCAAAGTAAGATTATTAAATTTTTTTCTCAATGAAATATATTAACTCTTGATTTTCAGCTGCTTAATAAAAGTTAAGGATTATGTTACAGTTGTAAAGATATGTTCTGATACTCTTCTTATCGACAAGGTACTTTCAATATCAATGACTTACTCTTAGTATTACATCCACTCATTCTACCTTTTGCTGCTTGAATAGTATAATGTTAAGGCCTTATATTTCAGAGCAATTTCCCAGATTAATTGTGGAAATATTGAAGAAGCTTATAGTGATCTCCATAGTGCTGCTAAATTACAGCCTATGAATACTGAAGTTAGAGAGAAACTTCATCAAGTAAGTACCTTTATTGCCAGTAAGATCCTATTAAAAACTAACTTATCTTAGTGTATAAGACTTCTCAAAATTAAAAATAAAGAGCTAGCTCCGATATATAATGCTATGCTTTCTAGAAAGTAAAGCATGCATTCTCTAATATCATACTCTTAATTTTAGATTGTGTGCACGTGTGCACCTCTAGCTCTATAAATTAAATTTTTTTACGTAGCATAAAAAAGAAAGAACTTTGTTTTTTTTGTTGGCAAACAGATAGATGTATCTATTGGGATGATTTGTAGAGATTGGTGCTATGGATTATTTATAGCAACTTGTACAAAATAAATTTAGTTGCAATGAAAGTTAAAGTCATATTACGGGCTCCAAAATCTCAACTACCACTTTATATGACCCTAAATAGTGCAAAATATGGGTATAAAGATGTATCTGCATCTTTAAAAGTTGTAGAGTCTAATGAAGTAATCAAGTGGCTAAGTGATAAGTCTCGCCCTAAGTTCCTAGTCATGCCAATTGATGGTATTAGTATACCACCCCAAAATCAATCATATAGAGACTCTGAGAAGACAGAAATGCAGGAGTATCGAATTTCAACGAATAAAATAAAGGAATTCTCGAAAAAGTACTCCCCCCGTAAAGAAATATTTACTACTAGCCATTTACGCCACGAGTACAAAGAAAAAGACTTGAAATACTGCATATATTCTTTACTTGATAAAGATTCAGTAGTAAAATCTGATGCTATATCAGAGAAATATATTGGTAATATATCAAATACTACTCAAGATATACTGAGTATGCAGACAACCTTGGTTCTACTTCATAAGATTACGAAGTATAAAACATCCGAATTTTCCATGAACTCACACTCATATACAAAGTACAAAGGTCGTCCCTTGAACTCCAACAATAGAAGGAGTATTTTAGAATGGAAACCTAAACTAGAAACTGAGATTGAAGATTGTCGTATCAAGAAATTTAAGACAGAATCTTGGGCTTACCTAGATTTGAATAGAGATGGAGAACCATTAGGAATTCCTGCAGATTCTAAGTGTTTTGATAAGGATAATTACTTAATATTTAATGAAAATAATAGTGAAAATACATTGAGTAATGTTGGTTCATGCATAAATCAATTGCCAGACTATTGTAATTTGACGACCAGCTTTACTGATAATAAATTAAAGGAATCTTTTCCTATCTATAGCGATCATTTAAATAATATGTTTGAAATAATAAATAATAAGTCTTGTTTTAAAGAGACAAACCAAGAAGATTACCATATAACTGAATCGAATGAAATTTCAAGAGATAATATATCTGGAATTGAAAAAAGTTGTGAGGAACTACATCAAGAAGTGAATAATTTAAAAATGGACACTCTTACTGACAATATAAAAAGCTACAGAGAAGAAAAGGTGGATAAAGATATTGAAAAGCCTTATTTTAAAGAAACTAGTGACAGGATGGTTGACAAATTCCCGACCAAATATCCCACTATTGGTGGAATTATATCATGCTCATCAACAGAAAACTTTAAAATTTGTAATGAGCAAAACTACTTAAGAAAATCTTATACTTGCGACAAAAATCCAATTAAGAGTGATAGTAACAAAGTAGAATATTCTTATAACAATAATGCCACTTCTGGGATTTACTCAATAATAAATCAAGATCCTCTAGTTATTACTAGCTTACAAAATTTGGAGTGCAAGAATACCCGAAGTTTTGTTGAAAATTTCTCTAATATTCATCCTAAGACAAATATAATTGATATTGGAGATGATGACACTCAAATATCTCAAAGTAATTTTACCCCTCTCAAAACTGTTGGAGGCCAGACAAAGCTTATATATACCAATAATATATTAAATATGAGCAATATTAATAGAAATACTGATATACTAAGAGTTAATACAGAGAAGAAATCAAGTATACCCCCAAAAGATGGTGTTAGTCTAAATTTGTCGGAGAAAATTGTTCAGATATCAATTACTGAAGGTGAACAGAATCCTGACTTCTCAACTAGTGAACTCGATAGTTTAGATAGTAAACTAAAAACTGCAGTAAAGTCAGCTGTTAAACTATACGATAGCATCCAAACAGGAGACAATGACTACATTAAGGATGGGCTTTTGAAACTACTTTACAGTTATACTCTTTACCTTGAATCCTTATATCTCAAACTACAATCTGAAGGATCTGACAAAGCTACTGAATCTAAGTCAGAAGGACTTAAAGTGTCAAGAAAGCAGATTTTGCAACAGAAAGGAACTATCTCTAATAAGTCTGTACCTGAAATAACTTTTTTAACTAAAGATAATACTCTAGAAAAAAAGAAGTCGGTTAACTGTAATTATAGATATAGTCGGCTTTCTGAAATAACTAACATACCAAAGACTGAACTACCTAACTTGGTAGACAATAATGATAAGACTAGTCCTCAAAATAAACGATCAAAAAGTGAGGATAGAAAAAAGTATGGATTTGAAAGCTTGTCTAATATACCACTCTCTACTGCTACAGTAAATAAGTCAAAACTACTTATAGATGCAAACCAAAAACTACCTTTAAGTAAGTGCAGTATTTTGAAAAAAGATAAACTAAAAGGAATCAATTTAGGTGAATTACCAAGGTTAGTTTCAAAATCATTACCAAGTAGAAGCACGACAATCAGAAATAAAAAAGTATTAAATATAAATGCCTCGACTATGTCTTCGGTAACGAGTAGAACAGCATCTTTAGGAGAAAGATTGATTACAAAGAATTCTCAGAAAAGTACGAGTGCATTGAAACGTATTGAATGTAGCTACAATTTAAAAACCAGAACTAATTGTAATAATGATATAAATGTTTTAAATATTAATAGGGTAGAGAGGCAATATGAAGAAGACTCTAAAATAAAAAAGAAATTTAGTTCTCAAATTAAACTACAAAAAAGGAGCGAGAAGAGTCAAAATAGCTCTGGAACATCTATAGGAAATTTTCAAGAATTACCTCAAGTATCACAATATGGTAGAAATTTTAACAAGCACTCACTAGAGAAAAAAGACATTTCACAGAAAGTTTCAACATCTAGTGATTTCAGAGATTTGACAGTAATTCCATCACTTACTGTGGGTGGTCCAAATCAACTATCAAATACATCATATTCACAGTGCATGTGTTCTAGTTGTTTAACTACAAGAAGTATAAAACAAAAGTGCAAAATCCCAACTATTTTGAGTTTCTCCAATTTAAAGCAACCTTTTAAGTTGTCAAGGTACTCAAATAAAGCAATCGAAACACCTAGATGTCCCGTTGTATGCAACTTTTTATACAGATAACTAAATGCATATTTGTTTTAAAAAGAATTAGTGCCCTTTTAGAGCTATATTATAAGCATTAAAGTTAAATGATTATGACGAGTCAAGTTGGAGAACATTTTCAATCAATTGCTCAAAATCGCGTATATGTAAATTATTGGATGAAATCTTAACTAAAGGACCTATTTCATGTTTTATTAGCTGATTAATAGGACCATTTAGCGACAAACTTTGAGTTGAATACTCATTACTACTATCTAAAGAGATATTTTCATTGATTGTCATAGAACCAACTTGTAGCTCACTTTTTATGCCGTTACTAATGTATATTTCTAGCCTATATCTACAATGATCCAATTTTGGAGTTGATCTACACTCCCATACCCGAAACACTATATGACTTAAATAGTTCAAATCTAAAGAACATAATGTTTTAGTATTATCTGCCATGTACAACTTTTCATTCACTTTATTTTCTGTTGCAAGAATTATATTTACTAAAGATTGTATATGAGAAGCTGAAGTAACATAAAATCTACTTCTAACAATTCTCCATGGGGATTTTATTCCAAATGCACTTGCTTCTTCTTCCTTCAGTCTAATATGTTCCTCATCATGGACCTGTGTTAACTTTTCAGTGGAGTAGTTTTGTACTGAAGAAAGATTAATTGTATTGTCATAACTATCTATTTGTGATCCAGTATATACTGTACAATACATAGGACTTTTTTTTATCGTATTTATATTTGCTAGATTTCTTAAGTATGAGTATTTGATATCGTGACGCAATTTATCAAGCAAATCATAAACAATCCCCTTACCAATAGCCACTTTCTGTAATGAAGTGAGTCCATACTGAGATTTGGAAACAAATTTCTTGAGTGGCCTAACAATATCATGTATTTTAATTAGTAATTGTTTAATATTACTATCCACATAAGAATGAAGATTATTTAAGTCATATGTAACATTGTCAAATATATCTGGAATCTTGTTTGTAGCATATCGATTTGTCTCTTGATTATAAAATGAGATTGTCAGCTGCTTCCACCGGTACTTGATATCACTCCAAGGTGAAATATACTTGTTCTGATTCTTTAGAAGTGACCCACCACTGACTTTTGAAGAGACCCTTGAAAATTTACTATCTTCATGATTGTGGATCTGAATATCTTTCATATGAGTAACTAAAGAGCACATTATTTGATAAAGTGTTTTCAACCTATCAAGAGGATTTCCACAGCCTATTAGAGCTTCCTTTACACTTTTTGATAAAGTTTGGAGATTTTGTGAATGCTTACCAAATGTCAACTCTTTATAAATACAACACTTCCCAACCTTCTCCTCCCATAATTTATCTATGACTTTATCTGTAATAACTTGGTCAACATTTAAGAGATACTCAATCATATCCTTACAAATTTTTCTATCGGGCATGGATGTGGGATCATCCAATAGGTGATGTGCATATGAATCTCTGATTACTAGCTGTACCAAAATGGGTGTAAGATCACCCTCTAAGTCAAGAAATCCTTTAGTAAATGCAGCACTTGTTAGCTGACACCGGCCTTCATCACTAGAATAGATCTTGAAATCATGACGAAAAGTAGAGTGTAGTCTCAACAGCCCCTCTGAGTCGCCTGGATATAGTGTAGCTCGTAATCTTCGTCCCATTTGTTCTGCTTGTTCACGACCTACATTTGTTAGGTCGCCACCCCACTTTGCAATCACCAAAACTTTAGTGACATGTTTTAATTTCACATTGTTTTTCCATTCTATAGGCTTTAGTTGGACCTTCCTATTTACCCCAGAAAAACCTTCTCCTTGTTCTAGAAATAGCCGTAACCTAGAATGACTATGAATTGTTTTCATTATGCTTCTGCATTCATTAAAATCTATATTATCCATAGGATCCTCAAGTTTCATAAAAAAATATTCCAATATAGTAGAATTTCTACTAAGTAAAAGTGATAGTTCTTCTGGTGACTTTAGACGTTTAGTGCTTGAATTATTTATTTGGAAAGCTAAAATTAGTGGGTGAGAGCTCTCAAACTTTAGTTTTAATTTGGGTTTCCTATCACCATGTCTCATAACTACTATTACCGTGCTGAGCTCTTCATTACTCATTTCTTTAATTTGTCTATCTTTATATTTGTTTATGTTTTCTCTATTTAACTGGGAAACTGTCGATACTTTGGGAAAGTCATGATTATCTAATGCCACCTTTGATGGTCTTAAGACAAAATTATATTTTTTTTGTAATCTTTTCAAGAATATTATTCTGGTAATATGTGCACAATCATTATAGTATTTAGTATTTCCTTTTACAAAACTCCACCCGTTAACATCACAGACCACAGATCTATTATTTGTAGTACGTAAAATATCAAATCCACATACTGTTTGTTTAAAAGCTCTAACTATTTGATGAGCAATTATTTTTTCTTCATGACTTAATAGTACAGCATATCTAACTTCCTTTCCTTCTAATGTTCTTTGAACCTTCCCATCAAGGCAAGGAGACTTCCTTGCCTCAGCATGTGCAAACATTGGGCCAACAGTGTATACTTTTATATCAGTCCCAAATGTTGGTATGAATTTCTCATATATAAAGGTACCATTTTTCCTAACCTGCCATAGTGTAGAATCATATTCACTACTCCTATCTCCTATTTTTCTGAAGAGTTTCTTGCATCCACCACCGCTATTTTGGGGATAATATATCCAATTGTCATGCCTATCAGCTTCAATAGGTTTTTCAATAAATGGTTTATTTATTCTTATCCCGCGATAAATAATATAATCTTGTGATTCAACAAAAATAGATTCATCATATTCTTTTAATCTCTCAACTTCTTTATGATCAATCACTGTAGACTCAGGCCTTGGGATTCTCCACTTATCCAAAACCTTATATATCTCAACTCTACTCCTCATTTCTTTTTGCTTTTTTATATCATTCATTACTACTGGTTTAAATAACTTCACATAATTAATAACCTTTTGCAAAGGAAATCCATTTGAATGAAATGCAATCAAACAATCTACTCTTGGCCAAAATATACAGTCTACCTCCAGTATCATACTCTCTTGAAAAATAATAATAGTAAAATCTCCTGTTTGGCTGAGTAGTTTAAGGATATTTTGCATAGGTATACCACTCACCTTATTGGCCATTGCACAGATACCCAGGGAAAATGGGCCATTTCCCAGATATTTGACTTCAGGTAAAACATTCATTATACTCACATTGGATAAATCAAGATGTAACTTACTGAAAAAGAGGAAATTTTAACTTTTTAAAGGATTTATTTTGAATTGACACTCGTTTCCGAGTTTTAAAAGATCTGAAGTTTTCTTTCCTAGTCTACTGTTTATAGTTAATTCATTAAAAAAAACTGCTAAAGTTTTATACAAGAAAATTACTTTAAATGCAACAGATGAAACGAATAAAAGTTGATAATCCTATTGTGGAAATGGATGGAGATGAAATGGCCCGATTAATGTGGAAATGGATAAAAGAAGCTCTAATATTTCCATATATTGATGTCCCAATTAAATATTTTGATTTAAGTATACAAAATCGCAATGATACAAATGATCAAATAACAATTAAAGCTTCAGAAGCTATTAAAAAGTATCATGTGGGCATAAAGTGCGCAACAATTACTCCTGATGAGAGCAGAGTCAAAGAATTTGGCTTAAAACAGATGTGGAAATCACCTAATGGTACAATTAGAGACTACTTGAATGGAACCATTTTCAGAGAACCAATTATTATCAAAAATATTCCGAGAATAGTCCCCGGTTGGGTATCTCCAATAATAGTGGGACGTCATGGATTTGGGGATCAATACAAAGCCACAGATTTGATAGTGAGTAAAGCAGGGAAACTTGAATTAAAGTTTACTCCCAGAGATGGGAGTGATTCCACTATAATAGATGTATATAATTTTTCTGGCCCAGGAGTGGCAATGTCAATGTACAACACAAATGAGAGTATCCAAGGTTTTGCAAGAGCTTGCTTTAATTATGCAATTAATTTAAAGCTACCATTATATTTAAGTACTAAAAATACAATATTAAAACAATATGATGGGATTTTTAAGTCAATCTTCGAGAAGATATATTTAGAAGAATTTAAAAATCAATTTGATGATATGGGATTGAAATTTGAACACAGGTTAATAGATGATATGGTTGCATTTGCTCTAAAAAGTAGTGGGGGATTTATTTGGGCATGTAAGAATTATGATGGTGATGTTCAAAGTGATATTGTAGCACAAGGATTTGGATCACTAGGATTAATGACATCAGTACTATTAACTCCAGATGGCAATATAGTAGAAACTGAAGCAGCTCATGGCACAGTAACCCGACACTTTAGAGAGCATGAGAAAGGCAATAAAACTTCCACAAATCCTGTTGCATCTATCTTTGCTTGGACAAGAGGTCTATATTACCGTGCCAAATTTGATAATAATTCTGAACTTAAGCAGTTTTGCGAATATTTGGAAAAATCTTGCATAGAAACTATAATTTCAGGAATACTAACTAAGGATTTAGCACTGTGTAAAAATCCAAAAGCTAACAGGGATGACTATGTGAGCACTGAAGAATTTATTAGTGCCATAAAGAGTAACCTTGATACTAAAATATTTAGATCCTGAGTTTTTAAATTTATTTGGAAGATTAGAAAAGCAATAAAACTTAATTGTTATTAATATATATGAAAATATGTTTTCTTGAGAAATACTAAAAAAAAAGATTATGTGTCATCTTTTGTAATAATATTAATATACAGATTTACTACACATTTAAGTTGAAATTGTACAAACTAGTGTAAAACTATTAGATAATTGATGTGTGTTCAAAGTAGCTTTGTATCATGAGACTTAAGGAGTTTTATTTTAAATTTCACTTGAAACTTTAAGAATTAACGATATAAACAGACCTAATATAGAGATAATACAGAATATTGCATTATTTTATTAAATTAAATTGTGTTATGATACAAGATACTGCAAATACATGAAATTATATTTTTCTTTTAATATTTTGGTAATTATCTAATAGAGATTAAAGGATAATATACTTCTTTAGCATATATAAATAATATTACATTTAAATAAATACTGATAAGTATGATATTACTTTATTTGATAGTCATTTTTTAATAAAAATTTATGCAAAAAATTAAGCCTCTAAATAATTTATAAGATTTCTCTTTATCAAAGATGTAATTTCACAATTTTCTCGATAAATTTTATTTTAAACTAGCAGCTTATATATGCATAGATCGAACAAGTAGATTATTTACAGACTAAGATAACTAGAACCACAATAACTTTAAGAGTAATTATAATAGTGAAACCCCTAGTAACTCCATTAGTTAATAAAGAAAATTTTATAAATAGTAGAAAGAGATTGTATAAGGGGAGGAAGATAAGGGAATTAAACTCAATTCCAAGACTATAAAAAAAAAGGTAGATTTACTTTACAATACATAATATAGTTTATATTAAGTCACCCTCTCCACTTTTCTTGCATGTTTCGAAAAGGTAATCACTTTTTTATGGTATTGAATTGATCATTTATTAGTATTCCTAATTGAAAATATAAAATACTTCTTGAAAAATACAAGTGAAAAAATATATCGGCAATAATCCAAAAATTTTCAACTTAGGTCCAGTAGTTAATCTTTATTATAATAAGATATACAATTATTATTTTTATATTAAGTTCACTTCAAAATAATTAAATTAGTATCTTATTCATTTTATTACTTGGAAAGTAACAGTCATAATTTCGTAAAGTTATAAGAATATTAGAGGTAAAATAAACATCACTCAATTTCACTATTTGGTAAATAACTACAAAATTCAATGAATAATTGATAAAATCCTAAAGGTATGCTGATCTTTAGTGTCAGTTACACAAAATCAACTTGAACAGCAAGAGTAGCTTGAGACTAATTAGCAAATCATTGTACATTGAAATAATAAAATATAGAAAAAGTAACATTTTCAAAGTTTAGTAAATTTAAAAGTAACAATAATCAACACAGCTGAGACATATACTTTTTAAAACTTTCACGATCAGGATTCATAAAGTACTTAAGCACTTCATCGCTTACATTTGCTCGGTTCTGCTGATGCGTCTTTGTCATCTTAACAAGTTCCTCAACTAGAATCATCTTTATTTCACCCGATAACATCTCCCCCGATGAGTACTTTCTCCCTATATCTTCCAATAAAGCATCATCTTCTATTAAAAATTGAAGATATTGCCATGGGACATCTACAGAGAGATCAGCACCCAATTTTCTTTGTTCTGATTCAGTTGCTCTACCACCGGAGAAGGCATATTTCATAATCTTCATCTTGATAGTGTCTTCATCATCGGTCACAAATATACTTGAATTAATTATACTTCCACTCATCTTCATTTGCTGACCTTGAAGTGATGGGATAAACTTTGAATGAATTGATGCAGGTTTTAGATAACCAAGCCTAGGGCCAATGTCACGCATCATGCGGAAATATGGATCTTGATCGATAGCATGAGGGCTTAAACACCATATATCTGTTCGCCCCCCAAATATTGTTGGAAATGCTGAAGAGAAGGAAGGAGCTGCTTGTACTGCTGGAAAAGAGTACTTGCCAACATTATCAGAATTAGTGAATCCAAAAATCGAGCGTGATTGAGAACAACTAAATTTCTTCTGTATTTTCAATATCTCTGGATATAAGGTTTTAATATAATCTAAATTAGTAAATATAAACGTTAATTCAGGATCAAACCCACAAGCTATGATATCCTTAGCATTTTCATAAGCATATTTATGAGCATTTTCTAGTGAAAGGTCTTCTTTAAATAAGAATTTTTCATCATCTGTTAATTGTATCACTAAAGGTACTTTAAAAACATCTTGCAAATATTTCGTAAAAAGAAGGGGTATAAGATGACCTATATGAAGTGCCTCAGATGAGGGTCCACGCCCCGTATACAAATAGAATAGCTTGCCTGCCTCATAGGCATTCAAAACTTGATCTAGATCGCGATGTGAAAGGAAAATTTTCCTTCTCAAAAAATGGTGAGCTTTCTTATTAGTTATTTTCTCAATTTTGGCAATTAAGTCATCTGTTATGTGTTTGCATCCAAATTGTTGAATCAATTTGTTGTAATCTATTCCTGATAAGTCTTGAGTTTTTACACTCCAAGGATCTACAATGCTACTTGCTTCTATATCACATTCTTGTGTTAATGAGAGAATATCACTTAATGGAGGTGGGGTGAATCTATTAGATGCCAAATCTTCTAATTTATACTCAGTAGCGAGTAATGTATCATCTATAATGAATTCTCCTGAGCTGTTCATGTATTTAGGATTGTATACTGAAAATTCTAATTCAAGTGTATCATTTGAAGGATCTACCAAGGCTGAAATTACATCGATTCTACCAATAGAACTGGTATCTCTTAGTACAGGATTACAGTTTGCATTAATATACCATGATGGTAGTATTACTAAGCGAAGTATCTGTATTTCGCTAGGAATTGTTTTGTAGTCAAGATATGCTTCTTTATATAATGCCTCTGCTTCACTACGATGCATTTCGAAAACATAGAATGGAAGATTCTCGATTATTTTTGAGTGCAATATATTACATAAGTCTTCAAGATAAACCTCATCAAATTTTTTGCCATTTAGGGGCCCGATTGACATACTAACAACATTCTCCTTAAAGCTTATTGAGCGAGTTGTCTTAGAATGATCAATTTTCAAAAGATAACAAATAGCACCTTTAACCAAGCAAGCTGCTGAGGATAAAAGTGGATTTTTTGTAGACATTTCAGTATTAAGAGAATATTTATAATAAAACTTCCAAACAGGTATGAGCCGTCTCTGCAGCATATTAGAAATGTGCAGGAAATATACCGCAGATTTTGTTAGAAATATTGTCTTCTAATTTTGCTATATATCTCCTGCTGGACAAAAACTTAGTTTTATGAGGCTGACTAATTATAGGAGTGGTAATGAAGAGGGATTACCTACAGAGAAATCTGTGAGTACTAAAGAGAAGAACCTACTTGAGTCAAGTGACAGTACATACTATATATTAAAAAGTAACTCAGATAATCAAGAGAATTTGACATGCTGTGATGAGCTGTGCACAGAAACACGCAAACTTATTTGTTCCTTTTTCCAGTCTATAAGAATATTCGAGGCAATACCTGATAATTCACGTATTCTAGGACTTAGTGCAAATGTTCCTCTTGCTGTTGCAGTATGTTTCCTACTTGAGGATCAGAAAGAAGTGATACTCATTTACGATGAAGAAAATCAAGCTACTTTAGGTTCATTTTCATGCAATGATGTCCTACTATTTTTTTATTTAGTATATTTACATGTTGATGGAAAAAAAGAAAATAATAAACACTACTCTCTCCACTCTTTAGAAGAGGTGTCTGGACAAACAATTAAACAATGGATGAGTAAATTGATGGCTTTTAACTACTCTGAAGCTTTAAGTGGTAATTTTGTTACAGTTGATATATGTGCAACACTTTTAGATGGTCTAAATGCATGTGTAGAATCTTCGAAGTCCAGGCGAACATTAAGTGTGTATGAGAAGTGTTTCAACCTCAAAAATATTGGATGCTGGGGAGTTCAGTCAAATAGTTATGGTAAACATAATGCCTGTCCAGTATGCTATATTTCCCCATATTTGCTACTATCACTAATAATACAGAATCTACACATATGTTCTGAATTCTGTAGTGAGTATCTGGAAGCTCTTAATTGTTCAAAACCTAAAGATATCCTCAATAATAATGAAAAGATATCATATGGATGTAATATAAAACCTGAAGAAAGTTTAATTACTAAATTATTTCACAAACAACTCATTGCAGATCTTTCTATTGGTCAAAAAGGCAAAAATATAATTGTTTTAAAGGAACATGAGCCACTTTACAGTGCTATAGATATTCTTCTCACTAAAGAGGTTACTCATATACCAATTATTAATGAAAAGACAGAGGAGTATACAGGTGTTGTTGTAACAGCGGAAAAATGTTTTGCAATAATACTGAAGGCAATCATAAATCAAGACAAGATTGACATGAAATCTCCATTAAAAATGTTCTTCAGCATATCTCTGAATGGGGATATGTGTATTAGTCAAGATAATACTAATTGTTTATATGCAAAACTTGGATCTAAAGAAAGAGGACTGGAAAATAACTGTACCATTCCGTTATGTCCTAATTGTACTAAATATCCAGCGAGATTCCTAAATCCTGAAAGTCCCCCATATATTGTAGATACCTGCTTAAGTGATGCTATAATTAAGATACTATTATCTGAAGACCAATGTGTTGTTCTTGTAAATGAGGAGACACTTGAAGTAACTACAATTGTCACAGCATACGAAATTTGCGACTTCCTTATTCGCGCTTCATAAAACTTTATAGCTGTGAAGTCTATTTTAGTACTTTAATGACCTTTAGTAATAGAATTTCACTTGAAGAAATCCTGCCTGATGAGTTTTATGGAGATCTTAAGATTACGAAACTTTTCTCAATATCTGTACCTATAACTCATGCATCAGAAATTCAATCTATACTCTCTGGTGATGACTTTACTAAGAAGTATCCGCATCTTAAACGTCTACGTAAGATAAGTTCATATGAGGACTCTGAAATTATAAAGGGAAGCAATAGAAGCTATATAGAAGTACTATTAGGTGATAAACCTGACCTTCCTTATAAACTACATTGTTATTTAGACGAAAATAACATTGTAAAGAGTGTGTCCACTGCAATAGTCCCAATATCTCCACCCCTCACAAAGTTACAATACTATCATTGGTGTAAAGTATGGCCTATACTATTTCGACAACCAAGTAGGAAACCACACATACTAACTAGTGACGAAATTAACAGAGCTATAAAGTACATTGCCCTTGCAAGGCATCTCGGTACAGAATCTAAGAAATTAGGTAGTTTAGATAGAGGATGTGTTATTGTCTTAAACGATATAGTCATAGGATATGGGCTTGATAAACGTCATGTATCATATCCATGGGACCATCCAGCAATTGATGCAATTAGAAATACTTCAGATAAATTGAAAGCAAGTAGAGATGTCAGATCTATGGGGAACAAATCCCCTGGGAGCAACCTTAGCAATGTGAATTCGATATTAACAAACTCATATAGAGTATTATTGAATCAACAATATCTATGTACAAGTGCCATTGCATATCTATCACATGAACCATGTGTATCTTGCTCTATGGCACTGTTACATTCCAGAATTTCCCAGGTATTTTATGAGTATACCAACAATGAAAGTGGAGGGCTTGGTAGTCGATGCAAGCTACATTGTATTACATCGCTTAATCACCACTTTACCGTATTTAAAGTGAGTCTTCCTAGCTAAGTAGAGACGAAGAAGTTGTAAGTACTGACAACTGGGTTAATTTACTCATACTCTACATTTCTCTGTGATGATAAATGCTAACAGTTACTTTCAAAATTCATATTTGAGACACGCGCTCAATAATCGTAAGACAAATAGAGCTTTCAACACTGCTGACTGACTGACTAAAGTCCAGTCTACACTTACCTCCCGCATAACAGCAGATCACTTGTTTTATTGACAAATCAGGTTACTTTATTGCAATTTTTGAAATGGAGATTGATCTATTAAATCCTAATCCACAAGTTGAAGCTCAAAAACATAAGCTCAAACGTCTAATCCAAAGTCCGAATAGTTTCTTTATGGATGTTCGCTGTCCTGGGTGTTTACAGATTACAACCGTGTTTAGTCATGCTCAAAGTGTCGTCTTTTGTGGTAATTGTTCAGCTCCTTTATGCCAACCAACAGGAGGCAGGTGTAAATTGACAGATGGATGTTCTTTCCGTCGTAAGAATGACTAGCTTTAAGTCACTTCTAAATATTATTTTGAGGGAGATGGGGATTACTATTTGTACATTCATTCCTAGTACTTTACTCAACTCTCCAACTAGTAGGATATATCAATATTGTTTCGTTTAGCTCTAATAGGAATATTTTAAAGTTAACTATGCTATTTTATAAGTGTCATTCTTTGAAGCCTTTAATAGTTCAGTTAGTCTGACTAGCACCTTCGGTGATAGAACTTCATGCGTATTTGTAAATTTATATAAGCCAGGAAAGAGTTTATGCATCAGGTTTTTAATATTACTGGTCATTTCTACTTTCTTCCTGTAAATAGAACTTCGACTTGTACCAATTATAGAGGCAATATTACTCATTGAGAACTGATAAATTCCACATGCCCTAAGTGCTAAAAATATAGAAGCTCCAATGTATGGGGAGGTGCAGTTTCCATGAACAGACCAAATTGGATTTAATATGTCTTCTAAAGAGCTCGAGTCTATTCTTGTTTGTAGTGTTAGTAGGGAATTTGCAGTATCGCAAACTTTTTTATATAGTATTTCGTTACCAAGAGAGCTAATACCTTTTAAAGACTTCTTATATGCTAAATTATGATTAACTGAAGAAATATCTTTGTTGATCTTAGTTTTTTTAAGTTGCATACCTGCACTCATATAGGATTCTGAACAAATGAGCTGGTCAAGTATAATATTACGCTCAGATGAGGAAAAACTATCCATATTTTTGTAGAGAAGCTCATCTACTTTATTACTTTGAGGACAAATTTTTTGACAATTTGCACCTTCTATTATAGATATGTTCGTTTTACTGATTCTTTGAATAGTTTGGTATATCGTATCCTTCATAGGAATTGAAGGGAAACTCCTAATCCCTACTTTTCGGGCTACCTTCCTAATTTGACATGCCAAGCTCTTGTAATTCTTAATACTAAAATTTTTTGATAATTGAAGTAGAGTTACTGAGTAACCTTCTCTTCTAGTAGCAATATAAACACAGGAGGCAACCAAAATCTCTAACCTTTGTAGAAGTCTCACAGAATAGTTAGATTTGCTAATATATACCTTTAAAATACATATAGAGCTGTTTAACTGTCCATCACTCATATGCGGAATATTACTTCTAATCATTCTCTTTGCAAGTTGAATTCGTTTTTCATTTAGTTGGGGTAGTTTTCTACTATACTTGGGTGTTGTAATTAGTCTTATCTTATCTGAAGTTGAAAGGAGTAGATCATCATGAACAAGTACATGTGGTTGTTCAAATTTATTAGGTAATTTTGTATAATGATAGAGCTGCATAAGAAATGGACGTGTAGTGTTAACTAAATTCTCATAGAAGCCATAGTAGCTGGCGGTTAATGATATTATTACAAGAACCACTCAGATTAAGATAATGTGTGGTTATAAGTTATAAACCTTAGCTAAATTGAAGCCCAGTGAATATTTAATATAAGGTATAACTCTTGTAAAGTTTGTCAGTTAGCTGTATTGAATCAGGAACCGAAGGATAGAGAAAAGGAAAGTCAAATGGAAGGAGTTAAGTTATAAGTAACACTCCATACCTCTCAATAATGTATTTGTAAAGTACTCCTTTTTAATAAACAGCAACACATATAGCATAAGCCATTAGTTCTATTTAAATATTATAAATATATTTGTATCTAGTGAGGATTTCACTTCAACCTTTTAATATCACTTTTAAATAGCTTAGGACAGCAGAATATGATTCTACACGGGAGTTAATTACAAATAAAGTAGACTAATTAGATACAAATACTACTCTAGTGATGATTATATGTTGAAATCACTGCCGTATCTTCACTGATACATCTTTATCTACATTTAAAGGGAGACTCTTTTTGAGGGATTCTTTTATTTGAGTAAGCAGGTTAATGATAGTAGTACAATCTTTTGTTTGATTAGAGTCTGAATACAGCTGAACCAACCATTCAAGCGCTGCAATTATGTCTGTTGGTAGCTTTTGAGGAATAATGTGAACTGACCAGCGTAGGTTTTCCCAGTCTAGAGATGATTCTAAGTTGCAATCACTTCGCAAGCAGGGTTTTTCATCCTGATCTTCAGTTTCAGGGGAATTCACGTCTTTACTTATTTTTGATAATTCAGTGTTGCAAATATTCTCAATATATCCATGCTCAATAGCAGTTTGTATAATTTTATTCGCCCATGCAGAAGCCTCCTCATTATGCCACTGTTCTGCTTCTAATTTCAGTAATTTCCCCATATATCTTATTGTAGATTCACTCTTTGGATCCTTAGCTATCTCACAGATAAATGCTTTGTAGACACACCTTGTAGCATCTTCAATTCTATTGATTTTTTCAAAAATTTGTCCTAATTGTGACCACAGATGTGAATCTTCCGGTGACTGAGCAATTGATTTTTCATAAAAACGAATAGCATGCATTGGCATATTTAATTTTGAGTATATTTCTGCAATTCCATAAAGGGCAGTGGTATTTGTTGGACTTAATGCGATTGCAGTTTTATATGCATAAAGAGATCCACGTATGTTGTTTAATTCGTGCAGCGCATAGCCGCATAATATCCAAGCAGAGCTTGATTGGCTATTCAAAACTAGTGCTCTCTTGTAAAACTTTAAAGCTTTGTGACGATCATTTGTTGACCAATGATATATTCCCATTACTATAGAGGTTTCTGGTGAATACTTTGCTAGGTTTGAACATTTGCGGGCGAGAATACTTAATTCATCAATATCATTCCTTTGTGCTAGTATTGTTGCCATCTCTACCACAGAACGTAGATAATAAGGATGCATATTTGAAATTTTGTTAAAAAGAGATATTGCTTGGTCAATTTTACCTAATTCATAGTGACATTTAGCCAATTGACTTAATATATATGCACTATTTGGGAATATCTGCAGCAGTAATGTATACTCTTCAAGGGAGTCCTTCCATCTTCCAACTAAACTAAGATATAGAGCAAAAGCAAAACGACCACACCAATGAGATGGGATACCCAAAGATTCGCTAAAATCACTATACGACTGGTCATTAAACTGTTTATGAGTATATATTTGCTTATGAGCATCTGCAAATTGCATACTATAGTTATCCGTATTGTACCATTTTAAATAATCAAATGATATATTATAGTTAGAGGAATTTTCACTATCATTAATAGGCGTTTTAATTTTAGAGTTGCCATGAGATACCAAATTATTTATCAAATCAACCCAGCAACTCCAATTCAAAGGTTCATTCCATAGTGAAGCAATCTGAGTATAATAGGCATCTGTATACCTATTCTGTCTATAAACTGCAATACTAAGTAACCATTGAAGTAACCCATGCATAGAGTTACACTTAGTCTTCTTAAACATCTTGTCCTGTTTTGCAAGATAGTTAGAAATACTTGCCTCAATTTCCGATATTCTAGTCTCCATAATTTGAGATTCAGGTTGTGTTACAGTCCATTGTTCTAAATTAGATATATTCAACAAAGGTTTCTCTAATGAAAGTAGTGCAGCGTAACTTCTAAAGAATATGGTTTCAGCACAATCATCAGTATCTTTAAAATTACTTAGTACAGCTATTACTCTTCTGTATTCTCTAGAATCAAAGTATATCTTTGCATTCATTAGCTTCATATTTAGTTTAATATTATCTGAATTTAGAGTTCCACATATACAACAGGCATCCAAACCTCCTACCTCAGCAAAGTTTTCAGTGACACTGCAAGAATCCCACAACTCACAAAGCCACTCTGAAGTGTAAGTAATACCAAAAAACTTAAAATAGTGACACTTTTTAATGAGGTCCATTAAAAAAGCTATCAGTATAGCATGAGGAAACCATAAGTAAGGGCAAGCAAAATTGAGTAACTTACACCGCCCAGTATATAGCTGTACTTAAATTTAGCGCATATAAACAGAAACTTTACTACAAACCAATGAACCTTCTATATTTAGCAATTTTCTTATTTATTGGTAAAGCTACAAGCAAAGCTGATTATGAGAGCAAACATGTATTGGGATCATTGGTATTTCTTAGTTGTGTTGATGGACAAAAAACAAACAAAGATGGATCATATATTGGTCAAGAATTTTGGAGCTCGATACTTAAGTACAAACCAGATGCTTTATTTTGGATTGGAGACTCTATTTACACAAAATGCAGTCATCCAGAGTGTATAAAACGGGGTTACTCAATACAGAATAGCAACAAAGAATATCAAGTGATCAAAAAAAGTGGTATATATATAGATGGTACATGGGATGATCATGATTATGGTATTAATGATGGAGACAAACATTTTGAATACAAAGAAACCAGTCAACAGCTATTTTTAGATTTTCTCTCAGTCCCTACAAATTCACCCAGGAGAGAAAGGAGAGGTGTTTACTCTTCACATGTGTTTGGATCAAGTCCTCAAAAACAGGTCAGGATCATACTACTAGACACTAGGTACCATAGAGATAGCACTTTTCTAAAATATAGATATGGTATATCTTCATATTCTGAATATGATTATGCTATAACAAGTATGTTTGCAGCATCCTTAAGATTTTTTTGTTCATATTTAGGCTTAGGTAGTAGCTACGAGGGTGATATGCTAGGTTATGAGCAGTGGAAATGGCTTGAAGAAGAATTAAGTAACTCTGATTCCGCAATAAATATCATAGTATCTTCAATACAAGTCTCAAATAGGTACCCTTTTGTAGAGTCTTGGGGACATTATCCAAAAAGTAGAGAAAGACTTTTCAAACTTCTTAAAAAATCCAAGCCCAGGGGACTTCTATTTTTATCTGGAGATGTTCACTGGGCAGAAATATTTGGTATTAAAGATAAATATGGTGGAGCTATTGAAATTACTTCAAGTGGTGTTACACATAGTATAAAATCAGACAATTTAATTAATCATATATTTCTTTGGTTGACAATGCCATTTTACTCAAACTCAGTAGATAAATACAAATCACGCTACACAAATAAAAATTTTGGGAAGTTAGATTTCAACTTCACTTGTGAAATAATGGACAATAAAGAAATATGTTCACAAGCAATAATTAAAATAACAATACATGATACCTTTGGGAAGCCGCAACTTGTAAATGAAGTACATGTAAATTATAACGATACATCAAGATTACTACATTTAAATTCAATACCATCTATTATTTCTTCTAAGCCAACTAAGATACTAGTAGCAAGACTAGTTATCATATTAATTTGCTTCTTATTTTCATTGCAAACAGCTACATTAGCATTTTCAATTTTTCATTTATTGATAAGAAGTTTCATGAAACAAGTATTTAGAAGTAAAGAAAGACTCAAGACCAACTAGAATCTCACTTTATTATGTAATAGAATTGATAAACTCGGGAGACACAGTCCTCAATAAGTTTCTTGCCTTCTTATTCCATCTCCGAATATTTTCAGTCTTTTTGATAACTTGTATACCTGATGATCTCATTTCAAATTCAATCTTCCGTTTATATTTAAGCTCTGTATTTCTAGTTTTAGCACGTTTCTTGCTCTTCACTTCTTCATGTATGGAATTTTCTAGCAAGCGTACTTTTTTCCTCTCTTCTCTCTCTATTAGTCTATTTTTGAAGCTGACTCGCTTAGACATTGCAAATGTCTTCAATTTAGACTTTAGAGCTTCTTCATCTTTCCACTGTCTTCCACTTACTCGACTAGTGTTAGTAAATTTAGCATTAGAGAATATTGTGTTTTCCATCTTCTATATTCTATTTTTGCATTCAGAAGAAAAAAAAAACTAGTGGTGGCGCTTTGGGGGTTTTGTCTGATGTAACTAAAGTTAGATTTGATATTACTAAGAACTAAGCAAAAAAGAAAGTATTATGGTATAGTTTCTAGAAACTTGTTACTATTTAGAAATTGTATTAGGAAAGATCTCCACTTTCATCTTGTAGTGCATAAATTATATATTTTGTAGGAATAGATTCAAATAATATAAGCAACTGTATTTTAATGCATTTAGCTTACGCAACTAAAAATGAAGATGATAAGCAATCCGAGAATATCAAGAAGTATTACCCTTATTGGAAATATTGTAGTTTAATAGTTGACTCAGTAACTGTATGGCAATGGAATATTGAATGTGCAGAATGCACATTATCTACTCCTAAGTAAAAGTTTAGTAAATTAAATATAGAGTACAAATTTACTAAAAAAGGTGAGTAGTTCCTTTATTTTTATTTTAAGAAGTAAGCGAAATATCAGTATCAAATTCTGTAAATATTGCATCTTAATCATTGGTTATCTGTCTTACAAGCCCTGACTATTGCGCTAAAATTCTAAGTAGTTAGCGCAGAGTAAAGTTAGAGGCTCTAGTACTAAAGCTTGCAAAATGTTTTTTAGAAGCCTTGGACACAGCTCTCAAAATTCAGGGACATTGAGTCAGCTAAAGACTGAAAAGAATGTAGTGGACAATATAAGTGGTTATTTTGACCCTACAGCACTAGAAAGAGGAGCAAAGGCATTAAAAGAATTGGATGCATCACCAAATGCTCAGAAGGCCTTCGACTTAGTTAGGCTGCAAGAAGTTACAAAGCAAATGGAAATAGAAAAGGAGATGGAGCAAAGTGCAATGTACAGAACTCAGGCACATAATGAAAAGGTCAGAATAGAAGCAGAGGAGCGTCGCAAGACAATCAGTCACCAGCAAGAGGAAGAACGTGTAACTGCCCAATATAAAGCTAGACTTGAAGCTGAAGCTTATCAAAAAAAATTGTATGATCAGCAGGAGCAAAATACTAGTTGGTTAAAACAACAACATGAACAATTTTTACTTCAAGAAAAGGTTCGCAAGGACAATGAACAGGAAATACTATTACTAAGACAAAGGCAATTAGAAGAAGAAAAGAGGTTAGAAAAAGAAAATATAAAAATTAAAATTCGGGAGAAAACACGAGGCAAGATTCAGCTTGAAAGGGAAAATTTAGACATTCACTTGCAGGAACTTAAATTGCGTGCTGAGGAGAATAGGAAAACAAGGATAGAATCTATACAATCTATATTTGGAAATTTGTCAACTATAACTGGGAAATTGTATGAAGATAAGATGAAATTGGCCACTTTAATTGGTGGAGTAACTTTGACTGCACTTGGCATATATGGTTCCCGTAGTACTGCTCAAGTTATTGCTGGATATTTCGAATCTCGCCTTGGAAAACCATCTCTTGTGCGTGAGACCAGTAGAAATAAGTTTTCATATCTAGGAGATTTTGTTGCAAAACAAACTAGTTTTTTAAAGTTACTTACTTCGTTTATGAGAAAGAGTAACACTTCAGCTATTTGTGAAGACATCATTCTTCCGAAAGATTTGCAAGAAAGACTAGAATGGACAGTAAATAGTTTAGTAAATTCCCGCAAGAACAATATTCCATTTAGGCACATGTTACTTTGGGGAGCCCCAGGTACAGGGAAAACTCTCTTCGCACGTACATTAGCCTTAAAGTGTGGTATGGACTACGCAATAATGACAGGTGGGGATGTCGGACCACTGGGAAGAGATGCAGCCAATGAATTAAATAAATTATTTAAATGGGCTAAAATGTCAAGACACGGACTTATATTATTTATTGATGAAGCAGAAGCATTTCTTAGAAAAGGAAGAGAATCTACAGACTCAATATCTGAGAATATGCGTAATGTACTAAGTAGTTTCCTATATCATACCGGCACTGAGTCTAAAGATCTGTGTATCCTTTTAGCGACTAATGCTCCTGAATGTCTAGACAGGGCTATTTTAGACCGTGTAGATGAGTCATTTGAGTTCCCTTTACCTAAGCACAGTGAAAGGACTATGATGATAAATATGTTCTTAAACCGAAATTTTCCCCAAAATTCTGTGCGCTCTAAAAGGTACAATATTAGATTAGATCCTGCTATTGATACTACATTTGTTGATTACCTGGCAAGCAGGACGGAAGGTTTTTCAGGTAGACAGCTCTCAAAGCTCATTATTGGTATGCAGGCAGCTGCTCTTGGTTCAGGAAGTAATATATTAACGAAAGGATTAGCTGAAGCAGTACTAGTATGGAAACTCGCATACAAAGATGAGCTAAAGACAAACTTTGGGAGTAATATATATAACTCAGATGGAGTAATGGATATACATAAAAAGTCAGTTATACAATATAATCACAACTATCCTAAAGAAGATACTGGAAGATTAGCACTAAATATTGGTACATCAACAAATAGTTCATCTAAAAGTGATGATCAAGTGCAGATCTCTAGAGTTACTGCATAAATTGAATCTTCTTATCTATTTCAAATGAATTTGTTCTACTTTATTGCTAACTTTTTTCAATAATACAAAGCGCGAGATTACTGTGGGTGGCATTAAAGTTATTTTCAATTGCAAGATATCCCACAGACCTCTTCTTTAATATCTCCTGTTTTGAAATGAGGAATTATAAGATTTATGTATTTAATTTTATAGTATATATTGGATTTATGTTGGGTAAGATTTATACTTTAAAAGGCAAGATCTGGAATCCATTATTTGCACGGGAAATGACAATAAATGCACTGGATTATAATATATCTACTGAACCGAGAGAATTTATCCATATTACTACTAACTACTCAGATGATTTTAATAAATCTTTTCGTAATATAGATGTAGAAATTATTCCCAATCAAATATCAGCCATGGGGAATTCATGCAATAGCTCTCAACTTCCAGTTCACTGTTCTGGAAATGAAACTTCATTCTTCAGTACACTCCCATCCTATACCACTACGACTATCACTGGGTTCTTATCAAAAGATTTCATATCATTTAATTTCACAAAAAACAAATCAGATCCACTCATTTCCTTATTATTGGATACAAGAGGTCAAACTGCAAGTGCAAGCCTCTACTCCGTTGTAAACGATACAATCGTATCGTCAAACTTAACTGTAATTGACTTTTATTCACATATTCCACTTCCTCTATCACTAATTTCAGATAAATCTCTCAATGAGAAATTAATATTTGTAATGATATACACTAACACATCACTAACATTTGTAATTAACAATGTGGTATTAGCTACAATAAATATAAATATAGCTGAGGTTCCCCTACCTGTATCTCATTTGAATGTCAATGGTTTAACTGAAACAAATATTTACATAGAACCTTTTATAAGTAACTTGAGGTCTAACTGGTGTAGCATTGATGGAACTAATTTGTCCAATATAGCAGTAGGTTATATAACGGTTCCATACGCAGTGGCATGTGCTTCACGCAATATCTTAATTCCAAGAAGTTTAGATTCAAGTAGTCAGTTGGTATTAACTATTCCCGGCATAAACTCACTTAAATCTTTAAAGATAATAGATGAAGTTGTAGTTAGTTTGCATGCTGAGTCTGGAATTAAATTATTTACATTGATTGCAAATGACAATGGCGTGTACCTAAGAGGATATACTGGTAATCAACTTCAGCAATCAAAGGGAGGTTATAATCCATTTTATAATTTTGGATTTCAGCCAGTTTCCTTAAGATTTACATTTTCTTCACTTTTTATTATTTTGCTGATAAACGAGCTTCCATTATTTGAACCTATTAATATTCCTGACAACCAAATCCCATCACTTTTTTCAATAGAAGGACTAATTTCAGATGCAATAGTTACTCTACTTCCTTCCAAATACTGCACTATTACTAGCAGACTACAATCTGAAGTTTGTGTAGTTGATGGATCCTTACCAAATTCACTAAATTTAGGAGGGAGAACTAGGAATTACTATGGTCATCTATTTGCTGCATCTAAAATATACGATTCAACAGAACTACCAACAATTAACTTTACTCTTGGTAACTCTCCTAAAGAAGCCTTCAATTATTTTGTAGATTTAAACTCAAGTATAATTGGATTATACCAAAATAATGAAACGACAAGTTTAGATGCACCTTTCTCACTGAATAAGTTATCAACAAATGAACCAATAATTTTGGAATTTGGAAAGCTAGGCATGCTAATTCAAAGTAAGATAAATAGCCACAATATCGCCGATTTCTTTAATTTATATGCATGGGAAGAACATCCTCAAGATATTTATATTACTGGACCTAATATACAATTATTTTCAACAGCTTTTGTACCAGTAATTACGAATTGTTATTTGTTAGAGCATAAGGGATCATATCTTACATCTATTTGCATTGGAGATGAATTGTGCTTTGCTACTGGTAGCTCTGGTGGACCTAGTGGTGCATCATATTACTTTATTGGAAAACCAAAAAGTGATAAAATTGAGATTTCATTGCAAATGATTGAGATCTCGCTAGGAATAGTGATTGAATACAACTCTGGTCATATGAATATTCTGAGAAAGTCGTCATCTGTCTTTAGTACTATTTACAGTAATAAAATTCAACTAAATGGATATATATACAATAATCCTGTTATTGGTATCATGGATACTGGTCAATTTTTTATTGTGACTATACAAAATAATGAAGTAGTCAAATTATCAAAAGGTGGTCTAGGAGTTAAAGGGAATATTTCCTGTGTGAAGATGACGTCAGTGGAGGAAGGCTTCAAAGCAATATATTTTGTTGCAAACTAGAAATTAAATATAATATTATTGAAATATTAGCATATTAATTTATTTTTTTAAATAAAATTATAAGCATTTTGAAATAATTAGTTCTATCTTTCTAAGACGAATGTAAAGTGCAATTAATTCTACAAGTTCACCTAAGTGAGTCATTACAAAATTGCAAGTGGCAGAAACTTTATCAAAAGCATCCATAGTTTGCTTTAATAAACCCAGAGTAAAAGGGCGAACTAGTGAAGCTGATAATGTTAGCCACAAAGTAATAACATTGAGTTGGATATATGTAGTTTTAAGTATATTTAAAAAAAAGTTTCTATAATAATATATATAATAGGAATTCTCAACCTTTTTATATAATTCTTGTAAGGTATCTATATTTGCACTTTCAGTTAGTATTTCACCCAAAACAAGCTCCTTTCTTAGTGCAGCTTCAGATTTATCAATATCTATTATAGCTTTAGGAATATAAACTCCTGGAATAAGTGAAATAATACTTCCTATTATAGCTATACATATTGCAAGAGCTAACAAAAAGTTGGGGACTTTTGGGAAGATCCATACTTTAGGAATTTTACGGCTTAGTGAAGCCAGTAATGGTAAGTAAGCAACAGCAATAAATAAATCATGAAGAAATTTAATAAATAACATCTCAAAAAGAGTACAGAACCTCATTATATCTTCTTGTATCCTTTGTGCAGCTCCTTCTTGCGAGTGTATTTCATGCCAGAAATCCAGGTAATACTTCGAAAGTGAAATTCTCCAATAAAGAATATATTTCCTCGAAGTAAAATTTAAAAAGGATTTCACCAAAATAATCAGAATTTTTGCCTTCAAAATATCCAAGAATTTTAGTAGAATATCTTTCAGTTGGACAGTTTCAGTATATTGTATAGCATACTGTAAGCTGTCTCCAAATATTCGGAGTGCATCATTACTTGAAAGTTCAATTTTTACAATTACAAGCGAAATTGAAATAAACCAAATTAAACCTAAAAAGGCATATGTAGATGTTTCTTTACTAAAGAAAAAGTAATTTATCATTTCAAAATCTCCTTTTTTGGTAATTAGGCAATAAAGTGAAGTATTTTAACAAGCTCCCATAAGCGGTGTGAGTAAAAACTGCTAAGACAACTCCGAAGACTGGCAGATGATTATATTAAGACTCTATACATCAAAGAAATATGCTGTTAAAGCATGGTTAATCTCAATATTAATTATTCTGTTAAATATTAGCTATGCTATCTTCCATATTTCAGTTACCAATTGGTTTGAGAAAGTATACAATATCATTATTAAATCTCTCAATACAAATGATGATACTTATATTATGGAAATCAGAAATAATGCACTCAACTTACCTATATATCTTGTTATTTTAGGCTCTATAAGTGTTTTTAATTCTCTTTCCTTATCTTTGCTTTTAATGATATGGAGGAACTGTCAAACTAATAACCTATTTCATCACTGGCAAGTCATTCGTCATATTGAAGGTGCTGCCCAAAGAGTACAAGAAGACACATTAATAGTTATGAGTGTAACTAGGAAACTATTTCCAAAAATAACAATGACTTTTATTAAAGGTGTGAGCCACTTTCCTATGCTTTACAAGGCAAGTATTAAAATCGGAGGAATTCCACCTTTTTATGAAAACTCGCAATATGCATTGTTGGTCTATGTCTTCAGTGCAATAGTACTTAGCTGTATAGCTTTAAGTACTTCATCAAGTAGTATCCCTATACTATTAAAAAAAAGCCAAGTTACTGAAGCTTCACTAAGGAAGGACCTAGTTATTGGCGAATCTTATGTACTGTATGTTGAAAATAAAGATATTGAACAAACATTTTCATCTTTATCAAACATATACGAAAAATTATATTACACTATGATGCGATATGAACTTGTAAGTAGACTTTCTGAAAAGATTTTTGAGTCATTACCTTCAATAATTCTGCTTCCAGCAATATGCAGCAGGAAAATATCACTTGGGGAACGTATGTCAATAATTCGTTGTGTAAATTCTGCAAGATCTCCTATTATTTCAATTGTACTTAACTGGGATAAAATAAATGAACTGTATGTCGCAGTAAAAAGACTTAATTCACTTGAAATTATGATAGCTAAACACAATACGGACTATTTACTAAACACACAGTAATTTTGTGTGTAGTATATTTGTAATTAAGAATACTTCTTTTTCTCAGAAATCTTATGTTTAAGAGTAATATAAAAATTAGATGTATATAAAAATACATAGGAAGTGGCTAAATTTAATATTTATTCTATACCTTTTAGATATTGTTTTATATATATCAAATGGAGTAATGATAGATGATGATACACCCACAAATAGTATGAATCTAGAGAAAAAAAATCAAAGTACCTCAGAATACAAATTAAGTACTTTTGAACCTGGTCTCAATGAAACTTTAGATGATGATAACTATAACTATGAAATAGAAAGTATGCTAGAAGGATCATCTGAAGAACAACTTTCAGAGGGGCAAGTTTTAGAAGCATGTATTTCATTACGAGAGTCATTTGAAAAAGAATGCCATAACATCACCTTGGAAATTCCGCTTGCTTATTTGGTTAGTGAGTGTCGGAATTTCTCGCCTAACATAAGTAGAGTCAAGGAAATATCAAACAAAATAGTAAGTGCACAGACAGACCTAGATATTACAGATATGCATGAATGCAATACTATGGTAGTTTCTACAGCCTTATTTCTATTCTCTGATAATATAAAGAGGGGATCGGATACTAGAACTAATTCAATGTTCATCTATGAAGATTCTATATATGAAGATGAAGACAATGGATCTCTAAGCTTGGAATCACTAGACATACACGCTAGCCCAGAGGTAGAAAAGTGACAATATATTACCAACTATAAAGTGAGTAAATATTATCCAAGTTCTAGGTAAGGTTTAGGAGACAGAAACACATAGCAAAAGATTTGTCTATAAAGAGCACTCCGTGCATGCACCAATTTATACAATATTGCCGCGTTGTGATTTCTTCTCAAAAAAGATTGCTAATACCTTTAAATTGGTAAAATTCATTGGTAATAGCATGGAGTCACGGGATTATATAGAAATTGACGTTGGAGACTTTGTAAAAGATATTGAGCGAGATATATTGGCCTGGTTAGATGGTAAACTCACTATCATTTCAAATGATTTATCACAACACGCGTCTTTAAGGCAGATGAGTAAATGCAGGCAAAAGCGCCCATTTTTAGACACAAAAGCTAATTGTAAGATTTTCAGAAAACGACTCTAGTATATTATTTCTATGTAATGATTAGTTTCATCAATTATTATATATTATATCATGTAGTATATAGTTGAGTCTAATTTATTATTACTAGTTTTGAAGTTCAACTTGTTCTAAAGCATTAGACATCTTCCTTAACAAAGTATCAGTTTGATTAATAATGTGTGTATTAATGACCATTCCGAAATAATCATAGCAATAATATTGATTCATAAAGGACGATATGATTTCAGGTACAGAATTCAAACTGCTGCAAAGTTCCTCAATACTCTTGGTTACATCACGTAGCTGCTGTTCCTTAGTTACAGTTTCATTATTTATGTGCTGAAGATAAACTAACAACTTAACAATATCGGTTTTACTATAAGTTTGTAGACTAATATCTCTAGGAAATTCAATATTTAAAGGCAAGTATTTATCCTTGTGTAATCCAATAGTCCTAAACCTTTCGATACGATCTCCAAATTTCAGGGCTTGTTGTTGCCAAAATTTTAGCGTATCTAGTATTCCACTTGACTCATTTGAGATTCTGTTAATCTGTACGAGTATATAATTATACGTGTTGAATATCAGTTTTAACTTAGTTTCTTGCATTTTCTCTTTCTTCCATTTTGGGAAAGATAATTTGTTGACTCTAGTTGTGAGATTTTTCATAAGTTCATTAAAGTGAGCTAGATTCTGCAATCTAATATCAGCACATATACTAGATTTCAGTGAAGTTAATGTACTGTACTTCATGCGAATAGTATAAATCCTTGTTAAAAAGTTCAAAGTGTTTATAAATAAAAAATAGTCATGTACATCAAAATTTAAATTTCTATCACCCAAAATAAAAGCTCCAGAAGTATTTCTGCTCAATTCTTCATAGCTCCTAATCTGATATGTATTTACTTGATCTAACTGGGTAGTTTTATTTAAATCCAGTAACTTATCTATCTCTGAGTTTAATGGCGTTATCTCTACGCTTAGTTTATTTACATTTCTACTTTCCTCATTATTAGCATATTTCTGATCTGGTTTTATCCCTTCATAAAACTCTAATAATTTTGGAGGCCATAAAACATGTGGTATATTGGAAAATAAATTAATATGATCATTCGTCCATTTAAAAGTCTCTTTCCCTTCCAAATTGTGTATTATTCCCCCTTTTAATCTAAAGAAGTCTTCCGGGAATAAACCTAAAATATTTTTAATTGCAACAGTGTTTGGCAGAGGCCAATCACTTAATTTTGGCATTATATTGGTAATATTAGATGTCAATATAAGTGGTGTATATGGGCCATGTGCAATCTTAAATGGATAAAATTCCCCATTCTGTAGCTTTGGTCTAGTACCACCAATGTCAGATTCAATTTGGTAAGGAGACATAAACTTCCATAGTTCCTTCAGATTTTCCAACTCTACATCGTTTTTAGGATTTTGAGGAACATTGCTTAGAACAATTACGTTGTTTAATGTTTCCTGGTGCCATGAATTTACTAACATCTCTTTAATTGTCCCCCATATTTCATTTGATTGAATAATAAATATACGATGAAATCGCAAAGGAAACATGTTTATTATTCCCTCTTCCATCCAATATGCAAGGATAGGGCGTATCTTAAACAAAAGTGACAAGTTCATTAAGCTGATACCGCGACAGTCAATAATGACATCTATTGTTTCTACTTTTCCAGAAACAAGCAAGTACTTTTCAGCAAAATTCATCAAAAACAAGATAAGATAAGTTGCAGACTGCTTCAAATTCTTGGTAGACATTATATTTTGTGATCTTATAACAAGAATTGGAGATAGGTTACTACTGCGGCCTATGAAGTAAGCACAACCTTTGTATAGACAGTTTACTAATAAATGGTCATTGTCTTTAATGTTAAAGTTATGTAAGTTATCATTATAAGTTCCAAAAATACTAAAATTTCGCAATAAGTAAGGATACTTGTTATTTGAATTTAAATTCCTCATGCCTGTAGAACTTCCTGTTTGTAAAAGAAGCTTTCTTCCTATTGAGTACATCGCATTGTGACAAGCCATTATAGGAAATTTGTTCTTGTGTGTCAACCAACCATCCAATGCATATCTAACTCTATTTTCAAAAATATATCGGGGAACTTTTCCAAAGTTAATCACATAATACATCAAGAAATTTTTAACAAGTGAGTGCTCTTCAGCCGACAAATCTACACCTGTAAAGATATGTCTTACATTTGAAGTTATCATATCTTTGGTAGGAGAAAATGTAAATATCTCTTCAGGAATACAATAATCTGGCAACTTTGAGGATATAGTTATCTTCACTATATGATTTAGCCTCTCATCAATCATAGTTTTCTCATCAAAAACAAATTCTTCATCTGTTCGTGGATCAACTGGGGGTTGAAGCCAATTAGGAAACTTAATCTTATACGGAGCTACTTGTTCACACAGTAAATCAGAAGCATCTATGGAAATTAATTCCTTACATTTATTAACTCTTTCAGTAGGTGAAGTTTGGGATATTGTCCGAGCAATCTCACAGATCTCCTTATTATCAAGTTCTTTCAAATTTAAGGAATTTCTCTTAAAATCCAAACGAGCAGCAAGTATAGGAGCCATATTTGCATTCATATTATTTTGAGGACAAACCTTATGCCATTTCAATAAAAACTTCTGTATTTTAGACGATTTATTTGATATTAAAGTATTAGGATTGTTTGATATACAGCGAATAGCAAATTTACATGCATTCTCTAAAGGTGATACCAACTTTATAGGTATGTTTGACCTAGAGCTCTCATAACCTTTTAAAGGAAAGAAAGGAGGAATATACTTTTCACAATTACTTTTTGAACTCACAATTTTTCCAGGATGACTGAAGAATTCATCTTGTATAACCAGCTTAATTATTTGCTCGTAATCGCTTACTTCAACCAAACGGCCTTTTAGATACTCAACTATCCCATGAAACAAGCAATGAGCCACAAAAAAGGTGAATCCTTCTAAACCACAATAATTTATCGCAAAATCGTCGAAGTCACTGATAATAGCTCTATCATGCGGAGGATGTTGTGAATCAAACTTAAATTCTGTAGACATCTTAGCTTTAATCCCCAAAATATTTAATAAGAGTGGGAACAACATTAACACTATATGAAAGTATCTCATCTACCAAATACTAACTTCTGTAAAGCTAAGAACTAGAACAAAAAGGACATTCTTTCGTCAAAATTTTACATTAAATAGTCAAGAAGTAATCTCAAGGTAATTCTGGTGTTCTATACAGGTTAGTAGTAACTATTACTACAGTTTCCCGCCTTGAAGGATTATATAAATCTAAGGTATCATATTTACTATATGAAGTTAATAATCTACACGATTCCTTTAGAACACCGAAATTTTAAATTAGTTACTATCTGCTTTTAAAGATACCAATTATCCCCTGATATTTGTTTCACTGTTAGAGTTAATATTTTATTCTAGAAAAGAAATCCTTCAACTTTGCCGCAATAAATTCTCTACTTTTCTAACACGCAAACAGTTCTTTATCCTTTTTTCTGTTTCTTAATACTCTTTTCTCTCCCCCCCCCCCATTTTCCACCTTTTTATTTCTCTACCCCTACTTTTTCACCCCCCCTATCTAGAATCTGTACAATCGCCTCTATAGAATTATCTTATTTTGTCTCTAATAGCGAATCTAACCTCTGGATTTGCACTTACTGTGCTAACCTTCCTAGAGGATTCTTTACATATATATTCCATAGTTATTGAACCTTCCTTTATTATAGATCTCATGCTTCTATTCAAGATTTCTTTTTGTTACAAAATAAATGGAGAATTATATAGTCCTACAATACTAATAACCTTCATTTATCTATGTTTCGTAAATTACCGGTTACTATATCGACTTGCTTCTTTATTGCGAAGATTATTCGTATTTCTGTATGACCGGTGTGTTGCACATTTCGAGTGTATTACACAGAACTATATGCGGCTAAAAGCAAATTTATGAGTATTGTGGCTTGTCTGTTATGATGGTATATGCTCCATTCTAGCTAAAGTATTATATACTTAATTTTTGCAAATTACAATTAATTGAACCAATTGTAGCAATTCAATAGTATCCCAATAGAAGAGTTTAGTGTTACAATATTATAGTCAACAAGTATTCATTTCACTACTTTATATTCCTACTGTATTAGTCTCCTTTATGTTACAGTATCAACCTTTTTGCATAATGCTGTATAACTATAACGTCTAACTCAATTTATATTCCTATATAGTATACAAATTTAATCTCGACACCTTCCATAAAAAGGATATTAAATTATGGAAAGTTTTAAAGTGCTCATTTATGGTGATTTATGAGAGATAGGCAGATAAGTGACTTTTTCGTGTGATGTATATTGGCAAAATGTCCCAAGTTAGGAAGTTCTACCAGGTAAAATTAGATATTGAATTCTCACAAAAAAAGTACAGTGAAACTACCCATGATTTATATATTACTCAAAAACTTAACTTAAACATGATTAAACATTGAGAAAAGTAGTCATTCTTAACAAGCCTATTATTTATCTAATAAAAATTTGGTCATGAATATGAAAATCTACTTTTATACGCAGAACTAACCGACTTTTTTTTGAGTTGTAGGTCTTATAAAGCCCCTTATATTTGTCACTAACCCCCCTAGTGAACTTAATATACCATCAACTGTACCAATTGCACTATTGATTTTTGAATCCACTGCTTGTAATTTGTTAGTAGTAGTTTGAGTACTAGTAGTTGTAGGAGTAGTTTTCCCCCGTAATTCTAAATTCTTAATCCAGTCCAAAAATTCAATTTTTATATTCTCTAACCACTGAGTAAATTCATTTAGAGTTCGCCCCCTTAAACTTGTCCCTGTATTTATAAAATCTAATTCTGTTATTTTTTTAGGGATGGTGCGATGTAAATCTATCATTACATCAATAAGCTTGGTTACAGGTGCTGCTACTATGTAGCATGGGCATATTGAGGGGTTTTTCGAATCAACAACACAGCCATCAGCAATTGATGGAATTATCTCAACGGGCAGTGGTGGTTCAACTAATTTGCAAGCATTTGGAACGAGAAATATATTATATCTTCCATTTCTTATCCCAATACAAACTGTAGGTCCACGCAACATATCAATACATTCAAATGTTGTGATTTTATTATCATAGTTACAATGCTTTGACCAAGTACTATTATTTTTTTGGCAAAGATCTTCCCGAAAGTAATCTATACTGCTAAAGTTTGTAGCCTTTCTGGTAGTATGATCTCTGGTAATATCGATAGTTTCATTACTAAGATCAGCCACTTCAACCAGTGTCCTCATAGTTGTATTATTTATATCATTTTTTGAGAATATTGCTTCTTTATTGGGAAGCAGATTTTTTATATACTGTATCCCTGACAAAATAATTGACCAGTTCCAAATAGGCTCCTCATAAGAATCATAATATTTAGAGTTCATTAGAGCACTATAAATAGGGAGTGCATAACAGCAACTAACAGCAATAACTGCAAACATTATTATTGCAATACTTCCACAACATCTTCCGCATGCTGAACAGGAACTTTGACTAGATCTTTTCTTTGAGTTCCTTGCTTTATCGGGAGAAATCATTAACAAATTTGGGCTTACCAAATGTGGAATTTGTCCAGCAGTAGTAAGATTTTGCATCTTAACTTAAGTATCTAATAAAACTAATTATATTTTCTCTAAATACTAAATAGTATAGAATATTACATTCGTGATATAGTATAATGGAAGACTGGCCATGGACTAGGGCCCTTTCCCATACTTTTTCTTATATATTTCTGCCACAAATAGTAAGTATTAGCTTTGGCTTTACAATAGAGTAATATACTTCTTATAACTATAAAATATAATTTGACTTTAGAAAAACTGCACTTAAAATATCAGATTTATGACCAGTCCCTATAAAGCTGCTTCTTTTGCTTGATATTTCAGGCTAATAAAGTAAATTATACAGAAGTGACTAGATATTAAAATTTATAGCTTGTGTATTCCATAAAACTTAACTTAGTACTTCTTGAGTATAATTCTATGCTTGTACGATCCCAAATTCCTATAGTATTATACGCGCCTTTAGATCTATCAAAAAAATATTTTTTTTTTTTTATAGATCACAGAAATACGTTGGGGTAACCATTAGTAAATATTAGTTCTAACAAAAAACGGAATTATTAAAGGGCTATATAATTCATCTATTATTAGCCTCTTTATTATATTTTGTTAGCTATTCAGAATAACACATTTAATAATCTGACCTGTGGACTTCCATTGTTGAGGAACTAGGTCTTTAATTTCTGGAGAACTCCGTAAAATATATTACAAGACAACATCAAAGAATTAGATATGTTTATTAATTTATTAAACAAAGTAGGAGCTCTCACAGCTTTACTATTTCTGTGTATATATGAATACCAAATAGTATATGCATCTGAAGAAGCTATCCCCTTTGGACAGGCTATTGGTCCAATTAGAACTGTATCTCAAGTTTACATGACTTCACCTTGGGGAGTTCCATCAGAAAATTCCAAGTGGATTAAGAGTTTAAGAGAATACCAACTTCCTTTAGGTTTTATTCCTTTGGCAAGACGATATCAAAGAGTTAGTGAGACTGCAATTTCTGAAAGATCAAGGCAATGGGCAGAGATTGTTTGTTGGAGATTCCAATCTGATCCTAAATACTCCTCAAGTCCACTTAAGTATACAATTAAGGATTTTGAAACTATGTTTCAGCAATTTGCGCACTTTGGCTGGAATCGTGATAGCTGTGAACAAGTACTTATTGATATGGGAATAAGTCAAGAATCTTCAGAAATGTGGTGTTCCAATGTTGAGCCATGGGGACATGATGAATGTGCTGATCTAAACTGGGTAGATTTTGTTCTAGCAGGCGATATTGAAGATTATTTTCAGGGCAAACTTGAATTACAAGCAATTTGCAGACTTGTTCAACTTGTTAGACCATCTCAATTACCAACTGTGAAATATCGCTATATTTATGAAGTTTGTCAACAGAATATTCTTGCCCTTCGTGATCCTTTAACTACTCAAACAGTTACTGAGGAAGATGCTGAGATAATTTGCAACATGATGGATTTTACGTTATCCGAAAACTGTAAGCAAATTCCCCCTAAGCAAATTAAGAAGGCGAGAGACCTCGCAGTTGCTTTTGGAGAAGAAGTTTACCCCAGATTATTGGATTTTAGAGTTAATGATGCATGCAAGGTTTTAGTAGCGATGCAATCAAGTGGTGATAGGTCCCTCTCCGATAATGAAAATATTGAATTCTGTAGAAATGAAATGATTAAGATATTGTGGGAACGTGCTGAAGAAAAAGGAGATCTTTTATGCCCATGGGGTTGGGATATAATATCACAATTCGTTGGGGCTTGTCAAGAAGTTTTTAAAAAACATGCAAAGAAGTTGAAGGATTTGGAAGAGAATGCCATTGTTTTGACTAGGGGATTCTTTAATCCATCTCAGTCATACAATACAAGATGGTGGAAGACATCTGTAATAGGACAAAAGTTGGCTGCTCTACTTGCTCAAAATCCTATATTAAATCAGTCTATACAAGAAGGTATATTATCTCCAACACAACTTATGTGGGCAACTAATATTCATGAAGAGTATAAAAATATGGGACATTCTATTTATTCACTGATTGAGGTGATTAATATGGTCAGGAGATTTGATGCGAATGAACCTCAAAAATCTTGTGAGAGTCTTCTAAATCTTTATCTTGGGAAATTTATTGATAATAATGAAAATTTACAAAGAGAACAATTTACGAAAGCAGAAGTAAGAGCAATGTGTTCAGCACTAGAACGTCAGTCAATAGAGATTTGTAGAAAATACTTAGTATCACCATTAATTGGGGTTGCAAGAGATGTGAGGTCATATTTCCTGAAAGAGATGCATGGTAATTCATTAATGCAATTGGAAGATATATGTTTATTCATATCTGCATTAAATATACCTAAGTTAGCTACAAATAAACATGTAGTAGAAAGGAGGTGTTCACATGCAATGAACAAATTTATTCTTAAAACTGTTAATTTAACTTTTGCACAACGCTATGGGCTAACTAGTAGCCAGCAAAGTCAAATATGCCAACGGATGGATATTTGGAGTTTGGATAAATGTGAAAAACTCCCTGAACGACGTAGATCAACTATATTTGTTATTTCTAAAAAACTTTATGATCTATCTTCTCGTTATGGAATACTGGAATATAGAATTGATGAGATGTGCAATGCACTTGATAATATGGGCGATAATCCCCCACGAGAAAAATGTCAATATATCATAGTATCTGAATTCTTTAGTAGATGGTCAGATTCTAGTAATAGTTTAATGCAACTTGCACGCCAATTATGTCATTCACTCTTTGAAAGAAGAACAACTGGTCGTGAGCTTAATGAGTTAACTAAAGCAATGAATCTAATCAAAGATTTCATGGATCAAAAAGGTGAGTATGCTTTTCCTTATGAAGAAAAGACATATCAGCAAATCATGGATGAACGTAAGAAGGGTAAAACAAAAGTGACTTCATATGAACTTCTACCAAGTCTATCTGAGGGAAGTCAGATTGAAGCTCAGCCGGGAGTTCTAAGTACATTGGAATCTGTAGAGGAATCATTCTCTCCTGGAATTGAAGATATCCGGGGTCAATATTACTCTAAGCTGACTAGTGTCCAGATGGAATTACTGAATAAGATTATTTCTCATCGCCCTGAAATTGGAGAAAAACGTGGAACAGTTGAGCAATTTGCAAAAGTTATTTATAAGTTGGATCAATTTAATGTTCTTGAAAGTTGTGCTGGACAATTACAAGATGAAATGAGTTATACATTGAGAGCTGCTAGGTCTATCTGTGCCACAATAGATCCATTACAAAGTGATAGTTGCATGGCTGCTCAAAGAATTGACTTGACTGCGGCAAAACTTATTCATCAAAAATTAGCTACAACAGCTTATACAAGGATTTTCATCAATTTATCACATATTTGTGAAGTTGTTAATCATGTAAATATTCTCAAATTTGTTAATAAGGTTAGATTAGGACGTATGAATCTTGGAGGTCCAGCTTGTAGAAATGCCTTCAAAACTATTATGTTTACAAGATATTTGCATAGTCAAAGTTCTCAACTAATATCACAGTTGTGTAATGTGATTGATATAACCAGTAATCCACAATTTAATGGTGGTATTCTAAAAACAACACGGGAAAGATATCTTGCATTTAGACTTGCAGATTCATATGGTCATAAATTAGACCTACTTCCACCGAAAAAACAACATCCAATATCTTGGACTGGTATTATGAATGCTATTCGTAAATTACACATTACATCTGACGAAGGAGTTACCAAACATCAGTGTTCTATTGCTATGAAGGCGAGTTTTGGAAAATTTAAGCAATTTAGTTTGGCTGATTCTACTGAAGCATGTTGTGTTGCAGTAAACTGCAAAGACTTTGTTTCTAAGTCAAAGGATTTCCCTACTCGAGCTAATTATGAACAGAATGAACTTCTTACTGCATCTGAAATAGATATACAACTTTCACAAAACTCTAAGACATGATAGTAAGCTTAATATTAGGAAAATGTTCAATTCAAGGAAATGTGCATTCTGCAATATATTTATCTAGTATAGACTGATATTAGCTCCAATTTTCGTGCAAAAATATTGCTGGTGTATAAACTGTGATTTTTTAGCCGACCCTTGAGAGTTAATAGTAAATCCTAATACTTAATTTTAAACGAAAATCCCAAGGTCTTATACTATTTAGGAAATCTTAACTAGAGTTGACTGGTTCCTTCTCATTAAATAATTAGGCGTAACACACATCGCACACTTTTTCCCTTAACTTGAATATATTTGTAAAATGTCCTGTAGATCAAATAATTCATTAAGACTAGCAGATAATATAAAAAGTAGAACTTGCTGTTTCGGTGATATCACTAATAGTGTTAACCATGAATTTAAAATTAAACATCTCATTTCCAAGTTTCAAGTTGGTTACTCTATTGAGATTCTACACCCTGGAACTGATTTTATCCAAGAGTATATAATTCTGAATCATCTAGGAGCAGGATCATATGGTATCGTTGTGTTGGCACAGCTGAAAACACTTTCTGAAGACTCTCCAGTGCACCGGAAAAGCTCATATAAAGTTGAAGTAGCAGATAAAGGTAACTTTTTAGCAAATATTGGTGAAGAATTTGTAGCCATTAAGATTATTGATTTGGAAATAGCTAATTCATATATGGAACGTGGGGATTCTGTTATTATGGCTCAAAAAGAAATCAATTTGATGACTGATTTACAAGATTGTCCGGAAATTTTGCGATATTACGCAACTTTTTCAACAGATTCATACCTATTTCTTATAATGGAATATGCTCAGGGTGGATCACTTTATAATCTATATACCAAGTATGGATCTTTTCCTGAAGATATTGTAGCTTGTGTTGCATATGATATTTTGAGATCCCTAATCAGACTTCATGATAACTCTTCAGAAGGTTATATTGTTCATAATGATATAAAAAGTGCTAATATACTTCTTTCAGATAAATGTATATGCAAACTAGCTGATTTTGGTGTTGCTAGAGAAGTTAATAGACATCACATTATAAGTGACAAATTAGAAATAAGTGCTCCCCACAATAATGGTAGCTCAAGCCTTTTAGGAAGTCCATATTGGATGGCTCCTGAAATAATACTTGGATATCCTTGTACCTCAGCATCTGATATATGGTCATTTGGTATTACACTGTTAGAACTTGCATTGGGTAGAATTCCATGGCCAACGACATTTATATCTATATCATCCTTACTGCAAAGTTTAGTTAATTCAGCTCCACCACAAAGGGTGATAAAAAAAGAGATTAAAGCATTGTTTTCTTCCGAATTTTGGGACTTTATTGATAATTGTCTACAAACACAGCCAAATAGTAGAAAAGCTGCGAGTGTGCTAATTAAACACCCATTCATTGGAAAGAGAAAAAGATCTGAAACAGTAGAAGATTATATAGCCCATATACAAGGAAAGAGGAGATCTCAATTGACTAATAATAATATCTTACAGATTATATTGAATAAATTAATGCATATACACCTGCGTTTAATTAAAAATCTATTCTTAACACAGTCTTCAAATTTTCGTAGTAATTCAAGAAATGACTCCAATATCACTTTTTACAATCAAAATAAGTATAACAGTAAAATATTAGAAAAACAATATACTCAAGAGCCATTTATAAGTAAATTGAGTACTGATATAAGATCTTCTCCATCTGAAGATCTAATTTCAAATAATTTACATGTTGAAAATTTTCATCTACTATCTCAAGAAAAAAGTCCTCTTAGCAAACGAATTAGTGTAAAATCCTTGTCTAGTATTGTAAATACTACCTGTAAAGCTATAAGAATATCACCTCAAAATTTGCCCTGGATACTTTCAGAAGCTAGCTATAGCTTCAATGAGACATCTACTATTGAATTCGAGCCTATAATAAACAGAAATGTAGAAGATACTAAAATAATCAATTCAAAAAGTAATATGGAAGTATCGGAAATCAAATATACCCAGGAACTTGAAAAAAAAAGTAAAAGATGCCGATTTTTAATACTTGGAATTTGTCCCTGCAATAAATTGTGAATTTTAAGGTATCAAGAATAGTGCGCATAATGAATTTGTAAATAAATTAAAATAGGAGCTAGTATGTATATAAGGATTTTTATATATATATATTTAGGAATTTTACTAAAAATAATTGGATTATGTTGTAAAATTAATTTCTTTGGTGAGGCTATTCAACTAAAAAGTGAGGCTGACTATTTTGATTTTGATCCTATTCTATACAGGGATACTATTTTTAGGAAAAGTGACAAACAAATTTGTTATATTAAAGGATTTCAAATAGGTCAGGGACGTTATTCAAATGTATTTTTATCTTGGCTCTTTAAATCCTGCCCATTTAGCTTTGGATACAATATTAGCTCTCCTTACCTCATAGATATCGTTAAGCTAGGCATCTCTAACTACTATCTATCAACTTTAGAAGGGACTCCAGTAGTAATTAAAGAGCTTAAAACTATTGTTGGATGGAAAGTAAGACGTGAAATTTCCATTTTAAAGAAGTTGAACAGTGAATTCTTAAGTACAGAAAATAGCACAAAAAAATTGAAGTTAGAAAAATTCAGCAACCAGGGTATCATCTATCACGAAGGATCTGAATCAATAATTAAGCTAATAGATGTTATATCATATTCAAATAACAGTGATTCTAATTTGGGTGATTCTAATAATATTGGTATAGTGATGGAATTTATCAAGAACAAACCTTTCTACTCTCTTTTAGCTCACTTAGATTATAATGATACTCAAAGTTATTTCAGAGATCTACTCCTAGGATTAGATTTTGCTAACTCTATGGGAATTTTTCATAGAGATATAAAACCACAAAACTTAGTTATTGACTTGTGGAAAAAAAAACTTAAAATAATAGACTGGGGTTTGGCAGAATACAGTAATATGCATGCTAATTTTAGTCCAAAAGTTGGATCTAAATCATATAAGTCACCTGAACTGTTAATTGGAATAAGAGAATATAACTACTCTATAGATTCTTGGGCTGCAGGATGCATCCTTGCTCAGATGCTATTTCACCTAGGAACTCGTAAGACTAATTATTTTTCGCAGATGTTTTTACTCTGGCCTAATCATTTTGTAGGGATATATTCAACTATTATGCAAGAAACAGATGTCTTATTTCCTGGGTGGGATAATAATGATCAACTTGTAAAAATTGCCTCTTTATTAGGTGGGGAAAATATCATTTTGTTTGCTGAAAAGTACAATAAAACTATACCCAAGAGTGTTTTAAATTACCTAAGTAAAACTAAGCCTTTATATAAATCAACTAAACCTTGGTACACATACCCAAAAACATTTGAGTTCTTAGTTACCGATGAAAATAGACATCTTATTACACATGAAGCTTTAGACTTATTATCAAGATTACTTGTTATTGATCATGAATACCGATTAACTCCAGGAGAAGCTTTAAAACATCCCTATTTCAGGGTGCCTACTACAAAGCACCATTTTATTGGTGATTCTTTCGAATATAATGGGATTAATTTAAGTATACAAAATTTTATAAATATGAATGAAGGTATGATAACCCACTTAGAATATTGCATTGTACCAAAAATTTTTGAAACCAATTGTAGTTTATATCCTGATAGTTATTACAGGCAGTTATTACAATAAAAAATAATATAAATTAGTCTAGCTTCCAAGATTAGCTGAGATCTCAGTAATCACGATTTATTAATACAATTTCACCACATCAAAAGAAAAAGAAGAATCTTCTACTGTGGGGCACCACGTCATTACTGCTTTATCATTGAGGTTCCTTACACAACGACTTGTTGATTCGAATGCCCTTGTTCCATTAATCTTTATTCTTAAATAACCATCTTCACTAAAGGGTAAAGTGCCAATACTATTGAAAATTCTGCTGGAATTTTTAATATGAGCAAATTCCAAGGCATCTAAATCATCATATGGCTCATCGAAAAGAAAATTGTCATAGCCATCAAAGTGCCAGAATTGATCATCTGTGTTCCCTGCAATAGCACCTTTGAATTTACATTCAGTTACTCTCAAAATAGAATCGTTTACAACACTAGATGGACCTCGAGAAAGGCATCCATAACTAGGAAAACGATTCATAATAAGTCTTCTCCCAAGTATTACCATCCATTGCTGAGCAAAGTCTTTAGAATTACATTTGGTGAAAATTACTGCTCTGTCAGAAGTTCCAGTTACAACTTCATTGTATGATGCTGTCAAACATAATCCTGTATCTTTATGTATAAATTGACGGAAATTATCCAACAATAATCCTCTTCTATCAAAAGATGGACGAAATTTGTTTATATACCAACTAAAGGGTTTACAATTTAATTGACTTTTTATCTGATAACGACTATCAAGCTTGACACCACTAAATGTCTCATTTAATGATTTAACAACACTGTGTATATCTTCGAAATATTTGTAGCGTTTTTGATCTAACCATACTAATGCAGTGCGTTTTTGATTACGCTGCACCTGCTTAACAAGTTTATTTTCAGGATTAGGCTTGGGGTCACGCTTAAAAATATGTCCAACACGGCTGTTTAGCTCAACACGTATTTCACCACCACAGCACCAAGTACGAATTGACTGTTCAATATTCTCCCCACCCCATTCAAGCATTCCAGGATCATATTTTCCAGATTCATTCCACCATTGTCTGGTTATAGCATAAAGACCACCTGAAGCAATAGGAACAACATCAGTGAAATCCTCATACCAGTTAAACTCAAAGTTCCAGTTAAACATCATTTTTAGTCCATATGTTCCAGCATCCTCCCAAGTATACCTATCAATATCTTCAATCATGGGACAAACAATTGCTTTTGTATTTAACTTTAGTCTATGGACAAGTGGTTCAATCCACCCCTGTTTTGGGCGACAGTGGCCATCCATAAAGACAATAACACTAGAGCTAGATGCATCTGCTCCTAGTATTCTACTCCTAATAAGACCTTCACAAGTGTTTAATCGGATTATCTTGATAATATCCAGTTGAGATCTTGATAATTCCCTTCCTATTATGTCAGACACTTTTTTTTTTGAGCAATCATCTACAATTATTATCTCTTTTAGCCATTTCCTTGGTGAAACATCTAGTGTATATGATATTGTCTTGCTAATAAATTCATCTTCATCTCTAACAGGTATGATTAAACTAATTCCATCAAAGTTCTCAAATTTATATGGATCGAATATACCAGAACCATTTGTTAGTAATTCTAAGGATTTTTGAGCTAAAATATTCGATAGATTGTCAAATTTACCCTCAAATATAATTTCAACTTTTGGTATAAAATAAGTTGTCAAAATATTTGCCCCTGTGAAAGTTAGAGATACAAGGGTAAATATTACCCAAGGTTTCGCTAGTTTTTGTGGTAATGGAATACTATCATTTTTTTTGAAATTAGGTGAATAATTCTTATCTTCCTTTAAACAACAACTTTTTTGCCTTGTATTTATCTCAAATAATAATGTAATAATGAGCAAGATAATTGTAAATAAAATGAAAATAGCTAAAATAGAAATTAGCTAGTGAGAGTATGGGGAAAAAATCATAAATTGCATTTAAAAAACTTACCTTTAGAGCACGAACTTAACCAAAATAGGGATAGTAAAAATAAAGCACATATTCGATTATGTGTTAATATACTTAAAGGTAATTTAAGAAGCATTTTAGAAAGTATTTGCTTTAATAGCTATTTGCATTATTCATGCGGTAGCCAGTATGCAAGGTGTAGGGGTGATGGTTATAAATAATAGTAACATTTTAGGGAAATCTTAAGGATTATTTAAATATAGGTTTAATAAATTTTTATTTGTATATATGATGGTATTAGCAGGAGTAGATAACAGAAGGAATGCACAATAGACAAATTTACAGGTGGAAAGGTTTAAAAGTATGTTTACTTAAAAATACTTTGCAATTAATTATGATATATTTTAGAGTTTATTACTATTTACTTAATATAAAAACCTTAGGATTTTGCAATGAGATATTAAAGATCAGCAAACAGTGAAGTAAGATAATTAAAGGCGCCTAATAACTGCACTATGCCTTTTATTTGTGGACCAACGAACAATTGCTTTATTCCACAAAGTATTGAGACAGGTATTGAGGAAATTGGACTAATAATACTTATGGCTTGCTAAATTTCTATGTGTAATTAATACTTAGTAAGAACATGTTTAGCATTATATTTCTAATGTATATTGGTAACATATTTATCTCTTGGTTTTTCAATGTTGCATTAGCAGATACTTATTATGTACCAAACAATTCAGTTTATGGACTCCAAAGATATATTCCCTCAGATCAAGATCTGAATATGAATAAATTGAGGATAAGTAGATATCTTATTTCTATGGATGAACTCAGGCGTATTAATTCCTGTTTCATTCCTCCAATTCAACATTACACATGGTACGCCTCAATAGTTTATTTTAAGAGATATAAATTAATATATAGAATATATAAACAATGCAGTATTGCTCGAATAAAAGTAATATGTAGGGAGTTTCAAAACTTTTTGAAATGCCCCATAGATCCAACTAATAAAGAAGTTCAGATTATTCCTCATGGAAAGGAGGCATCTACAGTTTTTGCTGTAGTAGATGGCTCTAACTCAGATGGAAATAAAAAACTGAATTTTGAATTATTTAAAGGTTGTGTTTATGAGATTGGAAATAGATCTGCACTTAGAGTGCGTTGTTTAAGATCAAATAAAATTAAGACATTTCCAACAAAGGTTGTAATTAAAGTTGACGGACGTACTAGTGACTTTCTATATCACTTCAACCACGAGCTTATAGTATATTCGAGACTTTCTTCTAGTACTTATGGCTCTGAACAACTTCGATTGCATCCATCGATTTATAGTTTGTTTTTAACTCCTAAACGTATTCCTATTGCTAAGGATATATTAATGATGGAGCATATCACTGGTCCTTCTCTTTTATCTATATTATCAAAGTTGAATAGTTATCCGGATGTCTTGCAGTATCTGAAAGTTCAAATAGAACACTTAGTTAATCAGAATATAAAGAAATATCAGGTTTCAATATTATCCAACGATTCTGGCACTGAATTTGCAGGTAATTTTGACCAAAGTAGTATTAAATTAAATATATCCCAAGCTTTACAGGATGATATAAATAAATTTATATCAGAGTATGTAGAAAATACGTTATTATTTACTATTAAAATATATAGGAAATTGCTATACCTTTCAGATATGTTCCATAGAGGTGGTACTTCATTTTATCCTATAAATGTAAAGGGAAAAGAGAGAGGTTCTTGGAAACGTCAACGCTCGATAAGATTGCATTGTGATTTCCATGCAGGAAATATACTAGTAAAGCTATCTAGTGAGTTTTTTTCCGAAACTGATAATCAACATAATTTGACCCAAAGTGATATGCTTAATATTAAACTTTATGATAATTTAAAGATAATCGATTTGGAAGATGCAGTGGAGATAAAAGAGAGTGACTTACCAATTTCTTTAGACAAATTTATTGGTATCCGACCTTGTCCTATATATATTACTGATGCAGATACCTTTTTAGGAAGATTACTATCAAACATGGTTTCTATCATTAATGTTCTAAATCGTTCGATTAAATCACTTAACAAACTTCTTCAAATAAAGGATATGACAAAGTATGACTTTGGGGATAATTACGTATATAGCTTGGTTAAAGGGGAACTAGGAAACTTAGAAAAAAAGACTTTTTCTATACACGATTCAATTTTCAAACTAATTGATGCAAGTTTGGCTAGCTGGTTAAGGTTTGTTCATATGGTTACAGATGATGAGATAACAAGACCTTGTACAATATACTATCATTCCAAATATGGTTCTAATCAGATAACTTCACCACTCCCATGTTCATGGCTATCTAATATTTTGATGCCAAAGATAGCTTGTAAATACTTGGATAAGAGTTTTTTTCTAGAAAAGGAAATATCTCAATTAAACAGTAACGCATTTCCAAATAGTGGATTGAGTGAAGATCAAGTGGAGTATCTAAAGCGCATATATAAATTATCATTAGAAACAAAGTGTCACATAGATGATAAAGAAGCAATGAATATAACTATTGAAAATATATCCGAACCTAAACAGCAGTTTGTTGATTCTATCAAGACATTGAATTCAACTAATTGGGGTGAGTGGAGTAAACTTATTGAAGTTGCTCAAAAAGAAGAGAATATACTAAAAAAAGAAGATAAGCTAGAGGGAAATAGTAAACAATCTATCTTTACATCTAGTATTTTTGATAGTAATCCAATTTTTTCTAAAGTTGAGATGCAGTTAAGTAATTATAATTCATTTGAGAACCTTTATTTAACGAAACTTAATGTAAATATTCCAGTTGAATTTGATGCTGCTTTAATTGAGTTAATGGGCCTGGCTGCAATGCAGAGGATAATTAGATTGTGTTTTCACCTGAAAGATTTTCTGGAATGTCGTAGGGTATCACCCTCTTCAATTACTCGGGATGGACCAATCGCTTCATTTATTGTAAAGCTAACTCAATTTAAACTAGGTAAACTAGACAAAAAAAAGGATATGAATTTAATTGGATCTTGCTTTATAAATAATATTTCAATGCCTTTAATTGGCTCGAACATAACCTTGTCTGGTTGGATATGTCCTCAATTACCTACTATTAATAGTAGCCGATATTTAAGATTAGTTGTAGATGGGCGACTTTTTCTGGATGTAAACTCTACAATATACAATGAAGGTAAAGCATCTAAATTTGTATTTAATGATATACTTGGGTATATGCACTTAAAAGATAACATCACTATGACGGCTGAGCATAATGAAGCAGTCATTCAACTGCTGCAGCAACATAGACAAAACGCTTTAAAGTTCTGGAAAGCTGAGTCCTTACTTAGAAATTTCCCCAATGAATCTCAACAAGAGAATGATACCAAAATATTATCAAAACTACTTATTTTTATTCCATCTACAAATCCTTCTGATTTTAATATTGTTCTTAACTCCTTAAATAAATCGAGCAATAAAAGTGAAGTATACACTCATTTTCCTTTACCAAAAGTTCAGTATCACTTTTCTTCAAAGATTAGCAGCATTGTCCAATTAGGATCAATTACAGACTATGCATTCTTTTGTGAAAATATCTCGAGGAATAGTGTTGCAAGTTTACTGAGGAGCATTTCAAATTTTTCTGGTAATTTAGATGCACTAATCTGGATATCATATTCTACTCTTATATTAGCAATTGTTGAGAAGCTTATAAAATGTCATAGTCTTCAAATGCTAATTGCACATAATGTTCTTCAATTTATTGAAAAGTTTCGTGAATATCGCTATCCTGATATAATATTAAGGCACTCTGAAGATAAATTTGCAAGAAAAAGTCTCGGAGTTTCTATTGATGTGAGCTATTCTGAACGTCGACCTGTGATTTGTAACTTATCTCTTCAGAAGTTGATGTTAAAAGCTAATATTGGTTTTGAATGGCTTAATAATTTGGCTTTATTGCAATCACTTTCACTTAAAGATCTTGAGGGCATTTATTTCGTTGATAAGAATGACATGAAAAATCGACCTTGTATATACAAAATTGGTGATATTGAAGTCATACTACGAGATTTACTTTTTCCTTCATTGGATCCAGTTGCAACTTTGGTGAAAGCTATTGGAGAAACATCTATACTAAATTCTCACTTACCCGTTGAACTTAGAAGGTCAAGATGGCTAATACATAACGTGATGTTGCAGTTAGTAAACTTCATTAATAGGAAAAGAGAAGAGAAAGTAATGGAGCACAAAATCCCAATATTAATATCAAGTTTGATGGATATACTTTCTTTAAAGGATAAACTTTTATCAAATAATACATTTATTCGTTGTTATCAGAGTTCAATTGATGAAAGTGAAAAGGAGATTTGTTTGTATAAGGACTATGAAACTATTACATCTGAAGCTATACTCAATTTAAAAGAGATGTTCAAGGAACAGTACTTAAAATATAAGCAGTTTTCTGCCCTAGATATCACTCAGGAATTTTTAAGATATTTTGAAGAAGAGTTTCAAAATATTGCCCCCCCATTAACATCACCCCCTGATGGAGGTCTGGGTTGGGAATCTAATGTTATTGATGATAAATTATACCAAGTGGGATTAGGTAGAGATTCAAATTTGAATGTAGAGACAATAGCACTCACTTCAAGGTGGCCTATTATAGCTGATATATGGCATTATATAGAGTAGGAAATTTGGTTTAGGTGAAGTTATATCTTAATTTTTATATCTACATTTGTAAAAAGTGATATGATCAACAATTAATATTTGCAATAAGATATCTCTATTTAACACTAAGCTATCTTTAATATTTTTACTCGCCATTTTTAAAGGCAGTGCTCACTTCTTTAATAAGGACTTTAACCTTGGAGTTCTGAGCATGCTGGAACAAAGCTTACATTTGGAGTTTGGCTAAATAATTTATATTTCTTTTTTTTTTTGCAACAATTTTCATTAGGATCTTTTGATTTACTGTTTAAGCTAATATATTGATTTCTTTTTTTATAGCATGACCTCTTTTCATTACCTACAGTAAAGGAATTTGAATCTAGATTTGAATTACACAAGGCTGTTTCTTCATCCCCTAGTTCTGGAGTTTTTGTAGACTTGCACTTAATATTAAAACACTTCTTCTGATCCTGGTTCCCTGTACTTTTGAAATCTTTTTTTTTGTATTTATAGCAACTTTTTTTTTCTCCAGGGACTGTATCTGTTGTACCAGATTGCGATAGATTCTCATTTACGGACTCTTCACTTGCATCTTGTTTGTTTTGAGGTTCAAAATTATTATTTATATCAACACTCTCCTCTTCAAGGATTGAGTCTATAATTGGTTCTTTGTTCCTTCTACTTGTTTTGCATGAGCACTTTTCTTTTTTAATAGCCTGACTACCTTGCTCATTAAAAATATGTTTATTCCTCAAATGACAGTTTTTTCGCCTGGAGAGTTGCTGCTCTTTAGTTGGAGGAGATACATCTGAGAGTAACTCAATTTCTTCAGGTGGTGCTTGAGTAGTTTTTGACTCATTGTAACCACAATACAGCCTCTTGGACTTTTTGGGGGGACTTCCAATTTCTATATTGGAAATTTCTTCTTGTTCAACAACTACTTGTTCATTTAAGATATTATCTTCTTTATTTCTTGTATCTAATATATTTTCTTGTAAATCTCTTTTTTCAACTGAACCTGAGGAAAAAATTTCATCATTTGAAACTGTTTCTTCGGGTAGCTCATTAGCCTGATCTATTATAATACCCCCTTTACTCCAATATATATAAAATGCGTTTGATTTTAGCCTTCTAGTAAATTTGGAACACTTTTCCATTGACAAAGGCAATTGTAATTTCGGAAAGCTGGATGGTAGAGCCATTTTTAGATATACTTCGTACTCATTGCAAAAATCAGGGTCTGATATTTTTTTTATTATCTCATTATACGCTAAAATTGGGTTTGAGATACCATTACCAATAATATTCGCAAATTTAATAGTTTCCATTATATCAACATATTCACTGTAGCCATATTGTCCTAGAGTTATAAATAATGCTTCTTCAGTTATTGTTGGTGGCTGAAAATTGTTAATCCTATTTTTACAGTACTCTGAGCTTTCAATAATCTTTTTAATACTAACTTTAGGAGAGATATTTCCATATCCAGATAAACTTAGTTGAGAAGTGTATAATACGCATGCTGATCCACTAGCCGTTACCTGAGGACCGTACTGTGATATGACTTGCTCTAGAAGATTTCCAGAGGTTTCATTTATCAGTATCACAATAAATAGAAAAGTTAGTCTGGCCAATACATTGCTCGAGATAAATAGCATTTTGTTTAGCTTTTTACTTATAATATTGAAAGTAGAAGAGTAATCTCAGTATGGTGCAAACTCGATAGTAACATTGCAATATAAACCGCCAAGGGTATTCAATTTTTACATGCTGTATTGCAAGAGTGTTGTAAACGTAATATTAAATACAATATATAAGCAAATATAGATAAATATATATGAGTGTAATAATTACAGTAGAGAATGGAAATTAAGTTGAAAACTAATAATCTAAATAACTTCAGAAAAAGGTTTCTTTATAAGTATATTTGAAGACTAAATTACAATATTATATCTAGAGGTATATTACTAATAAGATTCACCCTAAAAGATACATTTATCTGTATATTCACAAAATTACCGTATAATTCTTTTCATCTCTTGGGTTAAATTAATGTAAAAATTTTTATTATTTATTTGACTTTTTTAGTTTATCCTTTTTTTCCATTACGAGTTCCTTCATGAGTCCCTTGATAATTTCCTTCATGAGTCCCTTGATAATTTCCTTCATGAGTTCCTTGATAATTTCCTTCATGAGTTCCTTGATAATTTCCTTCATGAGTTCCTTGATAATTTCCTTCATGAGTTCCTTGATAATTTCCTTCATGAATCCCTTGATAATTTCCTTCATGAGTTCCTTGATAATTTCCTTCATGAGTTCCTTGATAATTTCCTTCATGAGTTCCTTGATAATTTCCTTCATGAGTTCCTTGATAATTTCCTTCATGAGTTCCTTGATAATTTCCTTCGTGAGTCCCTTGATAATTTCCTTCATGAGTTCCTTGATGATTTCCTTCATGAGTTCCTTGATAATTTCCTTCGTGAGTCCCTTGATAATTTCCTTCATGAGTCCCTTGATAATTTCCTTCATGAGTCCCTTGATAATTTCCTTCATGAGTCCCTTGATAATTTCCTTCATGAGTCCCTTGATAATTTCCTTCATGAGTCCCTTGATAATTTCCTTCATGAGTCCCTTGATAATTTCCTTCATGAGTCCCTTGATAATTTCCTTCATGAGTCCCTTGATAATTTCCTTCATGAGTCCCTTGATAATTTCCTTCATGAGTCCCTTGATAATTTCCTTCGTGAGTCCCTTGATAATTTCCTTCATGAGTCCCTTGATAATTTCCTTCATGAGTCCCTTGATAATTTCCTTCATGACTTCCTTGATGATTTCCTTCATGAGTTCCTTGATAATTTCCTTCATGAATTCCTTGATGATTTCCTACACCAGACTGTTTAGATTCATAATCATACTTATGTGCACTCCCTAACATTGATTTCAGTATTTTTAATTTAGATAGTAATTTACGTCTATTTTTATGTTTATGTTTCTTCTTTTTTTTCTTTTTTTCTTCTCTTCCTTGTCCTTTCTTGTTCTCACTGTCTTCTCCTGAATAATCGGATATACCCTGAGAAGCATAGGCTAAGGAAATACTGTCACTGGGCTTTAGAGCCACTGTCTGAGTATACTTCAAGAATAATGGTAGAACTACTAAATAGATGCCAGAAATCAATATAATTCTCATTTTTACTAATAAAATTAATAACTTTATTATTTTCAGATACTAATAGACATTTTAATGTGCAATATTTTAAAGATCTGAGAACTACCACACAATGGCGGGAAAAAGTGAAGTTGTTAATCTTTGTCTGCTCTTAAATTACTATTTAGTTCACAGATTTCTAAAGGAAACTCAAAAAAAGTGGTAGGAGTTCAACACATAATTATTTATAATAGTTCATTTTCTTTTTTCTTTATTATTACTATTACTTTGATCCGTTAATTAGTTGATGAAATACCTATGAAGAACAGAAATAATAGTTAAATAAAACTACATTAGTCAACTTTCAAAGTTAACATCTCCAATAATAAAGATAGTTATGAGTGAAGACTTGTATCTTTGCTTTAGAAGCTAGAGTAGTATGAAGTAAAAGTATTTATCGCGGCAATATTATAAAATAGGCACTATTATTGTAGGTAATAGTTATTCAGATAATAAGCGCACATAAAGGCGTGATTCTGGATATACCTTTAATGGGAAACTAATATAGCCCCACAATACGCGGTAGATATAGATACAGCTGCATGCTAATAATTAGTGTTTATGAAAGAGTACGCATATTATAGTGGTTCATGGTAGAAGGCATAAAATTACCACAATAAAGGCAATTTAAACTTTCTCTTTCTTAATCTATAAGAGTTTTTTGGTGATTAATAATTGTACTTAAGCCTTGATTAAATTGGCTTGTTATGGTCACACTCCTCATTTAAGATAATTTGGTAGATTTGAGGATATTCGATTTAGTATGTTTATCTTAACTTTTTTAAAATCTACTATTTATTTTACTACCTTGGTAATTTATATTCATTTGATACACTTACCATTACGTGAGCGATTTAGTATAAGGTATAATGGTAAGATAACCTGTAGTAAATATCCTGGCATTATATGTGAATATTCTTTTTTGGGACTCAATTCACCAGAATATTCACTTTTTAATTCAGATCCTTTAGTTTTGGGTACATCAAGATCTCATAGAAAAAAAAAGAAACCTGATGGGAAAGTAAATTCAATTAAAAATACTTCAGGTAAAAGTAAGAAGGAATCTAAGCATAAGGTAAAAAACTCTTATGAACATAAGAAGTCTAAGGTTGTTAAAAATAAAGTAGATAAATCAATTATGAGAGATATTACCACCTCAGGGAGTTCAAAGAGGTCTATCAAAAAAGATCTAAAATATACTGAAATGTCTAGATATGTTGCTTTTTATCCTAAACCAAGTCATAATATTTGGCAAAATCCTAAAGACAGAGTTTCATATAAGAATTTAAATCCTCAGCTTGGAAATTACTACCCTAAAATGGCAATTTCACCGTTTAGGGAGAGTAGTGAATGTGCATCTTTATTCGATGCTGCAGTTTTAGCTTTTAAGAATTATGAAATAAGAATAACCCCATCCCAATTCACTGGCTTGGCATTACCTTTGGCTGCTTTGCTTCGTGAAGTTCTAAATCAGCATGTATCTCTACAAGATAGTTGTCTAATGCTACGAATACTTCTTCATTTTTATAGCGGAATGAGGACTAGAATTCAATTTGTATACATCATTGCAGCTGTTACTCAAAATAAGGGTCTTATTGGAGAATCAAATACTCAAACTTTTAATTTAACAAAGAAGGTTTCTCGAAAGGTGTGTCAAGAATTTTTACAGTTACCAAAAACAAGATCAGATACTAATGCAAAGTTATTTACTCCATACCAAATTTCAGATTTCTTCAATTTGACCAAATTTCCAAAAGATAATTCATTTTCATCTCGTTTATTTCCATTAAATCGCCAAGATGGTTTCAAATTATTGGATTTATTAGATAACGAGTTGCAGATTAAAATTGCTCCAGATGAAGCAATGGCTGCAATTTATATTTTATTAAATCTTTTGGAACGAGATAGAACACAGGAGCAATGTGTAGAAGTTATTTCTGCTATCATTTCTGCTTCTACAGATATTACACTGGACATTATACAGCTAAATAAATTAGAAGGTATTTGTAAGGTTGTATTTGATTTTAAAAGGTCAGGTAAGTCTCCATTATTATCTAGAGATGAGATATTATATTACTATGGCCCTAAATCTGATATTGTTGAAATGAGGCATAAAGTACCTGTAGTAGAACCTATTTCTTCAACAGTTTCAATATGGCATGAGATTGGCATGGTAGATTTTGTTGGTCGTGTATTATCTCGATTGTTTCCTGATTGCAATGGGCTTCGTGTGTGGGAAGTTAATCGGCTATGTTCAATAATGGAGATAATGAATAAGCATATTATTGCTATAGAGCCTAATGCACAGTTAATCAGTATTGAAGAGCTTTGCGGAGCTCATAAATATAAATTGTCACATCCTAAGAAGACTTGGCCAGAAGCTATAATTACAACATTGCACTTCCGGCCTAGAACTTTACCTATTTCAGTTGAGAAATTATTTTCAAAGTTTTTAAAGCATGAAAAAGTGAAACTCAAGTCACTCACAGGAACCACTACAGTCAAACATGAGAATTTTTATAGTAAGCCAGAATTTAGTAGTCCTAAGTTTATTACAACAGTAATACCTAGATCGGCAGATTCAGGCATACCTCAGATATCTTTTACTAGGTCAAGTAAAAAACTCAGTGCATCCAATACATTTTTCTTCTCATATCTGTTTAATTCTCAGCCAAAGTATATTCAGAATAGATTTGTTTTTGCAGCTTCTTTTTTCCAAGAGGGGCTTCTCAGCAAAGGGATCTTTGTGCATATATCTCCCTCATATTTGTATAATACAATAAATGGTGACCTGTCTGGAAATTCTGATATATCTTTATTGAGTAATGCAATAGGTTTGCAAGGGACAAATGATGTCAAATCTTTGCTTGAATTTTTCTTGAATTATGAACAAGAATTATTTGAAGAATTTAAACTTCAACATAGTGCTGACTTGGAGGCTTTTATGAAAGAATTTTATGCTTATCCTTTGGCTACATATGGATCTGGAAGATATTTCATTGAAACTAGTATAGATTTTAAGTTACTTAATATAGGACGGATTTCATCTATTATGGATGTAAATAGGGCTTGTCTATTTCAAGCCTTTATAAATCTGCGATTATTTCAATATGATTGTGGCAAACAGCTTGTTTTATTTCCATATATAACTACTAAACAGTCGAGTTTGATTTTGCAAAGAGTTGTTAGTAAATCTTTAAATAATTATGTCCTTGCTATGAAGCACTTTGTTCAAGATTTTAATAATCTACCGATTAATATTTTATTAAATATTGCCAATCAGTGGATAATATATGAGGAAGTGGCTTTACCTAATGTATTAAATATTTCTGGTTCTGACAAAGCAACTATCATGACTAATTTGTATAGTGGTGATCATATACTCATGTCTCATAATAACTTGGGATGGTTCTTTTTATTTGATATTCAATCTGCTATAGATCAAGTTTCTGCAGGTTCTCAGATTGATCGTTCTCAGGAGCCATTGTTTCCTATTTGTTCGGTAGAGTTAACTGTTAATAGAGTGAAATTTGCTTTTTCTTGGTTGAGATATTTTTATATTTATATATATAGGTGTAATCAAGTTAATTTTAGCTATGATAATATATTGGATTTATTTCATTATTTAATGGATGAATCTATCATTTATAACTCAGATTTGGCTCTTATTTTAAGTAAATCTCCTAGTATACTCCCTAATGTAGATATTGGTGATTTTAGTAATGCATTACATCAATATTTCAAATTTGAGCGTTTTTTCTTATTGAAAAATTACAGAATATCCATTGATGCCTTTTTTGGTGATAAGTCAAACTTAATAACTGTTGAGGGTTGTCCATATTTCTATTCTATTCCTTGGGATTTTTTCAAATCTTCATATCAACAGAAGTGCCAAAGAGTAATTTCAGACAGTCTTTTGAACATGGCAGAGACATTCTTAGCATTCAGAAATAGAGTGGAGTCCCTTGAACTGGTGGATTCTTTCACTCTTTTGGATTCTATAAATCTTTTTTTATCTTTGGATACAAGTGATATGCGTAATATTGGTACTTCTAATCTTTTAGTTCAATTTTTAGATTATATCCTTGCAAACAACTTATTTCATTCTGCTAATTTGGCCTTCTTGCGTCCTTGGGTTAATTTACTATCTTCTGGTTACAGCTTCAGGCGTACTAATAAGTTGGTACCTCATTTACCAGTGAATGTACAGCCTGCTATATTAACTTCTCCTGCTATTACGGATAACAGTTTGTTATTTCAAGATATATTAAATAAGTTGCAGCTTCTTAAAGTGGAACAAGATATTTTAAATCGAGCAATGGAATCAAATTCAGCAGATTACGAAAGCTATGGAAGTAGACTTTTAGCTATCCAACAGTCTATTGATAATTTATTCCTGAGTCTATCTACAATGAAAGATCAGGCTACTAGGTTACATAATTTTGATTCAGCTTTTATTAATACACTTCCATGGTTTCAGAATAGTCGTAGATCCTCAACTGCCACAATTAGTGAAATAGGTTCTTTAGATATTCATCCCTCTATTGAAAAACCTGAACTTAAAGAAATTCCCTTTGTTTTAGCATTAGATATTGCATCTTATAATTCAGAAACTGGTATCTTAAAATTCCCGAATAAGGAAGTGGATAATTTGGAAACTGTTCAGGTTGTTAATAGAATACAAGCCTTCAGGGTTTGGTGGAATGATATTCAATCTAAAGTGAGGTTTTACTCAGGAGATCTTCTTTTCAAAGTTACTTTTCAGAAATTTGATGTTCTATTTCCAGCTTTTAAAAAAATGGGCTATAACTCTGATGTTCATACTTTTAGTCTTGAATTAGCTTCAATTTGTTCTGATTCTACTTTTCATATTGAAGTTGATCATCTTGAAGTGATAGCAAGGTATTTTCTTCTTGATGAAAGTATTGCTTTAAATTCATTAAATATAAACCCCAAGACATTAGAAATAGCATATAGAGACTTGAGACTAATTTCAGCCATTGAACAAACAACTAAGCATATTCCTTTAGTTGGGTCTCCTGGATATATTTCTCTAGAAGTGACATCTTTTGATTATTCTAAGGAAATCATTTATTTACAACAGTTTTTGGAGAGAATTGTATCTGAGTACTTTGCAAATGGTCCAAGAGGGTTTCCAACAATTGGAATTCCTAGATTGAATAATTTGGCGTTGAATTTTACATTGGATCGACTTTTGCTTGCAAAGTATATCTCTATAATTTTTGGTTATTCTAGTTATTATCTAAATGCACCTTCAATTGGAGCATCACCAATCATGTTAGCGGATTATTTAATTCATTCAATATTCCAATTGATAAATAATGGCCAAGCTATTTCGTATCGTGAAGTATTATCTTATTTTCATTCGAGTAGGTTAATTTTTGGTTCACCTTATATTTTATATGTGAATCACCTTTATTCGGTATCAGATCGGCAAATGGGGAGTTTACACCACACAGTTGCTTATAATATATTTATTCATAATAATTTAGAGTCACGTATTAACATAGTATATCTTTTAAGATTTTCATTGGACTTTTCTTCAAAAAAGTTAGGCATTAATATTATTGATGATGATGATAGTCTTTTAGATATGTGCTTTTATTTTATTTGTGGTGTAAATTTGTTGGAGTTATTCCGAACTCATCTTTCATTTAATGGAGCTCAAGTTGAGAAATTGAATGAATATGTGGCATTTGCAGCTTCTTTATTTAGCCATATATTTAAGGATATAAAGATGTTGTGCGTTGGAGCTGAGCTGGAAGGGAGAAAGTATATTATAAATAATGTGATTACTGATCCTTATTTTAAAAACTTTTATAAAAGTGAATTTTCTAATGAAATAATTGAGCGTTGGCTAAATTTTATGTGTTTGGGTAACCTTACTCAAGATTTTCTAACTCCATATGTAAATTATAAGTTTGAGAATTTTTTAAATTTTCCTATTTCCTCCTACAGCTCTGATCTTAAAGTTGTGATTCCCAGACAAATCTCAGGTTCATGCTCGAGTGATTTTATATATTTTTCATATCCTTTTAATTTGTCACAATGTAATATGGTTTTCTGTTTCTTGTCGTTTTTAAGGGATTTCTTGAAGTATGGTGATCTAAAAGGTAGTCCTTTAGTTCATATAGATGTTTGTAACAGACGTATTTGGCTTGATATATGCAGTGCATTAAGTGTAGGTCTTGATCTTGCTCAAGCTGTTCATACTCGCTTGCAATTAGAATTATCGATTAATATCATGAATAAGAGGTATATTGACTTTGGTATTATTTCTGGACTTGTTGGATACTTTATGAACTCAATACATCCTTTGATTGCTCAGGGAAGTTCAATGCAATCTTATCACTTAATATACAGTAAATATGGAGAATGCAATGATAAGATTAGTTCTCATATGCGTCTTGTAAAACCTAAACTTCACGATTTAACAAACAATTATAGTGAACCAAGCTTTGATTATAGATTTCAACTTAGTCACTTTGATATTCCTTCTTCAAATGATATTTTATTAATGAAACAACAGTCATTTAGCGTTTCTCTATGGAGAAAAATATCGCTGCAACAATTAAATCCATATATATGTAATATTGGAAATTCTGATTTATTAGATGTACGTTCTAGTGCGGATATTCTTGAATGTAATGTGCCAGATATAAATTTTGTAACTAGATTTTCTAGTGATTTTGAAATTAACACAAGTAATTTACCAATAGAAATTGAGCTACCTAAATTAAATAATGTTAAAGGTAAGCCTTGTTCTTACTTACCAATTAGTGGAATTGTAAATGGTGATGAAGTTTATAATAATCCCCAGCTCACTTATGCTTCTTTTAAAAATAAAAAAATTAGGTATGTTAATAGGGCTGTTCTTTTTCAGCGTTGGTGGGTATTAGTTTGGCCAAAGTTATTCCCATATTCTGCTGATATTATTCTTGGCAGTGATTTTTCAAATATATTATTTCTTGCTAATATCTTTAATGAAATTGGTATGGAAGCAGAGCAAGTAGTATTAAGTAAATTTTCTGAGGCTATTAAGATATATTCGGATTATATCCCTAAGGATGATTTAAAAATAATTATTAGAGCATTTATTTCTCAGGAAAAACTCCTTTTACAACAATCTGGTAGACAAACTCTAAATGAGGCTTATGCTTATTTTGAAATGATTTATTTCCTTAGGGAGGATATGTTAATTGTTCCCAAGGTATATATGCCTGATATTCTAATCCTTCGAGAGGGATTTGATATTAGTCCAAATGTTTACCGTTTATCTGAATATTTAAACAGATTGATATCTGAGTATATGGCTGCAGCTCCACGCTTCTATCCAACAATCTTGATACCATCTACAGATTTCTTAGCACTTCACTTTACCTTGGAGCGTTTTGCGTTGGAATCTCTGTTGCGTACATGGAGTATTCGTAAAGAGAGCCTTATTTTGGCATTCTTTAGAGCTGCATCAATAGGAGCTAGCTATCATGCACTGGCATCCTTCATTATTAGTCATTTTGCAACACTTGGAATTTCGGATGTTACTTCGCAACCACTTTTTACTGTAGAATTTATGAGGGTTCATTTTCCATATGCAAGCATGGACCAATTAGTTGATAATATTTACTTAGATCATAAAATGGTCTCAATTTTTAGCAATCCTATATCTGCTATTAATGGCATTAATCAAATGGATATGGGAACTTCTAAAGAAATATTAACAAAACTTGTAATTAATTCATTGTCAATTTCGGAATTTTATACTGATATCAAGTTCCCATTACCTTCAAGGAATATTTTATACATTGTTATCCTTATAATGGGTGGCACTCGGGTTCTAGATGCTATTAGAATGCATGGATATCCTGGGAATATGATGATTAGTGAATTTAACAAGTTTTGCCTATACTTCTCGCATATATTAACTACATTTATATTGTTTTTATTAAATAATGTCAAAGTTTCTTATTTACAAATTAAAAGTGATCTTGTAAATATGCTATCCCCTAATTGGCTAAAATATCTAGGGGAAAGGAATATTGTGAATTTGTATATACTTGTTCGTATGAAGTATGTATTAAATTTATCTGGTCCTAGTGATATCAGTAATATTAAATCTAGTATTCTTAGTTCTAATATAAATTTTGCACAGTATTATGAGACTAATAATGAAGTTTTAGTTATTGATCAAGCAAGGGGACGTTTTAGACAAATACAAGGGAGTTTATGCCAAGATGGGGATGTTGCAACTTTTAACTTGATCTCTTTATTTTTGGAATATCTTGGATACATAATTAAAGATTTTCATAATAAACAATTTTTGGGGTATTCATTTGATCCAGATAGACTGAAGTCAATAGAGATTATTTGCACAGCAACAAAGTTAAGCTATATGTTACCTATTCATAAAGCTATATATACTTTATTATCAAGTATTCTTCACTATTCAATGGGCTCTCTATCACATAAATACATTGAAACCTTGTACAATATATTTTTTGAATTGTTAAATTCAAGGTGTAATGGAATTAGAAACATTGTTAGCTGTTTATCAGATAATACTCAATTACTAAATATGTCAGATATCACGTCTAAAGGTATGGTAATTTTGAAGAATATACAAGATTCTAGAACTAATGTTGTTTCACCAAGTTCTCTATATATATTATTGAATAATGAACCATATTCTCCTGGGATTTTGGATAGTCAAGATATATTTAATTCTCATGATTTATTAAGTGAATTCTCTGATTTAATGTATAAGTTACATGGTGACTCTATATCTAGATATCAAGATTCCTTGTCAACTTGGCTTGGCCCAATTGATATTAATAATAAATTTGATCTTATCCCTAAGAAAAGTGCAGAATTATTGAATAATCGCTATCAAAATCGCTTGTATTCTAATTTGGTATTATATAAAAAACTAAGTATAGATTATCAACAAGATATAAATTTAATTATTGATATTGGGTCTGTGGAAGATAGATTTGTTCGATCTACAGTATTTCCTGATGCTGATGGGGTCGATGTAGGGATTGTTAACAGGGCAGCCTGCTTTCAAGAATGGTTAATTATTATATGGCTTAGTACAGAAAGGTTTTCATACGATGATACATTCCGAAGTTTTATAGGGAATTATAAATATATTCTAGATATATTTAGTAATATATTATATTCTGATGATGTAAGTACTCTTGTATCTTTATTATTAAATGCAATAGCTAAAGTATCTATTCATGGTTCTTTTAATGATTGCCTTCTAATTGCATCTTCGTTCATTTCCACTGAAAGAAAAATGGTAAATACTTTTAATATGCCATCTATTCAAAGTTTTAGTAGTAAGGGTCTTTGTTTCGAAGCTTTTCCTTTTATAAATATTGATCTTCCAGAATTTCCAAGTTATAAGGATATATCTGTAATTGAAATGGAGTGGAGCATTCCTGATTCTTTGAATAAAGTTCATTTGGCTGAATATATTGAGTTTTTATTAAAAGGTTACTTCTTTACTGTTCATATGTCAACTGTTACTTGTGTGCTTCCATCTTTTAATGTAATTGTTGATAACATTTCTTATGATGCTGAGATAATGGCTAGAGTAATTTATCATTGGGCGGGTAATCGTCATGATTTAGTGCATGCTCCACTTAGGGGTCTCTGTCCGGTATTAATTGCTAATTATTTAATTAGTAATTTACAGCTCATTAGTCCTAATTCCGTGGATTTACCTTCTTTTTTTAATGATGCAAAAGGTATATATGGTTTAGCTCCTTTTTATCCAGAAAATACTATATTTCTTACTAGTAATGATCTGGGTGATTTTGATAATATTATAGAAAATAAGTTGATTGAGAAGGGAAAAAAGAATTTTAATAAGTTATTGAGTCTAATATTCCATAGCGTTTCGGAAGTATTAAATGTGAAATTGACTGTTGATAGCAACCAACAGGAAAAAGTCTTCAAGATGTTACTTTCAGGTATTTCTGAGTCAGAAATAATGAGGGCTTTAATAAGGTTATCTGATATATTGTTGAGTATTAGTGAAGTTAATTCACTTGTTGCCTTATCAATGCATTATTTGCAGATTATGCGTCGTTGTACCCTCAGTATGACAAATATTGATGTTTCTTTAATTGATGAACTTGTTCTTACAGCCTTTTCATCACTTGGTTATTATATTCATTCGGAGTCATTACATTCTTTGTTGGTTAACTATTACTTTGTAAACGGTTTGTCCAAATTGAGCAATATGAAGAATCTATTTAATAGATGTATAGGAAAAAAAGTTATGACGATAGTACCTTTTTACAAATCTCTTCCAATATTTGGTGCAATTAATCAATTAGATGGTATTTACAGGACTTTCCCAAATGGTACATATGTTATTGGTGGAGTTCATTCAAGCTCAATGAATAAAAGGCTTATATTGGGTTACTGCCTAAATATGATCATTAGTAACCCTAAAAATATGGAGATCCTTAATATGGACAGTTTTGTAGACTTACAAAACCCAGGACTTTGGATCAATTCACTAAATTGTAAGGATTTTAATTTAGATTGTTTAGCATCTTCAGTATTTGGTTTTATTAATAAAGATCGTCTTGGAGTTCACTTTTTATCTGTTGATATAATGAGAGAAATGATTGAGTTAATTAACTCTAAAGTACTTTTTGTTATGAAGTCATACTCTATTCCTGCTATAGATATATTAGCATTTGCAGATTACTTTTCAGCTTATAAATTAGCTACATCTATCATGAGGTCAACAAATATTGATATTTTGTCTATGTCTAAGACCTTAAGAAGTCAAGTGAGTATCCTACCTACTGTGCGCATACTCCAAATCCCCCCAACAAAGTGCAACATAAATGCGCAAGTTCCTGCTGCTAATCGTGGAACTTCTAAGGTTAGGACTAAAGTGGATCTCGTTACATTTTATCCTTCTATACAGATATCTAGTGACCCAGCTAATTTTAATTTGCACCCTATTTTCGGCGGAAATACTTGGCTTAGTAGTAAAGGGTTATTAGTAAGTAATTATGGACTTTGTACCAATCAATATGTTAACATTGCCAATCGGGCAGCCTTCTTTCACATCTTCTCACATATAGCAACTTCACAATATCGTGATATAAGACTAGATATTAATTTATGTTGTGGTCTCTTCAGAAAACATCCTCTGACTCGCAATATTAACGACATAATTGTTGATGCCGTTGAAATATTTGGTAATTTTGAAGTATATGAAATATATCAGTTGCTACATGCATTTCTTTTATTTGAAGGAATTACATTTGGACTCAGTCCATTGAGTAAGATTACTTTTCAGTATAAAAATGCATATTATGTACATTCAATTTGGCTTGAGTGTGAAATTCCCAGTATGGATCTTTTATTACCTGCTTTTGAAGGTGATACAATGTACTTAGGTAAATTATTTTGTTTACTCTCAAATCAAATGTTGGATAAAAAAGATGACTACAATATAGATATTGCAAAGTGCAACTTAATCGCTAAGTATTTATGGCCTAGAAGTAACCATTTTCCTTCACAATTTGATTCTGTACTGGCAATTGTCAGTTTCATCCCAAAATTGAAGCCAGTTTTAGAGGGTCTTGGTTATACACTTTATAAAAAGTTTATTTCCTATGTCAATGATAACATGAAATTTAAGCAAAATTTGGATAGAAATCTCCATTCTTATTATGAGAGAATCTTTAGAAAACCTCTTGTATGTAATGAAAATGAAATTCCTTGGAGCCATCCTTACTACAAGTATTTGCAAATATCTTTTGAACATTTTAACTTTTTAAGGTTTATAAGATATTCAATGCAACAGTTTCAAAATCCTGGATTATCTGATGATAATATTATGTCTTTAAATATTCATATATTAACAAATAAGGCAATTTCTTCTGCATCTATCTTCGATAGTATTTTTACCAGTGAGAATGATAAACACTTATTTTTTGGCACAATTGAGTCATACTGGAGAATTTTATCCCCAAGAAGTTTTGAAGATACTTTCAGTTCACCTTTTGTAGATTGTAATGAACATAATGAGGGTTTTGTCTCTGGTATATCTTTTCCTCTTACCTTTGATGGTGATCAAGCTATTGTTGGTCCTCCTAGAGAGTCTTACTTTTAGGAGTAACGAGCATTTAAGTTTATTTAAATATATCGAGGACTTCTATATTTTCAATGATATTAGCAGATCTAATTTAATCTTTGTGGTATAGGCTCTTTCCTAAATACAACTGAGGCAGTATTAGATGATTTGACATATATTTTAGAGTCATTGAAGAAACTTAAGATAAATTCACAAAATTCACTCCAATCAATGGAGCCATCGTGGTTAGTATCTATTTCATCTAAAATAGTATCCCAATCGGTATATACACCTTGATTTGTTGAAGGTAGTACCGTTCGACAATTAGGCTCTGCAAGTGATGAAAATCCCTTTGTTATATTAGATAGTAACTTAGATTGTTGTGTTTTGAGTAGAGTTTTAAAATCTTGTCTAGATACTATTCCATCTTTATCTAAATCTATCTTCATAAATAATGATCTTAGTTGCCTGATTTCACTTTTCTTCCATATATGACACGCAGTTATGAATTCACTATAAGATATCATACCATTTCCATCGATATCCATAGCCCTCATAATAATGGCTGCTTCCCATTGTAATATACCAGCAGACTCAAATCCACTTGCAATTTCCTCTAAGGACAGTAAACCATCATTATCTGTGTCCAAAGAACGGAATGTACTAGTTATCATATTTATTTGTGCAGTATCGAGTGCCAATTGGTGAGTCAACATATGAATTAATAAATGTCGCAATTCAGACTGTCGTGTGTATGCCCTTAGGTGTGCTAATAGTGGTGTACCGATGTCAACTTCATTGTATATTTTATGTGGAAGTACTAGCCATTCGTGGTTTAAAGCTTCATCAACCGTAATCCTACATCGAGGTTTCTTTTCTAGTAATCTTTTAAGGAAGTTTTTACCTAATTCTGTAATAAATGGTATCTCATCTATTGGCGCTATAGACTCGCATATATTAGCTCTTGTTTCTGAGTGATTTGAGCCTTTAAATGGATGATAACCAGTAAGTAAGCAGAACATTACAACACCAACAGCCCATATATCAACGCTATATGAAAAGGGTTGCTCCAATATCATTTCTGGTGCCATATAATCCAAACTTCCAGCTATTTTTGTACATGTATCCTCAAAAAAAAATAGCTCTGTCTCTTCACTAGTAAACATTTCGCTTAAACCAAAGTCAATGAGCTTTATTGTTGTGTTTCCACTTCCAAATGAGTTAGTTAATAGGATATTTTGCGGCTTTAAATCTTTGTGAACTACTCTCTGTTGATGTAAGTAACGGACAGCAAGCAATATTTGCTGAACAATTCTAGCTACATGATACTCTGATATTCTAAATCCTGACTGGATTGAATCTCGTAAAGATTGAAATAAATTACCTCCAGCGCAGTATTCTTGAATTATATACATATTTAATTTGTCTTCATAAACTTCATAAATATGCACAATTCCAGGATGATCCAATTTCTTTAGTATCTCAACCTCTAGATCAATACTATCTAGCTTCTTTTTACACTTCGCTTTGTCAATAATCTTACAAACTCGTCTTTGACGAGTATAATTTTCAGTTACTAAGTAAACCTCCCCATAGGTCCCAATACCTAGCTGGTTATGAAATGTATATAGATCATTAATATCTTCTTCATATATTAAATGTTTCCTGCTAACCGAATTTTGTTTACTACAATGTTGAAATTTCCTTATATCAAAGTGCCTTCGTCTAATTGCTGTTAATACATTTAAAAAGTATCGCAGAAAAAAGTGAAAGCTAATCATCTCTAGTTCATTAGGATTCTTCAGATCAACAGCTGCAGTAGAATTTAAATGAGTAAGTATTTCATTTACTACACTTTTTTTATTGATAGGTGGTAGAGCAAGATGCTCACCTAAGGTTGTGAGTAAGTCAAGTAATTCATCAATCTTCAGATAACCATCATTATCACCATCAAACTGTTGAAATGAGTACTTTGCAGACTCCAGAAATCTCTGCTCAGTAGAAAGCACAAAGTCTACCTTAGTCTTGAGTTCTGATAAATCTAGTCTCGTTAATATTGACCTCTGAGTTGGAGGACCAGTCAGAATAACTAGCTTGTTGTTATCCAATTCATCACTCCCAGAACTTGGAAGCTGTTCAATACAAGACAGAGATCTCTCTTCTAAGACAGAATGTCTAGATTCAGATATTTTCAGACCATCTTCGTCAGAAATTTTGTTAACTAGTCCATTTGTTTTCATAGAAGCACTACGATTCTTTATCTTTGAGCTTCCTCTCACTATTGAAGCAAAAACCTCCTTAATGCTTCTATTTCCTGTTAATTTGCTGTTAATTTCTTTACTTTTACCCTTAGTCACTGCTTTTTCTCCTGATATTTGTGCATTATGCTGCTCTAAAACTTCAGGACCCTTCCAAGATTTGCTACTGGTGATTAATTTGGAGGGTCCAGATATACCTCTTAAGTATTGTTGCTGCGAGTTTCTTTCGTCTATATGTGTTATACTTTTTGATCTATGCATACTTCCAGAATTTGAGTAAGAGTTAAAGTTTGTAGAAACCTTTTGTATGTTTGAGTTCCTTGGTTTTGCAGCTATTGAGTTACTATTGCTACAATCTGACGATATACTGGATCTTCTAGAATTTCTTCTACTTGGCATGATAGTGGTCATTATTCAATCATTATTATGATATTTCAAGCTTTCAATTTTTAACAACCAAAATGAGGCATCATGTAACTTATGGCGGTATAATGGAATTGTCAGATTGTGTGCCAGGTCTACACCCAACTCTGACACGACTGGTTTATTGTTCTAAACTTGCGTATATTCTTCTTAAAATAGCTAAAGTGATGTTAAAATCGTTTTTTATAATAATCTTGTCCCCTCTTAGCTTGAAATTTGTGGCACAAACTGGTTGTAATTAGCTCCCCCATATAAAGTCCACCACGATTGATAGCATACCTCAGTCTGAAATAATCCATTAGTAATGTGGAACTCTCCCTTTGAGTCCCTACCAAACCAAATTCCATGTTCTAATGAAATAAAACTACTTTCTTTTGTATATAACAACCAAGAGTTCATATCAATGCAGGTAGATTGTGGGTTTACCTTATTACTAAACCTAGTGAAACTCACTACCCATAAATTTTCACTTCGCAATAGACATAACTGCAGGAACAATTGAATCAGTTTATCAGAAGAGCCTATAGATATAATGGAAGTATATAAATCTATAATTATTAAAATGTTGTGGAAATTCAACAAGAAAGCAGGACTTGTGGATAAACTTACCTTTACCATTGAGGTTTACTTTAATAAAAGCAACATTATCAATTTCAACTGATGAGATATTATCAGCCTTCAACTTAAACTTACAACTAAAAACAGTATTTAAATTATCAAAAAAAAAGGGTTTCCCTTTACTGGTATAAGTGTAGAGGCTTCCTATACATGGCTGAAATATTGGCTTATATAGCAACCCTGAAGAAATATCTTCCCATTCCATATACCAAAATGGAGGAAAGTTGCTTTTACCCTTAGAAAGAATCTCTTCAGAAGTATTAGGATATTTTAAAGATATATAGGATATTGTGGGTGCATTGTTTAAATTGTTCACTTTAGAACTAGTTTCAGTACCTATTTGTGAATGAATTACAAATATTCTACTAGTTAAATAATCCAAACCCCAATAAGAGTAGTTTATTTTTGATGTATTCCAAAAAATTATATCGTTCAGTCTATACTTAGTTGGAAACCCAGTAGAAACAATACAGTTAGGCATAAAGTACTTATTCATAAATTTCTCATCTTCATTATTTGGAAGTTTATTCACAGGATTAACTTTGATTACAACTGTTTTTGTATTTTCTTTTCCATAAGAATATTTTGTATTGTTAATAGAGAGAGTTGATGTTTTATTATAACCTATACAACTACTGATAGCCTTCCTTGCACCGTAACCACAAAAAAACAATCCCACTGCTAGGCTGCATAGAAGTAGCACCATGACTAACATCATTTGAAATTTAATTTGATATCTATTGAATAAATCTCCAATAAGTCCATTTTTAGTAATATTGCATTTTTTCTGAATAGTTATATTTTGTTTGCTCATATTACTTGACTTATATGAAGTTTTACTACTCACAAAACAATGATGATACCAAAAAGGTTATTCTTTTAGAAGACAATTTTTCTAGACAGTTCAGTCAATTACCAAATGGTCAGGGTACAATTTGCAAGGTGGGACAATTGCAGACAAGTAAATATTAAGAAGTAGACTTGAAAAATTATATCGATTTCTCTATATTTAACAGTGACAAATTTAGGAATTACTTAAGCAAAGAGTTTTTTGAAGATATTAAGATAGTATATTATTATCCAAATACATCAGAGTTACAAGTAAAGGAGATAGAGTTATTTAGAAATTTTACATAATTTAAGTGATTCAGTGCCATATTTGTACGCTCTTTATTTCTGTAAAATATCTTTAATTAAGTAGCTTTAAAAGTGTATGGTACCTCAGTATTAGTCAACTTATGTTAATACTACATATCTACATACTTTCGCCAGTCTTCCGTAGGACCTAGCATTTTAGGGAGAGGATCTAACTCGTTCAATAGCCTAAATATTATTTTTCTATAGCCTCTTGTTATTGAAATATTGATGTTTTGTCCGTATACATCGTTTACTGAGTGTATAGTTGAGGCAATTTCAGGTATTAAAATATCACGGATATACTTAAGAGAAGCTTCTAAGAAGGCAATTCCTACTGTAATTTTATCCCAATTTACTTTTGGAATATCTATTGCTGCATTTTCATGAACTTCTTTAATAGAGAAATCTCTAACTTCATTTAAGTTATATGATTGTATGGATCCTTTATTGAAAGAACCATGTGTATGGTTTCCTTTAATAAGAGTAGATGTAGTTCCAAGGAGCATCTGGAAATATGTTGATGTCCATGGAAATTTCCCAACATTTCTATAAGATATTGTTTTGAGTTCAACGCGACTATCTGATTCAATAATCCCTGGTTTCAAGTTATCTGAATAAATCACTCTACAGGGTACATCAAGCCTTCTATCAATATATTCAATGGGACTCTTATATACTTCCTGAAACCAATTTCTGCAGGTTGAAAAACTATTTTGTATCTTCTTCTTTTCGTTTGGGTATACTCCATAAGTTATACTAGATGCCTTAACAGCATCTAATTCTGATCTACATAGAATCTTTACTCCTCCAATAGAGATTATATCAATTAGATAGCTAGAGTTGATGACCTTGACAGGTCCTGGTGCATTAGTTCCAATGTCGATGTTATTCCGTGTTAAAAAGGTTTCAAACTGAAAACCTACACTTGGGAATCCAGGTTGCATGTTAACCGGAAATAAGCGCATTGGTTCGCTATATACTACTCCATCCTCACTAGCACGTATAGTTGTATTAATGCATATTTCTGGATACTCTAAACCTGGTTTACTAAATACAACGTCTACAAGTCTTCTCAGACATAACCGATCAGCATATATATTAATTCCATGGTCAATATTACCAAATTTTCTAATAGCCAGATCATAGTGGGTTAAAGGTGCAATTATTTTAGATTTCTGTGAGTAAGTAAACCTACATTGTATATTGTCCAGATTATTGTCTCTTATAAGTGAACGTGGTAAAGCCGGTACTATGATAGTATCGAAGAAATGTTCGTCTAAAAAATTTAATTTCGAGCTTGATAGTAATGAACGAATTGGTATTGAATATGAAGCAAGGCACTTAACAAGTTCTATCTTTGGTAGGTATTTTGGATTTAAGGTTAGTTCTTTGATAATAAGTTCTGATATATCATCAACATCAATTTCATATATATATGAAGACATATTAAGATCTTGAGGTTTGCAAGATACTTAAGGTAGTTCACAAACTTGTTTTTTATAAGAATTTATCTTTTAATTAGTCTTGTGCCAAAGTGGCGCTTGACAGAAATTTACTAGTGCTTTCCCATATCTTGGACAGTGATTTTTGTTACTTTAGTGGTGAATTTCAACTTAGGAAACATTACAATTGACTCTTGTCTACTCATTTCTGTATAACTAGATTATGAAGAAGACTTGGTCTTATTTTACCGTTACTTCTTTACAAACTGTATGTATGCATCTTTCTTTAAGTTAATATATTAGGTGCGGGTAGTATCTACAGAATCTTTGTCAGTTTTTGATGACTCACCTAGTTACATGAAACTTTACGGCTTTTTTTATTTGTATCTTTATATAAGTATTTCCCATTATATAATAATATTACTACATGAATACTTGCATAATAATCTAGATAGGCTTGTTATAAGGGAGTTGTGCTTTGGAGAACTGAAAGATCAGTTTGTAAGTATAGTTGTGGATAGAGGAACTAGACATATGACTAGCTTGGAGAAATCTCTAAATAAAAATCTTTTCAAATTCTTAGATTCCCAAACAAAGTTAGAAACTGCAAGACATGACAAACTATCAAATGACTCATGTTTACTGAAAGAATCCCTTTCCAAGAATAAGAAGGAATTCCTTGATTCTTGGCAGCTATATAAAAGTGAAAGTATTATTCCAAAATTCAGCTATAACATAGAAACTAGCCATAATGCAAAAAAGAAACGTGAATTGTTGAAGCAAGCGAGTATTGAAACTTATAATTCAATATACGGTACTGATAGGAGCGATATAAAAAAGTATTACAGAGGTGACAGAGGTATTGACTTCTCTAATAATGAGGTTTTGGAGGATTTACTGGTGATGTCTACAGAGGAGTCAAAAATTACACCTGAAATACTAAAGAAACTCGATAACGGCATAACAATGGGAACAATTCCTGATAAACTAGCAAAGCTTATTGAAGAGAAAAAGAAACCACGTAGTTCAAGCTATTTCTCAATAGGAAGAAAAGATCAGAAATATGCATTCCGAGATAGTCCTAGTTCATCTAATTTACTAAAATTCTCTTTAAACCCTTTTACTTCCCTAAGCAAGGCATCTTATAGTAGAAGTTTCGATGATGATAATCATGAAGTGGAACAGTATGATATGTATGATTTAAATAGAGTGAAAGTTGATAAATTTGATACAAAATTTAGGAAAGGAGTTGATAGTGTTGGTTATAAATTCAAAGCAGTACCAGATAAAGTTTTGAAAAACTTACAATCTCGTTTACTTGAGAAATTACCAACAGATATTGAGCCTACTTCAAAAGATATTTTAAAGTTGTATGCCCCTTATACAAAGTTAGAAACAAATCCTACTAATTTAAGAGAGTCTGAGTCAGGTATGAAGTCTAGGAATATAGGTAAAAATAATCGTGAAGTAAATATGGAGCAGTCTAAAGATGAGTTAAAATATGAATACAAAATAAAAGATACTAGCAGTTCCTTAATTGGCAAGTCAATTGCTAGAAAAGGCTTTGGAGTTTCTTTCAAGTCTGCAGTCATACCTATGGACAATATAGCTAAATCAGAAGAGTTGTTCAATTTATACAAGGAGTATCTGAAAACTTTGAGGTACTGTGATCATCTTAATAAAGAGAATTCTTCGCTAGTTGAATTACACCAGTGTTTAAAAACTTTAAGAGAGATGAGCAATCAACTAAAGAATGGTACTATTACTGAGAACTTGAAAGTTAAGCCAAAAAGTTATAGTCAGATGATTAGAAATAGAGGTTTAGAAGAAATTACTGAAGGTCCACACAAGTCCAGTGATATAGAAAGCGAGGTTAATGACCAAAGTCTTAGCACTAAAGAGAGCACAAATAGCATCAAACAGCACAACACTTTGATTATGGACTCATTGCTGAGTGACTTGAGCGTTATACCAAATTATTTGAGAAAAGAGCATATGCTTACAAAAAGTAATCTACAGTCTAGTGAGAAAAATGGATTAGCAGAGATAGGAATTGATCAAGATAATATATGTCTCAATAATACAAGTGAATTGTTGCAAAAAGTTGGAGTTAGCCGTGAGGAGTGGATATCAAGTGAGGCCTTGAGAAGAGCACTAATAAAATATCGCGAAGTAGAAGAAGCTTTAAATAATTTTCAAACATCTTCTATAATTGGAACTCATGGAAAAATTGAAGCTCATAAGAGAATTGCTGAATATCAAAAGGCACGAAGTGATGTTGATTCTGAAATAAAAAAACTGAGACTTAGGGGAGGAATCCGTTGAAATTTGTAGGAAATTCTCTATTTGTTGATTTCTTGTTGCTATTATCCACTTTATACTTGTACAAGCTATTTATTCAGATTTACATTATAA